AACCCCAACCCCAACCCCCAACCCCAACCCCACTTTTTATTATTAATTAAATCAAATGCTTTAATAATTTAATAAGAGTATTGCTAAATGTATTTTTTTAGTAGTTAATCAGATTTTAAGAATTTACTAAGAATTACTTTTATTATTGCTAACAATTATTGGTAATAGAAGAAATTTAATTATAATTGTAAATATTAAATTTTTTACTTAAGATTTTAGTTTTAAATAAATTACCAAAGTATTTAGAAAGCATAGCTTAAAGATGGAATCATATTCTTATAATTCAGGTCTAAAAGAAGTTACCTTTGATGAAAAAGGTTTATTTTTTATTCTTCTACTATTTAAACGCTTAACTGTAAATAATTAATGTTCTATTTTCTAACATGAATAGAATCTATGTCAGAAAGAGGAACCTCTTTAGGAGGAGATGATTATCATCTAACAGAATCAGTGATAGATAAATAAATGAAGGATTTCTAACAAGATAGAAGGAGTTTAGAAGATCCTGATTAGATTAACTTTAATGACCGTACAAAAATTTTAATTCACTAGATTATGCAATTTTTTTATCAGCAATATTTAAAAGGATCTTGGGAGATGACGAGTTAAAGACGTTAGACTAAACTCTACCTTAAAAGTGTATCAAATGTGAATGCAAATTTAATTCTATAACTAATAGGAAGTTTCAGTGGTAATTTAATTATAGATTAGCTCATCATATGTTTATATTTAGAATTTAAAATTTAAAATATGAAGAATTTAAGCAGTTTTTAATCCTATTTTTAGAATAAAATGTTGTTGAGGTTCGTTTTTTAGAATTTTAATTTCTTAAAATAAAAGTTACTTTTGTGGGTATCCAGTTTGCAAAGACCATTCTAAAAAAAAGAGAGAAGATCCCTCAAAGCTAAACACAAGCAATAACAAGTCAATAAATAATCAAAATAATAGTACTATATTGAATACATCTGGAGGAGAAAGTGAATATGAAAAAAAAAATTTTAAGAAAATATGTGACATTTGTGAAGATAAATATCTGAAGTGGCAAATAAACTTTTCATTCTAGTAAAAGAAGGATCAATATGATGAAGTTACATAAAGGTTAGAAAAATAACAAAAAGATATTTTAGAAAAAATAAAAAAATAATAAGACGAAATAAGTAGAATATAGTCATAGGTAAAACCAATAAATATTAAATGAAGTTTATCTTTAATTGCCTAAACAATAATTATTTATTTAAATAGGAAGAACAAAAAAAGAAACAGTTTGAAGATTAAAAGAATGAAATATTAAAGAAGATTGAAAAAGCAGAAATGGAGGATACAGATCTTAAAAAGGAAAACAAAGACTATTTATTAAAAATAGATAAAATAGATACTGAAATTAATAGCATGATGAAATAAATAAAAGAAATCGATGAGGAATATAAGCAAAAGTATTTAATTAATCAATTTACTTTATTTATTTATTTAGTATTTATAGTTAATCAACATATATTTTAAAATGCTATTAGGGTAACAGAAGAAAAGAATTTAACCTAAAAAATAAAAGAAATAGACTAAGAAATAGAAAATGCTCACTAAATTATTGAAGAAATAGAATAAAAAATCACAGACAATAATCTGATGATGTAGAGATAAAAGTAAATTTATGATGTCAGAGATTCTCGTTTAGATAGCAATTTAGATAATATTAGAGAAAACTCTGCAATTAGAGCTAGAAAAGATTAGAATATAGATAAAGAAAAAAATTGTAATGTATGCTAAATCTTTTGAATTGACCATATAAATATTTATCAATTTATAGAATTAGTTATCCATGTTTGAAAAAAAATTTAATTTAAGAATAAAGTAAATTAAATGTATTATAAAAATATAATTCACATTAAATCAAATCTAATTTTAATTAAATATTATTTTATTGAGAAATGTATTTTTAAAAAGTTAATTAGACTATTTGAAGTATTTGAATATCATCAAAATATCTTAATGTAAAAACATTTTTCTATTCAAATCAGAGCAAGAAAAGGTTAATAGATTAATGATAAAGAAAAGAAATGTAATTTATGCTAAAATGTTAGAATTAAAACATTAATGAATGAATTTTTTTAACTTTTAATAAATTCAAATAGTTTCCTTTATTATATAATCATAATTCTAAAAGTATTTTTAATAGATATAAATAAATTAAAAATAAAAATAAAATTCCTTCTCAGAACTAAACATTTTTTAAAAATTTAGCAATATTTTTAAATATCAATTAAATAAAATATTATTCAATTTAAAATATTATTTTTTTATTATTTGATTGTTTGTATTTTAATATTTATATAGAATGTTAATGCTAATTTTTATTAATTGATATTTTGTATTTTAATATTTATACAAAATGTTAATGCTAAAATTTGTTGTTATATTTTTACTTATATATATAAATTATTTTAAGCAATTAAAAATGATAATAAAAATTAGTATTAAAGATTATTGCAAATAATTCAGCTCTAAAATATTATTTTGAAATTTTAAAAACTATAAATTTTCAATATTAAATTAAATGATTGAAGATATTTTTAAAATTTTGCCAGTGATCAATCTTTGATTAATGATGAATAATTTCAAAATTAAAAGACTATATTGATTTTTTTTAAGATATTTATAAAAATCATACATTTTTAAATGCTCACAAAAATTTTTGAAATTTAATATAGTTTTTTAAATAAAAAATATAAAAGGAAATAATTAACTAATAAAAATTCGATATTATCACTATCTCTATTTAAAGTTAAAAAATGAATTACTCTCCAAAAGCTAATAAAATGAAAAGAAAACTCAAATAAGAATTAACTGAAGTAATTAAAAATAATAAATAAATATGTTTAATTCAAACAGCTTTATAATAAAACTAATTTTCATAAATGAATTTTTTAAAAAATGCAATTGAGATTTAATTCATAAATAGAAGTTCTAAATAATTATAATGTCATATAGGAATAAAGACAAGAAATAAAAGAAGCTTTTGATTTATTTGACACTGAAAAGACTGGAACTATCGATTACCATGAATTAAAAGTTGTTATGAGAGCATTAGGTAATTTATATTTAAATATATATGGATTTCAGCATTAGATTTTATTTTAATGTTTAACAAATTAAGAGCATAAATATTATTAGAGTTGATAGGTTAAATTTCTTTTAAAATATTAATAGGATTTGATGTCAGAAAAACTGAAGTTGTTTCATTAATTAGAGAATACGACAAGGATGAAACTGGTAGAATTGAATATAATGACTTCGTAGAAATTAGTAATAAGAATTATTAATTTTTATGACACATAAAAATAAAAATTTTCAAAATTAAAAAGTGACTCAAAAATATAATGAAAGAGATCCCACTGAAGAAATATTAAAAGCTTTTAAATTATTTGATGAAGATAATACTGGAAAAATCTCTTTAAGAAATCTTAAGAGAGTAGCTAGAGAATTAGGAGAATAGTTGACTGATGAAGAATTGCAAGCTATGATTGATGAATTTGATAGAGATTAAGATGGATAAAGTAAGTTTAATTAGCAATAAATTATTTATATTTTATTAAATAAATAAATCTTTTTATTTAAATAGTTTCAGAAGAAGAATTTTTAAGTATAATGAAATAAACAAGCATATATTGAGCCAATTTATTTGTAAAAAAGTATATAAAATAAATAAATTAATAATTAATGATTTTATTATAAAACTATTTTCTTGCAGTTATATTATAAATATATTTTAGTTTCATTTGATTTTTGGAAATCAAGTTAATTATATTATAATTATCATTTCTAAATTCATTTTAATTAAAAATAAAAAAATTCTTTATTTTTTAATTTGATAGTCGTTATGAATTAAGTATTTAGATTTTACATTTATATTTTATTCATACTAAAATAAGTTACTTAAATAATTTAAGTATTAATTAAATCTATTTTTTTGAAACAAAAAAAGATTAGGTACTAAAATAATTTATCATTTATTGAAATTAAGATGTTAAAATTAAAAATTTAATTGTATCATAAATAGAATTTTCTAATTAATTTTTAATTTTAGTTAAAAATAAAAAATTCATTATTTGTTTATTAGTAGTCGTTACGAATTAAAAATTTAGATAATACATTTATATATTATTCATTCTAAAATATGTTAGTTAATCAATTTTAGTATTAATTAAATCTATTTTTTTGAAGCAAAAAAAAATATTAGGAAAATAATTTATTATTTATTGAAATTAAATATTAATTAATAATTTAATTGTATCATAAATAGAAAATCTAATAAATCTTTCATTTAAGTTAAAAATAAAAAAAGCTCATTATTTTTTAATTTGATAGTCGTTATGAATTAAATATTGAGATATTACATTTATATTTTATTTATTCTAAAATATGTTAGTTAATTAATTTTAGTATTAATTAAATCTATTTTTTTAGATAAAATAAAAATATTAGGTACTAAAATAATTTATTATTTATTGAAATTAAGATATTAAAATTAAGAATTTAATAGTATCATAATAGAATTTCTAATAAATTTTTCGTTTTGGTTAAAAATTAAAAAAATTCATTATTTGTTAATTTGATAATAGTTATGAATTAAATATTGAGATATTACATTTATTTATTATTCATTCTAAAATATGTTAGCTAATTAATTTTAGTATTAATTAAATCTATTTTTTTGGATAAAATAAAAATATTAGGTATTAAAATAATTTATTATTTATTTAAATTAAGATATTAATTAAAAATTTAATTTTATCATAAAGATAATGTATATTCTATTAAAAGAATTTAAATACAATTTTTAATCAAATAAGAACTAGTATTTTTATAAAATGCATGATCACTTTTCGCTCCTAATATTTTATATTTAAAAAAGGATCTAAAGTTAATAAATATTGATAATTAAATTTTTACTTATCTTTTGATTATAAGATTATCAATAAGTAGAGATTGTAGCACTTTTTATAGTTTGTAAAGATATTAAAATTAAAATGGATTAAGAAAATTTGTAAGCTTAGAATGAGCTTATCGATTTAGAAGCTTGCTTACCTAAAATGATAGAATAATTTTCTATTAGTATTGATAAAGAATATGTTATTAGTAATTTTTAGATGAGAGTTTAAGATGATGGTATTACAATATGTGATTAAAAAGGATTAATTTATGAATTGAATACAGGTTAATAAGATTTTTTTGAGCATTGTAAAGGTAATTGTTATTTGAATATTTATATTTACTACTATTACATGCTATTAAATTAATTTTAAAGATAAGTTAGTGACTATTTCGTAAGGTATTGTAAAACCAGAGTTTGAAACTAATACTTAAAAATTGATATTCACGATGTTTGCATAAGATATCTAATTGAGTCCAAATTAAGAAGATTTGATTGGAGAATCTAGCTATTAAAGCAATGAACCAGTTAATGCAAGATTTAAAATCTTTGATATGGAAAATAACAAAAAAAAATAAGAAATTTATGAAAAATCTTTTATCATCAAAAAACAATTAGTTAAAGTAGATAAATTCTTATCTTTATAAGAACAATATTTGCTTATTATATTTAAAGATTAAATTATATTTTATAAAAAAGAAACACTCATAAAATTTGATTATGCAGCAAGGAAATGACATATGGATTTCCCTTACTTAATCATATAAGATATAATAATTCCAAGTTTAAGAAGAATAAGCTAGACAATAATAAAAGCTACTATAAGAACAGCACAAAAAGCAAGCTTAAAAGGTTTAAATGCAATTCATTAAAATCATTTAAAAATTTACTCATAAATATAAAGAAAGAGCAGGTCCCTCTCGAAAAAGAAGACATTGAAGATGAAAAGAAATAGTCATTTAAAACTCCTTCTAAAAAAGGAAAAACTCCTTTGAAGTCTTTAAATAAATAAGATGAAGAGGCAGTAGCACCTTAATCAAATAAAAAGAGCTAAAAACGTATAAAATATTAAGAAGATGTAGAGGTTAATTAGTAAATTTCTGATAATAAGCCAATTTAAATGGAAATTGAGCAAGCAGAATCTGGTGATAATAAAGAAGAACTAGCAGCAGAAGGAGCTGTTTCTGTTGCTAAGGAGAAAAAAACAGAAATTAAATAACATTTAATTTAAAATCAAAGAAAAAATTTACAAGAAATATATGAAAAAGAAAGTAAAATATTATAAATTAACTTTAATCAATCTTCTTAACACATCTTCTTTTAAATAAAATAAAAGAATAAGCTAAAAAGTAAGTTAACAAAAAAAGAATTGTGTAAATGGAAGATATTGAATATGAGGAAGAAGATATAGATGATGAGTCAGATGAAGAAAATGAATAAAATAACTAAGATGATGAAGAAATAGAAGAAGAGGAATAAGAAGCTTTTGTAAACAAGCAACCTGTGAAATAAAAAGATTCAGAACTTAAATAAACTGATATAAGAATTGATGAAAAAAATACTATAGAAGAGAAGTAAAATAAAAAGTCAATTTTGAAAGTTGCTAATGCAGAAAAATAAAGTGAAATAATAAAATCCTTAAAGAAAAAATCAATTTAGAAGGCAAAAGAAGCAGAAGAAATTGAAATTAGTGAATAAATGAAAGCTTAATTACAAAAATAATAGGAATATAAATAAAAGCTAGATAAATTGTAAAAGTTTGTCTTGAAAAGTAAAATAGTTCTTTAAATATTACAAATTAAATATTTTTTATTCTAATAGGAGAGTTTTTATATTATGTATAAGACTTTTAGAAGAAACCTTAGGTAAGAAATGCAGTACTGCCTAGAGATCCAAATGATAAGGAAAAAATGAAGTAGTATTCTTTAAAAGTTGTAAAACATTTGGAATCACAATATAAATGATTTTGTAAATAAATAGTTCAAAATAAAAATTATTTTAAATTGGTGATCGACTCAAATAAAAATTAAAAACATCCCTTTTTATTTAGTCAGTGTTTTTTTAATTTATTTATTTGTTTATTTGCATGCTTTCTGTTTTGTATTTTAGCTTCAAATATGCTAATTAACTAATTCTTATATTTTTATTATTCTTACCCATAGATTCATTTTGAAATTTAACGAATTTAAACACAAAAAAGATTATTAAATTATAATAACAAATAAAAATTATTGGTATTTTAGACTAACAAGCATGTTTTGAATTGTTTTATATTATAAAAAGTAAATATCTTATAATAAAAAATAATAATAAAAAATTTCAAATTAAGCAAAAAGCATTACTATTCTAATAGATAAATAAATAAATTCAATTTAAAAGCATTAGTTTTACATTCTATAATAAACATTTTATATGATTTCTTAAAAGACTTAAAGCTTTTTATGTGAGCTTCTCTTTGAAATAGCAAAGGGAGAAAAATAAGTAGAAGTAGTTCGTCAGTTACTTGGAGAATAGGACTCCTTTGAGCCTTATTCAGCTTTTCGTAGAATAGATTAGTAAAGAAAAAAATTCATAAATAGTTATGACATAAAAGATTTTTTGAGCGAAAACGGATTCCCTCATTCTTTATAAGAGTGTGATTTATTTATCAAAGCATATGATATCGATCAAGATACTAAGATTTCCTATACTGAGTACTATTATATCAAATTTTAAATCAATTGTTTATTTATGTAAAATATAATGTAAATAGGTTTTTAAGAGCAGTTTTACCTTATGACAATTAATCTTTAAGAGAATAAGTCTCTTAGAGACCTCCTTTAGAAATAAAAAGCAATGAAAAATTATCCTGTGATGTGGAATACACTTTATCTAAATTAATTGATAGGTAATTAAATTATTTTTTACATTTATAGTGAAAAAACTATACATTTATTATTATTAGTAAGACTTTTATAAAGTGTTAAAGGCTTCGTTTTTGAGCATCAAAAACAGTTTTAGTTTGTTTTTTTAAATTTTATTCATTTCTGATCTTTGTTTGATGATGCATTTATGTTGTTTTTTTATTAGGGAAATACAATGTAACATAGCTATTATAGAAAAGAAAGCCTTACTTGAAACAAGATATGATTTTAGTGTAGCCGATTGCTTTAATACTCTTGATGTTAATAATAAAAAGATGCTTGATGGAAGGGATTTTTATGCTTTTTTTAGAAAAAACGGTTTAGTTTCTTATGAAGACGAAATTATTTCTTTGCATAGAAGACTTGACTTTGACTAAGATGGCTATATTTCTTATGAAGATTTTTTTTATGGAATATCAAAATAAGAAACTCTTGAAAAGGCAGAAAGACGTAATCCTCATGAGCATTAAATAATTGCATCTCCTTTTAGAAAAGTTTCTAAATCTCCTATTGGTGAAAGAAAAATAAGCTAGCAATTTACTCCAAACAGTAGCATAAAGAAAAAAGCAAATTAGCTTTCTAGCTCAAAAAAAAATGTCTAAATTTTATCACCATCTAGAGCAAAAAACTATTAAAATTATAATAGCGAATTTTAAAATTCCCCTGTTAGAGAAAATTCTCGTTTTAGAACCTCAACTGGCTTTAAACATTCTCCTGCGAAATCAATACTTAAGAATTCAACTAACAAAATGGAAATTGAAAAAAATTTATTGAGAAATGAATTAAATTATTCTAGAGAGTTAGATTAAATATAATCTTAATATGCTTCTAGAAATTCTGATTATAAAGATGATCCAAGCTATCTTATGAGAAATAAAATAAGAGAATCATCTAAAGATGTAAGAAGTGATCCTTATATTTAAGCAAGAGAGATATTTGAAAAAGAAAGAGCTATAGAAGAAGAAAAATAGAAAATACTGTTATAAGAAAAACTAAAAACAATAGATTAAGAAGAAAAGTTAAGAAGAGCAAGAGAATAAGAAGAATATGAATATTAGATATAAAAAATGAAGGCTATAGAAAGAGAGTAGTAAATGAGATAAATTGAAAAGGAAAATCAAATAAAGCAACAATAAATACTTCGTGAAAGGGAACTTTAAAAGCTAAAGTTTGAGAGTGATTTAAAACAAAGAGAAAAGGAGAGATAACAAAAGTAAGCAGAAAATGAAAGAAAATATGTTATAGAATAAGCAGATTTTTACAACAAAGAATATGAAGAAAAATAAAGAAAGATCATCTAACTTGAAAAAGAGTAGAGATTATAAGAGTTAGAAAGAGAGAAAAAAATTAATTAATTAGAAAAGCTTAAATAGTAGTAAGAAAAAGAAGACAGAGAAAAGAGGCTTATTGATGAAGAAAAAGCCATTTAAGAATAAATTGAGTACGAAAGATACTTGAAATAAAAAATTTAAGATGAAAAAAGATATGCAAGTATTGAGTAAAATATAGAAAAAAATAGAGCAAATAGACCTTCTAGTTATATTAAAAGCATAGATAAAAGTATGGATCTTTATAACTAACATTCACATCCATAACCTACTAATTATTCTTAAAAAAAAACTGCAAGTTTTGCTGAAAGATCACCAGTACTCAGTCAAAAATATTCCACCCCTAAAAGATACGACAATTACGATGAAAAAAATACTTTATAATACTCTTAATTATCTTAAAATTATAGAAATCCAATTTTAGAAAACAATAAAGCTTAAAATGATCGTGAGCTACAACATAAAACTCTTTAAAAATCTCCTTATTCTAAATTATCATACAGCCAAACAAATAAATATGATAAACCCTCCTATACATCACCAATAGACTTGAGAGAAACATCAAAAGTAATTTAAAAAAAATTTAAATATTGAAAGTAATTAAAAAATAAATTATAGAATACGAGAAGTCCAATAAGCAATCATTTAAGTGCTACTAAAGATAGAGAATTAGATAGAAGTGATTTATATAAAAAATAAAATTTCTCAACCAGCTAAAAGTAGAACTTGACTTAATCAAATAATAAAAGAAACAACTATAGCTTGCAAATAGAGGATTAATTGATAACATATTTTTTAGACATAATCTAAACAGAAAAGAAATCTGAAAGATCCAGATAAGATCTAGCATTACGTCCTGATTTCAAGTTAGGTGATATTTATAAAATACTTGATAAAACTTAGAAAGGATTTATCAGCTCATTAAACTTAGAAGACTTTCTTAAAAAAATAAACATTTAGACATCAATAAATGATATTTATCTATTGATGAGAAGATACGATTTAGATAACGATGGACAGCTAAGGTAAATAAATAAATAATAATTGATTTGTCTTATTCAAAAATTTTTAAAATGTACAGGTTTACAGATATTGCTGAAGCTATTACTCCAAAGCAAAGTGAATATGCAAAGTTATTGAATAAAAGAGAAAGCTACTTAGAGGGAGATATCCAAATAGATGAAGTAATTATTTAGTTTTAAATAAAAAATGTTTACACGAAATCAACACAAATATCTAGGTTTATTCTTTTGAAACTATGAAGTTATTGAAGGAATTGTTTTTGATCCTAATAGAGTCTGAATAGCTAGTTGAGTAAATTAGATATTCATTAAAGTAGCATAGGAATTTTAGCTTTTAAGAAAGTTTTGGGATGATAGATTAGGATTAAGATGGATTTATTAACTAAGCCGAGGTAATTTTTTATTTTTAAAAAATAATCCTAAATACTAAAAAATATATTTTAAAAATAGCTTTAACATTTCTTTGAAAAAAATAATGTATTTTGTAGCGATAAAGAACTTAAAATGCTAGTTCAAAGATTTGATCTAGATAGAGATAACTAGATATCATTTGGAGAGTTCGTACAAGAGCTTTCTCCTAAATCAAATAAAATATATTGAAATAGGATTTTAGTATTTTTTAAAATAGGTATATAAAAATTTATTAATTAATTAAGTGAAATAATTAAACATAAATAGGAAAAATATTTGTAAATAAGAAAATATAAATAATTGTAAATATCTATCTATCGATCTATATAATATAGTTGTATTTATTATAAAATATTTTTGTATATTTATTACTAATTGATTATTATTAAAAGTTATCTTCAAATTACTTCGGAAATATACATGAAACAATATACTCTGTTCCTATTAATTAGTTAAAATTTTTATTTTTAAAAAAGTTATTTAAAATTAATTTTTATTGGTAAATCAATTTAAAATTATAAATTTGAAAGAAAAGAAATATATTTAGATTTAATTTTTAAAAGTAAAAAAAAATAAAGGAGATATGATAGATAATCTTATTAAAATTAATTCTTAAGAATTAATTAAATATTTATGAAGTTAAAATATTTATTAATTTTATTAATTAATAATTTTATATTAAATACATATTTTTTCAAAGTTAAAAAATAAATAGAATTTTAAAATCTATCTATCAATCTGTTTTGAAACAAATTTCTATTCAAAGTAAGATTTTTATTTTTATCAATTAGATACATGCTAACCATTACAATGACATATTTGTAAATAAGAAAACATAAATAATTGTAAATATCTATCGATCTATCTATATACTATATAGCTGTATTTATTATAAAATATTTTTGTATATTTATTACTAATTGATTCTTCTTAAAATTTATCTTCAAATTACTTCGGAAATATATATGAAACAATAAACTCTATTCTTTTAAATTAGTTAACATTTTTATTTTTAAAAAATAAGTTATTTAAAATTAATTTTTATAAATAAATCAATTTAAAATTATAAATTTGAAAGAAAAGAATAATATTTAGATTTATTTTTTAAAAATAAAAAAAATAAAGGAGATATGATAATCTGATTAAAATTAATTCTGAAGAATTAATTAAATATTTATGAAGTTAAAATATTTATTAATTTTATTAATTAACAAATTTATATTAAATATTTACATATATTTATTCAAAGTTAAAGTTAATATTTAGAATTTTAAAATCTATCTATCTATCAATCTGTTTTGAAACAAATTTCTATTAAAAGTAAGATATTTATTTTTATCAATTAGTTACATGCTAACCACTTCAATCAATAACCTAATATTCTATATTTCGGATGCTTTATTTTTCTTTTTATAAATTTTAGAATGAGTAAAAAAGATTTAAAGGATATTAATTGGTAATCTTAGATTTCAGAATTAGAGTAATAATAATAGCAATAGAATAGCTTTGATTCCATGATTCCTAGTATTTAAAAATTACTAATATGGCTCATTTATATTACTGGCTTTGGAATGGTTATTTTCCCCTACTTTGCTTTAACTCTTGATCCTAAATTGTAAAAATTATTAATGTAGCCATATATTTTAAATTTAAAATTTTTTTTAAACAAAGCTCAATTCATTTCTGGATTTTAACTGGAATAGATTTTGGCCTCTTTGTCGCATTATTAAAGTAAGCAAAAATTAAAATTTAAAATATTTTAGTATAAAATATAAAGTAGACAGACAGATGATTAAACAATATTTCAATTAAATATAAAAGTATAATTTCAAACTTCTTTATTAGTTTTTCAAGTAAAAGAGATAGTAAAAGAAAATATATAAATAAATAAATACAAATGGGATATACTTTTAATAGATATATATAAAAGAATTCTTACACAATTTTTCATAAAATTTAAACCTTATTCATAATTGTATGATATTAAATAGTTTCAAGAGATTTGTTGTTTCTGGAAATACTCTATAATAAAATGATGAAATTGATGACAAGAAATAAGACGTTGTATCAAACGAAAGTAATAATTCGTCAAAAAAATAACAAAATTAGTAGAAAAAAATTAAAAAGAATAATTGAAAAGAAATATTTGTTTTTCTATTTTTGATTTTGATACGTGTAGTTTGCTAAATTAAATTAATTAAGTAATTTACCAATAAATTTCATACAAATTATTATTTTGATATTAATTTAAACTCTATTAAATGATTAAAGGTTATTATCTATTATATTACCCTCTTAACAAATGGTTTTGCATACTATCATATGTATTCGCTCTGCATATTTAATTTATACAATGTTAAAGCAAGATAAGTAATTAATTAAATAAATAATTTTGAAACAAAAATTAGATAATTAATTGAATTAAAAAGAATTACTATTTGGGAGATAAAAATATAATGAACAACATCAAGAATTTTTTAAACAGAAAAAGTAACATTTTAATTTTTCTAATCTCTAAAACTAAAAAATATTTCATATATGTAGGTTTATTGGCATTTGGTTTAGGAGCCGCTATAGTTTATCCATAAATAAACTCTAATTTTGAGCTCTACTATTCGGACACTAAATTAAATTAATTTATCAAAAACAAATGTAATGAGATTAAAAAAGGGTATTTCCTTCCCACTCCTTATCTTGGGTATGGCATTTTATAAGCTATCTTTGGATCTAAATCATAATTTAGACATGAAAAAATAAATTATGAAAAAAAATATATCGATTTTGGTGATTATGGCGAGTTACGCTATGGTAAAAATTTATTTCTACTTAGTCCTAAATTCAACTAAAACTTTTTTTTAATCTAATTCAATACTTTTACCTATTTATATATATCAAATAGATGTAGCTAAATTGCAAGATGAAACTATTGTACCTATTGAAAAAAGAGAGAAAAATAAAAATAATTGTCTTGTTATACTTCTAGGAATCACAGCTTCATCTCAAGAACCTTACGTTGAGTATGTTTAAAATTTAATTTTTTGAGTTTCAGCTTGAGTTGTCTATATTATTAATCTTCTAATTTATAAAATCCCCCTCCATTCATAACCAGCAAGCAATCTTTCTATTATTTAAAAAATCCTCTCTTTAATTGAGTTTATTTAAAAAAACTCTAAGAAATTCAGAAATTAATTCTTCATAATATTTATTTAAAAAATAAGTATTCAAGCAAAACCAATTTTATGTATTTTGATTTACATTAATTAATTCAAATAATTCAATATTTATAGAAACATGACAGCAGAAGCATTAAAAGAAGGTTACACTGTTGTCTTGTATAATGATAGACTTTATAATAATTACGAAGACAAGGGTAGAATATTCCCGAGAGAAGGTTACTACTCAATAGAAGTAGATTTTGAAAAAACTCTCTCATAAATATAGAAAGATTTTTCTGGATATAATTTTTATGCTGTAGGACATTCATTTGGTGCTAATACATTAGTAAAGTACCTGGGAAGCCATAAAAATAATAATCCATTCAAGGGAGCAGTATCAGTAGGAAATCCTTTTGATATTAAATAAGCATTTGCTACTCTAAGACCAACTTTTGATAAATATCTAGTAGAGAGTCGCTAAACTGTTCTTAAAATGAGATAAAGCTTATTGTAAAACCCTCCACCTCATATAAATATCAACTTAGAGAAGGCATTAAAGGCTGTTAATACAACAGAATTCGATGAACACTTTTCTAAGCATTTGTATGGTCACAAATCTATTTTTGATTATTATGAAGATTTAAGCTGGTAATTAATTCTTAAATTAATTTTTAATCATTATTTTTTATTTTTGGGTAAAGGTGATGTAATCTTCGTCACTTAACTTATCCACTAGCTTTAATTTAAATTTTTATAATTATTACAAAAGTATAAATTAATTGAAGAATGTTAAAATTCCTCTCCTATGCTTGAATTCAAAAGATGATCCTTGTATTCATCATTCAACTATTCCTTTCAATATCTCAGAGATAAATTAAAACGTTATGCTTTTAGTCACAAAATGCGGTAAATAAATCAAAAAATAATTTTTTTAAAATTTTATAATTAAATTTACCTTTATAATTAAAAGGTGGCCATGTTGGCTGGTTCGAAGGTATTTTCACTCCAAAGAGATGGTACATGAAACCAACTCTTGAATTTTTAAATGCTTTGACAGATTATTCATGCTCTTAACTGTGAAAATAGTTTAATCATTTTGTATTTATAAATTTTTAATGAACCTAACTCTACAAGAAAAAATAATATTTACTACTATATTAATAAATAAACTCAACTTTATATTAATTGTAATTATATTTCTTTATATTTCAGGTCTGTAATTTATCACAAAATTTTCATAATAAAACTTTGATTGATATAATTAATAAGTAAAAATATATAATGGACAAGCAAATTTACTGTAAATCCTTATTATATAGTTACATATTCAATCTATAATATATTGTAACTATTCTTTTAAATACTCCATAATTTCTAAAAAACGGTCCATAATATATTGACCCTTAGTGAAGGATCTGCAGTATATAAATTTTATCCAAAAGTATTTTTTAAAAATTTAAATTTGTTTACAAAATATATTTAAATTAGAAACTATGAATTAATATAATATTTAATTATCAATCAGATCATTTATTTAAATTATTATTTTTATATAAATTTATTACTACTATTTTTAAAAATATTTTAATAATTTAAATAAAATTAATAAATCATAATTTATTTTAATTAATAAATCAAAAGAAACTTTTTTCATTAATACAATAATAAATTTTCTATTATTATTAACATTTTTACAAATGAATGTAAACTTATTTTTAACATACATTTCAATTAGTATTTTTCATTAAACCAATTAAGGTAATATTCTATTCACTTATTTCTTCATATCCTCTATTGTTCCATCATTGCATATTGTTATATCAGCCTTTTCTATTTTTTTGCTAATAGGCATTTAAGACTTTATTTTCTTTAATGCTTCTTCTTCACTTATTTTATCACGTTTAACTAGCCTTTCTATTTGAAGTTACTCCTATGATAAGAAAACAACTATTATTGGGTGGCAAATGTACTCTAGGTATTTCGTTTCATATAGAATTGGAGCATCTAGCAACATAACATTTTCTTTTTTTACAAATCCAATTTAGTAAATTTCCTTTAAAATTTCTAGCATTATGTACCATCCTGTTGTTTGTGTAACATGCTTGCGGATAGCTGGATTATTAAATACAAGTTTTCCTAATTCAGCTCTATCTATTTCTCCATTCTCTTACAAAATTTTATTTCCATATCTTTCCTTCAACTTATTATAAGCTGGTTTTCCAACTTCAACAACTCTCCTTGATAATATATCACAATCTATAATTGAGAGCTTTAAAAAATCTTTGAAATAATTTCCTACTGCGGATTTTCCACATGCTATTCCTCCTAATTTAATAAAGAGTAGAATTAAAAAAGAAAGCAATTATACCTTTAAATAAATTACCAGTTAATCCAATAATTGTAATTTTGCTTTAAATGTAGATTGATAAAAAGATTACGGACATAGGCAAACCTACTCTGATATACATGTTTAAGAGCTGAAAATTAAAATATGTTATAAAAAAGTTTGAAATATAGATTATCATAAAAGTTATCATCAAATCTATTTTAAATCTTTTTTTTATCTTTCTCTAATTAAATATAACTAAAAAGCTTATTAAGCTTGAGCATATCAAATAAATTGGATAAACTGCTAATTCTACATAATCAAGCAGAGTTGTTTCTGTCATTTTTTACTTAAAGCTGTGTGTTTTTTTATAAGTTTTACTGATTTCTAGAATTAATATTTAAATAGCAAATAGAAAATTTAATCTAATTAATTTGATTATCTTTTAAAAACGAAAATAAAAATCAAATCTTTATAAATATCAAATAAAAATATTTAAATAAAAAAATAAGCTTGTTTGTTGATTATTATTTAAAAATATATAAAACGAAAATGAAAGAATAATTAATACATTTTTTATTAAAAAAATTTAATCAATCCATTTTAAGATTTTAAGAATTAAATTAATTTTTTAATTAGAATAAATCTAATTTCATAAAAATAAAATAAATTAATAAATAGAAGTAAAATATTTATTTATTTAATCAAACTTAACACTCCACTGCATATTTCGATTAGAGTGTTTTATGATAAATTTAATTTTTTTAAGATATGGTTTAGCTTAAAGATAGATCAGTCCTTTTTTTTAAAAATAAATTTTGAACAAAAAAATACTTTGATATTTATTTAACAAAAAGAATTTGTGTTAAATATTTTAAGATTAAAATTTATAACTCAATATTAACCATATATTTATATTAAAAGCAGTGATTATTAAGTTATTATTTATCAAATGTTATAATTCATTTACAATAATATTTATTTTTATGGTATTTAATTAAAGGTATTTGCTTATTTATTCTATTAATAAAAGTGAATTGAAGAAAAAATTTATTAATTTAAACTGGAAATTTGTTAAATCAATATAATAATTAGCCTTACAAAATTAAATATTGGAAATAATAAGTAGTTACTTAGATTTTTAGTTTTTATAAACATCCTTAGATAATATTCTATAGATAAATCAGTCATATAATATAAATTCTTTAATAAAATCATGAATACACTAGGTAGATTAAATTAAAATGATATAAAAATATAAGCAAATGGTGATATTTACTATGATTCCTCTAGGCGTACATCTACATTAAGTCCCTTAAGGAAATCAATAAGGGCCTCATCAAAAGCTTAATTTAGTAGCACAAAGCAAGAAAGATGGTTACCAGAAATTAAAAAATTTAGTAATACGGTGTCAACTCCTTAATAAAGTACCTAGATTCAAAAAAACATGTCAATACAGCCTTAAGTTTCTGTTTTTACTGATGAATTTGGTTCTTATTAAATAGATATGGACGAAAAAACAATTAGTCAATTTTTAGATATATTCAGAACATATGATGTTAAAAGATCAGGATACGTTGAATAAAAGTATCTTTATGAAATATTAGCTTAGCTTTCTCTCTCATCAAAAAATAGTAATTGTTTACTCTTTTTAAGCACTATTTATTTAATGTCATTAATTGAAATAAACATATTATTGATTTTAAAAAGCTCTTATTATTATCAAAAAATAGTTGAAAAGGTATTTGCATAAGATGTTTTCTCTCGCCCAGGATATTTTAATTTTGAAGAACTTTTAGAAATTATTACAGAGTTAGAAATAGATAAAATAGAATAAATGAATAAAGACTTAGCAGATGAAGATAAAATTATTATAAAACCAGATTAAAAAGTCATTGATCTTATAAAGTAAAAAATTGTTGATGCTTTAATTTTATAAGATATATATAATTAATTAATTTTGCATAAAATTACAAAATTGTTTGACACTACATAACATTTTCTTGTATATCTTAAGGAAATTAGATAATTATAGAAAGCTTTAGGAGAAAGAAGGAAACTATAAAGAGGCATATAGAGCACATCTTAAAATCCTCTAGCTTAGAAGTAACGAATAAAACAAGCAAATTGATAATCTTAGATATATTTAAGATGATGAACTCCTTAAAGTTACAAAGTTATAATCTTAGTAACTTTATGAATTTGATAGAGCTTGGGAATAATTTCTTAGGGAGTACGATTAGACTTCCAAGGATACTGTTGCAACTTTAGAAGTATTGTTCAAAACTCTGAAAAAGTTATAATAACATTTTTTATAAAAAGGAGAGGCACCAATAAGAATTAGAGTAATATTACTAGTAAGTGAAGTAAGAACTAGCTTTAAAATAAAAATTTTCTAAGCATTTGCTTGATTTAAGATATAAAGAGCAAATGTTAGTTAAACTAAAAAACTATCCAGAAGCAGAAAAAATAAAAGTAAAAGCTGATCAACTAGAAGAAATAGAAAAACAACAGTATGAAATATAGGTATTAATTACCATTTTTGTATCTTGATTTAATATCCATTTTTTTCTTTAAAAAGATGTAAGAAACGGTAGAGAATAAAGTAAATACTTTAAGAAAATAACAAGAAATAGCTTTGTAGGGACTTGTACATAAAATAGAATAAGATAGATAGTTATAGCTAAAATAAAGAGATATTGATGCTTAAACTTTACTTACTAAAAATAAAGCTTTGCTTCTAGAATTAAATAATAAGCACATTACAGAGACGAAAAAGGCATAAAATTTACTTAAAGAAAACATGGTTTATAATGATCATCAAGAATTATTTAGAGTTAGAGATCCAAACGACAAATTGATTTTCGAAAGATAAGAGTAAAATCTAGATCGCTTTAAAATATAAAATTAAAATACGTTAAACAAAATAAGATCTTAATCAACATAGAGAAATAGTCCTTACCCATAAAGGTTAAAAACAGATAATGCACCTTATCTTTTATAAATAAATTAATTATTTGGTTCAGCAACTCCTATTCCAGCTTCAATTGTGAGTAAAATCAATCAATTATCTTCTCTTTAGATTAATATTGTTATAAATTTAAAAATAGGAAAAACATAAAGAAATTATAGAAAGGGAAGTACTTCAAATATATCTTACAACTACTGATTCTATCATTTAAATATAATTTAATATCAAACTCTAAAAAATAATTACTTTTAATTAACTAATTTAATAATAATATCTCCTATGTATACAGTTTTCATTTTATAACTAAAATACTTAAGAAATAACAAAATTTAAGTAAAATTTGCTGAATTTTTCTCTATATTTTTAGAAAAGCTTAACAAATTTATTTTTTTAAAAACACTTTATCAAATTAATTTTTTATTTAATTTATCTTTAGTCTATTTTTAAAGTTATAAATTTAATCAATTAAAATTTTTCTAATTAAATGATTAATTAGGTATTTTGTACTTCAAAAATACTAAAAAGTCAATTTATTTATAAACCTTTGCCTGTTTTATTATTACTTTTTTAATCATAAAAACTGAAAAAGTCATCCACTAAAATAATTAAAATACCACTCAAAAAGTCCTTAATTAAACTGGTCCTTAATTAACGAGAATCTACTGTATTTAATCTATTAATTAAAAGGTAACATCAAAATTATTTAGAAAGATAATTTGGCTTTATTTTGATAAGAAAAAACTATGTAAATATAAATTTTTTTCTACTTTTATTGTAAATCTAACATTTTGTTAAAGGTATACAAAGTAATTGTCAAAAGGTAGATTGTTTTTGAAAGAACAAAAAAGAATTTACAAATATTTAATTTTGAGTAATCAGTACTTGTAATTCTAATTAGGTTCATAGTTTATATTTATTTAATTTTTTTTAGTGTTTAATATTGCTAGTTATTAAAAAATAAGTAATTAGTTTTGTAAAAAAACAATTAATCATAAATAAATTATTATAATAAATAGGATTCTAATCAATTTTTTAAAAATTTAATAATAATAATGAGTATTTAACAATCTATGGTAATGATATCGAAAGCAGATTATCCTCTGATTCCTGAAGAAGCCTTTTTATACTTTCCATAACGTATAATCACTTATTTAAATATGGTTTGATATAAAAATGTTTAATTAATATATATAGCATAGGAAATAAAAGTTGGGGATGGAAAATCAGGGTTGAGAAGAATATTTGAAGGTTAAATTGAGTTTGATAAATATGAAATGTAGCAGCTGTAGGATTTTGAATAATATGTAAAATAAAAATAGGCTAAGTTGATTGAATGGTAAAATTAAAATATGCACAGTCATTAATATTAATTTTTTGATAAAAAATAGGTGGGATAATGCTAAAAAGCTTAGGTTTTTGTATGCAAATTAGTTTAAGTATGAAAAAACATTAAAGACAATGGAAACTCATTAAGAATGGAGATCTCAAGCTCTCCCTCCAAAATTTACAGATGAAGTCAAACAATTTTTGGTAGATAATTTAGTGCATATTATCATAACAACTTAAAAATTTTTATTTTTTGTGAGTGATTACTAAGCATAAAAAATTTTATACATAAAAAGGAAACTGGTGCATTCTATGTTCATGGTAGAGATAATAGATTTAGACCTGTTTTAGTGATTAATGTGAAGAGATTAAATTTTAAAAATGTAAGCAGTTTAGATTTTTTTTAGATAATAGATAAATAAATTTTAGTTATAAATATGATTCATGCTACCTAAAAAACAACTAATTTTTTATGAGTATATAAATTTAAGAAATAGAAGATAATAAAAATTGTAAATACTAAATAAAATTAAGTGAATATAGATTTTATTTAATTGTTTGAATAAGAAGGATTTATTACCTACCACTCGTTGATTAATTTTTTAATTTAGTTTTATATTACTTTAATTAATCAAAATATACAACCTAGAATAGCAAAATAAAAAAATTTTTAACTAGAAAGGCAAATTTATAATTTAATTGTAACACTTAATAATAACTATTAATAATCAACTCATTAATTAATTTAAAATAGATAAAGATTCAACTTATATTAGATAGTATGACTTATTTCTTTGAGTTTATATTAAACAACATGATGCTTCCTGGTTAGGTATTTTTATTTACATATAATTTTTTGTATGTAACAATTAATATAAAATCAAACAAGCAAAAGCGTTTATAAATATTATAAAACACATTAAAAAATATAAATTAGATTGAAAACTGGGTTGTTATTTTAGATCTTGGTAATATTGGGTTATCAAGTCTACCTATAAATGGACTTAAGTAAATCATGGGATATCTCTCTTCAAATTATCGTAGCAGAATGTTTGCAACCTATGTAGTCAATACCCCTTCATCTATTTTTATCCCTTATAAAATTATAAAGGGATTCTTAGAAGAAGCTACCATTAAAAAGATAAGTTTTTACAATAACGGTAATCCTAAACCACTTTTTACTCATTGTCACAAATCATAAATAGAAAGCACTTATAATGGTGATTCAAAGCCTGTAAATTAAAATTATTGGTAAATTAATTAATTTAAATTATTGTAAGATATTTAAAGGAATGAATGAATTTTATAATTAAATTGATTTTTCTATAATTAAAGTAAATAATAGTAAACAAATTATTTTTTAAAATTAAAGGCCTCCTAAAGTTATCAGCAATTAATACTAATTGATTGAAGAAAATCTTCATAGTATTTTTCAAAGCAAAGATGAATATAACAAATAATATAAATCAGGATTATTGAAAAGAAATGTTACTTTAAAAGAGTATATAGAAGGATCTGAAGAAAACAATTAAGTCAATCCTGAAAGTATAAATCTCATCAGTTTTACTAAGAAAAAAAATGAAATTTTTAGCACTAGGGAATTATAAGATGTTTAAACTCCTTAAAGAAACTATGAACATAAAAAGAATTTTGATATTTAAAGATCCCTAAATATTGTCAGTGATATATAAAATTCAGGAAATTAATCTTAAAATAATAGTAATATATAAAATATGCATAAAAGTGTGTAGTATAAGCCTCCAAAATCTTCATTAGCCCAATTTGGTAAAGAAGATCTTTCAAAAAATTAAATTGAAGAGTTCGATGAAGATAACGATGAAAAGCAATCAAACTAAAATAAAATGGGATGGGTTAATTAAGATCAATCACATGTAACATCAAATATGGCAGATAATGTCTCTGTAGCTCATGAAACATACATTGAGAAAGTTGGCGATGAACCTTCAATAAATCTGGTTATAGTTAAGCGTAATAATTAATTTAATTAAAATATTTCTTAATAATCTTTCTATTCGCAATATGGAAAACAAAGTGCATATTTCAGTAATTTCACAAAAATTTTGTAATCATACTTCCTTCATGCCTGACTTGTCCTATCAAGGAAAGTTAAGAGTGTTAAGGAATAATATAATTTAATTATTTTGTTTTTTTTTTACTTTTAAATACAATATTTTCATGATGCTAATTAACTAAGTAAAAATAGAGCACAAATTTAAAAAAAAGATGTTTTATTTTGAGTGTGTTTTTACAAATGAATATCAAGGCACTTGTCAATATAGAGTGAAAGAGAGAGATTAGATAAATATTTGTGTGTTAAATTCTTTTTTAAATTTTATTTGTATAAATTAGAACATAAAATGAATTCAGAAATTTTTAGATAATGAACGATTTAAAAAAATATCATTAAATTATTTATCTTAATTAACTAAACTCATACATTTTATAGTTACTAAAAATAAAACCTACTGAGCCTTCTTACTCTCTAAAAGCTAAATAGCGAAATTAAAAAATAATCTGAATAAAATAAAAAATCATCATATTTTTATAGCAATAATTTTGCACTTTTAAACAAATAGAGAAAAAAATTCTAGTTCAATTAATCTTAATCATTAATTAAAAAATGTGCAAAGTTAAATAAATAAATTAATTAAAAAATATAATTTCAGCTATTTTTCAAAATTTATTATTCTCAAATAATTAAATAAACAAATAAATTAATTACCATTTTTATAAATATATTTATATTTAATTTTATATACTGTATGCATGCATTTTGATAATTTTAATATTTATCTCTTCATTTTTCTAAGATAAGTGCCTACCTAAAATTAATTAAATTAAAACAAATTTATTATGTGTAAATTGATAAAATTAAATTTATCCTAAGCAGCTAGGATTATTTTAAACAAAAATATTAATGCAATAAATAAAATAATTAACAAATAAAGATAGAAGACAAATAGAAGGATATGTATGTATTTATCTTCAATAAATAGGATTTTTTTGTTTCTAAAAGAAAAAAGAAATAATTATGTGTTTTATTTAATTTGATTGTATTAAAGGAATTAAAATTCTAGAGTACCCCAAAAAAATAAATTAATTAATGATTTGATTATGTTTTTTTACAAATCTTTTTCATAAAATTGGTCATCGATCTTATTAACTTTTTTATCATAAAAAAATTGAAGTTAATTAAACTTTTTTACCTCAATTTCTTACAAAATCTAAAAAATTTAAACTTAGTTACAATTATATGCATGAAATTTAATATGATTACCAATTTAACTTAGTTTTAATCATAAATGAATAAAAAAATTGATAGCTAGTATGTACTATAATATATTTTACACTTTAATAATTTACAGATTTCTAAATTAAAATATGATTGTAAGATTTTTTTGATTTGCTCCAAAAAAAACTTAATTTTTTTTTAATAATTTAATTTTACTGGAAGAAAAAATAGTGGCTTTAAACAAAAATACTCCAACTTACTTTATCTTACATTATGACTTAGCACTTCATTTAATATCATATTATTGTACAAATATTACTGTATAGAACATCTTTTAAGTGGAATTTTATATTTTAATGTATTTAAATAAGTAATTAGTAGTAATTAATATATTTTTAATTGAAATATATTTTACAAATTTAAATCTTTAATAACTTGAATAATCACAATTTTATGAGTAATATAAAAATAAATTAAACGATTGTCTTTTTTACGTGAAAAAACATACAAACAAAATATTTAAATATTTTTTTAAACTAGAATAAGCGAATCAGTTCCTAGAGTATTAGCTTGAAAAAAAAAAAAAATTGGCTTTCTATTTTGTCTGCCAATAAGATTTGAAATATAAAAATCATATAAATTTCAATAGAACAAATAAATATTTAAAACTAATTTAAGTGAAGAGATTAACCATCATCTGCTCTGATAAATTTAAAGTGCTAACTCAAATAACAATCTTATCATTTTAATGAAAGCAAAAAAAAAATTGAAAGAATTCTTAAGATTGTAAATAAACATCACATTAAGTTATAAACAATAATCTAATATGGGTACGTAAGCAAGTTTAAGATAATTTATTTATTCTGAGAGGGAAATTTATATAAATTAATAAAGTTTTTAATTATATTCAAATAAAAAGGACAAGCGAAAAAATAAGTAAAAAAAACTATAAAAAAATTAAAATAAATATTTAGTTTACCAACAACTTGAAAGAAGCAGAAAAAGAAAAAAATAAAAAGAAAAGAGAGAGACAACTCACTTTGTAAAAACCGAAAAAGAAAAGGAATTAAATAACTTAGTTTTAGAGAAAAAGAAGAAAATTGAAATAACCAACCTCTTATAAATAATACAAACAGAAGAAATACCAACTATAGAGTAACTTATTTTCCTTTCTTCTTCAAATATAAAGAATTTAACTACGACATTTAGATTTTTACATTATCAATCACACTAATTATTGAAATTATTTAATTATATTTAAGATGAAGCCTGCATCATTTTTTGACGACGATTATGGAAAATTACAAAAGAAAATCTGGGATCCAGTACCCGGCAATAAGACTGTTAGCAACCTTGAAACTGTTTATTTATGCAATCAATTTTATAAGAGATCAAAGAAAGTAGGTAAATCTAAGCAAATCTACTACGTTCTCACTGAAGAAGGACTCTATTAAGTTAAAAAAAATGAAGTACTTTGTGGTTTTATGGATTTAACTTGCGTTAAGATGGACCTCTTGATAGAGGTTTAGGATGCTAAAACTATAGACACAAGCTTGGACAGTAATCCTAATAATGTTCATGGATTCCGTCTTTCCCGTAACGGCAAATCAATTGAATTCTACACAAATGATAACTTACTCTACAAGAATTGGAAAAATGTCCTTATCTATCGTTGTATTTAAAGTACTTTTCATGAAGAGTTTATTGTAACCAAGATGATTGGTAAAGGTTCTTTTGCTAAAGTCTATCTTGCAACAAAGAAGTCATAAAATATCTAATATGCAATTAAAGCCTTCAATAAAGAATTCATGCAAAATTAGCACAAAGGTAAAGAGTCCTTAATAAATGAAATTTCGATTATGCGTTAATTGAACAATGATCATTTAATCCGTCTTTATGAAGTATACGAAACCACTAACTCCATTTACTTTGTTGTTGATCTCTTGAATGGTGGTGAATTACTTCATCGTATTCGTGAAAAAGGATCTATAAATGAAAAGGAGCTCCGTGTCCTAATACGTAATCTTATTTTAGCCTTAGAGCATCTCCATTAGAAGAATATCATGCATAGAGATTTAAAGCCAGAAAATCTCCTTTTAAAGTCAAAATAATCTGATTCTGAAATTGTCGTTGCTGATTTTGGTCTTGCTACTCGTATAGATATTCCTAATATTTTGTTTAAACGTTGCGGTACTCCTGGTTTTGTAGCTCCTGAAGTTCTCCTTTACAAGGTAAATAAATAATGATTTTTAAACTAAACAAGTCACATCATCTTATCAATTTAATAATCAATATAAGAAAACCAGTTTATTTTTAATTCTATTTTAACATTATTTCCTAAAAATTATAAAAATCAAATTAAATTGCATCATTTTGCTAATTTTTTGCCAGCAATCATAACTTATGCAGTAAATTATATTTAATTTCTACTTATTTAAAATGCTACAAAGATTAAAAATTAGATGTATCTATATTATAAACCTAAAATCTTACAATTTATTGTTCATTATTTAGGATTTAATAGTTTTTTTATTGAGTTGCTAAATACACCAAAAACAATCAAAGATACCAATCAAGCGCTTATTCTTAAATTATTTAGTCATCATAATTATTTAAATTAGGTTCTATATAATAAATAGTATAGCCATATCATACCATCTAATAAAAAAACATTTTAAAATCAGCTTTAGGTTTATAGTTTAAAATATAATTTAGCTGAAGTTAAAAATGGAAGAACAATTTAATATTTAGCATTAATAAAAAATAGGTAGATCTATCTAATTATTTAAATAATGAATGAGTCAAATTTTTTTTTTAAACTAATTAAAAATAATTAAGGAATTTGAAATAAACTTTTTTAAAAAAATATCTAAAAATAAATAAATAAAATAATGAATGAATGAATAAAAAATTAAGTAATTATAGTCAAGCAAAATATAGTTTAAATATTTAAATAGCTATTTATTTATCTACAACTGACTTATTTTTCTAATAAGTAACTAAAATAAACAAACAAAAGCAATTTTTATTTATTAACAATAAATTTTGATAACAAATAGACATTTTAATTCTTATATTGTTTTGTTTTTAATCTATTTTAATTAATGCAAATTATTTTTTAAAATATTAGGAAGGTGATCCTTTTTACACTACTTAGTGCGATATTTTCTCTGCTGGTATAATATTCTATCTCTTATTAGTAGGAAAGTAGCCATTCTAAGGAAAGGACTATAAGTAGATTCTAAGAGCAAATAAGGCTTGCGAAATTAGATATGATTTACCAGAGTTTGAAAAAATTTCTAATGCTGCCAAAGATTTACTCAAAAAAATGTTAGATGCTCGTCCTGAACACAGATTTTCAGCTACTTAATGCTTATAACATCCTTTCTTGCATCTCGATGGAGAATATTAACCTGGCGATATTTCTTGTGGCAACTTGGGATCTTATGAAGTAGAATTCTTAGCTAATGTTCGTAACAAATAGTTAGACTCTTAAGAAATGATTGGATCTTTAGCTTTACACTCAACTGGAAAATTACCAATCAATGGTAATGTGAATACTATCGGATCTCTCTCAACTTACTCTAACTCATCTATCACTAATCTTGAAAGAAAAAATACTTCTTCAGGTCCTGGTGCAAGTATCTTTAATAAAGGAAGATCAGACAGTATAGATTAAAATATGACCGGCACTCCCTCTAGCCGTAAATCTAACAACAATTCACTATTCAAGGCAACATTGATCAAAAACAGTTATCACACCTCATAATTTGGTGGTAACGAAGAAAGAAAAGGTAGAGATGATGAATACGAAGAAAATTGTGATGTTGGTGAGGAAAACTCTCCTGTTTGCAATTCAGTTAACAAAATGAATATAGAAAAATCAATGAAGCACAATCCTTCTAAATGCGATGAATCCTCTAACTCTCCTAAATCTGCAGGTACTATAGGTACTCCAACAAACTCTGCAAAGTATGGAAAATCTACTATAGCAAAGAAATGAAATGTTTGATGAGAGTGAAGAAGTAAACAAAAAATACACAAAAATAATAAATTGTATCCTAAAGAAAGCAGCAAAAGTTTTAAACTTATAACTTAAATAATTATTTATTGATGACAACATTTTTCTGAAATAGTTAAAATAGTTAAATTCACTCTCGCTCATTAATTCATTGAATCATTCATTCATTCATCACTCTTTTAATATTTGTCTTAACATTCATTATATCTATTAAACTTATATAATTATCAACTTATGTTCAAAATTTAAATTCATATGTTTTTTCACTCATTTCCTCAATATAACAACACTACCTACTTATATACACACAATCATTTATACATACAACCATGAATGCATACTTTAAAATAATAAAATGTTTTTTGATTTATGTTTAAATTTTATAAAGGACAAAATAAATATAAAAAATATATTACTATTTAATGGAATTTTTTTTAATTTAAGTCAAAAATTTTTATCAAACAAGTTTTTTCTTTCATCTTCTTTTACGTAAAAATTATTAAAGTCTAAAGCTGTATTAAGAGGGACCCCTATTTTTAAAAAATAATTTCCATAACTTAATTTAAGGTTATTTATTAATTTACATTCTTATTTTAGTCCTATGTCGCCATATTTCTACAAAAAGCTGATTATTAGAATATTGTGTCTATCAAAATTTTATTTTAAGGAAGCAAAATCAGACTTTATTCTTTATAATTCACCCTTCATGGTATATAAATCCAGTGTTTCGGTTGCTTCAAGTCTCTAAATTAAAGCATGAAAATCACAGCAATATTTAAGAAGACTTGATATAATTGGGAAAATATTTTCAGTTTTTTTCGAAAGGAAACATAAGTCAGCTATCTTCTTTAAATATTGCTTGTGCATATCAATAAAGCTTGCAATATTATATTCTTAAGATACTTCATTTAAAAACTACTATGTAATTTCTTAAATTATAATTACAAAAGTTGAATATTAAAATGAATTAGTAAAGTTCAAAAATTATTTTTAAAGCAAACACATTTTCCATTTTATGTTTTTAATTTCCTTGTTTAGCCTTGCTTACTCTTCTAAGTCTACCTCTTCATCCATTTAGCTATTTCCTCTGTAAATTTCATCATCATCAGAATCAGAATAAATATTTTTTTAGGATTTTAAATTTTTTTATTTTTTTTGAGATAAATTTAATTTATTCTTCATCCTAGAATCATCAAAAAATCTCATTTTCTTCAAGTAGTAGCTTTTAAAAAATAAAGGTAAATTTAAAAAATAAAACTTTTGAAAAATTTACTTTTTGTCAAGCAAGAAATGCTATGATTTTTTTAACAGGAGTAAGAACTAGTATATATGATTATATAAGAATATAGAATCTTGATCGAATATCGCATCTAATGGGTAAGGAGCCTAAGTTAAAATTTTTATTTTTTAATATTCCTTTAATTATAAATTTTACATCGAATTTTATTTTTAAATTTTTTAGATAAGTGTTAACGGGATCATGAAGAACTTCTATTGAAAAGTACTCACTTAGATTTCTTATAAATGGCTAGTTTGAATTTGTAATTAGCTCTTTGAAATAGTTCTTTAAACTAGATGAGTTTTTCAGTGTATCATAAGTTTCTAAGTTATCAAATAAGTAATTTAAAAATTCAGTGCTTATAAATCCGTTTTCCATAAAATAAATATGCCTTAAAGCTTAAAAATGCTCTAACAGTTTAAAATCATTCATTAAAATAGATCCTAAATATTTCTTAACTTATCTATCCATTTAATTTATGCTAAACTCTATTGATAAATCAAATAACCTCATGAATTAGCTTGTAAATCCTTTTTTATCTAGGAGCTAATTTATCTTTTTATTTAGGTTGACTTTCTCGTTCTTTTAGACTACATTCGTGTTTATTTGCTTTTTTTTAAAAATCATATAAAAAAATACAAAAAAATACTTATATAACTTACTTTAAGCTCAGGAATAACTTGATTTAAAAATGAATCTTAAATCGTGAACACAGACTAATTAAATATTTCACTATGATTCATTGTAAATATGTTAAAAGGGTTGTCCTTAATTTTTGAATTATCTAATTCTTCCTACATTTAATTTTCATCAACAATAATTGATTAATGCAAAGAGTTCTTATCGAAATTATGAGTTTATTCTTTTAGCTAAAAGATATCTCTTTCTTTTTATTATTTGAATTAGTTCTTTTATTTTAATATTGAGGATATACTCAAATTTTTTAAAATTTGCTTTGGCTAATCTTTGGTTTTATCTTATTGATGTGTATTATTTTATTATAATGTAATTTAGTTTTTATTTTATGCACTTTCAATGTCTAAAACATTTTACTTTTCTGGTTATTGCTAATTATTTTTTAGTATTTCATTGCATATATCTACAGAATTTTATTAGCTCTTATCTATCCTCTCAATAGCTTCAGAAATTTAGTTTTTTATCTATTCTCTTATATCTTCAATTTTTAGCTTTAATAAAAATATTTTTTAATATATTATAATTCGCTAATTTATTTTTTTACTTTTTGTTCCACAAATACTCTTTAATCATGCTCGTTAAGAATATACCCTATTAATCTTACATTTTTACCAATTTAAAGGATTGTCTACTCAAATTTTTACAAAAATTAAGGAGTGGCACTTTTATTTTAAGATTACTCTACCTTTTTTAAAAAGGATTAAAATGTAGATTTTCAAACTAAATTATATGAAAAAGTAAATTACTTGATAAAGTCTAATCGAAAAATCCTTGACCCAGTTTATCTAATGATCAATATGCTAATAAATCTATTATGTCTACTGCTAATTTTAGTTTCTAATATTATTTTTTATAAAGAATTCAGAGTATTTGTCATAAAAAAAACCACCATGAAGCCAATCATTTAGTATGGATAGATAAGGCTCAATTGAAAGTATAAAAAGCTAGCAGTTCAGTTATTATAAATGAGAGTACTAGCAATAATGTTAACTGTTAATTTATAGCTAAAAATATAAAAAATCTATGACTTAGCAAGCTATGTAGCTCTAAACATTCTTATTATCCTCATGTTAATTTGCATTACTTTCATCAATCATTTCTGTATTTTGTTCCTTCAAGTTTTACTTTTTAAATATCTCAATAGCTCCTTCTAAAGTGTTCATCATCATTCTCATCTCCATTTAATATTCCCTTAAACCTTTAAATAATTCAATCAAAGAAACAGTCTTATCAAGCATGAACTTATATTTTTCTTCAAGAGTGACTTAAATTTCATTTCTCTTTACTATTTTTTTATATTTTTAATAGAACATTTTTTGAAAAGAAAAAATATGTTAATATAAAATGATACTTTAAGCAGATTGATGCAAAAACACTAAATGAAATGCATTTAAAAATTGTTAGAATTATTAGTAAAATGCCTGAATTGAGGCTAGAAAGGCTTAGAAAGTAGTTCCTATTTCTAATTTATCATACTATTCTCTGTAAAACTAAAATTTTAATAGCTAATTTGCAAAATCTATGCAACAATCAATCATATTTTCAAGAGTTGAAGGTGTTAGGTGATTCACTTATATCTTTTTTTTGAGCTTAAATTATGGGGGCTGCTCATCAACTAACACAAAGGTTTAACTTGGTTAATTTTAAAGCATTAAAATTATATCCTATATAATTTAGCGCTCAGTTTTATTTTAGTATATCCAATGATTCAACTATATTTAGGAATCTCCGTTTGAGCTTATCTAGGTATTTACAGTCCTACTTAAATTCTCTTTGATATAATTTTCATAGATTTGAGCAAGACTATTAGGATCTTTGAATAAATCATTCTTAGTAAATTATCTGGCTGCTAAAAAAAGTTGCTTTTCTTCTTCCTTCTTTTATTCTGAGAGGAATTCCTCATAGCTTCGCTTTTGTAATGATGATTTCTTTAATATACTTTATTGAGTAATATTCCAAAAAGATTAATTCGTTTATATACCTCTTAGATATACACTGGAAGCATTATCATTCTATTACTTTACTTGATCATACGTATCGTTTTAATTTAAGTTAGTAACTTATAATAGTGAATCCTTTTAGCGGTGAATACCAGAATCATTAGCATTTCTAAATGAAACTATTTTGCTTTAATCAACTGATTTATCTGCATTTGATAAGCTTGATATATTTTTTATTATTCCTTGTTTTTTAGTTGACTGATTCTCATTACTAAAAACATCAAACTTTTTTTATTCAAATATATTTGAATTTTTATTAAAATATTTTGTTTTATCTTCTTTATTTAATCCTGAAACATTTTCAATTTCTTCTTGTTCGTTTTCGTCCTATTCCTCTTCATCAAGCTCACTTTCTTCACTACTGCTTTCAAAAACGTAATCCTCATCATATTTCTTTTGAATTTTTAATAAATATTTTATTAGCAAAATAAATAAGTAATAGAAAATATTACTTAAAGTAATGCCTTTTACATTTCTAATATTTAATTATTTTAAATTTGAAATTTAAGATCTGCAGCTTTCATAGATTCTTGAAAGCTTTATTAAGTTTACAATTTTTCTTTATTTGCTTAATATTTTTTGTCGAAATCATCTCCCTCTTAATGTGAAGAAATAGGATTATTTGACATTAATAGCAAGAACTGAAGGATTGAATAATGAATATCTGGCACATGAGGTTTTAGCTTTTTTTCCATAAATTTATCAACTAATTTTTACAATTTTTCAGACTTATTCTTTTGAAGATGTATCTCAAACTTTTCTTGTAAACTAAAGTATTTTTTAGGAATTAATTTTATAAAAACCATTAAATGTAAGCATAAGTAAATAAGTATTACCCATTTAACTCTCGCTTTACTCTAAATTTATCAACTGTTAGGAACCTATGATTTTTTATATTTGATATAATGTATTCAAAGGCTATAGTAAAGTTTTCATCATTTTCCTAAATTAGAATAAAGGAATGCTTCTAATAAACATGTTTTTTATAATAAAATATTGAGTGAGTAGAAATTACATCAAAATCAGTCATGGAACTAATTAAACCTTTAACTAGTGTTTAAATTTATATTTCTATTCTAGTTTTATAATCGGGTTCTAGTTTTGTAGCCATTTTTGATAAGGAAAATTGCTTTTTTTGTTTGTATGTTCTTTACTAAGTTTGTTTGGATTTTAATAAATAAATATTTCAAAAAAAATATAATAGATCTTAAATTTAAAAATTAACTACAAAAATAAATGATTTATCAAATAATGCTTATAATTTAGTAGTAATAATTATAAATAATTTTTGGCGCTTCTTACTTTGATAAAAATGAAAGGATAATTAATAAGATATCTAAATTAAAAAAACATTTTAAATTAACTTTAAACTATTTTTACTCATTAATAACTTATTTCCATGAAATTTTTAATTATTGATTTTATTTTTAACTAAAATAATTTTCCTATTTTTTCAAAGAGTTCAATTAAAATAATAAAAATTACTTCTACTTTAAAAATCAACATATAAAAAAAAAAGTTAATTAATCAGAAAAAAAAAAGTAATACTAACTAAGAAGAATATATATTATACTTTAACTAAATTTATAAAATTATATTTGTAATAAGATTTTTTCAAACCAACTTTCTTTCTGTGGCTAAATCATAAAGTTAGCCAACAGTCAAGTCCTTGTTTTCCAAGACTAAAGTTCTTAAAGCTGCGGAAGTCTTTCCAGCAAGTCTGCAAAGCTATTCAAACTTGGTGTCTAAGTTACCACCAAGAGATTCAAGCTTTTCAGTTTGTTCATTAGTAATTTAGTTGGCTTAGGCACCAGTTAAGACTTGGGGAGCTTATCCTTACTTTCTGATAATTTTGTAGCAATTTTGAGGATTGTGGCTATCGTATTGTTCTTCGATTTCCATATCAGGAGTCTTGTAATGAACTTTCTTGAATACCTTGCTATCACTAGTAGTATTAGTTTAGTCTTGATGCTAAATTTGAGGTTGATTTTTCTTTTCTTCTTGAATCTTGGCAATCTTTTGATTAATCTCAGCCTTCTTCTATTCAATTTATTCTATAGACTTCTTCAATTGCTCGATAGAACTTTCATGGCTTTTGATTTGATGATGAACTCTGTTTTCATAGTTGTGGAGTTGAGAAAGAGATTTCTTTAATTAGTCTTCCTTGCTCAAGAAAAAGTCATCGTGACTAGTAAAGTTAGAGAAAAATTCATCATGATCAAAGAAAGAATCGAAAGTTCTATCAATATCGTCAAAGAAGTTATTTCTGCGAGAGAGGAACATTTGTGAGATGGTTTGTTGTTTCTAATTAGTTTGGAAAAATTTTTAGTAGATGTTTTGTTTTATTTTATTTTTTATTGAATTATTTGATTAATTTTAAGATAAAAGCTCGTATTTTTAAAGCAGAGAGTTGGAAAATTAGTAGATTCTATCAATAATATAATTACAATTAAATATTTCATAATTTGAGTAGGTGAATCTTAAAATATAATAGATTGGAAATTAGATTAATAAAAAAAATCTAATAATAAACAAAAAGAAAAATAGAATGAAAATTTTAGAAATCAGATTATTTAAGATATTAAATAACCAATACGATCATCAGTCAAATTATTTATTTATAAATCAATTAAAAAATTAAAATTAAAATATAATTTATAGTAGGTTTATAATTTAAATGTTGTTAATTTTACATAGGTATTATAAAATGTGGGAGTGAGATAATTTATTTTATAAGTGTTTTTGCTGCCTCTAAAATCAGTTTATTTAAGAGAATAAAAAATACAACAAATAAATAAATGAAAATACACTTATTAGTAATAAATATTATTTATGCTTGAATTAATTAAAGTGAAATTCGCTTATTCAAAAATAAGCAATTTTTATAAATGAAAGCTCAACAAATTATTATTGTCTTCCTCTCAATCATGATTAAGCATTTTCAACAATTAAAATAGTATTATTTGTTTATTATATATCATATTTTATTATTATTCATGTTATATAGATCCATTCATAGATATTTTTTGATATCTTAGACTAAACTTACATATATTACGTATTTTTAAAGAATCTTTATTTGGGATTCTATTATTCTTCTCTAATAAAATCTAATTACCCTCAAGCTCTTTTCAAACCTTTATTTACTGTCGTATCTTTTCATTTTGTAAGTGTAAACATTCTTCCAGTCATCGCTCAACTTTCCTCGTTCAATAATTAATGTCTCTAAAAATTTTAAGTAATCTATTTATTTATTAATAAAATATTTTATATTAACACAATTTTTATCTGTATACCTATTTTTCCAAATCTTGTGTACTGTTCATCTGAGCTTAGTTCATTTTCAATTTACTTGAAATCAGATTATTTAGATTTATTCAACCTGAAGTAGTGTCTCAATGAAAATATTTGAAGTAATTGATAATCTAGTTACCCTGTCTTTAATTTTAATATAGGATTTGAAAGATTCATCTGTTCAGCAATTTTCTATTAACTTTCGCTTTAAAAAATTGAAGTCGTATTAACTTTTACTACTAGACTATCACTATCTAAATTTTCATTAACAACCCTAGATATAAATTAGCAAAAAAAAATAAAAATCTATTCTAATAAATTTTTTTTCTTTAAAAAAAACTACCCAAAATTCATGAATTGTTCTAATGAAGATTCGTGTCTTGGTACAATGAAAAAGAATTCCTCTTTTAAAAAATCACAGTCACTGTAAATATACAATTATTACTCTTCTTAATTTATTCTAATGTGATCATTAGGTGAATCACTAATTTTACAAAGCCTTTATAGAATTTACTACTTATTAGAAGGTCCCTATTCTTTTTAAAACACATAATATGATATAAGAGATTAGCGCTGGTAAAAATAAAAAACATATAAATAATTGTAATTCTATTTTATAGTTGAGTTGAAAATTTAATTCTAGAGTGTAATTTATCTAAATTTATCTATATTTTATTATGATAATATAGAAGATCAAGAAAATCTGATAATTAATCTACGAAATCTTTTTCTAATCTTAAATTATTTAAGTAATAATTTCAAATCAATTTCTTAATTAATAAATGATAGATTATATCTTTAGTTCAATTAAGAAATATTCTAAAAAAATTAAGTTTTTATTTTTATTTTACATATCAATTCAAAGAAAGGAATGATGATGGGAAGTATTTTTTCTTCTCTGTTGAATATGGTTTGACCATAGTTCAAAAAAATAGTATTTTATTTGATAAAAGCAATAGCTTTTTGTATTTCAGACCTATCGAAGTCATTTTTATTCAACACAACACCTTCATTAATTTCTAAACTTTAGATGACTAATTATGTGATTTCTATTAGACCTTCAATTTACTGAAATATATTATTAATATATTACACGTCAACATAATAGAGCTTTTATTAAAGCTATTCTAATGCCTTTTATTAATCCCAAAAAACTATAGAGGCTTTATTAATGTACTCTAAATTAAGATATTCATTTAGAAATTTAGTATGAGAGTCTTATTGATTTTTTTCAGACTTTAAAAAGAGTACCAAGAACACAAAATTTGCTGTTTGAATAACATTCTAATCATTCACTCTAAGTTCGTTTGTAAGTATTCTTTCAACCTTATCTTTATGAGGATACTCATGAAAAGGAGTCATACAATAAGTTAAAGGAAATGATGATAAATGTTATCCTCTAAATATGTATTCATCTCTCACAATAATTTTAAACGAACCATGTCCTTTACTATAATCAATTTAAAGTGAGTCTTTGAAGAATTTATTAAAATTATCCTTCACAAATTCAATTTGTTCTTCATCCAAGTTATACTAATTTATTGAAAGAAGTTAATCTTAAGATGTAAAGTCACACAAGAAATTAATTGTAATAGTTTTTTGTTACTTCTAAACATCGAGAACAGGCACAAATCACCATAATAATTTTTAAAATGGCGAGAAATTTATTTTAAACAATCATGAAAACTTTAATTGTAAATGAAATTTAGTTTTGTTGTTCTTTATTTTATACTTCTCTTAAATATTAATTAATGCTGTAAAATAAGATAATTTTAGATACAATTGTATTGATAGATAGATAGATACGTTAAAAGCAATTATAATTTTCAAAAAAATACAATCTAATTTATTTTTTTATTAAAAAAAAAAGATATTTCTAATTTAGCGGAATTAAACTTTTCAGAAATTAAAATAAGTTTTCTTTTTTTGTTTTTCTGGGTCATAAGACATACCCTTAACTTTTGATCTAAAGTAGGCTATTTTCTCACTTCTTTTTTCTTTGCTGGCCCAGTCATATACATTAAATATTTTTAGTTTATAATTTTTTTTCATTAACATTCTTATCATTACAGAGCTATAAGATCTTAGAGTCTTTGTATCACCAATAAAACTAAATTTGTCTTAAGCAATGATTAAATTATTTTCATCTAATTTTGAAAATTAGTATCTAAATATTGAAGCTTGCTAATTGGTCTCATGGAAGTAACCCATTCTATTTAAGAAGTATTGTATGGCCTCAGTGAATGCTGTTTCCTTACTGACCATTTATAATTAATTTTAGTCAAATATCCTTTTTAAGTGATCAATAGATTCTTGATTCATAGGAAAAGAAATATGACCTTACTCAAGTAACAAGCATTCACGGCTTAAATAAAGGCTAATTTTGTATTCAGACTTTAATTATAAAATCTTCCCTTGGTTGTCTTCTCTCTAAATAATATTAATCAACTTTTTCCATAGGTCTTCATTCAATGAGTATCTTGCTGTCAAGTAAGATAAAAATCTATTTTTAATATTAATTTTTAAGTAAAAAATTATGCTAAAAAAATGCTAAAATCTTACTGAACTGCCTATTCAAGGCTGAAATCTGAAGAAGATTAGATGGTTTATTCTACTTTCTTTTCAATATCTTCATTCTAAACTTCTAAAGTCGATATTATGTAAGTAGCCAAAGCCTTCTAATTAAAATCAAACTTGTCATAATACTAAACAACTAGTTACTCCATAGAATCATAAAATTGCTTACTGCCAATATTCATATCGTTGGCTAAATAAAATACTTATAGTAATTAATTTAATTCCTCTTAAGTAAGATCCTAAGAGATTTCAATTTTTTCTTTCTGAGTTTCCCACTTAGTTTCCTTTTATTCCATGAAAAAGTTTTCATAGGCTTTTTTATTTTGTTTAATATCATTGTAGTTAGCATATATCCTCATTTAGAAAGTGCTGATAACTAATCTTGAAATAGCTTTTACACCATAAATAAACTCTTTATAGTGATATTTAGCATTTTAATCAATATAAACATCCTTTATTTCATGTAAATTTTTCATAATTTGTAAGGCCTCATTTAAAGTTAATTAATTTCTTGTAATATATTTGTTTACAATATACTATGAATAAGTTGGAATTAAATTGAACAGTAATTCATTATTATACTTTCCGAATTAGATTATTAAAGGAAATATAAAAACACTTTAGAACTACTTTAAATATTGAGGAGATAAAGCATCGTAACATTCTTATTACTGCTTTATGAATCCCATAAAGTAGCTTATGCAGCTGACTTCTAAAAATTGTTTTAAAGAATTAACTTTTTTAAAAGCTTTTTCTTTCATAAAGCGATTAACAATTTGCATCATTTAATCTAGTATTTTTTACTCTTTTTCTGTAATTATATTAGGAAGATTAAGATTTTTAAAATCACTATTTCTCTTCATCATACTTGTTTCATAAATATATTTAGTAATTAAAAATAATTCCTCAATCTAAAGTGCATGTTCTTTTTATGATTTTTCATTTATTCTCTTCAGGATATAATTGTATAGCTAATCATTATTTTTATTAGCTAAAATTACTTTCAAATCTGCATATGGATCAGGAATGACCCCAAATTGTATTAATATATCTTTTGATTAAATGCTATTTTCTATATTTTGAGTACTAGTGACACTTTTTAATTCTGTAAAAACACTCTACACATATTCTTTATCAAAAAATTATACTGTTTCTAAATATGAAGTGGCTATTAATTTTTTATTTTCAATAATAATTTTTTTCAACTACTGTTAATATTCTAAGACTTTTGAAGGTTTAAAATCCTTTGAAGCGCAAATTTAAATATACTTGCAAAACAGTTTACTATCTTCATATAAAAGCTCTGATTCGTATTAAAGTGCCTTATCCATTTATTACAGCAACTCAATATCTATATTACCACTTTTTTTGTAAATTTTTAATATTTCAAGCCACTCATTAGCATTGTAGTCGTAAAGTTCATCAAATGCTTTTTCATTTATAATACCATTCATATCAGTAGATTGATCATATTATTAGAAAAACTTAATCCACTTAATAATTTGGTTTAATTCTACATCATCTTTTTTTTCAATCAAAATTTTATTAAAATCTTTCTAAAATTAGCGAATTTCAAGATTTTAAAGAATTTTCTGAACCTCCTCATTTTGTTCATCCATTAGAAACTCAACAATTTATAAATATTCATTTAACTTAGAAGGATTCGAAGATTCTTTAAATATTTGCTAGACATATTTGATTTCTAGATCATTCATCTTGTATGCTTTAAATAAACTGTTTTAAAGAAGATTAATTAAGGATAGCTTATTCAAAGAATAATCTTCAATGCATCTCAATAATTCCTACACAATATTAGAATCTAAATTCTAAAGTGATGATACAATTTCTTGCTAAAAATATTTTTCTTTATTTTTGGTAGAATTTAATTGCTTTATCTACCATTCAATATTTTTATCAGTTTTATTTGAGCTACTCTTTTGCTCTGTAGTTGAAAAACAAAACTAACTAGCATAACTAACATTCAAATTTTGAAAGTGTTAGCACCTTTATAATACCTGATATTTGTGTTTTAGCTTAGCAAGTGCTAAAACGGATTTTAATTGTCTACCTAACATTTCTACTATTTGTTTTATATTTAATAAAATTTGTATCTGCTTAGATTAATACTAATTGAATGATTAATATATTTGATAGAGTAATAAATAAACAAATATAAATCTAAAGAATTTTTATCTTTCCTAAAACTAAAATAAAAACCTTTATTAATGAAACCTAAATTGAATTATTTTGTTTTTTAAAATTAGATAAAAATTATTTTATTATTTCTAATTAATATTCCATAAAAATTTAATTTTAATAAAATTTTATTAAACAAATAAACGGACAAAAAAATAAAATTTGATAAAATCGTTGCATTATTTATTACTCAATTTATGGATTTATGATTTATTTAATGGCTGATCTAAGGTGATAAAAATAAGTTAAGCACATTTATAAATGTGAAATGAAAAGAAGAATTTGGAAGCATTATTTACAAAATGGATAAAATAAACAAGCAAGAAAAGCAAATATTTAGGATAGATACAAAATAGAATTGAATTAATATATTTAATGATATAATATTAATACTTTTATTAATTTAACTTATAAATATTTTTTGGAAAGTAAAAAAAATAATTTAATCAACCTAATAATTAATCAGTGTAATAGATAGTGTAGACTACTAAGTACCGAATGGTTAAGACATATTTTTGATAGGCAATACCTTAAAATCTAAATTTAAAATAAAGATTATATTTATTTGGTTTATTGAAATGAAATTTATTGTGTTATAAAGATAGATTCATTACTTTAATTCTAAATTTCTAATTAGCCAAAATCTTATACAAAATTTATTAGATGAGATGTTAAGTAAGTAAGTTATTTATTTATTTAATTATTTATTTATTTATCATTCTAACTTAAAAATAAATCTAAATATATATATGGCTTCTCTCAAAACAGTAAAATCCTTTTTGTGTCTTAACTATCCATCAAATCAACTCAAAGATTTAAAGGGTTAATTGCATCAATACGGCTAGCGTACATATTTTATATGAATGTAAAGGCTATTCCCATAAATACTCCTATTGCTACTGCTTTGATAACTTTTGACATTCCTATTTTAATTCATATTTTACTTCTTTAAAATATACAAATAAAAAAAATAGTTAGTAAATGAATACCTCCCTTACTGGTCCCTCCTTATGTGTGTCCATTAGGTGTGGCTCTGTTGTTATTTGCTGTCATCGTTTATATACTTTAATTGTACCTCTCCGCTTCTCTTTATATATTATGAAGTTAATCTTCCTTTTCCTGCAATTTTTAACTTAAGAAAGCAGTGCTGTTATTAATATTCTGATACTTTAAATTAGGGTCTTATTGGCCTTTAAGGTCTACTGGAATCAAGTTTTGTCTCTGGTTTTGTCCTGCTGCTTCAAACTATTATTATTTATATTTTTTATTTAAATCCGTTAAATGTTAAATTTATTTATTTATTGGTATTTACTCCTCCGTTTTTTATTGGTGACTGGTACACATTTGTTGATGCTGTCATTTTATTCTGATTATTAATTACTTCTCCATTAGGACTTATAATCCTAACTGGCAGTTTGGTAACTTAGGATTCAATTACACTTTTATTGTTTTTAAAGATATTTTCCAAGCTTTCTTTCTTTATAATAAAACAATAATGTAAGCCAAGAGAATAATTTTATCAGAATTAGTGTCAGTTAAAAATTTAAATTTGCTAATCTACATTCGCAAATAAATGCACTAAATTCTACTAAGATAAAAATAATTTTAAACTATTTACATTATTTGAAAGCTTTGAAACAACCAACTAGAAATTATCTTTAAAAGTCTGTAATTTATCCTTAATCAGCTTTAAAATAAATAATATTTTTTTTAAATTGTGCGTATTTTTTTACTAAAATATGAATTGTAAATTTATTTTTCTATAAATAAAAGACATCTTTTGCTTAGAATAAAGGCCAGGCTCATATTATTCTTTTGATTCTTTTTGATATTCAAAACAAGAATATTTATTAATTATTTACATCTGGATGCATAGTAAAGTTAATTCTGGCTTCTTTGTGAGGTTCTATAATATTTTAATCGGTCTTAACTAGATACTTCTAAGGCTAAGTAGATTTAAACTTTAATTTATAAAATAAATTTTGTATTTGTTTAAAAACTAAAATTTATTTAAATACCTTATATGCTACATGAAAATTGCTCTCATTAGTAATTGTTAATATGAAATGTAAATATTTATCAGGAATGTATGGGAAATCTATGCTGTTTTTACTCAATTTTACTAATGTCAGCTCCTAATATCTACTATTGCTTCTATTACATAGAAAAAAAAATAAAAAATTATTTTTATTTTGAAGCAGCCATCAAGAATTGAAAGGAAATCTTTACGCTTAACTTGAATACATTTTTGAAATTTGTTAATTGGTTCTTTACTTTTAATAATAGATAGAATAATTTATTTTGTTCTATTGTGTATATACTTTTTTTTCTTTAATTTAAATTTGTTTAATCTTCAATTCATATTTTGTTTTCGTTTTTTTTTATAAATAATTTTTATTCCACCCAAAATAAAAATATATTGAAAAAGAAAAATAAATAAACAATTTTTCTATCACTTAGCGTAAATTAATATCATTTGATATTTTATTAATATATCATGAACGTCTTTTTATATACTATTTGTGGTAGGAAATTTTATTTTTTATTAATAAATTTAACTATAAAATTTTAATATATTTTATTTATAAAATCAAATATCATTAATCCATCTCCTCGTATGTTAAATCTTCTTAAAATAAAGGGTCAAAGTGATATAAAGAGTAAAAATTTTTCAGAAAAAAATAGGAGTTTTATGAAAAGCAAAGCATTTGATAAGATTTTATATGGTATTTATTAAAAGTAAACTAATTTAATTTTTAAAAAATAATTATATACTAAAATTTGAAACAATTTTATTAATTAAAAAAATTAAAAGATTTTTTAAATTTATGATTTAATAAAATTAAACATAATTGAATAGGCAAATTCAATTAATTACTTTAATTGAAAAAATTATTTTAGTTAATAAAAACAAATATTAAAAAATTAATTCAATATATTGAAATTGATTTAAATTTTTATAAAGATTAGAAGATATTATAAAAATATGAATTCATTAAGTAATAATTATAATTGATAGAAATAGATAAATAATAATATACAATTGATAGATTTCTAATTTATCCTTTATTTATTTAAGATAAAATATTTCATATTTATTTTTTAATTATTCAAATAATAAACATTCTGTAATTTAACCAACAAGAAATTTTGTGTTCAAATTCAATAAAATATCTAATTAAGCTCTAAAAATTGCATTCATTTTTTATTTTGTATTACTAAATGTTAAATAGTGTAACATTTAGTTATACTCAGTAGCGCATTTTATTTAATTAAAAAATTCAAATATTCAATAACTAATTTTTAAATTTTTTACTTATTAACATAAACTCATCTAAGTTTAAATGTTTATTATTTATTAAATTTTTTAATGCTAATATATGAATAATTAAGATCTTTTAACTGAAGATTTACAATTAAAAGTATTGATATAATTAAGTTAAGTTAAAAGTAAATACATTAAAATCTGTAAACTGGGCACTGATAGGATAGGATGAAAAATTTTGTACAAAATATATATTGTTAAGCTTTTAGATTGACTTTTCTTATGAATATGCTAAATTTGGAATAAAAGTTTTCGCACATTTTTAATATTCAGTTTATAAGTGTGCCCTATATTGCATATCTTACTATACTATTATTGATTTATTTTAGTATTAAGGTTTATTTTATAAAAATATCTTTTTTTTAAAAATTGACTTTAAAATTATTTCATTAAAAGTCTATTGTTTTTTTGCCAATTGATTCAAATTTTAATTTAGAAATAAAATTATAAGAACACTCTCAAAATAAATGGTGTAATAAGTTTGAAAACAGTAAAATACTACTTAATTTTTGTTATAACAATACCTCAACATTATAGATAAAAAACAAAAAAATTTATGGTAAAAATAAAAAGAATTGAAAGATATACGCACTATATTATTTTGCTGATTTTACAAAAATATTTATAAGGTTTTAGTTAACAAAAAGTAATGATGAATGATATTTTTTTCTGTAGAGAAAAAAAAGCTTTGCAAATAAATATAATTATTTAAAAATTGAATGAAATATCTAATACTTCAATCAACATCGAACTATTTAGCAATCGGTTTTGATTTAGTATTATTCTTTATAAAATCAATCAATTTTTTTCTTTTTCATCATCTAATATTTATTTGTCTTTCTCTACACTATAATTTAAAGCAAACTTAATTAAGCTCTAAAATCAAAAAATTAATTTCTTTGTTAAGCATAATTACTTTGGTTTGAAATAACTAATTATAAATCTTAAATATTAATAAAAAAACAAACCTATTTTAAACAAAGGCAGTTCGAATTTCTATAAATAGAGGGATAAAAGTAGCACTAATCCTCTAAATATATCTAAAAAGAAACATTCTGCGTTCAAACATATTTATTAGTCGTTTTCTAAGTTTTAAAAAGAATTGGATTGCAACGAATCATAAAATTCTTCAAAATAAAATTATATTTTCTTTAGTAGAATAATTACTAAAATCTATCTCTGATAGCGCATCCAAATAAATTGATTACAAAACCTTATCTAATAAAACCCTAGTAATTTATTTTATTTTTAAATACTTAGCATGAATAACAACTAAAAAGTATTTTTGCTATTTTAAATTTCTTTAAAATTAAAATTAATCTCAATATTTGTTAGAATTATTGTTAATTACCTTTTATGATTATTGACAAGAATTGACAATCTTATCATGATTTTTGAAAGATAAATAGCTTATGACTTTAAATAATTAAATCATAAAACACCAAATTAAAACTTTGAAATAGAATTATTTACTTAATAAAATAAAGTTTAACTAATAAAAAAATCTTTTAAATATTAATTTTTTTGTAAAAAATAAAAAAGGTTTTTTTTTTCACTAAGCTGGCTAAGAAGAAAGTTAAACAAACTTAATTGAAGAATAACATACTGATACTTAAATTGCATACGATTTAGTAAAATAATTCGAATGCAAGCAAAAATTGAGCATATTCAGCAAGATAATATTTTAAATAAATTTTTTTATTTTGCTGATTATGAAGATGAATAAAGATACAGTAAATATTATTTATAATAACATAACAAGATGATGTACTTAGTCTACATTATCGTGTTTTGTGTGAATTTGAGTGTTATTTTTAAACTTATTTTTGACTCAGAAATCAAAGACCTCGTTCTACTTCCTATATTTATTAACCAAATACTTGTTATAGTTATTATTATTTCGATAAAAAAGCAAAGAGATCTTTATAATAAACTTTCCTGCTTGATTAACATTCTATTCGCAATTGAAGTTTTCTTTTATGAGAGACGCTTTAAAAGCTCCAATCTAAATGATTATTATTAACTATGTGGATTCATTATATATGGGTCGCATAATAGTCTTATGCTCAGTAGTTAAATTTTATATGATTCTCTTGGATTAGTTATCAATTTCTCAATTTATACTTACCAACTATATAAAAGTGAAAGAATTATTGAAGTACTGCTCATGTGGTGCATTATTATAGTTACTATTTATTAGAAGTTTCAACATCATAAATTTACTAGATTTTTATATGTTTCTATGCAACATTAACAAGAATGGATAGATGTTATTGAAAACGTCTTACCATCAGCTATTATTTCTATTTAACAAGGCAAATCTTCTACAAAATCTTAAAGCTTAAAAAATGAGCCAATTAGTAATTAATAAAGCAGCTAATTACCCTAAGAAAAGCCTAATCTAGTCAACAATATATCTTTTCAAAAATAAAAATAAACTAAATCTAATCAACATTAGGGACAAACGCCCTCTATTCCCTTATAAACACTATTAAATGCCAATTCAAATCATGATGGATAATAAATATTTGAAAACGAGTTTGATAAAAATATTTTTAAGGAGTGGAATTTAAATCTAGTTAATGGATAGAGTAAAGAAATATACAGCATAAAGGATATGAATTCTTTCTTTAATTTTGCTTAAAATGTTTTGATTGATACAAAGGAGCTAGTTATGGAAACTTCTACTGCTGTAAATGGCAATATTTCTTCTCCACTACATCCATTTGAAATTAACAAGCAGCTTGACTAATCAAATTCTACAAATAATTAAGCAAATGCGACTAATCTAAATTAATTAAATGGTGCTTAAAAAATAAGTAATATTAGCAATCATGAGCATGCATAAAGTAACATAAATATTCCTAATTAACTAACACTAGCTCATGTCAATAATAATGGAAACAGTATAGCTATTTCACCTGTAAGGTACTCCTTAAAGGGGCATACACAAACCAATTTTTAAGATTTGACACAATCTAAGATGCTCAAAAAAATCAATAATAACGAAAAAAGTAATTAATAAACCCTAACAGAAAATCATCTTAATAACTAAGGATAGGTTTTCTCTGGTCTTGTGAGCTTGCATGGCGAAGGAGGTAGTTCTTTCGTGACACTTTATAAACAGCTACAAACTCTAGTTGAAGAATATACATATACAACAAAAAAACCTAAATTTTTTATTTGGAAGCTGAATGGAAAATACTATCCACCATAGTAAGAGAAAGGTAATGAATAAAATTAACAAAATGAAAAGAACCATTAAGAAAAAAATAAAGAAAAGCCCGCTATCTCTATACAGATTAAAGTTTGCGGATTTAGAGGAAAATATACTAGAATCGTTTTATGTGTAGACGACATATCAATTTCTGAAAAAATTTAGATGTATCAAAGTTACGATAAATATAAAGATCTAGTACTTGCAAATGCTGCTCATGATTTGCGTCAACCGCTCACAGCTTTGAATTATACTATTTTAGAAGCTAAAAAACTATTTAAAAAACTAAAAAGTCAAAATATTTATTCATTTTTGTATTAATATCATCCTGATTAATTTTATATGCTAGCTGAATTGAATCCAGATTTGAATAACTTAATTCTTAACAACTTAACAACCAGTAAAATAAATTAAGCAGAGACAATAATTTAATAACTTCAGAATAATTATTAATTACTTGGTGTAAAACCTACTTTAGCTCCAGACTCAACTGATTTCTAAATGATATTTGATTTGCTAGAAATGGCAGATGTCAGTGGAAGTAGTCTTAAATATTTAATTAATGACATTTTAGATCATGCTAAATTGAGAGAAGGTAAACTCTAGGTTAATTTTAAAGAGTGTCTACTCTCTTAAATAATTTAGTTTACAAAGAAAATGTTTGACTTCTCTTTCAAAGAAAAAGGCATAAAATATAGGATCATAAATTAAGCAGATTTAGCTTCTGATTATATTTGTACAGATTAACAAAGGCTTTAATAAGTCTTAGTAAATTTAATATCAAACTCACTCAAATTTACTCCTAGCAATAAATATATAATACTTCATATAACCAAAGTTATTAAACAAGTACATAACAGAGAGGTATCACTATTAAAAATCAGTGTTTTGGACCAAGGATGTGGTATGTCTAGTGAATAATTGCAATAAATTTTTAAACCATATGTTAGCTTTAACAATAATAATTTAAACATTGAAGGAATAGGACTTGGATTGAATATATGCAGATCTATTATTGGCTTGCTAGGACCATATCCTAAACTATATGTTAAATCTAAATAAAACGAAGGTACTAAATTTTCTTTTTACATATACCATCAACTTCGCAAAGGATCAACTACCAATAGACCAGGGATGAATAAAAAGCTTAGCCAATTAGTAAACAATACAAAGGTAAATAAATTAAAAACCTATTTAAAATTTACAATATTTCTATTTATTTTATTTAATAATTAGTCAATGTTCTTTTATTCAAAAAAATAGTTATTAAAATTCCTAAAAAAAATTATTTAAAAATTTTTTTTTTTACTTTATTTAAGAAAATGTTTTTTAATAAATATAGAAAACAATTAATGAAGGGACAAAAAATACTATAGACAATACTAAAAAAGAAGGAGAAATTAAGACTAATAACCATGTTACAACTTCGTTACATAAAGGAATAGAAAACGATTTAGATTAAATAACAACAAAAAGAAGAACTTAACATAAAAAATTATCTAATTCTTTAGAATCTTTTAATGATGTAATAGAGAAAAATAGAGTCTAAAGCATAATAGACAATACATCTAGGTCTTATTCATAAATTGAATTAAAAGAAAATAATAATCAAAATCATAATCATAATATTGAAGATTAGTAAAACCATTAGTAAATTAAAGAAACTTTGAATGTTATAGATTGTAAATAAGATAATATTAGTCATAAATTATCAGCGTCTAACGATTAAGAATAAGCTGAAAAAGAATGTAATTGCTTTAATAATATAAACGAAAGTATTGATGGAGAAAACAATACTTCTTCTGATATGGATAATTGCACAAGCGAAGGAGGCGATGAAGATGATGAACGAAATTCGAAATTAAATATGACTTCAATCATAATGCAGTTACCAGATTTAGATGAATAACAATCAGACTAAGAAATTTAGTCACCTCTTTCCAAACCATCGCGTAGAAATTTACTCTAAAAATATTCGTAGACTGGCACATTAATAAACCCAATAAGTACGCTCAATACATAAAATACACAATACAATAAAAGCAGAATTACTCCAAAACAATCAGATAATATAAATTCTTTAAACAGTACTTTTTAAAATGAAAAAAAAACAAATTTAACAGAAGATAACTCTTTTATGAACATAAATACTAATAAAAGTTTCATCAAAGAGCCTCCAGACTTCTATAATTCTAAAAGAGACATAAGCCAAGATAATATTTAAGCTCCTGCTCATAATGTTTCATTTAATAATGCTTTGTAAAGTGATTGCTTTTTAATAAATAAATAGTAATAGTAATAAAATGCAGGAACTATGAAACTTTCTATCCAACAAATGAATAGTACCAATGCATTACCTGTTTCAGGTTAGTTCTATCCTGCTTAGTCAAACTCTAATAATACTAATAATACTAGTTTATATAGTTTTAGCAATCAGAACTAGCTAAAAAATTCTCAATATGTTGGCAATTAAAAAGAAGAATAGCAAAATTAACAAGAAAATTAAGTATAAAATAATATCATTATGAATTATTTTTCAAAATAAAATTACAATTTTATTGATTCATAATATTCTTATAGAGGGCAATCCAAACCAGCATACGTAAACTCTGCTTTTATGCCTGCTGCATCTTCACAAATGACTAATAATAGCTTTAACAACACCTATATTCACTCAACAAAAACAGGTTCAGTGCAAAGAGTAAGCAAGAATTTAGGGTATCATAGCAACAATAGCTCTAGTAATAATCTAAATAACAATATGAAACAAAAATTACAATATAAGAATTTACCTCCTATACTAACTCAATTTAAAAAAAAATACCCTAACGCACTTAATGAAATGGATCAAAGTACTGGTAGTTTTGTAGTCAATAATTAGAAAGAGGAATTATAAGTTTTGATTGCTGATGACGATCCGTTCAATATATCTATTTTGAAGATGATGCTAAAAAAATCAGACTAATTTACATTTTAAATTAAAGACTGTAATAATGGAAGTGAATCTCTATCAGAATTTTAAAAAAGAAACAATCCCTCTTCCTCAAAAGCCTTTTCATTAGTTATATCTGATATTCATATGCCCGTAATGGATGGTTTTGAATCAACTAAGTAAATGAGAAAATTAATCTAAGAGTAAAGTTTTCAAAAGACTGTTTTTATTGGAGTGTCTGGTATGGATTAAGAAACTATAGCTAATGACCCAGACCTTAAAGAGGACTTTAAGGTTTTTGATGTCGTATTATCTAAACCATTTAACGAATAAGAAATTATTAATACAATAAATTAATACTTTTTAGATTTTTATTGATTATATTAGAATCTTCTTTTCAATAATTATTTAATTTAAAAATAAAATTATTTCATTCATAAATCAATTATTATAATAATCAGTTCATTGTATATTAATTAATACTTCCATACTAACGTATAAAATTTACAGATAATTTCAAAATAATTAATAAAAAATAAGAATTAAACTAATATTTAATTCATGTTTAATATTTAAAGTAATTTATTACAGTTATTGATTCACCAAAAAATTAATTTTAATAATTAATAATATATTATATATTTAAATAGTTTATTTAGAAGAAATTTAGTCAGATTTATAAACAAAATATTTTACTTTATTCAATAGCAAACTAATTATTATTCTAATACTAAAATATTTAAAAAGTAAATTGAGATAAATTTTATTTTAATTTTTATATTATTTACTGTAAATAGTCTAAAAATTAGTAAATAATTATTTGAAAATTACATTTAAAGGATTAAAGCATTATTTTTTGACCTCAAAATTTTTCTAAATTATATTTACTGTTATTTAAAATACACTTTACATTAATATTGTTAGATGATAAATAATTTAAATAAAATAGATAATACATAAATATATATATTTTTTTTTTAAATATCTTATTTTTTATTGTTTTACTAACAAAAGCACAAAAGAGAGTTTTTAAGATTTTTGCAGACCTATTAAATTAAAATACTTTAATTTAATTTGTTTCAAACTACAGAAAATCTAATTATTTTATAAAATTCTAATATGTCAATTTAGATATATTATTTTTTGATAAAATAATTATTAGCCTATTTACTTATTTAAATTTGATTGATTTTTATGTAATACAATAAGTTTATTAGGGTTTAAGGTCAAATATAACATTAATTAAATACTTCTATTAATTAAAAAGGATATCTCCTATTTTCTAGAAATAATCATCTTATTAATATTTACATTTATTAGAATTAAGAGATCATGAACTTAAATCGCTCCAATATTGTTTAGAATCTGCCCATCATACTTGATAAAATTAGATAATCCCATTTTATTGCTTTAGATTTTGAAATGACAGGTCTAAATAGATCTGAAATTCTCAGAAACAATGGTTTTGATACAGTAAAAATAAATTGTTAAAAAGTAGAAATTTAAAAATTATTTTGTTGTTAATTAATCACAATTTAGATTCAATAAAGATACTGGAAGACAAAAGAAAGTGTATCTGTTTTTTAACCAATTTAACTTGGTTTATGCCCTTTTAGAATCCATTCTTCTAAAAAGTAGAAATCTTATTGATTACATAAAGCTAAAATAATTATTTTTGAAATTAAGAATAGAAGCAAGTCCGTTCAATGTGTACTTAACTTAATATACAGAGAATGGAAGATCTGATAAATTATTTTTGTATAGCGTAAACAAATATTTTTATTTTGAAAATAGAAATTATTTTGTCTAAATATTTTATTTTATTTCTTAAAATTAATTAACAAATTAGGCTTCTACCTTTAATTTTTTATCACAACACAATATGGATTTTAATGAAGTTTTCAAAAATGGTAAATTTAATGAATAAATTTATAATTATAGAGAAATAAATAAATCAACTAATTTATATAGGCGTTTATTATTTCTCAAGATAATAAGAGGAATAATTTGACTCTTTTAAAAGCCTCTAAGGAGTGAGAAATGATATCAGATAATAAATTATATAGTCATAGAGTTTCCATTTCAAAGAATTTATGAGTTTAAATGAAAAAACTGTAAATATTTATAAATTAATAAAAGATACTTTATAAATATTGCAAATAGATTGAACTTTTTATGGAAAACAAAAGAAGAAAGAAACTAGAATTTAGTCTCACGGAGCCAAGATATGCAACTTTTTATAAAGAATTGGAACAGTTTGTATGATATAAATGAATTTAATTATTTTAAATTATAAATGCTAACTTAAATATAATAGTTTCAAAAAAAATTCCCTCAACAACCAGTGCATATAGTTTACGATGTAGAGAAACATTATCAAAGAAGAAAAATTAATATTTAAAAAATAACTGAAAAAAATGATATTGATGATACTCAAAACTAAAATTCTGCAAAAAATACTTAATAAAGTCAGTATAGTTTTGAAGAATATGAAATTATGAATTATAACTTCAGAAGTATCATAGATGAGATCATTAACTTAAAAATTCCCATTATTGTCCATAATGGTTTTATTGACATTTTGCATGTAATCAAATTATAAATTTTACTTTAATTTGATTTTTTTTGTGTTTTTCAAATAGCTTTATGACAAGTTTTTGTATAACCTTCCTGAAGGTTCTTAAGAATTTAAGAAAGAAATTAACAAGCATTTTCCTGTCATTTTTGATTCTAAGTTAATTATAAATTCTTCTTAAAAGTTAAGCTAAGAAGTTAACTTTTAATCTGACTTAAGAAACTGCTATGAGAAGATGCTTAAATATAAAGACATTGACTCATAAATTTTCATTAGTACTGATATTAATGAGCCATAAGAAAAAGAAGATATAGATAATATCCAACAAAACACTTTATTTAGTAATTATCAGATAAATGGATTAAAGGAAAATAATAAAATGCATGAAGCTGGTTATGATGCAATGATGACTGGATACATATTTTTTAAATCTTTACAAATTCTAAACATCCTTTAATCCTATGGCACACCTAGCTTTGATTCATAAACTGATTACTTTTAAAATAGACTTTAACTTGCTAATTTATAGGCATCATATGATATAAAAGACTTAGATCTCTCAGATTCAAAATCTGTTGATGTCTTTTACATAAAATAACTTAATTCAGTAAGTGCAGAAGTAAAAATAACTTTTTAATAAAAATGATGAATATTAAATCATACATGACTTTATTTTATTATTAAAGTAATTTAAGATATATTTAATTAAAATTTAGAATAAAGTATTGTAGGACTTCTTTAATTAATAGCTTGGAAGCTGTAAAGTTTATACAATTGGCAATAACTTGGAATAAGAATATTTTGTAACATCAAATGATAAAAGTAAATTTAAATACTTTGAATAAAAGCTTAACCAAGAATATAACGGAGTTGATATCTTCTATCAAGAAGGAAAATATTTTTAAATTAAAACTTATTAGAAGTATGTTGATGATCTTTAAAAAATTGTTAAAGGTAAATTTATTTTATAACATATTACTTATTATTTATTGGTTATTAATCATTAGAGGATAAATTCACCAAACTTAAAAACATGGATGCAGTTCTCGACAAACTTAACTAAGACTGATAAATAGGCTTTAAATTTAAAAAGCTTAAAATTTATACGATATTCAAGGTACAATATATTCATTTATACCTTAGTTATATAATTATATAAGATGAATTTAAAAAAAATTTTATTAAATACAAAAAACATTTAATATTAATTTATATTTTAACTAAACCAAAAATTATTTGGTTTAATTAAGAAAGATTTACAAAAAATGTGGATGGGTATTATATTTATTTTAAAATATAATGATTTAAAAATAAAAATTGAGTAATTTCAGAAACAAAGTTAGCATATTTGTTTTTATTTCTTTATTATTACTATAACTAATTTATCATTTAAATAAATTAAATCAAGTAAAATAAATTTTTAGAACAAATTATTATATACAGTAAATAAATATTTATAGAATTTGCTTAGAAATTTATTTATTATAAAGTAGATAAATGCCTATTTTAACTTAATAGTAGATATTTGTAGTTTCAGAATTTAAATTTTTGATTTATTATTTCATTTTTTGTTAATTATTTATTATTTCAAGGATACTTTTTAATTCTTATTATATAGCTTGTTCGTTCACTAATCTTTGGCTGCTTTCTATATACTTAAAGAGTGATTACTACTAAATTGCTTTATTTAATCACAATATTGCTTTTCTATAACTATACTTTATTCATGTCCTGTAGATTTTTCTATTGAAGATTACAGGTTAAAGTCTTGAGCTGCATTTTAGTGAATTTATCTTGTTTGATGAGACCTTTTTTAATTCATAATTTTAATATTAAATATACCTAAAAATAATAAATGCAATATTACTTTCTAATCATTAAAATTATTCTAATTATCTAAACAATATATCTTATAGCAATCAAAACTAAACCTATTATGTCTTCATTTTCTTCATCCTCAGTTAGTTCTCTTCATTATAAAATTGTATTTATTTTTGGTTTTAAAATAGAAAAAATATTACGAATTAAGCTCTGCAGAGTAAAATATTGAAAGCACTATTACGATTACTATAAAACTTACTAAGTCGAAAATGTTCCAACCACTTTAAAAATACATCTAATTTTCAAATAAATTATTGATAAGCTTTTAGTAGATTTTCTATAAACAAATTACTCTTTTTTCAGCTACAATACGGATAATAATGTCAACTAAAATGATAATTGCTATTATTGCTTCTAACCATAAAACAAGAGGATTTTGTAAGCTATTTAATTAAAATATTTATTTCATAAACTTATTTTATATGAATTCATATGGCTATTTGTATAATATATTACTGATTATAAGGATCTGTAAGTACCTTTTTATATTAAAAGATAATTGAGTTATTTGAAGATTTAAAGATTCAAATATTTACATATGTTAGCACAGTTATGCAAAGTACTAACTAAAATAATGAAAAATAAAAGTAAGCTGAACTAGTTCTTATCCTCTTAATAAGATACTCTGTAGAGATAATGTCCATTTTCTATAAATACTGTTTGAAACTTCTTATACTTTGATAGTGATATTTTTAATTTTTTTTTGCTTAAGTATCAAAAATAATAGTTTGCCAAATTATTTTAATATATTTGTAGGTTTTAATATAAATCAATGTAATGAAAATTTATATTCATTCATTTAAATCTTTTATATTCTTAAAATAGAAAATTTAATAAAGTTAATCTTAAGAAAAAGCAAACAAACAAAAAAAAAATAAATAATGAATAAACAAAAATAGAGCGTGAATATTCGTTATAATACCATGCTTTAACTTATTTTCTCAATCCTTCTAAAATTCTTTTGTCTAATTAAAAAATTTTAGAAATTTAATAATTTGATTGGCTGTAATGGTATTTAGAATTAATTTTATATAAATTTTATTTAATATCTTTTTTTAATTAGAATATTAATTTTTGAATATTAAATTAAATCTTTAAAATTATTATTTTTAAAAAATAATATCAAAATATATTTTATTTTTTTAAATATTAATTAGAGAAATAAAATAATATTTACAGAGAAAATTAATGTACATTTAATTACATAAGTAGTTAGTATATAAAATTCTTTTAAGGATTTTCCTTTTGGCTAAGAAGATCAGATAAATTTTAATTGTTTCCATAAAGAAGAAAATTTTGTAAATTTTACTTTTTTTTGATCAAATTTAATACAACTGACCAAGAGAAAAAGAAAATAAGATATCCCTCTTTTAATAAATGTGGAGAAAAGATTATTTATCAGTCTATTTACTTTTTTTATAAATTAGATTAAAAATATTTATTTGATAACATATGTTGGTAGAGCATTTTATGTTCATCATTTCTATTTTTTTTATTTATATGAATGTTAAAGAGCGATTTATATCAAAAACAACTCATACTTCTCACAATTTTATATTGGTTTGCTGATTTTTACTAATTTTCATTTAGTAGATGCTTTAAACATAAAAAAATTACTTATAGTTAACGCTAATCAAGGGAAAATTTTCATTCCGCATGTAGAATTAATATGGTTTGAATTGTTATTAAATTTATACTTGTTAGCTTTGATATTAAAATACAAAATGAACAAATTTTTATGTTATATAGATCAGCAATCTTTCATAATTGCTGTTTATAAATCATAATAAAGAAGGAGTTAATTAATTTAAGTTTTGGGTGATTAAGGAAATGATAAACCATCTAAAAAAATGAGGCTACTACACAAAAGATGTATACAAAAATAGAAAAACTAATAAGGATTTTAATAATTCATAGTTTTCATAAGTAAATAACTAAATTAGTATTTTAATCAGTCAGTAGCAGTGTAGGGATCAGTGAGTGATTAATCAGGTCTGGAAATTAAATGTTGAGCAATATCTCTCTTAAAAACGATAGCCTTCAATAAGCTGATTTTCTTAGAAAGGAACAACTTTTCAAGAACGTCATTGTATTATTCTTCAGTGAGCTTGACACCTTCCTTAACACCGAGTCTTTCGAGATCCATTTTTACTAAAATTTGTTTATTTTATTATTTAGAGATTTATTTATTTTTTATCAATCAATTAATTATTTATTATATATTTTGAGAAAACTTTTCTTTCTAATAAATATCATTCCTAAACTAAGTAAAAAGAAAGATTTTATTAATTGATTTTGTAAGGGTTTCTAACAAATTCTTATTTTTATATTAATAAATATCTTTTTACATTATATTTAAGCGCCTAAAGTTTATCATAACATCTGATATCATAATTCTTTTCTTGTGATTACTAAAATCAATAAAAACTAATCTTCTTCATTTCTTGTTGCTACAGACAAAATTTTTTATTTTTCATCAGAAAAATATGCTTATTTGATCTTCCTTCCGTACTTGGATAAAACCTTAAAAATTATTGTTAGGCATCAATCAAATTGGCAATTTAATTTCAAATTATACTTTAAAAAGCAAAAAATTACAAAAAACTAAAAAAATTAAATATTTTAATTTGTTAAAATAAGTACTTTATAGTAGCATACTTTTTTTATAGAATATATCCCTTTTAGGAAAAATAAAGGAAAATCAAACAATAAAAAAAAAAGATTATCTTATTTTCTTCTCAAAAAAGGATAATAACTGAGACAAAATAAGCAAAGATTTTTGAGAATTAATAATTTAAGGGAGGATGAATAAAAAATACAAATACAAATAGGAATTAAAAATTTTGCTTGATTACCACTACAAAAGAAAAGGCACTAATTTTATTAAATCTAATTAATTATTTTAAAGTAGTTGTAATTAAAATGATATTCAGTTCATATGATAAAAAATAAAGACTAATTCTCATATTATGTTTAAATATTTAGAATTATTTTATAGTAGAACGTGGATTGGTTAGTTTCTGATAAAATCTTTTTCAAATATCTTGTAATTAAAGGCGAACCAATATATAAAAGGAAATTAAATTCCCACTTAAATTATATTAATTCCAAGTAATACCTATATTAATTTCAATTCAAATATCTCGAAATTAAAACATTTTTTTTAAATTAATTTTTTTATTTTTGATATCATACTATTCTATCTACCTTTCTTTGTATTTAACTTGTTTAAAATATATCATTTTTTAGAATAGCTAAAAATTAAAGATATTCTAAATATTATCAAAATTAAAAAATAAAATTTAGAGATGTTCAAGCAAAAGATTGAATAAAAATAATTAATTAGCTTGCAAAAATATTTATTTTTAAAAAATATGAAAATTGCAAATAAATAATTATAAAGGCTATGATATACACTTTTTTTATTTAAATACGATTTTAAAATATAATCTTTGAAAATTATTTTTCTTATACTTGCTTTGAATCTATTTCACTATATTACTTTTACTTCATTACTTGATAATCTAGAAAATATAAAGCTTAGAATTAAAAAACCAATTAGAGGAATAATGCTTCCTAAAACCCATAGCGCTTAATCATCAGAATAATAGTAGAAACAGTATTTTATTATCTTGTAAATACAAATTATAATAGAGAAAAAAAGTAATAAAGAAGAAAGTTAAAGGAATGGACTTTAAATTGACTCATTTAAGTCGAATAAGTTTAAAAGAAAGCATACAAATCCAGTTAATAAAGATACCACTGCAGTAGCTATTTGAATCACTTTTAAAGAATCCTCTAATGTATTTAAGAAATAGCAAATCAATAAACCAGATATTATTTATGATAGGAATAAATAAAATATAGTCCAGTTATCCATTTTTAACAAATTTTACAGAAATTTTATTTTCTTATTAATTTATTTTTGTTCAACGATATCTATTCTGCAGATACAAAAACCAAATTATTCAATCTTCTTATGAAATCTAATTCATTAACACTTAAATATATGAAATAGATAGTATTTATTGAAAGTAGATTTGATATGAAAAAGTTTTATCATGCTTTAATTTATGAAAATAATTTTTTATTAAGTTACTGGATAAAATAAGATTTAATTTCATAAATTGACTTAAACATATTTATTTTAGTTGGTATTTATTATAAAAATCTGTGTTTTAATTTTTAATAGTTACTTCTTTGAAAAAAAAGAAAACAATAATTGAGTCTTAAAATTTTAATAAAACAAAATTAATTAATTTTACAAGTTTTACAAAATGAAGAAAACATAAGTTACATAAAAAAGTGAAAAGAGCACTACTCAGATTTAACCTGAAAGTAAAAGGAGTTCAATAGTTAATGTAGCAACAAAAAAGACTGATCTTTAAAATACAGCTAATAAAACAGCATCTGCAGATAACTAAGTTAAAAAAGATAGTCCTCCAAATAGTTAAATTCACACAGGAAGGTAATTAATTGATTCACTGGTTAATCAATAACAAGAGGCACTAAAGCCAATAGAAATAGAAAAGTCATTAACTGAATTATTAGGAAAGTTTTTACATATTTCTTGTTCTTAGCATAAAATTAGGGAATATGATCACATTTGTATTAACAAAAAGTGTACTTTTAAAAATGTGATTTCATGCTCTAAATGTATTTTGTAAGATGAAAAGCATGCTATAGAATGTAAAAACGATTTCAATTCTTTAGAAAAGTATGTCCCATTAAAGATCGATCAAATATCTGGTAAGCTAGAGCGCTAAAAAATAGAATAAATACAACAGAATGTAAACAAAGTTGAGAAAGAAGTTAATTAAAATGTTTAACAAATGAGAGATACAGTAGAAAAAGACTTAACTGAAATTATTGGAAGTGTAACAGCATTATGCGCTGAATTAAAAGTTTCATTAAATAAATAGATTGACTAGTATTAAAATGAATAAAAATCAACTATTTAAAGGTATAATATTTCAATAAAAAAGAATTATGACTAAATAATTAAAGAAGGATAGATAATTGAAAAGGGTTTCAAAGAAATTCTCACTAATAATTTTGATTATTCTAACTTTTATTAAATTAACGAGTTCATGAAAAAGGTTCGTGAAAAGGAAAATACTTTCTCTGCCTAACAGTTTATTTAGGAAATTAATGATAATTTAGAAGAGTTCAAATATGACTTAAAGAATAATAAATATTATAAAACTAGGCAAGTAAAATATATAAAAGATTCAATAAACTCCCTCTTATAAAATGCATTAAAGAATTCTCAGTAACCTCCCTCAACATCAAACAAATTTAAAAAGTTGGCAACTGAAGGTAAAAATGAGATCAATAATATTTAATAAGAATATGATGACGAAGATATTATGCTATTTGATTTTACAAGACTAAAGCTTCAAGGTTAGCATTTAATTAACTACAAAAGATAGTTGTATGAGTAGTAATGCTAAGACAAGTAATAATTAGAAAATAATAAAGACTCAGTTGTAGAAGAGTTTTTAGATGATGATAAGTTTTAAGAATGGTATGAGAGTTATGATAAAAAATCAATCGTCATGAAGGTCAAAAGTGATTTTTAAGATCCTAAAATAGACTCTTCAATGATCAGCCTTCAATAAAAAGCTTTACTTTAAACCGACCATAAATTATCTATCAACTCTATTGCAACAATAAATCATAATACTTTTGCAACATGTGGAAATGAATAAAAAGTTAAGATTTGGGGTTTCACCTAAAATTATGTCATTCACCATAAAGCAACAATTGAGCTAGGAGATTTAGGAGTTTAATTGGTATATAATAAGCAATAAAATAGCTTATATGTTGCTACATCCAGAGGAGTTATTTAAGTTTACAAATTTCCATAAGATGTGTCTTCTTCTGTTGATTTAAATCCTAATTTAACTAAAGAATATGTTGGACATACTAAAACAGTTAGAAATATTTCTTTCCTTCCAAATTAGTATAACTAACTGTTAAGCATTTCATATGATAAAACAATAAAGCTTTGGAATATAAATACAGAAGTTGAGCAATAAAATGCTTTAATAGCAACCTTTGATTTACCTTAAGATGAAGATTGTAAATTCATGGAGACAAACAGCTAGTATACTATAGTTGGTTGTGTTTCAGGAAATATTTTAATCTATCAAAATGTTTTAGTTGATTTGAATTACCAATAAACACTACAGTCTACTATAAAATCTAAAAAGAGTGAGCGAAGTGCTGCATTTGGACCTCTTATAAGGCGTTAGCCCAAATATCAGGTAACCGAACTCAAATTTATAGCTAAGCTAAAATGCTCCAAAGAAAAAATATCAAGTATTATACTAGGCTCTAAAAATCCTCACACTGCAATTATTGGAAGTGGTAATGGAACCATAACAGTTTTAGATCTTTCTAAACTAAATTCAAAACTGGAAGATAATTTAGAAAATTAGAATTATTAATTGTAGTTACAACAATAGAAATCATAACCAACAGCTGCAAATGAGGAAGAAGGTGATAAATTTAAAGAAAGCTTTATTGAGAAGTAGTAAATAAATGCTGAGATATGCATTACTTTTAAATTTCGTCATATACATAAGCAGAGAATAAGCAGCTTAAATCTTTTTGAAGATAATTTCCTTGTTGCCATGAGCTGGGATGGAATATGTAATTTATATGATATTTCAAAATAAAAAGTAATTAGCTCAACCAAATATGTTCTTTAAAATGATGAAAAGAAGCACTCAGATGGATTTTCTGCTAAAGTGTCTGTATTTGATACAAATAAGTATCACATCCTAGCTATAGGAAATAATGATAAATAAGTTCAAATATTTTGTCTATAATTATTTAATCAAGAATGATAGCAATAAATATTTTAATTTTATTTATATCAAATATTAGAATTTAATTAAATATTTATATTTTATTACATTTTTGTTCAAACAAATTTTAAAAATAAAAATTAAATTGTTTAACTCTTATTTGTAATCAAATTTAAATATTTATATTTTCAAATAAATTAAATGAATGAATGATCTATGAATTTTATTAATTAGATAGAATTGCTTAATTTATTTTAAATTAATAATTTAAAATTAAAAAGTTATAAACAAAAAATAAATATTTAATGAATTTATTTTTTTTTAAAAATTATAATTTTTGAAAAAACACGAAATATTAACTAAATAATTTCAAATTTAAAACTCATAAAAAATACTTTTTAAAATATAGATAGTGACATTAATAAATAACTGAGAATTCATTCATTTTTGTTTAATAACCTTCCATTAAAATACACAGTTATCCTCACCACCAGTAGAAATTAAGTAGTCATCGTTTTTAGAGAATTTAACATTAGTGACATGACTTGAATGACCTTTTCCAACTACAGCTTTGGATCCTTTCTTAATGCAAGGATATCTGAATATATTTACTTATGAGAAATCGTCACCTGTAGCCAAGAGATAGTAATTATCAGGTGGTGTATCATTTCTAGAATATGTTGAATTACTTCTATCAACAGCGTTTATATCTGTACCATCAGCTGCTTCTGGCCAAATACCTTATACCTAAAGTTTATTTTAAATTATTATATTATATTTAAATTAATTTTTAAAATTTTACAGGCCACCCTAGTGTAGCTGTCCATGAAACCCATTTCTCATCTCTAAATTGAGTAGCTCCTGAAGGAATTTATTTTCCGGTATTAACATCCCAGAATAATAACTCGTATGCTCCACAATTAGAATGTAGATTATTACCATCAAGTGAAAAATCGATGTGAGTAATATATGAAGAGTGTTTTTTGAGAGGTCTAACTTTTTATTTAAGATCGTTCATGAGATGAATATAAATTGCGTTATCATGAGATCCTGCAGCTAACATAGAACCATCAGGAGAAAACTTCAAATCAGAAATCCATTCTTTAGCCTATTTAGTGTAAACTTATTGCGATAGGTTACTATCATATAATCTAATAGAGCCATCTTTAAATCCTACTGCAACAAAACCATCGCAGTTTACAGCAATAGAACGTCCCTTAATAATTGAATATAAATTTATTATCATTAAGATTGAGTTAATATAAAAATACCTTAACAGAGTCAGATAAATCTCCAGTTTAATTATTTGGAGGAATTTCAGAATTATTAGAATCTAAGATTGTTCTAATACATTTATCTTGTTTCTTCTAACTAATAGACCAGGCTCTAAGAGTACCATCATCAGAGCATGTGTAGAAGATATCTTCATTCTGAGGATTAGTACTTAAGCCCCATACTTCATTAGTCCATTTTTTATTTGGAGTGTAATGACCTTTGACAATACTTTTTGGTTGAGCAAACTTTGTGGTAGATGTTATCTTAGCATCTTTAGTATTAAGTTCATAAATTTCTGATGCATATGTTCCTATGATCATATTCTTTGAGTCTGAAGAAAGGCTAATAGAACGTACTTCAGGGCATAAAGAGGGAATATTAGGTCCTTTAAGAACTTCATCCAAAGCCACTTTAGTAATTACATTCAAAGTTTTGTCAAGGACCAAAACTTTGTAATCTCTTCCACCTGTAAATATCCTAAATAAAAAAATGATAAATATAAACTCTTTTTTTAATAAAATACATACATTCCTCCCTAGACAAATACAGAATCGATTCCTTTATCGTGTACTTTTTTGTAGTTAGTTAAAGAAGATCCTTTGAAAACTTATAAGAATCCATCTGATCCACCACATAAGTAATCATCTCCTAAAATATTAACAGTTAAGATAGTTGTAGAACCTGTAAATTTGCTATCCCAGCTACCTTTTGTGCCCTTAATACTGCTAGCTGAAAGAGCCCATAATTTGAAATGCTTAACACCAACTGTTGCAAATTCCTAATTTTTAAGAATATAATAAAAATATTTTCTCAAAAATAATTTATTTATACATTTTCGTTTCTCCATTTAGCCCCAGTAATTACATCAGGACCAGATTTTTCAAGTAAAATTTGAACGCCACCAGTTTTACTTTTTGCATTTATATCGAATATTGCTAGTTCATGGTTAGTATCAATAGCAATAGCAACTAACTTATCACCACTTGGTGAGAATGAAAGAGCACTTATGCCATTCTTTAAATTGCCTTTAAAGTGACAAAGAGGAAGAAGTGTATTACTATCCCAAACATATATAGAAGGCTTAGCACCGATTTAACCTGTAGCAACACGTATGCTATCTGGATGTACGTCAATTGCTGTAATGTCATCAGTGTGTAAATTAAAGAATCTATTTTAGTAAAAATATTTTTTTTATAAAATTAATTTAAAAATAAAACTATTTTTGAGTACCTTTGAGTGTTACTTGTAATATCCATAACTATACCCAATGCAGCTGCATTGTAAACTATATTTCCTGACTTCAAATATCTAATATTATCTCTACAATCTTTTGCTCTATATCCGTGTACATATTCTAACTAAAGAGATACAGGAGGTTCTTTGGATTAATTTAAAGGGTCTTTGTAATAAGTAGTAGGTTCTTTGATAGCTCCTAGCCAAGGTTTAACAGCCCTATATAATTAATTTAAAATATTTAGTTTAAAGATATATATTAAACTTTTTGTAAAGATTATTACATAAATTCATCTCCCTTATCTGTATCTTCTTCTCCAAAGATATCATCAGATTCTTATTACTTTTTAGGTGCTTGAACTTATTTGCCAAACTTTTGAGCTCCTACCTTTTTATCTTTTTTAGTAACAACTCCAATTTCTTCTTCTGAAATATCTTCTTATTATTCATATTATCTTTCATTTTGTTTTCTTGCTTCATCCTACATATTTTCAGTGCTCCAAACTAAAATTGATTTATCATTTCCACCAGTTGAAATTAAAAATTTATCATCATAAGAGAATTTCACTCTTGTAACATGAGAGCTATGTCCAAGATAAGTATGATGGCTTTGCTTAGGAGCTGCAGCTGGATATTAAAAGAGGTTAACTCTTCCAAAGTCATCACCAGTTGCAATAATTTTTTTATTTTTAGAGCGATTTGCAGTGTTTACATCAGTTCCATCCACACCTGGGAAAATACCTTTAACAAACCAACCAAGAGTGCAAGTCCATGAAGCCCAATCTTCTTCAGCACATGTGCTTGAGGCAACATCTTTCTTTTGATTCAAACTAATAAATTTAAGCTCATAAGCTTATGAATTAACAACAAGCTTATCACTAGCAGTGTTCCAATCTAAATGAGTAAGAGCTGAAGTCAATCCTTTTTTTGTAAAACATTAAATTTTAACATAAAAGCTAAATATGATTTTTTTTTTAATTTACCTGCATTTATTGACATTGCAAGATCAATAGATTTAGATCCGTTTTCTTTAGATTCTTTTATTTCAAAAATTTCAATTGTAGAAGGACCTCCATGAGCTCCTAATGCAATATATTTTTCATTAGGAGAGAATTTAATATCTTCAATCCAATTTGTCAATTTTTTTTAATTGATAGGCTTAAAGAATTTAGTTGCTAATTATATTTTTAAATATTTCATTTATGCTAAATAAAAATAAAATAAAATAAAAAATCATACTTTATTGACATAGTTTTTTAAGATTTTAATCAAATAGAATAATTTAGCCTAATGTATCGCCTACTGCAATCATGGAACCTGTCATTGGAGACCAATCAACTGCTCTAGCTTCACTATTAAGAGGTTCACTACAAGCAATTTACTTCTTTTAAGGAATGTCCCAAATACGTACGGTTTTATCACCACCACATGTAACGAATCTAGCTCCCTTAGAATCAGTAGCACATCCCCACAATTCACCATCATAGTGAGCATCTAATATTTTTTCTGGATGACTTCCTTAAGCTATTTTACCCAAGAAAATTTCAGCAGACTTAGTTCCTATCAAGATTTGTTCTTATTTTGAATCGATGGACAACGAAATAATTGCATGGTCAAATTAAGAATTTTGTTAATTTAAATCAATTTAGAAAGTAGAGTCTGCAGTAATATTGCTTCCATCTACTTTCCATCTTTATACTAGACCATCATATCCAGCACTGTACACAAAGCTATCTTTACTTCCAGGCTCTATATGTATATAAGTATATTTATTTAAAAATTAATTAAAATTTTTTTAAAATGTATTACTAGATGCTGTAGCTATTATACTGCCTACACTTTTGTTATGAGCTTTAATGCTTTTTTAAGCTGAATTTCCATTCCAAATGTGAATTCTGCCATCTGCACATCCAGTTACAATTACTGAACTTGAAGTACAAGTTATGCAAGTAATAGCAGAAAATGGATCCATACCAATACCAGATTTTGCTTAATAATTAAAAAAGAAAAATAAACAAATGCACTCTTTTAGAATCATAAAATAAATTTACATGTCAGATTACGTCCTTGTAAAGACCAGAATTTGATATGCTTAACACCACAAGTTACAAACTCATTATTATTCTTCCAAATAGCACATGTAACTGCAGATTTGTCTACTTTTGAATTGCAGATCATTCTGGATTGCTGCCAATCATAAATTGCTAAAGAGTGATCGTTATCATCACCTATTGTAAGTAATTAACTTCCATCACTGGAAAATTCTAAAACACTAACAGCTCTTGTATGGAAATCATTTAAGAGACCTAAAACCTTTATTTAATTAATTATTTAGTTATTTTTTTAAATAATAATTTATTTACATTTTTTGTTTCACTATCCCAAATGTAAATATCAATCAAATTAGATTTTCCTTTTGCTGCCATCTATCCTGTAGCAACAATGTTTGCTTTAGGATGAACTGCTAAAGAAACAATATCCTCTTCATGCTTAATGAAAAAGCTTTGGTCTTTTTTATTCTCAAGTACAATACCAACACCAGCAGCTGGGAAAACAATTTTTCCGTTTTACAAGAATTTCAGAAGATTTCTACTATCATCATTTACATTTTTAGTTTTGAAACCAAAAACATAATTCAAAGCTAATTATGCTTATGGCAAAACATTAAATTTCTTTTCATCTATATTTCTATACTATTCAGGGATACTAAGAGTGATTTATCCTGTTATTAAAAATATTTTATTCAAGTTAAACTTTAATTAATACTTTATAATTTAATTATACCTAAATATGGTTTGACTGCTAATGCTTAGTCACCTTTATCTGCAGAAGCCTCATCAAATACAATTTCTTAATCTTTAGATTCAGCCGATCCAACTTCTTGAGATAGTTCAGCAGAAGCATTGTCAAATTCAAATTTCCATTAAATAATTGATTTTTCTGCTCCACCAATTGAAATAACAAACTCATCAGATCCACTATTGACAAATCTAACTTTAGTTACATGAGAAGCGTGACCACTGTATCTATTAAAACTCTAATTCTAAGATGAACATGGATATCTAAATGCTTTAATTTTACTAAAATCATCACCAGTTACTAAAATATTACGAATAGGTGATAAATCAATTGTGTTGATATCTCCTCCATTTGAACATGGAGGCCAGATGCCTTAGACATTGTATCCATAAATACAATTTTAAGTTTTCCATTTTAATTCTTAAACTTATTTATAGTCTAATATCTACTTACCTAAGGCACCAGTTTTATTTTTTTCAAGTAAACTAAAGAATAATAATTCGCATCCTTCATTATTGCATTAAATTATTTTTTTGTTATCATTGCTAAAATCTATGTGAGTGACAGCAGTTGTTGATCCACGAATTTTAGTCTATTGCTTGAAATGGTTTTTTGCATCATAAACAAGTATTTCACAAGAAGGTTCAGCATAAGCAACTACTAGTAATTCACTATCAGGCGAGAATTTAATGCATGAGACAGCACGATCTCTATCTTTTAAGCTAAATATAACTACAAGACTTTTTGGATCTATAATCAATACAGTACCGTTTAAGCAACCAACAGCTAAGTATTTAATGTTAGCTGCTAAATCTATGCATCTAGCAGGGAAATCGAGTTTGGTGCTTTATGAAATACATCTTTTATCAATGTTCCAAGAAGCTAAGAAGTTATCTTCTCCTACTGTATAAAAATAAGGATGATTAGCAGAGGTAGCCAATCCCCAAAGTTCTCCATCCCAATGTCCATGAGTCAATTTCTTAGATTTGTTACTGTATTGAGACATTTCAACTATTTCAGATGTTCTTGTACCAAAGACCAAATTTTCTTGTTTAATATCTTCTGTGACTGCGCAAATCTTTATGTAATTAATTTTGGTATTTTATTAAAAATAAAAGTAATAAAATAGTTATATTAATTAAATACCTTTTGGGAGTAAAGCTTAAATTCTTTTGTATCAATTTTATTTATATAACTTTTGAGTAAGGAGTCCCAAATTATTATAAAGCCATCTCTTCCACCAGTTATAATACCTTTTTTATCTATTTATATTTATTAAAATTATTATTTTATTCATGATTCAGTTGATATTTTACCTCCTTCCCTTGAATGAATGCAACTAACTGGTCCATTGTGAGCAGGTAGTGCCTGATGGAACTTACTACTTTTCCAAAGATAAAGCTATCCTTTAAACATACCTGTTACTATGCCAACTTCACTAAAGCCAATACAAAGGCAAGCTTAGGGTGGATTACTTTGACTCCAAACACCTTTTGCAACTTTAATCAAGTTATTATCAAAAGTTACAAAAAGAATGTCATTTATGCTGGCTACAATAACAGTTTTTCCTTGCTTATCAAATTTAGCATCAAAAACTTCTTTATTTGTAAGCTTTCCTGTAGCCAAAAGACCATCATCATTGCTTCTCTTTGTTGGATTTAATCTTTGTTATATTCTATAATTAAAAGAAACAATTTGTAAAATAACATTATATATTAAATATTATTTTTTACGCTTTTTCAAGGTCATAAATGACAATTGAACTTTCTTTCTCAAGTGAAATAGCTGCTATTTTTTTCCCATCTTAGCTTATTGCAACACTTGATACACCATTCTTGATCACTCCTTTAAACACAAATTTAGTTTCTAAATTAGTAGAATCCCAAACACAGATCAAAGGGTTTGCTCCTAATTGACCAGTGATGACTAAATTTCCTGCAGTATCAATACAAGTAATATCATCTGTATGCTCTAAATAAAAGTTTTATTATTCATTTGGCCTTTAAACTATTCCTACAGCAGCGTGATGATAGACTAAGTCTTTATTTAAATTATACTTTATATTATTTCTTGTATCATAACAACGATATCCATAAATATGATCTATGCTCATATTAACAGGAGGAGCACTACTGTCATCTAGTTTTATTATTAAATATTAAATAAATATAAGCAAAATAATTCTGCATACATCTAATTGATTTTTCGTCTGGCCTTACAGTATTGCCAATAATTTTCTACCAATATTTTTATTCCTTGAAAGAATTCTTATCTTCATTGAGTTATTTCTCATATAAAGCCTTTTCTTCGTCAGTTACATATGAATGCTCAATACCGTTTTTAATTCTTTCGATTCTATCATCTCTATCAACATTTGCTTTCCCTATTTCTTCTTCTAAATCAGAATCTGCATCAGGAAGATCATCACTGCCACCAAAATCATGTCTTAAATCTTCCTTAGATATAAGACCATAGCTAGTAAGGACTCTCAAAATATCAGAATCTTTTGATACAAATGATTAAAATTCCTTAAGAGAAATACTTCCATCCTTATTTGTATCATATTTTGATAAAATTTCTTTTGTTTTAGCTTCTGCTTATTAAATAGTAGCTTCTTCCTTTCCGCACATTGAATTCAATGAAGACATAGTTGTCTTTAGTAAAATAACCAATTCGTTTTAAGTAATAGTTTGATTCTTGTCAAAGTCATATAAATTGAATATCAATTCTGCTTTTCTCTAATAAGTTAATAAAATAACATAAATTTTTTTTAGTTTATTAATATAAAAATTTAATATATTAAGAGTTTATAAGTTATATTTTATAAATTTAATTTAATTTTGATTATTTTTAATAAATATTAAGTTTTTATAAATGATTAATAAAAGTAATTATTAATAATAATAGAGCAAAATGCTAGATTCAATGTATTATAAATAGCATTATATAAATTATAGTTTCTTTAATATCTTAAATTCGCTATTTGATGATTTTCTATAATAAATTGATAAATTGCATTTAAATATTAAAAATTCATATATATTTTGTTGTTCTGCAAAATAGACCAAGTTTTAAAAACGTTTTTTCTTAATATTTTGCACTTTTACTTCTAATTGTTCTAAAATAATTTATATAACTAATTAATTACTTTTAATGGAGCTTGAGATAGTAAAGCAATAGCTGAAATAAACTCATATGAATCTATCCTTCCACTAGAGTCTGTGTCAAAATATTCAAAAATCTATAAATTTAACATTTTTAAAAATATTAATTGCAAAAATTGATAATAAAATTAAAAGTCTGTTTATACTCTATCTACTTCTTAAGGAGGAATTTTCATCAATTTTCCAAATTAATCTTTCGAAATGGTTAAATCTTCGTCTGCCATAAGATCAAATTTTTCTCTATTTAAGATTTAGTAAATTAATATACAATTATTATGTGAAATTTGATAAAACCATTTCTAACTCAAATGCCATATAATAAATTAGAATGCCTAAATAAAGAATTAAACAAATTATTTGAATTTACCTAATTATATCTACTTATCCTGGAGAAAAATCAGTATATTTTTTCATAGATTCTAAATCAGAATACTTGCCTATTGACATATCATTTCCCATCTTTTATTATAGCTTATTTTAATTTTTAAGATATTGTATTAATATTGTTTGTTTATTTAATAGGAAATTAATCTTTAACAAATAGCTATTAGTTATTTATTTTATCTATTTTCAAAAGAAGAAAGTTACTTTTTATTTGTTAATAAAACTAATTTGATTAAATTTATTGATGAAGATACTACAAATAAAAATTTCAATTATATTGAGAACATATTTTTTTGATCAATAAAAGTATTAAGGTAAAATCGGATAACTTATGTATTTAAACATGTCATATAAAAATTTTATTTCAACAAAACGAAAAATATTTTTTAGTGAAATATGTAGCTTTATAAAATTTTTCAAATGATTTTTAACTTAGAAAAGTATATTTTTTTAAATTAATAATTTATTTAAAATGATAATTTTACTAAATCAAAATAAAAAGTTATTCAATTTAAAATTCATTTAAAAATATTTTATTTTACTCATTTGATCAACTAATTTATTTTTTTTAAAAATCTAAAAGTGGAGTTTTTTTTATTTTAATAAAAAAAATATAAAAATCTAAACAAATTCTTTCTAGCTTATTCGTTAAAGTGAAATTTTAATAAAAATAATGAATTTTATTTCTATCTTTTTAATAACTTTCAATATTATAAAATTTTTAATTATTTCAATAATTAAAAATACTAGATTAGTATGAGTTAATGTTAAATAAATTAGACATTTTTATTTTATTTTAAAGTTTTTTTAATTTTTTGTAAGCGACTTAGCCTTTTTTTAAATTAAGTGAGTCTTTATACTACATTATATTTGAATTTAAATTTTACATCATTTGTTTTTAATAGTTGTTTTGGCCAATCAATTGATCATTATAGATACAATACTGTTTTTTATCTATTTTAAATAAATTGATTATTATATTAGACCAAAGCGATAGAATATATTTAATTTGATTATAAATAGAATTATTAAATAGTGAACCTATTCTATAAATTAAAAAAGTTATAAGGAAATAAAAAGTAAAAGATATTAGATTTCTATGGGATTTAATCTTAGGCATGCAACAAAAATTGCAGCTGTTATTTGTGGCTGTTTGTTGATCATAGTATCTATAGTTAGCTTTGCAACCGATACCTTATACCCAATCAATGCAATTTTGGACATTTATTATATGTATCTATAGATTAATGTATTTATTTTATTTTATCAATATCTATTTAATAATACAGATTTTTTGGCATTTCTCTTGTGTGCGCAGAATGGGAGATAGTTTATGTTGTAGAAAATTTCAGGCTTCTAGCTAGCTTCTTTGGTAGAGGAATATTTTGCATTTTGTATGATTATTTTAAATGAATTCATTGATTTATTTATTTTTTATAGCTTAGGAACTATATTACTAGATGATAGCTCATAAAAAACTTCGTAAAATTATTCTATATTTATAAATTCTTAGGTGTTTTAATAATAAAAAGATCTATTTTATCATTAACTATTGGAATTATTTTAATTGTTGTTGGATTAGCTTATGAAGTATTAGCATGCACAGTAATTAAAAAATTATAGATATTTTCAGAGAGTTAATTTTGAATATTAACAATAGGTAAAGAATTAAGATAACAGTGGAGCTGCTGCAGCATAAAATGCAGCTTAAGGAACAAAAGAAAAAGGTTTAGAATATAATTTTATAAATAATTTCTTTATAATATTTTATAACAGAATAGGAACATATATAAAATAATGTATGAATATTTAAGAAAGCAATCAATTATACATATTACTAAAATATAAGAATGTATATAAGAAAAGAAAAATTTTGATATATCACTCTTAACTATCAAACCAATTTATAGATAGATATATAGACTTTTCTTAAAATAATTATAAATAGTATTCTTCGTATTAATCATCAAAACAAAGTCTATATATAATATATCCTTATTCATTAATGATAAATTTTTACATATAACGAATTATTCATTTTCGTATCAAATTAATTAAGTAAATTCAAAAATAAATTGTAAATAATAACCCATTTTTTATAAGCATTAAAAATAGTTATTTTATTTTCTTTTCTTTATGATTGATTTATAAATTAAACTGAATTTTCATTTTCTTTAATAAATGCAAAATTAAATATAAATTTCCTACCTAAATATAAAATGTAATATTCTGTGATTATCGAACACTTTTTTGTTATAGAAAAGAGTGCTATTCTTTATTTTGAAATAAAATTTTTTTTTTTATTAATTATAATAAATAATGTTTTTGTTATTAAAATTAACTGGTTTGAGTAAAGCCTAAGTTTTAAATATCAAGTTAAAGCAAAATTTAAAAGAATAATTAAAACTTTTAAACTCCATTTTCATTACATTAGCTCCTCATTTTTTAAGGCTAAATTAAAAAATTAAAAAAATTTTTTTAAAAGTGGCATTAATTAATAGGATTTTTTTTTAATTCTAAAAATAAAATTTAATAGAAAAATCAACATTTTATGAATTATGATCATAATATTATTTGTTTACTTTTTTTATTTAGGCCATTTTTTGAAAAAATTTGCTAATGGGAGTAGCATTAATATATCAGGAATTAAGGTATTTATTATTAATTTTAAATAATCTTATAAAAAATTTAAATTATTTATTAAAGTAAAAACATTACATAATTGTACAATAAAAAGAAATTAAAATGAATGTATAAGCATATAGGAAAATCATTTTTATTATTATATCAGATGTTGTTAAAAGAAAGGTTGTAATTATGTAACTAAACTTGTTGTGAATTATTTATTTATGTCTTATTAAATGCTTTTAAAACCTTTTTCTACTAATCCTTCCTGCTTTTTATCATTATTTATTGTGTTTCCTTGAACTTTAAGCAGTTTCATATTAAAGCAGTTGTTTGTTTTTTAGATATTCATATTTGATTATCCAATTAAATTTTAAAGGGCATTCTAACCAGCTTTAAGCTGTGTGTTTTAGGTATTATTTGTAAAATTTACATTCATTACTAGCTGTTAAACAGCTTAAATGGTCTGTTAATTTTAAATAGCAGAATAATTTTTTTGAGGATTCATTTTTTTAGAAGTGTTAGAAAAAGAATTTTATTAATATTTTTATCTACTTTAGGTTGAAATAAAAATATCTTTAGAGCTATTTTTTGGTTGAATAACCAATTACTATATTTGTTCTTGGTTTGTTATGAGCTGATTAACATTATTGCTATTTATTGTATTTATTTGTTAAGCAATCTTTTAATTGTTTACTTTATTTTAATTGTTTTGCATAAAGGTCTAACCCTAATTATCCACAGAAAAGCTAATATTTTTAGTTTTTCTTATAGGCACTGTATTAGATATTTAATTTAACTATTTCATATCTGAATCTAATTAGTTATTACTTGGTGGTCTAGATTTTGAGTTATCTTAATTTTAAATAGCTTATTATTAACTAAAATTATTTATTCTAGAAGGTTATGTAGACGATATAGAATTTGTGTTTTATTAATTAATATTATTTGGATACTTTTACAATATTTTAGACTAAGAAACTGAAAATGCTTATGCATTTTAAGGTTATTATAAAATAGAATTTTACATCTGAGTCTATTGTAAAATCTTAAGAGGAATTCCATTTGTTCCACCCATAACTCCATTTTGATTATTTCCATTTTATTCAGTAGCTTATTACTATTTTTCTCCTTTTATTTTGTTTATTTTCTATAAAAGCAAATTCTTAAATTTATCTGTCATAACATTCAAATTTTATGGATAATTTATCTTCATTTGGTCTTCTGGTTGCTAATATTAATAATTAATATTATTATACAAACCATTTTTATTAGATTAATATGTTAATTATTATAATTAACTCGAAAATTAGCTATTGGTTATATTATTATTGCTAAATTAGTTATTAACTAAAGAGTATTCTTTTTATAAATTTTAATTTGGGTTATTAGCCAACATGTTAGAATAATCTTGTGTTTTCTTTATATAAGGTTAATTTTGATAATTTCGCATTCTACTTTTCTAAATCTCTTCTTCATTTTATTATAATATTTTAATTTCGTTACCATTTTATTGAAAATAATTTAATTTGCTAATATTGTTGTTTGATTAGTTTATTTAAGGAAGCCTATTTGATTAATTTTATTACTATGCCACAAAAATCTCATTGTAATTAAAATTGTTTCCATTTAGATTGTTAGCTTAAGTTTGGCTCATTTAATATTTATTATTATTTTTTTGATTTTATTGTTATAAATTTTAATTATTTTATGAATTAGTTGAAGAGCAGCTTGAAACTTCTGCAGATTCTCTTTTTTAGTTTTATTTGTTTTGTTCTGATTCTTCAATTTTTTCTTATGCTTATAATTATTATTACTAAGCTTGCTAGCCTTTAGAATTCATTTAATCAAAGTCCCTTATTATAGGATATGCTTAATTTACAGATTAAAAAGAATTTTAGTATTTAAAGCTAATTTTTTATGTTTTATTCATTTTTAAGTGATTTTATTGAGGGGAAGAGTTAAACTCTTTTAGAATAGTTGTAACGACTTGGCTTTGTTAGCTTTAGGCTCGTTTATTCTAACCAGTATCCTAATCATTCACCTTTTTACTACTTTTTTTCTTCTTTTTAGAAAAGACAAAGTAGCAAGCAGCTGATTCGCTTGTTGGAGATTAAGGACTTTCATCATAATCTAAATCTTAATCTAAAAATTTATCTAACTTTTGCTTGATTACACTTTCTGATTAGTTTTTAAAGTTATTATCTGAATTAGGAGTTTTATTTGTAACATATATTTATCCTTATTCGTTTTCATCTTATATATTGATAACATTGCCAATTTTTTTTGTTGAATTTTATTTTGAATTTGTGTTTTATTGACAAAAGCTTGCTTCCATAACTGAATTTTCCTCATTAAACTTTTTATCATCTACTTCATCATCTAACTCTTAAAAACTTTAAGTTTTAATAATGAAGTCTGTTCCCTATATACAATAATCGTTTCTTGACTATTAAGTTTGCAAAATAGTATCTCCTAGAAATGATTGCTAAATATCAGTTGATTATTTATTAGTATGCAAAACACTGTTAGATTTTTATCTTAATGTTTAAGATTAGTCTGTAGTTGATTGATCACAGTTTCTTTATGATATCTTTATTTCATGACAACTATTTGGTATTATTTCTGTTTACTTTTCTTCAAAATTATTTAAAGTTTCAATAGGAACCAAATTATTTGTTTCTAAATTTTAATTATTTTGGCTTATTTTAGGTCTCATAAGAGCAGAGTTGCATCTAGAATTAGTTAACCTAATAATTTTTAGTTTATTTTGTAAATTTGTATGATCTATTTTATGATATTTAGAAGGCGAGAATGCTCTCTGTTATTATTACACTGTAGAAGAATAAGTTTGTACTTAGTTTAAGCAGGAGACGGTTTTAGGTTTACTGACATTTGAATTATTATAAATGTTATTGTTTAGGATTTAATTTTATTAACTATTTATTGATTATGACGCTTATTGTAAAGGTGTTGCATTGTTTGATATTTATTATTGATTTGTAATTTAATTATTTACATTTATTGAATTATTTGTTTTCTAACTACTGTTCATATATAAAGTAGAATTTTAAATATAACTAGGAGGTGGAGTAAGTACTTGTGAATTATATTTCCTATTTTTAGTAGCAGCTGATTTAACTATAAACATCTTTTAAGTAGCAACTTATGAGAAATTTCCCAAATCTCCCTTCTTCTAAAAATTTAATAAATCCTCATTTTATGAAAAGAAATATTATTAAAAAATAGAAGATTAATAAATAGTATTAGCATATAACTCTCTATCTTCTTTATCTCTTTCTTCATTTACTTATTTTATTTTTTTAGGAAACTTGTTTCTATATTTATCATTATAATTCTAAACAGTGCTATTTATATATAGATTTCTCTGCTTAGATTATTCGTATATTTAAATGTATACTAATTTTATATCATCAACTCCTTTTGCTCTCTTCATTTTCTCATTGAAAGTCTAAATATTTGAAAAATCTATATCTGATATCACAGAATTAACATTTGTTTGTTTTGTTATCTTCATTTCTTTCTCTTTTGACACAAACTAATAATTTTCAAAATATTAGAATAAATAATGTAAAAAATTTTATAAATATCTGAATCAAATAATTTTTTAACTTTTATTTTTTTTTTTTAAAAAATTTATTTATTTAAAAAAAATATTTTTAGATTTAACTCTTTATTTTATCATTTACGGTATTACATATTTATCATTTTTGATATTTATTTTAGTTTATTTTAATTATCAAGAATTAATAATTTTTTACCCATGATATCTAAAGAGTAGAAGGAAAGACTGAGAGGTCACTTTTTTTTATTGAAGGATTATAAATTAAATTGGATTAAACTTGCTAAGTACTAGGATTTCCTTAATTGTTTAGCCTTTATCTTAGAGGTGATCTGGCATTACTAATATTCATAGGAGTTTGTCTAGGAGATATTTTTTCATCTTAAAAAGGACCTTCAGTTGGAATAGATTTTTTATTTTATATTAATTTTAGTGGAGAACTAGCTTGCTACTGGACTTGTTTTGCTAATAAGCTCTTTCTTCTTTTATTTTCATTTTCGTTGTTGACTTGTTTAGAATTCTAAATTTCTTTAAAATCAATGTAGTTATCTTTTACACTATTTTTACAAGAAAGTTCGTTTTCCTTTTACTATTCTTCTTCTTTTGCATAAATTAAATCAGTTTTAGGTATTTGCTGCTATGCTTGGTCATCATTAAACTATTTTAAAATGTTTCCAATAAGCTTAATATCTTCATTTTATTTGGTAAGAGAAATTGATTTTTTTTTTAAGATAATATTATTATTATTATCATAAGATTCTGCTTTAGAAGAGAGTTAAGAAATTTTGTTTTCTGTTTCATTGATATTGTTTTAAATAACAGCTCCAACTTTTGAAAGTTATATTTTAAGACTAGAATGTTAATTATCAGAGTAATTAGTACAAGGAATTTAGGATTTTGACCTTTAATTTTACTTGGTTGGTTAATAGGTATTATTTTGATTGTTTATTGAATTTTAATTATTATTTTAACTATTTTGCGTTTACTATATTCCTCCTTGTTAATTACTTCCTGTCTGCTTATTTCTTTGTATTGATAAATATATCATAAATTTTTTAAAATAATCTCTAGAGAACTCTACTAAGTATTTCAACATATCAGGCACAATTGAAATCTATATTTTTATAAAATGTTGATTAATCACAAATGCATTTAAGATAAGTATATTTAGATTTTTTGTTTTCACATAGAAATGCAAATCCATTCTATATTAATTCAAATTTTTTATTTACATTATTAGATCTTGCAACTTAACGAAGAGTTAATCTAAATTCATATGCTTGTTCAAAAGGAGAAAAAAACTCAGTAAAAATTTTTAAATATATATCTAAAAATCTTTTATTGAAATCTTCATCATACTGAAGTGTGCTTTTTAATTGAAATTCTGGCCAAATTAGTTTCATTATATCAAGTGATTTTTCGCATAATATCCTAAGAATTTAAAATAATATAAATTATCTGATAAATAACTTAAAGATGCTGTTTTTTAATAAAGAAAATGAACTATAAAGCAATTAATTTTTTAAAAATTAAGATTCGTTCATTACTGTTTTTATTCAAAAGTATAGTCTTTTAAAGCTTTTAACACGTTAAGTATCCAATTTTCTTTTTCTGTTCTAAATTTTTCATCTTCTTTAGCTTTACGGATGTCTTCTACTTTAAGCTATTCATTTTAAGTTGATAAAACTTTATTTAGCTCATGAACTTTGCTTATTCTTATTCTAACTAGCTAATAAATTTCATCCATTTATCAACTTATTTTCTGTAATTTTAAATGCTATAAAAATATAATTGTTTCAATAATGACAATTTATATTTCTTTAAATAAAAAGAGAGTAAGATATTTTAACTATACAATATTATCTCTTATTGCTATTTGATTAATTAATACTTTGAGATTAATTGATTGATTAATATTATTAGTTCTCTACTCAATTAACCATCCAATCTCAATATTTTTTACATCCAATAACTTTTAATGTTCATTATATATTTCTTAATATATAATTCAAAAATAAAAACAACCATATCAATAATGATTAAATTATATTTTAAGCAACATGCACTTACCAAAGGGATTTTAACTAACTCAAGTTTTTTCACATAAGCTTTTAGCAGAAACATCTAACTTTTTTAATTATAATTTCCATTTTTAAAATTTTAAGAGAAATCTATTTTGTTGATTTATATCAGTTTAAAATAGAAAATTATCTTTCAAATTAACTTCTATATTTAATTTTAGTTATCATTTTATATTTTTTGAATGATAAATATTTAAAAATTTTTTTAAAAATTAAATGTGATAAAATAAATTGATATATTTTAAAATAATATTTAAATTGTTATTAATTACTAATTAATCAATAAATTCCTAATTTTTTTCTGAAGATTTATACATTAAAAGTTTTAATTTGTTGATTTTTTTCAATTATTTTAAAAAAAAATATCTTAATAACAAATTTTAACACAATTACTTATTATCTAAGTTTAAAAAATAAATCTTTATCATTTTAGAAAAATTGTTGTTGAAAAAACCTAAAATATAAAGTTCAATAATGGTTTAAATTAGATTTAAATTTAAATATTTTATCTTATTTATATCCTAATAAATGTAAATATTTAAATTCTAGTAAAATTTATAAAAAATTAAAAGATTAATAAATATTTTATATTAGATTGAATAATATAAATATAAAATTATTAAAATTTTAATTTTATTCAGTATCCTTTTTCTTTTGTTTTTTATAAATAACCATTAAATAAGTTATCTAAATTAACAATATTAATTTAAAAATATATAAAGATTATTGCATTTAAAATTATTTATATTAATATAAAAATATATAATAATGAAAAATAATATTTTTTATTATGAATAATTCAAATGTTTTGATTTTTATTTATCTCTCTTTAAGTAACTTAGAATTATTAAATTTCAGATTAGACTAAACCAGTAATAAAATCTAAATTTAATTTTAATTTATTTTTTTTGTAATAATAAAAATATTTGTATTAAAAAAAAGATAAAACTACTGTTTTTTATCATTAAATAATTACAAAAAATTTTTTTGGTGAAAATTAAAATATTTTTTAGGAGTAAAAGTAACTTAAAATTTTCATTTTTTTTATAAGTTGTTAATTAAAGAAAAAACAGTATGTAGTAGTTGAATTTAAATTACTTTTTATCTGAACGGTAGAGTTTTTACTAAAAAAATGTAATACTATTGTATATGAAAATTTAATAGATTTTAATAAAGCGGGAATCAATAATTTGTAATAATCTTAATAATGAAATTTATTTATTTATATGTTTGTTTGTTTATGAAAATATAGTCGTTCAGTATTCAGATAGTTGTTAAGTAAAATCAAAATTAAAAATTAGCAAATTTCTAAATTTATAGAAATAAAAAGAAATCAACAAAATAAACAAACAAACAATCAAACAAACAGATCGAATAATATAACAATACTTGTTAAAAAATAAGCTTAAAAGATAAAAAAGCACTTTCAAATAAAATGTTTTAAACTCCAAAAATGAAGTTATTCAATTTTGAGTAGTTTTAGTTTATGCTTAATTAAATTTAAATAACTTAGCTAAACGAATCAACGTCTCCTAGCAGCAAAAATAATATGAAATAAAATCCTTATTAGATTTTAAATTAGATTATTGACAGGAGGTAGACAAATGCATAATCTTCAAACTTAGATCTCAACTCTTATAACAGTTAAAAGTAATTATAATAATGCAGCGTAAGTTGTTAATAAAATTACTCTTCTCCTAAGAATTAGTAGTATATTTTTTCGAATACCACTTAGAATATAGGTTAAAAAGGAAATGTTTAATCCCTTAAATAGTCTAATAGCAACAAATCTATCGGAGCATATTCTTCAAGGTCTAATTAGTAAGATAGGTAGCAAATTTTATAATAAAATTTAGAACACAAAAAAAGCATAAAAATAAGCAATAGCAACAGAAATAATGATTTGGTTGGTACAGTTTTAAATACTGCTCCTTGCTATTCTACAGTTGAAGAATGTAGCGATCATGTAAGGGATCTGAATATTTCATATGAAGCAGCAGACGAGACTATGTAAATGAAAGAATTAAGCTGCTCTATTCAAGATGATTAAATTGAAGAAGGCATTGAGAAATAATAAAAAAACAATAATTATAATTTGAATTTGAACAATTACAACAAAAGCAATTAAAGATCTTCTTCTTTTGATAGGAAGATTATAAGCAAGAATTAATTAAATAGAATAGAAGATGATAAAAATAATCCTACAATAATTTCAAGATCAAATTCATAAAACTAACTGGACCCTCTTTTACAAAACTTGAATGTCAAAAAAATGTGTGAAGTTTAAAAGCATTACTGCAAAAAAAGAATCCGTGAATTTAGATAACCTTGCGAAGATATCGTCTAATATTAGGAGTTTATAAAAATGATTAATTAAAGATGTAACAAAGAGAATACTACTAACTTAAGCTCCAACCGCCGAATCAAAACAGAACATTCACAAAATAGTTTAAAATAAAAACCCCCAACAGCTTAGTATTAATTTAATTAAAGTTAAAACTCGATCAATAGCCATTAAAATATTTTATCTAGCAACAGCACTTAGCCTTAGCAGAATTTTGTAAGTAATTGTAGTTAAACTTGCTATAATCAATATTAACCATCATTTTAAGGCTGTTAATATTAAATCGCTTAAGATTAAATTGCTAACTGCAATATCTTAAAGCCTAAGCAAAATAATAACTAAATTCTAAATACCTAGAACGAAACTACATATAGTGAGTTGAATTCAAAGATATTTAAATTTAAAAAGAAAAATTAGCCCTCTCTTTAAGAAAATATTTTAGCACATTAAATATAATAATAACACTTTTCATAATTTAATTCTAATAAAGAAAATAGTTTATGTGACGTTACAAGCTAAAAAAGTGGAATTAAAATAAACACCAGCTACAATTAAACCTAGAAAGTTAATTAAAATGCATCATTAAACAATTAACTTTCTATGCTTATTGGATCTCGTGAAAATTCTATTTCTAACTATGATAGTAGAAACAGCAAAAGCTACACAGCTAATTAAAAAGTTTAGTAAAAGCAAGTTCCATAAAATGTGATATGCCCCGCTATAAAATAAGCATAATAAACTCAATTAAAAAATATACCTCAAAAAAATTAATCTCCATTTTACTCTAAAGGATCTTAATAAGAGAGAGAATAAAAAAATATTATGTTTAGAGAGTAGAGAACAAATTCAAATGTATCTTACAATAGCAAAAACAACACTAGCTTTAATGGATAACAGACTAGTAAAAATTGTAATTAGAATATTATTCCTTTAAAATTATAGAATCCTCCTCAATTAAACATCTAAAATCCACTAATTTCATAACGTTCACGTGTCAGTACAATGGAAGGATATGAAAGAAATCAATGTGAAAATCCTTAAACTCATAATAATCAAAAGTTATCTAATTTATAAATTTACCGTCAAAACAATATTTCAAAATCATCAGATACCACTTCTACTAACCAATATTACTAAAACTTAAACTTAATAACCAACTAAACCAATATTTGTGGATAAGCTTAAAATTTTAATAGCAATAAAAATGTTGTGCCCTTCAATTAATCTTATTACAAAAGGTAATAATAACAACAACAGTAATAATAAACAGTAAAATTCACAAAAAACTTAAAATAGTTGAATTTTAATTGTCTTAATTATATCAGAAAATATAAGGAAATTATAGAGCTATAAATAGTTCCATTTATGTAAAAAATCCCTCATGACGACATTTTAGAACACCAAAATGCCTATAAGTAATCTTTACTAATAATGAGTGACTAAGTTGATATTTCTAGCTAAGAAGACTTGTAAAACTTCTAAGATTTTCTTTCATTACGCTCTAAAAACATTTACAACCAATTTTTATCTAAGTATGGTATAATGCTCTAAATTTGAGTTATACAAATTAAAATGCAAGCAAGAAATCATACATATAACATCAAATTGACATATTTTTCAGTATTATATTTTAATTTATTGTATATTAGCATCTTATCATATATAATCAATATAAAAATTATAACTTTTACAATATCATTTATTTTTTTTAAAAATGTTAAATAATGATTATATGTTTATCAATAATTAGTTTAGAACAGAAGAATATGCAATTTTTGATGCCTCTAGTTATAGAAATAGTAAATTATTAAAGAAGGATTAATAAATACTATTTTCCAATTTATGATCAAAAAGATATTTGAGAGATAATATTTGCAAAAAATAAATCATAATCATCATTAATTTTTATTTTGTACATAAATGGACAAAAGACATAATAGCTTCAAAACTAAGCCAAAAAATAATTTTGTCTAAAAGAAAAATGCTGGCACATTTACACACTTTGTTAGCGTGCCATTGAATGATCCTCAAATAAAAAAATAAATCAGAGACTTGTAAAATAATATTTATAATGATATGAGTGAACATTAAAAAAAAATTGTTTCTCCAAACAATCCAGACATATTTCATATAACACTTTCCATGCTAACACTCCCTAGATAAGAGCTTAAGGATAAAGCTTCTTAGGCATTACTAAAATTAGGTAAATAGTTTTCAGATTTGCATAAAGAGTCTGTCTCTGTTAATTTAAAAAATTTGGGATACTTTAAAAAGTCTCATAGAAAATATCCTGGAAATGATGAATTTGATGAATTAAGTTTGATATATTTGGATATAACTCAAAACGAATTATATGAAAAATTAGAGTAAACATGCCATTTGATAATTAAAGAATACATTTCATAAGAAATTATTCACGAAGACGATTTAAAATCAATGAACATATGCTTTAAAAATAGCTAATATAAACCCGAAAAAATGCATATAACATTATTTAGAATTCGAGAATAATAGTATCAAGATGACTAAGGAAAATATTAATGCTATAACTGGAGATCTCTATTTTAAAAATACGGAAATATTGACTTAGGGCAAGTTAATGTCCCACATATTGATATATCAACTCGTTTTGAATATGATGAAGAGAAGTTTTATAAGCCTCTTCTCCGTCTGTAAATTGCTAATTTGGCTGAAAAAAAATAAGAATAAAGTAACTAAATTAACAATGAGGAAAGCAAATAAAATTGATAATATGTAATAAATAAATAAGCTTGATATAAATAATCTATCAAAACCTTTTTGTAAATTTTCATGTGAAAACTTTATATAAAAAGTAGTTTTTAATTTTTAGACTGAAGAAAAAATGTTAATACTGATTTATTTATTTATTGACTGGCTATTATTTATTTTTTAAAAGCAAAAAATTTTAATTTTTAATTATGAGATTTAATGATCATTTAAAGTATTTTAAAAAGGATTTATATCATTCTATTAAATCAAATTTTTAATTTTTTGTTATTATGTAAAAATAAACTAAGAATGAATTCATTGATACATACAAACATATATACATAGTAGTATTTTTTATATATTAATTGAATGAAAAATTAGAAACTTGTTTAATAATTAATTTAATAATAATTTAATTTTTGATAAGTTATTCTTTAAAAATTTTAAAAGGCCATTTTTTACATCAATTTAAATAGCTAATCTAGATATTGAATTATTTTCTATTATAAAAATAATAATTTAATTATAATGAGCAATGTTCCTATGCTAAATGAGTGCGGGTATATAATTATTCCCATTTAAATTGTTTGAAACTTACTTAATATTTGTTTTGATACTATTTCATTGCTTAACAATTTATAAACTTTTCTTTATTTAGAGCATGTAAAATGAAATTCGAAAATGCAGCTTAACTTGCAAACCACGTTAAAAAAGTAATTAAATTGTTTAATAAAATGTTCAGTTTAGATTTTTTTATAAAATGGTATGCAATTAGTTTTGTTCTAATAGTGATTATAATAACCTCGATAAGCTTAATAAAAAATATAATGAATTGAGACAGGGGAATGGATCATTGAATTAAAATTTAGACTAAAAAGATCAATAAGCTTTAAATATTGGACCGTTAACAATTTCACAAGCTAAAGGATTGATGAAAACATAGGATCCATAATTTAAAGAATTAGAACGTGTTGCATAAAAAAAAAGAGAAGAAGAACTAGAAGAATAACTATTAAAATATAAATAAGATAGATAAGCCTTTAGAGCTTAGTAAAGAGAGGATGAAGAAGCGTTGTCTTCACTATATAACAAATACGAATCTAAAAAAGATCTTGAACTGCAGCAAAAGGTAGAAAAAGAATATATTTAAAATTCTCTTAATGATCCTAAATTGAATATTCTTTAAAGATAAAATCTTGAGCAACTTTAAAAATAAAGAGAAAATTTATTAATGAAATAAACTTAGTTAGTAGATAATGTTAGCTAAATGAGAGGGGTAATCTATCTATCTACTTATTGAGTTTTTTTTATAAAATTTATACAATTTAGTATCTAAATGATTAAAGTAAATAATCAATTATTTTTCGTGAATAAATAAGAGCACACCAAATATGATGGGACAAAGAAACTATTAAGATTTAGCAATTTAAGAAAAGAGTGACAAGCTTAAGCAATTAAGATAATAATAAGAGGACCTTGAAAGGGAAAGGTTGAAAATAATGTCAAACGTAGATAAAGCTAAAGCAAATGATTATAATAACTTACCTAAATCTTAACTTAGCAAAGCAGGAGCAAGTTTAGTCGGCTTCAACAATAATCCTCAATAACATTAATTTTAGCAAGAAATTTACAGTAAAATAATTTTTTTGATGTTTTTGTTTTAAGTTTTAGAATTCTATTAAAAAAAGCAATTAAATACATTAAGATAAATGTCTAAATAACTCCAAAATATATTAAAATAAACCATTAATTTTAAAATATTTAATTAAACAAAAAAATTACTTCATCAAGATAAAAATATTTTTGAAATTTAAAATTAGACAGACCTTTATCAAAACATAATAACTATGATAATAATTAATAATAAAACTTTAATCAGTAATAATAATACAATCCGTACTAACTGAGAACTTAGTCAAGTAAAATTAATTTAGTATTGCAAATGTATCTTACAGCTTTTGCTAAAAAATAGGGGATCAAATCATTGAGTAAGAGAAATAAAAAGATTGGAAAACTCATTCTTAAAAGATGTTAGATGATTTAGCTAAAGCTAGAACAGATTATTTAAAAGCTGGTGGCAAAGATCCTAAAATTATATAAAATTTTGATAACTTGGAAAAATTTTATTTAAATCCAAGGCTTAAATCAGCTAATAGGATAAACAGTTCTTTTGACATTTAATCTGTTTCTCCAGCAACTAACAATATTCAAAATGTGAACAAAGCTAATTTACCTGATATGTAAATGCAAAATTAAATGGCATAAATGGTTTAACAACTATAATAATAAGTACTTGCTCTTTAAAAAGAATCTTAGTTTTCAAGAGTGCTATTACAATAAGAGTAAGAGTAAATGAGGTTAAAATAAGAGTTAGAAGCTCTATAAAAAGGATCATAACCTATTATTAATCAATAAATAATACCAAATGAGCAGGCTGTACATCCTTTTAATAATCCTGTCATGTTTGGAAAAAATGGTGATCCTATAGTCTTAAATAATTAAAATAATTTTACTCTTTCTTAGATTAACAGTAAATTGCATGGATTTTCTGAGCATGGAGAAAACCCATTCTCCATTTTTACCCCTCAGTAAGAATTTCTACTGCAAAATGAAGTAAGAACTGTAGACTTAGACGAGGAAGAAAGAATTTTAGCAAATTTATAGAAAGAAGAGGTTGATCAGCTAAGAATATTAAGTCGTATTCCTGTAGGAACAGAACTATATAGGTAAAAAAAATATGATAAAGTAAAAAGAAATAACATTTAATACTTTTTTTATAGATTTAAGATGGAATAGTATAAAGAACTCAGCACGGTAAAAGCAGAAATGGAGAAAATAGCTAATGAATAAAAACTGCAAAGGTTAAGAATGGAATTTGAATATTAAAGAAGAGAAGAAGACCGCTAATTTGATAATGAAAAGTGATATTTTAACATTATTTTTAACCAATATTTTTAAATAAATTAATATAAAATGAAAAGATGGAATGATGATTAAAGAAAGTGGATTCTTGCATAAAGAATAAGAAAAGATCTAGGTCCTATAGGTGGTATAAAATAATATGATTAAAATGATGGATTAGTCGTTCATTGGGATTATATACTTGGGCTTCCTAAAAGAACTAATTTCTCCCAAGTAGTATTTGGAATATTTAATAGAAGTATGGAATTTTATAAAAATTAAATTTATTCCTAATAATGTTTATTAAAAATAGGCGACACATTATATTCCCCTAAAATAGTTGATCCTAAAGAATGCGAAGTAATTATTCAAATCCTTTTCTTGTTACTTATAAAATATATTATTTATTCTAGGTTGAGAGTTCTGAAACTGTCAGATGCATTATTGGAGATTCTCACTAAGTAAAATTATTATGTTATTTACAAAATTTTTAATTGATTTAAACTTTATTAATTCCTTAGATATTCGATATTCCACCAAATCCTGATGCATTATTGATAATGGAAGTATAAATACCTTATTCTAAGAAGTAAGGAGAAAATGTTAACAAAACAGAAAGCTATGGCTGGACTCAACTTGATTTATTTGATTTAAAGAGAGAGCTAAAGTATACATTTTAATTTTTAAATATTTTTTTAAAGAAATTAATTAATTAATTTTAGGAGAGGAAAATTCAAATGTCCTTTGTATTATCCTCCAACTGACTAAGCTATTACAGTATAAGAAATTAAATAATTGGAACCTATACCTGGTGCTTGGATTTACTTAAGGATAGCATATCCTAACGATGATGATTTTAGTAAATAGCGTTCAAGATATCCTGATCACACTATGCATGAATATATAATACCTCAAATTCACTTAAGAAATGAGTTAGGTGCTAGGACAGCTGTTTAAAGAGCTCCTGTTATGCCAAAAAATCCAAATTAATCTTATTTACCTAATATGTCATATAATTAATAAGATAACTCTTAATAGATGCAAGATATAACGATGCAAAGTTAACCTGTTTATGAATAACCTCCTGATGATGGATTAAGAAGAGGTATTTTTTTGTTATAAAAAATGATATAATGTCTAAATTATTTTTAATTAAAATTGCTAAGGATTATCTGTTTCTGTTTTAAATGTAGCTAACTATTAAGCAACATCTAATATTAAAGTAAATGCAGCTCTACTTTAATATAACAAACCTGTATATGATGACTAGAATAATATTTGCAGTTTCACTACATCAGTTCATAATCCTTATTCAGAAGAAAGAATGGATGATTTACCTCTAAACACTGTTATTCCGTTACAAAAATAAATCCAAAAGGTAAAATTTAAATATAATTACATTATATAAGTAAAGTTTACTTAATATTATTAAGATAAATTGTCAAACTAAAATTAAAATTTTGTTTAAAATTGACTTACTAATTTAATAACTGGTGATAAATAGGGAGACTTTATGAATAACAAATAATTTGGAGAAATTATTAAATGGCATGAACAATATGAATTTTTAAAAAATATTCCATAACTTTTTTGGTCAAACGATAGAAAAGATCTTTATGTAGGTATTTAAGTTCTAGAAAAAGAAAAACCTAAAAATATTTAAGATTAAAATGATAAAAATTCACATGAAGGAGTATACAGTACAACAGGATGGAATTTTATAAAAGTAAATAAATAACCCAATATAATTAATTCATCAAAATATTTTTTAATTTCAAATTTAACAACTATAGGTAAATAGGCCAGATGGATCAATTAAATCAGGTATTTATACTGTAGATTTATACAAAGGTACCCCATAAAGGACGCCTATAAACGAAGAGAACCTCTAAAAGACTGGCAAAACAGCTACAGTTGTAATATAAGAGATCATTTATGATGATTCTAGATTTAGAAAAACACCTACAAAAGCAAAAGAGTACTTAATAATTTTTTATATAATTTTTTCTAATTACTTTTTTAATACTTAACACTAGTAAACCAAGACCTACAGCAGAATAAACATCCAAAGTTTATGATGAAATAGATAATGCTGCATTTATTTAAAATATTAAGCCTTAATACAAGACTAAAACTTTCTAAAAGAGAATGGGTATTGATTTCTATATTGACGCTTTGAGGTACCTACCTGATAAAGTTACTGTCTCAAAAGTATTTCAATTATTATTTGTCTTCAATAAAATTCATTAAACTTTTCTTTTTTAGATTTTTATGGAGGTCTTTAATATAAATTACGAAGTTATTTTTGAGGCACAAACCTGCTTACCTGATAACAACTCATTTTCATATAATCCTACATATAATTTTAGGAGAGAGTTAAGAAAGGATCATATTGACCCAACTTCAATAGCCTTAATGACTATTGTTACTCATGATAAGGCAACTAATGCAAACAGAATTGTTGGATTTGCTGCTATACCATTATTTATTACAACAGGAAAAGAACCATAATTTCCAAAAGATTAAAATTTATCTGTAATTAAGCTTTTAAATAAAAATTTATATTTAGAATATATTTTATTTTAGGATGTATTTTTATTCAGTGGATCTTATTAATTACCTTTGATTTCTTAACAAGTAAAGAGGACAGTTCCCTTCACAATAGAAAAATTGTAAATTTTTAATGATAATTCTGCAAGTCAAAATAATATTTTTTTATTAATAGGTATGAATTAGAAAAACTACCTTGTGCCTCCATATTAGTTAGAATATATGCTGCTCCTATGGATGATCAAGGTTTACGTGCGCTTTCTATTGCTGATTTCACAGATTAGAAAGTTTGGCTTTAAAAAGGTTTATTTCACCCAAGGCCTATTTATGGCAAAAAGGTATTCTTTTTTTTTTTACTCAATAAATAAAATTACATTTATTAAAAAGGTTTACAACACATCGTTGTATAAAGCAACAGATGCCGAGATAGATCTATTTCCATTTAGAGCATAAAGGTTTGAGGATAGTATTAGAGAATCAGCTTATCTAATTGCAAAAGGGTTAAACATAAATAAAAAATTTGTAAATTGAATTTTTTTGTTTTGAATACAATATATATTAACATTTTTATTCATTAGTCAGATGCTGAGCTCACAAATTTCTTAGATGAATAAATTGCTTTAACTGATGATAATTATATGATGGATATGATGTATTTTGCTAAATATTCTCAAAAAGCTGGTGTAAAGTTTATTATAGATGGCTTGCATTAAGTACCAAATGAAAATTAACTATATGTTGCCTTCTTTTCTATAAATCCTCCTTTTGGTGGCTTTTATCCATATCTTCCAAGTGGTAACGAATCTGATGAAGATGATCCAGAAGACGCCGAAAATCCAGAATTCAGAGTTTATTTATAAAAAAAATAAGACTTGAAAAATTAACTGGAAATGCAACAACAAAATGTTTAAAATACAGAAAGATCTAACTAAGGAGGATATAATTTCCTTCAACCAGATACCTCTGAAGTATCAATTTAAAATATTTTTAATTGTTTTTATTCAAAAATATAATTTAAAAGGTAAATCTAAGTTCTGTATATTTTTGGGAATCTGCTGCAGGAAGTCCTTAATTTAACAATAATTGGGCTACATTTAACAAAGAATTTAATCGTTATCAAGTTGTAGTTGTAGATGTAAAAAGCATCTCATTCAAGAGTGTAAGATTTTATAAAAAAAACTGCACTAAAAAACATTTTTTAATTAGGTTGATCCTAAATTTGAAGATGTAGGATGGACTATAGTACCACTATTTTCTTATGATGGGTATGTAAATTCAGGAATATTTTAAATTCCACTCATTAAAGGACCTGTTAATCCACAATTCTTGTACTACCTGAGAAAGAAGAATAAAAGAAAATATTAAAATGACAACAGAAGAGATAGAAGATAACCTTGGGAACTCTTGATGGATAAAATGGCAGAAAAGAGAAGTGGATTAAGAATGTTAGAATTTACATCTATAATTTGTAGAGTATTAGATTCATAAAGATAGGTAAATACGAATTTTATTATATTTGAAATTAAATCTAATAAAAAATATATAGGGTCATTTTAATGTTAAATTTGATACTGATAGAATGAACTACTAATATTTACCATAAGACAAAAAGACTAAATACTCTTATAATGAAGCAGTTGCTTTAAAATTGAAAGAAAAAAAGAAGCTTTCTGCTAATATTCCAAATAAAGAAAATCCTGCAAACTTCAATAAAAAAATTACAGATGCTTGCATATAAGGATTTAATTTAGTCAAATATTTGTGAATAAGAAATTTAAAAAATAAATTTTGTAAAATATTAATTAAAAGTAATTTGAAATATATTTTATGCACTTTAATTATTTTTATAAAAAAATAATATTGATTAGATAATCATTTTAATACATATATATAAACTTACCATTTATGTTATCTAAAAATGAAAAAAAAAACTCTAAAATAAATAAACAAAAAAAATAAAATATTGAAAATTTATTTTAATAATTAAAAAGAATAATATTATATCTTAAAAGTTTTTGAATAAAAATAAATAAATATTATCATATTATTTTATTTATGAAGGGTTACGTATGGAAGAACTTATTATTTTTGTTAATAAATCAGAAAATTTATTCATAAAAATTAATTTTTAAAACAATAAATATGAATAAATTTTCATTTTACCTGATCAGAAGTTCAACATTATGAAATCAAATCAAATAATTTATTAATTTACTTTTAAAAGATATCTTATTAGTTGAAATTTATAAAAGAAACAAATTTTGTAAAGTTTTTTAGATCAAATTTTAATTTATAAATCAAATAAATGTAATTTGTTTAAATTTTTCTATTTTTAGCTTTTTTAGTAAAATGTTCTAAAACATTTTAATTAAATTCCAGATAACAAGCACAGATAGTTCCAGAAAGTAAAAATTATTGATAAATATACTAGAATTCAACATTTTAACATTAATTAAAATTTTAAAAGGTTGTGATCAAAATATTTCTGAATAGTTAACCAATCAGAATATTCCCTTTGACTGCATAGATGGCATATTAAAAGTAAAAAGTTCAGTTTAATAAGTGAATTTTTAGCTTATCTTATCTAACTATACAGGCTATAATTCATATATAGTTTTTTAAGATATCGCTTTGCTTAATTTAGACATATAGTTGACTTAGTTTTCTTTAATGTAGCTTTAAAAATAACCTTTAATAATGATTCAAAATGTAATTGAAGTCAAAATTAGTAATCTAACCATAGAATAACAAATATATCTTGAGTAATCTCAAGCTACTTAAATGATTCTATGTGAAAATATTAACAGTTTGATTATAAATAATATGATTTTGAAAAATAATAGTTTTAATTATTTACTTTAAGAGTAAAATTCAGAAATTCAATTCTAATCTTAACAAATTCAATTAGATAGCTTATTAATTGATTCTTATGACGGGGCAGTCTAAATAATTTCAGAATAATAACTAATTATATAAGAAATAATATCAATCAATAGCTTGTAAAAAGATTAAAATTTTACTTTTTTGGTTGAGTGTAACGACTGTTTAATAGGAAGCATTTTAGTTTATAAGGAAAACCAATTTGTAATAGATGTAATATCTACATCTTTTAATTTTTAAGTTTAACAGTAATTAATAATATAAAATATAACCCTAGTAACAGATTAAAATTGTCACTTATGTAACTACCAGTGGTAATTTAACAATTAAACTAGTTAAGGTACACAAATCCAATCACAACAGTTTATTTAAATAAATTACATTTATGTAACATAAACATTTTAATCTTAAAAATTAGAAAGTTTAGGCAGTATTTTTATTTATGCTTCTGATATCAATTCCTTTACAATTAAAAATGCCCTTTTTGAAAATATTACTTCTTCTAACTTAGCTATCTCTTTTAACAATATACATTAAGCTTAGTTCACAAATATTCAAGCTTTGAACAACACTCATATTGTGGATTTTTTTACAATTATAAGGTCTAGCTAAGTCAATTTTCAGAATTTTTTCATTGATTTTATTACTGCTAATAGTACTAACTAATTGATAACTTTAAGTACTTTTACTCAAGCTTACTTTGATAGCTTAATGCTACCTATAAATCCTCATTTAGGAGAAGAGATATAAAAATTTAGATCAGGAAACCCCCTTATTACTGTTGTTGATGGATAATTAGTTTAGTTTAATAATTCATAAATCAACTTAAAAAATGTAGACTCTGCTTTTATTATATTCATTGATATAAATTAATTTATTTCTATAAATACAACATTTTAAAATATATACTCTTATAAAAATTCTAATGGTGGATGCTTGAATTTTGGCAATACAAACAGTATCACTCTAAATCTTACGGATACTATCTTTGATAATTGCATAAGTTCATAATTTGGAGGTGCAATATTTGGAGGTATATTAATAAAAGCCAAAAATGTTTTAGTTACTAATTGTAGAAGTGAAGTAGGAGGTGGGTTTTTCCTGAGCAACAAATCTGATTTATTAGAGTTAAAAAATATAGTTTTCATTTTAAATGAAGCAACATTTTATTCCGATGACTATCTTCTTGGATTTAAATCAATAACAATAGATTCAATTTATGAATACAATTAAAACTTAGGTGGTACTGACTTTTATTTTATGCAAATAAATTAACAATCAAATAATACTTATATGATGTATTCTGGTCTTATTTATGCTATTTATTTTAAAATATAAATGAATGACAAAGATCAAAAACAACTGGACATTCCTGTAAACCTTTATATGTTTTGCTAATTGGACAGTAACCTACAGTAAAACTTTTAACAGTTTTAAATTCCTATAATGAATAATCTCCCATACATGGTTTTGTACTAAAACCCTGCTAATTTTTTAACTGATTAAAAGATAGTTTTAAAATTCGCAGATTCATTTACTATTGATTAAACTTTTACCATTCCAAATGGGTTTTGTACTGAAGGAATGGAGTTAATCTAGTTAGTCAGTAATCAATATATGTGTAAATATTGTGATTAATAAAAAGCTAACTATGACTTTACTTTTATTTTAGATACAGATCAAAAGTAAAGCTAATAACATGAAATTCATGCTCTCAATATGAAGAATGAGAAAAATATTAATTCTAAAAATGTATTAAACACAGATGCTAGGAATTAAATCAATAAAATTGATTATCCTTAATATAATTCAAATTATCCTTATTAAAATCAAAATTAATAATTAATTCCTTTTTAAAAACTATAAATATCACAATGTTAAACTTGCAATCCAAATTTTTTTGAATCATGCTATGCAAATTATTCAAGTTTAAAATCAGGCTTTTGGAGAAATAATTACACTGTAAATTAAACTTTTATTTATCTTTGCTAAATATAGTAAGAAAATTGTCAAGGAGGTTCTTAAACGGGAAATTATCTTTGTTCAGAAGGTTATATCGGACCTTAGTGTCTAATTTGCGATAGAAAAGGAGTATTTTGGAATTAGTCTTTTGGTTAATCTGGGACGTTTTAGTGTAACTTATGCGGAAACAAAAAAGACAACACAATCAAGATTATTTTAACCTTTATTACATTCTACTTTATAATTGTTATTCTAATTTACAGCAATTTTAAAAGTTTAAAGAATATGCTTTTTGCCAATTATTTATCTAAAATGAATATAATTTATATAGGAAATAGTGTTTAAATGTAAGGAGAAACATCGGTGTTAATAAAAACTTTGATGTTTAACTTTTCTATATACCAAGTATCTAATTTTATTTCTTAGAAAAATTTGCTGGATTATCTATCATTTTTCTCATCTAATCCAATTGATGCTTAATTTATTTCTATCGATTGTTTTTTAAATGACTTCTTACCCTCTGATTATAATATAGGAGTTACTAAGCTTGCTTTATGCATTTTAATACCTACTATAGTGTTAGCTTCGATTGTTATAGTTTTACTTATTCTTAAGTTATTCAAAATATTGCCTTTAAAAACTATTTTCAGTATAAGCTTAATGGCATATATATATTTATTTGTTTTCTCATTCTTTACAACTACCTTAGAGTATTCTCTAGAAGCTTTTAAGTGCATCTAACTTGAGTTTGACTAGTCTTATCTTATGATAGATCTCTCATTAAATTGTAATAAAAATAGTAACTCAGACATAGATAAAATAAAAGCAATTGGATTAATAATTTTTATCTTATTTTGCATCATTAGCCCTTTTTTAATATTTTTAATATGCTTTATGGAAAGAAAAAGGTTAAATAAAGTTCAAGTATTTTTAAAATATGGTTTCTTATTTAGAGAATATAAGAAAAAATTTTATTTGTGGGAAGTTGCAAGACTTATGCTAAAAATATCAATAGTATCTATTAAAGTGATATTTATAAATTCTTCTGTTATCTTAGTTACTTTGTATTCTATTTGCTTAGTAATTTATTTAGGAGTATTCTTTTAATTTTAGCCTTTTATGAGTAAAAAGTTCAATAGATTAGAAATTTTAACTATAATAGTAGCAATAATAAATATTCTCAGTTCTTCACTCCTCAGATAATCTAAGCTTTAAAATAATGGAGAGTATGATACATAATAAAGCTTTTCTCAGATATTATATTACTTCTCTCAAACAATTTAATTTATTTATTTCTCGATCTTAATAGTTCTTATAGTTATTTCATTTTTTTCTAATAAGATCAAAAGACTTTAGAAATACAGAGCCTTCTCTTGTTTATCTTACTACTTTCCTATCTACCCTTACAGATTATTTTAAAACTATAAAAAATTAAGAGAAAAAGTTATATCTAAGAGTTATAAAATTGCTTTACAAAGTGAATTTTTACCATTAAAATCAAACGTTCAAATGTAAGACTTGAGTTTAGAAAAATATGTCTAAAGTGAGATCCTTATTTTTAAAAGTGAATGAAAAAATGTATTCACAAATTTAATAAACCAATTTAATTTAATCAAAAAATGAAAATTTAAAAAAATGTATTTCTTTAAAAGTTTATTTAAGAGACTGTGAAAATTAAATAATTACTTAACATAAATATAAAATTTTCATATTAAATATTTTGTTGTCTAATACATAAACTCTAATAAGAATATTTTTCTTCTTTTTGAAAAAAATTAAGCTTTTAGTTAAAATTTTTGAGCTTTTGGAAATTCATCTTAGACTTTTAGATCAATCAAATAAGAAAAGCATTTTATATTATAAGAAAAAAATTTCTTCACAAATGTAAAAAAAAAAGTAATAAATTTATTTAAATTAAAAAACAAATAAAATGTGTCTGTTTAAAAAAAATATTTTAGTTTTTTATGCATTTTTTTTCCTTTTTATTACTTACTTTACATGAAAAGACAAATCAAATTTTATTTAATTTGATAATTTTTCTAGAAAATATAAAAAAGAAAAATTCAGCAAGAATTCGATTCTATCAAAAAAATCAACTTCATTGATTTGTTTGTTACTCATTTTAATTTTTTAGTTTTCTTATTACCTGTTGATTATTTTAAAGAAGATTAAATTATTTTTTAAATATGGTATTTCAAAATAAAAAAAAATCAAAAATAAATAAATATTTTATTTACTGGTTATTTATATTCAAAAGGTATTTTTTTTCTTAGTTCTGCTTTCTTCTTTTGGCGCTGCTACTTTATAAATTAGTTAATCTTATCATTATTTTTTTCTAAAACAATTTATTCGCAAGACTAAAGCTTAAGCCTAACAGCATCTTCCAATGCCTAAATATTAGCTTTGTATTAGCCTTCTTCATCTTTTATTTTTTATTTTAAACTTTCATAGTTAGTTGGGTATTTTTTTCTATGATGTTCTCTGAATATTAGCATATCGTCTTCATCAAAAACTATTTTTATCAAAAAAACAAATAAAAAACTCATAATTTAAAAATAAATAAGTCTACTCAAGTTAAATATATTTTTATTAATATATAAAACAAATGTATCTTATATTGAATCTATTGTTTCTGTTCTGACACCTTGTTCATTAGGGACCATCATATCGTAATAGCCTACAATATCTCCTCCTGAAAACTCAATTGTGTATATAACTTTTTTTCCTTAAATATAGTTTTCCCAATAAACTTATCCATTTTCATCTTTATTGGGCCATTTATTCTACTATTCTAGCTCTACCTACATAGTTTTAATTAGCAATCCTTGCTTTACAATGTAAAAATTATCAATAGGGTCTGTTTCTTTAAAAAGACATTCTTTAGGTGCAAGAAAACGTGCTTTGATTTCATCACAAAGTTTTTCTACTTTATCAGCTCTAAAGTGCCTAAAGAAAGGATGATTTAAAATAAAATTCGAAATGTTTCCCTTTTCGCTAGCAATAGCTCTCTATTTATAATTTAGTTGTTAAAATATGCATATTATGATAAAAATAGCTTACACTTAGACATTGCTGATAATCCATTCTTGACAAAAGTAAAAGATGACAAGGTTTCTTAGCCCTCATGTCTGCATTTCTTTTAAATTTAATTAACTTAAAAAAATATTTTTAAATAAAAAATGGAAAACCTACCTTGGTTTATCTGTTTCAAGGGCTGTTCTTCCAACGAATTCACCATCAGAAAATATTTTTTTAATTACGAACCCATTGATAATAATTTCTACTTGTCCTTAAAATATGATATACATGCAATCACCTTTATCGCCTTATTTACAAACTTATTTATAGAATAAATATTAAATCTAATTTAAAAATATTTTATATTTTATACTGTATTAAGTTTAATCCACGAATTGGTAGGTTAGCCTTTATGCGATGACTTCAAGCATATGAAAAGGCATCATTTTAAATAAAGAAATTTTTTATAAAAATAAAGCGACGATATGTTTTTAGAATGCTGTTCTATTAAAAGTCCTTTTATAAATTAAAATTAATGATTACTAAAATATTGCAAAATCTATTTTATAAATTTACTCCATTTTACAAATTGATATAATCTTTTTATTCATGTCATATTATTCTGATTATTTTAGTTCTTCGTATTTTCTGTTTTATACTATCCATTTAGGAAAAGGAGAGGAATAAACAAAGTTATTAAATAGAGCAACTTCATTTTTTTATTCAAAAATATTAGTTATATTTTTCTTTTCAGGGGATTTGCTTTTTTTAAGTGAGCCTTATCTACTTAATGAAATTTATTTTTAATTTTAGGCTTTAGGGCTTTAGTTAGAGGTATTTGGACGACTTTTATTTGTTTTAAGTGTATCAATTTTTTAATTTTATTTTGTAACAGTAATGACATTGCTTTAGTTTTTTTATTAAGTATTATTTTTGTTATTGACTACTTATTGCATTCTATATTGCTTATATGGCATAAGTGTAGGGCTTTATAACTAATTTGAATTAATCGATACAGGTTAAGAATGTAAAGTGATATAATTTATATGACTTTTATCTCTTGAAGATTAATTTGCACTCATTATTCTTTAAATATGCCTTTTTTGATCAGAAGAGAGATAAAATTTATCTTTTTATATCAAGTGCTCTTATTATTATTCAATTGCATTTAGTTTTGAGATACTGTTTACATATGCCTTTTTAAGCATAAAAAATAGTTAAATAAAAATAATTTTTAAAAAAGTAAGATTATTAAATAAACTAAATGTCTTTTCTTGATGATTTTCTTTAAAAAAATTAAAATTTTAGAAAAAACACATTTGCAAAAATAGTTAAGTTATGTTAAAGTAAGGCTAAGAATTTTAGCACAAAGTAGATAAATTTAAAATTTTTTTCTTTTTTGATAATTTTTTAATCTTTCACTTATTTAGCTCAATAATGTGATTACATTTTATATACTAGTTAAAATTATTGATTAAAATTCTAGAAAATTAATTTTGATTTAATCAAAAATATGATTTTTTTTTTTGCTTTTTTAAAGATTTTTGAATTGTGAAAATATTATGTTTATTCTTTTTAACTATAATTTACATTTAGAAGATAAATACTATTTTTTAATAGAAAATATGTTGTTTGAATGGTTATTATAACTGATTATTTAAGGAAGATAGTAAATCATATGCAATCTTTGGACTACCAATTAAATTTAATAATATAATTTTTACATCTATTTAAGAATTTAGTCTAATCTTTTTTTCGTCAAGCCAATCCTTATAAAAGTGATGCATGTTAAACTATTTTCTATATTAATCAAGCTACTTTTCTTCTTTTTTAGTTAAATTCTCTCCAAAAACTTATTCAGGATACATTTTATTATGTGATGTTGATGGACGAGTCCTCTGCTAAGAATAAAAGTCTTCTTGTGTAGCTCTCTTTACTTTCTTTTTAGTGATAGAATCATAATAAATACTATTAAACTGTTATGAAAGACTATTAGGTGATTTAACTCCTTCCTTTTACTAATATATATTATTAAGATGATTTTTTAAATGTTTGTTTTTATTACCAAGTTTATTTCTTTTTAAACATATTCATATATGTCTTAATTTCTATCTATAATATGACTAAGAGCTAACTTTCTTCTATTTATTTCTCCTGGGTCTGTATCAAGGAATTTATTTGCCTTCTTCTATTTATCTAATTGCGAATCTATTTTATCTTTTAAGTAGATTTCAAACTGAGACAAATGTTCATTATTTTTTTCCCTTTCCTCTAATCTATGTTTCATTTCCTCAATTATCAAAAAAATATATCTTAGGATTATTTAAATTTGTTTTAATATGGCAAACAATAAATAAAAATTACAATAATTTCAGCTTCAGACTCATTATCACATTAATTTTAAATATCATTCTATGAATTTCCAATATTATTTTTCTTTTAAAACATTTTAATCAAGGTATTACTTTTTATATATTTTAAACTTGTTTAATCACTGATGATGATAATAATAATAATCAAATCAATTAATATTAAGATTTGCTATAATGTTAATTTTAATCATTCTTTAATAGCTTTAGAATCAATTAGTCAACTTACGTAACAAGAAAGTTACTTTTTGATTTAAATTATTGAGTTTCTTTATTAGAATATAAAAACTATAAAATATTTTATGAAAGCAATTTTTGGGTTATTTTCCTATTTTTTACATAAAAATGGTCAAATTTTTAATTAATGAAAATAAAATATATTAAATTAGAACTATTCTAAAAAATCATTCAAATAAAAATGTAAACTTTTTTAATATTTGAAGGAATTTAATTAGTATGATAATATTTTATTTATTATAGAGAAATGTTCAGTAGATTAAAAAAAATAGCTTTTGATTTCAGAAGAGGTTAATTAAAATTGTGAATAGAAAAATGACTGATCCTCATTCTTAGAATTATTATTCTTTAACTTGAAAATCAATAAAAATAAAATCTTGTAAATAGCAAATAAAAATATTTGGTAAATTTAATTGATAATCAAATTTCAAAATGGAGGATTAATTATTTATCCTATTAAAATTCAAAAAAAAAAAATTAACAAACATAAATATTAATTATTTGATTTTAAAGATATATTGAAGTCAATAAATTAAATTATTTTTTCATTGAAACTATTAAAGAAAAAAACATGACTTGATATTATAATTAAAGATTTGTTTGTGATTTACTTAGTCATAATTTAAAAAATTTTGATACTTTTTATATTAAGATATAGTCTTTTTTAAATTGAAATATAAAATATGGCATCCTTATTTAGGAGCGAGGAGCAAGCAATTTAAGAAATTATAAAGCTTATCCCTAACAATAGCGAAGACATATCAATTTTCGATATTTTGAAAGCTTACGATACATATATAGGTTAAAAATTTGAATCATTATTTGCTATTTATTTATGGTTGTTGTACTTTTACAAATTCTTTTGAATGCATTATTCAATTATTTCCAGTGAAAAAAGTAATTCTTCTTATTTAACATAAAATCATAAAAAATTATAGAGGAAAGTGGAATTAGCTTTGAAGATCCTTTTGCATATGATGTTTATGAAATTATCATTCATGCATCTAGAAGAGCACAAGACAATCAACTTAGGAGTTTGTTGACAAATTACAAAGAAATATAAAAATTAAAAATGAAATAAAACAGAAAAAATTCTGGGTATTCTGACAATAGTGATAACTCAGAGAAACCATATTCAAAGCAAAAGTTAGCCAAGTAAAAAATATCAAGCAAGTTCAGCAGTAAAAATTAGTCACTTTCACCAACCAACTTTGGTGTGAATAATTAAAAAAATGATAGAAAAGAATACAACATATAGTTTAAAAATTTTGATACCAGCTCAGGTGAAGAAAACGATAATAATTTTGTAAATAAAGAAATAAATGAAATATAAGATATTGAGCATACTCCTAGCTCTCAATATGAATAATAATAAGTGAGAGGAAGACTTGGATAATACCAACAATTTGCATCTAAAATTATTAATTCAGGTTTGAAAATGTCTAATCCTTTTAATGATAATTTATATAGATATGCAACAGAATAAGCAGATTAGCCTAATCGTTATAGCATTAGAAAGTATAGCTACTCTCCAAACAATAAAATGGATAGTAATAATAATCTAAAAAGGTCAGCATCTCCTATTTGTCATCCTAATAATAGAAGCCTTTCACCTCACTTAAACAATTCAAAACTCTCTAACTACCAAGCAAGATTAAACACTAGTAATTCTCACAATAATTCATTTAATAGTAGTGTTAATTAGCAATAGTCTTAAAGAGTAAGATTTAATACACAGAATGCTGATGAATATGTCAATATTTAAAGCCCTTTAAATTCAATTAACAACTTTTAGGCCAACAGATAGATGAAAGGTAATTTGGAGCAAATATAATAAAGAAGATTTATCTAAGAAAATTAGCACTAAACTCTCAATAGATCCATTGATAATTCAGATTTAAATTCAAAGGTAAATGGCATAGATAATAAAAAATATTTATCATTAGAACCTAAAGATTATCAATAATATTAATTTATGCCAGCTAATCATAAAAAATATTTATCTCTTGATTCAAGCACTAAACAAATGCTTAAGTATGAAAATTAAGATAACGAAAAATAAAACTAAGAAAATGTGTAGTACAATTTTGAAAATAGACACAGAAGTATTGACGAAATAGAGGAAGATATTGATTTAGTTAGAAATGAAATGGCTCAAGGATTAAGAGTAAATTAAATCATATGATATTAACAAATAAAAACTATTTTATATATTATCAATATAGAGAAAATGGGTACTACATTACCATTTTGCAAACTGGAAAGATTATATTTAAAGATGGAAAGGAGCAACTGAATACATAAATAAGGAGGAATAAGTAGAAAATTTTATTAAAATCAAGATTTAAAGGAAATTTTTCGAAAAATGGGTAATAAACTAAAAAAAAAATTTTTTTGTTAATATTTTGTTTTAAAATATGTAGGAATAATATGTATAAGAAGAAAATACTTGGAAAGAAGCAAAATTAAATTTTGTTATGAAAAAAAGATAGAATATTTTAAGAAAATGCTTCAATGAATTAAGAGATAGATTAAATGATGGAAAAATTGATAAATATACTTATTATGCAGCAAAATACAAAAAAGAATAAGTTTTAAAGGAAAAGTACTTTTAAAAATTTTTATAGTTCTCCAGAAATCATGTATTTACTTACTTACTATTTTATATATTTTTATTTAAACTTATATTTTTATTTTTTAAAGAGATCAAATAGGTTAAAATTGGAAAGGACACAATAAACTGCCTAAAATAACTTAAAAAAACTAGCTTTTAATCATTTAAAATAGTTAAAATCTGAAAAAAAAGAACGCCAGATAATAAAAGATGATATTAAAATGAAATAAAGTCTGCTTGAAAAGAAAATATCATTTGACAGATTTATTAATAATATAAGATCCATTCTTTGTTTTAAGAAGAAAAAAGAAATACTCAATAAAGCTATAGAAATATAGTTAAAATAGCATTCTCTTTTATCTATGATAGATAACTTTAGAATCATTAAGTATTTCAAAATTTAAGATCAAAGAGCAAGTGAATTTTATAATAAAAATTTATCATCTAAGTTTTTCTATCACTTGAAGTTATTTTTATTTAATAACAGAGAAAGAGTTGAAAATACAGAGGTAATTTAGTTAAAATTTTTTAATTCAAATTTTAAATATTTTTTAACAAAATTTAGAGCTATAATTAACTTAGAATTATAAATAAGCATCATAAATAATGGCAAAAATTTGTTTAACTGAATAAAAGTAAAGAATAAAAATACAAAGATGCGAGAATTCTTTACTTTTTGTATAGAATGATGATTATGATATTAAATGATAACGATTACTAAATTAGTCAGTAAAGAAATATTCAATTTGAGGCTTTTAAAGAATAAGTTTTATACTTATAAAAAATGAATTAAATACTTAATAATTAGCAATAAAAAGAAAATTATTAGTCTTTTGGTAAAGGAGAGAGCGAAGATGAATAAATTGATCCCACTCACTAATCTATGATGCAAAACTCAAGTAGCAATAATAATTTAATGTCAAATCATAAAAAATTACTGCCTAACTAAAAGAGTAAAAATTATTTATTCTCTAGAAGCACTCAAGCAACAGCTATGGGGAATAATGTTAATCCAAATCAAGTTTTTGATACTGTTAGATCCTTCTCTCCTGCCCCTGCAAGATAACATGATAATAAAACTTCTAGAAATGAAAACCATAATCAAGATTAATAATTCTTATCAGAAAATGACTAAAGCGATAATCAGCGTATGCAAAGAAATCTATCTGAATAAAATTTTGTTTATTAAACTCAAAGATAGTCTTAGAGCAATATACTAAAAGTATATGAAAATTAAGAGATGATGAATGAGTAATAAATAAATGAAGAAATTGCAATTTAAATAATAGGACATGGAATATTTTTTACTTATCCTAGTATACTATCTATAAATTATTATAACAAAACTCAAACAGAAAAATTATTTTAATCTCATAGAAATTTAAATCAATTCATTTTAAGTAAGTCTTTTAAGAATTGGGTGACTTTCTTAAGGTAAATTAAATACTTATTTAAATATTAAATTAACTAAAATTTATTTTTAGATCAAGAAATGACTTTAGAAAGAAGATGTTAAATAAAATTTATTAAAAACATTTTGATGCCATGAAAATTTATTCTACAAAATCTTAATGTTTAAGATTTTGTGTTGAAAAAATGCAGAAAAAGCTAAATAAAAAGACTGTCGAAGTATGATATAAATTTTACTTTTAGTTCAAATTATTTACTTATTTATTTGCTTATTTTGAAAAGAATGTTTTTAGAGAAATGAGTTTAAGAGCTTAAGAGAGAAAAAATTCAAGAAATGGTTTTAAAATAATAAGAGAAAAGATAGAGAAAAAATTACTTTAAAAATACTTTAAGATTTATAGAAGAGAATTTTCTTCATCACGTGGATATTCTGAAAACTATGAATAAGCTGGCATTTATTATAAAAAATGGCTTATTGTTTAATCTTTCCAAGCTATCTAAAATTATGCAAATAGATAAAAAATGGTAAAAAATATACTTATTTTTCTTCAAAAGTGTAAAATATTATAATGAAATAATAGGTAAGAGATGTCATTTCAACAAAATTCTAAACTAAAAGCTAAAACTAAATGAGTAGAATATTCTTTGCCTGGAGAATTTATTCTGATAAAAGAAGATAAAGAAACTTTATATATTAACAAATTAGATAGATATATGAAAAAAAGGTTTATAAAGAATGTTTATTTGCATTAGCAAATTATAGAGATAAACACTCAAAGTCAACAAAGTAAAGCAATAATTTTTTATAAGATATTAAAATATTTTTAAAATAAATTTAGGAATAAAAATATTGTGAAATCTTATTTGTTTAACAAATATATTGTGAACACTTTCTAAAAAATACTAAATTATTCTAAAAGTCATAAAATAAAAAGTATTTTGACTGATAAAATTAGAATTGCATATAAGCAAAAGCTTATGTAGAATTATCTCCATAAACTTAAAGATTATAAAAATTATAGACAAAAGAAAGTAACTCTCCAAGCAAAAAATACTGAGAAAGTAGAAAAAGTATTTCAAAAAAAGCATTTTAGGGCTTGGTACAAGCTAGGATGTAGAAATTAAAGCTTCCGTTACTTAGTTGATTTAGTAAAAAGACTATAATTAAGTAGATTTTTTGTTATCATGAAATATTTACGTTAAAGGGATTTCTAAAAGCAAAAAATTATTAAAAGTGATCATCTAATCTTCTTAAAATTAACTATTTTTAATGCTTTTGTTAAGTATTACAGAAAAAGAAAATATGAAAGAAAGAGTCTTGAATATATAAAATGTAGATAACAAATTAATTATGCCAAGTAATCTATGAAGTAATGGAAGAAATTGCATTCATACAATAAAAATGTAACATATTTATGTGCAAAGTCAATCATAGCTATCAAAAACGAAATACTTTTAAAGTACTTTAATAAACTTAAATAAAAATGGTTCTTAAAATCATAAGAAAACAAGTTTATAAAGGAAAATCAAATTAAGATGAAGAGAAAAATCTTACTTGGATTAAGAAAATATACAACTTATAAAATAAATAACTATGAAAACATGATAGCTATCAATGAAAAAAGAAAGAAATAGATTAAATAAAACATTCTATATATTTGGCTCAGAAAGTTATTTAATAAATAGCGTCAAGAAGACGTCTCTAGGGCTATTATTAAATACAGAAAGCATAAAGTACTTCAAACTTGGGCTGATTTGTAATTAAATTTACTTTGAAATTATTAATTAATTTTTATTTTTTACAAATAGGTTTAACATCAAAAATAACCTACATAATCCAGTTAAAGTTTCTGATTTTCAAGGATTTAAGAGATTAGAAGAAACATAAGAAATACATATCATCACAACAAATAGAGGCAAAAAAAGAAACTTAAGATAGTTTTTCTTTAATATGTTGAAATTAAATTAAAAAATTTTACAACAAAAAGTCTTTTCATGTTTAAAAAACTTAATTAATAAAAGAAAAATTGAGAATAAAAAATCAGATTAAATTTAATTTAAATGTGAAACTGATTTATTAACAAAGTACCTTCTGCAATGGTAAAAATCTAGTCAAAAGAAAATAAATAAGTATAATATGATAGTAAAATTACGAAGTGTATTTTAAAAGTATTAAAAGAGGATTGGGTTTGAAGCTATTTAAGGATAAGAATAAATTTATTTGGAATTAATACAAAAATCCAAAAAGGCTGTAACTTAAAGACAAAAATCCATTAAAATGTAAATAAAATATTATTTAATTATAAATCTTATTTGTTAAATATAAAACAGGAAAAGTTTTAACAAGCTTAAAGCATACTATCTTAAGAAAAGAAAAATAGCTAAGAGAAAGCTGGAACTTGATGAACTTGTATAGAGAAATAACACTCTAAATTTCTTTAAAAAGCTAAAGTTTTATGCATATAAAAAGTAGGAAAATAAATAAAAGAATGTATATATTTAAGATTATTTATACTTAAATTTGCTTAAAAAGGTGTTTAATAAGATAAGAACATACTAAATAATTAAGTAGACTTTAGCTTAAAAATCTCTTAAACTTTAATCTTACTTAAATAAAAAGAAGCTTAGAAGAGGATTTAAATAAATTTAATAAAACTTTTCTGAAAGTAAAAGTGATATGTAAAATACCATTTAATCATTAAAGGCTTACAGAATGAATCTTCAGCTTAAATCATTCGCTGTTCTAAGAAAATACATGAATATTTAAAAATTGAAAAGCTAAAAATATAATAGTGCTTTTAATAAATATTATTTTAGTTTAGCTACAAGAATATTTGGAGCATTAAAGACATATATACTCAATAAAAATATTGAAAAAGATAATCATTTGTATATCCTTGATTAATATCGTTAAAGAAAATAAGTCGAAATAAAGAAGGGAATTTTGATGGTTTGGAAATACTACACTAATTAAAGTATAAATCAAGTCTAGCAATTTAGGTCTTGCATTGAAGCTTCAGTTCTAAAATCTAAGTTTGTTGAATGGAAGATTAAGACTCATCTTCTCAAAGATAAGAGAATGAAATATAACATTATTAAAAATTCTAATAATTATAAGCTAAGAGCTAAGCTATTCAAATTATGGTAGTAAAGGGCAAAGCTGAATTTAGTCCTTACAAATATTTTTGTCTATCATGCAAAAATAGAAATTAAAAAAAGACTTTTAAAGTGGAATCAATCTAAAAACTTGTTGAAAAAAATAGTGAACAAATCTTAATAACAAGTTATTTCTAAACCTAGATCAGCAGATGATATTTAAAAAATGAGATAAGTATTTTGCATGATCAAAGAAATGGCTTAAAATACACATTCAATTAAGAAGGATTAAAATTTAAGATAAAAGTAAATTAATGACCAAAATGTCTTTAAGTAGTTTACTTTGCAATTTAAAGCTTCATAATTAGCAGAAAAATTAAATCAGCTAAGATACTTCTCTTCTGCTCAATAATTTATTTTTAATCTAAAGCAAATGTACATTTAAAAAAAGTAGGACAAAGCTCTTGCTAAGAAATCTGAAAGACTAAATTCTCCTAAATTCTAAAAAAACTAAATCAAGTAAATATTTATCAATTAATTTTTTAAAAATCCATTTAAATATTTTATTTTATGCAATAAGGAATTCCATGATTTAGCAAACTCTTAAAGAACAAAAGTTAAAGGATGAATTTTAAAAGTTAAGTAAATTAATAAGCAGAAAGCAAAAAGAGTTACTCAGTGGTAGCTTGCTAAACTTAAAAGATTTTGTTAACTACTAAAATAATATTTAAATTCAAGCTAATTTACATCATGATAGGTAGCTACAGTAAAAAACTTTCAAACTTTGGAAAAAGTTTGTTGAAAGTTCCAAGCAATTTTCAAGTGTAAATTATTCAAATATTTTAAAATTAGAGAAATTTAAAAATATGTTTTTGTATATGATATATTTTTAGGTGCTAGGATAGGTGTTAACTAAGGCTTTAAAAAGATGCTAATAATAGAAATTGAGAGATGCTTTTAGATAAATATAAATCAGATATATAAAAATTAAAGCTGCTAATATAGTTTCTAGCTGTATTGATAGATCAGTAAAGCGCTAATACGCTTAAAAATTATTTGAACTTTACGAGTAATTTAAATCAAAAACACAAGTACTAAAATATTTAATTGAAAACCATTAAATAAAAATGAACACATAAAGAGCAATTTAGTTCTTTAACATTCTAAAAAATCTAAAAATTCAAGCTGAACGCTCAAAGATGAAGTGTAAAGAATATCTATTCATTAGAAGAATAAAATAAATGAAATCAGTGTAATTAAAAATAATTTTATCTAAAAATAATAATGAATATTTAAAAATAATTTAGCTTGACAATATTATAAATCTATACTCAGTATAGAAGAAACAAAAATGACAGATACTAAAAAGCTCATTTATTTTGGGAAAACAAATCGTAAATTTTAATAATTTTGCACTAAAATTAATATTTTTTTTTAAAAGCAAATAAAAATACCTTTATTTCTGGGCCAGAGCTTATTAAAATGCCTAACAATATGAGGAATACTAATAAGATCAATTCGATTAGTAAGAATTTTATGAGTAACAATAAAAATTAGTTGAGAATGAACTTATGTAATAATTGGCTTTACACCATCAGCAATAAGTAAACTAATAAGGAAACATTTAGTAACTAACAAAATAAGAGCAAGAAGAGTAGTTGCGTTATCTTTAGCAATAATATGAAATTTTGAAGTAGCAGTAGCAGTAAATGTTGTAAAAATAATAATAAACTTATCACCAATAAAACTAACAACAAAATTAAAGATATCTAAGTAATTAATCAGAATAATTTTAATCTGATGAGAACGAATATTATAATGAAGAACCAGTAACTTACAGTGATGCAAATTACATAAATATACCTATTAACTATAATCCTAATTCCAATTATGATTAAAATATTGGTATTTAGTAAAAAATAAATTAAATTTAGCAAGAGAATAAATATGATTATCAAGACTAAGACATGGCAGATTTACTTTTTGACAAACCAAGATAATATATTCCCTAATAGCAAAGACAGCAAATTTAGAGTTATGAAAACATTTAAAAGCAATCAAACATAATTCAATAAGAACATCTCATTATCAAAGAGCAAAGTGAGGAACATGAGTCAGGTAATGATTCTTAATTGTAAAAGTATTTGAGAGAGTCCTAATCTTATAATTAAGAGAATTAAAATGACTCTTATTAAAATGATCAAGAAAATAAATCTTAAGAAAGAGAAAGTAAAATAGAATCATATTAAATTTAAAGTTAAAATGAGTCATATGAATAAATTCATTCCTACTAACAGTAAGATAAAGATATTCATTAGCATGATCATGAATTAGTTTAATAAAATTAAAACTAAAGTTAAGGATAAGATTAACATGAAGAATAATAATACACATTTAGCTAAGACGAATAAAAAAGTTCATCTAATACATCTAAAAATATTTTAAATAATAATTATGAACAATAACAATAAAATTTAAGTAATTAGTAATAAAATATGATATAATAATAGTAATTAATTCAATAACAGTAGTAGCAACTGTTATAATAGCTCTAGTAGGCTTAACAATAAAAACAAATAAACATGAGCTTTGAGAATATTGATTAAAATTAAGCAGGTAAATTTAACAAATATTTTTATTATTTATTTAATGAGTATAAAAAAAAATATTTTTTTGTATATTTTAGATAAATCTTAAGTAGAGGATTATAAGGAAGATGATTTTTATAATTAAGGCGAATTTTTGGAATAATCTGAAGAAGATTCTTAAGAATAAACAAATTTTATGCTTTAACAATATTTATTATAGAAGCAAGAGTCATTTGTTCAAATGGTCTTCAATGTTTGGCGCAAATTTACTATAGACAAGTAAGAATTAAACTTTTTATCCTCATATTTAAAAAGCATTTATAAATTAGAAAAATTAAAAGAAATTAAGAAGAAGAAGCTATCGAAACAGCTTATTAAGTTTATGAAAATAATTTGAGCAGGAGAGTATTTTTAGAGTGGAAAGAAGTATGCTAAGAAAGAATTAATATGAGCAAGTAACAAATGAGATCCTACTTATATGCTTGCTTTTCAAGCTGGAAAATGTTTTCTAAGGAAAAAAAATTACTAAAAAAATATTTATCTGAAGCTGAGTTGGATGAACAATTAGCCTACACTCCTTAAACAACCGACAGGCTAAATCTTCTTTTTAATAATAACGATCCTAGATCTTCTTAATAAAAATTTTAGAGATCTGGGTCTTATAATAATTTAGAAGGATCTAACAAAACTTCCTCTGATTCATAAAAGAGTGTATCGTTAGCAAGCGCACTCTTTACTGGAAAGCTCAAAATTTAAGATACTTCTAATTTGGATAAAAATGCTCCTCATTGAATATTTCTCATTAAAAAATTTTATTTTTGGTTTTTAAAAATTGATTTTGTATAATTTAAATGGAATTTATATTTAAAAAATAAAATCAATCTATTTATATTTCATTTTGTAAATTATTTTTCTATACTTACTCAAAAATAACTCAAAGTTTATTTTAAATTTTAAAATTAATAAAAAGAGTGTCTGATAAGTGTTTAAGGTTATTTTTTGTTAGAATAAAATGAGCACGAAAGTTGTGTCTTCTAATTTTAAAAAAAAGAAAATATTTGTAAAAAAAAAATAAAATTAATTAATTAAATTTAAATATAAAAAAATTAAGAAAATGGATAAAGACTCAACCTTCTCATCAGAGAAGTCTTTGATTGATAATGTATAAGTGAAGATTGATGAATTCAAAAAGTAGCAAGGACATCTTGATAGATATCATGAAAAATATAGATTAGCTAAAAAGCTTATTAAGGTTAATATTATTGCTGCTTTTAAAATTTAAACTGAATTTTAAACAATAAATTTAAAGGAATGGGGTAATTTACTTAAAAAGACTAAACAAGGAGCTTAGAAAATAGTTGAAACTTAGCTCAAAAATATGGATATTTGCTACGAAGATGAAGAGTCAATAAATGGAATAAACCAAATTTTAAATTTAGTAAAGGATATGATAAATATCTTTTCTGCTAAAGTAAGTATCGGAAAAACTATTTTAAATTGTTGTTAAATGGTTTCAAATTAAAATATTAGATTGGATTATATGAAAATGAGCTATTGAAGTAGCATCTAATTTTAAAAGAACAAGGAAGTAAATTATACTAAATTAATAAACAAGTAAACATTTTTCTTTATTTAAATGTGTCTATCTAATTTGTTAAATATTTAGGTGAAAGACTCTTACAAAACCGAAAAAGAATTTTATGATCAAATAACTAAAAAATTTTAAGATCAGCAATGCAAAATCGTGAAGAACTCTTTTATAAAATTTAGAATGACTGTAAATTAATTATTCAGTTATCATATATATAAATAAATCAAAAAAGGAAACATTTCAGGAATAAAACAGTAAAAATGATAAAAGTGTTTCAAATGGCTCTACATCTCTTTTATAAACTAATTAAAGCTATATGAATACAACTGCAAACTCATTTAACTTGGTATTAGAAATGTTTAAATGTGAAATAGAGAAGTAAATGATTATGTCTTGCAATAAATGTATTTAATCAATATTGAGTATAACTAATGTGATGAAGCCTTTTGAATTTGAAAGTTTAAAGTCTCAAATTCCCAATTTTATTATTGAAAGAAATAAAATGCAATTAGAAGTGATTGATGAATTTCTAAAACGTTCAAGAGCCTCAAAAGAGATTAATAGCAAAATGATTTCTTAAAATCAATTGACTCATAGCTTTTGCTATCAAAATTTTAAGGAATTTTCATAGTAATTTCAGAGTACTTCATTTTAAAAGAAATAAAAAGAAAGCAGATTTTATAATCATGACTAAGCAATTGCTAATAAATCGCCATTTTCTTTATATGAAACAAATTTTAATCCATTCTCTCAGAATGCAGATATTGAATGTAAATTTAATCTATTTTTAATTAACTCTTTATAAAAATAAATATAAAACAAATAGAATCTAATGTTGAAAAAATAAGTGTTTTGTAAAACATGTAAATTAACAAACTAAAAGAAAAAAATGAGCTCTAAATATCTGAAAAGCAGAGTTTAGCCTAATCTGAAATAAAAGTAAAAAAATAACCAAAGTACATAAAATCTCATTTATAAATTTTTATTAATAAAAGTATAACTAGACTCCATAAAAATAAAATTTAAACACATCAAAAGAATCAAAACAAAAATTCAATTAAGCATCAAATTAGGTATTTAATTTTTAATTTCAATAAACTTAAAGTAAAATATAATTTAAAAAAAAAGCAATCAAACTCACCTTATTGCAAAGAATTCTAATTTACCGTACATTAATCAGGTACATTTCAAAAATAAATTTTAAAATAAAATTATTTATTGAATAATTTGTAAAATAAAAAGACCGTTAAAATGATTCATCAAAAGATCAAAAAACCAACTTGAAGAGACAATAAGAAAATAAACAAAATAGTGAATTACACAAATAAGAATGATTTAGTAATGAAAAGGTTTGTTCTAAAGTATGTAACTGATTTTAAATTTTTTATTAAATCTTAAATAATAAATTGATTTATTAAATAGAGCTTAAAAATTTGAAGTAAGCTAATAATAATTAACGAGATCAATGATATTTTTTAAGTGATATAATTTTAAAGATAACTTTATTATATGTATGCAATTAAATTTATTTTAGTATGCCAACCATTTTGTGAATTAAATTAATAAAGATCGAATAATTAGATGATTAGTATCTTAGATTTTCCACTAACTCATTTTGGTTGAGATTTTAGGATAATATAAATATCTATCTTTTTTTGGTTTAAATGCCAGATAGTAGTTAATTTCATAACATAATAAATATTGTTGGCTATTTAAGTTTCAGTTATTATTTTGTATTTTTTATCATTAATCATGCTCTTCTTATTATAAAACCTTTACAGATAAATAAAAATTTGACAAATGCACTAATTTTTTCATATATATATACATAGATTTCATTCATTTTATAAAGAAATAAAATACTGTAAAGAATAATATATTATTCATAAAAAAAATAAAAAGAAAACAAACAATTAAATAAATAAATATAAGTTAGAACACAAAGTAGAATGAGTCAATACGCATATGATTTTAACCCAGCAAAAACTCAAAGTTTATAAAGTAGACCAATTGAGCATAACAAATTTTCTGCTTGGACAGGCGATTAACTTTATCGTACATCTTACGGTACTCATTGGACAAGCGTAATTCAATAACCTTATTTTTATCATAAATAATATTACAACAATAAAACCCTAAAATGCAAAATGCTCAAATTTAAAAATGAGTTTTGTTTAAAGGGAATTAGTATATTTAGCATTAAAAAGTAAGACATTTGGCAAAACTGTAAATAATAATATTTTTTAGGGCAATCAAAAAATCTTCAAATGCATAAAAAAATTAATATCGAGCAAGAGTATGCAATGACATTAATTCTTTTTTAATATTTTATTAGAAACCTTAAGAACCAAAAACCCATGTACCACCTGGTTATGCAGGATACATCCCTGGCTTAAAACCTAATAATCACTACGGAGCCTCCTATGGTGAAATTGCAAAGAACTGTTTGAGTAACCCTAAAGTTGCTCAAAATCCATTCAAACTTGCCTCAACTGGATTCAATTATTAAAGACATGGTAAACTTGTTAACAATTAACAATCAATAAGAAGATAAAATAAAAATAAATTAAGAAGTTATATTTTATAAAAAAAGATTTTAGAGACCCTTCTTTAACAGCTACTACTCACAAATTTGGAGCTCAAACTTTGTTAAAAAACCATCCAAGCATTGATGTATAAATTTTATTTTATTCAAAAGCTAGATAATTTAATGTTTTGAAACCTCATAATTTAATGTGTATTTTGTTTGATATTGCAACTTTATTGAGCAATTTTATAAATTTACTTATCTGAAATGTTAAAAAAGTTTCACGAAATCTTTATTACCTATATTTACTAAAAAATAAATTTCATTATTTATATTTTTATAGCAAAAAAGTAACTAATGGTAATCATAAACTCATGATAGTTTTAGAAATCCTCTTCATAAACCCAACCCTACTTATAGAGAAACAGATAAAGATCTTTAAACCTAAAAATATTTTACTAAGACATCCGGTTTCTAACAAAACCATACAACATTTGATCGTACAGGATGGGTCCCAGAAAAAGTGCTTCATGGTAATTAAAAAATGCTCACTAATTTAGAATAATCAAAGATTTTTATATATTTTAAAAGCTGACAGAACCACTTCTGAATACAGAATACATTTCAATAAATAGGTACCTTTCCATAGAGACACAGTTTTATTTAAAGAGAGAAGACTTCCTCCTAAGGAATATAACTACAAGTACATGGGTTGAAAAATAATTATAATAAATAAGATATTAATTTTGCTTGTTTTCAAGCAACTTAGTAAAGCAAGTTCTATTAAACAAACTATCATATAATTAAATATAAAAGATTTAAAAATAATTATTCCTCTTTAAGTAGATAAATAATCTACTTATTTCATATTTGTATTTTTGGTTTCTTTCTTTTTCAAATATATATACATAGATAGATATTAACCAGGAGCCAGTAAAAATATAAAAATATAAAGTTCTAATTACTCACAAATTTAAAATATGTTTTCATTCAAAAATTGAACTAGCTAATTAAATATATACTTTATTCCTGATATTTGTTTTGAAAGCTTGTACAGGATATGCTTATTTTTGATAAGTTTAGTGATTGGTTGGTCTATATCAACTTTTTTAGAATAATAGATCAAATTGAAAAATTTTTATTACAAAAGAAAAATATTTTTCCAAAAAAATTTTAATTAAATTTGATTTTTAGTAAATTGACAAAATAAAATATTTTCTTCAAAAATTTATTAATGAATTGCTGATAATTTAAAATTTTTATTAATATATTGTCACATATTTGCCAATTTTTACTAAATATTGTCTCAATAAAATAAAGATTAATTAATTTTTAGCTAATATTTTCCTTTATTAATCACAATTTTGCAATAGCTTGTACTCTGTCCATCTTTAATATATTTAGTATCTTTTTAAATTGAGGATGCTTTGCTGTTCTAATTAATTCAAATATAACAGATTCTGAAGTAGCTAATATGGCTCCTTCATTTTCTAATCTCCTGAATGCAGTTGATCTATCTATCTTTCTTTAACTAGAAATTCCATCAGTTATCAAATACACTTTATAACCTAAAGAAATTAAATCAAGTGTCGTTTATTGTATTGCTGCATGTGCTTCAACTCCAAATAATATTGCAGTTTTACGATGAGGGTATTTGTTAAGAAATTGTTTAGTTTAGTCATTTACCATAGATAAAGACATTTTTTATATGACTTAACTATTTATTTATGGTAATTCTTTTTGGAGATCTATTATCAAATTTCCAAGCTTTTATGGATTCTATTCAGTAACCAGAACAGGGAGACCTAATAGAGAGGCTGTTCTTATTAGTTATTTTGCTGTTCCTACAATTGTGTCAAATGAAAATATATGTTTATGAAAGGAACTTTGTTAATCACATGATAAAAAAATGGTTTCCTCTATTTCTATTCTATGTGGCAACTATGCTTGGGGCTTGCTATTTTTATTATTTTCCATTCTATAATTATTAATTAGATTTTGTAATTATTTATTTATTTTAAATTAAATTATATTACATCAAAATAAATGTAGATTTAATGGTTGATCAAAAAACCATAAATTTAATTATGTTTTTAAGAAGATTTTTGTATACTAAGCTTCAGTAAATTATATAAATATTTTTAATGCAAATAAATTATATTTTTTTAGCAAATTATTTAAGTATTTATGGTAAATTATTCCTTTATTGTATAGCAAATTATATTAATATTTAAGATATAAAAAATGATATAATAACAATAATAATTTTTTATAATTATATATATATAAAGATTCAGTTAAATTATATATCTATTTTATTTTTAAAAGAAATAACCGAATAATCATTAATTTCCTAAGTTTAATTTTTAATTAATTATTTTTTTTTCATTATGTACTTTACTTAATATTTATTATATTATAAATTTTAAATATATAATTATTTGCATTTTGTTTAGATTTCATATTATAAGATCATGGTTGCCATTTATTCTTTCATTTATCCTTGCCTAAGGCTTGGAGGATTAGCCTACAATTTCAAATTAATTTTGTAATACTATAGGTACTTTGATTTACTATCCATGCTTTTGCTAGTTAATTCTTTAAGATTTTGAAACCCTTATTTTTTAATTTAGGTTTCCTCCTTATTTGACAACTTTAATTTATTCTCTATCGTATTTAATACCTCTACTATTTAGTGTATTAGCTTTTTCGATTGTGTTGCCTCTTATTGTTAAATTCTCCTACTCATTATTGTTTTGGTATATATATGTTTCATATTCTTATTATTCATTCATTAAGGATTAAATATTTGTGTTTGAGCTTATAGCTGTTGTATTTTAGTGACTCAAAGAATAAGAAGAAATTCTTTCGTTATTTTAAATTTAATTGTCATTATTTTAAAGCTAATCAAAATATTTCTCTTGTTAACTTATTAATTAATCAGATAAATCATCATTTACTCTTGTTAAAGTAGTTTCTTGTTATACATTTTATAAATCATTTACCCCTCCAAATTATTTCTCATATTATTCAATTAATTACCTTTGAAATTCTTCATCTTCATCTTCTAACAAACATGAATCATGTTCATGATTCTGTTTTATTTATGAATTTTCTGCTACTTGATATTCCTATTTTCCAGATATTTCATATTAATACTATAAATAGTTTTCTTTACATTCTTCTTTTTCTTCTTCTTCTTCTTCTCCATAATTATCATTATCTAATTAATGAGAGTATTGAGGATTCTAATTATCTAAACAATTATTTTATTTAAGTTAATTCTCATTATAATTAAATTTTTCTTCTTATTAAAATATTTTTTCATCTTAATCGTTGAAATCACCTTATTCCTACTCATATAAATTTAAATTTGAGCTCTATTCATATTAAAATTAGTTTGAAATGAAATTTTATTAGTTTTACTATCCTAAACACTGAGTAGCAGAGTATTCATTATTATTTTATTACTTATAAGAATTTCTTCTGATTTATTAATTGAAAGTATTTCCTCTGATAGTAGAGTCTTCATCATTCTTTGATTTTTTGTTGAATATTTCTTTACCAATTAGCTAAAACTCTCCCTATTATATTTATTATTAAAGATTTTCTTTTTATTCTCTGATTCTATTATTTAAGTCATTTTTAATAACTTATGGCTGCCTATTGTTTGGAGGTTTGGTCACATGTGTAGTTTTTTTTATTCTAAAATTTGAGCTCCTTTTTGTATTTTAGCTTAATCCTTCTTGTTCAATCTCAACCATACTTTTTTTCTCTCCATTTACTTCTAATGCACTAATAATATTATTTTATTAATTAGAAATTGGCATAAGCAAATTGCCAGTTAGTGCTAAGTCAAGATTATTTTCTTTAGTACTTTAGCTTGTCTTAAACTTATCTAATGTCTTTTGTTTAAAAGTATTACTTTTTTTTTGTTAACCCTTTGATTAATTTGTTTCTTATTCTTTATTATTTGTTTGTTTGTCTTGGGATTACTCATTTTAAATAGTCTTTTTATTCTTTAACTAGAAAGCAGATACATAACCTTTTAGAATTGGTACTTTACATGTTGGGCACTCTATTTCGTTTTAAGAAATGAGTTACTTTAAACAAAGAGAATCTATCCCATGTCCACATGAAAGCTTTCTCATGAGTCCATGATTGTCCACTTAGTTGCATAATGAGCAATTATTCTTGGATTTATTCATTTCTTATCCAATAATTGAGAGGCCAGATTGAAGTTAAAGCTCTTAGTTAATATCTTTAAATAAGCTAAAGCAAGAAACAAAGTAATCATTTAAATTACTATATATCTATGTAGGCTTTAAATCTAGTTAGCGGTGGCTAATTGTATCAATTCCAGTTTTTAGTATATTCAAATTACCAAATTAAGGCTTTTTAATTCTTTAAGGTGCTATTTCCCACTCACAATCTTTTTTCTTTTTTAATAAGAATTTTTAATGAACTGGATGCTACATAGAGTCATAGCAGTAATGGCAAAGATCTAAATTATCACAAAATAGGCAGTGATATAGATTTCCCAAAATATTTTTTTTATTGCATCCACCACATATTTTGCCAAAATGTGTCACATATTTGATATTAAATTAGTCTTCATCTATTCTTATTTCATCAAAAATACCATTTGTCATGTCACATCTACACATAGGACAAGTTATTTTGTCTCCACTGCTTAATTTATGATCAATCCATACTCTTAAACACTTTATATGAAAGTTGTTTCCACACTTTTTTCTACAATAAGTAAGAGGTTAGTCATTTTTCATCTATTTATTTTTAATATTTTTAAATACATTTAAATTGGTAAAAAAAACTATATTTTTGATATTAAATTCCTAAAATTTTATAACAACCACGAAAATTTAAATAATCCTGACACTTATTTAAAATGAGTCAACAAACAAACATTTACTCACTCATTAACTCACTCAAAAATCAGAAAAATCATTGAAATTTTTATTAAATTTTAATTTAATTTACATCTTCTTAACAAATAGGGCAGATTGATTCTTCATCAAGAGGCTATCTTAACTATTATTTTGCATTTCTTAAAGCTTAATCTATCTTTTATGTTCCTTACCTAGCTAGCAAATAGCTTTATCTTGATTAAGAGTTATTACCAGCTGCGTTATTTCGCTTTTGCATATATTTTAAGTTAATGATATCCTCTGTTTCTTAATCTGTGTAGCTACCTTACCATATAATTGGATTCTCTTGATTTACTCTAAATTTTTTAGACAACACAAAAACAGTATGCACACACTGATTGTTTATCCTCTATTATTGACATGTACAAGAAATAGTATATCCTATTTAAATGCGGAATTTTTCCCCCTCTTCATCTTTAAATATAAACTACGAAGGACCATTTTCGCTAACCTAAAATAACTTAAGGTCCTATGCTTAATCTATAAGCTCCTTAAATCCTGAAGGAATTTTCGAAGTGTAGGCACAAGATCTACTCATTATGAAAATCTAATACTTAATCTAATAATTTATCTTTCTTAAATTAAATTGATCAATTTAAAAAAAACATATATATAAATATATTGCTGCTAGTTAACCATAAAAGATTATTAAAAAAATAATTACAAAATTAAATAATGAAAGTTAAGAAGTAGTAAAAAGTTTAATATATTTTTCACATAAATTATTTACAAAATCAAATGTGTTTATTATCAAATTCATTCATTTTTTTCTTCCAATTTTTTTCAATGTCATCTTAAAATGATTTTAGTTATTTAAGAAATGCAGACCTTTATTTTATCACCCCATCATATGACTTATTACCAAAAAGTATAAATGTCCTAAAATCTAAAAGGACAAATTACATGAGGCTGGTTATATCCATAGCTTATAGTAAATAGTGAATTACTTTGTTTTCATAAATATAGATTTTAAATTGGGAATATATAATATTTTTTTTTTAGTCATAATAATAATTATATTTGCTTTATTAGCTATTATATTAATTTAAGAATATAATGATTTCATCTAAGTGACATTCTTTTAATTAGAACTCTTATACAAAGCAGCTAATTATAATATAATTATCAATAGACTCAGAGGATAAATCTTCTGTTATTTTTTTTTTATTGAAAGAATCTAATGCAATATCTTTTTAAACAAAATCACTTTTAGGAAATACAATATAAGTGGTTATTTGTTTATCAGAATCAGTAGATTCATAATATATTTATCCATTTTCAATTGGTCTCGCTAATTTTTATACTAAACATAATTATTTTTTTTCCAAATCTCCCTCATACACGCCATCATCTACACTTTCATATTTTTTACCTTTACATATCTTCTTTATCTTTTAAATTATTTTATTTAAGTACTCTTTTACAAATTATTCAGATTAATCAATATCTTCAGCTATTTAAGTCTATTATTCGTCTATCAATTCTAGTTCATTATCATCTATGATCTAATAAAAATCTTATTCTTGATAAACTTAATTTATTATACAAAGCTAGCTACTAAATTAATTTGCTCTGCATTTATAATGTGCATATTAATATTATTTTAAGGAAGCTAAACTTTCATTTTATATTTAGTTTTATTATTTTATTTTAGATGTTGCTTAATCTTAAATCATAGAATAAAAAACTTTTTAACTCAATTTAATATAATAATTTGTTTATATCTTTTTATCAGTTATTAGTATATTTTGTTTATCTAAATTTAAATCCTGGGATTTTTTTTTTTAAATAAACCATACAGTTTCTTTTACTCATAAAATTAAAAAAATTATTTTAAAAATTATTTATTTGTATTTATACATACATACATACTTTGCATATATATTTATTGATAACAAATTTATTCTCAAAAACATATTTATTATTGTATGACATTTATAATTTATCAGAACATTATTTTAATGTTTGCTTTTATTAATTAATAAATTAATCATTATTACTCCTACTAATCTAAAATAATATCATCGTTGTCTTCTTCATCATCGTACTAAACATTTTTTTTCTTGCTAACAATACCAAAATCTTCATGGACTTCATCATCATCACTTTCTCTTTGCTCATTTTTGATATCATTAAGATCAAGTTTTTTGAACTGTTTATTTTTTTAAATATCAATTTTATGCTAATTATAATTTAAAGTACTTAAAATGTTTCTTCAACAGGAGGTGGGGGTAACTCTGGAACCACTGGCTCTGGTTATTCAGGTTCTGTATATTGAGATCTTCTTTCCTCTTCATCTTCTCTTTATTCTTATGCAAACAAATCAACAGCATTTACATCTTCCTCCTCTGAGGATGAAGAGCTTTCAGGTTCAGGAATTATTTCTTTCACAGCAATTGGTTCTTCTTTTGGCTTAAGATTATCTTGATTTCAAATATATATTCATTTGGATTAATTAATTAGAATTATCAATAATAATTCTAAAAAAGCTTAAAAGTTAAATAAACCGAATTATATTTAAAATAATTTTATCAACAAACATTTTAAATTATCTCATTTCATTTGTCAAATATTTTAAATTACATTATATTTTATAACCTATAATAAAAAAGAATATCATACCTAAATTTTCATCATCAGCTAATTTCTAGTCTTATTAATCTCTTCTAGCTACAGCTACCAACCCTTTCTTTTGAGTTTCTTTGGTAATACTATTCAAATAATCTAATATAAAATCCTCACAAAACCTCTCTCTTCCTAAAAACATTTCTTCATCTGCAGTCAGAGAAAAGATCATAGCCTCTATTACAACATCAAATGACATGCAAAAATTCTAAATAAATATTTATATAAGATTGATTATATTGAAAAAAATGTACTTGAGGTAAGTAGAAGCCAAAGAACACTGTAATTCCAGCTACTGCATAAGGTAAAAACAAGTAATCCATAGATTAACCTAATAAATTCTGAGTTTTATCTACTGAAAACAAGTATATAAAGAAGAAGGCACAACAAGAGGCACAAATCTATTAATTTAAATATTTTTTGTTAAAATAAAAAAATTGTTGTAATTATTATACAGATCCAATCAATCTATGATATCCGAATAATTCACTGAATCTTTCAGTTCTTGAAAGATTTCTTTAAAACAAATAATATGTCTTTTCAGCACTATCTGACCATCCTAATCCATACAAAGCAGTCTTTTATAGTTGATTAGTAAAAAACAATAATTTGATCAAACAGTTTCAGTTTGTTATTTTAATTACATGCATGATAGATGTAGAGCTTTAATATTTAGAATAGTATTCAAAAAAGTGAAAAAATGGTGTGCAAGTAAAAAGCCAGCATTAAAGCCATTTGCTATCTCTGTTATCTTCTTTCACTTATTTCAATTTTGCTTTCAATCTCCTCAGCAAAGAACGAAAAGGCCATGTTATAATAATGATGCAAGCTCCTTTAACACAAGTACCCAAATGTTTAGCAAAACAAAATATTATACCTCTAGTACTAGGTCTCTTAGGTTAAATTAAAAAATTTTTTATTAAAATATTTATTTTTCTAAAACTAATTACATCAAGGATACTTTTCTATCTGCTGAAATACCAAACCTAGACAGCAAAAGAGTAGCAAAACTTTTAAAAGAGGAAAAATGTTTCTAAAAATATGAGCAGTAAAACCAAAAGCAGAGGTATAAGGTAAAATACATAATCTTTAGTGACTAGGTCAACATACAAAGGATTTGGAAAGGCAGCTAAATATCAAATTCAAATTAATTAAATAATTTAACATAAATACAAAATAAATATTTACTTGGAGCAGTTAAAACTTATCTCTTTCCAGAAGCCATAACTATAACTATTAATCCATATGTGATTAAAATAGCTCCAAGCTGAATTATTGAAGTAAAAAATGGTACAATTTTCATCGAGTGAATTCCCCCTAAAAAATAAAAAGAAAATTTCAGAAAAAATTTAGATTTTAATAGATACTAAAAGGTGCTAATAGTATTTGTATATCCTTCTGGGTATTAATTATTTTTCTGAAACTAAAGAACATAACTAAACTAAAAATTCCAGATATTGCCAGCAAGCCATATCTCAAAATCTACATTTATGTTTAAATTTATTTTTTAAAATCTAAAATATATCTACTTAATAAATGAAAAGATTTCATCATGTTTGTAATAAATTTATAATTTAATGCTATTAATTATTTACAAATGCATATAAAATATATCTATTAAGGCAAGATGAGTCACTTTAGCCGCTAGCACACTGGGAAGATACTTACTATATTTAAAAATTATAACTAACAATAAATATTTTTTACATATTTTTATAAATTTACTCTATCATATTCTTTATTATAAAGAAAAAGAAAAATAATAGTAAATATAGCTGGAGGGGCAAAAGCAAATATCCACACAAGAACAAAGCTAAGCTCTTTTTAATCAAAATAACAAAATAAGCTCATTATTTTTAGATATTGGAGAATTTTATTTACTTTTTATTAGCAAAAGAATCATATATATAAATCCAATTAATAATCCTACTACTAGACCAGAAAAAACAATGTCTTTAGCCTTAATTATAAATATTCAAAAATATTAAATAGATAAGATGAAAAAAATAATTTCAAAAACATTTATTTACAACGTATATGTCATGAGCTATATTTTTCCATGTGTAGAAGTAGCCATCAAGACTTGCTAAAATAGCTTTTCTTTATTGATTATTTGTTAGAGGTAGACAGTATCTGTTTTGATATGTATTTGAAGTGTATGAAGAAAAGCAGTAATCTTATAAAATAGTTTTCCCATCAACATCATAAAAACAATAATCTATTTACTTTATTTATTTATTTTTCATATTTATTATTATAAAAAAATTATTTTAATTGAATTTGAATATGTAAAAAGCAATATAAACTATTAAATAGCTATTTTTGTTATATTTATAAATTAAAATAATACATCTTATTAAGGGCATTGGTTTACGCACATTGCTATCATTCCAGCATTTATTGGGTCAAAAAAATAAGCATATGTTTTTTCAGACAATTATAGTCTTCCACATAAATCTCCTCTAAAATCCGAACTGTGATAAAATCTATTAAAATCAACTTCTTGGTAGACTTTTTATTATTGTTAAAATATTTGAGTTTTGGATAGTTAGTTAGTAGTTATATTTTGTAAGTTTAAATTATTTTACCAGAAGCCATGACCCCAATAGTAGCTAGCGTGATAACGAGAAATCCAACTAACCAAAAAAAATCTGTGCATTTTCTTTTCTTTAAATCAACCGGACCTAATAAAAAGAATAATTATAATTGAAAATTAAATTTATTGTAGATATATTGTTTTGATGTTTTGAAAAATAAAGTATTTGTACCTAGGAAAATTGCTGTTGCTGGTTCATAAAATGTGTTAAATGGATGAGATTAATCTCTAGTATCGTACAAATCAAGTTTATCTCTCTTTTAAAGGTTGATGTTGCGATACATTGCTCAAAATGTTTAATCTAAAAATCTTTTAAATATCAATTTTAATGATTAAGATTTTTATAAAGACTTATAAATTTAATAAATTAATTACTCATATCAATCCTGTTAATAGATTCAAAGTAAATAAATAAATCGATTTTAACCTGAAATTAACTAATTATAAACAAATAAAAGTTTGGATTAAATAAAGATTTGCATATTATAACAAAAATAATACTTTTTATTGAGTATTTAACTTTAACAAAAGTCTTTTTTATAAGCTTTATAGTTTTTCAAAAGAATTCTTTGTTCAAATAAATCTCAAACAAACTTGAAAAAAAATTTTAGTATTTCATTATTTTTTTAAAATTTTCAATATATTTAAATTAAAATTATTTTTTTTAATTATAAATAAAATAAGAAAATCTAATATAAAATTAATAATATTATTTAATAAAAAACTAAAAATATTAAATCTATAATATAATAAGCATTAAAAAAAGTTATCAATTTATCAAAAAATTATTAATTAATAATTGACTAAAATAAATTTTTTAATTTGAAGTTAAACTCTAGTCGATAATGAAAAATGAATGGAGAAAATTGTTTTTTATTTATTAAATTCTTAAAATTTCAAAGAAATTAAATCAATAATCCTTACTTAATTAGACTTATTTGATAGATAAAAATTATTTAATTGAAAAAATATTGATAAGATTTTTATTATAAAAATTATTTAACATAGGATATAAACTTATTTTAATAAAAAATGAATACAATTTCTCTTGAAACTAAATTGAACATTTCCAGTTAAAGATAAAAAAAATTAAATCTATTATTTTTTCTTTAAATAATATAGTCTGTATCGATAAAATAATAAATTCTTTATATTTTTCTTATATGATTTTATAAATTGTTATTTTACAAAATTAATTGCTATTTAATTACTTCTTTCCTACTATATATATTATTAAATAAATATCTTTGTATATAAGTCATCTTAAAGATATTTTAAAAAACGAAAATAAATATATATATTTGTAAGATAATGCCATCAATAATTAAAGTTTTCTCCTTTATTAAATACAATTTACTCATAATATTATATTTATTTTAGTGCTAATTAATTAGTTTTATCTGAACTCATGTTCTTACTATGCAATATATAATCTTATTCTAAATTTTTCTAATTTTTGAAGAAAATATGGAAAAAAATTTCATAATAATTATAGTAATATTTTGAATTATCTGAGATTTAAAAATATTAATATTTTATTGATAAAGATTGATATAAATTAAAGTAAATGAAAATGTTTTTTTTTAATAACTATTAAAAAGTAATTAGTTTAAGAAGTAAATTAATAATTTTTATGCTGTAGAGATGAATGTGACGTGATATATAAATATCTTTTATTTTAGTAAACATCAAATCTTAAATTGATTTCATTATTTCTTTTATAAAATGTATAAAGAGATTTAATAAGTAAATTAAAAAACAAAAGTATAATTTGCTTTTTGTTATTTGACACATTTGATTTTATTTACACAATTATTTTGGCTAGACATTTTTACAATTAAAAAAATTATTGAAATTAATGTATTTCTTCACATGAATCTATCCTTTTTAAAAGGAAGTTAAAAATAGAATAAAAATGCAATATGATAGATTCCTTATTAAATTGAGTATTAATAATTTTTTTTGGATGTAAATTGTTATATTTTAATGGGTATTATTGAAAATAGAGTTTTGCAATAAATTTTATTAGTAAATTGAGTAAATGTTTTAAGAAATATTAAACATAGATTCATAGAAATCAAATTCTATTTATTTCTTTTATAATTATGCAAAATACCATAAAATTCTTAACAAAAGTAAAAATAATTGAGTAAATTAAAGATGGTTTATTATTATCTCAAATTCTTCAAATATTATCTTTTACAGTTATTGATATTCTTTTTCTTTTTTAGCTATCTCACATTTTTTTATAAATATGTATAAAAATTATTTAAAATTTATAGTACTTCATCCTTAATAACTGGCTATTTTTCATATTTAACAATCTATAACTGTAAATAAAAGCACAAATTAGAAAATTCCTATTTATTAACATTTTGTTTAAGCAAGATTCATTTGAAAGATGCCTGTAGTTATTGGGTAAAGTTTTTTAATCAGAATTTTACAATTAACATATAAAAAAATTATAATATAAGTAGGTGATTTGAGCTTTGTTTGAGCTTAGCTTTCAAATTAGTATTATTTAGTAAAAATCAAACTTAATTACTTAATTTATTTGAGAATTATTTAAAATTCAATCATTATTTATCAAATATTTAAATGAATTTTTTATTTAAATACAAGAAAATACTTATTTTTAATAAATGCTAATTTAATTATAAATAAAATAGTAAGTGTCTATTTAATGAAGCTATCTCTCTTAGGGATTAGTAAAAACATTATTTTTTAAATCAAACTTAATTTAAAAAGATAGATAGATAGTTTGATTGAGTAAAAATTAGATTGTTACTTGAATAGAATAAATATTATAAAAACGATAAATTCAAAATTCTTTTTTTAGTTTGTTAGCCGTTCAAACAATTATATTGTTTTTAGAATTTAAAAAAATAAGTACTTGTTGGCTAGTAAAATATACCATACTAGAGAAAAAGTAAATGTTCTATTAATTTTTTAATTAAAGAATATTTAGAAATTTGTGTAAGTAAGTCTATATTTATTTTTTTTTAGCAATCACTTATTTATTTCAGACAAAAATACTTTATAAAATTGGTTTTTTTTACAAAAATTGCGCTTAAGTACAATAAATTTGTTTGATTGGAATAATCTTAGAAAAATTTATTACAATAATAGGAATGTTAAAAATAAATGGAGTTAGCTTGTAATTTTGTTATTCAGAGGTAAAATGTGCATACATTTTCTACTTTAGAACCTTTTGATCAAATTAATATTTATATTTAGATATATTTTTTAATAAATAGTATATTAATTCTATCAAAATATACCTTTTGATGAAAATAAAATCTGGCTAGATGAATATTTTTTGTTGTTGCATTCCTTCCTTCTTTCTTTTATTATTTGATAGAAAATTTACCTAAATAAAAGAATTTATTAAATTATAACATTAATTAAATTTCTATCAAAGATGTAGATAAAAGATTGATATCCTTCAATTTACAAACCGCATTTTTTAAGATCTGCTATTAAATATTAATTAAATAATGAAAAATCTCATTTAGTATTTTTAAGCTATCAACAAGACATACAATAAATTACATATTTATATTTCTATTACATTTTACCATCACTTTGAATCCTTTATTCCTTTTGTTGCTTAGAATAATATAAATTTATAAATATCCTTGAAGCAGAACAAAAATGCTTTATTGGTGAATAACATAGTTATTGTAAGATCTATATTTAAAAAATGTGAAGCTTATAAGAAAGAATATAATATTTCTTTAAATAATTTTGCTTTCTTGATCACTTATCAAACATCAGAATAGAAGAAAAAAATTCGTTTAATATCAAAAACAGAAAAAAAATCTTTAGGTTGTATGTATTTTTACTATTTTGTTAAGAGAAATTGCTTATGAAAAAGAAGTATTGCTTATTGATAATTCAATAAACAAAAATTTAATGCAAATAAGGGGAAGGGTAAAGATTATCAATATTACCGCATCAAAATCTTACTTAATTTCTTTCAATTATTATGCAAGATATTATTTAATTGATTGATTGATTGATCGTTTGTAATAAAATTCTTAAAAAATATTAAAGAAAAAAACAGAATAAAAGACTTATCCTAAAAAGAAGAAGAATTAAACGCTCACTTTTTTGATAATAAATAAACAAAAGAAAGTCAAAAAGAAGATTAATTATTCGTCAAACAAAAAGTACTTTTTCAAAATAAAGACTTACTTCACTTTAATTAATATCTATTATTAAGATAATATAGCTTGAAGAAAACAAACTCGCCCATTATATTGAAAAAGCTTTATAAATAAATAAATCAAAGAGTTTAACAAACATTAAAAAAAGCGAGATGATAAGGGAATCATCAAAGCAATCTTCCCAATCAGCACAAGGTAGCCATAATTCTATTTATATAAATTTGAGCAAGAAATCCGCTAAAACATTTAGTAAATCAGCTAATATTAGCATAAGTAGTCGTGCAGAAAATATTTCCTCAGGTGTTATTAGCGCAAATACAAGCTATAAAAATTAAGGGACTTGCGAGAATAAAGATAGTAAAAAACAATAACAACAATAATATATGAAAAATCCTAAAAAGTAGCAAGGTCTTCAATCACAAGCCAAGATAATAAAAAATGTTTCTTCTCAGATTCTCTCTATGAAAAAGGGAGATAAGAAAACAAGCTCTATTAAAAAAATTATCTATAAATTATTAAAGAAAATATGAATCCCAATCTCTTCGGCTAAATCAAAAGCCATTATAACTCTTATTTATTAGACTGTTGAGATTCTTATTAGCTTCTATTTGTTAACTCAGTTATCGAGTCTCTTTGACCATCGCTCGCAGCAGAATTAATAGCAACCATTTTTATTAAGTAGTCCATCTTTATAATAAGCATAGCATTCAGCTACCGCTTCTGCTTCGAACGCATCTCATTAGTCTTTATCTTCTTTCTAAACTACATCAATATCTTAATCTCACTCATAAACATAGTAGAAAGCAACTTCTCCTTAAGCATTTTCAGCCAGGGATAGATAAAACCATTTTAATTTTAATCATTCTCATCATACTGAGAATTATTCTGTTAATCCTTATATGAAACACTTCATTTCAGGTTATTTCATTTTTGATATTACTTTTATGCTATATATTGACAGATCCTCAAACGATTTATACATATACCTTTTACTGCTTTTAGGAGGAACTGCACTTGATTTGGTAATCTTAAATGATATATATATTTTTGATAGACATAATTCAAAGGTAACATATCAATCTTAAATCAATGGAGGTTTTGCTTTTTGGTAGTTCCTCGATACAGGTTTCTTAACTATCCTCATAATTTATAGATTGTTTCGCATGTATAGCGTTGCTAAAAAATGGTTACCTTAATTCAAAACAACTTATCAGACCTTAAACAAAGAAATCAACACAGATGAATATCTTTCATTGGTATCAAAAGAATCTTCTTAGGAGGAGACAGATATCAATTCACCAGACATCTTTACTAATAATTAAGCTCCACCTTCTTAATTTAATAATTTAAACGAAACATAACGAAGTGAGATAAATACCTTGCAATTTAATATTACTGAGGTAAATGATTAATTGATATAATATTCTTTTACAAAAATAAAAAATCGAATTCAATAATTAAATTTTTCTCTCTTTCTTTTTCAAGAAATCAAAAAAAAAATGCATTTCTGTGTAATTTATTTTTATTTCATTCATCAATTTACATTCATTAAAATACTAATTGAATTATTCTTATCTTTTTTTACTGATAATTTTTAATCATCAAAAAACATTTTTTGGCCTTAAAAAATTTTGCGTGGTTGAAATACCTATCACATTCTTTTAAAACATTGAATTAAAATAGTGATATAATTTTTCACGCATCTTTGGTTTTTTATAACTTAATATATTAATCCTACTATTTATTAAATGAATCTAATTTAAATATTTTACAAATTAGACAAAGTAAAGAGAATATTCTGTTTCTTAATCTCCTCAAGTAAACTCATAAAACGGTTAATCTAAAGAAACGAAAGTTTAAGGACAAATAACTAATAAAAATTAAGCAACTCCTTCTTTAAAATATTCTCAAAGCAGATAGCAAGTGTAGTCGGATAATCTTGACTAGTAATTACAAAAAGATTAAGTATAAGCAGAATAACCATAAAAAATCAAAGCCTTCAAATCTGAAATTAATTAAGAATCCAGTGGATAGCAAGTTCTAGATAATAACATAAATAAAAAATTGAAAGGAAAAGAATTCAAAGAATAATAATCTACATCACAAGAATACTAAAATGATAGTTAGAAAAAAATAAATACTCCATTACAACGCAATTTAAATCTCAACCAACAGTCAGAGTTAGCCATAACCTAAATTGATGATATTTAAAATAAAATTTAAAATTAACAAGTCACCATAACTGAAACGCAAAAAAATAGCAATTAAAACAAAAAGTAATAAAAAAAGAAATTCAATACTAAAGTTTCATTAGAATAGACTAATAATTTACTAGAAGAGCAGCAAGGTGAAATAATTTAGCATAAATAGAGTCCTGCTATTAATATTAAACCAATAAGTAATTTTGAATAGCAAAACAACAACGTTATCAAAAGAGTTTAAAATGACGAATTACAGATTGATCAAAAAAAAATTAATTATTCTAGAAAACAATCATTTAAAAACCAAGGAATTAGCACGATTTATACTAGAAATAATTAAGAATATTAATATCATTCATCTCCTTTAACCAAATAAAGTACAAGGAATCCTAATAATCCTCTAAATCAAGCAATTAAATAATATAAAACTCAAAGTAATAATGAAGAATTTAAATCTGAAAAGAAAAATAAGGTGTTGGAAAAACCAAATAAGCAAATCTTTTATATTTAAAAATAGAATATCTTGTAATAGCAATAATAAAAACAACTAGATAATAATAAAAATTCAGATAGTGGTATCTAAAATATATAAGGCTCATAATCAAATAATGTTACTAATGGCTCTTTAATTTAAAATTAGCTTCTTTGTTCTAACATTTAATTTGAAAAAGATATAGAAAAAACCTAATAAAATAATATATGCAACCCTAAAATAGTAGAATAAAAGGTGGAGTAAATTACAACAGATAAAGAATTATAATCCTCAGTTTAAGAAAGTCAGAATATCGAAATCTCTTTAAATGGATAGTAAAATAATAGTTATTTATCTTAAAAAAATGAAGATATTTAATAAAAATTGGCTTGCAAATAATCTGATGCAGATGATTAAGAAATTCAGATTATTAATTTAGGCATTTCTTCCTTCAACGAATCAAATGGAGAAAATTCCTCTCCTTACCTCTCACCTAAAAACAAAGAAACTTGTGTTAAAAATGATGAAAAATAAAACAGCGAGATTTCATTAAACCAAAATATGAGTCTGATGATACATAGTTCTGATAAGAATAATTTAGTTAATTTATAAAATAAATCTTAGCGTAAATTTTCTTATGATTAAGATGACGAATCCTCTTCAGAAGAAAATACTGAAAGAGAAAATTAACAAATATATAAAGAAGATACTCATTTTGAGAAAACATTATAATAAAATTCTCCACAATTCTAAGTTTAGGCAAACTAATAATAAGTTATTCTCAATCCTACTAGAAAGCTACCTGAATCTAAATATAATAAGCCTAACAAAAAAAGTACGACTTCAAGGCAATAGGCAAATATTTCAAAATCTCCTTTAATGTCTCCTTCAAATAATGACCAAGCTAATAATTCTTTGGCTTAACAAGAGAATTAAAATTCTACTTGTTAAGATTATGAAATAATTTAGAGTACTTAACCTTGTGATACTGTAGAATTAAGAAGTAAAACTGACACCTTGGCTTATCTTTAAAATAATTAAGCTTCTCTTAACTTAGATCTTACAAATAAATAATGTAATTAGAATGGATAAGATGGATTAAAATCAACAGAGATAGTTAAAGACTCTTGGGATAGTGTTAATAATATCCTACTGAAAGAAGATTAGGAAAATGATTCTAATTAAATAGATTATTTTGCAAATCCACTTTTGGAAGCTTTATCTTTGCCTTTCCGTAGCCCTAATATTTACGCCGCTTCACCAACCACAGCAGAGAAGCAAAACATCGTTTCCTCATTTAATGGTTTAATATTTTAACAGATCAGTAACTGGAATGAATAGCAAATATAAAACTCATAGACTCCAGAGATATTTTAGACTACATCAAATACTCTATCTCCCAAATAACAGTCAAACTATTAAGCTTTATCTGACAATTAAAGTATTATTTTAAAAATATTTCCATTTAATTACTTTTCTGATTAATATTTGCTGAGATGCCGCCAAAAAAATGATGAATTTATTTATTTAACCCCAAATACTTGGTTTCAAAAAAATTTTTTAATTCTGAGTTTAGCAAACAAAAATCCAAAATTATTTATTTGCTACATGCACTAAAAAAAAAATTTGAATTAGTTGATTATGTAGTGTCCTTTTTTACCATATTCTTATAAAATGTGAGAATAATTTTTTTAATGTTAAAATCTAACTAATAGATGAAAAAGCTAAAAAAAGAAAATCTACAAATGTAAATTCAGAAGATCTAGTATCTGACCAAGATAAATAACACAAAGCTCCAGCATGGCGCATCATTTCGGGAGAAGATGAAAATAGTAGTATAATATTAGGCATTTAAGCCTTATCTTTCATAAAAAATATATATTACTTACTTTTTTATTTTTTAAAAACTAACTAATCACTTTTTTAATATAAAACCTAAAAGGTTATGAAGAATACGAAAAAAAGTATAATTAAGATCCAATTTTACAACAAGATTCAAACTTAGAACAATTATCAGATTCAAAGTCTTAAATAATTTAATCTAAGAATTAATTTGAATTGAAAACTGACCTAAGCAAAGATTCTTAATTTTAAACAGGCTCAGAGTAAGTATAATATGTTACCGAAGAAAAAGACCAAAAAGATGAAATTGTAGATTTTGTGAGTGCTTAACAAACTTAAAGCGAAGAAGAGCAAAAGGAAAAAACCAACTAAGAGAGCTTGTATGATTAATCGCATTAATTTGAAGAGCTCTATAGTAATAATCAGTTATTAGCTGATTTGAATGCTTCTCTCTTAAAATTTGAAAATAAGCTATCAACTCAACAATAAGATTAATAGAATCTTTAGTTATCATAAAATGAAGAACCTTTAATTATTGAAATAAAGGGTTAAAATGGTAAAATTTTTGAAATAAAAATAAGCAAATTTAGTGAATTTGAAAATGCCTTTGATGAATAATGCCAAAATAATGATATGAATAAGGAAGACATACTTGCAGCCAAAATAAATGTACTAACAAGTATAGTTAATTCTTCTCCATCTACTCAAAATACTAAGTTTATATAAGAAGCAACAATACTTTTAAGCCAAACGAGTTTAGAATATACTTTGAATATTATAGAAAACGAATTTCCCTAAGAATAACAACTCGTTGATAGTATTAGAAACAGTGGAGAAAATATATTTAATTACTGTTAATTTTATGAATTATATAACCAACAATAACAACTTGATGCTAATTCATACAATTAATCATTCTTTTCTCCTATCCAATCTGGTAAAATCTTTCAGTAAAAATATATTGATGAGCATGACTAGTAAATTAATCTCCCTGAATTTAACTTGTTTTTGGAAAACACACATCAAGGAGATTCTATGATAAATAATGTGCCAAATTTCATGTTCCCAAATTATTTAGATTTTTCTAGAAATCAATCCTTCCTTTAGGCTAATATAGGCAATACATCTCCACTATAGCCTAGCCCATATTTAATATCGATGGCAAGATAGAATAGCTTAAAGTAGTAAGCTGCAGCTAATTAAAGAGTAAGCCATATATACCCACAATCAGTAGCTGATATAGACAGTCCTAAATCAGATATGAGAAAAGACTAATAGCCAATTTCTCATATAAACTCATTCAATAATAAAGGTTTATAATCTGAAATATAATTACAATCGCCTATTTCTAAAAATTTTGTCTTCTAACCTATACCTAAATATAATTCTCAGTAAAGTAGTTAGATCTAACATGCTTTTAATAATTCAAACAGCTCTCAACAAATGCAATTTTAGCATAATGCAATTATGTAAATGGCAAGCTAATAATCAATTCAAACTTCTTCTGATAAACTAAATAATATGTTAATTTCCTCTTCATCAAAAAAAAATAAGTAATCCAACTAAGTGAATAATGGTTTATTTGACTAATGGAAATTTAATCCTTCGAGTTTAATAAATACTCCTTTACAGCAATCTTAATTAATGCACCATATTAATTCTGATTCATCTCTAACTCATGTAAATTCTCAAATTAGAGGACAAAGAATTTGGCAACCACATACTCCATATTTGTTAGAGGGTCCAACTCCTAATCTCCTAAAAAAGCCTCCTACACCATAAATAAGTAGCGCAAACAACTTATTTTCATAAGACTTACTAAATCAATTAGCTTAACTTGGCTAGCCAGTTAAATGATTTAATTGATTGCTCAGTAAATAACTGCAAATTAATTGAATTAAGACGAAATATTTTCATATTAAATTAACAAAAATTTATTTATAAAACTACATTAAAAATCATATAGTTAATCTCAAAACGAAAAAACGATCTATCAAACTAGTACTTTATATTACAGTCACAGATATACATAATACATTCATATATACTTTCCACTTTATCTCTTTCAATATTCCTTATATTGTTGTGACTACTAAAAATCAAACACTTTATAGGTAAAAACTTTATTTAACTTCGAAATAAAAGAAACAGTAAATCAATTAGCTAAAAATTCAGTTATGGATAATTTATAAATTAAACAGAATTTTAACATAGTCTTACTTTTCCAATAAATTTATCTATGATAAGTTTTTTGAAATGACAGTAAGAAAAACTCCGAAGAAATTTCAAATTAACTCTCTATATTAATATTCAGTATTAAATTTATATTTATTACTACTTTATACTGTGATTTTATACATTCATAAGTTGTTAAAAATATTAAATTTTTTAAAATCCAAAAATAGATTTTATTTAATTACTAAATATTAATTTTTCCAATTTTTTCTTACTACAAAGTTTCTTCTTAAATATCTTTTTTTAGTTAAATATATTTTTACTATTAAGTAGACTTTAATTTATCAATTTTACAATTCCTTTTTCAAAAGCAGGATTTTTTTTTTTGAGTAAATTAAAAAAATAAATATTTTAACAAATCTTAATAAAAAGATAGAATAAAATAAATATTTAATTAAAAACATAATTAATCACCATCTGAAAAAATATTTTCAAAATTATTATATTTTTATTAAATTATTTAATATTTAAAATAATATATTTATTGCTTCTCTATTCATTTTGTAAAATATTTTGTTGAATCATAAATAAGTTAATAAACTGAATTAATTCTATTAATAATAGTTTTGTTTCTTGTATCATTTAAAATATTATTCTTTTTAATTAATTTATATTCAAAATAACATTTTAAGTAACTATAATAATAACAACTAAATAAACCTTAACAAAATACAGATTATACATATTTTTCAAAAAATAATATTGATTAAGTAATATTAAATAATTATTAGATTTTATGATATTTGATCGGTAAAAATTTTAAATTTACAAATAATTAAATTAAATAGTTCTTGATTATCCAAAAGTAATTGACATAAGAGTTTTTAAATGAGAGTTAAAATATAAAGTTGGAATGCTTTAGCAACTTGGGTTTGGGACATTGAAAATGAAGAAATGTGTGCAATTTGTAGACAGCCATTTGAGTCTCCCTGCCCTAAATGCAAAATGCCTGGAGATGACTGTGTTCCAAGTAAATATCAAATTTAATAAAAAGCATGTTTTAATATTAAATTTATTTAAAAATATTTAGTTGCAGGAGAATGCAATCATCATTTTCATATGCATTGTATTATTAGATGGATAGAAGAAGGTTCTGATAAATGTCCTCTTGATAGATCTAAATGGGTTTTTAAAAACTGAAACAAATCATTAATTATTGTCATAAAATTTGATATACTTAATGTATAAAATACAAATTAAATACTTATAATATAACTACTAAAAATCATTCTCTAAAATCATTTTAGAGAATGATTATATATATTTATATATATTATATATTTATTAAAGGATAATAACTATCATAATTGTTAAAATTATTTTTGATTATTAAAAATAATAAACTGCTTAATTTTGTGTTTTTAAGATAATGAATCAACTTTCAAAAATAATGTGTGTTTGTTATTCAAAGTGATATCGCTTGAACAAATTGGCTAAATAAATCTAAATAATTACGAATTTGAAAAGCTTAGACATTCAATTAGAAAAATTGATTTTGATCTCTAAAATTAAAAAATAAATTTATAAAATATTTACTTGTATTTTTTTTATAATATAAAAATTTGGAATGAAAATTTAAAATTTTTTACTTAAAATAAATAACGATTATTTATATTTATTTTCAAAAATTAATTTGATTATACTATAATATTTTATAATTTTATCTAAGTAAATCCTGATCGGTTGATGTAAATAAATTATTTGAAATAAGTGTAAAAATTTATTTGTTTTTTATTTTGTAAAAATCTTTATTTATCTTTAATAAATTTTAGAAAAGTGTGTGTTAAATGTACAATTATCTAATAATAGATAGTACTTTTTGATTTTTTATCAAATACTTTCATAAAAATATATAAGTCCCTCACAAATTGATAAATTAATTAATATGTTAAGTTAAGGTGTTATCTTAATATAAAAGCAAAATAAAAAATTTTAAGTTTATTTATTGTATTTAAAATCTCTACTATTCTAAAAAGTAAATGTTTACTAAAATTTTTTCTAAGCGCTTTTTTTACAATTTCGCAAAGAAAGCAACACTACCAACCATAGCAGCTGCAGGAACTTTAGGATTGATTTATAACATCAATAAAGATCCCTTTAGAAGTATCAATGAAAGTAGCCAAAGCAAGCACGAAAGAGGAGAGAAATACAAGTAGGTATAGGAAAATATGTTGAGGGAGCAAGAGGCAAGTAAGAATTAGTTTAGTGAAAACGATATCATTACACCTACTTCTCAGCTATTTTTTAGCTCAGAGTCAAGTTAGAAATCTGGTTTATTAGTATTTACTGGATCAGGAAATCGTGAACTAGCAAAGGAAGTAGTTTCTCAATTAGATATCTAGTTGAGTAGAATCTCAATTCATAAAAATCCAGAGTCAGAAACAGAGATAGAAATACTAGATTCAGTAAGAGGTAAAAGGGTTTTTGTAATCTAGTCCTTATGTTAACCAAGTATAAATGATAATATCATGGAGTTATATTTAATGTGCTCTGCTTTAAAGCGTTCTGGAGCAGCCAAAGTTACTTGCATTGTCCCATATTTTGCTTATTCACGTCAGACATCAGCGGAATCTGATAAAGAACGTCGCTCATTGAATGGATCAGATATTTGCCTAATGTTATAAACTATGGGATGTGACCAAGTTATAACAATAAATTATGGTTAGATAGAAGTTAAAGGATTTTTTGCACCTAGAGTACCTATATTAAATATAGATGTAAATGAAATGGTCGTTCCTTACCTCTTAGAAAAAGGTATAGAAAATCCAGTTCTTATAGGAGCTCACTTACGTTCACGTAATGTCAAGAGACTTATTGGACTTCATAAAATTTTTAACCTTTTCGACTAAAATCCCAGTCTTGGATTCATGATTAGAGGTAATGCAGAGAAGATTGAATATATAGGTGAAGATGTTAAAAATCGTGATTGTATTCTTTTTGAAAATTTAATTGATAGTGGTAATTCATTGTAAGAATTAAGTTTAAAGCTTCATAAAGATGGAGCTCGCAGAATATTTTGGTTTAGTCCTCATGGATTATTTACAGATAATGCATAAAAGTTAATTAAAAACAGCTTTGTTGAAGAATGCATTGTTACTAATACTTGTGAAGAAGTTAAGCCTTAACACCCCAAGATTTAATATTTATCTGTTGCTAAACTATTGGCTGAAGTCATCTCCTTCTTACATTCAGGTCACTCATTAGATTAGTTTAGAAGATCTCGCTCACTTCTTAAGTTCTATTCTCCTCCTACTGATCATCCTCACAATGAAAAAATACATCACCAAAATTTTAATAGATCTTAATTTACTTTCCATCTTTGAATTTGTTAATAATGTGCTTAATCTAGTCTATTATCTCAACGAGTAACTAATAAGATCAATATTATTATAGAAAAAAAGTAATACTAATAAATAAATAGGTTTGCTCTTTTAAATCTATTTTGTTGATTAATATTCACAAACTTTCTCTGTCATTTCAATTAAAAATTAAAAATCAATTTTTTATTTTTGGTGATAATTTTTATTTTTAATACACTAATTAAAGAATTTGCATACATACATACTTACTTGCTAACCTCTCATTTAAGATCACTTCATTTTATCCAAATTAAATTATAGAAAATAAAATTTTTTAAATTTGTTTTGAAAGTGAGGGAAAAATATGCTTGGGCTGATTTTAATATATTTTAGAATAGCTTTTTAATTATATTATTTATTTATTCATTATTTTAGAATTTCATAAATTTATTATTAAAAATAATTTTGTTAATAAATTGAATATGAAACATGAAACTACAATAATGACTTTACAAATCTATATTGTCTTGTATAGTTTTAATTAACTATTTAAATATTTCGATATCAAATCTTTAGAAAAGTCTAAAAGTTTAAGAATTCAGTTATTATATAAATTCTTTATTTTATTTTTATACATTTTATTCTTATATATACTTTATGAACAAAAAGATTATTATTATTTTCAATAACCAAATTATCTTCAAGAGAGAAGTTATTATTATGTTTCATAACAATATCGCCATTAATCTCTTATTTTAACTTAGTATAAGTACAATTAAAAAGCATGTTATTACTATTATCTTGAATCATCACATTTTAATTAGTGTTTATGATAATATTATCAATATTAGATATATTTTGGATTTAATTTGATAATTTTTTGTTGTATAAAATTTCAACTTACAATTTTATTTGCTTTGGTAAAGTAAAAAATTCCTTCACCACCACCAATATTATTATTAGAAATAATAAATAAACATTTTTAAATCAATTTTAATTTACAGTTGCAATCATCAGAATCATTATTCATTTTTAAATATATAACTTCTTTAAAATTTTTTAATTCTAAAATATTCTTATCAACATAAATGTTCTTAATATCGCCCAACACTTCTTTATTTATTGAATAACTATTAGTTATTTAAGAAACTATATCTTGTTAGTATGGTTTTATTTTTAAAAAATAATTCTATTCTATCTTTTTCTTCAATTTTATTTTAATTATTTTAATAATAATTATTTATTAATGCTTTAAATGTTTATTTATGGCAATTAAAATTTTAAGAGTATCTTTAGGCAGCTAATTATATTTTCTGAAATATCTTAATATATGAGAAGAATTTTCCAAATCAAAAAATGTGGTAATTTGATAATCAATATTTCATTTTTTTATTATTATAATTCATGCTTATTTATATTTATAATATCAAAAAAAATCCTAAAATCTTTGTTGAATTTAAAAACGTGTTTTTTTTATAATATTGATGTACTAATTTTTTATCAGTCATAAATCCATTTGATAATAATAAAGGCCGAATTCTTGATACGTCATTGTATATTGATCAAAAAAAAAAATCATTAAATACATAAAAAATCTTAAAAAATAATAAATATTTTGAAAAATTTAATCAATAGCTTTTAAAATTTTAGTCAGATAAGGATTAATTTGTTAGTTGTCTAAGGATCTAAAAACAAGATTATATTAGAATATAATTTTAATAAATGAGTATAAGTAAAGCAGATATTACATAAAGTATTTAGTTTTAACTTATTTGTTTTTTAAATTGACATTTTCTCTCAAAAAATAATATTATTAAGTATCCATATTTTATAAAATAAGAAATATTAAACCATTACCTTTAGAACTTCAGAGAAGATAATGATGACATCAAGAAAATATTTAAAAGTTTAGCTGATGCCAACACTAAGATAGTCATATTATCATTGATAGAATACATGAATGTCCTTGAAATAGACCAAAAATATTTAGAATTGCTTAAGCTATTGAATTATATTATTTCTCATATCAAAGAGTCCCACTTTTAGAAAATAAAAGAAAAAATTCACGAATTCATTGAAAGATCAGTAGAAACAGTAATAAAATTAAATATTCATTATGTGATAAATTAAAGTTTATAAATAATTTCTAAATTTAAAGTCAATTAGTCTAAGTAAAAAGATTAATATCCCTAAAGAAGTTGTTGCAATCTATGTGGAACGCGATCAATTAGTTGAAAATATGATAAGTAGCATATTAAAATTTGGAGATAATGATACAGTAAGATTAATCCTTAACTTTTTTAATGCTGGAAAGGTTCCTGAGTTGATAATTATGAATATTTTGAGAATTCTTATTAGAGAATAAGGTTATTTATTTTACATAATATTTCTAAGTTATAAAAAATTTAACAAGTAAATTTTATCTATTTAAAGGAAGACTAATAAAAGACTATTCAAATGAGTTATTAAGCAAATTTCTTTCAACTTGCACATTAGTTCAGAGTCCCAGATATAGATAGATATATGCTGATACTATGCTCCTTATTTATGATAACTTATCGCTTTGTGTTGAAAACTAGGATGAATTAAATTTAAAGTCTCTTGAAGATTTATCAATATCAATATATTCAATGATTTCCTAAGATTGGATATCTCAGCCAGACTATGAAGTAAAATTAAATGATATAATTTAAATAATTTCTTATTAATTTATTAATATGATATTAGGTTTAATCTGCAGCAGTAAATTTAATAGGATATATGGTACAATTTTTCCCCAACAATCAAATAGAAAAAATAGCTGATAAAATTATAGACGAATTCATTAATTAAATGAAGAAATAGGCTGATAAAAAAATTACGATTTGGAAAGGATTTAATAAAATTTTAGAGAAACTTTTGCAAACAAATAAGCCTTACTTTGAGCATTCTATCAAATCTATACAAGTCAAATTATATGACCTCTATAGAAGTCCTATATTTAGTCCTAACTATGAATTTGATCCAGAATAGTAAAAAAAGAAAAATTCATTGTTAGAAATTATCTAAAACTTAGGTAAAATAATAAAATAAAAAGTTAATTATATCTTAAAATTAAAATTATTAAAAGCTTAATTCAATATTGATAGCATCCTAGATTTATATATAAGTAGACATCAATCTAAAGAAATTATAGAAAAGATAGCTTCTTTATGGATAACTAATTTTCTAATAAATAGAAATTATGAGAAAATATCAATACCTATGAAAAAGCTATTGATAAACTCACTCTCCAGTATTTCTTTTGACTCTAATTTTGAAGTATTTATTATTCAGTTAAAAATAAAATCAATAAACTAAAAATATTTAAAATATTTAGGTTAGATACGCACTTATTGAAATTATATTCACTCTTTGCAATCAAAAGCAATTTTTTGAAGATTCTTTAAATGATTAATCTTATGATATTTCCTTTATGCTTTTCTTCCTTATCAAACAAGTTTCCATCCATCCATAAGAAATAGCTGAAAAAAAAAATGTAAGATTTGCTCCTTTCCTCACAACTTTAGAAAATCTAAAAAGTAGATCTTAATACGTTTTACAGATTTTAACAACCAATTCTGTACAAACTACAAAAAATTTTATTTGGCCTTATATCCTCGAATATATTCCCAATCCTTCTTTCTCACCAGGGCTAAGTTCTATACTAAAGAGCACATACACTTATTTAACAAAATATAAGGAAGTTTACAATGAATATCCCTAAGGAAATATAAGAGTTAATGGTAATAATTAATATTTTCTATTTATCGTTAACTAAAATTATTTGTATTTTTTTTAGAGAAAATTCCTAAAATCGGTACAATATTGGCTCGTTTAATCATCCTTCTTCGTATTCCTTAATTCTTTAAAGGGTTAGGTCAAGAAATTTTAAAAAGTATTCCTCATATATTGTCCGTATTCCTAACCAAAGAGTGCTCAAAAGAAATAAATATACACATAAATGACTTAGAATTTATTATACGTAAAAATGTTTTTTTTTTATAATTTTTTTAAAGTTTCTAATAAATTAATAAGAAAATGAAAGTGAAGATGAAAAGAAATTAAGTGATAAAATATATTAACTTTGGAAAGTATTACTTGACTAATTCGATAGTAATGAATGGTTCACAAGCATGCATGAAGATTTGATTGCTATGAATCCTAGTTATAATAAGGTACCTGAACTACAGGTTCATATGATGAAATTACATGGACTTATCTTAACTAAAATAGATAGCTAAGAAACAATTAAAACATAAATTGATAAATTTGTTACTTAAGTTTATAATGACTATTCAAATCAGTAAGTTAATTTAAATATTGATAAAATTGAACCCAGCACATAAATGAAATTATGCTTAGCTGATACACTTGCTTTGATCAGTACAGAAAAACTAGATTTAGTTATAGATAAAATAAGAAACATCATGAATAGTTAAATAATATAAAAGAAGTAATAAACAGGATTTGCATCTGTTCTAAGCATGTTTAATAAGCCTTAGACTGAAGAAGATGCTCTTTATCCGATAACTTCGAATTTAATACTTTCTCTAGGATATATCTGCAATCGTCTTAATACTAAGTAATTAAAAAAATAATAAAATTTACCACATAATTTATCATTAAAATAGGAAACTGGTTTTGAAGATTGAATCACACATTATCAATAATCTTATTCCATTTTTAGATAAAGGCGGAGAAGAAATGCAAGTAAAATCCTAAATTTTTGATTTAAAATAAAAAATATACAATAAATAAGTAAAAAAATATAAAATAATTAACTGTAGTTATGTGTACACAGGACTATGGAAATGATAAGCAATGGCGTAATTAGAATATGGAATGATTGTGAAGAGGAAGAAATTAAAGATCTCAAAAGAGTTTTTATCAAATATAAAGAAAAATTCTATTAAAGATCAATTTTAGCTTTTAAAACTTCTAAAATTCCAAACATCAAAACAATTGCTTGGGAGACTGTTTCTAATCTCCTACGTGTTGACCCTCCTTACAGCTTCGAATAACATCTCAACTTTTTCAAAAACTGCATTAAATTCCTTGAAGAAAATATCAATATTCTCTCTTCCTTTGAGTAACCTACTATCCACCTGTTTTAGGCTATGCTAAGTCATTAAAAATTAGTGTCAAATCCTTCCAAGAACCCAGATTAAACAAATTCTGAAGAAGGTTCTTAGGAATAAACTGAAAAAGTATTCGGTGATGAAAATGGAATTGTTTCAGTATGGGAAGTATTATCAACGATTATAAAGATAATAGAGTAAAATAGAGATCTTGAGATCTTATGCTTTTATTACAACTGCTTACTTAAGGCTTTATTTGATAAGAAGCTGAAAGCAAATGAGGGAAAAGATATCAAATTTTTGACAGTTATTCTTGTTATATTTTTGTCTCACATTTACAAGCCGAACAGAGACTTACAAACAGTGTCTCTATTCTGCCTTGAAAAAATTATGTTAGGTAAAAAACAGATTATTATTGATTGTAAAAAAAATTTATTATAATTATTATTATTTTTCAATAGGCTTGAACATTTATCTTGATGTTAATATGAGAGATATTGAAGTTTTCAACAATGATTTAATCAGATAACTTTCATAAAAGCTCAGTTTTGAAGAGTTACAGTCACTAGTTAATGAAAGTGTGCAAAGAGTCAGCTAAGAAGAAAATGTTTAAGTGCTTAATGGTTTTACCTCCCTACATAATAAATTTTACAATCAACATGAAGAAAAGCTATCTGAATAACTTGGAGCAATTATTCAGAGCTACAAAGCAGTATTTGATGTTTAAGTTAAATTAAATAGTGAAGAAATGTAGAAGGACTAGCTGATAGGTTATGTGATTACCATCCTAGAGAAGAATTTACAAAAAGGGTTAGACATCCTTCTAGATGAGAAAGTAACTTTCCCACTTACTGATTTTTAGGAAAGGCTGCTTAAGCGTATTGTAGATAATAAGAGCACTCTATTCAAAACTTTTAATCATTTGACAGATGTTTTAAATAACCCTGAAGATAAAATATTTAAATGTAAAGGAGATGCTCTTACAAACTCAATTATTTTTATAGGATTCATGTTCTCACTTAATTCTGAAATCCTTTTGAATATTACTAAAAAATACTTCGCTTCAATATTTGGCACTTTTGTTTTAAGATTTTCCACAAGCTTTGATTAAGATCTTAACAAGAATTCACAATCAAGAGAGTAATAAATTTTATAAATTCTTATATTTCCAAGAAATTAAATTATTTTAATTTTAATTTACCAGTGAAATGGATGCTTCTAAAGCTTGCTTGTGGGCATTTAAATAAATGCTTCAAAATTCAAATAAAAGCAATTTTCTAAATGATATTTCAACTGGCTTATAAGTAAAACTAATCGATGAGAGTCTCTTTGAAGATGGGATGTCTGAATTAATGATGATAGTCTCTAAAAATAGCCGTCTTTGTGAATTAGTAACATACTCAAAATATTATTATTTTAAATGTATTTTTTATTAAATTTTTAAAAATTAAAGTCTGAAATGATGGAATTCTTAAAACCCTTCATCCTAAAAAAAATAAAAACTCAAAAGAGTGCCTGTCTAATTATTGTAAGCTAGTTAATTCATTGCAGCTTTTTTGCTTTAGACTTTTAAGATACTCGCAATCATGTTCTTTTACCAGATTGGTATAATTTTTTAATTGACGTATTATTGGCTAACAACTAAGACAGCAGCGAATAAATAAGATCGATTGTTTTAAGAGGAATAGGAAATATCACTTATCTTCATAAATATAATATAGCTGGTTGTTTAGAGGACATAAAAGAAGAGGAAGATTAAAATGTCTTACAAAGCACTGAAAATATGGAAGATAACTAAAATAAGAAAGATAAAGATGAAAATTCCCAGTCAGAAAATGAAGGTGAAAGAAATTCATAAAGAAAATAGCTTCTTGATGAAAAAATAGCTGAAAATTTAGTTTAAATTATTCAAGACGAAGAATAAAAAGAATTCGAAAAGAAAAAAGAACCTATTTTCTTAATAAGCAATGAGAGATATGCTTAAATAATAGAAGCTCTCTTCCTAGGTATGGATGATACTTCAGACTTATGTGTAAAAGACACTTTAAATAGTCTATAAAATATGATCTAATTTATTTCTGATTTATTCCTCTAGCCTTACATTTTTAGTTTAATACAAAAAGTCACAATTAATTTCGAAAAGTAAGTTTTTTAAATTAAAAATTGAATGATTATTACTTATTATTATTTAATTAATTAATTTTGAATTTTAAAAAAGGTAATTAAGTATTTTAAGAGTAACTTCTTTTAATCTATTTGGAAAGTTACTTGAAAAAATACACATATGCAAAGAAAAAGATGATTACATTTAGAATTAAATTCATTACGTTCTTATATCTGTAATTGTCCATTTACTTGATGAAAGCAGATAAGTTAGAGATGTATGCAAATTAAATTTAGAAAAAATTGCAAAAATTTTAAATTTTGAGTAGTTGATGTAAATTAAATTTTCTTGTTTATTTCAACTATATTTATTTATCCTTGAATATTAAATAGTAAATACTTGGGATAAGAAGACTATAATTAAATAGAAGAATTTAAAGCTGAGTTCTTAGAAAAAGATGAAATATTTATGCTTAACGCAATGAGTTTGTTCACTAGTAATTATCATAACAAAATAACTGCTTATATTGAAACTTTGACTGAATACACTAAATCACCAGATGAAAAAATAAAATGCTCTTCTATTTTATCCTTAATTTATACCTTTAGATATCTAAACCAAGATATTTAGAATTTAGAGATCATATAAAATGTAAAAGAAAGATTATATGAGCTATTAGAAAAGTAAAGTGTCAATAGAAAAATCAATAATATTGATAAATATATTTTGAAGGCTACAATATTCTTAATTAAAACTATTGAAAGCTGATTTTTTTGAAAGTTAATCAAGTATTAATTTTTTATGTGATATATTTTCTATGTAAAAATGTTTAATTTAATTTCAAAGATTTTTATATTTCATTTTAATCATTCAATTACACCATTTATTTTTTATTTGATTTTCAATTTTCAAAATAAAATTTAACCCTTTTTAAATTAAAAATAAATAACAACATTTATGAATAATACTTTTAAATTGAACCATTAAAAATTAAATTAAATTATTTTTTAATTCTTTCAATTTTAAATAAATAAAAATTGAAAATATTTTACTAAACGAAAATTAACCTTTATATTACAAAATAAATATTTAAAAACTTAATTATAAAGCAACTATTCAAAAAAAAAAAAAAATGAAATGCGTAGCATAAATAAATATATGAAAGTATTTAATTTGGATTTATTATGTTATTTATTTATTTATTTATATTTGTGTTTTAATTTATTCATTTTTAATGCTTTAATTTGTGTTTTAATCTTTTGTTAGCTTTTTGCTTTTTGTTAAGTCTTTAGTTATTTCTTTTATCTTTTTTTCTTATATTTTTTATTTATTGAATAATTCTTTTTATCTTTCTTTTAACGATTTTTTTATTTTGAAAATCACTCGATTGAAACTCGACTTTTTAAATTTAAAATTCTTTCTTTTTAATCTTTTTATGAATATCTCTTTTAATTCTTTTTAATCTTTTTAATCTTTTTAATGAATATCTCTTTTTTCTTTTTAAAATTTCTTTCTTTTCTTTTTTTCTTCTTCTTCTTCTTTCCTCTTTGGGAGTTGTTTCCTAAGGGAATAAAACTATAATTTAAAAATGGAAAGAGAGGATAGTACTTAATTTTATAAGCACTTCCAAAGACATTTTGAAAACAGCCCTATTTATCTAGCTTTGTGAGAATTGATAAAAGGATAGTGATCTTTTCATCGAACAGATACCTTCTTTAGGATTTGAGATGTACTGGATTATGAAAGATTATTTCATCTTAACATAATTTTTTTGTTTTAAAAACTAGTTTTCGATCTCCATTAAACCCAAAGTATCCATTGAGAAAAGCGTAGAACCCTAGTATCTTTTGTTTCTCACAAGCGAATAATTCAGTGCCTACGTCACTGAAGCCTTAGCTCTCCTCTTTTTAGCCCAAGTATGTATAGCCTGCCTATATCTTGCCCAAGATATACAACGTTCAGCCTATTCGATCATTATTTGCCTTAGTCTTTGTTTGCTCTGTTATTTCTCTCCATCACAATTACGCCCAGTCCTTAGATACAACAGCAATTATTATTATTTATTAAGATGTGAGTACTAATAAGTTATCGAGGAGTTCTGAAGGGGATTCGAATTTAAGGTATCGATTCATATTAAGGTTCGAATATTACCAACAAAGAACCATTAAATTAAAGGAGAGAACCAACTTTCCTTTAATTTTATTACTTTTTAGCTCAAGATATTAAAAGGAAGAACCACTTAAAACCTTTAATGAGCTAATGGCGGAATAGAAAGAAAAGAACCGATTAAAGAACTTTCTATTCAGACCTGCCTTGGATAAAATATTTTACTCAAAAACTAATCAGACTCCTTATCATAACTTATTTTCTTCAGCATCTTTGGCATGAACGTTTCGGCATTTCGGCTATACTTTATTAATAGTTAATTAAGTTAGAAATTTTTTGATTAATAAAAAATTATTCATACATTTAATTTTTCAAACTACAGTTAAAGATTTCAAAAATTTGATTTTTTTTCCTCCCAATTAACTTGAAAAAAGCAATAATAAAAAATTTAATTTTGATAAAAATTGAATAAGATATACATTTATTTATTTATTTTCATTAAAAAAAAATTTTATTTTTAAATTAAAATATTTTTTTCTTTAATTGTTTAAAAAATGGGATTTTTATTTAACAGAAAAATTAATAATAAAACAAAATAAATTTGCATATAAAGCTAAAAAGATATTTTTAATGTTTAAGTAAATAATAATAATTTTTTATTTTCATTCAAATGTAAATATAAAAATTATTTTATCAATAGAATTTGCTTTTTTATACTTTAATTTGACTAAAAAGTAAATATGCAAAATATTTATAAAATTTAATAAGCTTAGCTAAAAAATATAGTTTATAAAATAGCTTTTATTTAATACATTAGCAATTAAAATAGCTAGATTAATTGTAACTATATTATTTTATTTGTGCGAATGAATCAGTGAAAGTGAAAGCGGATATTATTTTAAAGATAATGAGGGTAAAGGGAATCAATTTTGAATGTAATTTTAATTTTTAGAATACAATAAATTAAAATGATAAATTTATGTTCGTAAGTGAATTATTTTCATTTTTTTATACTTTTAGTTGTTATTTTTTTTGTAAATAATTTTTTAATTTGAAAATATTTTAAAAAATAAAATTAATCAAGTTTAATTTGTGAATTTTATCTTAGAAAAAAAAATTATAATGACATTTTAAAGTTTTTATTTAATTACTTACAAAAAATGTATAAAAAATTTAATTATTATTATTATTAATTTTATTTATAATTATGTTTTCAGTCTTTTTTTTTCATGGTTTCAGCAAATTCTCTTACTTTTTTATAGTATTTTTCTTTATCACTCCTATTGTAAATAATAATATTTTCCTTTAATAAATTTTTATTTTTTTTAAGTTTACCTGTAAAGAGCGCAAGGTTCGTATTAAGCAGGACTATCAATATTAGGCTCATCTTTTAATAATTTTTATATACCCATCAAAATCTATTTAATAGTTATAGCTGATTTCCAATCTTCTTCCTCATTTAATATAGAAAGACACACAGTTCCTTATTTTAAGGTAATAAATTTTATTTATAATTAATAAAGTCATAAATATAGTTTGCTATAAAATAAAACTATATTAAATATTTAAAATACCTGAAGGATAGACATTAGGGTGAGGAAGGACAGGCTTAAATTGACCTAATCATCAGAAAATTAAATTTATTAAAAATAACTAACTTAATTAGCAAATATATTAATTTACATTTAGGAGGCTTTATAGGATAGGATTGAGAGAAATCCATATATAAAATATAAACACCACCTTCCCATGGACTCTATTATATATTAGTATTATTATTTTTATTTTTTATATTATTTTGTATTATAGATTAGAAATGCCGCAAAAATTATTATTTTTGATTTAAAAGTTAATTTTTAACAATTTTTTTTTTTTTAAATGAAATCTAAGAGTTTTTAAAAATTAAATGGTTTTTTACGCCTTCTGGTCCAGGAATTTCGCAATACCATTTAAGCATATTGATAGTTCCATCTTCTTTGGTCATGGGTTTTGCTACAAATCTCTATTTTTATTAAATAGATGAAATATAAGAATATCTGTTGAATCGAATTGTACGCAAGCTTGCTATTCTTCATCCATTTATCAATCGATAAATGAAGAAAGAATCAATCACTAATAATTATTACGTGAGGATGATCTTGACGCCATTGCTTTCTTTCCTATTTTAGTCTAGTAATAACTAATTCATTTACTTCTTTATTTTGTTGCTACATCGAAACTCTTAAACAGTTTAATTTACTTTTGTTAATAGCTTTTCTTGCTAGTTTTCTTTCTAATTAATTTCTTTGTTTTGTAAAATTTACTACATATCAATTCTCTCTTTCTTTTCGCTGAATCTGAATTGAGACATTATAAATTAATAAGCCAATAAATAAATTAATTAATAGAAACATATAATTTAATTCAATTTCCCATAAAAATGTATTATATGCTTTCATTTTGATGTCAAACAACAATTTATTTTATTTAAATACATTGAGTAGATTTATGTTTAAATAAATAAGTAAGCAGGTAGCTGCTATATATAATTTATTTATTTATATAATAAATTACTGATTTCGTTTCAAATTCATAATTATTTTCTTAAAATATATAGTTTTTTATTCATTTATTTATGGGATTACTTCGTTAACAAAATATCAAATTTAATAAAAAATAATTATTTTATTTTTTGATTTTATTCTAAGTTTGATATAGAAAATTTGGTCATAAGGATAACAATATTAATAAATTAAGTAATAAAAAAGTTAAAATCATATTAGTAACAATAAATAAAAGCTAATTATAAAAATTTATCTTAGTACCTCTAATTTATAATATAAATTTTAGTAAATTAAATAAACAAATTATTTAATCACATTCTATTATTTTTTTAATTATTATAAAGCAAACTTTATTTTTCAATATTCAATTAAAACCTCAAAAAAAGCAAATTATTTAAAATATTTTAATTATAATTTTAAGATTTGACTTTCAATCTTAGAAAGAAAAGTTCTAGTCAGCCCAATAAGGCTTTTCGTCTTCAAAAATATATGATTAGAAAATATATTTCATAGAATGCAAGCAAATTTCTAAAGGCTAATTTTTATAATCCCACTCATAATCCTCTACCAAATTACCTTCTAATTTGTAAAGACCATTTTCTTGAGATAACATATAAGATCCATCTTCACCTACTTCCTTTAAATCTTTTTAATTATGTTCATGCTTTTGCTCTTCATTTGAATCATCTTATTTATTTTTTTCATTCTCATGACTCTCGACTTAATTCTAAATTACTACTTTTTCTTTGCTAGTTGAGGCATCCCCTTCATTGTTTTTATGTTTTTTTTGAATTGTTTCTACACACTCCTCTTAATTTGACTCAATTAAGCTTTATGAGATTGATTAGGGATTTTATGCTTTTTCAGATTTTAAACCAGTATATATTTCTGGGAATTTCACCTTGATTATTCCATTTCCTAAAAATTAGCCGCCATATTAAGTATCATTTATAATAGGAAAACCAAGACTACTTAAATGAACTCTAATTTAATGAGTTCTGCCAGTTATTGGCTAACATTCTAAAAGGGATGAATCACTCTTTTCATCATACCATATTTTTTTGAATATAGTTTTTGACTATTTAGCTCCTTTAGATTTTATTTCTTCTTCATCAGTTGTATCTAATACGGCATAGGTTCCTACCTTCTTATAAATACAATAAATAGGCTTTTCATATTCTAAGTACTGATGATTGAAATTTCCATGAACACGAGCCAAATATGTTTTTTTAATTAACTCAGTTTCAGATTCATGAAATTTTTTAGTTAAATCCCTATCTTTGGCCATAATTAAAACTCCTGAAGTCAGCTTATCTAATCTATGCAGCACTGTATATACGTTTATTATTAAAAAGTGTTAAAATTAAAATATGAAAATTATTTTGCTTTTACCATATAATTCTATGTTGTAACCCATTTCAAATTTGAGTAATCCAACTAGAGAGTTAAAATGAAATCCTCCTGAGGCGTGAACGCTAATATAAGGAGGCTTACTGAGTACTAACAATTTATCATCTTCAAAAATCACTTTTGGTAAAAGATTAATTATTGGTGGTTCTACTCTACTAGTGAAGTGCTCAAATAAGTCATTGTGCCTATAAAGTTAAATGATCACATTTAATTATATTAATATTATTAACTGTAATCTAATTATTCACAGTAAAATTCAAATTATAACATATATTATTTCAATTTAAAGTTTTTTATAATAATTTTCTAATCTTAAAGATTTTACTTAAAACGATAGTCTATATTTTGCTTTTATTTATTTACTAGAATTTTTCCTTTTTCTATAGCATTTTGCTTATTTTTCAATATAAAAATATTTTAAATGATAATAAAATGTAATTAAGCTAATTAACATAGCAATTGTTTCATTTTTAAATTAGTATTTTTTAAATTTAAGAAGCATATTTAGGTTAATTTTGCTAATAATCTTTCTATATTTTACATAATATTCTTTAGTGTATGCATGAAACTCCTTTTCAAGGACTTCTAAAATAGGATTTCCGACCCATCTACCTTTTGAGTGAGTGCGGAAACAATGCTCATAAGCCTTCACAAATCTAAAAGGCCCATGAAAGAAGTAGGTTGGCTTAATTGAGTTGTTAAAAACTTCCATTTACAAAAATATGAGTTAGATAAAATAGAAAAATTAGCTAAAAGTTATTAAATAGAATAGTATCTTTGGTTTGATTAAAATAAACGATTAAAATTGTTTTGATAGTAAATCCAACCTTGCGTATTGAATTTATATCTTATGTAGACTATATAAGCAAAAAAATTTAATTAGCCCATCAAGCTATTTTTATATTTGAAAAGTTTTACTTTCAAAATTGATTGAATTACTACATAAATAAATAAATTCATTCGAAATTGGAATTATATAACTGGTTTTCATTTTACAAAGATTTGAAGTTACTTAATTTATAAATAAATTTGGATTTTTATAAATGTTCGTACTTCATAAATATTTGCAGTTGTTTATATATTTGATTGGTAATTTCTTAGAGGAATAATTAGGAGTTATGAAATTTGAAATGTATGTGTTATAAAAAAAAGAATGATTGATTAATTCATAAATAAACATAGTTAATTAAAATATAAAAAATCATAAGATTTATCGAATTTCTAAAAAAATAATCATCAAAAAAGTTATAATAGCTTAAAATAAGAAATCAAAAATTAAATAAGATTGAAAGCTTACCTCAATTTTTAACGATTTCAAAATGGCAGGTTCAACCTTATAGAGTAGTGTATTAGAAAATTATGGTTTAGAGCTAGGTATTTTCTTTATATGCTCTTTAGCTGTTTCCATACTTTTGATGAAAAAGATTAAGGGTGACATCAATGGATTAGATATTTATTTTGCAACTAAAGATTGGTCTTTTATAAAGCAGTCACCTCATGTTGAGTTATTCGCAAAGGTTTTCAAATCTGTAGTAATATTTATGATCTTTTGGCCTGTCATATCATTAATAGCATGGACTTGTAGTGTTCTTAACTTAGCCTACAATATTCAAAATCATACATCTGAAGATTACCTTCCTGGTGTAGCTATTCTCTTAATAGGTTTAGCTGTTATTTGCTATATTATACCCGTTTTATAGCTTAAATGGAGTAACTTTGTCATCAATTACACAAGCGTAGCTATGTTAATTCTTGGAACATTGTTCTTTTGGGCCTTTTAAATTTGTGCCCTTGTAATGGTTAATGGAAATAAATCGTAATTTATCATAAATCAATTTGTTATTTAACTTACTATGATAAAATAAATTATACCAATTTTTTAATATCAATAAATTTGAGTTACTTAAAGGATTTTAAATTAAATATTTTAATTAACTATTTACACAAATTATTAAAAGATTTTTAGGTTTATCAGCAGTGTTTTTAATGATTAACTCTATCTTCATGATGATTATGGTTTTTATGCATTATTCAAATTCTTCAATGAATATTAAAGACGTGATGTCAAATTACATTCCAAATGAAGAAAGTTTGAGCAAGCCAAATAACTCCACCGTTGAAGCATACATTGATTCAGAATTAAATGATCCTAACTATCACCCAACGACCAAAGAAATCCTATAAATTTTCACAGTATGTAAAAATAATGAACAATTTGAGCATACAGTCTTAAGTGGTGGGCTACAAAGCATGTACTAAAAACTAGTAAATAAATTAATTAATTAACAATATGCTTTATACATCAATATTATATTGTAATTTAATAAAAGACACCAATGAAAAAAATAATAGCATTAGTAGTAGTTTATCTATGTGCTTTAGGAGTACTTATAGCATATAGTGTAATAGTATATCTAAATGCCCCTGAAAAGAGATTAGGTTCCGTTACTAGTATTGCAGTATTTACAACTGATTTAATTATTTTCTACTTAATGAATATTAGACTCGTTAAGGGGCCTATATAAACATCGATTCTTGTTGTTGGATTTAGAGCTTGTTTATTTGCATTTGGAGGAGTTTATTGGTTCTTAGGTTACTGCTTACTTTATTTTATATTTGTAGTATACTTGGGTTACCATTTATCGTAAAGTTATTTGATTAATATATTTTTAATAATTTTAAATAATATTAAAAAAGAGATAAATATTTTCCTTTAAAGATTATCTATGATGATGTTAAATAAAACAAGGTTAACATTAAATCGAAAATTTAAAGAATTTTTAAGTCAATTGAATTGCTATATTTGTTTGCAACTATTGTATTGGCTGCAGTTATGATTTATCTCGGTCGTTAAGATCCTCAAGATGTGCCGATTCAAGGTTTTATAATATATGGAACATATTATCCTTTTTGGGCTTATGGCTTGGCTGTAATTCTATTTGGAATCACCATCTTCTCTTTTATGTGCACAGTTAGAATAAGTTATAGAGAGGCTGATGGAATTAAAGGGAAATTTAATGAAACTTATATAGGAAAAAAAATCAGCCAATACTACCTCTTTATGCTACTAACTTATGCACTTCTAGTTACCTTTGGTGCTCTTTGGTACAGCATAGTGAAAGAATTTTTAATTTTGTTTTCTTGTATTTTCTTGCCTCTAATCTACGAATGTTTCATGATTATGTACTTCAATTTACATCTAAATGATTATTATGTGATAGCTGATATTAGTGTAAATATTATTTATTTATTTATTTTTCAATAATTTATAAACATATTATGAATTTAAACATTTAAAATAAATAGAATTTCAATGAAAAAATGAAAAGAATTAAGGAGTAAAAATTTAATAAAATGAAATACACATTTGCAAAGAATTAGGTTATATAATAGCAGAAGTAGGCAGGAGAATAAAGATAATCAGTAAATATAGCGGGTAATAATAATAATAATAATTCGATTTTACAACCGAATTTAAATAAAACAAATTAACATGATTAATCTAATTAAATATTTATGAATGCAGACTTCAATCAATAAGTTGATATGACTGTTAGAGAAATTGAGTAAAAACTCAATTAAGGTGATACTGAGTCTTAAAAGGGAAGAGCAAGATAGCTTTAGATAGATATAGAATCTTAATATATCAACAAGAAAGATGAGCACATGCTAATCATGTCAGCTAACCAAGAATCTAACTTTGCATACACTTATAACCCTATCCCTGACTGGAGAAAAGAAGATATAGGATTTATCAAAGCTTTCTTAAACAAAAGACTACTTCCTACTGACTACAAAATCATCTTTTCATGTAAATTAAATTAAATAATTAATTTTGATTAAAATATTCTGCAGAATATTAAGTTTTATAATTCAATCATAAATTTTAATTACTACATTCATTTAAATTATCATTGGTTCAATAAAGCAAAATTATTTACAAAGGCAAAAAAATAAAAATTTTTCATTTATTTAGAAGTAATTTCATAATAAAAAAAATTTTTTAAGTTTTAAATTTGAATAACTTATCTTAAATTGTTTACAGCAAGCAAACCAAAATAATATTTTTTTAACACTTTCCCTCAGAAAAACAATAAATTAAATACGAGATGAATAAAATTATAATAAAACAATAAATCGAGCTTGCTATCTTAAATACAAATTTAAATTAATAATTTTTATAAGTAATTTATTTTTATCTAAAATTATTTAGTTATTGCTATGATTTTATTTATGATTGTATACTCAGCTTGTGTTGGTGGTACTTCTAAAAATTTGCCTTTGATTGGTATAACTATTTCAGCTAATATATTGACTTTGATATTCTTACTCATTCCTGTTAAATAATACTTTGAATTCTTAACAAATCCAACACTTTCACAAATAATAACTTTTTGTGTTGGCCTTTGCATAAACTTTGGTTGGGGTTTTTATGAATTTTATAAGCTATACAAAGATGATGGAAGTTCTAGTTAAAATAGCAACTATCATTCAGCTTATTACCTTCTTTATTTTGCTTTTATATTACCTTGGTGTATATCATTTTACTGCTTTATTAGGAGATGGAAAGATTTAAAATGGAGTTTATCAAATACAAAAAGTGTTTTTATATTTGGTATTCTAAGTATAATATTTGCCTTTGGTATGGGAGGATATATAATATACTTTGCTGGAGTGGCTCCTGGTGTTGCAGTAATTGGATTTTGGTTTTTCGTGTATTATGCTATCTTTTTATTTTACATTTATAAAATAAATAATAATTGCCTACCAAGGAAGTGGACTTATTCTACTGCTATAATATGTGTTTGCGTATGCTTATCAGCTTTTATAGCATCATTATGTCTCGATGATTTTAATGATTATTTAGGATTTTCAATCAGCTTCTTAGTTATTAATCTCCTAGTGTTTTTATATTCTTTAGTCGTGATCTAAAAAGATATTATGAGTAAAAAAGAATAGCCTATTTTTGCATCACCTTGGATATTCCCTATATTTAAATATGATTCAAAAATTGGTATTGTTAAAACAAATAATACAGGTTTTACTATATTTTTATTTTCTACTCTTATGTTCTTAGTTTGGACTCTTACTCTTACAATTTGGCTCCAACCAGTAATGAATTAATAGCTTATATAAATTATTTATTAATATTTTTTAAATAGATATTTGTAGGTATAACTTGCAGCTGTTTGATAGAAATATTTTTATTTTTACTCTGTATCTATGTATCTACATGGTGTTAGGTTGAGTTAGGTATTGCTAGTGAAAATTTTAATCCTGATGTAATAAAAGTGTCATGGCTTAAAGCAAAAAAAGCTTACTTAGAGAGTAAAGGTATAACAGATACTGAAAATGCTTTAAATTATGAGTTCTATAGCAAAGAGAGGGAACATAGAAGGGCTTAGATTAATGAATTCGTTTAGCAAAGTTAAAAGAAAGATTCAGGCTTCTACTAAGATCTAGCATCTATTTATGAAGATTATTATAATTCATCAAAATAAAGCAAAAGTGCATTAACTGATGAAATCAAAGTTATGGTTCACTTCTAACTTATGCTCATTTTAGCCTCATAAGATATTAGAGTAAAACTATATTATTTTAATATTAAAAATCATTTTAATTTTTAAATAGAGAAAAAATATGAAAGAGTTCTTGATTTTTATTAATGCTTGCTAAAGAGAGCTTGTTATTGCTGGAATCAATTTTACATAAGATACAGTCTAACATGATGTGGAGACTCGTTATTCAGAAATTATGTTTTAATTAGAATAAATGCCTCCAGAATAATAAGAGTTTGTAGTAGCTGTTCAAAAAAAATTTGTCTAAATGAAGATCTAATAAAAATAGGAAGATGAAGAAAGGGCAAGAAAAGAAGAAGAATTAAAGAAAAAAAGAGAAGAAGACATGTAATAAAAGCTTTTATAGTAATAGCTTCTTTAATAGTAATAAATGTAGCAGTAATAATAGTAATAATAATAGCAATAGTAGTAATAGCAATAATAAACATAATAACAAAACTAGCCTGGACCTGGTATATTAGGAGGTAACACTAATAATAATAACAATAATAATTAGCCTAAAGATGTAAAAGTAGTAGTCAACAACAATAATGGCATTAGTTAACCTATAGTTCCAACTTAAACAAATTAAGGAGGAAATAGTAATAATGGCCCAGCGAACACATAAATAGGCACTAACAATAATAATAATCCTCCTAACTAAAAGCAAAAAGATAATCCACCACCAGCTTAAGTAGCAACTCCTAATAGCATATAAATTGTATTTATTTAATTAATTAATTTCAATTTCGTATTTAAAATAATTTTGTAAAAAGGACTTTAAAACTCCATTAAAAGACTTGGTAGACACTCCAATGAAGTACCTAAGAATTATTGAGGAATTCAAGAAATCTGGAAAAACATATAAGGACGAAACTTATGTTGCTAGTAATGATATACTAAATGAAGAGATGGCAAACGAAGTTAAAGAGTGGAAAAGACCACCTCAAACTGCTACTTTATTTAAGGATAGTATTTCTCCAATGGATATCCGTTAAGGTTATATTGGTGATTGCTACCTTATGAGTGCTATGAGTGTTATGGGTGAAAAAAGAACTGAAAGCTTATTACTTTACGATTGCCCTGAATTTGATAAAGAAGCTAGAGAAAAATGTGGGGCATATATCCTTAAATTTTGGATTAACTCAAATTGGATGTATGTTATTGTGGATAATATTTTACCTTTTGCTCCAGATGGAAAGCTTCTTCTAGGCTAAGCTGAAGATCCAAATGAGCTTTGGCCTTCTATAATAGAAAAAGCTTACTCTAAATTATACGGGGGCTATAATTAAATTGAAGGTGGTAAAGTAAGTTATGCATTACAAGAATTAACTGGAGGACTACCTGAAGAAATTACACTTGACAAATTTTAAGATAATGTTGATGTATTATGGAATAATCTTTTAGATTATAAAAAATTTGTAAATTTTAATTTATTTATTTATTTACTTAATTAAAAAAGTTCAATTTAAAATATTATGTCAAATTTAATTCTATCTTAACTAAGTACATTTAATTATAACAGGGATATATTTTAGGTGCAGGCAGTCCTGCTCATGAAAGAGGAGATAAAGCTGTAAGCCCTTAAGGAATTGTTTATGGTCATGCTTATGCTTTGCTAGATGTTTAAGATGTTGATGGTAATAAATTAGTTTGTTTAAGAAATCCTCATGGTAATCATGGCACAGAATGGAGTGGAGATTGGTCTGATAAAAGTCCTAAATGGAACCCTCGTTTGAGAAAATTGGTAGGAGATACTTTTGAGGATGATGGCAAATTTTGGATGAGTGTGCATGATTTCGTATATGAATATAGAGCTTTATATGTATGCAGATTATTTGATCCTCAAATATGGATAGATTTTGGAGTTATAAGAGTAAAAATTTATTCTTAATACTTTCGAATTTAATTTTTATTAAATAAAAAAATAAATAAATAAATAAATAGGGAGCATGGAAAGGAGAAAAAGCTGCTGGCTTGCCAACTAAAAAAAATCCTAATGCCAAAATTAGCAAAAATCCTAACTATGGTATTTGTGTAACAAGAAAATGTGAAGCATTTATTTCTCTTACAATTGATGAAACAGAAGATAGACTTAATGGCAAATTCCCTATCTATTTTGTAGTTCAGAAAAATGGAGGAAAAAGAGTCACTAAAACATCTTCAGATTTACTTGTTGGTGGATTAAAGTAATTGACTTAGCTAAAAACGGCTACAGCTTAAATCTCGTTAGAAGCTCCTTCTTATCCATATACTTTTTCTTTAATGTGTGCAACAATGTACGAAGGAGATGAGTCTGGATTTAGCTTACAGATATTTTGTTCTGACAAATAAACAACTATCATAGATGATAGCAAATTTTTAAATTGATTTGTATTATTAACTTAAGAAATTAATTAATTAATTTAACTCTTTAATTAAAGTTAAATTTATTTTAAGCAGTTTTACTAATAAATTTGTTCCAAACAATTACTAGATATATTCATTCATTCATTTATGTTAAGTTATTTTATATAGGCACAATTTTCATTTTTAAATTTATAAGTGTATAATTCAAATTAAAGTAAGCAATTTTTTTTACAAACAAATATTAAAGAACAAAATTATTCTATTTTTCTTAAAAAATAAATATAAAATTAGGTATGGGAAATAAAAAATGTTACTTTTAGTTAAATTCATTTAATCCTATTAAAAACATAGGGAAAGATAGAAAGAAGATTAGCAATTTTTAACATAAAAAATATTTATTAAAATAAAATTAATTTTCCATACAAAAAGCAAAAATAAAATAGGTTTGACAAATACAATCTATGAATTTTATTTTGTTTCTTTGCTGTTAATACATTATTTTTAAAAAGTTTAGTTTGAAAGAACTTTGGTAAAATTTAAATAGAGGAAAAATAAATAAATTCAAGAATCTTTTATAAAAATATTCAAAATATTAAGGTTTTTTAAGTAGATTAAATATTTGTAAGCTTTCTTTCAAGAATACTTTATTTTTTATTTTTTGCACTAGTTTATTCGTTAGTTTAAGTTAGTTCTTTATTTCTTTCAGATTTTTCAAAACTATTTGGTGTTTAATGTTGTGAACGAGTGATATATTATTATTGCTTTAAGCATAGAAGATTCAAAGCTTCCTTTGTTTAAGAATAATATACTGGATGAGAAGATATGTTAAGTATTACCATTGTTTTAGAGTTGCTATTCAAACTATTTCTTAGGTATTAAGTTAAAAGGCTATTCCTATATGGTATATGAATAACGTTATTTTTAATACTTTTCAAAACCGCAGAAAGTGCTTAAAGACTTTGATTTATAAATATTGTTTCCTTTTATCCCTCTCCTGTTGTTTAACTAAGCTGAATTCTTTCAGAGCCTTTGATATTTATGATTAAAAATTATTTTAGCTTATTAAAAATTTTTTTATAATTACCTGCTAAATCCACTAAGTGGAGTTGACCCTCATTTACTTTGTTTTAGATTTTATCGAATAATTTAAGCTTAATGGTATAAACCAAGTGAGACCTCGATGAGTGCTAATTACAATTTGTTTTTCGAACTATTCTATTTTTAGTAGCAGAGATAATTTATTATAAAAGAAATTATAGCTTTTATTTAAACTATAGACCTTATGGTAATTTGTTTTGTGACGGCTCCTTTCTTTCTTAAATATTTACATTCTATATCAAATCTTTTATTTTATCATTATAGAGCTCAATAATACTGACTGTTACCTCATTAAATATACCATTAGCTTCATATTCTTCTACTTTCTAACATATCTGCTCTAGGCACCGTGGAATTATTCCTTTTTATTTTTAGTTCTTTATTTCCCCAAACATAGTAAAAGTTTTACCAGAGCCAGTAGGTCCATATGTAAATATTGATACATTTGAGCTTTTAGAGAATAGAAAATGATAATTTGATTACAAATTAAAAAATTATTTCATATAATTTTACCATTAAAAGAAGGAATTCAAAAAAAAATTTAAGTCATTGAATAAATCTACTTATTGAGAGTCTTCTTCAAAAACTTTCATGAAAGTGTATTCAGTGTATTGCTTTTTTTAATTTTTTTCTGGTGATTATAAAGACCGATGAGGATCAAAAAGTAGAACTTTATATTCATCATTTACTATAATAGTTTTATGAGTTGATTCAGGCTAAGGTTTTATCCTGCACACTACTCTTATTCTACCTTTTAACTAAAAATTTATTTATTTATAATAATTTAACAATAAAATTATTATACACTTAGCAGCTCTTCATTAAATTCTAGTATACTTTATCTTTACTAATCCCATAATTCCTTAAAAAATTCTGTTTAATTATATTTTTAAATATCGCTCTCTAAAAACTTTAGCGAATCAATTAATTCCATTTTAAATTGATTTAAATTATAATATTCTTAATTATATTTTATTTAGATTTCTTTATAAATTTGTATTTATTTTAGTTTAGAAGATTTAGCATTTTCTATTTGTAAACATAATTGATGAATTTATTAATATTTTTGTTCAATTAATTAGTTTAAAAGCTGCAATTTTAAAACAAAATCATTTTTTATGCATTTTTCAGATAAAATCTGCTTATTCAACAATTCTAAATTAGATAATTATATCCCTAAATATTTCTTCATTATTTTTTCTTCCTCTTATAATTCTACCAATTCATCGTTAGCAGTATATTCTAAGAAATTTATATTTTTATTTTATTTTTATGCCTATTATCTCATTAAGATGTAAAGGATATTTTGCAAATTAATTTGATAGATGTTAGAATTTAATTGATTTGAAATTTTAATTAAAAATATTTAGCTAAGTAAGTCTTATTTAAAATTCTTAGCTAAATTAGATATAATGAATTTCTTTATTTATTGAATTGAATTCATGATTTTATTTAAAATACAAAAATAGAAGCAATATAAATAATAAATATAAAGTAAACTAAATTAAAATAACTATTAATCATTTTAATTATTGAAATTTGTATAAATTAAGTAATTTAAATTAGCTACTGAAGCTTATCATCAAAAAATATATTTATTTAAGTTTGTTTAATAATTAATGTGGGTTCAATTGATACAATACTTTTATTCAGAGATGAAACTCCAATGTCAATCAAAGTATTTTGATTTAGATGAAGAGTCTCTATAAGATTTTTAAGGAGAGTACATTTCTAAATAATGAATATTAAAAATATTGAATATTTTAAAATTGTTAGGTTTTATTACCTGTTTGTATAATATTAGAAGGAGATTTATCGCTTAAATAATTCATATATTCATATTGTAATTATTTTTTGATAGACTCGTTTTCACTTATTTTTTATTATAATAAATAGCTAAGCCTATCAACTTCTTAAGACAATAATATAATTCTATTTTCGTAATCAATTACAATATTTTGCAGATGCTAAATTTAATTTTTATCGTGTGCCTATTTTAATTTTTTATTAAATACATTATGCAAATTTGAATAAAAATTACCTAAAATAAGGAATGCTCTCTTTCTAGAGTATCTAGCTTTTTTTAGCATTCTTAAAACTATTAATCTTTATCTTTGAGTTGCTAACTAACTTCTAGCTATTTAATTTTAGCTTCAGATAAAGATTAATTTAAAGTTTCTATTATTTTTTGGAGTTCTAAAATTAAAACAATAATATTTAATTATTTATAGAGTTTATTAAAGTCTTTTAATAATTTTTAAAGTAAATAAATTAGATTAATAAACTTTAACAAAATCTTTAGAGCCAAAAATTATAAAATTATAATCTTTTTAATATTATTTTGTCATTTTAAAAACAGATTATTATAAAAAATTTAGATTTATATTAAACATTTTTTAAAATTTAAATTTAATTTAGAATTAAAATTTATAAAAATATTGGAAATTTAATTTATTATAAAAAATTCTTCCATTTAATTTATTATTGAAAATTCTTGAGAAAATATTTATCTTTTATTAATTAAATAATTTTGTTTATTTATCAAACACCTTTACTTTTTTGGTAAAGTAATGTAAGTAATGTTGTTTAGTGTTTATATTATTCAAATTAGATTAATAATTAATTTTGTCATAATTAAGTTGCTTTATTTAATTAAAGTTAAAGTAACCTAAAAAAAATAGTTAAATTTCTGTGATCTAATTTATGAAAAGTTTGCAGTAAATAGTTTGAAAAAAATTTTGCTTTCCTTTATTGAATTTGCAGTAAGTAAATATTTTATATGATAAAAGAAATTTAGAAAATTAAAAATATTAGTGAATTTACATTCTACTTCTATTTATTCTTTTTCAATAGATGAATATTTCTCCTCTAGCTATTCTATGTTATGCTCAAGAAGTTTATTATATTTTTACACTTACATAATTTCTTGTTAAAGCTTAGGAATTTACTTTAAATCTTCTTCTATGAGTCTTGAATTTAATTTTAAATCCCCTATTTATTCTAGGAGCTGATATATATATGTATGTATAAAATAGTAAATTTAATTATATTTCTTCTTAAATTAAAAAAATACATCGTCGTTTTGTTATTCCTGCTTCCTTAAATTCTAATTTAGCTTATCATTCTCATTAGTAAGTATTATTATCTGTTAAGTTTAATAAATTAATGATAATCAATTCCAAATAATAGTATGAATTACTCTTTGTTCATATTATTTTAGAGTTTTTTCTAGTTAAAATTTGTAATCAATATCAAAATTAACTTCATTCGATTCAAGATCAGGTAAAAGCCATTTTGAATCTCCTAAATTTTTATAAAATAATTTAAGAAATTTAAGAATTTTATTTTAAATAAAAGTAAATGCGTTATAAAAATTAATAAGACCAATAGAAAAAGAGTTAAGAAAGATAGAAATTAGAAAAATATTAATTAAATATTCGTGAGAGGAAATAATTTAATCAAGGTAAGAAGTAAAATTCAATAAAAAAAGAGCATCGAAATAAAAATAATAGAAATTAAATACTTTCTTATAGACTTAGTAATTAGTCTATTCTTGATTTTTAATAATCTATTGTTTTATTTAGTGTGTCAACTTAAGAAATATGTTTTTGTAATTCCTAAATTTCCAGGTCTTTGTTGTGGAGGTTTTCAGTTTATACTTTTATCTAAAAATATGAAATAATATATATTTTAATTAATTTTCTAACATTTAAAAATGTAATAAATTACAAGCAATTTTAATTCTTTTATTTGTTATTGAAGTTATTCATCTCCTTCATTTTTACCAGTTTCCTAATTCTTGTTTTGTTACTAGGAAACATCTGATTCATTGGAAGGTAATTTCTAAGATATATTAAATTATTCTTTTTCTTCACCATTTAGAAGCTTAACAACTAGCTCATCTTACTCAATTACTGAAGGGTCAGCAGAAATATAGTATTTATTATCATTCCTAATATTTATTAACATAAATTTTTCAACCAGTATTTAAGGAGACAATGTAAAATTACATAATATTAGAGACATTAACACTAGGAATAGGATATGCTGGAGTAATTTATGGACTCGATTAGCTAACATCGTGAGATTTATAATTTGACTCTAGCTAAAATGTCTAGATAAACTTTTATTATAAAGATTAAATCATAATATCCTTTACTTTAATTTCACTTTCTAGTTAGCTCTGCTTCTCTTTAATTTTGTTTATTGCTTAATTTTTTTTTATAATTATTCCTTCTAATACAGTAATATCTTACTTAAGTTAAACTATTATTTTTCATTTATAAAATGATTAATTAACAAGCATTTATTAAAAGTAATTTTTAAAAGTGAATTAAAGTCTTAATAAATAATATAAAATAATTAATCATTAAAAAATAGCATATTCTTTACTTGTTTACTATTATTAGTTCATGCTTTATTGCAATATGATATTATTAGATTACGGAGAGAATATAAAAGAACTATTTGGTGAAGGTGGAGTGCTATATGAGTGATTATAGCTATTTTTAGTCTAAATATTTAATAAAGATTAAGTTGGCTATATTTTTCTTAAAGCTTTTTTTAAACTCATGTTTTCTTTTTCAAGATTATCAACTTGTTTTTTAATTTATTAGAGCTAATTTTCTTTAATTGTTAATTTATAATTCATTTCAGATAGCTTGACTTATTGTCTTATAGATTCTTCTTCAACTTACATTTCTTATGTAGTTTTATTTAAGCTTTCATGTATATAAGATTAAGCTAGATTTTATTGATTTGCTTGGTTGTTATCGTAATCTGAGTTTTTAAAAGTATGAGCATCATCATTATCAATTTTGTTAAAATTAACTTTAAAATAAAATGAGTAGAGTAAATAAATATAAAAATAAAAATTAAATTAATTTATATATTTATTTATTACTATTTTTCTACTAATTAAAATTCTTAGAGGAAAGCAGCTCTTTAGTAAAGTTAGTATCTCTATAAATAAATAGAAAAAAATATAATAAAGGTTTAAATAATTTGTTGATTCATTTAAATAGAAAGGATACTTAATTATTTGTATTTTTTGTTAAGTGAGTTAGTTAATATAAATTAATTTTCTACTTTTAAAATAAAAAATGACTGATTACAAATGTTGAGGAGTATTTTGAAAGCTTGGAGTGGGTGATACATTAGATTCACAATTTGTATCAATATGAATCAACCGAATTCTATGATGAAGTTGTTAGTTAGTTTCTTAAGCAAAGCCTATATGCTTAGAATTCAATTTTAATTTATCAATAAGATGATCATTTTATTAAATCTCTTCATCTTAATTAATATTGTATTTTCTCATAATCCTATCATACTCATCTCCATTATATTATTATTAGCTATTCTCAAAACTCTAACTCTTCAAATTTTCAGCAAATACTTCTTACTTTAACATGATTTACAATTTCTATTGAAACTGGAAAGATTGTGCTGATCAAAATCTTATTATAAATAAAAATTCAATATCAGCAAATTTTTAAGAATATTTGATTATTATTATTTTTTTTTTTGCGTAATTATCAGCTAACTTAATTTCTTTCTATTATTATGACAAAGGAGTGTTATTAATTCTGATAATATTATGAAATTTCATAATTATTTGTTCTATTTAATTGTTATAAATAGTCATAAATTACCTAGTTTAATAAAAAAAACACGAAATAAAAGTATTATAAATAATTGATTGTATTTTTTAACTAAAATTATTATTTCGCAAATTTAAATTTAAAAATGAATGAATATTTTTATCATAAAATCTGAATTAAAACAACAAAATGAATATTATAAAAAACTAAAGTAATTTTTGAAACAATTTTGTTGAAATTTGAATTAAGTTTGAAGTATTTCTTTTCTTTAATAAAATAAAGATAAAATAATTCATGGTAATACAAAACAATTTTTGAAAAAATAAATAAAATTTTATTCAAAAAAAATGTTTTGTTTTTTTGATTTTTAAAGTATTTTAAAAATTTCATTTATTACCTCTTTCAAACTGTTAAATTTCAAACATTAAATAAATACCCAAATTATAAGCTTATTTAACAATTTATTTAGAAATAATATTTTTTGTATAATTTATATAAAAATAAATATTCAATATAAAATGTTTAATTTTATAATTTAATAAAAATGTATTTAAAAGAAAAATTAGATGAATCCAGGTGAATAAAAATATAGAATTATTTCGAAAAGACTTTAAACAAGTAAATATGTAAGCTAAATATTGTATTTTTTTCAACTAAAATCGAAATCTACAAATAAGAGTTCATTTTTAATTTTAGGATGCATAAGAGGTTCGTTTCTAAGACTAGGATCATTGACAAAAACTGAGTTTTCTGGGTCGTATTAAGCACTGACATATGTAAATCCTTCCATTTAGCATGATTCTGTAATTTTACCTTTTTAATCTTTCTTTTCTATTTCTGGTTCTTCTACAAAAGGAATATCTTCTAATTTAACCTTATCATACATAATAATCTTTGAGGCTAAAACTGCAGTATCAGTAGACATCTATATCTTAGTCAATTTTCTCAATTCAAATCCTTCATTTCTTAATTCTTTAGTTCTATCTTTGGGAGGGTGATCACCCAAAATACCACCAAAAACAAAAGCATCATAATTTTCTAAATCTGAGGGTTAAAGTTCTTTTTCAGCTCTCATATCTAATAAGATAACTTTTTTAAAGGGTACAGAAATTTTTTCATTTTTTTTTTCATCTTCAAACTCTAGCTTCTCTTGGTTTTGTATGTATTTACCAATCTTTTCTTTAAGTTCAATTATCATATTTCCTCCCCTTTTTTCGTGTTCTTCCTAAAGCTGTTGATAATTTTTCTTGTAATCTTCATTTTCATCACTAGTAGGATCTTCGAAATAGGATGAATTTGTGAAAACTAATTTAGCATTAGTCTTTTACAGGTATCTTAACATATTAAAGTACTCGCACAGAGCCCAATCATATAATCCTTAATCTACCTATTCTATGATAAAATATTTTCTTGGAAATTAGGTTTGTTATGTATCCATTTTAAATTTTAGCTTGTTTTTTTTTCAATATTTTAAAATATTATCTATGATTAATCAGTAAAAATTTATATTAAATATTAATTACTTTTAAAATACTCTTTTTCTTAAGTTAAAATGTATGTAGCTTTAAAGCCAAATTTAATATTTCTAAATGCGAAAGAAAATCTATCAAATTAACCAAACAAATATTAAATAGATGGATATAAAATAAATGAAATTAATAATAAATTTTACAATAAATTGTAAAAAGATTTTGTAGAAAATTTTTTTTCAAATTGTATCTTAGTGTAAAAATTATACTAAAAACATAAAGATAAATAGCTTAAAAATAATTTATTTATCAAATAATTTTGTAACCAGTAAGAATATAACCGCTATAAGGACTCATCATTGTTATGGGATGAGTTCTATTTTTTAAAACCTAACATTTAAATAAAAAATATTAATACTAAGTTAGATTGAAACACTTAATTAAATTACTTAATGCTCTCTATAGAATATATCAAATATTTTTATGTTAACAAAGTCTCTTTCTTACTGCATTAAGTCAAAAGAATTTTGCAAGCACTATTTATTTATTTATTTATATTATTTTTAGTCATTTACTTAATTATAATGAAAATTACTTCTAGATAATTGGAGTAAGCTAAAAGAACTCCGTTAGGAACAAGTAAATGCATAAACTTTTCGACGATTTCGGTAACATCGAAATCTCCAACAATTAAAAGGCTTTATATTAATAAGTTTAAATAAAAAATTGCTTAAATGTTTAAAACGAGTTACTGAGTAAATTTATCGGTCTTGGCTTCTGCAACTTAGTTTGGATTTCTAAATTCAACTGAAGAATTTAAATGTTAAGGAACATTCATTTATGAATAGCAAGTGATTTGATTGAAAGGCATTTTTTCTTTCATGTAATGAATTTTTCCTTTTCCATTCAATCTAATAACAGCACCACCTAATATAGCACCTTTAGTATTATCAAAAAGGGCAATATTAGAACCTTCTCTAATGTTTGCATAGTGCATAAACATGCTAAAAGCATCACCTCTCATATAGCTAATTAATTTATTATTTTAATTTTTTTTTTTAAGCTTATTTAAATTCTATAATCTTACTTAACAAGCTTTGGATTTTCTTGATAAAGGGTTTCTACTACATTTAAAGGTGTTGTTTTCAGGACAGTGAAGTAAAAGAAATATCTTTTATGTTTATTTTTAAAATATTAATATCCTTTGTTATATTTATATTAAATGAAAATAAAGTCTACTTAAATTAATAAAGATTTTTTATATCTATCTACTTTAAATATTTTAAAAAATGTCATCAAAAAAAGCTCATAAATTACTTTTCTTTTTTTCTTTGCAAGTATTTCTCTTTGGAGAATGCTGTACGCTAATTAAATTTATCATTATTTTCATAGATTTTTTTAATTATCTCTGAATTTGAGATATTTGGATCTTTTTTCATTAGCTCTATTTCTTCATTTGATAGCTTTTAGACAGAGTTATCATTGAAAATATTTCTATTATCTCTTTGTTCTGATTATTCTTCTTCACTAATTTTTTTGATGAAAATATCATATTTTAAGAAAAATTAACTTCAAAAGTATATTTATTTATTACTAGTTTTCTTCATAGTTATAGAATTAATTGAAATTATAAGGGTCATAAACAATTTAATCATTTGAGTATTCATAGACAACATTGTATTCTTTTCCAACAATATCTTTCATGCTAATCATTTTCTTTCTCCATTTGGTCTTTCTATGTTTTTTAAATTTTTTATTAATTAATTTATTAAAGCTAAACATATTTGAAATAAACGCTTGAGCAACATTGAAGGAACATTATTCAAATTAAGTAATTAAATGATAATTTACTTATTCTCCTTTAAATTTACGATTTTGCGATTATCTCTATTATCAATTAAGAGGACATATTCATTCCCTTTAATTACATTATCTGATTATTAGTTATCCTAATTAATTGGAGCCTAATCGACTTGCTATTGTTCAGCGTTTTCTTAAATTATTGGCTATATTTCTTGCTTTTCAATTTCACTCATTTCTAAAAAGTTTATTTAAGGATTTATTTTATTTTAGTTTTATTATATACAAATTTATATATATATAAACCTTGTAAAGCATCTATCAATAAAATCAATTAATATATTTATATTCATCATTCATATAATCAATAAAGTTAATAATTTACATTTATATTTTGTATTTAAGTATTTTCTCCTAAAATGTGAGTAGAATATAATGCTTCTTTATTAGAAATGGTTGTTTGACATATTTTATTAACTTTTATAATTAAATTTATTCTCAAAAATACATTACAAATGTTTTATTTTTTTAATAAATTTTCATTAAATTTTTTTTTGATAAAATATTTTAAGAAATTTAATCAAATTGAAGTTATTAAGAATAAATTTTTTAATAATTTATAATTTTTGGCTGCAGGCTTATTTTCGCTCGTTTTTTTCAAGCTAAAATCTAGCTACAAATTTATTTAATTTTTGGTTTAGTTGTTTGTTATATTTAAATAAATTATATAATATTAATTAAAAAATAATTTAAAATTGGATAACTAGTAAAGTAAAATGGAAGTTGAGGTTTAAGAGGAAGAAGCTAAATAAATAGAATATGTTAGACCCTTAGGATAGATATGCAGATTTGAGTGCCCTGCAAATAAAGAATAGCATTCGAAATTCCTTAATTCTTATTAGATGTACAAATATCATATTAAATATTGCAGAGAACTGAGATGTCTGTAAGAAGTATTTGTTTGCAAATTTTGTGTCAAGCTATTTTTAGAAATCAAAAAAAGAGATGAGCACTAAATTAACTGTTCATGTAGATTAGTTCAAGAAAATGTTATTTTTGAAATACCTGATCACTTAAAAACTCGTTATCCTTTGAATAAGATAACATTTGAAAATTAAGAAGAGTTTTATCAAATAATTGATAAATTTCCACTTTAGGAACCTTTGTCAATAAATTTAATAGATAGCAGTTGTTTAAAAAGTGATTTTGATGAGGAAGGAGAGGAGTTGATTAAAACTGATAAAAGTTGTTGTGAGAATTCAAATAATGTTTTTTCTGAAGATTTAATGTGTAGTGATGAAGATGATTCATAACTTTCTGAATTAGAATAATTTTCTCCAAAAAAATATCTTTAAAATTATATAGGTTCTAACAACTCATAATAAAATCTTTCTCTTATAAGCTAGTAGATAGATATATTATCTGTTTAAGAATAGCTCATTTAACCTTCAAACACTATTATGGTAGAAGAAGAAGAATAAGATTATGATGATAAAAAACCTTCTAGAAAAAAACACTCTTTAAGGAGCTTTAAGAATATCATTAAAAAAAAAATAGAATAACCTAAGGCCATTTAAGAGTCAGCAGTGCTTCAATAATAAATAGTTTCATAAAATAATTAAAAACTTACTCATTAAGTTGAATAATTCTTCAATAATAACATAGAATTACCTTTTGAATAATAAATTTTATAATAAAAAAAAATTTTAGAAATTTAAGCTTCTCTTGTTAATGAAAAAATTACCGATTTATAAAATTTAAAATTGATAATTGATTAGAAAAATGAAAAAGAATCTTCTAAATTAGAATGTGGATAGGAGGAAGCATAAAATTAAAAGTCAATAAGTAGCAATCAGAAGTCTTAAAAAAATTATATTGATAAAGATGATGATGATAGTTTTTGTTTTTTAGAAGCTTAAGAATGCATTTTAAATGGTATACATAACAATTAGAAATAGTATGATCGCTTTTTTAAGGTTAAATAACATATTTAAATAAAGGTCATGGATGTAACTTCAGAAAATTAAGTTATATTACAATAAGAAGAAAATTTTATTGATGATTATAATTATGTTTCTTATTTATCAATGAAAAATTTTTAAAAATTTAATTCTTATCTTGTTAAGAATAAATCGAAATTACAACCTTAAGATCATTTAATAGCTTCTTACACTGTAAATCATTATGACTCTAAAAAATATTTAGAAGAACACCTAATGAAAACTCCTAATGATAATTAATTCTGTTTAATGTAAATTGAAATTACTAAACTCCAAGATTTATTTAATACAAAGCAGCCACATAATTGCTTATTCGAAGATAGTAGTAATATCACTGATAGTATCTATAAATCATAGTATTCTATATTTATTCTTGTATTAGAGAATTCTAAAATATTTGATAAGGATTTTGTTCCATAGCCTCCATAAAATGCTTTAGATTGCACTGATGTATATATGAAGCCTATGTAATAATATTCATTTTAGTAAAAATAGCTTACTGCTTAATAAGCAAAAATTTAAAATAAATCTGAAAATAAAAGCTAATTATCAAATGATTGCAATGAAACTATTAGATTAAATCTTTATGCTTTTGAAGGTTTTTAAGTTTTTAACAATGACCTTAATTTGCATGAAGTTTATTTATTTGATAAATTATCTATAGAACTCCTGGAAGCAACTGCAATAGATTTAAAAATATTAGAGCATTTAAAATCTTAAACTTAAAAGTAGCTTTTCTAATACTCTAATGACATAGAAATTTATAGTAAATAAAAGGAAGAAAAAATTTAGTAGTTACTTGAGATTAAAAGTAGAATAGAATAAGATAAGAGGGCTACATTGACTAAAAAAAAAGCCAGAATTGGCAAAGAAAAAAATTTAGAAGAGCTAATTTAAAAGAAAATGAGTGAAAAAGAAAATAATTTACTAAAGTTTAATTAAATGCAAAAGGAAATAAAAGAAATGCATAGTTAAGTTAATTAGCTTAGATAAAATCTTCAAATAGAGATAGATAAAGAGTATTAGCTGGCAAAAGAAAAATCTGATTAAATTTATTATTAACAGATGGATAAACACAGAGCTGAAGTAATTTCACTAGCAAGTGAAAACATATTAGATTTATATAGTGTTATTGAATTCTATAAATAAGAAAATTAGCTATTATTTAAGGAATAGTATGAGTTAATGGATATATAAAGAAAGTAAGGCTAAGCTTTACTAAAATATGATGCAAAATATGAAAATTTATAAAATGCAAAAAGAAATAAAGAAAAACTTATTTCATTATAAAAAAATAAATAGTAGACTGCCTACTTATGTTTGAAATGTAAAAAATACCCTTAAAACTGTTTACAAAAACCTTGTGGTCATGTTGTCTTTTGCTATTCATGTCTCAATGAAGAAAATGAAGAAAAAGAAATAATATTCTGCAAAATCTGCAAAATAGAAATCATTAAATTTTCAGAAATAAAATATAAAATTATACATTGATTGATTGACTTGATATTTCAAAATTACACCTTAAATTCCAAGAATAAAAGAAAACTTTATCTTTTTTAAACAAGAAGCTTATAATTTTATGATTGAATAAAAAAATAAAGATTTTAAATTATTAGCAACATAAGTGTTAAAATTAATAATGACTTCAATTTCTATGTTATTCATTCATTAAAGCTAATCACCCTAACTATATTAAACACAGCCTTCATGTTATATATTTTAAAGTTTTTTTTTACTTTATTAAATTATATAATTTACTATTTTTTAATAACGAATAATTAAAATTTAAAATATTCCTCAATTTTTATTCAAGTTTGACTAAGTAAAAAGCCAAATATTTAAAATTATTTTCATTTAAAAATTGATAAAATATGTTTAAGTACAAAAAACTTATCACAATTATTACTCTTTAATATATTTAATAATAAATTCAAATTTATCTAAATTGCTTAAAATTATAGATAAAGACTAATGTTAATCTCAAATATTGTTATTCAATTAAATATATTTATTTTTGATTTATAAATTGGTATTTGCAATAAAAAAATTAATTGATGGATGGAATAAGAAATTAATTGAAGCTTATTTAAGAATAGTGTATTATATAGTTTTATAAATTTAAATATATTTTACTATAATTACTATTAATTTCAATTTTATTATTCATTCAATTTTATCTATTTGAATCTTTCTTTTCCTATTATAAATTTAAATAAATAGTTAAAGAATAACTAGAACTACTTTTGAGCTTATGAATACATTCAGTGCAAGGTTTAGATTGACTGTTTGTATGTATTGGCTCAAGCAAAATACGAAAGTCTATTAGAAAGATTTAAAAAATAAAAGAGAATTAAAAAGAAGCTCACAGTGCATACTGCTATCAAGTTGTAATTTAAGAACGAATGATAAGTTATAGATTATAAATGAAATTGTGGATAAGTATTATTTAGCTAAAGTTAAATATTTATTCAAGTAGGGCTCTCAATACAAATTTCTATCAATTTCTTTGGGAATGGGGAGCATTTGAATATCAAGCTCGTGTTCAATCTTGATTAAATTATCTTTGTCTTCGTCGGTAATGAAGTTAATTGCTAAACCTAAGTGGCCAAATCTTCCTGAACGACCAATTCTGTGGAGATAAGTCTCAGAATTCTTAGGGAAATCAAAATTAATAACAACATTAACTGTTTGAACATCAATACCTCTAGTGAAAAGATCAGATGATACCAAAAATCTACCCTATCCCTAAGTGAAGTTGTGGAAAACTTTATTACGGTGATGTTATTCCATTTTAGCATGAATGTAGAAACAACTATATCCTTATTCAATAATTTTATTAGCTAGTAATTCTACTCTTTTTGTACTATTACAAAAGATAATAGCTTGGTTAATTTGTAGCTTTATTAATAAAAAAAATTTGTTTCTCATTAAGATATTAAAATTTTTTTTCAATATTTACCTTAGCAGCAAGGTGATTTAGGCATTGAACTTTGAGTTTTTCTTCAAGGTAAGCATAATACTGAGTAACACCTTTTAATGTAAGCTCATCCATCATATTAACAGTTTTACAATCTGCCATATGTTTTTCTTTGAATTACTTTACTGAATTAGGGAAGGTAGCAGAGAAGAGCATAATTTATCTATCCTTTTTTAAAAATTCTAAAATTTCTTCAATAATAAGCACAAAATCTTAAGACAAGAGCTTATCTGCTTCATCCAAAGCAATAATTTAACACTAGGATAAATTAGCAATATTCTTTTTGGCAAGATCTAGAATTCTACCAGGTGTAGCTATTAGATAAAAATTTTATTTTTTATAAATATATAGAAGGACTTTTTTTGGTAAATAATTTATTTCTTTTTGTAAAATTCTATCAACAATGAATTTTCTTTTAATGCTAAAAGTTAAATTTAAATTTAATTTTTTTTTTTTGGTTATTTATTTTTAATGGGATAAGTTTAAAAATGTTTAGCTTAATTGATTATGATTTTAGTAAATGTTTTATTTATTTATTTTTACCTACAATAATATGAACTGGAGACTCTTTGTTTTATAATCTTAAGACATCTTCTTTAAAAGAAGTACCACCTGTAGAAACCATAACATTAACATTTAAATATTTTCCTAATTCCTTAGCTACAGAGCTAACTTAGAGAGCCAATTCTCTGGTAGGTACAAGGATAAGAGATTGAATGAAATTCTTTGTAGTATCTAATTATTCTAATATTGGAATAACAAATGATGCAGTCTTTCCTGTACCATTTTTAGCTCTTGCTATAATGCTGCTACCTATTTTTATTTTATATAATATTTAGTTTACGAAATATATTTAAGGAGATTTATAACTTTATTTAGATTATTTTTCTAATTAAGCATAATTTATTTTAATGTGTCTATAAATTTAAAACATAAAAAAAAACAAATAAAATGTTTAATTTTTGTTAATATTACCAGCAATAGTTAAGGGAATAGTTTCTTCTTAAACTGGAGAGGGCTTATCCCATCCCTTTTCAACAATACCTCTCAATAATTCAATTTTTAGACCATAGTCTTCAAAATCTGTTCCTTTAGTAGCAGTAACATCCTATTTAAATAAAATTTTAGAATCTTAGCTAAAAATATCTTTAATTTCCTAGAAATATAAGCAAATGAAATATATCAATCTTATTTCAACTTATTTATCTTAATTTATTAATACTTAATTAAGCATTAAAGCTCATCTTATATTTCTATTAATATATTTTATTTTACTGTAGTCTTAGGTCTCAAATCTGGAGCAGGTTTATTAACTTTACTTTTCCAGTCGTCCTTTGATTGGCTATTAATTCAATAAAAAAAATTATAATTAAACTATCTTTAAATGATAATTCCATATTGAAAATTGACTTAAATATAACATTTCAAAGTTTTTATTTTTTTACTAAACTCAATTTAGAGATTTAGAATGAATAAATGAGAATTTTATAAAAATATTTGCATATCGATTATTGAAAATACAAAACTTCTAAAATATCTAAATAATTTAATTACGCATCAATTTTATTTGTATTATCTTATTATGCAACAGTGTCCATTTATATTAGTGTGTTTATTGTTTGGTTGTAGTTTTTTGTTAATTGTGCTTTCTATTTTGTTTTTAAAGATATAGAGTTCTAGGAGATCTCTTATTTATTCGCTTTTTTTAAAGAATTTTTTTAATTCGAATTTATTTATTTGTTTATTTTTGAAAAATTTAATTAAATTACGATTTGTACGATATGTATCAATATATTTTATTTGATTTATTATTATTAATCAATTTCCCTTATTTTTTTCTCAGCTCTTTATATCCAGATTAAGTGCTTGCTTGTTTGTTTATTTATGTGTTTCTCCTCCTGTTCTCTCTTCTAGGGACTAAGTATCATCCATTGTCTTCTGTTTTTTCTCTCCTTTAATAAATAAATAAAGATAAAGTCCTTTTTACTATTTAAAAAAGTTATTCAAAAGAAAAGCAGCATAGTTTATTTAAAATTAGATAGTAGTAAATAATCTTTATTTAAATATTTAATTGATACTTAAAATTATTTTATCAAATGATAACCAAATATTCTTTGAAATGTTTACAAGTGTGCTAATTTTTTTTAAAATAAAAAGATAAAAAGTTTCGATAAAAACAATAGACACTATAAAATATTAATCTTTATACAAAATAATTAATTATGTCTACATTTTAATGAAATAATATTTCATAAGTAATTTACTGTAAATAGTAATTTATGAAGTCCAACATTCTAAAATTATTATTTTATTTTGATTATTTTTTTTACCTAAAATATCACATTTATGTTAAATAAAATATGCTATTTAATTATGATAATTTACATGATATAAAATTTATATCTTTATTTTTAATTAATTTTTTTTATATTAAAGAATTAAGCTCTTAAAATAATTTATTTGAAATGTTAACTTACTCAATTTTAGATTGAGAACATGTTATTAATTGAAATTAATTAAACAAAATTTTTTAATATTTATAAACGAATTAAGGAGAAATTTCCATTTACTTACTTATTTTTAAATTTATTTATTTTAAATTTAATGAGCCTTATTTTTTACCATTTTATACTATAAAGATTTAATTAAAATATTGAAGCCCTTAAAATATATATCTTCCTTATTCTCTTGTTATTAATTTAAGTTCATAATCTAAAAGTTTATTTTGATAAATCACTTAAAATTAAAATAATTTATATGAAATATTCTATATAAAATTATTTGTAAAAACACTTTAATTTAAAAATAAAGAAAAGCATATATAAGATAAAGATGGATAGATAGTAAAATGATAAATTAATAGTAAATTATTTAATAATTAATTAAAGGAAAATATATTAAAGGTAATAACAGTATTTAGATAGACTAGCAGTTATCATATATAATACAAGAAAATGATGAAATAAATTCATTTAGCTTTAAAGATATATAAGATACAAATAATTAAAATGGGAATTAGTTAAAATACAAGAGAGAGAAATAAATATATAAATAAATAAACAAACAATATGAAGGAAAACATAATTAACAAAAAGATGACTTATATATATATTTTATAAAATGAATGAAAAAATTGAAGAAGAGATAAACAAATGAATGGATTGAATAATTGAAAAACTATTAATATAAGAGTATGTAGAGAGGATAAAAAGAAGAGGATAAGAATTAATTAAAATAATAGAGGGATGAAAGAAATTTAGCTTAAGGGCAATTTAAAATTAGGTTGGGAAAATTAGTATTAGGTGTTAATACAGTGAAAAGCAAAAGATATATTTGATTAAAAGTGAAATTAATACAAAGAAACAATATAAAATAAAATTAGAAATGGCCACTCAAAGAAAACAAGACGATATCAAGAGACTTTTGGCTTCCAACGTATTAAAGCATTAAAATAATTGAAATTCTATTACAAAAAATAGACTAATTTTTTGGGAAACCTCCTCATTAGCATCCATTTTTGCATGCGAGGACAGATCTTTCTTCCCAATAACTAATTATTTGCAGAGTTAAATTTAATATATTCATTTTCATAATGTGTTGTTAATGATATAAAATATAGTGCCACTAAGCTACCATTAACCTCAACAACCAAATGAAGAGATACATCTCTCACAAGGGCGTCAACGGTATTCATTACATCAATATTGAAGAAACCTGGTAAAAGATCAAGCTCGCTGCTAGAGTTATTGCCGCCGTTCAACACCCCGAAGATGTTATGGTAAGAATATTTAATCTTTTGAATGTTTATTTTCTTATGCAAGCAAGAATCACAGTTATTGTAAGTAATGCTCTCACCATATAACATTTACAAAAGCAAAATGAATGCAATAGTGAGTTTACTCAAAAATCAGAACTGTAAGTTCACATTTATGCATGGATAAGCTGAAGACTAAAAATATACAGATTATATTTTCTGCATAAAAAATTAATGCTAAAAATTATAAGGATAGAATCTTAAAACCAAATATGAGCAAACTCTCGAAGCACAAGATAGTATTGAATAATAAAATTAAGGATAAAAAAAGTAAAAAATAAGCAGCGATATAATACTTAAATTGAGTAGAATTATGTTCCTTCAACATTTAAATGCAACAACAAAAGCCTCATATAATCTACTTAAATATTTGCTATGAGGATAATCTTATTAAAAAATAAAATAATTATTAGATATTTCGTAAGTATGTTAAGCTCTCAAAAAATTTAAAAAAAAAAAAATAATAATAATAATAAAATATAATAAAGCTATAAAGTTGTAAAATTAAAAGGAACTAACTCATTAAAAAAACTAAATAAATCAATGTAAGAGTGAAACATTTTACGTTTGTCTTTTGGTTCACTATTTCATTAATTTATTGACAAAATCATTTAAAACTTTGGCAAGCTGAGATAATTTTAAGGAAAGGAAGGATGAGTGAAGTATTTGTTAAAAGCTGATTATTGCAAAAATATAATAATAAGAACTTCACTCAGGTGATTTATTTGTTGCATTGAAATAACAGGGGAAATCAATCAATTGTATAATTAATTAAGGAATAAATAAATAAATTAAATAAATAATTACTTAATAACCAACATGAATGTCCTTTCAATTTCAAAACTAAAAAGTGGCTATTAGGGTTTAATTAAAAAAAAATGAAAATTTTCTATCTATCTTGTCTGCGAGTAGTGAATAATTAATATGGAGAGAGCTAATTACTTAAATAAAATAAGCTAAAATTAGAAATTCTAAAAATTAATTTCATAATTTAAATTAAACAATAGAGTGTATTTTTAATGATTAAAATTTATTTTATTACTTTAGGTTGTTTGCTCTAGAATTTACGGTCAAAGAGCTGCCATCAAGTTCGCTGGTTACACTCACTGCAAGTCTACCTCTTCTTCCAGATGGACTCCTGGTACCTTGACCAATTACTAGACCTTAAAATACGAAGAACCCAGAGTTCTCATCGTCACTGATCCCAGATCTGACTTCTAAGCCATTAAGGAAGCTTCTTATGTCAACATTCCCGTTATTGCTTTGTGCGACTCTGACTCTCCTCTCGCCTACGTCGATGTTGTCATTCCTTGCAACAACAGATCCACCGAATCTATCTCCATGATCTACTGGATGATCGCCAGAGAAGTTAAAATCCTCAGAGGTGAACTCTCTAAGGACGAAGAATGGGAAGTTATGGTTGATCTCTTCTACCACAAGACCCTCCCCACTGCTGAACAAAAGGAAGCTGAAGAAGAAGAAGGTGCTGAAGGTGCTGAAGAAAAGGTCGCTGAAGTTAAGGAAGGTGAAGCTGAACAAAGTAATTTCTTTATATTTAAATTAAAAATTTGAAAAATTAAATTGTCTTATTTAAAAATAGATACTGATAACAAAAACTGGTGATTTCCATGATACTAAGTTGAATTCTGAATTCAAAATATATTAAATAAATTAAACGTGTAATTTTTAATTCTACCTAATGTCTTATATACCATGTATTTTTCTATTTAAATTTAACCAACCAAAACTCACACTCAATTGTTTCAAACAACTTTTCACTTACTTATTTATTTAACTTTTTCTTAAAATAGAACAAACAATATATATATTTTCAATATTTATTTAGTAAATTTTTTAAAAGAAAGTGCAAATTATCTTAATGTATTTATGTAGAATAAGCTTATCTAATAAACTTAAATTTTTCATCTATTAAATTAAATTAGACTCATTTAATTTTATAACCATTTAAATAATAAATATCTTTAGAACATTTCAAAATTAACAAAAATTTTTTAATTTAGAATTTATATTTAATCATCTTTGAGAATTAGGATATTTATTTCAACTATCTATTGCTTCATGATCGAAATAGGAAGAGAATATACATTCAAAATAGAACATATTATTATTTAAAAACATAATATTTAATATTAAAATTACTATCTGCCTTTTTTGTTTAAAGTTATTTTGTATATTTTAATATTTACTATTTTAGTTTCTAGGATTGATTTAGTTTAATATTTTAAGGATATTAGTCGAATTTATTTTTTACTATTAGTTTAAATGAAAATAATTCACAAAGGAAGCATTAATTTTTGTAAAAAATAACTTTTATAGTCATTTATTTTTTTATTAGGATATTACACTTCATTAAATACATTTTGAACATATAAAATAATATTTTAAGATTTTGTGAGCAATTCAAAACATTTTTGAAACAATTAATTACACTTATATGAATATTATCAAAATAAAACTTTGGCTAAACACAAAGAATATTTTATTTTTATTTTTAGAATTAATAATTAAAATAAAAAATATGATTAAATTTAAAAAAAGTGAAATAAATATGTAAATGTAAAATTCATTGAAAGAAATAATTTTATTAATTCAAATTTCTTGTTCTTCAAAAATAATAATATTAAGAAAATACTCAATAATAATTTAAAATTTATTTAAGATATGATATTTAAAGTATTTGTTTATTCATTTTAATATTTGGGATAGATTTTCTAAATTACTATATATATTTATAAATAAATTACACCAAATACAATTTTTTTTCTGATAAAAATTTATATAGTCATTTAATAAGAAAAATTAATTATTTTACAAGAAATTCATTTTTTTCCTCTTTTTTACTGAATTTAGAATATTATAAAACAATTATTTTTAATTCTTTCTTTAAAGCAATAGATTATATTTCCTAAATGTTAGTTATAATTTGAATTATAAAAAATATAGAGCTTTTATTTGTAATAGATAAGAAATTTCAAGAAATTTAAAAACCAATCTACTACAAATCTAATTTGGAAGAACTAATAAAAATTAACCACTCATCTAAAACCCAGATATAGATAGAATATATATAGAAAGTTCAATAAAGTATGCTATTACCTCATTGATATATTAATAGCTTTGATGTTGTTGAATTTTTTTATTATTTTTTGCATTTGTTTTTAATTTGTTTTACTAATTGAAGCTATTTATAAATTCTTATCTTTTTATTTAAACAATAATTATTAATAAAAAATAGAAATAACTGCTTAATAAAAGATAAATAAAAGGATGTAAAGATATTTAGTTTCAGCTGCTGTATTTCCTAGTTTATATCTAGCATGGTAAGCTTGCAGAGAAAAAAATACTGTTTATGCTAAATCTAAAAGCTCCTCATTTTCAAGAAGTAAAAGTTCTTCTTCCTCATCCTCATCTTCATCTTCTAAAAAGTCATCTTCATCATCTTTATTTGGATCTTCAAAAACTAAAGGAGACAAGTCTCTCACTTAAAAAAGCTTTTTTAGAAAAAGTACTATAGCATAAAAACCATATTCTAAATAAAATGGTAATAAAATGCATATAAATAAAAGAAGATTCGTAAAAGATTAGTAGCAATCTAAGCAAATTTCTATTTTTGGTTTGTTGAGTTTGCTTGGTACTGTATCAGTTTATTTCTATAGATATGAGAAAATAAGATATGGAGTTAGATTTATAAAAAAGGCTCTAAATTCATGCTAAGTTGGCAATTTATCTCATTTTGATGCTAAACTTGAGGGCAAGTTGATATACGGACATGGTCCTTTAAAGACTCATTCTTGGTAAAATAAAGCTCTAAAAGATCCAATATTTGGAGTTTAAGCTTCATCAAACGAAGTTATGAAGCTATATCGCAAAGTAGAGATTTTTTAGGTGAATGAAGAAAAGCCAGAATAAAGTTGTTGGAGGGATTCAAACTACATAAACTCATTTCATCCATCAATATTCCATCAATGCATGAAAGATGCCTATATTTTACCTTAAAAAGTTGAAATAGGAGATTATGAGTTAAGTAATAAATAACTGATTAACTTTTGTAGTGAAAAATAAACACAGCTATCTTTTGATACGGAATAAATTGATGATTATTACTCTGATCTCTCATATGATGAAAAACCTGAAAAAAATGTAAAGGGGGATTAAGATAAGCAAGATACAATTGAGAATCCTTAAATTAATTAAAAAGAAGTTAATGAGGAGTTTAGAACAATACATAGATTTTTTAAAGAGGTTTCAGAACAAGAATATGGCAGTTTGTATAGAAATCACCCATTTACTTATGCAATTAATAGAAATAAAGATATTATTTTTGAAAACGATTATATTTATATCACAAATAATATCTCTTAACCTGAAGAAGGTGATTTACGTATTTCATTCCATGAGCTATAACCTATCTATTATGCAACAATTATAGCATAATAGCAAGGAAAAAGCTTTTCAGATTTTTTAATAAAAGAGTTTGAAAATATGAAATTGAATTTGAAGCTATTCGTAGGTGGGTAGCAGAAAAATATTGCATTTAATGTTGTTAACATTATCAAAGATGGTAAGATAGAGCTATAAGATCTGATTAAAGAATATATGACTTAAACTAAGAAAGAAATACGCTCAACTTCTTACATTCTTGCCATTATAATTTACTTAATCTACACTGCTATAGCCGATACTATAGGATAAATGATGAATCCATTTAACTGGTTTGGAAAAAGAGCTCAAGAGAGGAGAGAAAAGAACAGATAAAATGTTGTATAAAAGAGAAATGGTGGATATGTTTTTAACAAAAATAATAACGCTTCTTTCTTAAGCTACATGATTGCTGCTCCATTTGCTGCAGTTCACGTAACTTCCATATCTTTGGCTGCATTTGCTAGAATGTATGCTGGAGTCATATGTGGTGGAGCTGTAGCTGGATATATTTTATATACTTGCTACAAAGACTATCAAGATGATTATTAGTTACTTAATTCTTTCTCTGAAGAAGAAGAACAAATTGTTGAAATGGATGAGCTTGATTAATAAGTTTTAGACATGTTGCAAAACTCTGAAATTGAAGAAAAATGAAATAAATAAATACATTTTTATAAAAAATTAATTTTATGTTTGCTAATCATCTTGTCCTTTTTAAAATTAGAAAATTCTAACAATTTTAATGAAAGCTTATTTATATTTTAATGCCAATTCCTAAATGAGGGAATTTAATTTTTGAAGAAAAATAAAATATGACTTTATTGACATTTTTTTAATCTGAAAATTTGTATCTTTCATTATTAAATAATTGAAAATTTTATTCTCAAGGTAATTAATTCTATTTGCAAAAGTTATTTATTTAAAGATATAATGATTTATTTATAATACTATATTTATTTTTTGTTTCGCTCCACAAATTATTTGATAATTATATTAGTTATCTGTCATTCAATTAATAGTTTTTTTGAAATTTTTACTTGAAATTTTGAAAAAATAACTCGCAATTTAAAAATTCAATAATATCTAAAATCTTTAAACATAAAAATTAATTAGTAGTTTACTAAAAATGAATCAAAGTAAACAATTATCTCAATAAAACATATCCTACAAAAGTTCAGATCAAGATAAGTAGCAAATGCAAAATATTTAGGCATAATAAGATTTGCAATAAAATAACCAGGATTAATCTTAAAGCAATGGATAATCTAATAGTCAATTTACTCCTTAAGATGTAGCATTTTATATTGAAAACTTGAAGAGAAATTATTTAGAAAGGTAAATAAATTGCTAAAATTTCTTTAAAGACTAATACTGTGAATAATATTTATTTTAGCTCAAATAAAAGCAATCTTAGATTTTAAAATTAATTTACATTTTATACAATAAGGTTAGAGTAATTTTAGATGACCATTAAGGATATTTATGATAGGTTAGAGGGAGATGAAGTAATAGATTCTTTGAAGAATGACCCTGAGCTTGAATCATTCAGGGTTGAAAGATTCAAAGAAATATTAAAATAAAGCTTTTAATATGAATAAGAGTTATATATAGATAAGATGATTGAAGCAAACTCGATGCTGAAACTAGATCTCAAAAAGTCTGAGGAAGAAAAATATATCGAAATTGAGTAAGCAAAGATAGAAATTTAAAATATAAGCAAAAAAGTTTTAGAGTTTGAAAGCGCTATACAATAGGAAGCGGCTTAAAAAATGGTCTTATAAAATGAATATGAAAAATTATTGAAATAAAAGAATTTAGAAAAAGCTAATTATGACGAATTGTTAAAAATTAAGGAATCCTCTTAGACAAAATAGGATTCAATGTATAAATAAGAGCTTTAAAATTCAAGAATGGAAATTGAAAGTCTACTTAAAGAAAAAAGCAATCTACAAATTTAGAATGAATAAATGAAAGATCAAATAGATACTCTAACTAAGAATTTGTAAATATATAGCCAGAAACATCAGGCTAGAAGTGAGACTGATCGCATTTACGAATAAAAGAATGAAGAAATGAAAAATATTATATAAAAGTTGTAAACTTAAATTGTAGATTTAGAGTCTTCTAATGAAAATTGTATAGAGTAGCTTCACTTAAAAGACTAAGAAATTTAAGTTATCAAAACCTCTTTGGCTGAAACATAAAAAGAAAATGATTATCTATCAAATAATACTGAGAAGCTAAAAGTTTAGATAGCAAAAGTAGACAGACATTTTGTTTTCAAATAAATAATTTTATTAATCCATTTTTCTATAATACATACAAGCTTGAGAGTCTTGTCAATGAAAAAAGTGGTGAGTTGAGTAAGAAATTAGAGAAAGTTAGAAGCAAAAAAAAAGCTCTAAAAGAAAAATTTAATCAAAATAAGCAGATACTCGAAAATCACAGTAGAGAGATCTCTTAGTATAAAAAAAATATATAGGAATAAGCAGAATAATATGAAAGAACTATTCAAGGAATGAAAGGAGATATGCTTACTATCAAAAACGAATGGGAAAAAAGATGTAACGAAGTAGAAAAAGAATGCCAAATTTTAGTTGTAAATAAGTTAAATTTTGAAATTTTTATTTTTAAAAATGATTTAAAATTTCTTAGAATTAAAGCAAAACTAAGTACGAAATGTAAGCTTAAAAAATAAAGCAAGAATACTAATAGCTTCTAGACAAAAAGATGCAAGAACTTGATGAGTCTACTAACTAACTTAACTTTTCTAAGGGCTTTAATTCATAAATTTAAACAAAGATTTAATAAATCGAGAAAGACTACATTCTGAAGGAGTAGCATGAAAAGATATTAGAAGGGGAGATTGCTAAATTAGAAGCCAAGCATTAAGAGTTGATTAATCAGATCTCTGAAATACATTAAAATAATATTCAAGCAAAGATAAAAGAAATATCAGAAAGGAAATCAAGAGAATATGAAACTTTATCCTAAGGTTTACAGAGTAAAATGAAATTACTTAAATTTTAAAAAATAATAAATATTTAAATTTATATTTAGATAATTGCTTAGATCTTCAAGCTAAATTGTAAGACCAAATTAAATTAACTGCTTAATATAAAGAAAAAATTCTTGAAGTGGAAAATAATTTTTACAAAATCAAAGATGAAATCAATTAATAAAATTAATACATCAATGTAAAATTATTAGGTTTTTTCAAATTATAAATTAATTTATCATACTTTATGAAAAAGCAATTGAAAGGATAAAATGAAGAGCATATAAATCACAGAAAAAATCTTGAAAATAAGATTTTAAATTATTAATAAGACTTAGAAGATATCAGAAATTCTAAAAAGCAAGTAGAAGAAGCCTTATAAGAGCAGTTAGAATTAAGCTAAATGCAAAGTGAAAGTATTTAAAAATTGCAAACCAATTTGGAAGAGTACAATTAAAAGGAGGAGCAATGGTAGAATGAAAACGAAGAACTCTAAAATAATCTCTAGCAATAATATGAAAGTTAAGAGTCTTTGAAACGCCAATTAGAGTAAATAAAATAAAAGCAAGAAGTAGAAAAGTAGTCTGCTATTAGAAATGTCCAGTTTTAGGAAAGTATAAAGCTTGAAAAAGAAGTAAATGATTAATTTTAATTTGCTTTTAAAATATTTTTTTGCTATTTTTTAGAAAGAAGAACATGAGGAAACAAAATAAAAACTATTGTAACTAGAAAGGAAAGTAAAATAAGTTTAAAAAGAATAAGAAAAAATAAATGAAGATTATGAAGAAAGATTACAGTAAATGCAGGAAAAGTCAATTAAAATATCAGGGTAAAAAGAAAAATTGGAAACTGAAAAGAAGGATCTGATAATTTAAGTGAATGAAATTCAACAGAAATATGAGGCCTTCACAAGCAAAATAAATAGAGATAAACAAAGAATATGCAAGAGATTAGGATTATAGTTGAAAAGTCTAAAAGATGATCTATCAGATATTTAAAATGATAGCCAGTTAGACATTGCTAAAATATATGAAGTATCAAAATAAACTATTGTCCAATCAATAGATCATTTTAACAACCTTAAGCAGAGGGAGATAAATAAGCTTGAGAATTAATTTAGGTAAAACTAAGAAGAAATACTTAATGAATTCAATGAAAAAATGGAGTAAATAGAGGAAAATTTAAGAAATCAAGCTAACTCGACAAATGTTGATTTACAAAATATAATTGATTAATTGAAATCAGAAAATGAACAGCTTTAAGATAAAATATCGAGCTTATTGGCATCTCAAGAACTAATAGAGAAGGAAAAAAAGAAATTAGAATCTCAATTATCTAACTTAGAAAAGCATAATGAAAAATTAGAAGGAATAATTAAAAGAGTATTTAAAATTTTTTTTTTGGAAAAATATTTTTTTTTGATAAAAAACTTTTAATAATTTTAAAATTAATATTTAAAGTTATTATTTTATTTAATTAAAATTATTTTATAAATCAAAAAAGAATTCAGAAGATATGGAGGAACATAACAAATTCTTTGCAGCAGAGATAAAAAGGATAAAGGATGAATCAAATAGTCTTGTTTAACTTGCTGTTGATTCAGCTTTATAGAGTAGTAAGCAAGAAATAGATATCCTTCAAAAGAAAATAGCTACTTTATAATCTATGAATGAAAAGGCAAAAGCTAAGGAGGATACTATATATGACTTGAATAGAGAAATTTAGGTAATTTAATTATTTTAAAATTTAGGTTATTTTTTGAGATTCATTTCCAATACAAGTTATTTTTCCTAAAAAAAATAATTTTTTTTCAATTATAATAAATTTATTAAGGCAAAATAGTGTTTGTATAGCTCTTAGATTTTTATGAAATTTAATTAATTCTATTAATCGTTTTACTTAGTTGAAGCTTTTATTAAAACTAATTAAATAAAAACATGCAAAAATTATTGATTAATTGATTATTTTTTAATTGAAAATAAATATTAGCAAAGAGAAGGCAATATTGATGAATTACAAAAGCAATTTGAATAGAATATGAAAATAAAAGATGAGGAAATTCAAAAAAAAGAGAACCTCATTGAAAAACTGAGAGCAGAATTATAAGAAATGCAACACATTTACGAAAAAATGTAAGAAGAAAATAACTAAGCCTTCGAAGTTTTAGAAAAAAAACTTGAAAATTATAAATAAGCAATAAGTAGCGAGGCTCAGAAGTATCAAATGGTAAAAGAATAAAGCAATCTTGAAATATAAAGTTTAAACGAAGAGCTTGAAATTGTTCGTCAATAACTCGCCACAAAAGAATAAAATATTGATAATTTGGCAAAGTACTAAGAATTATAGACTTACTCGAAAAGATCACAACTTCCATAGCAATTTATTTAAAATCAATTATAAAATAATTAAACTACACAAGCATAATAAACACATAACTTGCCACCATAACCACCATCATCCCATTTAAATACTACTTCAAGCGTATTTTCAACTCATAGAAACAATTAGCAATATCCATAATAATAAACATCATACTCTGCTGTTAGAACTTTGAAGTAAAATAACAGTGCCAGCAATTTGATAGCTACATAATAAAATAATAATTCAAGCAGTTTTAACATTTCTCATCAACCTGGAAATAATAGCGCTTCAAAGATATAGAATGTTAATTATTTAAATTATAATGAAAAACCTGTTAAGTTGGAGGCTACTAATCAACTAAATCAAGCTAGTACTCATCAAACATAGTTTTATAAGTACTAAGCTGATAAATCATATGTAAAGTAGTATTCTCTTGACAAATCTTTTGATGCTTAAAGGTTAGATACTTTAAGCGATCTCAGTAGGTAGCATAAAATTGTTTCGTAAGCAAAATTGGCATCTTAATAGCAAAACTCTTAGGCTTCTCTATCAGTGATTAAAGGAAGTAGCCACTCTCCCATTGATATTAACACGCCTTAGCCAGATAATAATAATAATTATAATGCTCAAAATAACAATAGAAACTTGAAGACTAATTCAAGTAGTGATTCAGGACTTTTGTTTGAAATAAAGCTACTCCTTGCTTAAAGCTATGACCTTGTGAATAAAAATAGTAATATCGCTAGTGGAGTGCCTGTAGAAGGAAAGAATTTAGCTAAATAAAATTCAAGAGGATCATTAGTTAATCACGGATAGTCAGTAGCTACTACACTGAATGATAATAGCTCTACTCATAATACTAATATCCAAACCTATGGCCATATAAAATCTGTAGGATCTTAAAGTGGTATCTATAACAATATACCTTCTAGTTCAACAGCGAGACTTCAAAAATATTCAAGTGGTGGAAATATGAATACAGAAAATAACTAACCTAAACATGATTAAACGGAAGAAGATTATACCTCACAAAATACAATTTCGAATGGTAACATAAAAAAGTCTTTAACTTCAAGATACAGTACTAAAAATTCTGATTTTAGTTTTAAGAACTCAAATATTTGAAATAATTTTACTTAAGAACTTTAAAAATAAATTGGTAGAGTTTGTTTTGAAAAATGATTTTATTTATTTTAAGAATAAACTAAATTAAAAATTAACAATAAAAATATAATTAATTTCAAAAACGAATATTTTTTATTTATTTATTTATTAGTTAATTTATTAATTTGATTTTGATATTTTCATTTTTGATATTTTAAATAAAGTAAACTAGAATTTAGTTTTTAATTAATTAAAATGGATATTATATTTTTTATTAAATAACAATATTATTTTTCTATCAGATAAGAATATTATTTTTTATAAAATAGCAATATTATTCTTTTTATTCATAAATTTCATGATCAACTTAAAATTATTAATGAATAAATTCTTTTTATAATTTGTAAAAAAATAATTACTTTATTTAAAATTCAAATACTTTATTTTTCAAAAATTAGTAGATTTTGTGTATGCTGATAAATTTATTTATTCTTTTTGTAATAGTTAAATGAGTATTTATCATTTTTATTATTTCATCATTCATTTTAAAATTAGAATTTTTAATGGTAAATACCATCTTTAATTTGCATCATCGTCATTATAAAAGTAAACAATAATAGAATGCTAACTTATTTAGAGAGAGTGGTGTTTAAATTTTCTTTTTTATGCTTTCGCAATAAATGTGAATGTATAAAAAATATGTAATAAGAAAATGATAATCTTTGCTCCTCAGTAGGTCATCAGATTCTGCGATTATGTAAAGGTCGCTTTACTTTAGTTGTGATTTATATTAGATATTTTTTTTTCAAACGTATTTTTAATTAAATTGAGCATTGATTAGTAAAACAATAAAAAAACAATCTTTTAATTATTATTATTATTAGTGAATAATGAATATCAATTGATTATGCTTTTGGTTTCTTGCATATAAGCTAAAAATTGATTATGATATGATATAAAGAATCTTTTTTATATAAATAAAAAAATAATATTATATTCGTTTGATGAGCTAAAGTAACAATAAAATAAATTTATTTAACTTAATTTTGCTAACATGCCATTTTAAAAATAATTTTGTCAAAATAAAATTGAGTAACTGTTTTAGTTCAAAATAAAAAATCTTGTACACAATATGGTGAAGATGAAAAGAAATACAAAAAACAATGTTTTTAAAAAGAGCTGATTGCTTGTTTTGAAAACAAAGGAATAAAAGGAATTAAATAGAAAGAGAATGGAATAATCAAGGCAGCTATTAAATAATTGAGGAGAAAGGAAGAAAGAAAAAAAATAAAAAATATACGTTTTTAATATTTGATAATGGGTCAATAACGCCTATTTCAATGTAGGATGATAACTAAAACAAAAATAAAATATGAAAATCTCCGTTTCTAATCAAATTTCATTCAAAATGAATAGAAATCAAAGTGGGGAAAATGAATAAAAAAAAGAAAGAATTTCCTATGACAATTAAAAAACAGAGAGGGGGTTTTGAAAAACTGTAAAAACATCTCTTTGTTTTAAAGGACTAAGATTATTAAAAAGAAGAAAAAATAAATGAAAAATCAAAAGCAAAAGGCAAGTCTTGAGTTTTTGATTAATAATTGTAAAAATAAAACAAAAAATAATAAGAAAAAAAATAAACGAAAAAAAACACATACAGATGAGAAAAGTCTTCGTTGCTTTGGCTTTAGTTGCCATCATCGTCAGTGCTACCATGCTCCCTGAAGTTAGACAAAGAGCTAAAGTCAGCTTACAAAAGGTACCTTAAAGCATTTCAACACTTATCTCCATTAAATTAGAGCTAATAAGAATGTCTTCTTCAAGCTTTTATGCGGCAGCAATCAATCAATACTTTAGAGCTATCTTATTAAAAGAAAACAAAGAGTTAAAGAGTGAGTCGTAGGGCATGAGGAATTAAGTTAATAGAACGAAGCTAATCAAACTTCTTAAAGAAATAGTCATTATAGACTTTTCTTGAGAAGTTAATCTTTTAGCACCCTTAAGTAGCTATGCCATTTTCCTTTGTTTAAATCATTCTAAAAATTTTTAAAGAATGGTAAACATAAAGATAGGCTTCTTAAATTCGATAGATTTAATAAATTAACTATTTCCTTCAAGCTCTTTTTACCTAATTGTTAGGTGACTCTTAATTCTTCAAGAAAAAAGCATAACTCAAATATATAGTATATCTAAAAAAACAAACAATCAAACAACGACAAATAGTCGATAAAAAAATCAACAACTGCTGCCGCTATTTTAACTCTCAAAAATTTCAAATGAAAATCAATCAAGATTATACATACACCAAATAAATAAAGAAACCACAAAACATACATTATTTATTGATTTAGCACATTCTTTAATTTTTGCATTTATTTCTTCTCTTGAGAGTTTTACAAATAAAAAAGACAAGAAAGAAGTGTCAATTTATTTGGCATTTAAAAAACGTTTTTCAATATTAAAACACCAATTTATTTTTTTAAAGTATTTAATTTATTTTACAATTAATTTTATAGCTTCACAAGAGCAGAATTGGTAAGAACATCGTTACTGCCATCTAACTCGAATTGAGCTCAAAGAACCGTGATAACATTATTGTTAACATCCTTGCTCTCCTTAATGATTTATTGAACGATTAATCCACTTAATTAACCAAAGCTCAATCTGACTTAGCTGATAAGTAAGACTATTGTGGATCTAGCATTGAATCTTATCAAAACTAAATCGCCTCCAAGCAAGCTGATATTGCTAACGCTTAAGCTTCCCTCCCTGCTCTCCACGCTGAATTAGAAACTGACTAAGCTAACTTAGCTGACTAAGAAGCCAAATTAGACAGAGCTCAACAAAATTTAGCTGAAGCTAATGACCTCAACGATGCTGCTGTTGCTGCCTTCAACACCTCCATTGCTAACCACAATGCTATGATTGATGCCCTTAAATAAGCTAGAGCTCTCATCGTCCAACTCTAATCTTCTTCTTTCCTTTAAAAGAACAACGCCGTCCTCATCCAACTCTCCAACCACAAGGCTTTGGCTTTGAAGAAGCTCGAAGGACACGCCAAGAAATCTCTCTTCTCCCTCTTAATGCAAATGGCTCAAGATGTTGGTATCCAAGCTGACTAAACCCTCGTAATTTTTTATTTACTAATAAAATCTATCTAACTATCAATCAATCCTATTTTTATTTCATATAATTAATTAATAATATTTTGAAAAAATTAGGTCGGAAACGTTCTTACTGTTATTGACGATTTACTCCAACACGAATAAGACGGTATTGATGCTGAAACCTAAGCTGAAAACTAAAGAGTTGAAGAATACAACGCTGCAGTCATTGACTTCAACAATTAAATCAGTGATGCTCAAGGTTAAATCGCCTCCTTAAATTAAGATATCTAAACTCTTACCAACAATATTAATGACACCGAAAATAACATCGCCACCTGGTCCTAATAAGTTTCTGACTTACAAGGTGTCCTCGACGAACTCCAAAACTAATGCAATGCTGATATTGCTCACTTCTAAGATTTAATCTAAGAATTGTAAGATTTTTTTCAAATTAGAAAATTATGAAAAAATATTTTTTAATTATAACCTCTTTTTAAACTTATACTGAATTTATTTAATAATAATTTAGAAACGGAATTATTGATATCATCCAACAAGTTATCGCTATCTTCGAAGGTCAATCCATCTAAGACGTCAAGCCCCTTTTCGATGACATTAGCGTAGATGACGGTCTCGGAAGTGCTGAAAGCGCTTGAGATAAATATAAACCATCCACTAAAATTATCTCTCCAATCAACTTGCTGCATTTGAAATAATTTTTTAAGCAAGATGATTTAGATAACAGCAAAGAAATATTTACTCAATAGTATTACTGAAAAAATTATTATAAATACTATATTGTTTGAAAAGCTTAATCATTTTAGTATGTGATACTTAATGCATATTCAGTTATCTTAAGTTTTTCTTAGTTTCAAACCACTATCTTAATTTACTTTTTTTATTTTATTAGAATTATTAATAAATTCATATTTTTAATCTAAAAAAAATATTTTTTTATTTTTTTGCATGTTAATCAATTAAAATGATCACTACTTCATATAATTAATTGATTAATTTGTTTAATTTGAAAAATTTTACCTACATCAAGTATGTAATACTTTTATTTCAACCAAATAAATTATATTCTAAAAATTTATATTTTTAGTAAAGTGTTTACTTTTTAATTGAAAATTTTTCATTTATTTTAAGTAATATGATCACTTTATGTCTTTGTTATAATTCATAACAATTGAACAAAGACTAAAGAAATAATTTTAAATTCATATTTTTAATCTATTTAAAAAACATTTCCTTTTTGCATATTAATCAATTAATATCAATAATTATTAAATTTAGTAAATTGATTAATTTGCTTAAGTTTTAAATTTTACAATCATCCATTATGTATGTATTTATTACATTTATCTCTAACTAATAAATTATTTTCTTAAATTTTTATATTTATATATATATTTTGAGAAATATGATTAAAGTTTATGTGCTTTTATTTATGTCTTTGAATGAATTTAATAGAACAAAAAAATTTAACAAACAATAGTAAAAACGTAAATGATTCAAGACAGACATAATTTGTTACAAAAAATTTTAAATTAAATTTTATAAAAATGTAATTTAATTTTTACAAATAGATTAAATAAATATTATAATTTAATTTTACAACTTTAACTCTTTACAAATAAGACCATATTAAAAATTTAGCTACATCTTTCTCAGTCGTCAGGGTAGATTTCCTGAGATAATTTATTGGTTTATTGTTATATTTATACTTTTCAATATTGCTTCTCTTTTTGTTTGAATAATTAAAAGTTCAAAACTATATTAATTAGGTTAGTTAAAGTAAATTTTTTTAGCCTAGTACTCGTCTGCTGTACTATAATCGAAATTCATATCGATATTATTTTTTTATGAGAGATCATTTATATCTTGAATCCTAACATATCCAGAATAACAAATTAAAAATCTATCTCTGTCTTTTAAGATAAGATCTAAAAGTAGGATATCCTTAACAGTTTCTTTCATACCAGATTTGTTATCAAGAGAAAAGACATTTTCAATAAAAAATCTGTCACCTGGGGAAAAAATAAATTAAGCTTAGGATTCTGTTTATGTTTTTGGAAAACTCCTAGTATCAATAAAAGTATATAAATTTTTTTTGAGAGAGTTGTGTACATTTATCATGACTTCAAAATCAGATTAATATTTAAAGTATTAAGAAAAGCTCTCATATTGATAATCACTCATGTCACGCTATAAAAATTTCATCTATAATTTTGGAGTCTTTACTCCAAGTTTTTATTTCTCTTCATATATCAGTCTTTTTTCAAGTTCAAATCTAAAGCGAGTAACAAGTTCCATTGCAGATATTTCAAATAAAGTATATAAAAATATTGAGTCTCCTTCAAAAAAGCATGTTAAAAAATTTCTTTCTTCATAATAGCAAAAGGCCTTCTAGCAGACACTTCTTTCAAAAATATCTCTCACTTTAAATTTTCTTGCTATTTTTACAGATGTTTTTAAATGGAAACTGAAAAAACTTATTTCAAAATTGATTTCGTCTAGGTATTGAAGATTTATTTTTTATATCTCATCAAACTTGATCATTAAATGAGATGAAAAGTTTTCACATCTCAGTAAGTATTTTTTTTCTGGAATTTTCAATTTATTTATTGTTGCATTTACCTTGAGCTTCAATCTTTACAATAACTTATTAGGTAAATTTTCTTTCGTTGAGCAATACTCGAATAATTTTCTATAATCGGTAAAGTATTTTTCATATAATTTTATAACATTTTTTTTCTCTTCTATTTCAACATATTCTCTGATTATTTTAATTTTTTGATTTTCTTGCATATCCTCAAAATTAGGAAACCTCTTTAAAAATTCTATCTTTTTAAAAAAAAAACTTATTTTTAAAATTTAATTTATGATAAACATTAATAATAATTTTAATGAAAAAGCATAATATCAAATAGAATTTTATTAAAAAATAAATATTTTACTTATTAAGTTTTAGTCAAGGTAGTTAAAACACATTCCCATATCCTATAATGAGAGGTAATTACTTAGTAAAATTTTTTGCATACCTTCATTAATTTATAAACTTCTTAATAACTCGAAGCAGCAAAACATAAAATAATTCTTTATATATGATAGTTAACACGATCTAATATTATATTTTATTTAGCTTTAAGCATATTCATCTCTTTTCTATGTTCTATTCTTGTATTTGTATGAAACTTAAATTCTCTAGGCTTTACTGCTAAAGGTTTGTTTAAAAAATTACTTTCTAAATCATCTAATGGTTGCTATTAATTAATTCTATTACTTTATTAACTGATATCTACCCTTTATGCTTTTGTTAAAGGAGTTTAGTTATTTATTTTTTTTGAGATAGCGTTGCTTTTATTAATTTACAGAAAGTTTTTAGTTGTAGGCTTGTTAGCTGTGTTTTTATTTTAACTTTCTTTCTTTTCTTCTTGTATTTCAACTCTATTCAAGGAGTTTATTTTACTACTTAAATCTTCTTGATTTACTGGTGCTCCTTTATCTTTTATTGAAGTACTTTATCTAGATAGCGGTCTATTTAAATATTGATTATCCTAATTAGCTATCTTTTATGTATAATTAACATTTTTATTTTATTAATTTGAAGGTAATCTAGTAATATTTTATGAAGATTGTTTAATTTTCGGTAATTTCTAATCATCCTCATCTTTTTTAGCTTAATTTAAAATGTTTTGAGTCTATTTTTATTACGAAAACGGCCTTTTTGAGCTCATATGTAAATCAAATCAATTGTGTATTATTATCTCAAATTAAGATAATTATAAAATCATCAACTTAAATCATAGAAAATTTAATAACTAAAAAAAGAATATATCAGTAATTTGATTTGCATAATTATAAATTTGAAAAAATTTGTGAAAATGAATCAAAAAAAATATGTTAAAATTTAAATTTTAACAATTAAATCTACATATATTAATTAATCTCAATAACAAAGTACATAATTTAAAATTTATAATATGTATCATAGTGTTTTTATTATATTAAAAATATTATTTTAGTTCATAATAAATAGAATTGAATGATTAATTTTATAAACAAAATTTTTAGGATGAAGTTATAAAATAGTAGTGAATAATATTTTAAAACAACATCAATCAATTTTCTAATTTTTAAATAACCTATTTTTAAATTATATTTTAAGAAATTGTTTAAATTAAAAAAAAACCTTCTGTTAATATTATCTTTTAATATTTAAAGAATATTAATTAACTTATTTAATAAGAAATGGATTTAAAAACATTAAAACAACTTAATATGTTAATTAAATTCTTTATTTAGTTCTTAAAAAATTTTAGACATTTAAAAATAAAATACTTAGATATTTTTAATTTTATGAAATAGTTGTAATTAATGTACAATAATAAAATCAACTTTTTAATTAGAATCTTTGGTATTTATTTATAGATAATTAAGTAATAAACATATATTTTTTTACACTCTTTGAAAGTCAAGCCACCAATTAATTATCAAATTGTTCTAAAAAAATCATAATTTATTTTTCGCAAAATTAAAAAGCAAAAATCTTTAGTTTAATAAGTTTAGAAAAAGAAGCAAGATATAAGCTTCTGTTGATAGGTAGAGTTTTAGTTTATAAATAGAAATGCTTAGCAAGGCTATTCCATCTTTGATAAGCAACCAATAAATTCTATCCAAAACTCTTTCTTTCACTTAAAAATTTGTTTAAAACTTCAGTTCAGCCACTAAGATACCTAATGGAAGGCCATAACCTAGAAAGGAATGGAATCCTGTTGAACATGGATTATCTTAAGATTTTGTTTTAACAAATTTCAGTGATTTAAAAGGGTGAGGATGTAAAGTGCCACAAGCCAAGCTACTTAAATACCTGGAAAAGATTGGCAAAGGAGATATTATTTCCGAAACTCCTGATGTTAGTGTTAGACCTATTCGCAATACTAAAAGCAAAAAGATCATTTCAACCATAGATTTCTTTTATCCAAATGTCCATGATCCCTACTTGCAAGGTCGTATTTCGGCTTGCAACGTTTTATCTGATCTTTATAGCATGGCTGTAACAGATATAGATGTAGTACTTATGGTCTTAGCTGTTTCTAACCGTATGAATGAGACAGAGAGAGAAGTAAATTATTTATATTCTAAAATTAAATAAAAAGAGCCAACAAATTTATTAATATCTTATACAAAATTGAATTTTTATAAGATTCAATATATTGAATATTTTTTAATATTAAGGTTGTTACTAGTTTGATGATTTAAGGATTTGATGAATGTGCAAATGATGCTGGAGCTTTTGTTTTAGGAGGATAAACTATCTTTAATCCTTGGCCAATAATAGGAGGAGTTGGTATTGCAGCGGTAGAAAGAAATGAATTCATTATGCCAAATGACGCTGTAGCTGGTGATGTAATAATTTTAACAAAACCTTTGGGTACATAGCTTGCCGTTAATGCCATGTAGTGGTTGACAAGCTACAAAGACAAGTATGAAAAAATATCTAAAATACTTTCACCTGAATAAGTCAAACAAGCTTTCAAAAAGGCTGAATATGAAATGGGAACTTTAAATATGTTTGCAGCACATTTAATGAAAAAATATAATGCTCATGCTTGCACTGATGTCACAGGCTTTGGAATTAAAGGGCATTCTTAATTTTTAGCAAGTGTCTAGAAGCAAAAGGTTGATTTAGTTATTGATAATCTACCAATTATTAAAAACATGGCAAGAATAGATAATACTGTAAAAGATTATAGATTGAAGTAAGGATTTAGTGCTGAAACAAGTGGTGGTTTACTCATTTGTTTACCTAAATAAAATGCTAAAGACTTTATTTAGGAGATGCATGATAATGGACTTGAGTGCAATTATGCAGGTGTTGTTGTTAATGGATCTAATAACTCAACTGTGTTGGAAAGCGCTACTATTGAGGATGTTTGATTTAAGTGAAAATATACAAAATATTGCTTTAATTATTTAATTAGATAAGTATCATTTCTAAAATGATGCAAATTATTACCTGAAACTCTAAAAGAGAAGGAATTTGCTGAGAAAAAATGAAAATGATAACTTAATCAAATTAAAGCTATAAAGCATTTATTTTCTTTAACTTTGTAAATTAATTTTTGTGTTTCATTTTGATAAAATACAAAACTTTGTAAAAATTATCTTATGTGATCATTATTCATTAATATTTTCAAAACAAACTGTAAACAAAAATGTGTTTGTGTTTAATAATTGAATATAGGAAGGAATTTCATAAAAAATCTTTTATATATAAATACCCTTTTTATTTTGTTACATTTTTCATTTTTCCAAACAAAACAAACAATTAATTCATTATTTATTTCATATTTTTTTTGATAAATTTCAAACTGTACATTCACAAACAGGACTGCCAGGCAATTTAGGTAGTCTAAATCTTCCTCCATAGTAATGTCTTAAAACTTCTTCTGCCTTTTTAAACTAAGGTGTAATACAATTATCCTTTCTGCCTCCATCTCTTTTAATATTTAAAATTATTAATGAAATTTTATTAAACATTTTAAAAATTAAAAATTAATTACCTAGGATCAGTATTCCAACTCCACCAGAAGTAACCATAGAAAGGGAAATCAACATTTCTAAATGCTTCAAATGCAGCTTAGTAGTAAATAGCTTATTTGGTAAAATCTTGCTTAACAGGAATATAATCTCTTTTGCATTAGCCACTGCAATAACCTATTTCACTTATCATAATAGGTCTATTAAAGAACTCTGTTAAGTTTTTAAACCTAGCTATAACAGGCTACCAAGCATCTATTACTTGATTTACAGTTGGGAAATCTATGTCTTAAGCTAAAGGATAGTAAGAGTCAATACCTATAACATCTACATATCCCCACCAATCCTTGTGAGTATCTTCTCCTCCTCTTCCATCAAGATAACCCCAATTAGAACTATCAGTTAAAATACCTGTGTAAACTTCCCTAACTTATCCAATTAGCTTAATCCAATGTTAAGTTTAGGTTGACACCTAATGAATATTAAAATTTAATATTTTTAATTTTTTATTTCTAACATAGTGTGAAGTATTTTATTTTAAAACAAAATATTCATTTATAAAAAATAAAAAATAAATAGTTACTTCAATGAGCTCACAAGACAGTGAGTACATTTCTACTTATAATTTTTCTGACATCTTAGCAAAATGCAAAATATAATCGGTATAAGAAGCAAACCACTCATTCCATTATGTTTATGTAAAATTTAATCCTATATCTCCTCTCCAGTATTCAGGATCTTCAATAAGGTCAATATGAGGTTTAAGCATCACTTATAAACCTATTTAATGAGCGTAGTTAATTACTTTTGTGAGAGCTTCATCAGTAGCAGTAACATAAGTGTAGTAGTCAGATTTTATAGGAGTATATAAAGGAAAAATAACTGTGGAGTTATGATATTTTTGATAAAAAGTTACTACAATCGAAACATAATTAGCGCCAGTTGAGGCAAGCTACTTAAGAGAGTAGAAAGCTTCTTTGCTGTCATATGGAACCTCAGGACAGTATTTGTCATCAGTGAACGTAATTCCCTTCATTCTAATGGGAAAAGTAGGAAATAAACTCATTTCAGAGTTGAACAATGATTATTCAATAAAATCAGAGCTTCCTAAATTCATCTCAGTGCTAGTGCATAACACTATACTCAATGATATTATTAAAAAAAGGTATTTTTCTTTCATTTTTAATTTTTCCAAAGAAATTCTTTCAAACTCAATTAATTAATATCTTCTTTTAATAAATTTATGGTATTATTTGTCAAATAAAGGTAAGCATTAGTAATTTACAATATAATTACAAATTGTATTCAGGATTACCTTAAATGACTCTAAATTTGACAATTAAATATTAAAAAGGATGTCATAATCCCTTAAAGTTTTCAAAGTTAAGCTATTCTTTTATTAAATTACTAATCATTAAGTTGTTATTAACATTTAGATATTATATCTACTATTATAAATATTTTGTAGACATGTTTCTAAATATTAAAAATTTTTTTTCACTATTATTTAAAAAATAAGAGATACCTTACTATCTTAACTAATAAAAAATTCGAATAAACAAATATTTAGGGTATATAACTTTATTATTTTATTTCCATATCTAATTATCTGTAATTTTAATTAATTAATAGCTTTAAACCATTTTTAAATTTATTTAATATTAAAGTATTAAAATTAAAATTTTATTGATTGCATTTAATGAAATAATTTATAAGTTATTTATAAAATTTAAATAGGCATGACGGATTAAACATTTAAATTGATATTTTTTAATTTATACTGAAGAAAAATTTGTTTTACTTGATAAAATGTAAATGATTTCTTTATTATATAAATATGTACAATTTTAAAAATAAATTTATATATTATTAGGTTTGTTTGATCTAATATTAGATATTCTTTTCAAGCTTTAGTTTTAACAGAAGAGCTTTCTACCATAACTTTTATTTTACCTCTTGGAATATTTTTGGCCCTTTAAATCTTAATACTTTTAGGTGATATAATTTGATAAAATTCTCCATCAATCTAAAAGTAAGTTCTTATTGGAGCTTTGTTTTCATCTTCTTATTTAAATTTAAGAACAAAAGGACCACTTCCTTGGCATACTCTTTTGGCATTACCACTAATAAATCTCTCTGATGCCATTTGAGAAACTGAATAAAATGATATAAATTCAAGTTTTCCATCTCCAAACTTTTATTCTTCAAACTAATCTTGAACTTAATCTTTATTACCCTTTTCGAGTGCTAGTTTATTTCTACAATTTTTCCACATATCAGAAACTCCTCCTGAATAACTATTAATATTTAATAGTAAGAGGTTAACAGGGTCTCCTTTTAGGTATATTTTATCTTTTTCAATTTCTATATATATATATTAATTAATTATATATTTTATTTTAATATGCCATATTATTTATGAATTACCTCCAGCTTTTTTGGAATTAGTTGGCTTAGTTTTAAATTATGTGACTAGCTTATTTTATCCATCTTCTATGTTGATATCGAAATTAGAAATCTATATTTTTTTAATGTGTAAATTTAAGATTTAACTAAAAAATTAAAATCAGTAAAAATTAAAGTAGAGAAAGATAAAAATGTAAAATTTTACATCATTATTTGCTAGGTCTTGTTCATGCATAATTTCTAAACTATCAATAACACAGTTCATTTTTGATGTTTTCATAAACATTTTTTTAAAGCCTTCCCAACAGTAAACGCATTTATTACCCATTTAGCTTTAAGTACGATGTCTGTCAAATCCTAAGCCAATTCTAGCATCTACACCTACACTCATGTAGTTACTCATTTACTTTTTAAAAACTTTGATAGGTTCTTCCTTGCCTTCTGCATTTTTTTACTTTACTACAGTTTTTTCAAGCACTTATTTACCATTTTTTACTAGTTTTTAGATACTCTTAAATACTCCTTCCTAAATAGTAATAAAATAAATCAATTTTTGAAAAAATATTAATAAAAATAAATTAAATAATTTTGTGGTAGAATTAATAAAATTACATTAAAAGTTTCTACTTTAATGTCCCAAATATCAAAATCTTCGTGGATTGAGTAAATCCAAGATAATATTCTCTCTTTAAAAGTTTTCAAATTTGCTCCTAACAATTCGTTTGGTTTAACACCTCCTCCCCATCCTTTAATTTATAAAAGTGTAAAGTCAGCATGTAAAAATAAAATTTAATTCTCTAGTTATTATTTTTGTTTATATTAAAATCTGTAATTTAAATATGTGAACTAAATTTAAATTTAATTAAATATACAGATTTTATCATATTTAACTAAAAAATTTACCTAAAACTCTTGCAAAATCATTTCCTGTTCCAAAAGGAACAATACCAATAGGGCAAATTTCAAAATTGCAATTATACTTAACCATTTCTTAAACTACCCACATAACAGTACCATCACCACCGCAAACAATTGCTCTAGTATTTGAAGTTTCTAATTAATTTAAATTTCGAGTAAATTATTTATTTATTTTGCTTAATTTTTAAATTTATTCTATTTTAAATACAAAAGAATATTTATTACTTTTATCTTGCTCTTGCTTTAATGTTTAAAAACCTTTTTCTCTTTATTCAGCCTTTTTTAAATTATAAATATACACATCAACATCATATTTTTTAAGCTTATCTTTTTCATTATCCTTTGCCTCACGTCCTATTTGAAAATTCATCATTTCTGTCTAAAAAATACAGTAAAATTAAACTTATTATAAATGATTTACTATTATAGCTAAATAAAGTTTAATTACCTCTAAATTTGTATATGTAGATGCAAGATTACCACCACTCTCAGGATTTACGAACATAAAGAATGAAAATTTTGAACTTTTATCAACTGCCTATCTATTATTTAGCTCATTTTGGACTAATTTTATATTTTTGAGTAAATATATTTTATTAAATATGGCATTCAACAAATATTGATTTGCAAAACAAAAAATTTAATTACTTTGAACAGTGATGTTTTTATCCTAAATTGCTTGAATTGGATCGTCCATTTATGAAATATATAATACTATTACTCCTTTAGTGTTTTAATAAAATATTTAAGACAAAATATAAAGTTCTGAAACAGTTAATACCAGCTAATTTATTTATATCTTTTGTGTATGTATGTTGTATCTTTTTTTCTTAAATTTTTACAAATATTAATATTTTCTTTTAAAATTGATGTTTATAGGTTATTTTAATTTATTTGAATTGCTTTATCATAAATATGCTTAATATTAAAGTATAAATTCCCTGTTTGGTAAATATTAAAACTAAGAAAATTTTTAAAAGATTACCTGATTTTTAACAATTATATTAAAGAAAAATCAAACTAATTTTTTAATTTATGAGAATTATAATTTAATTTTTTTCTATTTTCATTACAAATCAAATACAAATAAATAGATTTTTATTTATGATTAAAAAATAAATAACCTATTCAATCATATTATGAGAAAAGAATTTAAAGTATAAAAAATTTTAGTTTTTTCTATATCTGTAATATGCAAATAGAAGGTTTGCAACAATAAGATGTTTATATTAATTTCCATTAATACATGACGGAATAAAAAAAACAAGGATAAATAGAAAAATTTATTAAAAATAGATTTTAATGAAAATATTTTAATATTTTTAATTTTATTAAACGAGATAAAAGGAATAAATGTAAATGAATGATTTTTATTAAATTACTTACTAAAAATAACAAATAATATCAAAATAATTTAAAATTTTTAACAAATGTACAGACAAGTTAAATTAAAATGCATTTAAAACATTTTCATTACAATTAAAAATTAAATTATAAAAAAAATAAGAAAAAATTTTCATTAAATTGTAATTAATTAGTAATCTTAATTTAAAATTAGTAAAAAAACTGAAAGAGCTGGAATTTATCTGCACTTTTTATACAGTTTACCATCTTTTCTAGAATAAACTTCATAAATTTCTCCAAAATCGTCATATTGTTTTATCACATTCACTAATAAATTATTGTATATTTCTCTGTAAATTTTTTTTATTGAATCATCAGATTACCCATCTTTGGATAGTTTTCTCAAGACTAAATAGTTTTATATTATAGAAATATCACCTGATTAATAGCATCCTTTCTATGAATTATCACTTTCTATAAAATTATTCATTTGTTCTTTTATTTACTAAAAGCTAAGAGTTAAATTAGAGTTAGCAATCCCGTAAAGGGTGAAAAGATCTTTAGTGAGAAAGTTTAAGTTGGCATTATCTTACTAATTTTTTAGTTATTATTAGAAACTTAATTATCCTTCTTCGTCATATAGATCGCTATCTCTTTAAGCCTTTGCTAATATATGGTTAGCATCAAATATATATGGATAAGTATTCATGATATTTAAAGAGGGACTTAGGAAAGGTTGTTAATGGCTATTGGAGTGAGATTACTAAATCTTATCTTTAAAAAAATGATTCTCATCTTTTAATTAATCTATTAGCATTTATTATAGAGTTTCACTCACTTCTTAGTATTATTTCATTTCTCCATTCAAATCTTAGGATATTTTTGAAAGCTTGTTAGCCATTTGTGCTAAAGATTAACTTAAAAAAATTGACCATGTTAAATAATCTACACTAGAAACTAGCTCTTCTCTCATGTGCTAGTGTCTAATTAAATCATCCAAGCCAGAGCTTGAGTACATATTAGTGAATTCATCTTAATACCACTTAAGGTGATCAAGTCTGTTTTCCCTCTGCTAATTTTTAGATTTTTTATGATGGTGATGCTGGCTTCCTTTCTTGTGGGAGTGCTTAAAATTATCTTATGAGGAAAAAAGCAGGTTAAATAGGATGTCTTCTGCATAGTCGTAAATTTCTATTGCTTTTTCATAATGAATAGAATCTTTTAACTTTTCTTTGAACTACTCAAGTTCAATTTCATCTCTAAATTATTTTTTAAAACTAAGCAATTGATTATTCAGTTATTTTATGTGTTTATTAAAAAGTTTGTTGATAGAAAAAGTTATTGAAGGAGCTGATTAATATTATTGCCTAATATGGATAGAAGAAAATGAAGTAGAAATTATTTTTAACGTATTTTGATTATCGATATAAGATAAACCTTCTACATTTCTATGAGCAATCCAATTGCTTAAAATCATCTCTGCTAATTATTAATCCCATTCAGATATGATAGAAATTGTATAACCATCATCGTATATAGAAGGACTCAAATTTCCACCTTATCTTGATTAAGAAATCCCAAAAATTTCTTTTTGAGCATAGAATTGCTTTAAATTAGAAATATTTCCGGAATTTTATGTTGATTGATATTAGTATATTGAAGATTAGGACATAAAAAAAGGATATTATTGAGATATGCATGTGTACTATTAATATTACTATTACTGAGTCTACTTATCATATTATTCTTGAGTCATAAACTCTTGATAAAAAGAACTATCAGAAATGTAGTAAATATTTCCTAATATTTTGCTAAGGGCATAGCTAGATATTTACAGTATAGGCTTAGGTACTTCTGTATAAGATGATAGAATGCGAGCTTAAATTAATTATAAAAATTCATTTTCAGAACGTTTCATTTATTATATAAGTTCTTTTTGTGCTATTGGTTCTCTTTCAATTGAATCATATGAAATTCTAAATATGCTTTTTTAAACATTTTTCACATTAGCTTTTACAAAAAGAATATTTCCTTTCTAATTATTGATGTTGTTATTATCAGCATCATTTATTTCTTTAAAGTTAATTAAATCATTTTATAAAATTCTTCTCATATTTCCTCCTCTACCATTACTGCGAAAGTTTAATTACTGTTCTTAAACTAATCTATACTCAAAGTGGAAATTATCTTAGTTTTTAATATCTTCAATTACAAACGCTCCTCCAGAATTAGCTACTTTGATTTTGAGTTTTTGTTAGCTATTTGAAAGTGTATTCAGCTTTATTGACTCAAAACAATCAATAACTCTAATTTGTTTCAAGTTAGAGCGATTATTAGGCACATATTATATAGAGTCACTTTGACAAATAAAGTAGAAATAAATGCTATGATCTAATTTTAGCTGTTCATCTGTAAGCTATTCATTTGAATACTAAAGAAATTATCCCTCAGTTAAATAATCAGCTGAGCTCTATTTCTTTGGTAAAGACCTTTAAGTATTAATAAATGTACTCCATGATTAATCTTCAAGGCTTGAATAATTTGTTTTAAGTGTTTTTATATTCATTATTATCTCATTTTGCTCCTCAATCAGCTCCTAAACATAAGTGCTGCCATCATGAAATTTATAGTCAGCTTTAAGCTATTAATTATTTTAGTTTAATTCATATCTTAGTAGATTTTCATAATCAGCAGTAATAGATCTGCATTTATCTGATTTTCCAATATTATTTTTTTATCTTTAATTATACCCTTAATTATAATTTCCATTTTTTCCATTTGATTATTGGTTGCTTATTGTTGGACATCTTTCTATCTTTTGCAAGTCTAATCTTTTATTTGAATGATAAATTACTCCAAAAGCTAATCCTTCATTACCTAGAGTGCTATACTCATATATTAAGTCTGGTCTATAAGTACCCCAGAGATATTTGTGATATTACGATTGCTAAGTCTAATCCTAAAGCTCTTCTTTTGATTCAATTAATCTGGCTATTTTGACTTAATTTAAAAAAGCTACAAATAAAAAAATGAAAGCCTAAATCCTCATATGTTAAATAACTAACTAACCAACACGTATCTTTTTTTGGTATTTAATTTAAAAATTAAAAGATATAAATAATAAAAATTAAACAATAAAGGATTATTTATTAGTTAATTTATTAAAATTAATAGTAATATAACATTTTGAAATTTAATATAATTCAAATGTATTTTATATATTATTTATCAATTAATTATATAAAATGATAATCAACTACTCCTACTAAAATGAATCAGTAATTATAAAATTAGTTTAAAATAAAATTATTATCGTTCTATTAAATTTTTTTTTTAATTAAATTATAAAGATGTTTTTAAATAAAATATTTTTTTTCCAACAAAAAGAGTTAATTTAAGTAAAAAATTATATTTTGTTATTAAATTAGAAAAATAAAAAGTTTTTGAAAATATTTTTAGAATTAATAAAATCATTTAAAATTTATTGTTGTTTAAGTATTTTTAAGATGAAAAATGAATAAATTATTTTTTAAGTTTTAAAATATTTAATTTAATTCGAATTTAAGGTTATTTTTTTTGTATTTTTAGTTAGCTAGTTAGAAACAATTTGATATAGGTAAATTATTGAAAAATCAAGTTTAGATTTAATTTTAATCAATAAAAATATTCTTAGGAAATTTTAACTGATAGGAGATATTATTGGAAAAAAACTTAAAAGCATAGTAGGAAATGGATTCATAATAAAGCTTTGCTAAAAATATTTAGGTTGAACTATAGAAAAGAATAGCAGAAGTTGTCAAAAGCAATCCAAACATTCTAAGTGATGTAATAAATATGAAATTTAGCATAAAAAATCTATTAATCAACTATTCATAAAATTATAAAATTGTTTTTGGTTTCTAGTTTTAACTTAATTTTATTGAAATAGTTGGCAAAAATTAATGATGTTGATATTCAATTAGATTAGCTTCTTTAAAACAAAAAAGTAATAAATAATTTATATTGAGGATTAGTTAGATCAATTTGAAATTAGCTCCATCAGTTTTATCTTTAAATAACATTTTCAAAATTATAAAAGGCAATTTGTTTAGAAAGTTTAAGATCTTTGAATGATCTGAAGCAAGCAGATGGTTAATTGGTTGAATTCACTTATATGATTTAAAGTATGTTCAATCCTGAAATGTATGCAATTGCAGCTATTGATGCAGAACAAGTTAAAAACGGAAATATAGATTCAGCTATCGAAGTTTTTAAGTATCACGATACAATAACATCATAGAATTTACCAAATGAACATCAAGATGAATTCAATGAAAATATTGTTTCTGCACTCGGTGATAGATAGATATATTATGCCATACCTATTCCTAACCAAAATAAATGGTCTAAGTTAGTAGGTTAAAATAAAAATAATTAAGGATAGGAAGAAATTGGATTAGAAAAGAAAGAAGCTCATCATGTAAGCTATCAAGGAATACAAGTATCCTCACTTGATGATATTAGTAAATATGCTCCAAAACTCTAATAAATCGGCTTATTTAATTACGAATCTGATAAAGATGACTCTCTTCATGCATTCCCTTGTATTTTAAAATATTATAATTAGGAATAAAGCTAAAATCCAAAGCTAAACCAAATAGTTAAAGTTACAGGTATTCTAAGCTATAATTTGAACTCGTTAAGTGATGAAAATGAGCATGAAATAAATCAATAAGAAGAAGTAGGAGACGATGATTAATATGAGAGTTTTGATAGAATAAGCTACCTATATCCAGAAAGACTTATCCCTCGTATTCATGTACTTTCAAGCTAGGTTATTTCCTATAGTGATATTTATTCTAGCTCAATTAAGCAACTTTCTAATTTGGAAGTCTCTACATAAGCACAACGTCAAGTTTTGTTAGAGGCTTTAACTAAAATTTTAGGAAATGATTAAATATCAGCTTTCTATCTGTTGATGACTCTGATTTCTTCTGTTAACTTAAGCAAAGACGAAAAGCATTATGGAAATTTATTTTTAAATTTACTAAATACTTCATAAAAATTAAGCAGTGGAGCAAAAATTAGTGAAACTTTAAATGATTTTCTTCAATCAATACTCGTATATTCAGTTTCCATTCCTTTCACTTTGAAGTATTTAAATGCATAATACCTTTAACCCAAATCCAGTAGCTCAGGAAAGATTTCCTACGGATCTTTATAGTTGCCTAAAGAGACTAAGCACTTTATTATTTGTGATGAAACTTCTTTGTAGTAGGGTTAACTTGATTAAAAGGGAGTTCATAATGTTAAAAATATGATAAACTTTTTCTAAGATTTGAGAGTTCCATTTGAGTCTGAGTTTTATAAAGTAAGAAATCAAAATAAGAATAAAAATTGTATTATTTAAAATAGAAAATAATTTTTAAATCTAAAATATTGTCTAAATAGGGTTTTGTAGAGACTGATGTAAGTGGAGTAATACTTTCTGATGGTAAGGGACTACTCTATAAAGACATATAGGTAAAACATATTAATTATATAACAGCTTTTATAAAAATATCCATATTGATTGATAGATTAAGCTGGAGGAAGATATTGACGAAGAAAGTAAATAAAGCACATTATTTACTTTTGATATACTTAATGATAACAATTTCCTCAATTAAATTCGTAAATATATTCTTGAAAGTAAGAATCAAGCCTTGACTGTTTAACTTGATGAAGAAGTAGCTAATAACATCTAAATAGATTTTGTTGAAAAGAGAAAGCAATAAGCCAAAGAAAATATCCTTAATAAGGAAATAATAATTAATTAAGAATCTCTTGAAAGATGGATTTAACTTTGCAGATTAAATGCTGCTTCTAAATTGAAAAAGATTGCTACCATCGAAGACTATTTAGAGATTAAAAAGCTTGAAGAAAATCGTATTAAAAGAACAATGAAAGATATCAAAATTTGGTAATAAAAATGAATAAAAAATTATTTTTGATGCATCAATTAATTTACAAATAAGTTATTATTACCACTATTAATTAATTAATTTTGTAATGTTACAATTTAACAACATAATTTATATACTGTAAAAGAAAGATATTTTATTTCATTCGATTTTTTATTCGGGTTATTATTGTTAAATATTTAATTATTCCTACTAATTTTATTAATTTTCTCCTTGAGGCTATTCTTTCATCTCTTGATAAGAAGTATATTTGCTTTAAAAAAAAATAAAAATTATAATTTTAAAAAGAATTTTTAATTTTACTCGCTTTTTCCTTTACATTTTTCAACTGGATATTTTTTTGCATTCATTTCCATTTTCCTCAATATTGCTTAAGTTAAATCTATTAAACAGAATCAATTTAATTTAACGGTAGTTATTATTTTTTGTGAATACCTATTTTGCATTGGTCTGCTAACCTAGTAAGATATGCTAGGCAATCTGCCATCTCCTCTCCTACTCTAATTTTTTCCTCTTCAGAGAATTCAGGAAGTCCTTCACTTACCTCTCCTTTCCATTAAAATAGCTCACATAACTCTCCTACTTCTCCTGTAAAAGCTAGCAATAAATTTCTAGGAGTATGATATTAATTCCAATCACTGATTATTATAAAGAAAAGTATGTAACATCATTTATTCAACTAAAAAAACAAAAAATACCGATCGTTTGCGAATTTTTTCATAATTTATCTAAATCCTTCAAAAGAGAGACCTTCAGTGAAAGTATGCTCTTATTAATTTTACTTAGAATTTGATTGATTTTCCATTATTTTTAAGATTGAATAATTAATAGTGTTATTATATTTTTTAATTTTAAATGTATAGAAGTATAAAAATAGATATATAATCTCAATAAAAAAAAGTTAAGCATGACCATATAAAATTATGAATAATTAAAAAAGATTTAATCAATTAATTTTACTAAATTTTCCTAAAATGTTTTTTAAAAAAAGGATAAATAATATTTTAAATTTTATTTAAAAAATAAAGTATGAAAAAAATTTTACATTTTAATATTAGCAAAAATTTACAATATTAATAAATCATCAATTTTAATGTAAACTATTGAATTCTACTTTTTTATTTACAAATTTGAGTCAATTTTTATGTTTTATTTTTTAATGTATAAAATCTTTTAGGTTCTCTTTCTATGAATTATATTAATTAAAATTCCTGATTTTCTGATTTGGAATTTACTGAATCTAAATAATTCTTTTTAAATGATACTTTTAAATATACTATCATAGTTAACAAAAAATATTATTTTGATTGATTTAATAGAGCCAATTTTTTTTGTTTTACTTAAAGATTCATATCCACAAATTCAATAATCTAAAGAGATTACAATCGCAAATTAGCTAATTAACAAATAAATAAAAATCCAAAAATTGATTTTGTCTTAATTTTTTATAATCAAAAATTTATAATATTTTATAAAATATCTCTATTATGGATTCTCTTATCGAAAACGATACTGATTTTTTGGATTTTAAAGAAAAAAACAGAGAGGAAATAAAACAGAGGGAATAAGTTTTTGGAGTAAATTTTTGTCTTGATAAATTTATTTTTTAAGCCCTAAATCATTACTTTATTAATATAGATTCTTATTGATTTATTTTAAAATGACTCTAACAAAACAGAGAATGCAAATTAAATTTCTAAGATTTTGTAGAAATCAGAGCTTGCGAATCCAAAATATGATGGATAACAAAAAGAAGAAATACTCAGTTAAATTATTAAATCGATTCCTAAATGGCATTTGAAAACATATAAGAAAGGGGAGTTTATTTATCATTTTGGTAAAAAGTTTAAAAATTATTATATTAACTGCAAAATAGATACTTTTAATATGACTATAAATCAAGCTTATTATAATATTATTTTATATGTTTTCAGTAGTTTTATCATTACTACGTAGCAGAAGCATATTTTCTAAATTCAAACTATTATTAAAAAAAATGTGTAAACAACTTATTTTTTCTCTTTTAATATAGGGGAGGATGCACAAAGGGTTTATTTAGTAATAAAAGGAGAAGCTATGTAATTAAAGCCAAAAGAATAAAATGATTTGCAAAAGGAAATTTAGGAGAATAAATTAAAATTACAAGTTGTGAATATTTTTAAATCAAATTCCAATGTGGGTTCAAAGACAGACCTTAAAATTTAGTAAATTATGAATAGGAGAAGCTAGGTATCTTAGTTAGGAGATCTGTTTAGTACGAACTTAAAAGTTAAAAGTTAAGATGATTTAACTATTTCAGAATTCAACAGCATAAATAAAAATGAAAGCCTTAATAACAACTTCTAACAAAGTCCAATTAAAAAACTATAATAAACATGTTTAAATAACTCAAAATTTTAAATACTAAAAAAATCTTAGTCTTAATTAATGAAACTCACTGGTTTTAAACTTTTATTGTAAAATTAACTTTAAAATCCTGAGTTGAAAGACTTATATTTTGACAATTAGACCTACACATTTAAGTTTTAGCTAGATATTTATTTGAATTCTGGTGAACTTTTTGGGAAATCTGCTGTGAAAGAAGACTCTTGTAGAATGACAACAGTAGTAGTAAAAAGTGAAGAATTTTATGTATTAGAAATTTCAAAATTGGATTATCTAAAAGTTTTTTAATAAAAAATCTCAAATGAGGATGAGTAAGATGATGATCCTTAGTCTCCTCTTAATAAAAAAAATTCTATTAAATAATAAAAATATCAACTTTTTTTGTCAGTGTTTGATAATTCTAGTATAAATAAGCTGAAGAAATTCATTTCTTTTTTTTAATATTAAACTTTTCCTTAGAATTATACAGTATGGAAAAGAGGGTAAGCAGTAGATAAAATGTATATTATTTTAAGTGGGAGAGTAGAAATATCAGATGACAGCTTATAAACTGATCAATCTAATTATCTAAACTAAAATCCATTGGCATAAAAGAAATAAAAGAAGAAGTAAGTGGTAAGTATTATTTTTACAATAAATTATGTTTACATTTTAAAAAGATATATGAAACAGGTAAAGGGAATTTTTTTGGAGAATTCGAAGTAATTGATAAATTAGAAGAGAGACTATTTACAGTTAGAACTTTAGAGGAAACGCAAGTCTTTGGAATACATTTAAATGACTTTAGATTATGTGAAAATATAGTCCCTTAAATTGTTGAACAACTTGTTTTACAATGCTCAGTAAAAAAGAGCTGGGTCTTGGTCTAAAAATCTAAAATATAATAAACTCTTGATTAATATGAAAAAAACAAAATATTAAATAGTCAGAAATAAGAAGTGAAAGACTTTTTGTTAGAGAACCAGAAAAGTATTAAAGAAATATAAATAGATTCTTTTTCAGACCATCTTATTTAGAGCAATTCATCCTCGCCTGTGTTAAATAGAGCAAATGATATAAAAAAGTTAAAAGAAAATTTAAAACTTTAATTGAATGAAAGGAAGGATAAAAAAGGTAGCAGTTCTTAATTATCTCCTGTTTTAAATAATAATAACAAGTAATCTCACACAGCTCTTCCATCTCCTAATAAATTCTTTTTTAGCAGTTCTCAAATCCCAAGATAATATTTGTAAATAGACTTGTTTCGAGATGACTCAACAGAAAACGAAAGAAAACAATCTAAATCTCCCACCTAAAAATAAAAAAATTATAGGCCGCCTTCTGTTACTTCAGTAACAAAAAGGAATGGAATGAAGTCAACTTCTCCAATTCCTTTGATCCCCATGCCAATTGATACAGATAAGAGTACTTAAGTTCAATCAACACAAATGAGATCATAGAATTCTCCTCTTTCTCCATTAGATAAAGATAATTTTTTTTTTGGATAACCTATTAATGTTGATGAAGCTAGTCCCATTTTTCATAGAAAAGTGTTAAAATTAAATAAGCTATAATTGAAATAAGAATAATAACACTCATCTGTAGTTGACACTTTCTCATAATAAGTACAATCACCTACATTTTAAAATTAACTTTTACAAAATACAGAAATCACAAATCAAAACTAGAACCATAACTTTTCTCCATCTAAAATTTTATAAGGTTAAGTTAAGAAATTACAAAATATAACAAATAATTAAGGTATAAATAATGAAAATCAGTAATAATCGCTTCTTTTAAATAGACACTTAAAAATATAAAAAAGAGCAAATAGTTAACCAAAATTGTTTACTATAAACAGTTAATCATAAATTGACAATTCTTAAATTCAGTAATAACAATAATCATTATCTAAAATAAATGAATTCCATGCATCAGTTTCATCTTTAGTGGATGAGATTTAGCCTTTAGAAATAAATTTATAAAATAATGAAAAATTATTATAAATTGAATAAGTTTTTCATAATGATTCAAACAATCTGAAAAATTAAGACAATAGAAATTAAAGAAAGCTTTTAAAAACATAATCAATGAACTCAAAGTTAAAGTACGCCATTTCTCAGCAGAAAGAAAATAGAAAATACAATTTATACAAAATTAATTTAGATAAACAAATAGATTAGTCATAATAAATAAGTTTAACAAAAAATATATCTTCTTCTCCAATAAAAAGAAAGTACTCCTTAAAATCTCCAACCAATTAATCCCCAATATAAGAATTTTAACAAGCACAGCCAACTTAGTTAGAGTTTATACAATTGAATAATGAAGAATAAAACTTGCAAAAGGTGTAATTTTAAGGAGGAGATAACTAGATAGGATCTCCTTCAATTAAATCGTTGGCAAATTTGAATCAAATATATAGTAATTTAAATAGCTTTAGTAATTTAGAAAAAATAGAAAAATTGTAAACCAATCAAAAATAATTATTATAAAGTTAATAATTAGGCTAGTCAGATGATCATTATATTAAAAAAAATAATATTGAATATAACTTCAAAGATAAAATTTAAAAGTTTTTGCATTCAAGAAAATCGTCTTTGGTAAATCCTATATCATCAAACACTTCTCTAAACAGAAACCAAAAAGAAGATTAACAAAATGAATAAATGCATGCCATAAATATTTTAAATTTGTAGCAATACATAGATTTAAAAAGAAAGAATAGCAGCATTTTTAATCATTAAAAGCAGAACCTATAAAATTAGTAAAATATATAGCAGCAGTAACAACAACAACAAACAGCTAATAATTTTTAAGATATATATAATAAGGATAATGAATGCATTCAAAAATAAAAAAATATGTAATAAGATGGAAGTTATAAAGATTTATAGAATAAAAGTAACAGCTATTATACTTCATTAAATTCTGAAAACTAACGTTTAAACGCTTAATTATTAAATTAGATGTTAAAGAGAAGTCATTAATGTAAATTTAAAGTGTTAAATGATCAAAAAATTTAGTAATAGTAATACTACTAAATTAATTAATCTGCTAAATCAAATGAAAGAAAGTTTGGAAGTACAGCTAATATATTAGCTGCTTAAAATGGTTTCTATACAAATGTTAATAGTCCAACTGAATAAATTCCTTCACATGTAGTATCTGCTAACAACTCCTTTACAAATTAAGGTTACTTCATTAATAAAAAAGCAAATTTATCATCATTATCTCCTTCAAAGTCTACATCTAAATAGTAAAAAAGAGCTTTTCATTAATTAACATAATCAATTAACGTTAGTAAAATATTTTAGTAATAATAAATTAATTGCTAATAAAAATAAAACTCTCTAAGTTTTGCGAATATTTAAAACAAAAAATAACTTTTGTAAGAATAGTTATTAGGTAAATCAATAAAGAATAAGTCTAATATTTAAGAATCTGTTAACTAAATGTAATCTCAATCTAATATAAATACTTTCCTATCTAATCTAATATAAAAAACTAAATATTGATTAAAATTAAAAGTTTACACTATTTTTTTGTTAATTTGTTAATCAGTTTTGTTTCATAAAATTTAAATTTGATTTTTTTTGCAAAAACTAACAAATAATTTAAATATTTTTATTATCGCATAAATATTTATCTTATATTAATATTGAATTTATATAAATAAATATTCATAAAATAATTTTAAAGTATTTTACAAATAAATTTAATTTACTTTATTTTTATTGAATTTTAATTTAAAACTCAAAATTTTTTATTTGAAATTTTATAAATTTTTAGTTGAAAAAAAATAATCAGTAACCTATATTATTTTCAATAATAATTAACGAGAACTTAGAGTATAATATGATTATAAAAATATAATCTTACAAACAAATTTTCAAATAAAATTTTAGAGGTTTGGCAAGCAAATAAATTAATTATATCATGTTTCCTATTTCTGTTTCTGTTAATTATAATAAAAAAATATGTAACTAATATTTAAAAAAAATATAAATTTATGATGCTCATTTAATCAATTAATAATTAATGAACTATTTGTAAATTCTGAAATAAAATATTTTATAAAGCGAATTTAAATCTTATTTTTAATTAATTTAAAAATATAATCCAAGTTATGCTATTGAAAATATTAACATAAATTAATTCAAGTATCTTAAATTTATGATTGTAATTTTTTGTTTTTAGCAACTTTATAACTTTTCTTGTAACAAAAATTATATAACACACAAAAGATAATCATTGATTGATATTATAAAGAATCAGCGAAAAAAAATAAATTACACATATCAAGAGATAAATTGATATATAAATAATTCATATTATTAAAAAAATTGATTCAGTTGAAAATAAAAAAATATTTTAGCATAAGAACTGAACAACTGAGAATATTTTTTTGCTCTAAATGGCTAGCAATAGTGTAAATAACCTTAATAATACAAAAAGTGTAGCATTTTAACAAGATTAAAAGTCCGAAAATAAAGATGGACAATAAAAAAATTTAGGAAATAGGGAAAGAGATTTAAGTAACTACAAAAATAAGTCTTAAATTTCATCAAGTCCTTTAATAGGAAGTGGTAAATTGACTCTAAAGAAAAAAGGTTAGTTAAATTAGTTGATTAAACCTTTTTAAAATCACCAAAATGAACCAGATCTCAAGAGCTCTTAAGGGTTTTATATGAATGAAGACTTAATCATATATCCTCGTCATCAAATGAGTCATAATCACAATTCTTCTTCGATAAACGTGAGTGGGGTAAAAGTTTCATCATCTTCAAGTTTATAATAATTTGGCTCTTCAACTTATTTGAATTCTAATCCTAAATATCACTCATCACACGATATTAAGTTAGGTATAGAGATGATTGGACATAGAGGAGCAAATACATCACATTTAAGTGGAAGAGAGAACGCCTACTAATCTAATCCAAATTTTTTTTCTACTTTAACATCTACTAATAAGAAGTGGTCTTAAGAGTAAGTATACACAACATTCTACAAAAAGCGTGATAATAATGAAGTTATTCTCATCCCTGAAAAATTTTGGGAATAAGATAAGAGTTTTGTTCCCTTTAAAAAAATTTGGGCTGACCATGAATAAATAAATTCATAAATGGTTACCCAGTTTATATAAAAGAAGTAACAGCTTTAACAAGATGACCACAAAAATACAAGTAATAAAGAATAAGAAGATCTAAGTTAGGATTATGAACATCTTGGAATTCATGAAAGTAAAAAGAAAACAAATAAAAATATCAGAGGATCTTCTTTAGATGCGCCACAAAAGTTGCATTTAACAAATAAATAAATAAACTCAAATAATATCTAAAAGCAATCAAAAAATTAAAATAAACATGAAATCGAAAGTGTTTTTAAAACTCATTTTTAATCAAAACAACTGAACGGATTTGATAAAACTAAACTTGTTAATAATCTCCATTTAAAAATAGTGTCCAACTAAACAGGAATTAATAAAGAGGAATTTCATGAAAGCAATACTGATAAAAGTGGAAGAGGAGTTGGGAGTCTTTCAGTGTTAGATGATAACATTAACCATAAAAAAAATGGGTTTCTTCCTAAGATGGGAAATAAACATATGTAGAATAGCTCTATGATGGACCTGACTATGAAAGATGAAATAGAATTGCAATTAAATTAAAACAGATATTCACAAAATGTTTATGATGCTAAGATATTCTAAATAGAGTAGTAAGTTTATAATGATGCATACGAAAAAATATAAACAAATTAGTAGCAGATAGATAAAATATCTAAAAAAACTCGTGTTTACAATAAGCATAATATAGTAGAGTCATTAGATACTTAGTAAGTAGTGTAAGATAAAAAAAACACAGCAATAAACAATGAAAGAGAGTTCGCAATTTAGCGTCCTTCTATTATTTGCTGTTGGATAGATAACGATTAAGATACGTGGAAACCGTAGCCTAGGATAGGAGCAACTTTAAATATAGCAGGCTATGATGGTAAAAGAGAGATGATATTAATTGGCGGAATATCTTCTGACATGGTAAAAGATGTCTTGGTTATTGATGCTGAAAGCTATTTATATGATACTCTAAAACATATCTAAGAATTGAAAAGGTAAGAGTAAGAAGACTACAAGGAAGAAATTAATAAAAGAAAAATGAATAAAGAAAGAAGGATTAGCAAAATTAGTAAAAGAAACTCTTTAATCTACAATTTGCAATTAAATGGATAAAATTAGGGAAGTAGCACTCCTAGTTTAAAGAAGCAAAAAGAAAACTCAGTAGAAAAAACAGAGAAGGAAAAATAGCAAGACTATGAAGATTTATTTAACAAATACTTGTATGGAAAAGATAACTTTTCATAAAGGTATAATCATACAACAGTAGAAATATATCGAAGGACTAAGCTTTTAATATTTGGTGGAGAAATTTTGAGTAATGACCCAAGTCATCAAGCTGGGCAATAAAGGTAAAAGCTACGTCCTCATCACAGAAATTGCTTAAATGATTTAATATCGTTCGATATGTCAACATATGAATGGAGAGCTCACATAGGAAGAGGTGAAATAATAGAGGCTAGAAGAAATCACACTTCCACGATGGTTGGCTAAAAACATATGGTAGTTATAGGAGGATTAAACTCTGAAGGGAGAGCTTTAGAGGATTTTTATGTGTTAGACATAAACACTTTTAGATGGATAAATATACATGTAGTTCATAATAAATACGTACATCCATTTACTTAAGGAATTGCTTACCATGCATGCTGCTTTGTATCAGAAGATGAAAATTCTAGCTCTATAAATATACTTGGTAACGGATATTATAATCTTCTCAATCAAAATGGCAACTCTCACAAAGAAAAAAAGTTTACAAACAACAATGCTGTGCCATCTTTTATTAAAGAAGAAGGATTATATCTTTTTGGTGGTGTAGATTCAACTAATAACTATATCAAAAATAAAATGTTTGTATTAAAGCAGAATGGAAATCCTCCTGTTTGGATAGAACTAAACACAATAGGTAATTTTTAATTTAAAATGACTTTAATTAAATTATTGCTTTTTTTTTTTTAAATAGGTAAATCTCCAGACAGAAGGTGCGGACATTCATTGAACTACATGTATAATATGTCGATTGTTGTCATATATGGAGGAAAATTTGAAAGTCAGAACTACACAAAATATTATGATGACTTGCATGTATTAAACTTAAAGAATTTAGAGTGGATTCAAGTCAATTTAGAAGGAAATAGGAAGCAGCCTCGTGCTATGCATAGCACATGCATCAACCATAAATAGTTAATTGTTTTTGGAGGACTTAATGATAAAGGTTTCTTAAAAGGAAATATCGAAATTGTGGAATTTGATCAAATGATAGTATTTAAATTAAAAAGATAGTAAAATTATAGTTTAAGCTATCACTAAGAATTAACTTCAAAGCAACAGATTAAAATGGAGGACCCATTACTACTAGAGCTCATGTAAAAAGGAGACTAAAAAGAAAGTAATTAACAATCTACTCAATAGCCTAATAATGCCTTAAGTATGTAAAAAATGAAAGATAGAGTATTCTTAATAGACCCAGAATAAGAACGTATTATTAAAAAAAACTTAGATGAATTAAGAAATGCACCTCATACAGATTAGCCTGAAGAAAAGTGGAAGCCTCCATAAAAATCTCAAAGCACAAATAATCTGCAAGTCAATAGATTCTAGTCTCATATTCCTCTACAAGCTCCTTAAAAAACATATTTACCTCTTCCATTATCAATTTTGAAAAAAAAAGATGGATGAAAAAATTTTGGAAAAAAAAGTTATTAATAAATAAATAAATAATCAAATTATATTAAACAAACAAACAAATTTATTAAAATATAAAAATTACAGTTTATATAAATCATAAGTAATATTATGAAATATATTTTTTCTTTTTCTTCAATAAAAGCTATAAATAAAAAAATTTTATTAAACAAACAAACAAATTTGATAAAAATTAAAAATTAATAGTTAATATAAAACAAAAGTAAGATTATGAAATTTTTTTTCCTTTTTCTTCAATAATAATTTAATATTCTTCTATTATATTAAATGATCTGTAATCTTCACTTAAATTTTTACTTTTAATTTATATGCACTAGTCTTGTTATGCATGTAAGAAGAAAAATTTTTACCTAATTAATTTATTATTTTTTAAAAAATCGATAGTACAAGCTTTTTATTTATCTTTACTTCTTCTTCATTTTAATCATTTTCATTTAATGTATGGTAGTTTATGTATAACATCTTAAGGCAATTACTGATTAAAAAAGTATTCAAATTTTTAAAATAAAATAAATAAATTTGCCTTTTAACTTGATTTCTTTATTTTAAATATACTCCTATTAATATAAAGCAAATGCAAAAATGTTGAAAATATTCTTAAAAAAAATAAGCTATCAATTGAATTAAATATTTTAACTTAAAGTTTTGCTAATAAAAACTAAATTTTTTTCTAGCTTGAATTTACTTTAAATTGAAAGTACCTCCCAATTTTAAATTTACTTAACTTTTAATTTCTTCTTTGATTTGTGTGTAATTATGATCAAAATTTATTGTTTGAACTGTAAAGTAGACAATTTTTAGATGGTTGCTTTTCATATTTGAAAAATATATTTTTTAATATTTTAGATTCTTTAGTTGAAGCCATAAAATCTACTTTTTAGGGACCATTAGAACAATAGAAATAAAAATTTTATTAATTCTATAATAGTTTTTTATTTTAAATTTCAGTGTTTTTTTAAAACAAACAATTTATTTCAATTTTATCAGAATAAAAAATTTTTAAATTAGGAAATACTATGGTGATGTTTATGATATAAATAGCATCATTTAGATTAATAGCTAAATATTTACCGCTTATTCTAAATTTGCTCATAACTATTTACACAGTTTAAAAAATTTTTTAATGGTGGATAGTTTTAACAAGAATGAAGTTTTCTTATAAAAGAAATAAATTTGATATATTAATTTTTACTCGCTTACAGGGTATTTATAAATAAGGATACCTACACTTGTATGCAAGTTATCAAATGTCTACCTTTAATTATTTAGTAGAAATTCGTTTTTAAAAGGGAAACCTAACCAAATAAATAGATTACGTATAACAATAAATAGGTCATTTATTCAAATATGTTTGATTAATTTCAACAAATTTCTAAACAAGCTATTTGCCTCGAATAATTAAACAAGTTAAGGAAATAAAATTAGGGGTCTTTATATATTTCCAAAGTAAGTGAGTCAGCAGGTTTGATAACAACTCCAGAAAAGAGTTGAATTAATAAAAACTTAAAGAATTTGCAAAAAATGATCGAATTTTTATCGTTTTGATCTTTTTTTAAAAATACATCAATCAAAGCATCTAAATCTATTAAAGTTCCCTTATAATTAATGTAAAAAGCCAAAATTATTTACATTGAAATAGGAAATAGTGTATAATTATACTCGTGGATTGTATGAAATAAAATATACTTTTAATTAAATTGTTGTAAATATTCAAATATGTTCTCTACCATATATATAATCATCCATACAATCATTCAAATGAATGGAGTGAATAGAGTTTTTAAATTAAACCAATTAACAGAATCAAATCTGATAGAGTTAAATATCTGAAATGGAGGTTACTGCCTATGAGAAAAATAAAAAAAATAAAAAAATAAATAATATTATTATTTTAGCATAAATGATTGGAATGTAGATGCTAGCTTAGATAAGTATTAAATGGGTGATTGATCAATCGATTGATAAATATGGAGAATAAGAAAGTGAATATAATTTAATAATTTACCATAAACATTGTATGTAAAAACAAATATAAATTTGATTTATTATTAATTGGTTCATGTTTTAATGAATAATAATTACTCTAAGCATATCTTTAAATTGATGCATTTCCTGCTTCTCTTTTTTAATTAAAAAATAACTAGTTATTTGTGAATTTCCTTCAAAAGTATAATCAAATAATCATTCTGGCTTTTTATATGGAGATGCTTCTATTTTTATTATCTTTTTGATCTTACTTTTTATTAGGAATCAATTCATTAAATTATGATTTTTATAATTCCAATAAAAAAAGGTTATAGGTTAAAAAAGCAATAATAAGCAAGTTAATTACAATAAATTAATAAAAAAGTAAGAAAGAAAGTGGTCTCCTTTGGAAAGACATTACAAAAAGCAAATACAGAAAAGCAAAATACCAAAAAAATATTCCATCAATACTTTTGTATTGATCAAGTATTATATTACATCATTTTTATTTTAGTTACTTTAAAAATTTTATTTAATCATATTCCCTTTATCACAATATCTAATACTAGGTAGACATCAATTTCTAATAGCAAGTTTTGAATTTAATCAGTAAAGGAACCTAGCTTAAGATATCATAAAAAATTTGTTTAACATGTCTAATAATTAGCAATATAAAGAGCATCTTGAGAAAGCTTAACAAAACTTTTAAAGTAATGATGAAGGAGGAGGTGGAGGGTAATAAAGAAACTAAATTGGTTAGTAAGTAGGAGGAAAAGCTCGAAATAATTAGCAGGCATAGATCGATCAGTTTCAACGTTTCTTGAATTCATAAGGAGGAGAATAATATTACAGTAGATAAAAAAGGAAGCCATAAGGATAAGGCAAGACAATTGAAAATTTAATTAAGAGAATCTTTTAATCTACTGCTAAATTTGAAGAATTCAATAAATTATGCTAATAGTAGAAGAGATCAATATGTTCAAATATGATAGGCAAATCTGATTTATATTTTTAGTGCTTTGATTGTAACAAAGAAAACCAAGACACCATACTTTGCTAATCTTGCTTTGTTAAAGGATCTCACACTTACCATAAAGTAGTTTACTTTAATGATATGGATGATGGAGGTTAATGTGATTGTGGAGATGCTTCGTAGAAGTACCCTACTTTTTGCGAAGATCATCCAGTAAAAAAGAAAGAAACTGAACACGAAAAATAAAGAATGTTAGCTTTGATTTCTCCTGAAATTAGAGAAAAAATAACTGAATATTTTGAGTAGGAATTTATTAAGGTTTTTAAAGCTTTAGACACTGCAAAATCTGGCCAATGCTTCTCAATTTCTTAAGACATATTTTAATTGTTAAATAATATGATTTATTTAATGAATAATCGAGTTCCTATGATATATTTGATATCTGATTTGCTTACTAAGCATTTAGATTTCTAGCCTGCATCATATGAAAAGCATATTCAAGATTAAATCATCACTATCAACCAATCTCCGTATCCCAGTTTCCTTTCCAAAAACAAAAAAACCAGTAAAAAGAAACGTTAGTCTAAAGAAATAAAAGATGAAAACAATTCGTAAAATATAACTTCATCTTAAAACATTTACTAATCTAGTTCGACTGGACTAGCTCAAGAAGATGGAATATTTGGGTCTTAATTTAGTTTATCAAGCAGGTTTCCTTAAGGAGCAATTAATTTTAAAGAAAATAGCAGTACCAAATAAATTAATAATAGTGGAATTTAAAATAACTTGTAGAGGCAAGAGGGAGATAATACTTTATTGCAATAAATGACTTCAAGTATTGGTGGGTTAATAAATTAATAAATGATAAACTAAAATAATGGATTTAATTTAAATGATTTATCATATTTATTCTAGCAGCAATAAAAAAGCACTCTAGAAAATGCTTTAACGGCAAACTAATAAATTTTATCTAATTCTACTGCTTCTTAAAATTATTTCGCTTAAGATAATTTCTTTCCTCAGAATTCTGATCCTATTCTTTAAGCTTCAGTAGTTAGTAGTAGTAATTTAGGAGGTATTACAAGCTTGAACAATTTATCAGATATTTAAGTAAGTTAAAATCTAAATTAGCATAATTAGTACGGATATAATAATACTGCTACTCCTACAACACCATACAATACTGGATTAAATATGAGTTAGTATATTTATGCATCACCTTTTATTACTAATATTGGAGGAAATATTATGTAGACTCCTTTTGCTTTTTAGTAAATGGCATCTCCTTCCCCTTTCTGGACTTACAGCCCATATATTCCTCAATAAATTCCTTAATTTGGTAATAAATAAGATTAAAATTTTGTCTTAAATTCTTCTAATTTAGCTTCTTCTACACCAGCTTAAGTGAATTTATTATCTAACATATCTTTGTATTCTAATTAGCCATAGCAGTAATAATTTTATCTTCCCCCACCAATGTAGCTATTGTAGGAGCAAACTATTGAAGAAAGTAACAATCTTCCATGTTTTGCATAATCAAATATAATTTAAGAATCATCTTTATTAACTGCTCCATCACCAATTTAGAAACTAAATAAAGAAAATTTAAGTTATTAAAATTTAGAAAATTAAACATAGCAAGTTAATCAATAGTCACAGTAGTAGTAATAAACAAAACCCAATCAGGATATTCCATTATAATTAAATGATGCAAATATTGAAGTTTAAAATTAGAACCAAGATAATAATAATAAAATAATTGAAGAATCTTAAAATAATAATCCTAAATAAAATAACAATCTTTCGGGTAGTATAAATATTTTTAAATTTTTGAGTTCAAGCAGAGTAAGTTTTGGATTAAACGATACCTCATCAATACTTTGTAACTAATAAAGGCAAGATCTTAATGATGATTTCAAAGACTAAAATGAAAATGATACTAGAGAAAAGAGAATCTCATTTTCTTAGCCACTATTTAAATAGCAAAGTTATGATTTATCATAGAAGGATCAATAAAAAAATCAGCTTTAGGTGGAGGGAATTTAGTAAAAAAAAGATTAAAATAAATCAAAAATATTTGAAGAAGATGATAATTTAAGCGAGCTTTAATAATTTAAATCATAAACTTAAAAAAAATTTGTAGAATTTCCAAGTGTTCCATAAACTCCTATTGCTGCTAATTAAAATACCCCTAAAGATAATAATTTATTTTAGTAACCTTTTTAAATAGACAATTCTAATTTTTAGTTTACAAATTCTTAAACAAATACTAAAAAATGGGTTGAATTTCCTTAATTAACAGAATCCACGAGTAAAGATTAAATTAAAGAAAACTAAATAAATTTAGTTTAGCCAAGTGATAATAAACCTTTAATTTCAAGCAAACAAACGTTAAATAATTTTTAATCTTAATCTTCAAATGTGAACACTCAATAAATAAATGAATTATAAAACATTTATTCTGTAAAAAGTGTAATAAATCAAATAGAAAATTAATCTCCTTCAGATTCAAACGATTTAAATATTTAATCAAATCAAAACGATAGTGAAAACGCATCTAAGTCTTCTTAAGATTAAAATAATATCCCAAACACAAAGGCCGTCTCTATAAGTGGAAATTTGAGAGAATAATTATAATAAAATAACAAAATAGAAGTGGAATCAGAGGAAGCATCTTAAAGCCCTTCAAAACAAGATAAAGAAACTTTATAATTCACTATTTAGCAAAAAAAGCACTAATAGTAGATAATAAATTAAATTTTGAAGCGCAGAGCTACTCTAGAAATAGATGATATTCTGGGCGGCGATAAATAAAAATAAGATAATGAGCTAACTTCAAGAAAAAAATAACATACTGAAGATTAATTTGAGACATAAAAAATTTAAAATACAGAAATAACTCTATTTAATTAAAAGAAAATCTAAACATTATCATAAAATAATTAAGAAATTGAAATCGAATAAGACAAGCAAGGGAAATTAGAAGAGCAGAAAGAGTAAAACCTTGAAAAAATCTAATCTGAAAAATCCTAATTAGATTTAGAGTCTGAGAAAGAGAAATGGTGTCTTTTAGAACTTCTATTTCTTTATTATCCAAAATACTGTAATGATCAAACAGATAAAAATCTACAAAAAGTTATTATGATTGCTTTTTTAGATTAAATTTTTCGTCCTCTTCTGGTTAAGTTTTACTCAACTTACTTTGATCTAATAATTGAAACTAGCAAGTTTGAGTTTTATTTGTGGAAAATTTGCTTTCAGTTCTTTAATGAAAGTTTAGAGAGTGACTTTGTTATTAACAATACAGTGATGATAGAAAAAGTAGTTAAAGGTGTTGAAGAAATAACTTAGGATTTTAAAACAAAAAATTATGGACAAACTATCAATAAAAGAAAAATATTAGAGACAATTGTTCTCGCATTTTTGTAGTAAAGAAATGCTAAATATTATGGAAGGACAAATAGAAAATTACTACAATTATATTTAGAAAGCATGAGCTAAAGCAATTTAATGACTCATATAAGCTTTGATCACAGCTGTGAATATTTAAACTTCGAGGCAATATTAACTAGAATTTCATAGCTAATAAATAGAAACGTAAGATCAATTTATCACATAGATTCACAGACATTTATCCACATTTCATAGTCTATCTTAAACTAACTAAATAATTTTATAAATGGCCCTTTATTTATAGAATTTGTCCTTTAATTTAGTGTTCCTAGTGTTTAGCATTTGAAGAAAAAAGATGATGGATAGGATGCAGAAAAAATTTACCCTTTTTTCAATAACAAGGTAAGAATTTTTTTAATATATTTTGCTTAATTTTATGTAGAATCTACTTCTCCTGTAGCTTCGCAAGTTTCTAGCTTCACTGTCTCTTAGCAAAACCTCAATAGTAATTAATTATAAATGCAAGGTTCATCAAGATAATCTTTCACTAATATTTAAGCTAATCCTTCTTAATATCTAGGCAGGTTAAGCTTTTGTTCAGGAACATAGCTTGATTCTTAAAATAATTCTAATAACTCTCAAAGTGTTTCACCAGATAACCTTGGAGAAAACTTTGAATTCTATACTCTAATTAAACAATATTTACCAAATGAATATGGTAGTAATGAATCTATTGATAATTTATTGATTAATTTGACAGGATACTTGACTAAGGTTTTGTACTTTGTTGAGTTAAAAGAAAGAAACTACGACTTAAATGACCCAACAGCTCATTTACTCGCTGAGGAGGAAGGCTATGATAATCCTAATTCAGAACTTACATTACTATAGTTATACAAAAGCTCAAAATTATATGACTACGATTTTTCTTGCCTATAATTTATATTTACTTTGATTCCTAATAATAGCTTAACCCTATAGGCTATGTGGTAGGCAATTTAATCTTTAATAATTAGGGAAAAAAATACTAAGCAATAACAGCTGCATTTATTTGATTTAAGTGTCGAAAAAATAATTTCTGATCCAGTCTGTCAATTAAATGTTGAGTATTTTCTGTTTACACTTTGCAATATTTGTATCAATAGCATATCATTGCTAAATGCATTATCTCCAAACTAAAAATTATAGAATGTGTAAAATCAAACAATTATAATTAAATTTCGTGATTTATTTTTAACATTTTAAAAAGGTCTTGGATGAAGCAATCAGTAGAATTCGCAGTTATTATGTCCTTCTTTGATAAACCACTACAAGACTTTTACTAAGTAAAGGAAAATTTAAAAGAAAGATTTGAAATAAATGTGTAATATTTAGATCTTGAGGGATGTGTCTCTAAAGTAGCTGAATGGGATGAAAATCATAAAAAATTCAGGTTGAAAAAAGAATTCTAAAACATGTTTGAACCATATTATGCTGAAAGGAATAGAGGCTTAGCCAATGACATGTACTAAACTTTAAAGTAATAAATGTAAAAAGATTTTTAGAGTGATCTCATTTTAGGTAACATGCTAGAATTTATGGAGACAAAGAGGTGCCATAATGAAAAAAAGAGTAAAAGAAATATATTTTCATCAAACTAGTCTCTGCTTTTGAGAAATATCAATTTTTTACAATTTTTGAGTAAGATTTGTGAAAACCTTTAAGAAATTTCAGCTATAAACATGAACATTGCGAAACACGCTGTAAAACTTCTTTAAATTATATTTATTAGGAGTTCTATAGACCGAAAGAATCACTAAATAATTAACTAAAATTAAGATAAGAGTAGTTAATAGGGCTATAATACGTAATAAGCTGCCATGAATAATAGCTCTCAATAATAATAATAATCCTAACAAAGTGTCAATGGCTTATTGCAAGAAGATTTATATCTCTTTAGGCTATTTGTGTCAAATTAAAAGATAAAGGAGTAACTCACAAATTATAGTTCAGGTAAAGAAGATGATCTAAAAAGGTCAACTAAAAAGATAATTAACATTTTCAATGCATTTTAGGATATTTATTAGAAGGAGAATTCAATTATTTTGATGTAAATTAGGCGCAGGAATTCTTCAGTTGATGAAGAAAATAAGAAATCTGAAATAAAAAATTAGTAATAAAGAATTATGGAAGAATTCCGCAAAAAATAATAAAATTTTCTTTAGAAAAGTAACAGCAATAATGTTAATAAATTGGCTAATAATAATTTATCATCTAGCGTTTAAACAAATTAAGATTTAATTTGTTCAAGCTAATCAATAAGCTAAATTAAATAAAATGATGCACTAAGGATTACCTCTAATCCTTCCTTTGCTTGCTTGATGGATTAAAATGACGAAGCAAGTAACTTCTAAGTTTCTGATATAAACCTACATAGCTCTCACGATATTTATAAAGCAAAAAGATCTAATCCTCCTTTACCACCAGAATGTTTGATATGTAGGACAACATCTACTGAAAGAAGTGCAGTGCTTGTTATACCATGCTATTTAGCTCCAGACAATTTATTTAATTACTTCCTTAAAGAATCGTTTTGCAATGCTAGATTATAAACAGTTTAGTAGCAAGACGATGCTAATGCATCAAATTTAGATGTAATTCAAAATTAGATAGATTTAAAGAAATCAAAATTTTCTTGGAGTTTCACAGGTTGTACTCATCAAGTCCACTCAAAGTGTCATCTCGATGCTTAGCAAAATCTTTCTATAAAAAAGAAAGCTCGTTCAAATCATGAAAATAAACTTAATCTAAATGAGAGTTTTTGTGCTCATTGTAAAAGCTTATTAAATATTCGTTTAATAAATATTGAGTATTTCTTAAATTCATATGATTTTTCAAACATGATAGAAAGGTTGAATAATTCTCCTTAACTTATAAGAACTGAAAGCAGTTAAAGTTTAGCTGCTGTCCAATAAGCAGAAGCCATAAAAGAGAATAAAATGAATCATAATAATTAAATAGATTAAAACAGTAGTGATAAAGGATTAAATAATAGCAGAGATAATACCAAGTTAGCAAATTCTAACAATACTCCATAAACAGGTTATTTAAGCTTGCCTGAAATTATTCAAGAAGTAACAATGATCCAAGAGGAGTTAGTAGCTCCAAAAAGCATCCGAAATTAAATAAGAGAAGATATAGACGAACAATGTAAATAAGAAATAGAAGATCTATTCAGTTAACTTCGCAAAGAAATAGAAATGGTTTCAGCTGGAGAAGATTTAGGAACGATATTCTAGAAGTGCGCTTACTTCATGTCTGAAAGATATTTAAACAAAGATGTAATTAGTTACATTTAAAAAGAGTTGCCAATGAGTAAATCAGTCATTCTCAACTTTGCTGTTCTTCTTTAACAGAATCCACCTTCTATGATGGCAATTAAGTATATAAAGAATCGTCTTATTGGTAAATTACAAAGCATGAAAAATTTAAACCATCTCATTTTAAGATAACTTGATAAAAACGATAGTATTGATGAAATCTTTGTAGAGATATTAATAGATGTACTTTATATCGGATTTTTATATGATCCTCTGTAATAGAAAACAGCAAATTCGTTTTCTATTTATGAAGAAAAGGGAAGGTAGAGACCAAGAGATGGATTCGAGTGGACTTTTGTAATAGTAACATCTTTGCTAAAAATTATAAAAATGAATGTAGTAATTTAAGTTGCATGTCTCCTCCAAGCTTCTACCTCCTCTTCATTTGATTAAAATCCTTAATAAATCATAGGATTTACAAATATCTTGGAATCAATCAAAGCAAATTCATAGTTCAGAGCAAGTTTGTTTAACATGGTGCGTCCATTCATTTAAATGCTTGTTTGTTTCCTTCTTACTGTCTTTCCTTTCAGCTAAACTCAATTAGAGCTTCTTTAGAAGAACATACTTTTAGATGAAGACGAATACGTGCACTATGAGAATATTCTTTCCAAAGAGTTTATGACTATAGACCCAATATAAACCATTTAAGTGACTGGAGGTGAACTTTTTTTGAAGAACTTCCTTGAAATTTTATAAAATAAAGAAATTTAAGCAAAACTCTAATAATTTTTCATTCATAATCCTTTCAGAGAATTTAAATTAGTGCAATTACCTCTATCATATTCAGATTTCCATAAAGCATACTTCTTTAGAAAATGTTCCTAATGCAACTTCTTCCCAAAAGTAAAAGGATCTGATTTACATATATGTCTTATCTGTGGTGAAGTATTATGCAGCTATAAATGCGCACCTAAATAATAATCAAATTAACCCAAAAAAAAATAAAAGCTTATAAATAACTCCGAACTGAACAAGATAAGTATGATGTAAATCGAATAGGAAGAAATATAAAATGATATTTATGATAAATTCTTTAGTAATTTAGATTCATCAGATTTTGATTATGATCCTGGTAATCTATCAAGACATGCAATCTAAAAGCATTGTGGAAAATCTGCATTCTTAAACATACAGCGCACCACTTACATACTTATTGACTTTCCTAAAGCAATTTAATTCCATACAAAAGTGTTTGCAAATAGAATAGGTATTCCATTTTTGACAGGAAAGCCATTGATTGACTGGAATAAATATTTTATCGATAAAAAATTAATTGATCATATTACATAGATAATACAAGATAGACAATTAAGCTAGTACATAAGGCATTAGTTAATGATTAAACAGTCAGAAAATGCTCCAAAAACATTTAATCTTATGACATAGCTACCATGAGCAAGCAGTTAGTTTCTATTTATATAGTTTAATATTATTTTTTTTAAATTTAAATATATAAAAATAATCTCCTATAATTTTCAATAGATATTCATAAATAATATAATAATAATCATAACAATATTAATAAATCATAATATTAAAATAAAGCTTAAGAAAAGATAGATAACATTCAAAAAGAAATAATAAATTATTAATTAAAACAATAATATTTCCTAAAATAATTAAAATGCTAGTCATTTTTAATCAAGATTTATATTCCAAACAAACTACTTCTAGCTAGAAACGTTCTCATGTTCTGATCAAAATCATATTAACAATTAAAATTGATACTAATTACTTTTCTTGTTATTTTTTTCTCATTTCTCTTTACCTCTTAATATCTTCAAATTTATTAAATTTTTACTATAATATACAATATATATAAATTAATAAGATTCAAAAAGAAAGAGTGATATTAATTTCCTAGCTTCTGAATAATTTAAAAATAATAATTGTTAAATTTAATTTAATAAAAAATAATTATTAATCTATTATTCTTCATAATTTTTATTAAATAAGCTAAACTGTAAAAATATTTATCAAATTTTTAATATGAGTATGCTATATTTGGTATTAGTTCAATTGACATAAATTTATTCAGATTGTTTCAAAAATTAACAAATTCTAAAAAAAATATGATCATAAATTTAATATTTGTTAAAAATAAAAAGCTTTAATATAATAATAAATTTAAAGTGTATTTGAAAAATTTACTTCCTATTAAATAAAATATTTTTTTCAAATATTTGTCAAATTTTTTTAAAAAGTGTGCTGTCTGTCTAATTCTGTATTAAATTTTTTTTAATTTATTCAAAAGAAAAGTATTTTAATTCCAATTTTATATTTTTTTTGAGAAATAGATATTAATTAGAATATTTAAGAATTTAAAAATTTTCATAAAAATAAACTTGTTTTTTCTAACAATTTTACTGCTTATTTAAAATAAACATAAAAATATAATTTTAAAAAAGTTTTTTAAAACATTAAAATAGATTTTTAAATGTAATAGTAAATTTACTAAATCACTTACCAGAAAAATTTAATTAAACCCTCATATTTTTTATATATGTTTTAAAAATTAGATCAGATAAATAAGGTAACTAAAAAAATTTAGAGAAGCAATTTTAAAAGTAAATTTGAAGTAGAAGAATTTAATGGCAAGTTAGATCCATATTCGATAAAAACTGATATAAGAGTACGAGCTGATTTTTTAACAAAGATAAGAAAAGAAAAATTTAACAAGAAAAATCCCATATATTTCTATGCTCTTTTGTAGGTGTATGTATCTATCATCTATTTCATGTTTTCAAGAAAAATTAATCGTAATAATTAATCAATATTATGATTTCATCAAAAATTTTAGTGTTAAAGACAATCAATATTAATATTTTAAACAAAATAAAATAAACTAAAAAACAAAAGAAATTATTTGAAAAGGTAAGAAAGTTGACATAAAATAGAAATGGACTCAAATAAACGTTATAAAGATCTTCTTAGTGAAGATTAAAGAAAATCAGAATGCGAAAATATAAGAAAGAATTATCCTGATAAGATTCCCCTCATTATTGAGAAGCATCCTAAATCTAAATTAGAATAAATAGATAGGACAAAGTAAAATATTTTTTAAGTTCCAATTCAATTATGCGGTTAGCTAAATTAAAATACATATTTAACAAAAATTTATTTGATGGAGTATTAATAGCTCTATTTTATAATAATTGTATTAAAGTGCACATAATTTGAAGTTTCATTTTAGCAATTTAGAAAATTATTTGGATATAAATTGGATTAATTTATTTTTTAACATTTTAAATAGATTCTTAATTCTTGAAAAGCTTAGAGTTTATCAAGTAAACACAATTATACGTAGAAAAATGAGTCTCAATAAAGTAGATGCTCTCTATCTCTTTGTTAATGATAATATTCTTTTAAGAGGAGGTATTTCATAAACTTAAATAATATAAATATAAGATTATTAGATTTTTTTAAAGAATCAAATTTATTAATGATTTTATTATATCCATAATTTCAATTTTTCTTAAATAAAATATGGTTTAAAGATAAATAATTTTAACAATAGATTAATGCTTAAAAGATGTTTATGAAAAATACAAAGATTCAGATGGATTTATTTATCTTTCTTACTGCGAATATAGTTCTTTTGGTAAGAATATCTGAAGAATCAGAAAGAAAATAATAAATTATATCAAAATATTATCTAATATCTATATAAAATCTTAATTAAATGAGAAAATAACACTAAAACTTAGACTATATATTTTGCTGAAATATTGAAAGTAACATCAATACTTTCTTCATACAGCCTGATATTATATCATTTAAAAAATAGAAATTAAATATTTTTTGTAATATATTAAAAATTACTCATATTCATGTTAATTAATTATTTTATCTTTAATAAATAAAGTATAAGCTTAAATTATCTTTTTATACTCTTATATTAATTTAAAAAATTGATTTAGTAATTTATTTTTAGTATTTTCATTATTTATTTCATTCAGTATGAAATTTTTAATAGTTTTTATTATATTTATTTTATATGTTTTATACCTTTTGTCATTACAATTTTAGTCAAAAAGCATTTCTTTTTTTTTTATCTTGATTAATAAAGCAAAAAAATGGTTATTTTTTAATTTCAAGTTTTTGGCTATTCTAAATATTTTAGCAGTTTTAAATTTATCAATCATTATTCGAAAGCATTTTTAATATTTATGTTAATTACTATATATATTTAATTAAATAAATCTTAATTATTGATGATTTTCTTTTTTAAATTAACTTAAATTTAAATTAAATAATGCACTAGGAAATTTATTTAAATTATAAACTCAAATTCAGTCATAATTTAGATTAGTAATTATCAATTCAAATAAATGCTTGAGAGTTTTAATATTTATGAATAATAATTATAAGCTGTCATTATTTTTAATTAATCATTATTAATTAAATTATTTTAGAATTAACAAATGTTTTCGTTAAAATTAAAAATTATAATTAGAAACTTGAAAGATTTTTTTAATAATACAATTAATAATTATATAAATTAAACAATTAAATCATTTAATGATTTTTAAATTATATGTTTTTTTTTCTCTATTTAGAATATTATGGAAAATTATTGGTCTTTGATAATTAATTCTTTAAAGAATTGATTATCCTTGCTCTGAAGTGCTCACCTACTTTTGGGATATGCTTTCTTTCTTCTTTTAGCAGTTTGTAAAATTATCAGAAAAATTTAATTTATTACTTTTATTGCAATTAGAACTATCTTAAAATGTTTGAATCACTGCATCCTTCATATACACTCGATTAGAAGAGTTTTCTTTTTTGCGAGAGCTATAATTACCACTTTTAGTATTTTCTAAATTATACAAAAAGCTACTTTAAGCCTCATTTTAAGATGTACTTTGTGATAAAGGTAATGACTGTCTTATGTTCTGGGATCTTGAAGACAAATTTACTTATTCACTATTTTCAGTAAGTTATGACTTGTACTTTGTTAATTGGATTATATTTAATTCCTTGATTGAATCTTTTGAAAAATATCCTAAACTGCTATCCCTGCTATTAGGTGTGTTAGAAATATAGCTAACTTAGTAGCTATTTTACTTTGAATGTTAAGATATTTCATCGGTTCCATATTACCCAATTTATATATTGCTATGAGTTGATTAATTTTTATTTATTTGAGGTAAGAAAAGGGGTGGATCAATAGAATTTATATTTTGAATTTTAGCAGGTAAAAATGGTTAAGAGTATTATTTCAGAAGGCTCCCATTTTATTTGCTATTTTAATTTTCTAATTTTATTAATGGATTTTATTTTTAGAATATTGATAGGTTAAAAGGCTAAGGTTATTATTTGTCATTAAAACTGTTATCTGCTTCTTAAGACTATTCAATTATTCTAATAGAACTTTACTCAATAGAGCTTGCTTTATTGCTATCTTTAATTGATGAAATTTATATGTTACTTAAACCTTGTTATTAAATTCTTTATGATCTCTCTTTTATCCTTTGTACTTTCTACTAAATTTTTCCTCTTTAATATTTATCTAAATTTGGGAATATTTCTTTCAAATCACTTTATTGTATTTCTACTTTAAGGAGACCTCTATTTTTTAATTCTTATTTTAGATCCATTTCTAATTATTTGAGGTTTCCATCTCCCATATTAAATGTACCTTAAATAAGTAGAGATTTCTCTTCGCCATTGTTTTGATGATTCTATGTTGATATAATTGACTTTTCGTAGCTTTTTGAAGAATTATCATTCCTAAATAATATCTAATCTTTTTATCCTGCCTTTGGAGATGAATTTGATGACGAAATCATTTTTTTCATACTGGATTGTTTGTCTGTTATTTCTGGAATGTTATCTTCACTATAAGTTTTCATTAAATTAGGTATGCTTATTAAAATATTATTCTTGAATCTGCTTTGTCTCGCATTAGGAGATTGAGATAATTGGCTATCCTTTGATTGCCTATATTTATTCAATTTTGGAGAATGTTAACTAGTTTACTTTTAACTTTCACATAGCTTCTCTTGGACTTAATCTACTTGAGCTTCGTTAATTGTGTTTTCATATTTTTCTGACAAATTTTGGATTTATTTGACTGCAATGCTATCTTCAACCTATTCTTCACCAAGTTTTTTTAAGTCAGTTATCATGCTGAATTAGCTAGATTTTTGATCCTGTTAAGCATATTCACTGCGAATTGAGTCTCTTTTGAAACTTGACTTAATTAAATTAAAAACAGTTTTAAAAATATTTAAAATACCATTAAATAATTAAATACCTGTTTGTTCAAATGTAAAACATTGATGGAATTGTAACTTGAAAAAGAATTAACTAATTAAAAAAAATAAATTAATTGTTTTCAGCTTTGCTAATATATTTTATAAATAGAATTTATTTACTTGCATCTCTGTCTCTATTTTTTTAACTTGGTGAGCTTGGACTCATCGATATTAATGAATATCTAGACATTTTTTTATCTGCAATACTATTTGGATCAGATCCTAAAATTGAAACTTTCCTACTGAAATCACTTAATTATAACTTTTGAGAAAGATTTACCTCATCCAAAGTGGAAATAGTTTGAGTTTGCTGCTTCTAAAAGTATAGTTTTTAGTGGTTATTTATTGACTACTTCTATTTGTAGGTAATTATACAATTTTAATCTATAAATTTTTTTGTGTAATCTATCAAAAAATCTGAAAAATTTTTTTTCATTAAATTCATAATGTTCATGTATTCCATGTGCATGTTTTCATCCTATACGAATTCTTGAATGTTTTGTAAATTTTAACCCAACTAATATTTATTTTGCATAAAACTCTTTGCTTACTAATACTTTTAAAACATGTCATTCTTTTCTTACTGTCTTTCTTCTTCTGATTTTTCATATTAATATATAATTTCCTTCTTATTCTTGGGTACATAATTTATATTCATTTTTAAAAGACTTTCATTATAAACTTTATTCAAGTATTATTTCTTAAATCTCTACTTAAATTATTAATTATCGTAATTGAGAGACTCTTTCCTCTCAACTTATTTAAATTAATCTTAATACTTAAATATCTATTAGTTAATCATCTCTTATCTTCTTTTGAGTTTATTCTAAAACATTTACTTTACCATTTCAACTGATTCTCTTGGAAATTTTTGTTAAAATAACTTTTTAGTTATTACATAGCATAATGCTTTGCTGCTTACTACCTTTACATTATATTATTAGTATTTCTAAGTAAGTATATCCTCACAAACAAATTAAGGAGTATCAATATCACATATTTTTAATTCAATACTTTCTTTAAATACCATTTACTTACTGTCTACTTTATCTGTAGAGAGACTATTTGAATTATCTTTATTAATACATTAAATTAAATCTTAAAAAAAAAATTAGATATTTTACTGCTTAGCTATTTTTAATCTATTGGAGGAGAGATATTTTTGTTGAATTTAGTCATATATTTTTAATTTGGATCTTCTATTTCTAACTATACCTAAGAACTAATTTCTAATTTCCCATTTACTAAAATATAAATAGTATTTGTGGCTTCTCCTTAAATTGATAAATAATCGTTTTTTAAAAATTTTTATTCTTAAAAAACATAAGCAAGTTGTTCTAAAATTTACCATGAACTAACATTAGATATTCCAGGTATTGTTTATTTTATTAGGAAAATTTTATCTCTCTTTGCTTATTCGATCATTTTTTTAATAAATAAAAAATCTTCTCTCATTATGCTTTTGATTTTAAATTTGGAAAATTTAATTAAAATTGTGAAAATGTTTTTTGTATTTAAACAAAAATAATGTTTTTAATAACCGCAATCAATTTAACAAGCAGTCATTAACTGTTAAATTAAAATTTAGATTTTTTTTTTTTTTAATTTAAGTCCTGAATGCCATTAATTGTTTTTTGCTTAAAATCCAAAATATGAAAATTTATAATATTTAAAATGTTTTATTTTTATTAAAAATATAATTTGTAATTAAAAAAATGAATGTTATAGTTAATTACACTAACGCTTCCGTATCTTAGTTCGCGTAAATAGAGGCCATACGGATACCTCCTTCTTCCATAATTGCTTTTTCTCCAAAAGAAAAGCCTGTTCCTAATTTAGCAACAACATCTCCTAGTTAGCTAATATCTATACATATAGACATATCTCTCTTTATTTTTGATTTGATTGTACTTGCTTTAGGACTGCTTATTGACTTATTGAGTTTGTTACTCATTATACTTGAATTTTTATGCAAAATTTTAGTTCTTAAATGCTAAAGTGCAGGGCTTTTAATTGAACTACTTTCATCATCCTCTTAATTATTTTAATCATTATCTAAATCATCATTATCTTCAATAGTTATGTTAGCTATAAGCTCCTTAGAAATATTTTAATCTATTGATTTTTAAGATTCATCAGTTTATTTTCTTTTTTCCTGTTCCTCTTTTTATTACTTCTTATTTTCTTCTTCAAAAACATTTATCTTTTTTTTTATTGCCACACATACTTCTCCTGAGATAATTACAAACATTTTACCATTAGATTTATCACCTTCTTTAAATACCACTTCATTTTATTTAAATTTTTAAAACCTAATAGTACGCCAAATCTAAATTTTTTACAAAATTTTATTTTAAGAATGAATATATTTCATAAATTATTTTTCATTACACTAGAAACAACTAAGTCTTTGTGCTCTTAACCAAAGGAGTCCATTAATTTGCTAAAAAAATTTAGATTAGAAAAGTAGGTGTTTAGAGTATCTGCGTCATCAATATTTCTAGGCATTTCAGTTTTGACTAACAGATCATAAATTTTTTCATCAATACCCTAATTAATTTATGTATAAATGAACTAAATATATGTTAGTTTTATTTAATATTTATTTCATTTAAAAAAAAAATATTTTTAAAACTTCTACCATTTGTATTATGCTGATATTTTAACTTAAAATCTTCCTTAATTAATATAAATAGTGCCAAATATAATATACTTTTTAAGTGATTAATTTCTACCAATTTATTGTTATTACTTTTTAATGATAAATTAAAAAAATTTATAGGCTAACAAAACACTAAATAAATAAACAAATAAACTTTAACATATTTAACATTTGATATTGAATAATTATTTATTTTTAATATGTCTCATTTTTTATTTAAAACTAAATTTCTCCACAAATATATCAAAAATAGTATAGTGTTTTTAGCTATTAAAATAATCTTTATTATGTTTGTTTATCATTATAATTTTAAGAATAAAAAATATTTTTTATGAAATAATTAATTTTAATTCAATTTATTATTAATAAAATAATTTTTTTATATAATTTAATTATTATAGTATAAGCTTTTACGTAAAAAATATTATTGTTTACCTCTGAATGTTTAATTCAACTTCTATAAATATAAAGTAAATAGTTATTAAGATTCAAATATAAAAGTAAATAAGCATGAAATCTTAATTACTATTATTTTCAGAAATAGTAAAAAACTAAAAATTAAATTAAATTTTGATGATTCTATTTGAATTTATTGATTAGTTGATAAATAAATACATAACTTAAAATATACTTTTATGAAACATATTTAAAATTTTATTTAGTTAACCATATACTTTTTAGAGAATCATATATTTATTTATTTATTTTTAATTATAGCTATTAAATAAATTATTTTTTGAAGAATATTTCAAATTTACTCCTTATTTACAAAAAGGGTTACATTTTTATAGTGGCTTGATAAAACTGCATTTAAATCTTCTATTTACTTTTTGACACTTTCAATTTCATTATTTGTATTCTCTATTTTAAGATCAATTCTGTTTAATTTACTACCAAATGACCTATTTTTTGAATTTTAAATAACATTATTTATAGTTTTTAATGAAAATTATTACATTTCTTTTTTATCTTCATAATAATTTTTGTATACAAGAAGCAAAGTAAGTTGCTTATTTAAAATTAATATTTTTTCTTTTGTACTGACTCCAACAAAACCTAATTTTTGTACTTCCTACTCTAAATTTTATAATGAAATCAAAGGGTCTTTTTTTAACATCTCCTTTACTACAGTAGATTTTTCTTGTTCTTATTCTAGTTTTTTGAAATCTTTTCTCTTTTTCAGGAATTCTACTTCCCAAGCTTTCATCTAAAGTAATAGTAAAATGAGTTTCTTTAAATTAGTTATAATATAATATATTTATTTACTCCTTCAAAGTGTGTTTCTAAGCTATTTAAAAATTATTTCAGATACTCGCTTTCAGATAATTTAGGGTTTTTTTTAACTAGCTTCAAATAACCTTCATAATATAATTTGAGGAATTCTCTTAAATTAATTCCTGCAGGTTTTTAGTTTCTCTATATAGATAGATTTATTAGAATAAAAAAATTAAGAGCTTAATAAAATATTTTAAAATTATTTATATACTTTTTTAGAATAGCCAGAAGAAACATAAAATATTCTTTTATCCTCATCTTTTTCAAAGAGATGAAAGTCTTTATATATTTTAGACATGTATTTGCGACTTATACCTAATTTAAGAGTTTTTTCCTTTTCTCTAAATTATAATGATAAGATGTCAATGCTTTCAGGAGATATCTTAATCTAATTTTTTAGTAATTTATAAAATTTAAATTAGTATTTTAGTTAATAAATTAGTTACATCATGGAAACTTTATTCGACAATTGTGCTAGGAATAACATTTTCGGCTCCAAAAAACCATCTCATCAGCTTATTTTTAATAGGCTCTCTGAACTTCCACCAATAAACAAGTTCTAAATATTATGATAATTAACAGATCGTTTTAATATGATTTTAAGATATTTATTTAATATTTGCATACTTTCATATCCTGAGGTATATTAGCATATTAGTAGGACTAAGATAAAAAATATAAGCTTTTTTTTATTGTCTTTAACCTTTTCGATAATTTATTCATACGATTTCAAAGCTGTCTTCCTATACTAATCATTAATAGGTTTATTCTCTCTAAGTAGAATTTTTCTGCATTCCTACATATTAATTTTCAAAATTTAAATTGATTTTACTAATTTAAGTAAATAGATTAAATGAAATAGCTTCTATTAACTCCTGTAAACGTAAATGGTGAATTCAAGTAGCAAATAAATTACATATTTTGGGAGAAATTGCTGAAAGTAATTTCTTTATATCTAATAAGTAAGCCTCTATACTTCTAAGTTTCTATATAAACTGCTTTTATTTAAGTGATTAACTTTATAAAACAAATTATTTAAGTTTCTAAACATTTCTATTATTTTCTTAATAGTTTTTATTTGTATCTTTTTTGAATGTAAATTAAATATATATTTTTATGAATGAATGAATTGATTCTTCATCCTAAACTAAATTCTTAGCTTTAATTGACTTATAAAATTAGTTTATTTTTTTTATGTTTTTAAATACCCTAAAATATAATGAAAAATAAGAAAAATAAGATTTTATTCTATTAATAATGAAAATTAATTTTAAAATAAAACAATTTTTTAACGTTTTCAACATTATTTTATTTAAGTTAAAATAAACCATTTTATTTTGAAAATTTAATACAATCCAATTTGCTTAAATTAAATAATTTTAACTTATTTTAATTGTTAATTTATTCAAAATAAAGTTATTAATGAATTTAAAAAAATCTTGATATTTCATATTTTTTTTGATTATTCGCCTGAACATATTAATCTTATACCTCCCTCGTAAATATAGAATTCATCAATGTGATTATGCATTTAAGAGTTTATTTTTCTTTAATTTTATATTTTATAAAATTATTTTTTAATTCATTTTTTTATTTTTGGAGCAATACTAATTTATCTTCCTTATTTAATATAAAAAATATGAAATCAAAAATAATTTAAATCAATTTCAAATGCTTTTACTTTATGAATTTAGATAAATCTCTATTTCAAGCAAGCAATTTTCTTGAATTTATTTTTTTTTTTCAAATTAGCTTTTTTTAATTTTTATTGAAGCCACTAACATAGTTTTACATATTTTTGTCATTTTAAAGTTATTTATTTATTCTTTAAATTGTGACTTTAAAGCAAACCACAATCAGCAAAGTTTGTTTTGTCATATTTTATTAAATAAAAATAAATGAAGGTGCATTCATTACAATTTAAATAAATTTAATTAGAAATTGAAATCAAAAAAATTAAGAGTTATAAATAGTAGAAAAATAAAATCGTTAAAAATCAAAGATAATATTTGTTAGATAGAAAAAGAAATAGTGAATTTGAAGAGAATACTTAAGAATTTCTACATAGTTTATTAAAGAATTTCAAAAGATATAAGCAGCTTACCTTTAGTGGAAAGTGGAAAATGACGACTAAAGAATAGGTAGAATTGTAGATTCTAAATGATGAAACATTTAATGCAACTGAGAAATTTAAAATTCCTCCATAAAAACTAATTAACATTGTTAGATTAAGTGAAAAACGTGATTTTTGTGAAGAAGTAGATGAAATTGAAAAAATGTATAAGTAATCATCATATTTCTCTCCTTAATTTTATCAAGAAATCTTAAATACGCCCTCTACAATTCCTTATCCAATGGAATAGGATTTGATAAATCGATTATTCATAGAAGGATTAGGATCCAACTTAAAAACTGGTATTAGCACATCTCCAAATGAAATTAAAGACAGAGAGCGTATTTATGGACATAATAGAAGAGAATAAGTTATTCCTGCTACATTTTGTTAGTTGCTATGGGATGCTTTGCAGGATTTAACATTAAGAATTCTTGTTGTAGCTGCTATTATATCTATTTCTGTCGAAGTAGGTACAGCTCCTGCTGATAAAAGAAGTATAGCTTGGGTTGAAGGATTTGCAATTTTAGTAGCAGTTATTGTGTGTTCAACAGTAGCAGCAGCTAACGACTACAAAAAAGAAAAGTAATTCTAGTAATTAAACAATGTTAGTTCTGAAAGTTTAACTGTTTAGATATTTCGTGATGGATCTGAAATAACTATTCATCGAGATAAAGTACTAACTGGAGACATTATAAAAATAAAAGGAGGCATGGAATTACCTGCAGATGGTATTTGCCTTTACTCAGTCGATATTAAATGTGATGAGTCTGTTATGACAGGAGAACCAGGTAAAATACTATAAATAATTATTATTATAAAGAATAAAAAATGTAAGAAGAATTAAGTATTTTTAAAAAATGCCACATTTAAACCAAGGTGCGCATAATTAATTAATTCTAAATAAATAGGTAGAATTGAAAAAGAGAAGTAATTCTTTATTCTTGTAAAAGCGATTAGAGTATTTAAATATACAATAACAAAATCTAATTAATTTTACTAAGAGGTTAGTTAGTTATTTATTAAGCTTTTGCCTCTATTTTAATTTATTTCATTTTACAATTTTATAATCAAAGTAATTTAAACCAGTAAAATAAGTGAATATTAAAATTTTACTTTTACCCATATATTAATTACATCAAATTAATCAAAAAATTTTTTTGTTAATTACTAAGTGCTTCTTTTCTTAAACTTAAATAAATTAAAAATTTCTAGATCCAGTTCATAAGTAGAGTGTCATTAAATGTATACAAAGAAGAGAAGAATACAATAGAATGAACTTAACAAAAGATATAAAGTAAATTATTAATTCTCCATATTATACAAATTTTCATTAGTAATCATGTTTCTTCATGTTATTCATTTTATTAATTTTAATTTAGAAATAGACATGAGATTCCTACTCCTATATTGATGAGTGGTACTAACGTAAAAAAATTATTAGCATGTATATAATATTCAGTTAAATTTTATAAATCTTAAATAGGTATTAGAAGGAGAAGGTTTAATGATAGCCATTGTGGTTGGTCCTCATTCTACTTCAGGAAAAATAGAAGAAATTCTTAAATCTTAAGACGAATCGAAAAGTCCTCTATAATAAAAACTTGAAACAATAGCTGATGACATCGGAAAGTTTGGGTTATATTCTGCTCTCCTTATTGTATTGATTCTGTTAATTAGATTTACAGTTGAGAGAATATAAGAAGATAGCTTTAGCTCAGATAATGTTATTGAAATGATTAATTTCCTTATTATAGGTGTTACTGTAGTTGTAGTTGCTATCCCTGAGGGTTTGCCTCTATCAGTTACTTTATCATTAGCGTTTTCTACTTCTAAAATGCTTAAAGATAAGAATCTTGTTAGAAAAATGTAGGCTTGTGAGACTATGGGAGGAGCAAACAACATTTGCTCTGATAAAACTGGTAAAATTTATACTTTCTGTTTATTATTGCATGCTAATTTAAATAATAATAATAATAATGTATAAAAAAGGTACTTTAACACAAAATATTATGTATGTTACAACACTGTGGAATTTCGGTAACAATTTTATTTAGCTAAATACTGATATGAAACTCTAATCCAACCTCTAAGAATATATACCTGCTGCTGCATAAGAAATTTTTATTTAAGCTACAGCAGTCAACTCTACAGCTTCTTTAGATCCTCCTTAAGGTGATGCTACAGAATAAGCTATGATAAAATTCTTGAAAAAATGCAATATCAATTACTTGCAAGAAAGATCGAAGTATCAAGAAATAGCTTACATCCCTTTTTCATCTTAAAGAAAAAGAATGTCTAAAATTATTATGTTTAATAACTCTCATAGAATGCTTATTAAAGGTGCTTCAGAAATTATAACTTCTTGTTGTAATCAACTATATAGATGGGATACAAACTAAATAGTCCCTATCGATACAACATTAAGAGACTCTATTTAAAAAGCTATTATTTAAATGGCAGAAAAAGGTTTGAGAACAATCGGTATTGCTTATAAATAGGTAAACAATTTAAGTCTAATTCATTTTTAAAAAAATATTTCCCTCCTTTTATTAATTTAGGTTTATCCCAACGATGATATCAATTCAAAGGACAATATGAACGTTAGAGAAATCGAAAAATCTAACTTAATATTAATAGGTGTTTTGGGTATTGAGGATGTTTTAAGGCCGGAAGTTCCTTTGGCTGTTGCTAAATGTATTTTATTTAACAAATAGTTTAATCAGATAATGAAATAATTAATAAAAAAGGTAAATAAGCAAAAATTCATGTGAGAATGGTGACAGGCGATAACAAAATTACTGCAAGAGCTATTGCTAATAAATGCGGTATTATTCAAGAAGAACTTGGGCTTGATTTAGTATTAGAAGGAAAGGAATTTATAAAATTAACTGGAGGAGTTGTTTGTTCTAAATGCAGGATTGCAGTTTGCCCTTGCCCTCGTGATAAAAGAACAGCTGATATAGCAAAAAAAGATTTAAGAATTGATACTGTAGCTAACTAAGAAGAGTTTAAAAAAATATATCCTCGTCTGGCAGTTATGGCAAGATCTGCCCCTGAAGACAAGTACACTTTAGTAGTTGGTTTGATGGAGAATGGTAATGTTGTAGCTGTTACTGGTGATGGCTCAAATGATGCACCTGCTTTAAAAAAAGCAGATGTCGGATTTGCTATGGTAAAAAAAAAGTTTCCTAATTTTAATTAAATATATTTTGAAAATAAAAGGGCAAGGCAGGAACTTAAGTTGCTAAAAATGCAGCTGACATTATCTTAACTGACGATAATTTTAGTTCTATCGTCTAAGCAGTCTTATGGGGAAGAAATATTTATGATAGCATTAGAAAATTCTTGCAATTTTAACTAACAGTTAATATAGTTGCTGTCTTCGTAACCTTAATTGGTGGCGCAGTCATAAAAGTAAGTTTATATAATCGAATAAATTAAATTTAAAAAATTATATTTTTGTAAAATAAATAGCAAGAATTACTTTAACCTATTTAAATGCTTTGGGTTAATCTTATTATGGATACATTTGCTTCATTAGCCTTAGCTACTGAACCTCCATAATAGAAACTACTCTTGCGCCCTCCTCATTCAAGAAATGATTATATTATCTCTAGGAAAATGCTAAAACATATTATTTTCTAGAGCATTTGGCAATTAGCTATTATATGTACGATTGCATTTGCAGGTGAATATTTTATTCCAGAATATAGTGACGATTTTGATACATCAACAAGACCTGAAGATATAGTATTTGTACAAAATTACAAATACAGTAATTCAGAAAAAACACTTGCTCATAGTGGTCGTTTACGTACTTACTCTGGTGATGCTGACGACTACAGTAAAAAGCTTGCATTAGAAAACTGTACACCATCAAGACATTTCACAGTTCTCTTTAATACATTTGTTTTACTTTAGTTTTTTAACTTTTTAAATGCAAGAAAAATTGATGATGAATTTAACATCTTTAGCAATATCCTCAGCAAGTAACTATTTATTTATCTATTTATATTTCTATTTATTAATTGAATTTAAAATTTAAGTTACTTTTATTTAAAAATAGCCCTCTTTTCTTTGTAATCTTGATCATAATTATAGTGTTTTAATTTATATTTGTTACTTGGGGCTTTAGAGCTCTCTATGTTTATAAATATGGACTCACTTGGTAATAATGGTTAATTTGTATTGGATTTGGAGTAAGCTGTAATTTTTGGGCAATTATTATAAAGCTTATTCCAGATAGACTATTTCCTTAGCTTGGTAATAAGGAAACTGTAATAGATATTAATAGGAAAGGTAGTGTCTTAAATTATAAAAGAGGTAAGTCTTTTGAATTAAAGGCTTCTAATTTTGGAGGTTAACGTATGTCACAGCAATTTACTAAATTTGGACCTCAAAATTAATCTGGAAGTAAAAATTACTAAAATTAATTTATAGAATAGGCTGGGCCTGTCGAGTGAGTAATAAACAAAAAAAATTTAAAGTATTTTTCCATCATAAAAATTCATATATATAAATTTATAAATGTAAATTAATTAGGAAATTATATATGTATGTAAATAAATAAATTTCTATTTTTGTAAGCTTAATGAACATAAATTGAAGATTTTAATTCTAAATTTATGTATGCAATTTTTAAGATTTATCTTTTGATTTATTTTACTTTTTCTATTTTTTAATTTAAAATTATGAAAATACTTTAATTTTCATTATTTTAATAAAAAATAATATCAAACTATCCTATTACACCAACCCTCATTTATTTATTCATTTTTTGTTCCAAAATCTTCATTGAAATTTTAAAAATAAAAAGGGTTTTTAAATTAGTAAAAATGGTAATTAAAAATACTCTCACAAATAAGGAAATAAATGTTCAAACAAATTTCAATTATTTTATTGATAAAAATTAATTTATTTTTATTTTCTCGACTCAATGTTTTTTTTTGCAATATTTTTCCATAAAATGCAAAATTCGACAAGTTTTGATTTTAAATCTGGGTATATTTATGGCATTTCTATCTACTAAAGAGGAGTTGGCACTTAAATAAGTGATTAGGGGCTTGTATTATATGATATAACTTTAATATCACTATATTCACTTATACCTCTATTTCTTGCAGGCACAATATCTCTTAAATTGCCTTTTTAAGCGTTTTAAGTATTTTACAGTAAGTTTTCTAACTCATTTGTTTGCTAGCTTTTGAGACGATTAAGTGATATTTTTAGCTAGTTTTAACTTACTAAGTTATTTTTTGTTAAGAGTCCTCTTTCAGTATTCTATCTGCTTAATTCTTCATCATCTGATTTATCTAAATTATATTTTAAGTTGCTTATATTTGGTGATTCCTCAGCTTGTTCTTCAAAATCACTGAAATTTCTTAGTCTTACTTATAATATATCACTACTCCCTAAGTTTTAAGATTATTTCTGAGGATTATTAGTGTTAATAGTATTATAAGACAAAGATTATTGCTCTTTTTAAATATGTTTTTATATATTTTATTTTTGTTCTTCTTCTTCGTTTTAACTATCTTCTTCACCATTTTGAGATTAAATATTACTAATATTAGTTTATTAAGTTATAAATGGAATTTTTGAAGATGACTTGTTGATATTTAATTGACTTCCTGTTATTGTATCTTAACTATTAAGCAAAGGATTTGATACCTTGTGTAAAGGCTTATTTATGCTACTTTGTCTTACATATTTATGTCTAATATTATTTTATTTATTGGAAACTTAGTAATTTTTTAAGTTTTCTAAATCATAATCATCTTTGTTTGTTTCTTCATCATTAGAAATAGGTAAAATTGTATTTTATATCTATTTATTACCAGCATTTTAAAAACTTATATTTTGTAATATTTAATTTGTTTATTGGTCATTTTTAAGCTGATCATCAAAAAGAAAATTAAAATAGCCATTAGAATTTCTATTTTCAAACAAATTGGTGCTTTCTTTCCTTGTCTTTTCATTTTATTCTTTTGACTTTATTTACCTATTTTTTAAGTAAATTTTTTATCTGTATTATAGAAAATCTAAAATTTTACTTAAAATATTCTTAGATCATAACTTGATTGCATTCCAAACACTCAGTTCTAAAGTTACAATTCTCTTAAAAAAAATCCTACCAACTATCTTTTTACTTATCAGTGAAAATATTTTTTTAATTTTTACTTTTTATAAAAATTTGAAATAGATCTTCAACATTTTGTTCAGATTAACAAATTAATCCCCAAGTGTTGCCACAAAATTAGCAATATTTCTTTAAATTTCTATCATAAATTCCACCTATTGTAAATAAATTATAAGCATTTTAAATTAAATAAAAAATATTCTTAACTAATAATAATTTACCAACTAAGCTACAAGCTTTACTATAATTTCTACTCCTATAAAGCCAATATCTTAAAATAGTTTTAACTGAATAAGGAATTTCCGTTGGGCGGTTTGGTTACACCATAGCTTCAAATTTACTAAAGCTATCTCTTCTTTCGCCTTCAAGTAATAAATCTTACTAATAAATGTCATATAAAATATCAAATTCGATATCACTTTAATCATCTTAATAGCTTTTTTGACTATTTAGTCTTTTTAAATCTTTTTTATTTTTATTAATCAATTTAGTTTCTTCATAATCTTCATTATTATCAATCAAAAAAGATTTCTTTTTTGTACCTTTTAGTTTTCTCATCAGCAAAAACTTTTTCATATTTCTTCTCTATTATAGTTTAACATCTATACTTTCCATTTATTCAATAATTTAATCTCTGTACCTTTTATAAATTAAGTGATACATAGATTAAATTAAATAATTTGTTGAAATAACTAATTTACTTTTTTTTGGTTTCCTTGTCTAAAATATTTTTAATATTATTTTTTAGCCATAATTTATTCGATAATATGAAATTTTTTCTGAAATGCTAATTTTCAAACTAAGTTTTTTCTAGATTTTAAGCCAGTTTTTTAAAAATACTTTTTTTTTCTATTTTTTTAAAAAAATAAAATTAAATTTAAACTTAGATTTTAAATTTATTCAATGCAGAAGCAATTTAATTTTTTACCTTTTTCCCTTTTTTTATAAATAAAAAATTCAAGTATTAAAATATTTAAATTAATTAAAATTACTTTTCTCTTTGGGTTAGAATTACATTCTTTTGATGAGCAAGCTCAATATTTTTTTCTATATCATCTTCCTATTATTCTTAATTTGAATTACTCTTTGGTTATTCATCATTAGTGTTATTTTAAGCTGGATTCTCTTATTTAACTTTGATTTTCCATATACCTAATATTCTTCCTAAGAATAAACACAATTAATGCACTACAAAGCACAAAGATACCCAAAGTAATATAATAGGTACAAGCATTCTATCTCCAAATATACCATAATTTGTAAAAGTTATTTCATATAAGCCAAGCACACATTACATCATGCCAATCAAAAATAGGGATGACACAAAATAATATTATGAAGAATAGCACCATTTATCTATATCTTTGAACTCTTATTCTTCTTCTCTTTCTTTTGATTCTTTTTCTTATTTTTAACTGCTGTTATTATTTTTATCTTGTTAATTATTCTTATCGTTATCGCTTTCACTTGTTGTTTGATCAGCTTTCCATACTTTTCTATGTAAAAAATAATTTAATTTTAATTTAAAATAAATGTCAAAAGCATTGATTTTTTAAATATTTATGGAGATTTAATATATAATAACTTATTTTCCATAAACAAAATATTTATTAATATTTAAGTTTTTATGTCTAAAATATCATTTATTTTTAATTAAGCATGAATAAAAAATTATAAATTGTTCTTTGAGCTAAACATATTTTAAAACGAAATATTGAGAATTTATTAGTAAGTTAAATTAATTTTGAATTTGATACCTTCTATTTTCGAATCTCTATTTGCACTTTGTTGCATAAGGAAGAAAGTCAATATCATGATATACAATCCAAAGATGGTAGTATACTATATCAATAGCTAAACGGAATGGTAATATTACAAGAGTATAAACAAAGTAAATAATATAGAACTGCTGTTAAATATTGTAATTATTTGCTAGATCAATTTAATTATAAAAAAGCCAAGATTCTAGAGTTGTAATAGGCTAATAAATAATATATAAAAATAAACTAATTCATTTTGAAATTATATGAGTAATTTTACCAAAAGTAAAGGACCTAGCATACCATTAAAAAACTCTCCATACCTTTCTATGCATTTAAAAGATTTAGTATCTATCTCTTCCTTTTATTTATGCTTATGCTTATGCTTTTAAATCTTTTCTTTTTACTTTTTAGCTTAATCATCTCTTTTAATTTCTTATTTTTAAATTCTTTCATACTACTTTTTATCTTTCTTATATTACAAGTTACTGGAGAAAATACTTTCGAATTCATCACAATCCCTTTCTTCATCAAAAGATTCCTCATTCCCATCAAACTTAAGCTGTTGATTAGCGATGTTATTTGATTCTTGTTGCAATTTTTTTTAAACAGTCACTTTCTATACTTCTTTTGGAATATTCTCAAATGAATTATCAAGAACAAAATTAGAATCAACACTCTCATCCAAATTTTCTGACAAGATGATGTTTGAATTACTTTCAGAAATTTAATCAAACTCTTTAAAAAGAAAAGAAATACTATTAATAAAAATAGATAAATAAATTAAATTGAAAATTACCCTGCCTATCTCCAATAGTAAAAGCATCTGAATTATCAAAGTTATCTTCACTTTGGTATTTTTCCCAAGCTCTTTTATTTAGATTTATTTTTAATTTAATTGATAGATTTTGAATAATTAATTTATTTCAATAATAATTTTAATTTTAAATTTTTTATAATAAACAATGAATAAATATTAATTAATTTTTACGAAACAAGAATGCCTTTTACTTGGCAGTAGGTCTCCCATATAAAGTCTTCTACTTCTTCAACTATCACATTAACATAAGTTCTTTCATACATTTAAATTCCTTGTTCTAAGAAAAAAGAAAGTAGAAAAGCCAAATAGTCATTAGCTCCTAATGTTGCCACATCTAGAATGTGATCCATAGCAAATGCAATAGGAGAAGATAATATGAATTTTTAAAAAAAAACAACTCCTAATCTTTCACAAACCATTCCTACAACTTTTAGAGTGCAAAGATAGTACCAAGTATTATTACCAAAATTATTAGAGAGAGACCAATAAATTATAATCTCCATTATCACTACAACACCCAAGTAAAAAAACATATATTTTGAAATTTCCCACATTCTTTTAAACCAAACATTACCATCAAAAGATACCTAACCTTATTTTTTATCGACTTTATTCTTGCTTTTAGGTACAATTAAATTTGCACATAGTATCATCATATATAATCCTATAACTAAGAGAGAGAGCCCAAATCTACCTTTTCTTAAATTTGGTAATCCTGGATCAGTAAGTGATAAATTAGTCATAGTATCGAAAATTGATAATTAGCAATTTCCTGCTTATGGATTGCAATTGTAAATGTTAAATGGGTATAACCACATCTACCCACCCATCAATAGAAGATTCAATGTTAATATCATAGCGACAGGAATCATTGGTAAGTATATACCAAATAATGCTCCTGGATAAAAGACTTTTAAGCACTATTTTATGTTTGTTTTAATTTTACTTTTTTACCTTTATTTTAATTTAAAAAAATTTTTTAATAAAGCTTAAAATAAAATAATAATAAACTTTTAATAGATAATTTGCAAACTTTTTAAAATAAAAATACTTTGAAAAATCCTGTCAGTGTCAGTCAATATTGACTGACATATAAATTTTATTAATTTATAGATAACAAAAAAGAAAAAAAAATTTATGAAACGAAAAAATATTTTTTAATTGCATCTAGTGAAATTTTATTAAATTAAATATTTATTAATTAGTTAATTTAATAATTCTACCTTCTGAATAAAAGATGATATCCGGCAAACACGCATACAGAAGTTAAGCTTACTGATCCACAAATCATATACATAAAGATATAGACCCAGATACTTAGAGCATAGTTTATTGTAAGCTCTGATTAATTCATACTATGAAAAGAGAAATCAAGCTAGTAATTAAAAGGTTCAACACCATTTGCTTAGTCGTTAGAAGGTTTAACAAAATTTTCAAACCATATTTTTCCAATAATTATTTACTTTACAGTGGGAGTAACCTATTAATTTAATTTCAAATAAACACATTAGGATCTATTAAAAAGATTAATATTAGTTTACCTAGTAATACCCAATTTAAAACACAATTTTAGTTGGTAATTAGCCATTAGGAATTACATTTAATGTTAAAACATTAGCTAAATAGTTTGAGTTGTAAGCTTAGTTATTTAGGTCATTCTAATCATAATAAATTGGTTGAGGAGTCATTTAAAATATAGTTGTTCTCACATTTTATTAAAGCCAAGTATTTGTGATAAAATTATAATTTAAATACTCATCAAGTACACAATCATACAATATGTGTGAACACTCATCGCTATGCGGAACATCACCAAATTTGAATTAATTTACAACTTTAACTTCAGAAGGATCTACTAAATTGCAATTATTCTAATTTTCAGTTATTTCATACAAAAAACCCATACTTCCAAAAGATCTACAATTACTGAAATAAGGAATATAAGGCATAAACATACCATTTAGAGACAGATAATATTAGCTCGGAGTTGTTGTTGAGGGATTACCTGTTAAATTAGTATTATTGATAGTAAAGTTGTTAAAATAATTTTGTTGATAGCTAAGTAGATAGTTATTGGCTTGACCTTACCTGTTGAGTGGTATAGAGTTTACAGGCACAGCAATTTATGATGAACTTATATAAAAAGCAAATGATACATTTTAATTATATACAGCTCTATTAGGTTATGACAAGCTAAGACTCACAGTGTTTAATAAATTTAATCTTATATTTAATTAGAAAATTTATTTTAATTATAATTCGAAATCTTAAATGTATTAAAACATATTTAAAGAATAAGTAACTTGTTATGTTTCTTAGATATATTTTCCAAGTTTTTTGTTATTTATTTATTTATATTTATCATATTTCAATTAAGCAAATCCAAATTAATTTCTACTTTTCTGTACTACTTATATATATCACAAAACACTTAAAAATGTAAAAATAAATATACCTTATACTTTAATACTGAGGATTATTTATTAAAGCTAGTATTGTTAGTTATTAATCTATCATAGAATACAAGCTAAATCTGTGAATATTAACGTTAAGAGCCATTTAATTTGTAAATGTTTATGGCAAGGCGAGACAACCTGCACTACAATCAGATACGCTTAATGTTTAATTCAACAATATGCAATACTAAAATTTTTATTAATAACTAAAAATTAATATAAAAAATAAAATTGAATTTACCTACCAATCCTGTCCATATGTTAGCTAAGTACCTTGCGTAGTATTATAATAAAACATTTATCTTATATCTATTGTTATATTAGCTATTGATTAGGCAGTCTAATATTTATTAAGAAATAGTCAATAATGAATTAAGTTAATTCAATATTTACAAAGTTAAAAATGATATTGCCAAGTTCTAACTAACTTTAACTGCTATTTATCTTAAAAAATAAAAAAAATAAAAATTAAAATTCTCTCATGATAAAACAATAAATACCTGGTCTTGTGTATATAAAGATATAGCTAAAGGATTCACAATAAATGGTGGATTAGTAAAAGTTGATGATGTTTGACATGATTATGCAGTTGATTATAAGTTTCTTTTTTTAATAGTTGATTACTAAAATGTATGCATGGTTGTATCATTATTTTAATTATAAAATTTAGCTAAATGGTCGAATGAGCAGTAAAGTTGCTGCTCTAAAAGTAATATTATAATTATTTAAATAACTAAATTGTGAAAACCTACCATTTTGCTAATATTTTAACAATTAATTTTTTCTAATAAAGACCCAATACAAATATATATTGCTCAATCTTTTCTATTTTAATTTTTTTTAAAAATTTTAACTTATCTTACAGATAATTTTTGATATAAAGGATCTAAATAGAAGCATATGAACAAATAATTCTTGTTATTTATAAAACAAATTTAATAAATAAATATCACTTTTTTGTAATTAAGATAAGTAACATATTTATTTATTTATTTTTTAAATTTAAGGATATAATTAATCTATTAATTTTTTATTTTTTTTAATTATTATTTCATTAATTATGAAATTATTTTATTATTATCAATATTAAATAAACTCGAAATTATTGTAGAAGTTTATTTTTTTGTAATTTTTTTACTAAAACTAAGATTTTTTCAAATCTTATGTAAATAAATAAATATTTGAGAAAGGTTAAACTATTTAAAATAATAGTTATATTCAATTTACAGTATTTGTAATCTAAATTTTTATTTTATTTTCTTTTTATATAAAATAAAGTTAAATTTACATATATTTTAGTGTAAGCTTTATTAGTCGGAAAAAATTATATTAAACAGTATTTAAAAAAATAGAAATATTGAATAGATTTTAAAACTAATAATTAATTTTTTTTAGTTATATAATTAATAATTCAAAAATTTTAATCTACTTATTCAAAATCATTATGATTATTTTGAATATCTAATAATAGATCTTAGAAACTCGTTTTTATGGCTTATCCTTCTTCTATGATGTATATAGCATCGAATTTACTTAATATTCTTGGATTATGAGTAATTAAAATTACTGTTTTGTTTTTTAGTCCATCTAAATACTTTTCTATCATGATTTCATTTTATTCATCTAAATTAGATGTAGCTTCATCAAAGCAAATTATTTGTTTATTTTAAAGTATAGCTCTAATTAAACTTATTTATTGCTTCTCGCCTTCAGAAATATTTTTTCCTCCTTCTTCAATTTTAAAGTTTAAGTTAGCCAATTTAGACTTTTATAAATCAAGCTATTAAAATATCTTAAATATCTACATATCAGAATACTTATCCAAAGGATCTACATTCTCTTTGACAGTACCACTGTAAAGGAATCCATGCTAAGGAATAATAGAAATTAAAGAAGAGAGATACTCATCTTTCATGAATTTAATATTCTCTCCATTTACATATATCTCTCCATCTTAGTAATCATATATCTTCAAAAGGCAATTTAAAATACTGCTTTTACCACTTCCTTTTATTTGTAAATACATAAATTACAATTAAGTTTTTATAAAAGTGATGTTAATTTACCTGTCTTTCCTATAATGCCATATTTTTTCCCTTTTTCTATTTGAAGTGATAATCCTTTCAATACAAATGGTGATTACTGTTAATCTTGTTAATTTTTGTCTTTATCAGACTATTAATCATATGCCATATATACTTCATGAAATTCAACAGCGAAATCATTCATAATCTTTCTTCTGAGTAGACTATTCTACAATAAAGATTTGCTTTCTTATTCTTTTGTTCTTTTTGAATCTTCATCTCCTTCATCAATGTATTGATTTATTCTCTCAAGACAGATAAATTCTTTTTCTGTTTCTGTTAAAGTTAGAATTAGATTTCTCAACAAATTTGTTATTTCAATGCTATATACTAAACAAAGTCCTAAAGTATTTGCATCAACTTGCAACAAAAAGGCATATTTCTAAAAGAAATCATAAAAAAAGACAGAAGCACAAGTATAAACTAAGAGAGAAAACGTAAGCAGAAGACTTAAAATTTATAATCTTATTGAAAACCAAATACCTAAAACCGATAAAAGTACATTAGTTGTGGAACAGTTTTTCATATGAATGAAAAACCTTTTGTTAAAAATTGCTTCTAAGTCAAAAGCTCTAATTATTTAAATGCCAAACGCTGATTCATTTATATGAGTTAGCATAGCAGAAGTATTGGCTGAATCTAATCTTTTAATTTCTCTGGATGATTATCTGTACTTCGCTTAAATAAAGTAATAAAAAATGAGTATAATTGCTATAATAACAAGTGTAAGTGGCATTTGACTAGCAATAACTAAAAAAGAACCTAGAATTGTAAAAAATATTTTTAGCAATATATTTAAGTTAAAAGATATTGAATAGTCAACAGCTGCAGTATCTCCAGCAAATCTTGAAATAATGGCTCCAATAGAGTGCTTCATAAAAAAACTAGCTTTTTAAAATAGAACTGTAGAAGTTAGCAAAAGAAAAATTGATTAACTAGAAATTAAGTTTCCATAAGCGAATGAAAATGCACGAAAAAGAGTCACAAACAAGTTAAAAACACTTAGTGCAATTAAGGTAATAATAAACTTATTTTCTGTATCTCCAAGCATGAAAACCTATGAACCATTAACGTAATCTTTAAGCCAGACATAATAATAATTTTAAGAGAATTACATTAATATCAAAGATAACATAATCATGAATATAAAAAACCATCCAATATTTTTAACATAAAGCCAAATAACTTTATTATCAATAAGTCCTTTTTCTCTTGGTTCTAACCTTAAATGTATTTCATCCTCTTCTGCTTTTTACTGATCATTTTAATTATTAGGCTAATTTTATAGCTCAAGCACATTGTTGTTGCTTTATATCTAAAAAAATAAATTCAATTTATGTAAATAATAAATTATTTTTTTTTATGTAAAAGTAAATAAATAATTTACCTAATTGATTATATTTTTACGAATTACAGTTGAATCAGATATTTTGACAATATTCAGATCTACATGTTCATTAAATTGAAGATCGATCTTTTACTAATTTTCCATAATGAATACTTCATTTTAGTCAGTAATATTTATTATATAGTCAGCGTATTAGTTGTATCTAATTGTGTTTGAAGATAATATAACTGTTTTATCTCTTAAAAGACTTCTTAAACCGAATTTAAATATGTGATCAGCGACGTCAATATCAACTGAGCTAAAAATATTGTCAAGCAGATAAATGTCCTTTTTGCTATATAAAGCTCTAGCTATACAAACTCTTTACTACTAGCCTCCACTTAGCTTACTTCCTTTTGAATATTATTAAAAAAAGCTCTTTAAAAAATTAAATAAAATATTAATTTACCATTTATTCCTACTTCGTATAAATCAAAATCTTCAAATTTAGAAATATCATCATGGAGACATGAAGCAAATATGCATGCCCTATAGTATTTCCTATCAAAGGGAGCATGGAAAAGTATATTTGAACGTAAACTTGAATCATAAAGCCATTAATTTTAAGAGACGTATGCTAAAGAACCTTAGACTTTCAAAGAGGAATTTAGTGATTCATCCAATTCAGTTACATTCATTTCAGAAAGAAATGTCTTCAACAAAGCTGTTTTTCCTGAAGCAGTGTTACCATTAACAATTATAAAAGCACCTTTGGGAATTTATAGGTTGTTAATCTTTAAGTTAAATTCTGAATCTAAATTGTCGTCTTCATAAAGATTCTTGTTAGATTCAACTTATTAATTTTTAAAAATGTTTTTTTGAGTTGACAATGGAGTCTTATTGACAATCGATTTAGGAGTAATATCTTAATCTTTATCTGATAATGCCGAGATTCTATTTTTCTTTATCATTCTTTATTCATTTTCGTTAAGCTATTTAATACTCTCAGAGAATGACTACTTGAAAGATTGCTTAGATTTGTTTGTTTATGGGGCTGAAACATTTTTTGAAGATCCAGGAATAACTTAATTTTTAATATTTCCTTGTTTATTTTACTAAATAGGAAGAACTTTGTCTTTCTTTTCTTCCTTATCATTAGATTCTTCTTTCAAATCTCCAGTTTCTTCTTTAATTTAAGGCCACTTCGAAGAAATATTTTTAACTTAAATAGCAAGCTAACTTGAATATTTATTCTAATATTTATATTGATTTGGTAACTAAAGGAAATCGTTAAAACGACTAAAGCTGGTTTTTGACATTATTAAACCACTTATAGTCCATGGTAAAGCATTCAGGGGTCCTATTAACATTTCAAATAAGTAAATAGCTGTAAATACGTTAATATTTTCAAAAGTTTTATTTTTATTGTAGTATAATATGAATGTGACTGCTGATATTGCTAAAGAAGAACTAGCCCAAAAAAATACACAAAAAGCATCCAAATATTTTTCATAGGAAATCTATCTAAACTCATGATTTCTTAAATCTAAGATTTTTTAGAAGAATATATTTTGCCAATTAAGCAGTTAAATTTATCTAATTCCATTAAGTATATCACGAGTCAGTCCTACTCTTTAGTCTTTATACTTGAGAATTTATTCAAATATACTGCCTATTCTCTTTGCAATATAAAAATTTATCATCATTAAAATGAAAGTAACAACAAAACCCACTATTACTGCTGACTATTTTATAAAATATTTTAATTTACTTATCTCAAAAAAACTATTAAATAAATTTTTTGTTATCAATTAACCATTTAAAATTGAATAAAAAGCTTCTAATTTTTTAAATATTATGAATTGAATGAAAAATTAAATGAAAATGTTAATATTGATAATCTTAGTCAGTAATTAATTATATATTGTTCATTAAGATTTACAAAATTAAGTCATTTATTTATTTTGTATTTTGTTTTAATAAATAAATTTTATTTACTTCCATTTTAAGATAGAGCAATGTAAGGCCTATAATGAGTTTTAATATTAGAGACCATGTTTCATGAAAACTTATTAAAAAGTTTATAATTGTATCTACATCGATTGTTATCAAGTTATTTAGGTTAGCATGTATTTAAGATTCTTGATTATCTTTGTCTTCACTATAAGATTAATACTTAGTATAAGCTTTTTTCAGTAGAGCATGTGCATAAATGTTGGCTTAAAGATACTGCTTTAGTTAAGTAGAAAGCTTTTTTATCTAGTATGAATATTAAGAATCACAAATTGTAAAAAGTAAAAAACTTAGGGCTAAAAGAGCGCCATTTATGTAAATTTATCTCCTTAGGAATTAAGATTAACTATCCGCTTGAGAGGTATTTTAATTGCTCTTATATTCCTTGAGGCTTGATTATAGAGAATCTAAAAACCATGGAGCTGCAAATAAAAAAAATACAGTTATAAGTTTGAATAATCCTGCTAATATAAAGACTCCTAAATAATTTTGAGTTAGCATTCTGAAAAGAGACTAATGCGCTTCATCACTTAATCTCTTAGACTCATCATCATTCAACTAAGTAAGCCTTTCAAATGCTTTACTTGTAATGTCTTACTAGTTTTCAGGCAAGAGATCTGAGACTATATAATTGTAGAGATCTTAATTTTTTATTTAGTATTCTTATTGGCTGCTGTCTTGCTGATACTTTCCTTCAATACCTTCAACTTAGTTTTTATTAATACTTCCTTCTTAAATGCTTAATTAATTAGATTAATTTTGAGCTACTTATGACATATCTTTTAGTTAAGCATAAGAATATTCTTTATCGCCATCGCTGTACTTTTATATTTTATCAACTAAAGGAGAAATCTCAGTAAAAAATATATTGTAGCTATTTAAAGCATATTATTCACTCATTTTATATTTTATTCTTTGTTTTCTACTAATTCTGATAAATGCGAAAAAATAAAAGATATTTTTGAATTAAGTAATTCATAAAAATAAATATCAAAACCAAAAAATGATAAAATTTATTCTGATATATAAATAGGTAAAGTATGATCTTAGCAGAAAAAAATGAATGAATTAAAAAAATAAATTAGTAAAAAATTTGCAAATAGCAATTTCGTAATTCATACAATTATAGTTTAAAAAATTTTTCTTATTTTACTAAGCATTTTAGATTTTAAAATTACAAAAAATCTTAAATGAAAATTTGGATGAATGAATGGATTATTTTTTTAGAAAATGTTAATATTAAAAGTCTATGATGAGCGTGCACTTATTTTATTTTCATCAAATAAGTTAATTTGAAAATTTTATTTTTAAAATAAAGTTTTAATAAAAAAATCCTACTTAACTTTTGATTGTTTCCAAATTCTTGTTTATTAGTGAAATCAAATATCAATCAAATAGACAAACAAGTCATGAGTTAATTTTAATGATTCTAAAAATAAATAAAAAATTTATAATCAAAGTTGTAACTTTAAAAATTATGTTTTGCCATTATAATCAAAGATTAATTTTTCATTACTATTTAGAAACATCTTAAAAATGAATTTAATTCTAAAAAATATAAAAAATAACTACCATACATACCTCTTATTTTAAAATTAATGAAGAATATGATTATTGTAAAAAAATAAACAAACTAAAATAAATAATTTAGTTCATCAAGAATTTTATCAAAATAAAAATATATAATATTCTAATTCAATATAAGTTTAAAAAATATATATTAAATGAATTATGAAGTAAAACTCTTCATGCAAACTAATTTGCATATAAGCGAATCGATTTTTTGATTTATAAAAATTCAGTAAGTTATATAAATTTATTTGGAGTTATTATTTGAAATGTATTACTATGTATTCATTTATTATTAAAAGTAACTACTTTCCCAAATTACGAATCAAAATAAAAATTTAGTTAGATAAAATCGATAATTATTTGACTGAAAACTTCACAATAAACTCAAAATGCAAAAGTGTGAGCATTAATTGAGAGATATGCAAATTTTTATTAAAATAAGCTAAGAAAGTGAATTTAGTTTGTAAAAAGTGCAAATTCGAAAAAAATGGTAGGAAATAATAATAAACAATCTTATTTATTGATTGTATTAAATATAAATAAAGCAATAATCATATTTATAATTCATATATATAACTATAAACGACAATATTAAAAATAACTGGTTTCAAGAAAGATTAAATAAACATATATTGCTTTAATAAAAAAATCAACTCATCAAATTATTAATAAAAAAGGAAATAGTAACGCTAAACAAAAAAGAGGGTAAATAAATAAAAATTTTCAAGCAAGGTTTATTTAACTTTTAACATGGAAGATAATTTTAATGATGAACCCTTTAAGAAGGAAGATAACTTTTTTAAGGAAGGTACTCAAAGCATAGGTGATGCAGAAGCTGGGAATAACATAAACCTTTCTTCTCAGCAATTGGAGATATAGCAAAATTAAAATGTGCTATAACAATTTGAAGACTTCAATGAAAACTAAAATGAAGCCACCAATAGCTATTAAAATTTGGAACAAAAAGGCCTTAATAATGGTCTTTTGAATGTTGAAGAGGAAAACGAGGATACAAATATTAAAAGTAGCTTCAAATCTGATAATGAAATGCTTAATTAAAAGAATGGAAATAATAATTTGAGCTCAAGTAACAAAGAAGACTATGGGATAGAATAATTGGAGAGTAAAGTATCATCAGATAAGGAAAATTCTAAAAAAAGTAATAACTATGCCCAGCATAACGCCTAAAATCTTTTAAACGAGCAAAGTCGCAATATTTCTCCTCTCCGATACGATCAAGACGAAGAAAAAATTCCAATCAATTAGTCTAACCATTCAAAAGTTGCAGAGTAGAAATAAAATAAGAGCTAACCTGATGTGTAAAGCCAGAGTAAAATAAATAGTTAGTAGCAAGAAAATCATGCTAATTAATATTACCACGAGACTTCAAAAGAGGATGATGACAATTCAGGCAGTTACTAAAAGCAAAAGGGTAATAACCCATTAGCAAATTAAATCGGAGGCCACCCTTTGAAGTTTCAAGAAGTGCAACCTATTTAATCTCCAGTTTACGAATAGAAGAAACATAATCAAGATCACATTAATGAAGACTCTCACCACAAATTAAAGTAAAAGCTTGATCCTCTACCTATTCAACCAAGTAATTAATTCTCAAAAAATTGGTTATATAAAATCAAATATTTTTTTAGAAATAATTAAAAACTTCTCCTCACTTTCTCTACTTACCAAAGTTTGTTTTTTACTTTTAAGGTAGTTTTACTTCTCAAAAAAAAAAAAAATTTCTTTAATAAAAATTTTAAATTTTATTAGAAAATCTTTAAACTTAATTAACTATTTTAGAAATTTACTAATTATTATAAATAATAAATTTACATTATAAATAATATTCATTTATAAAATTACTAAAATTTATTTTATAATAATAATTCAAAGAATAGATAGGATAAAAGGTGAGTGCTAACGCTAATTTTGATGATAGTCCTTAAAATAAAAATTAGAATAATGCAAAACAAAGCTAAGGAATTATAAATAATTAGCAAAATCATTATCAATCAAAAATAAACGAAGATACTTTCAAGACAAGCAATATTAATTAATTTGATGATAGTTATTAGCAATAAATTCTGTCACACCAAATTACTGAACAAAAAAGTTTATCAAATTTATAAAAGATTCATAACTAAGGACACCAAGTTATCGAGATCCCTCCAACCTAAAATCACAATCATTAAAATAAGGCAGATGAAAAAACAGATAAAGATAATGAAGATCATCCTAAGGAAGAACTTGACCCTAAATTTGATACCCCTATGCACCCTTTCAAGCTATCAAGAAATTAATTAATTCGTATTGCTTCAGCTGCTTAGTAAAGACACTTTGCTGAAGAAATAGATATTTTAGAAAGTTTAGGAGGAATTAACAGATTCTAGGAAGATCTCTTAACTGACTTTAAAAAGGGTATTTATTTATTTATTATTTTAAACTTTAATTATTAATAAAATTGAATTCCTTTATTGATAATTACTAATGAAATTTTTAATTTTAGGTATTTCGGGAACAGAGGGAGATATGAATGAGCGTGATTAAGCATTTACTAACAATAGATAAGAAATAACTCCTCCAAAGGGTTTCTTCGAGCTATTTTTTGATGCTCTTTAAGATTTTACTTTGAAAATTCTTTTAGTAGCTGCAGTTTTCTCTATTGCAATTGAAGTAGGTACAGCTTCTGATAGTCACAGAAGCACAGCTTGGGTAGAAGGAGTTGCTATTCTGGTAGCAGTTTTAGTTTGTGCAACTGTCACATCTGTTAATGATTACCAAAAGGTTGAATTTTAGATAAATTTAGAATAAGTTAAATAAGTTATTTTATTAATAAAGGAAAGATAATTTTTAGTTCTAAATAGCGAGGCAGATAAAAGAAAAATAATCACAATCATAAGAAATGGCCAAAAACTAAATTTGCATTAGTCTTTGGTTATGGTTGGAGACTTGGTTGAACTCACTGAAGGTATGGAAATACCAGCTGACGGAATAGTCTTAGAAGCATCAGAAATAACAACTGATGAGTCAGCAATGACTGGAGAAACCGATCCTCTTAAAAAATCTACTTTTAGCGATTGCATTAAAAAAAGAGACTTTATTATTTAGCAAGGAGCTAAGAATGTTTCTACTAGTCATGACGTTCCTTCACCAGTTTTACTTTCGGGAACGAGAGTAATTAATATATATTTGGATACTTATTTTAATTAAATTATTTTAATGATACTTAAAAGATTTTGACAGGATAAGGTAAAATGCTTATTATCGTTGTTGGAGATTTCAGTTGTGTAGGAAAGATCTCAAAGTTATTAAAAGCAAAGGAAACAGAAGCTACTCCACTTTAAGAAAAGTTAGAAGCCATCGCTATGGATATTGGTAATTTAGGTTTAAAGTCAGCTGTTGCTATAGTTGGTGCTCTTTTTATAAGATTTGCTATTGAAAAAATTGTAAATAATGAATGGGATAACTCTTCAGATTGGGGTGAGATGCTTAATTTTATTATTATTGGAATTACTGTAGTTGTTGTTGCTATTCCAGAAGGTCTCCCTCTTTCAGTTACACTTTCTCTTGCTTACTCAGTCAAAAAAATGCTTAAAGACAATAATCTTGTTAGGAAGCTGCAGGCTTGCGAAACTATGGGAGGAGCTGATTGTATTTGCTCAGATAAAACTGGAACTCTCACTCAAAATATCATGACATTGACTAGTTGGTGGTAAATCAATTTAAATATTTGCTTTAAATCTATTTATTTCATTATTTTTTAATTGCATCTAGGAATGAAGAGCTTTAAGAATTCGATAAGTATAACGAAAAAGATGATTTGTCAAATTATATATCCAAAGAAAGAAAGTTTTTCACTAAACTTTTCTTATAATCATGTGCAATTAATTGCAGCGCTGATTTACGCCCAGCTGAAAAAGGTTCTAAGACTGAAGTTGCAGTTTTAAAATTGTTAGAGAAATTTGACTAAAATTATGAAACTTGGAGAGAAAACTTCGTTCCAGAACTTACCTTCCCTTTCAGTTCAGCTAGAAAAAGAATGAGTACTGTTATTAACTCTGATGGTAAGAGAATTTTACTTGTAAAGGGTGCTTCAGAACTAGTTTTAGCTGCCTGCAATAAATTTATTTCTAAGAAAAACGAAGAAGTTCGTAAAATTGATGAAGAATAACTTTAAACTATGAAAAATGCCATTAAGAGTATGGCTGATAATGCACTTCGTACTATTGTACTAGCTTACAAAGAATTAAAAGATAATGATGATTTAGAAACTAAAGATCATCTTGGTGTTTTTGATATCGAAACAAGAGATTTAACTTGCCTTGCAATATTTGGTATTAAAGATATACTAAGATAAGAAGTACCAGGAGCAGTTAAGCAATGTAACATTCATTTTTTAAACTAATGTTCAGAAGTGTTTGTTTGATTAAAAATATTTATTTTTTTTAAAAAATAGGCCAAGATGCAGGAATTAAAGTTAGAATGGTCACTGGTGATAATAGTGATACTGCCAGAGCAATAGCTAGAGATTGTAATATTTTAACAAAAGGAAAAAAATCTTCTCCATATCAAGTTATAGAGGGTAAATTTGATATTTTTATCATTTAAAACTTAAAAAAAATTAAAACAATTTTTCAAAGGTGTTGAGTTCATAAAATTAACTGGTGGCATTGTATGCAAAAAGTGCTAAACTTTCGAATGTGGATGCGAAAGAGACTCAGAAAAAGCTAAAGAAACAGGCAAACCACTTAGAATAGACACTATTAAAAATGGTGAGGTTTTTGATAGAATATATAATGATATAGATGTAATGGCTAGATCTCGTCCCGAAGATAAATACGCACTTGTAGTTGGTTTGATAGAGAGAAAGCATGTTGTGGCTGTTACAGGTGATGGTACAAATGATGCACCAGCTTTAAAGAAAGCTGATGTAGGTTTTGCTATGGTAAATTTATTTTTTTTATAATTAATTAATTTTAGAAATGTAAAAAAATACTAAAATAGGGTATTGCTGGAACAGAAGTAGCAAGAAGTGCTGCTGCTATCATTCTTCTTGATGACAATTTCAAAAGTATTGTAGCTGCAGTTTTATGGGGTAGAAATATTTACGACTCAATTAAAAAATTCCTTTAGTTCTAACTCACTGTCAATATTGTAGCTGTGTTTATTACTCTAATAGGTGCAGCCGTTATTAAATAAGAAGTTTTATAGCCTATTTAGATGCTTTGGTAATAATTAATTATTTTTATTTTTAATTTAATATGCAATATAAACTTGTATTAATTTTAAAGGATTAATTTAATTATGGATACATTTGCTTCTCTTGCCTTGGCTACTGAACCACCTCATGAAGAGCTATTGCTTAGAAAACCTCACAACAGAGATGAATATATTGTATCTAAAAAGATGTTTAAGCATATAATTGGCCAAGCTATTTACTAGTTAGTTATTATGATAGTGCTTGTTTTTAATGGTGAAACTTTCTTACCTGAAGTAAGTGACTCATTCGATGATTAAATAAGAAACAACACACTCTTTAATAATGATCCTACTTAATGGTGGAAAGCTAAATACTCTAATGAAAAGATGACTTTAGTCTGTTCAGGGCGATTGAGGAGTTATAGCGGCACAACCAAAGAATATTAAGTAGTATGGGACGAATATCAGTAACCTTCAAGACATTTTTCAACTGTTTTTAATGTCTTTGTTTGGATGCAAATTTTTAACTTCTTAAATGCAAGAAAGCTTTAGTAAACAAAATTAGAATAAATTGAATTGATTTTTAAATTAATTTTATTAAAAAAAAAGGGATGAGTTAAATATATTTGAAGGAATATTTAAAAATTATCTTTTCTTTGTTATTCTTCTTCTTATTATTGGTTTATAAATTCTGATCATGCAAGTTGGAGGATTACCATTCTATATATATAAAAATGGTTTGAATGGAGGTAATTGGGGAATTTCTATTGCATTCGGAGTTGGTTCACTAGTATGGGGATTCTGTCTTAAATTTGTGAGTGAAGAAAAATGTGCTTAGTTTGGTAAAAAGAAGGTTAATCCTTTGCATAATTTTTCAAGGGTTCTTTCTCTAAAAGGAAATAGAGACGAAGCTTCGATGTCCAGAAGATATTCAGCTCTAGTAAATCATCCAATGGCTTTAAGACATTGAAGGAGGTTTATTTTTTAATGCTAAATATTAAAATTTATTGACAAACCTAATATTCAATTCAATTATAACTATATAAAATATTAAGTTATTTTATTTTTGTATAATTTTTCGATGTGCTGTAAAGCAGATTTCAAAATTCTACAATATCTTTTAATTCTTATTTGACTCACTTTTTTTATTTTTCTATTGGAATAAAGTTAAAATGTTGTAAATAAATTAAATCTAAAATTACTCATAATATTAAATACATACATATTTGTTTATTTGCTTTATGAATAAATAGATGAATAGATAATTAATTAATTAAATAAATAAACTATAGTTAGATAAATAAATTTATCATTAATAATTGTAAAGTAAATATAATAACATTTTAAATGTTTATGATTAAAAAAATAATCACAAAAAAATAGTTTGATACTAAAAAATTAATTCTTGGTTTAGCGAATAAAATATTATGCAAAAATATTAAATTTTTGGTTCTAAAAATAAAAAATAAAATACATTTAATTATTGTTAGTTAGGTATTTCATTTCAATTTTTTTATCTTTTGTTTGGACCTGGCTCATATTCATTACCTCTGTTGTTGTAATAATTTGAATTCTAAAAATTCTTTCTATCATAATTATCTCTTTTGTTATTGTTACTGTTGTTGTTATTATCATATTAAGAGTTATTATTATAATCTCTCTTATTTGAGTAGTTATTGTTATTGCTGTTATTTCCTTTATTGTAATTTCCTTAATTATAATTATTGTTTTATGAGCCATATCCTGAGTTTTATTTACTGTCATCGCGCTAATTATATTTACTTGAATTATAAGAGTTGCTGTTAGAATATTAACTATTTCCTCCTTATTGATAATTACTATTTGAATTGTAATTGCTATTGTTGCCATTAGGATTATTATTACCTCCTGAACTGTACTAATTATTATTGCTATTATTAGTATTGTTTCTGCTAGATCCACTGCTAGAAGAGTAAGTATTAGATTATTTTTCTTTTGAACGACTTCTTCCTTAAGTTCTCCCTCCACTGCTATTACCAGAATTAACCTAGCTAACATTTGGTGGATCATTCTTTTTAAGATTAAGCTATGGTTTGCTGTTATTATTATTGTTCATATTACTAAAGTTTCCTGAGCCTTAATTGTTGCTATTATTTGAAACTTAGTTTTATGATTTGTTACTCTCATCTCCCTATAAATTAATTTTTAAAATAATTTTTTATTCATCCAATTTATGATTGAAATTAATTAATTAATAATATATAAATACTTGTTTAGGTTCATTTTTTTGACTGTCTACATTTTTAGATGATGATGAAGATGAAGAAGCATTTGATTATTATTAGTTATTATTTTTAGAAGAGCTAATATTAATTGAGTTCTGATTAGAATTATTATTTCCTTAAAATTATTTCTAGTTGTCATTTTTATCAAAACCTTAGTCTTCAATATTTTTACGCCCATCTTCATTGTTTTTACGAGATTCATCATTATTCTTTCTATTATCTTCTTGATTATAAAACCTCTTACTTTCATCTTTTGAAGTTTTCCTATTATCTTCAGATGACTAAAACCTTCTATTTTCTTCATCAATTTACTGTTTTTCATCTTTTTATTTACTGTCGACTTTATTCTTGTATTTATCATCACTCTGTTCAACAATAAATTAAGAATATTTTAAAATAAAAATTACAAATACATTTTTTATATGACTATATATTACCACTTGCTTTTATGATTGATTTTGATTGCTTCTTTCATTTTTGTCATCACTCTTAGATTTATCTTCCTTATTACTTGAGGATTTAACATCTTCGTTTTTACTATCTGAAAAATTACTCTCTTATCTATTCTGACGAGGTCTTTCATTATTTATCTATTCATCGCTTACTTTAATATTTGCTTTTTCATCTCCCTGTTATCTATTATTTTCTTAAGATATCCTTCTTTCTTTTTCATTATCCTAACGGGAATTTTTAGATTCATCTATTTTCAAATCTGATTTGCTATTTTCGTTATTATAGTTTTACCTTTCATTTTTATCATCTTTTTTTTACTTATCTTCATTATGTTTACCCCTTTATTCATTATCATTTGAATTCTTGCTGATATTATTCGAATTACTTGGCTAATTAACTTTTTCTGCATTTGATGAACTTTGATTGTTAGAACTATTATTATTTTTCGGTTAATCCTAATTTTATTTTGATTCACTTTGATCTAATAGATTCATAAAATGTAAGTTAACTTGGCAGAAATAATAAATATTGTATACTCGAAATTTTTTATGGTTGACTCTTAGATTTTTCATCCTATCTTGAAGAAAAGTTGCTTCCACTAGAATTAGTATTTCTAGATTAATCTGCTTAAGGATTCTCATCGTTTTCATTATTGCTTCTAGAGCTCTTTTCAGTTTTATCTATTTTAGATTTTTTTAAATCTTCAGCTTAAACTTACTCAGGCTATTGTTAAGACTCCTTGTTGGTGGATTTATCTCTTTCCTTTTCTTTGTCCTATTTAGTTTATTTATCAACTTCCTTTTCTTCAAACTCCTTAGCAAAGTTTTCTAAATCCTTTAAACTTTCTTTGTCTTTTTCTACCCAATTCAAATTATACCTAAAAGAAGCCCTCATCGCTTTGGTTACAAATATCTTTATATTATAAGAGAAATCATTATTCATCTAATTTTCTTTTATACTACTCCACTAAAATATATAAATCAAATTCCATACTTACTCAAACTAATTAAGTAAGTAAGATAGTTAGTAAGATCAAGATGCAAACAAAATAAATACTTCAGTAAAAATTAATCAATTCTTTAATAATGCAAGTATGTATTGCTTATTTTATTTATATTATAATGTCTATCAAATTACTAAATTATATTCAGTGAAGAGTAAAGGATTTTATGTAAGTTTTAATTTAATTTATTAGTAATTATTACAGGATCATCAACTAGTTTTTCGCTTGTAGAGTCTTTTAATTAATCTATAACTTAGTTAATATAATAGCCAACAGATTTCTGAATCGGATTTGTTTTAATTGGGAAGTAAATTTCTTTTCCAAGAATTTATCTCACATTACTTTCTTCAGTTATTGAGTTGCCTCCTGTCTTGCTGCAGTCTTGAATAATTTTTTTCTTAAAAGCTTCCATCTCTGCAAATTGCTTCTACTGTAACATTTTATGTGAATCAAATGTAAATTCACTTTTTTGAGAGTTATCTTTCTTATCAACTAAAATAGATTTATGATAATATTCTATCATTTCTCTAGTTTTTTCGCAAGGATTCTTGAAATTAAATTTCTCATCTTTATTTTATCTTGGAAGCATATCTTTTCTTTCAACCTAAATAAAATTATTTTTATTTTCTACAGCAAATAAATGTCTTAAGATATTACCCAAATTTTTTCATCTATAAAAAATAAATCAAGTTTCTCAAAATTAATTTCTTCTTTCAAATTTTCATGAAGCTAGATGAATGTCTTTTTAACTTTTTCTTCAGTTGTTTTTATCAATGCCATCTAAATTAATTATAAAATGTTTTTTCTTTGAAACCTAAGTTTTGTTTGTTAATCATTACTTCAGAGTCAATATTTTTAATTTCTAAATCTTTAGTTTTATTTTAAATAGCATAAAAGAAAAGCAAAGCTTAGAGTAGCCATATCTTCCTAAAAAATGGGTCACTTAGCTTTTAAATATTACATAAATTACTGTTAGCATTTCTAATTAAAATGTTAAATATCTATATTCTAAAGCAATTTACTTATTTTTCTAAAAGAGAATAAGTTGTCAAATATTTTATGTAAGGCTTTATGTTGGCTTCTCTCTTTTCAAAAATAGGATTTTGATTGAATCTATCTAGTACTAATTAAATGGCTGAACACACTGCTTTTACTTTTTTAGACTCAATAATTTTCTCTTCACCTTCTTCAACTTCTTCTTCTTCCATGCTAGTTGAACATGAAGCAGCACTATTTTTATCTATGTCTAACAACTCATCGTTGGTGCTTAGCTGAAATTTTATATTTTAAATTAATTTAACAGTTTTTTTTTAATTTTGCTTTTACACAAAAAGGATTTTAGAAGTATTTTTATAGAGTCCAAAATTTCTTATAGAAATCCTTATTAGAATAAGTAATATTATCTGGTTAGCTTTTATCTTCCTCAATCTCCATTTGGTTTCCTTAAATGTTTTGATTTTTAGCTATATCACTTTCATTTTCTAATTGAGCTGTAATTTCTGTACAAATTTTAGATTTCAAGCCTATGAAAATTTTAAGAAATTATCACTACACTTTATTTAAAGAACAAATACCTGATGCATGACATATGGGGAGAATTTTAGATAAAAAAATATGTAACTCTCCTCTAAGGCGAGTATCATATGTTCTAGTTAACTTTTTAAAAATAACGTTGCATATCTTTAAAGGATAATTACTGTCTTATTCTGAAAGCTTTACATACAAAAAATATTTTAGGCTATTTAAAAATTTATTAGATATCTAAATAATTTATTATCATCAGCATTCAAAGATTTACATAGTTAATAGTATGAATGCTGCTTTCGAAGGTATCTATAAACTCTCTTAAATCATTTACAGAGAGCATATCACAAAAGTCTTCAGAAAAAGCTATTAGTATCAAATAAAAGCAAAAAAAAAAATATTGTTAAAATATAATTTGTAGAGAAAAAATTAAAAATTTTAAAAGCTTTTTGTTAATCTAATTAATTACATAATGCATCCTTTACTAGGACAATTTCTTTCTTAGCACACCAAAAAATAAGTTTAACTAACTCTTTAATGCTATTACTTGTTTCTTCTGACTCTTAGGCTCCCCAATTTTTCTATTTTGAAGTTTATATCAAATTATTATTCTCAAATAAATTCTATCTCAATTTTAATTAAATTCTTAATTATTTAAATTACCATTAAATCACTTAGAGTTTTACGAAACAATAGAAGAAGCTTGTCTTAATACATCTACTTTTACTCATCTTCTTTATTCTATTTTAGCTTTTTAAGTCCTTCATTTAATTGATGAAGCAGGGTTTTTAATTTTGATTCTAAAGTATGACTGAACCTAATCATAGCTACCTAGACACATGTTTAGAAAATTTAATTATAAATCTCATCAAATATAATAATGAAAAGCTAGAGATGATTGTCTTTTTTCCATTTATTTTATACTGCTTTTTTATTCGATAAATCTATAAAAATAAATTACATTAATGCGGCCAAAGACTTCTTTAATATCATCCATTTTATTAAAACTAATTGGCTAATTTTTATTTTTTTTCTATGCTATTTTTAATTATCAATACCTTCAAATTTTTTTATTATAATTTTATAATTGCAAATCATTCTAAAATTTCAATAAATTATGCCTATCATCAACATCAATATTTCTTTATATGCATCTCGTTTTCCAATTATTGATATTTAAAGAAAATCATATATATCCAACTAAAAATTATTTCTAAAATAGATTTACTAATAATATCTCATATTAAAAATCTTTAAATGTTAATTAAACAAAAAATAAATTCTAAATAACTTTTTAATTTTAATACAATTTGAATGAACAAAACGTTTTACAATCAATTAAAATATTTTAGATCAATTTAAAATAATTAAGAAATCTATTTTCATTCTTATATAATTTTCATCAATTTATATGTTATATTGTATTATGAGCTATTTTGCTCTACATACATTTTGAATTAATATTATAAAATGCTTAAAAACAAAATAATTAAATATTTTAATTCAATAATATTAGATTAAAAATCCTATCTGATAAAATAATATTTTTTATATTACTTAGAGGTAATTAAGAAATATAGACTGGTTAAAAGATTGATCAAATTATTATATTCAGTGAAATAAAATATGCGATAAGTGCTAATCACATATACAACAAGATATAAAAGATAAACATCACATAATTATTTTTAAAATTCAAAGAAAAAGTTCAATAATTAAAACAATCAATCAATAAACAAATAAATAAATGAATGAATGAAAGAATCATCTAATTTAATTTATTTGAGTTTTCAATTTGTATTTTTTTTAAAAATAAATATTTGAAATAAATAATAACTATATCTTTTTATTATTAAGTTTATAAGATTAAATTGAAGTTGTAAGCAAGGATAAGGAAAGAGATAATAAGATGAGCGGATCTCAAGAAGAATAATTAAAAGCTTTTTATGATCAGCTCGATAGATTTAATAGTTTTTGGATTAAGAAGAGGATCTTTTCAAGATGGAAAGAGCATTTTGTTGATACAAAACAACGTATATAAAAAATAATAAAATCAATGGATTTAAATGAGTAATGGATTTTAAGGTATCACTTATAAAGCTGGAAGAAATTTGTTTTAATTTAGCACTAAAAAAGAGCCACAAAATTAAGAAAAATTTAATTAGCTAAGAGAGTAATCAACCGTTGGAGAAACTACATTGCAAGGAATAAGTACTTGACACTTTTTAAATATTTTAACTTGATGAGAAAAGATTATGTAGAAAATAAAATAAAGAAAGTTATTATGGAAAAGAAAAATTATAAGATATTAAAGGGATACTTCTAGCTCATGAAAGACTATAGTATTCATAGCTTTTAAAAAGAAATTAACATGCATGAAAAATGCTTACTTTTGTATAAAAGGAATCTTAAAAAAAAATATTTTAATTCTCTGAAGCTTAGTGCCAAGATTAAAAGAGATGTAGAATACATGAGATCTACTGCTTTAGAGTCAAGGAGATTTTACATCTTTAAGGCATTTTTTTAGCCATGGAAAGAAATCACTCAAAAAAGGAAAATTAATAGATGCTGTTTTTTAATTTTATAGCAGCAACAAAATTTAAAACGTAAATAGTAGATATTCTATACATGGATACACTCATCAATTAAAAACTACCAAGTTAGAGTATTTTCTGAAAAGAACTTGATGTTTAAATATTTCAAGATATTACAATCATGGTAAATTAGATTTTTTATTAATATTTTTTATATTTTTTTAATTATAAAAAGGTATCTTAAGCAATCAAAAAAGAAATATTAATTGCAATACTTTACAAATAAAAAAGTAAATGGTTTAAAAAAACTAATTTTGTTAGAGTGGTTTTAATATGCGAATAGGAAAGTTACAAGAGAGAAAAAATGTGAAGCATATTTGTTAAAAAAATAAATCATGCTTTTAGAAAAGAGTTTTCAGGCATTTAAGTCAGTTTGTGATAAATAAATAAGAAAGGAAAAGCTTATCTACCTTTCGATGAAACACTATTAGATTACTACTCTTAAAAAATATTTTGAAAGCTGGGCACTATATTTAGATTAAAATCAGAGATAGTATCTAAATAAGCTCGAAGCTTATAGGCATAGTGAAAAAATGCTGTAAAGACTTTACTTCAAAACTTTCAAAATTCTATTGCAAAAAAAAAAGTAAATTATTTTTTTATTTTTATTTTAAAGAGCTGGGTTAAAAACTTTAATAATGATTTTAAATAAAACAATTTAATATTATTTAGAAATTATCAATTAATATAAATTGAATGAATATCCCTCCTCTTTTTTAATTAACAATTGTTACTTGAAAGATATTTTATTTAGTTTTTAAAATAAATTTTTAGGTTTTTAAGAGATGTAGAAGCTTAAATTGAGTTAAGAAAAATATAAAGAGATAGATAGTCAATTTTCTAATTTATGAAGTCCTAAATGTAGCAAAACTATTTAATTCAAAAAAAGGTATTAGAAAGATATTAATACAAAAAGCTAAGTTCTACGTTTTAAGAGTTAATTAGCTATTCAAAAAAATAAAAACAAAAAAAGATAATCATAAAATAAAATATAATGAAACTGAATTTTAGGCTAATTCAAAAAACTTTCAGTTCTTGGGCTTTTAGATCAAATTAAAATAAATTACCTAGGTATTAAAAATTAAATGCTTAATTATTCAAACAAACTAAATAATATTCTAAATTCTTTTAGCTTTTAAAGAAAAAATGGATAAGAAGTAAAATTGGAAAGTTTATTTAGCAAAAAAAATAAAGTAAATTATAAGAAAGTGCCTTTCATCTTTGGAGATATCTTAAAATTTAGGAAGAAAGAATAAACAGTAATTTGATACAATCAATCATTAATAAGTCTTATAAAATGTTTTTCATTCTAAAAGAGTATGCTATTAAAAAAAAGAAATAAAGAGAAATTATAAATTTTACTAAGTAAAAGAGAAATTATAGGATTTAAAAACTAGGATGGAGTGTTTGGAAATTCTTTTTAAGATTGAAAGATGAAAAGAATATGTATAAGATGAGTCTTCTCAGATATGCTTTATCGAAGAAGGCAAAAAAAATGTTAGAGGCTTGGGGAAGCCATGTTTCTAAAAGAAAGAATTTAAATGAATTATCATTAAAAGTGTAGTTAAACTAGTAAAAATGGAGGAAAATGATGCTATTACGCATATTAAAAGAAGGAGCCAAAGGACAACTGGATTTTATTAATTTCATAAAGCAGTATAGGATGAAAAATAATCTAAAAACTCAAAGAAAAGCATTTTAAATCTTAACTTAATATGCTGAGAAAAAAAATATAATAAAGAGGATAATTCAATCTAATAGAGAAGCTATTTAATATAGATAATTGCAAAATATTTTGGTAGAATGGTAATACTACATATAAAGAAAAAAGAGAGATCAACTAAAATTAGAGGAACACATTTCATTTAAGTAATGTGTATAAATATCGAAAGTTATTAAATACTGGAGGAGATTAACTAAGGTTTTAGCCAAAGAAAATAATAAAATAGCTATTATATAAAATAATACTAAAAAGAAGATGGAATTCAGTTACTTTTATTAGTGGTGCGAAGTATATCAAGAAAAAAGATTTAGAGAATAGACTGATAAAATGCAGTAGTTTTTAGAAAAAAGAGTAGCTTTTAATTTAGTTATGAGAGCTTTAAGAAGATAGGTAGATTAAAAGAATTAGAAAATAAATACAGATGCTTTTGCTATAAATCACTATATATAAAATACTTATAAAAAGATTTTTGAATCTTTGTAGTATTTTAAGTAAGAATCTAAAAGGAAGAAAGGATTAGAAATCATGTCTAATCTTTTGGCAAAAGCTATTTCATTTAAAAGAGTTGTCAAAAAATTTAAAGTAGCTAAAAATTATTCTTACCACAGAAAGCATTGCTTTAAATACTACATAACTAAACTTTACCATAAATGCTTTTATATATTAAAATAATATTAATCATTCAGAGAAAACTAGAGGAAATTGGCCCTAAAATAATTTTAATCTCTTTAACTTTAAAAGTTATAAAAGTGCTTTTAGTATTTAAAAAGAAACGTTGATATTTAGATGAACCAGAGAATTTTCAAAAAGAAATTTGAGAAGAAAAAAACTCTAAGATTAAAAAAGCTATCTATGCTCATTTGGAAAGATTATTACATCAGAAAGAGATTTATAAATACTAAGATAAGAGAATTTAGAGAGAATACAAATTAAAAAATGCTTAGATAAGCATTTATAGAGCTTCATAGCTATCGTTTGAATAAAACATATATGAAAAAGTGTAAACAAACAGCTGAACTTTTTAATATTAACAGAATTAAAAAAGGATATTTTAATTCATGGAAAATTACTTGTGATGAAGAAAAGTATAAAATAAGACAAAGCAACTTAGCATTTAGACATTATTCTTTTAATGTTCTTGTAAAGTCACTTCGCTAATGGATAAGATATATTCAAAGAGAAAAAATAGAAAACAATTAAACTTACAATGGAGTTGCTCTTCGCTCAATTAAATTAAAATAATATGCATTTTAATAACTTAAAAAGAATTATACGTTATAAACTAAAAGTAAAATAGCAAAAGCAAATCACAATGTTTTAACAAAGGCTGTTTTTCTTAGAAAGTGGAAAAGAGTTACTATTAAAAATAAATTAAGTAAACCAGCCATATAGACAATAAACAACCATTTAAGCATTGCTATTAAAAGGGTATGCTTTGATAAAATTAGATAAAGAAGCTAAAAAGGAGATATCTTATAAAAAATAGCTAGAATTTATAATCATAATCTCAACTATAATGTCTTGAAGGCATTTTTAGTAAATATGCTTCTGCAAAGAAGAATAGAAATATATTAATTGCGTAGAAATTTCCAGACAACAAAAATAGTTTTTAGCATACTGAAGTAATATGCTGAAATTAAAAAGAAAAGAGTGTAAAAAGTAGTTCATACACTACAAAATATTCATGGAATGATTTAATACAACTTAGCTTAAAAAGTATTTTATGCTTTAAAGTAATACCATTACATGAAAGTTCTTAAGCGCAATACTCTAATCCGTTATATGAATTAGCTAAAACTAAAAACTTTTCTTTCATTTCGCAAATATGTACTAGAAGTTCATGAATAAGGTCCAAATGAAAGTAGAATAGCTGCCGTCCATATTTGATATTGAAAAAAAACAACAAACATAACATAACATAATTTTGAAGTAATTAAATACGAATTAACAAAAATAAATATTAAAATTAATATAAATTTATTACATTAAAATTTTTGTTTATTATAAAATTCTAATTGGTCTTCTATTTTTTAGATGGAATTTAATTAATTTTTAATGTCTTTTTTATTAAAATAAAATTTTAGATCAAAATATTAAGCAGATTATTACAAATATATCAACATAGGATTATATTAAGTTTATTAATTATATTTAAATTATTATTATTTATTTTTCATCAAAAAAATAATTTAAAACCCTCTCTAAATTGCTCTGTTAGAGTCAAAGAATCCATACTCTCAGGATCTATATTATTATTTTTGAGGATCAAAGCTTCTATTTAGCTTTATTCCAATTTACTTTAAAGAAACTTTGGTATTCCATTTAATTCAGAATTTTTGAATTTAAAGATTTTGAGTGTTTTAATTTCAATAATTTAGTTCCAAATCTATTCATAATAGCTTGGCTATATTCTTAACCCAGATATATTTAAGCTTGTCAAATTTTAAAGATCTTAGCATTAGTAGAGTATTTAATTAAATTTTTCATCATAAAAAAAGAAATTGTAAGCCAAATTTAACTTTGTCAGATTTTTATTATATTTTGAAAAATTTAACTATTTTAAAGAAATATTTGTTAGCAAATTGTAAGATAAATCAAGAATTTATAAATTTTCTATATTTCTTATTGTTTTAAAAAAGGGTGATAGTTTAATATCAGTATAATACTACTTTTTTAAGTTCAAGTCGTTTGTTTATTCTAGTATTTTGAGTATGTTATCATCTTTTGAAACAAAATATTTCTAGCACTTCTTATTATATCTCTCTAATATATCTTATTTTATATTATCAAATTTATGATTCGTACCTACCTAGTTATTACTATTTTTTATAGAAGACGAATTTTAATCTAATTAATATTATTTTCCCTAATTTTTGTTAATTTTATCTTCAGAACTATTTCCTTATTTAAAAAAATTTTTATTTATTTTAATATTTGTTTATGAATTTTTTAACTCCTCTTGCTATTTACTAATGTCTTCTTCTTCTGAATAAATACCATCGCTAACATCTTCCAATATCTTTGAAAAGTTTTTCTTTTTTCTTAATGAAATATTTTAATTTTCATAATCATCTTCAACCTCCATTTCGTTATACTATTTATTCTCATTCGATTTATTTATTTTTTAATTAGGCTTTTCCATTTATCTTTGAGTTGAAGAATTTTTCATTTTTATTGAATTATTTCTATAAACATTTTTTTAGCTTAAAATAATCTCATCATTATCATTATCTTCATCCTGGTTGCAGTCTAAAGATTCAGAATCTGATGAATCTTAACTTTAAGATTGATCTTCTTCTTTTAATTCTGGGTGTTATTTTATTAATTTGTGGATGAGTTTTTTATTTTAAATTCTTTATTTTTTCATTTTTTTTGCTTCATAAAGGATATCTAAATTTTCAAGAACTACCTTTTATATGTAAATATCTTCTAATTTAAGAGCTATCTAATAAGCTTCTTAATAATTTTATACAATTAAATCTACTTAACTCTTAAGTTCATCAAGTACATTTGCATACTCAATTAAGCAGTTTGCATAATCAGCTGTTTATTTATCAACCTTTCGATAAAACAAAATAGCTTTTTCATATGAAATCTTAGATTCTAAAAACTTTTTGAGTTTTTCTTCTGCAATTGCTTTGTTGACTAACATTTTTATATTATTTTAATCTCTTTATAGAACAGAAGAAGTATAATCGATAATTTTTTGATATTCTTCTAAATTTAAAAGTATATCGATATATTCCATTTATTTTTATTAATAGTTTTCATTCCTACTGGAATTGGTTTCCCTTTTTAATTTTTTTTCGATTTCTGCACATTCCTTTCTTAACTCTTCTTCTTTTTTTAAATCATCTAATTTCTCATTAAGTTCTTATTTTTTTTAATCAAATTAATTTTCTTTTGATAAATTTAAAGCTTTTTTGTAATATGTTTATGCTTCTTCATATTTTATTAAACACTAATTAACTATTCCTAAATTCATATAATCATCAATTAAACCAGACACATCATTTTATTGCTATTAAATAAAATTGAAAAATAGTTAATTTCAAATAATTCAAATGCTCTTTAGATAAATAAATAAATAAATTTAATTACGCGACATATATCTGCATCTTTTATAAACTATTTTATTGCTTTTTCATATTCCTTCTTTTATAAATAAATTAAACCTAAAGTATTGTAGCACTTTCCTTTAATAATTGCATCTTAAATTTAATCAGCCTCTTTTAATGTTTCTTTTAGTTTATTTATAGATTCGTCGTAATAAATACTATCCCACTTTCCTTTTACAAATAAAGCACCTGCTTAATTAAGTAAACTCTCTGCATATTTTTACTTTAAGTCATATAAAGAAAAATTATTCTATGTATTAAGTGCATTGTAATTTTTTTTGGCATTTGCATCAATTAACTTTTTTATTTATGTTTAGCTTTTGACAAAATAACCTATTGATAAATCTATTGTTTTTTCAAAATTTTCAGATATACATCTGTTTTTTTCTAAACAATATTCAGCCTAGTCCATATATATTTATCCAAAACTGCAATAAGATCTTTAGATTTCTAATTCATTTTTAAATAATTCACTTAATTCTTAATGATTTTCGCAGTACTCTAGTCCTTTTTTGTATTTATGTAACTTCCTGTAATTTTCACTTATATACCTATATGCTATTAATTTTTGTTCCTATTCTTGGGTATTCAATTGCTTTTCCCCTGGCAATAATCTTAAAACTTATAAATAATATTCTATTGATTTTTTATATTAAGTCTAATTATAATATTATGATCCTATGTTATTCAAAATTTCGGATTTCTACAATCTATTTAATCCATTATTTTTCAGTTAATTTTTTAAATTCAGTATAGTATCTTATTCTTTTATTTTCTAAGTTGTTCTCATTATAGTTTTTTTATAATCCTACAGATTTTACAAATGAACCTTTTCTTTTGATTTTTAATAATATATTGATAGAAGTATTTATTTAAAAATAGTTGTTTGTTAAATTTAGATATTTATTTTTTTAATTAAATCAAAAATTTTTATTTAAAGTGGTTGGCGCAAAACTTATCATCTTTAGTCAGAAATAGTTTAAAATTTAAACACTCTATCTAAAATGTAATAAATTGTAATTCCCATATTTTTCTAAAATTTATAGAATAATTAACAAATTAGCTAATAAACTATTTTATTACATAAAATAAAAACTATTTTAACTTAAAAATTTAGCAATAAATTAAAAAATTTTATTCTTAATACGATATAAAAAAGCGATTTTCAATTTTAAAATTTCATAAGATAAATTAAATTTCTACTTAGATTAAATTACATTTAATTAGATTGTCTTAAAATAATTAAGTTAAGAAGATTTCTAAAATAATTATATAAAGATAATGTAAATATTCCTCTTACACATACAAATAAAAGTACTTCTTCATATATTATAAATATAAAATTTATTCAAATTTGCAAATATTATTTTAATTAATTTTATAAATCAATCAGTCAGTCAGTCAGTCAATCAATATTTTTGATTGGTTAGATTTAGCTTTGAGAAATTAAGCAATTTTTATTCAGTAATACTTCTTTTTACCCTTTGATTAAGCTGACTGTTACTAGAAGAGCCCACATTAAAAGAAGACAGTTATGAAGTATTATTATCATCAAAGTTAATATAAGATTTCTTTAAAATAGTTGTTGGAGTTAAATCCCTATTTGGCTGTGCAGATAAGATATTAGTGGGGGATTAAACTAATTTAGCATTTACTTAATAGCTACTAAGGTTAGATATATTTTTAGCAAGACTGTCGCTTATATTGCTATTTTTGAGGAGTAAATTAGAATTATTATTTGAACTAAATATGTTAGATCTATAAATTTCACTGTTACTATTTATGCTAATTAAAGTACTCTCTTTAGATCCATAGGCTTTTGTGAAGTTATTGTTTGCTGAAGCGTAAATACTCTGTTAAAGAGGAGATTTAGGATTTTACTAGCTTAACAATAAAGATTGTTGCAATGATGATTACTTTGAACTACTATTAGATGCTTATGATGAGGTAATAGATGCTAAATTTGCTTAATTAGGAGATATATTTTAGTTATTAATTGAAGAATTTGTCACTTAATTTTAAGAATTTTAGCTTGAAATTGAATTTTTTCCTCTTTAATGACGCTAGATACTTGTAATTGTACCAGCTTCAGTATTTTATTTTGATGGGAGACTAGTTAACTTTTATTAGTTGTTGATTGATCCTATTTATTGAATTCCTGATTATATTGACTGCAAAGTTTAATTTAAAGAAGACTTATTTTTCTTATAATCTCCTTCAGTTAAAATTTGATTTGAACCAAAACTGTTTGTTGTTTCTTTAGACTTGCCTATAGATAAATAACTTGAGTTGATAGTGTCTTCTTAATTTTATTTATTTAAGCTCAAATCAAAGCATTTGCTCTAACTGGTAGTTGTCTTTGTTTTAGGTTTTTCAAACTCTGTCTTAGATATATTTTCTTTTGTAGGTCTATTTTTGCTGCGTGATTTTTCTAAGCATAGTTTTGCTGTATCTTCAAGAATTTATTGTTAATGTCCTCTTATTTAATTGAATTCATCGTCAAGCTGTTTGTGAGCTCTTAGCTAACTCACTTCTTTTGTTAATTTTTCATTTTCAATCTAGAGTTTCTTTTTTTCTGCAATCAATGTAGGCTCTTTTGATCGCTTGGTATTTTCATCTCTTTCTTTTCTAATTTTCTATTCATAGTAAACTTACTGCTATTACAGTCTTTCCATGTATGCCCTTTCAATTATCTCCAGCATCTGTGCTTATGATAACCCATATAAGCTGCTATGGTTTACGCTTCCAAAAATAATATGGTTGTTATTTTATATAAAACTTTAGCCACAGCTAAAAATGCTACTTTATGCCATAGAGTTTGATGTAGGAACAATACCATTCTAGTTGATTTGTATGTGTGCTATTTATTATTACTATTATGAAAGACCATTATGGCCAACTACACTATTAGACATGTAGTTAGAAGTAGATTAAAATCCTCCAAACTAGCTTGTGTTCAAGTACTATCCATTATCATATTAAAGATTGTTTAAGTTATTGCTTGATGAGCATCCTTATTAAATAATTTGAGATTGGCTAGCATTGCATAGTTAGTTATTACTACAAATATTTAACTAATGTAAGCTGTTTCCTTTTCTATGCTAATTTTAAGTGCTAGGAGATATATTTGCACCTCCTTATTATTACTACTACTATTATTAAAGTGCAAAGGAGGCATAATTTGACCCACCCTTAAATGAAACAAAACCAAAATTCTTAGCAGGTGAAGCATTTTTTACATTTTCATTTTAATTTTAAGAGCTATCAAGCTTTTAATTAGCCTCAACCAACTCATTTTTTAGTGATTCTTTTTAAGATTCAAGTATTTCAATTTTTTTTTATAGATATTCTCTTTCTTACTATAAAGCTAAAATAATTTACTTTTGGGTTAACTAATCGCTTTAGCTCTATGAAATTTAACTTTGTCTTTAATTTTAAATTTATTCTAAGAATTTTTCTTATTCTATTTCTATCTGTTCCATCATTTCTTTTCTATTCATTTCAAGTATATGAATTTAATTCAATAAATCTGAAATATTTTTTTCTTTTTTTTGCATCTGCTAAGAAAATAAACTTTCTCTTTCTTCTAAGCAGTTCTATTGCATCTTTATTTTTTCTTCTAAGTTGACTATAATTTACTGCTGCATGTCGAAATTATCTACATAAAACAAATAAATACATGAATAAGAAATAAATAAAAAAGATAAATAATAAATAAATTTTCAAAAATAAAATATGTTTACTTTCTTCTTATTCTATCTATTAGCACTATTCTATGAGTTCTTGGTTCTTTTCATTTTAGAAATGGATAGATTACTGCAAAGATTCAATCGTATCTAAAAATCTTTGCCTTTCTTCAGCAAATTCAGAAATTTAATTGTGCAATTAGTCAGATAACTGCTAAATTTCGCTTTCATACTGCTAAGTAATTTAATCTTATTCTTATTAGTTTTGGTTTTCTAGGAAATTAACTTGCTAAACTAATTCGTTTTTCTCAATCTCTAAAATTGAAATAGTGTTTTGAGTCTTTTTAATCAGGCTATCTTACTCTTTAAGTTAATTTTAAAGAACTTCAATTCTAATACGATATTCATTAATTTCATTATTCTTCTCTTAAAGCAGTATTTAGTTACTTGTAGATTCCGATTCTATTTACTTTGATTGTTATTCGATCATTTTATCAAGGCGGCTTTAAATACTCTTTTTGTTTTCCTCCAATTAGTTATATCTAAGTGCCATCTCCTATAACTGCTTCTTTGTTTCTATAATCTCAGTATTTTACTATTCTTATTACTTTTAGTTTTAGATAGTTTAATTCTCTATTTTAAGCTTAGAAATTGTATTTTCTAAAACATTTCTTTCTTTGTAATAGGCATCTCTATTTTCTAACAAAAGTTACTCTAGTTATTTTATATGTGTCTATAGTTAATTTGTTTCTTACTTTATTTTTTGTTATTCACTAATAAAAAGTGACTACTGTTACTACAGTTGATTCTGAAGTTGCTATATAAGCTTAGTTTACTATTGTGTATTGTTGTTAACTTTTCCAAGGTTGTAACTTATGCTAGTTGGTGAAAAGATGCTTGTATTACTCTTATCAGAATTTGAATAGATTTCTACAAATTAGCTCGAACTTATATTTTTTTGATTATTCCCATGAGCATTTTTTTCATCTTCAGTTTCATCTTCACATCCAGCGTCTTATAATTACTATGCCTATTCCAATTTATCATCATTTTTAGGAATTCCTAAATTTAAAATTTATCCTGGTTACAATTTTTATTTTTTTGATTTTTTTTTAGATTCAGATGTGTTTTGAGAGTTGCATGGCTACAACTATTCATAAGAACTTGTCTTATTATTTAAAATGTTAATTTTTTACTCAAGTTCTTTAATTTAAATTTAATATGTTTAGTTGATAGCTTCTAAATCAAATATTTATTACTAGTATTGCTTTTGAACTTTTTCAGTTGATTATTATATTTCTAATTCTAATTAATTTATTAACTTATGTTACTGTTCACATTCTCTTTGAAGATCTACTTTTTAATTTGTCATTTTTTCAAGCTTTTCGTTTTATCCTTCATAGTTATTTTTAATTTAATCATACTCTTCTGAGTATTTTTCAATTTTTTCAGAGAGTTGGTCTATCATTTTCTATTAGTCTTATATTTTTTATTCATAAGCCTACTATGCATGATTCTAAGTTATAACTTCTTATTATTTTGTTTATAACTAAAGTTCATATGAGGTTATTTTCTATTCGAATTATAATTGCTTCATTTACATATTTTCGATTAAGCACTACTCCCTTTATTGCACCTAATTTAAAACAGATTCTTCTTTTTCAATCAGCTACTATTCATAATTTCTCTAATTTTCTTCCAATATTTCAGCATGCTTCTTCTCATAGAATTCTAATTTATTCAAATATTCTTACTCATAATACTCCTAAATGGCTTATTCTCTTTCTTGTACAAACGCTTCATATTAATCCTAAAGGTATTTAGCTTATTGGTTTTTAGCTATCTCTAGTTGATCTTGTTAATTTTTTTCGATATTAACTTAGAGAGTCTAATATTCTTAAATCTTTAAATTTTATTATTAAATTAATTATTATTAAGATGAAATCTCTTTTTCCAAGAAACTTAATTTTTCATCTTTTTGCTTAATTTGATCAAGAAATTTTTGTTCAGTTATTTATTTGCTCTTTTTATACTCATTAGTAGATTCTTCTAATTCAGCTTTAAGACGACTGCATTGATCTTTTAAGTCTTCAATAATTACTTAATTTTTTTAATACTCTAAAATTTATTCTTAATATTAATGCAATTAGCTTTCTAGTTAACTGATTCTTTTCTAGTATTATTCTGCTTACTCATTCAATTGAAGTACTTCTTGGTTTTAATTTGAATTGCCTTTAAGATTACGATTCCTTTTAACCTACTCCTCTCCTTCTTCACTTTCTTCTTTGATTCGCATGTTTTTAGGAGGAGTTTGGTTATTTTCGTTTCCTAACTCTTCAATATACTCAAATTAACAATCTTTTGAAGCTGAAGCATTAACATTAGTTTTCAACTACTTTTTTTATGAAAATACCATAGAATTAAAGGACTCATTGCTCTGTAGTGTAGGTTCATTATATTAGCGCAAAAGGGATCTTAGATTTTCTATTTCTCTTTGCTTAATAGCAATTTCTTGATTGTGCATTTCATTTAGCTATGCAAATTTTTATTTATATATAGGATGCTATTAGTATCTTAAATCATTTATTTCAAAAAGACGAAAGAATTCATCATTATCTTTTATTTTTTGCTTTGCTTCTTTTAGTTCGAACTCAGCAAATTCTAATTTCTAATTTAAAATGGCTAAATCTTTTTCTAATTTTGCTTGAACTTCTCTAAGCTACTTCTTGAGCAAAGTTTCTTTTTCTTCTAGATCTCTTATTTTTACATCCTTTTCTATATTTTGCTATCCATCTAATTCTATATCATTAATATTAACTAAAGTTCCATTCTTGATATAAATTCCACTTTTATTTAATCTTTCTTAAAAGGCTTTATTTGAAATCTATTAAAAAAATAATTTTATTTTTAGAATTAATTAATTTAATAATTTAACAATAATTATTTCATACATGAGTTTAAGAGGTTGAACTCACAATAGTACTCCTATTCATCTGTGTTGAAGATATAGAATCAAATTAAGCAGATTAATATAAATGATTATGCAGCTTTTTTGAACTTCCATTTAATCCTTTAACAGAAGGAGCGTTATCTTATTAAAGAAATTCATTTTCATTATTGACTGATGTTTTACTCATCCCTAATAGAGTCTTTTGATGACTTTGGTTTTGTGCTGAATGAGAGTATATTGAATCTTGCTTGCTAGCTGTATTATTTAAATAAGAGTTGTCTTTGTATTCTTTATATATCAATTTAAAATTTTCTTTTCAAATTTAGTTTAAATTTTTTTTAATGAATTTTTTATAAAGGAGATTTGTTTGATCATTTAATTTTCAATATCTTTATGATTTTTATAAAAACCTTTGAATTTACTATTTATTTTCTATTCATAATAATTTACTATAAACATATAAATACGATTTATTTATTGATTGATTGAGTTACAAATCACATTAGTATTAAATCACAAACGATATTGAGCGAGTTATGTTTTAATTTTAAATTAATAATGCTCTTAACTGACTTTTTAAATTTTAGGTCCTCATATTTTCTTTCATATCTAATAGATATTTATAAATCAAATTAACATTTTTTTATCAATGTTTTTAACTAAACAATAAATAAATAATATCAGTAATTTGAATTGCCAAATAATAATTTTATTTTATTGGATACTAAACAAGAAATACATTTACAAAAAACTATCATTTTTTATCTTTGATTCCATATTTAAATGAGCCTTTTGCTTTTCTGTTGCTACCAAATGTTCTTATATTTGATTATTTAGCTATTCCTGTTCCAAATTGTATTGCTTTCTTCCTGAAACCTGAAGTAGCGCTTTTGAATATAATTTAAACTAGTTTTTAATAGTTGATAACAAATATTTTACATTAATCCTAGACTTTTTGCAACTTATCTTAATAGAATTTTGTCTCCAGAACCTCTTGGTAGATTAAAATTAGTAAAATAGCTGAAATCTGTCTTTTCACACACTTCTTAAATTAAATTTTAATTTAAAAAAGGGAATCTAACTTCCCTGCCATTTTGTGATATTGCTCTGTCATCTCTACCAAGATTTCTTATCCATAACCTTTATAAATCTTTCAAGAAAACCAAAATAAATTAAAAAATATTTCTTTTTAAAAGATAAATAAAATACCAAATTTCATTTCCTAAACTAAATCCTTATAGCCATTTCTTTAAAATGCCACACGATAACGTGAATACCCTCCAAATATTTCATCAGCACCTTTGTTAAATGAATAAAAATTATAACAATTATTACATTTTCATATAAAGTAATATACCCAAACCGCTAAGAACTACTTTAGCTCCAGAAGTAATATTTTTTTTTTCTAATGTATCAGTATGAAGATAACCTTAACCCTTAGTAGCTAAGTGAAGTACTAATGCAATATTGAAATCCATGTGAGTTATTCTGGGATAAATTAATTTTAGTAAAGGTTTCTCATTTAAGCTCAAGTCTTCAACAGTTTTGTCTATCAAAATCAAGTTATATTTTCTATTTGGATTAATGATTTATAGTTCTTCTAAAGCATTTAAAGCTGTCAATCTATCAGAAGCATCACTTTTAAAGCTGAGATTAAATAGATCAATGCTTTATTAAAAAAATTATTAAACATATTTAATTAAAATAATTTAATAAAGTATTTATTAAATAGAGTAGTTGTAAAATAAATAATTAACAATTTAGACTTGTAAAATAAAAAAAAATAAAAGCATAAGCAATTTTAAAATGGATATTATACCTTTCGTTGATAGGGAGTAACTAATCTAAAAATAGAGTTAATAATGTAGAGTCTAATCCACCTGAAAAAAGAACAGATACTTTTGAATTAGTTTGTTAAGCATCATAATTAAATTATGTTGTTTAATATAAAATTGGCTAGTCAGATTCATCTTTTTCATAAAGTTTTTAAGATGGAATTTCATTAGGCTGTTTGAAATAATTTTTAAATTCAATAATATTTTAAATATGATCCTAAACACTTTGTTTAAGAGCATTCAATACAATTTTTATTGTTTCTTAAGGTGCTACCATAATTGGGGCTGTTTAGGAATTCCAGTTGTATTTAATATTATAAAGCTTATCGTTAATTAGATAAGAATCCCATATAAATTTATTACTATCATTCATATCAATAACAATTAAAGTATTTTATGGTACCTCTATCCATTCCTTTTCTTTCGCAACAAAATAATCATGCAAATATTTTTTTTCTAAGAATAATAATCTTTGTTCTGGATCTTTCATATTATATCTAATATCTTTTTAGAGTTTTGCTTCACTGGAAGTAGAAGAATCTTCTATCTTTTTATCAACAATTTCTTCAGCTATAGTTTCAGCTGTTGCAGTTGTACCTTCTTCTCCATCATCTCCATCATCTTCTTAGACTAATTTACCTTCATCTACATTTATTGAGCATGAGCTAAATACAAAACCATTTTTTGAAAAACCTAATAAAAGGGATCTTTTTCCAAAAGGGTCTTTTGCTACAAACAATTTCTTAAGCTCATGATTGTAATAAACAAAAGCATAATCTCCTTGTAAGTTAGAAAGTACAGAAGTAATTTTTTTTTCTAGAGTCTCCTCTTAATCATTTATGCAATTTTAATCTTTAGAAGTAGCATTTTAATCAAGCTTTTTAGACAAATTTTTTAATTCTTAATCACATAAATTATTCAATTTTGAATAAATTTATTCTGTATCGTTTGTGAAAGGGTTAAAATCATCTTTTATGGTATTATCCAAAGTTTCAACAAACAATTCACCATTGTATATAAAGACAGATTACTTGCCCTTATTTACAAAAGGTTGAATATTTAAATGATCAGAATCTCCTCTCAAATGAAGTAAACTATTACAAAAAGTCATTTCTTTGAAGCAATTCTCTTTGCTTTCTTCTATTGATTAATCTGTTATTTCTTAATTTACTATTTCTACTTCCTCTTTTGAAGCCAAGACACTATCTTTTTTTTCATCATCAACAGCTGGTTTTAGGGTATCAAATATATTTTTTGAGATATTTGTTAAATTTGTGCTACATTAAAGCTCTGATTAATTGCTATTAAGTTAAAATTATCTGTAGCTAAAAGCATTTGGACCTCTAGGACCTATAGACTTCTAAATATCTTGTATTGAAAAATCATTTACAAACAATAAATTTTTTCTTATATTTTCTATAAAATCAAACTTTGTATTAAGATACTTATTTTTTAATTCTTCATTTTATTCTACATAAGGATTCTAAGCGTATCTCTCAAAAATATTAAAATTGCATTAATGAGATTCAATACTTATTCCTTTTATGCAAAAACAAATTCCACACATATTTATTATATCAGTCTTATATTAATTTTTTAATAAGGAGTAAAATCTTAATTATTTCTTGGTTTTTATTAAGTAAATTTTCTTTTAAAATCTATCAACATAAAGTAATATAGTGGCTAGAATTATCAGGAGAGGATTTAATTTTAAGAAAAATGACTAAAAACTCATTCAAATATTATTATAAAATATTTTATTTTCTTTTTTGTTTTTTAGGATGTAGTCATGAAAATAAATAATAAACTTTGATAAATATTATTTTTAAATATATGAAATATTTTATTTATCACGCAAATTATAAGAAAATTCTATGAGGACTATTAGTAAGATTATTTTAGAAGAAGAAAAAAATTTATTTCTCATTTAAATGAATTTTTATTTTTAAGTATTTATTTTTAGACATTATTTTTTTATAAAGAAATAATTTAAAAAATAAACAAAAATCTAAATTATTAATTTTGTAAAATTTATTTTAAATTCCTATTAATTCTAAAATAAAATTTTTTTCAAAATTTTATATTCAAATAATATGTTATAATTAATTACTTCAAGATGATTCTATTGAAACAATTTAGTATTGTTAATTTTTAAATTATTTAAATGAGAGGGAAATTTATTCTAAAAAAAATGATTAATGAAATTTTAATACGAAATACAAGAAAGGAAAATTGAAAAGATTTTTTGTAAAAAATTACATAGTTTAAATTACTTTGTTTAAAATATTGAAACTAAATTAAAGAAAGATCACTTGCGTATATATGTATGCAGAGATAGTATAGATAAAATAATTGAATTAAGATTTAGGAAAACTTTAAAGAAACAGAGAAATTTATATTATAAAAATTATTATAAGTTATTAAATATTAATTATATAATCATCATTTAAATCAAAATTAACTAAAGAAAGTATATTTAAATCATCAATCTATCCATCGATTTCTCTATTTTTAATTATTTTTTCGTTTGTTAGTTAGTTAGTTTGTTATTGATAGATAATTCAATTCAAACTCTCTTTAATTTAAAGAGAAAATGTAAACATTATCTAAATTATTAATATGTTTGTTTATTTATTCTTGCTTCTAATTAATTTTAAGTTGTGGTTTATTTTATTTTACATTTAGAATTATAAAATTTATGAGTTAATTTTTTAAATGCCCTCTTTGCTTTGGATTAACAGTTATTAAAAAGGGTTTTTAATTTCAAAATTTCAATTTCACTCATTATCGCTAGATAATCCTCCTTTAGTAGATGACTAAGAGTCTTTGTTTTGCCCGTTTTATGATTGCTCTTACTCATTTTTTTTTATTTGCTTTTTTAATTACTCACTACTTTAGTCGTTCAAATGATTAAATTCCTATTCTAACTTATGTTCTTATTTTACGTTGCTACCCTATTCTTCTTATTATTATATTTCAATTTAATGATCGCTATCATTGGCACTATCTTCTTCTTGTAGTACATTAGGAGATCTTAAATTTTAATTGGCTTCTATTTTTAATTTTTAATTTTAATTATTATTTAGTTCTTGACCTATTATCTTTTTTTCATCATTAATTCTTTAATTTTCTTCTTCTTCATCATCATCATCGTCTATGGAAATCGGGTTGATATCACTTTTTTTTTCATTTGGATTAGATGTTCCATTAAGTATAGCCTATTGTGCTCTTGTTAGAGTAGTGGTTGTGGGTATGGCATTTTATTTATTGCTTGTTGCTTTTGAAGATACTTCATTTGCTTTATTTTACATGAGCTACTCTTTAAATTAAGCAATCTAGGCTTTCAACTATCTATTTAATTGCTAGTCTTTAGATACTTAGGTTTTTATTGTGCTGATTAAATAATAACATGTTTCATAAGATAAATTATTTTTATCAGAAATGTCCTTGTAAGTAAGACCACTCATTTATTCAATATATAGCTTCTACTTAAATGCTTCAGTATATTTAGCTCTTCCAGATTCTTGATTGGGTAGATTTTATTTTTCCACAGAAGTTGTACCTCCTGTAACTTTACCATTATTATTGTTGTTGCTACTATTATTTTCACTATTGTTACCATTATTAATGCTATTAACATTGCTATTGTTATTATTGCTATTGCTGGTATTATTATTACTGCTGTTGTTGTTAGTATTGCTTGTTGCTTCATTATTATTTCCTGTTTAAATTATTTTTTATGGTTAATTATTATCAGGCTCAACATTAACTGAATTGCTCTATTAATTTTGATCTGCCTAATCCTTTTAGATTGAGTTTATCAGATAATAGGCTGTGCCATAGTTTATGTTATACTTTTTACAAATCTTGCGATAACTAAACTTCTTCTTGCTTAATTCCTCTATAAGCTTTTTACGAAGTTCTTCAGAATATTTTTTCTTTCTAACTTGCTTACTGTTAGAGTTATAATCTTTATTTCCTCCACTACTTCCATTATAATTCTAACTTTCAGAAACAGAACTTGAATAGTTATTTGATCCATGCATCCCGTTTCTATTTCTAGAGTATGCAGAATAAATTTTATCTTTTTCTATGTTTTTCTTACGAGTGATCACTCCTTGGTGCAAGTTTGATTTCTACTAAGATTGCTAATCTTCGTATTCATCATCTTCATCATCGTCCTCTATATCATCATAGTTTGATTCGCTATTTTAATCCTTTTCTTTTTCTCCTTCCTCCTCTATCTTGATTTCATCCCCAAAGATGTTATTTGTTGTATTTTAAGAATTAGGAAGCTAAGCATTATTATTACTGATTTAGCGAAGCACGGCAGCACTATCCTAAAACGCATTCAAATCATCACCAACTTGAGCTACCAGAGACTAGAGAAACTTGTACTCATTCTTAATGAATTCTTTGTTTTATTCGTTTTCTTAATTGTATATTAACAAATATTAAATTTTATTTAGAGAATATGTTATTTGTGCAGCTCTATTTTCAAATTTGGATAGATTCTACTTAAGAATCTATTATTATTTTTAAATTAATAGTCGCATAATAATTTCAAAATATCAAAACTGATCTCCTTTATAAATTTTCAATTTAGTCTTTAATGGTTTAAGAATAATTTTAATATCTCTTAATTCCTTTTTAGATGAAATAATATTTCTGTCTATTAAAACTTTTAATTGTGTAGCTTTCAGACAACTTATCTTGTGTAGTTGAGTCTTGATCTCTAATTTAAAAATTAAATATAATTTAAAAAAAGAATTGAATAAGCTAAAATAATTTAAGACTAGAAATGAAATGCAAGATTAATTTTAATAAAAGTAAAAATTATTGAATGAAAGATTAAAAAAATTGTTAAAATTTAAATAGAATAATTATAATTTAAATTACTAAATTATCAATTGAGATTATGCGTTCGTTCGTTCGTTCGTTGATTTTTAAATTGTTTTTCTTTTTCTTTTTTTAATTTATAAATTTTTAATTTTTTTCTTAAATATTAAATTATAATTTTTTTACTAAATTCAAGACTTTTAAAATTTTTTTACAATAACTAATGTTTTCTTGAAATTCATCTCAAATTAATTTTTGTTTCCCTCTAATTTTATTAATTAATTTTTTTCCCTATTTAAATTATTTTTATTTTTTAATTAATAAATTTTCCTTCATTAAATTAACAATTTAATAATCATAATTTTTTATTTAATTAATAAATGATTTTTCATCTCTTTAACAAACAAGAAGCATGTAAGAAAGCAAAAAACCTAATCTCAAATTTATGTTTTTCAATAAGTTATAAATAAATAAAATTAATACTTATATTCAAAAATTTTTTACTTCTAATTTTCACAAATCTAACCACATATACTTACTTACGTATACTTTATCCAAGGATTATTTTAAAAGTTTAAATTTTTATAACAAGATTATGCTTATATAAATATATCATTTATTATTTTATTATTTATTATTATATATTTATTTTCATTAAAAAAAATTTTTTTTGTTTTAAAAAAATATAATTTTATATTTGTTTTATACTATATATTAATTAAAGAAAGTATTATTTAATTTATTTAAATAAAAATATATTATTGATATTATCTTGTGAATGATAAATTTTTAAGCAATTATTATCAAAATTTTTAAAAACAAAAACATTACTTGTTAATTTTTTAAACTTGTTTGGTTTTTCGATAAAATTGATCTAATAATAATTATGCAGCAAAAAGGTAAATTAATAAAAGTTATTTTCAAATCTTAGAAATAAAACTTTTTGTAAGAATATTTCTAATTAAAAATAAATAAAAAAAATAATTTACGAAATTTTTAATAATTAATGACAAAATATTATTACTTTGATAAATAATTAAAAAACAAACTATAAAAATATATTTTAAAATATAAATTGTAGCTAAATATTTTATTATCAGCAAATTTATGAAACTGAGTTAAGTGCTTTTTATTAAATTTTATTCATTTGTTGCTCTTTTTTCAACTATGTTTATAAGAATATAATTTTTTCTTATAAATCTTTGAATGAATCGCTCATTTCATCTAAATTATTTATTACTTTATCACCCAATCCATTTTTCTTTTCTATTTCTCCCAAACTTAATGATTTCATCATTGGGAACCAACTTATATCCTCATTTTTAATCTTTTAAATAACTTCTGTTTCTACTCCATTAAAATCAGTTGAGTCTTTCTTAGAAAGATAATACATATAGAATACTTTTTATTAGATTTTTATAAGAATAAAATTATTTTTTTTAAATTAAACAAATTAATTTACTATAATTCCATAATTAATGATCTCTTTCAATATGATTATTAAATCCATCAGCATGCTTATCAAACACGTATCTCTCTAATCCGCATATGAAGCAAACGTTTTTCATGTCCTCTATCACTTCTCTTTTTTTATCTCTAAGTTAGCCAAAAGTATCAATGATAACACCAAATATGATATTTATAAAGATGACATTAATTAATGCAAACCAGCTTACATCATAAATGACTCTAAAAATGTAAGTACCTCTATTATCAAATTCAAAAGATTATCTTCTAAGTGTATTACTTATACCACCATCTGTTCTCAATCCATAATTCAATGTATCTATGAAACACTAAAATAGGCTATTAAATTAAATTTTTTTAATATAATTAATCTATTTTTGATAATTAAATTTTTACTTTGAACACATATTTTCGCCATGTCCTATTTCCTCAGAAAAGAAACTATCTACTGCGAAAGTGTAGCCTACTACTGAGAATATAAAAATTACAATTATGCCTAACAATAAAGTTTTTAGTAGCTAATTAGCATTTAGCTGTACTGCTCTTGTAACATTTTTCAATGAAGGGAATTGATTGATAATATCTAATAGTTATATACTATACACAATATTATCAAAAAAGAAACCCAAAACAGTACATGATATGTAGAAGCACAGATAAACAAATGAACCTTTTTCATAAATAAAGGGGAAAAAATAAAAAATTAATTCAAACTAATTAATTAATTATTACCATCTTTCAACATAAACATAAATGAGGATTCATAATATTTGACCTAACCCCACAAATTGCCGAATCTAAGAAAAGAGTTTTATTAAAATTTAGGGTAATTTGGACCTTTTGTCTTTAAAGCGTAAGTAACCAATTAAGTAGAGTAATATTTAGGATTATCAAGTTCTTCAAGAAGTCTTTCTTGCTTTGGATCTAAAAGATATTAGTTCTCTTCATTATATTTTCTCCACTTTTATGTCAAAACCATTGGCCCATTGACAACTAGCCAAAACATCATCATGATAAAATTAGTTACAAGTTAAATGATTCCTAATGCATATATAACCTAAGTAGAAGCAGTTTATGACCTATCTATTACAGTATAACCTTCCTGAAGCTTTCTTTCAAAAGAAGCAATCATAGTTATATTTATTGCAAAAACTACAATAGTAGAAAACCACTTTAACATTTTGTATCTCTCAGAAGTGAAATGGATGATCCACCCTTTTAATTAAGTCATATGATCCCTAGTTTATAAATTAAATTTAATAAAAAATTTAAATATTTTTAAAGATTATTTAATGGATTGAATAAGATTTTTTTTAAATTTAAACAAATAAAAAATACATTTCTGTAAAGAAAGTCTCAGCTTCTTCCATCAAGCTTCCTAATTTATCATTTAAAGTCCCTCTTTCAACTTCATTCATAAACTCTTCTCTAGAATGCTTTGAAATGTTTCTGCAAGCAGGGTGCTTAACAAAGAATACTCTGCAAATTTTATCTTAGAAGAAAACTTCAATATTGCAAGTATTTTGAGAAAAGAATTCTATGGCTTAATCTTCTATATTTTCAGTTTTTTGTTCTATACATTTTTAAGCTTCTGATACCAAATCGGGATTTAATCTCTTTAATTAGTCGCTCTATCAAATAATTGAAATTAATTTAGAAATTAATAATTTATTAATATATAAAATTACTATAGTTGCTAATAAAATAAACATATTAAATGCCATCTCAATTTATCCGGTAAATTCTTACTACTTTTCTGAAACTCTCTCAATAATTTCTTTGATTGAGACATTTCTAATATTCATCTCAAGATCTTCTGTAACAAACTACTAAAATTAATTAGTGAGGAATTACCTAATAAATCCATAATCCAATTATTGGTCAATATAAAGAGGTATTTGCTACTCTGTATTTCCTTCTAATAAAGAAACTAGCAAAATAGTAGATTTTGAAACCATTTCATCTATTTAATCTTTTAAGTCATCTTCAACTATTCCCCGTTTTTCATAGTCACTCTCTTAATTAAATGTTGATAGCAATTCTTTTATATAATCCACTATTCTATTGTCTGATAAACATTTTTGATTCAGCTAACAAGGACCTTATAAGCTTTCAATGAGCAAGTCAATCATTTACTAGCCAAGATCGATAGTTTTATCGTTCAAATAACGGATTAGACTACCAAAATTCTAAGAAATAGTTTTAATGAAATTGATAGACTAAGGATTTAAATTTCCATTTTGCTTTTACTCTCTCAAGAAATCTTATAACGGTAAAAAATGCCCTTCGCAGAATAGTTAAAGGAATCTTTATATAAAAATATAAAAAGAAATTGAATTGTTTATTGTAAATATTTATTTTTTTTAATACCTATATATTCTTTTTAAATTCAAAATTATTTCATCCTCTTCGTAAGCATTGATTTATCCTTAAACTTCCTAAACGATAAGCATTTATTCTTCTTTTTCTTTTGCTTCTTTTTCTTTTTATTCATCATAATCATTATTTATAAGGACATTGTCTGAATTATTTTTCTTAGCCTTCAAATCATGAATTCGCTACCTGAATTTCTCTTAGAATTCTTAGTTTCGGAATGACATTTATTTTTTGATTTTTGTAGAGTAATTTTAAATCATTTAAAATAGGCAAATCATAACTGTATTGTTAGAATCTTACATCAAGCAATTAAATAGCTCTTGTTAGCACTTTTAATTTCCTCCATATAGCATAGCAATACCAAGAAGTATAGCTTCATTCTATTTTACATAAAGTAAAAAAATTTTTAATTGTAAATTAGTTATAAATTGGGCGGGAAATAAATTAATGAATTACCTTTATTTCAGCTTTAAAATTAGCATTTAAAAAATTACACACAACCTGAATAACTCCATAATCAGTCAAAGTATTTTATCTTTAAATTACTAAACTCTAAAAAGAAAGCTGCCCATCCCATTCTGCAGCAGGCTAAGCTTCCCCTGAATTTTCTTCTTCAATCAAATTTCTAAAAATCTTTAATCCAAGAAGGTAATATTAATCTGGGAGATTGGTATTTTAAGGGTTCATAATTGAGCAAAACTTTTTACATAACTATAATAAAATTTATTTATATTTTTTGATATTATTTATAATAAACAAAAAATTTACTTGCTCAAAAGATATAATATTATTATTTTTTAATGTATTCTTAGATAAAATTTATATTTTTTTCATAGTCTAAGACAGATCCTAAAATTCCTATTCTTCACATTACTTAAAAATTTGAGTTTCTGAGAGTTTTTTGAATATGATGTGAAATTTTAAAGGTAATTGCTACAATTTTCCATATTTAGATAAATCTTACTTCTATTAATTGCTTTAATTGTTTTGCTTATTGTGATTTATTTATTGATTTTCATACTTTTTTTATTATTCAATATTAAAAAATTATTAATAGTATTTCTAAACATAATAAAAATTTAAAAAGTAAAATCAAATAAAACAAATTTATTGTTAATTGAAAAGTTACTGATTTAATAAATTTAATTTACTTTTTTTATAAGATCTTTAATTTCAGGTAAAAAATGTTCTTTGAGTTCTTTTATCTCAAGTGAAGATTTCTATATGTGCCTTTTTTATTGAATTATAAAGAATACTTAGGCAATAAATACCTTATTACATTCGTCCTTGTCAGTTAAAATAGCTTATAATTTTACAAATGATTGAATAATGCTCTTATAAAAGCTATAAACTTATTCTTTTTAATTAATTAAATATCTTTCTGCTGACTCTTTAACACAATAGAATAAAAGGCCAAAAGTATAAACCTAAATTAATGATCTAAGAGATGTATTTCCCTAAAAATTAATAACATAAACTTGAGAATCTTCTAATTGCTTAATATTATTAGAGATATATTCTAGGTCACTTTGAATCAAAAATAATATTTTTTGAATGTATTCCTATTTGTTAATAGTAAAAAAGAAATTAATTAAGTAAATAAATAAAAAAATAGCTTTTATTACTAAATCTTCGATATCTTTTTCTGTTTCCAAGAAAACATGATAGAAAAATTAAACAACAGCTCTCCTTATTGGCCAACACTTTGGTGTTTATTAAAGTAACTCATAAATAACTTCTAATGGGAAATAGTTTTAACTTTTATTTTCAGTAATACCATTTTTCTCTTCGCATGCAGTTGACATTAATTCTAGTTATTAGATAAAGTATTACAACTCATTAGGCATGGGAATGCAGACTTATGGAGTATTTGATTTTAAACCATTTTCTATTTGCTATGATAGCTGATTACATTGCAAATAAAATGTATTATCTTACTAAATATTTCCTAGTCCTAATTAAAACAAAATAAATTTGTATTTAGGATTACTTAAACAGAGCATCACATCAATTTAATTCTATCTGATAACTTATCCCTTAAATTTCATAAAGTTTGATAGGTATTCAAGCATAATTGTTCTTTGTTAGTTATTTGATGTTTAATGATTGATAATTTTGCAATAACTTTCTATTAATTTATGGACTAGCTTATGATCAGTCAATAACTCTTCGTTGTTTCTAGCAATTTCATTCAATAACATCTAAGGGAGAGTATTAGTCTCCTTTTACAGGTGCCCAATAAAGCAATCTATATATTCAGCAAGTTATTATTAATTTTGAATATTATCAAAGCAAAATAAAGATAATATTTTGAAACATTTTTTAAGAATGGCCTAGCTTTTCACTTTTTCTATTTATTTTAACCATTCCAAGTCATATAAAAGCATTTAAACTATTGGCTTATGAATTTATAGTAATCTAAACATTTTTTGTATCTCTTAACGTATATGCTTTTTTAAAACAAATTCGTGGTAGTAGTCTTCATTAATACTTATTCCTTTCTAGTTTATATCACTAGAAATAAGCTAATTTAATTTATCTTGAATAATGCTATGCTCACTTGAAAATTCATCGTGCATTATACCTTAATCATTGTATGGATCTTGATCATCATTTTCTATCAGTTATAATTATGGGTCTTCATCGTCTCCGTTATCATCTACTTGAAGAAATTTCTTTTTTGAACTTTACTTTTAAGAAACTACTTCATCTATTTCTGTCACTTGTCTAATTTATGAATCAGTGAGAAAGTAAAAGAGTTCATCAAGAATTTCCAACATAATTTAAGAATTTTGTTATCCTCTCTCACTATTCAATCCATACCATTCTTCAGAGTCATCAACTAAGTTGTTTAGTCTATAATAATTTTCTTAAGCCTTTTAAAGAATGGATATTTTATGAGAATCATCAATAATTTGAATTTCCTTTAAATATTCTACTAGATTATATCTCTTTGAAAAGTTTGCTTATAAGATTTGCATGGCAGATTCTACCAAGTCAGAATTTTCATATAATAAAAGATCTATCAAATAAATGTTAATTGTTTTGTCTAAAGGATTCTTGCTGCCCTTTTTTTTCTATACCTAATAAATAAAAAGAGTTTATATCTATCTATTTACTCATTTTTCAAATAATTTTTGTAAATCTAAATTAGAAAAAGAAATAAATAATTTTAATTACTAGAGAATCTATTGTGAAAAAAGTATCCTGAACTCTATCATTAATCCAGTCTAAAGGTTATTACAAAAGATCGAATGGAGGGATAAGGATTTATTCCTTATCACGTTTTTCTTTTAACTCATTTTTATCATTTTTAAAGTCTTAAACTGCCTTTAAATAGTTATTTCTCTCTTTAATCATTTAGAGGATTTGTTGAACTGATTTGGTTTCTAAATTACTTTCTTCATAAAACTTCTTGAATTATATTAAAATTTTATCGCCCATCCAGTTCAAAATTATGTTATTAGCAAACTATTGTATTAAAAAAACTAAATTAACAAAAATTATATTTAAATATAAAAAAATACATCTAATATCTCGCAAATATTAGTCCTACATTAGCAGAGTATCATACTCTCTTCAGTTTAATTATATCTATTGAATTTTTTTGAAATTTTATTTTCTTTTTTTTCCTCTAACTGTTGCAGTTCAGCTGATTTTTGCTATATTTTTTTAATCTTTTATTCTTTTTTCAATATTTTTTCTTCTTGTTCTGATAATACATCACGCGAAGCATCCAAGAATTTAATTAATGGAGCTAGTATTTAATTAATTTATGAAATAGTATTGTACATACCATAAGTAAACAGAGAGCTGCAAATTTTTATGATATTCAAGGTAAATTCATTAAACTCTGTTTCCCATATTCTCTAATACAGTTACTCATCAGTAATTTGATTTAAATAAAGCTAAATAAAATCTTTTAAATTATCGAATTTTTCAATATAATATTAACATTATAAAATATCAGGGTTTTCTGAATAAGAAGGGACATATCGTTAACCATAAAAGCCAGCATTTACTAGCTTGTTTTAATTCATAATCTTTGTCATGTTTTCTAATTATTTCTACCATTGCAACTCACCTTTAGGAGAGTAAATCAAATCCCATTATTTTAAATAAATAGGAGCCTATATAGGATTCAAATGTAAACCTTCTATGTAGCATGTTCTCATAAAAGAGCAAAAAGCACTCTTTAAATCCATATCAAACTCCTATCCACTTATGATTGTATAGCATATATCATAAGAAAAGTATTTACTGAGAAATTCGATTGCGATAAATTATTTATCCATGCACAAATCAGAAAAAAGATATATGACATTTATATAAAATTTCATATATTCATTGACTTCTCTCGAATGAATTTACTATTAAAAAAATATTTTTAATTAAAAACAACTTTTTAAAATAAAATAAAATTTACTTTAATTTACTCTAAATCATAAGGGACCTCTCGAATTCTAATTTATATTTTTCCATTTTGAAGCATACTAAGAGGGTTGATGAAATTCTCTGCTTAATTATTTTCAAAAAGCAATTTAGTTATAACTGTATCTTAATTATTCTTCATTGCTTTATTATCACAATTGATTAAAGCTCTTAGCAATTTAATGAATTTGATAGATTTTTCTTTTATCAGTAATTCAACAAATTTTAAAATAATATTTTCGTCAATCTTATACTTCAGTATGTATTCATTGTTATCTATTAATTCTGTTAAAGTTGGTTCAGCTAAAATATCAACATCATTATCATATTCCATAGCTTACTCCATAAGCAATTCCAACCTATTTATAAATTGTGAATATGTTAAAAATTGAAATACTAAGATAATTAATTTATTTACCATTGTGATGCAAATAACTCGTTTGGTCTATATTCTCTAATTATGTATTTAATCAAAACATTCGTTAGCTAAAATATGTAAATAATGTCTTTAGGTAATAACTTTAAGTTTTTTGGATTATAATAGTTGTTTTTAAAAGGATAATACAACAAACTTGTGAGAATCTAAATAAATTAACAATCTTTGAGTAACCTTTAATTTTTTTATATACAAAAACCTTAGCAATCCAAAATGCCTTTGGTTTCATCCAAGCTATTTAATTCACAAACAAAGCGGATAAGCTATTCAAGGCTTTATGTAACCTTTTGTTTTAAATCATGAGTAATTAAATCACTCGATTATTTATACTTGAATATATTAACAAATTTAATCAAGACTGGCTATGCAGACAAAGAAAATAGAATATCTGATTTTTCTTACTCAGATAATTTTTATATTTATAAAGCATTTTCATCATTTATTTCAAGATCACTATTGATAATTTGTCTATTAAAGTTGAACTCTTTGTCTTTTAATCCCTAATAGAATCCAGGAATTTAAACATTTTCATTATTTTCTAAAACTTATTCAGGTTCTTTTGTAATATCCATATAGTTTTTTAAAATACTAATGTGATATGATTGCTAATTTTCTAAATATTAGATATCTGATGCTTTTGTTTGAATAAATTATACAAAAGCATTTTGATAGTCAAGCTATTATATATTATCCTTGTCTTAATCTAAACTAAATCCTCCCTAATTTTATTTTAAATATAATTAAAAATATTTATTTTAGAATCAAAGAAGCATATATATATCTAAAGTTAAGTCACTTAAAAATTTAGTTAGATTCATTAATTTAAATAAAAAATTTAAAAATATTTTTTTTAAAATGCACTTCATACCTAATTAAAGCTAAGTAGACGACCTGTCTAAACATGTCTTAAATAGAAGAAAACAGATTCTGAATCTTAACTTATGGAAATAGGCCCTCCCTTATTATAGTCATTAATTTATTCAATCTACCAAACAGAAGAGATTGAATATTTTTCTTATTCATAAGTTCCATTGTAATTACCTAAATAAACTTAAGGAAGTAGTTAATTTTAGTAGGCTATATCAGCAGTGAGGTATCCTTCAGTTTCTGAGTGAAAAAATCTGACAAAGTCTCCTCCACTGATTACTGATTTAGGTAAATTATTTTGTGAAGAGCATGTTGAATACTTTCTAAACTCCCAAGCAACTTCAGAATATTGGCTAATATATGTGTCAATAATAAAAGATATTTTATCATTTTTTTTCTCTTCTACTTGTTTATATTCGTTGAAATCTTAAACTGGTTGTTTATTTTTTCCTATCTCCGCTTACTCTTCAGAAAAACTTACACTAAAACGTAGCTTAACGCTCTATATTATCATTTAGTCTCTGTACTAAATAGTATCACCTATATTACGCAGTCTGTATTTAGGTAATATTCTAAAAATCATTCCAGAAGAGTAGTCTTTTGAAAGCTGAAATTTATATGCTGACTTTTCAGAATCAGAGGCTATAGTTTAGCTTGATAAAAATAGGCCTGAATCTACATGCATAATTTAGATCTCTGTACCATAACCAACTGGTTAGCCTTAAAACTGATTTAACGACTTTAAATTCATTTCATTTTCTCTTTATACATTTTCCTTTAATGTCTATGATATACTTTCATATTAATCCTTTTCATCTATTAATTTTTAAAGATCTACATCTAATTTTGTATCCATTTTTTTAAGCTTTATTTTTTATGTTTCTGTATAGGATTCTGCGATGTGTCGTTGAGTTCTTCTCTTGTTGTCTTAAACAAGCTTTTCAATATTTTTTTAGAGATAATCTACGCGCTTTTAGTGATGACGATATTCTTTAGAAGCTTAGAAGTTGAGACGAGGCCATATTTAGAATACAAAGTCGTTATAATTCTTCAAAAAGCTTAAATTATTTGTATATTCAGATGACTTTTACAAAATATCATTAGGTATAACCTAAAATGATATATTACTTTAAGTGAATCCTTTTGCGCATAGGAATCCTCCATAATCTTGCTATCCTCTGCTCAAAAACCCCTTTATAACTATTTTATCTCCAAATCTTAAATAGTTATTTTCTTCTTAGCTCATAATTGAACTCCTTACCCTTTTGCTTGTATTTTTTTGTAGAATATAAACTACTTGTTTTGATGATTATTATTCAAATTTTTAATTTGTTTTTAACAAACAAGTAAATAAACAAACAAACAAAAGTTATTTGTTCTAATTGCCTTGCAATTATAATCTAATTATTTTACTAACAAAAAATTCATGATTGAATTTCTGCAATTAATTGTATAAATAGATCTATGGCTTATATATTTGGCATTAAATTTATTATTAAAATATATGATTGTTATAAATTTGGAACAAAAATAATATGTAAAAAAATGTTATAGATATTTAATTATGATATTTTAATCAATGATTGTAATTAAGCTATAAAAATTTTTGAGAATGGTATTTTCTCATCAATCAAAATATGATAAATAGGTGTAGACTATATATCGAAATTAAAAATGATTCTAAAGTATTTATAAAAGATAGCCTTTAAAACATCTTAATTTTAAAAAATACTTATCATGATATATTCATTTCCACTTATGCGTCAGGTAAAAGGTATTTAATACCTTATTTAATGAGTTTACCTTTATCAATTTGTTTCTCGAATTTAAAACTTAAATTTTATTTTCCGTTTCATTTTTTTGTTTGAAGTTTTTCTTGTGAAATAATGTAAACAAAGACAAAATCTTATGTAATAAATACATAATATTCATGATATCTCTCAACCCTTTCTTGTGTGCGAAAAATAAAAATTGTAAGATATATGATTGGATATATTTCAAATCCAATTTTTAATTGTCCTTTTAGTTTTTGTAAAATCTATAAATGGAAAATTAGTTATCAAAAAAATAACTTTTAAGATAAATAAAATGATTTTTTAAAATAATAAATGGTTGAAAAAAAAAACTCAAATCTTGTATTGCAATAAATTATTAATTAACTCTGAATTCATTTTATCAAAATGTAATCAATCATACTTTAGTTATAGCTTTAAACACAATAAATTTAATTTTAATTTTAGTATTATGGTAAAAAATAGATATACAACACAAAATTTACAATTAGGTATTAAATTAATTATAAATGCTTAACTCAAGCAAATTAGTTTTTACAGATATCAATCTTCCATTTATTTTGTGGTCATTAATTAATTTCTCTATTATATGTGAAGCATTTAAAGCTCGTTATCATTATCATTTTTATCTTCTGAGGGAATTCTGCTGATTTACTTTTCTTCATTTAATTCAAGAGGTTTTTGAGGTCCAAGATTGACTGATGCAATAGTTGCGAATATTTGATAAATAAAGATAGCGAGAATAAAGGAATATTTAGCATCGTTATGTTAAACGAGAACATTGATTAACAAAAGAGCAGCGAAAACAAGAGACATAACACAACTCTTCAAAGCATAAATTTCACTCTTTCCATGATAATCTTTAGTTATAATTTCACTCAAAACACAGTTTAATAAGTTATCTCCGAATCCGATAAAAGCACTGCAAAGGAAGGCAATAGTATAGTCCTATGTATAGGTACAAATAAGTGCGAATACAAAAGCTGCTTATACAAATATGGTAGCTAAATTGACAAGTTTATAGATATTATATCTCAGGGCGAGATAACCTCCTGCATATCCTGATATAATTTCAAAAATACCTTAGCAGATATATACATAACATGTTTTTTAGTTAACATCTTTTATCGAGTCAGGATTTGTATAATCTATAGCTAAAGTGTTTTAAATGAGCATATACATAAAACCAGCGTAGAAAGCTGATATACATCCAGAAAGTCCCATAAGAGTCATCAAAGGAATAATTTGGTCAGTTTTTAATATCTGAACATATCTTTATATAGTTTGCATAAAGGTTTCTTGAGGAGCAATTGTCTAACTATCTTTAGCATCACTATAAAATAAATAAATGGATTTAGTAATTTAATTAAAAATTAATTAAGAGAAAATTAAATGGATCGATGGATGAGAGATTTTTCGTGGTAGAGAGAATATTATTAATTTATTATAAAATCATGGGGTAAAAAATTAATTAAATATTTTTGATGTTAATATAATCAATCATATATTGTTTCAATAATTGGAGGAAGTTGATTAAATTTAGGTTTATGGTTTATAAAAATTAATTACTTTATCAAGCATTTTATTTTCTATTAAATTAATATTCTTATTTTTCTTTTGTAACTAAATCTTTATAAAAATAACCTCTCAATTATTTCAAATAATTTTTATTAATCTTAATAGGATTTATATAAGAAAAATTCTATTCAAACAATCCAACCAAATTCCAAAAAAGGATAAATATTATGAAAAAAAGAAAGAAATAGTTAAATATAATTACTGAGCAATTTTTTTAGCATCCTTCATTTATTGAATTTGGTAGTCCTAAAATGGTGATGGAATGAAAAACAGCATTACACAAGCTACTGCTCCAATTACTGACATGATAATGAAGAAGGTCTTTTGTGTAGTGTAACCCAACAAGAATGTACCAATAACTGATCCAATTAAGAATGAAGTAGCAAAAATGGAACAGAAAATACCAAAGTAAACTCCAGTCTTTTCAGGCTTGGAGCTAGATAAAATACCAATGTATGTACCTTAACAAACCTTTTTTAATATAAAATAATATTGTTGTAAAAGCTAAACTCATTTTTTCAAAAATCAATAATTTTTCTCTTTCTATTTATAATAATTAGTCTGCTATTTAATATTTAATGTTGTATGGTGAATGGCTTAATATGAAAATTTATTGCTATTATTTTACTAATTGATTTTATAATTTTTTTGATAAATTTATCTTTTTCTTCTTGCTTAAATGTAATCAAATTAAGTTTATCACAAATTAGATGTTTCAAATTCATTTTGCTATTTTAATTGATTTTCCAACTTTTTAATATCTATCTCCTCAAAAAGAAATTATAGATATATCTATCTATATTTAGTAAAATCGTAGATTTTTAGATTTTGTAAATTATACATCGATCAATAAATCAATTTTTATTATTGCTTTATAAATCTATCTGTATAAAATGCAAGAAATATTAAAATCAGCAAGTTGAAAAAGATTTTATTTTAAAAATGCTTGTTTTATTATTAAAATTGTAGGATATTAAAACCGTTTCTTGACATAGAATGCAATTTGCATCTTTATAATTTAATATTATTACCATACTTAATTTTATTAGCAGGTTTAATAATATCACATTTTTTAAAATAAGAGGAGATAAAGCAATTTAATAAAAATTTATGAATGAAATCTCAATTAAATAATAAAATTTTACCCAAATGAGAGAGGCACAATACCCATTTACAATAGCTGAAGCAAGAATCAGCCCGTAAATTGTATGCTTAGAACATAAATTTGATTCGTAGTTAGGATTAGCTTGCATATCTTCATAGCACTATCTAGGTAGTATACCTACAATCATAAAGGGTAAATATCCTAAAGCGCTCAAACAAAGAACCCATTTAACAGGGAATCTTTATACTATTTTAGGGGCGAATAGATTGTTAGCAGCTTAAGTAAGGTAAAGAGCAAATAGCGCATAATTACCTAGCTAATCATAACCTAATTAGAAATAAATCTAAGAAATCATATTTTAAGTTGTGGAGAAAGCAACATATAGTAACATAAAACCTATAGAGATGTAAATTGTCTTGAATAGGTTTATGTTATTTATTTTTGTTTAATCTTAACTGGCAAGTCCGTCCATAGCTATTTATTTGAGCTAGTTTCCAAAATGTATGTTTTTTTAAATACTTTTAAATTATTATTAATTAATTATAATTTTTTATGGATATTTTTTATGGTTATCAATAGAAGGTATTACATATTTACATTAACGAAATAATAAAAGTGATATTAAATTATTATTTTGGGTAATTTACATAAGTGAAAAATTCAATAACAATCAAGATTACTTTAGAAACCATTAATTGTATTGTAAATATCAAAGTTATTGAAATTAGTACTAGAAAATAACAAAAATGAATGTAAATAGATATGAAATTCATCATTTTTCTTACTTAAAAATATAAATTTTTTTAAAAAAACAAACATTGTAATCAATTTCAAAAAAAATTTGCAAAGGTCTTTAAATTTTTGTATGTATTATTAATTATCTTAAAATGAAAGAACATAACTAGACTATTTTTAAATATTTATAAAATTTGGAAAGTATTTTAAATCCTCGATAGTAATAGATACTCTTTTGGGGTCAAACAATAAGAATCTAAATGAGGTTTTGCTTCATCATATTTTTTATAACAAAAGAAATTTCTTTAGTTTATACAAGATAGTATAATGCTTTCTTTTTAAAAACTAGTTGAAGCAAGTTAAGCAAAATAATCTATCTATTCATTCTAATTATAATTCAATTTGAATATTTATTCTTTTACGTTGGTGCTTAGTTAAATAATAAAGTATTAATTTTTTAAATAAATTTACGCAGGTACTTTACAAACAAATTACGTCATTTTATTTTTTAAAACAAAAATTTGTTAATCTAATTATTCAGCGTGACATAAAAGGATTCTTTGAATGTTCTTTTTAATAAATAACTTAATAATCTTATTAGTTAAGCCATTTAACGTTTCAAATAACTAACTAAATAGATTTACTTGCCATTTTTATAAAACTGGTTTTAGCATTATTGAATATACTTAAAAGTAACTAATCGTAATGTAATAGAAGAGATAAATAAAAGAATTTTTCTAGATCAATTCGATTGATTATACTAAAGATTACAAATTTAATTTTTTTTATGATATGTTCGTAATCAAATTCGTATTAGAATAGATTTATTAATTTTTTAATTAACTTGTTAATTAATAATATTACATTACTGATAAAAAATAAAAATGTAAAATAAAGAATATAAGATTCATTTTAGATTCTTAAAAAGACTTTTATTTTTCCATAAAATAACTAACTACATATTTATTTTTTAAAGTAAATTTCTTCTTTTTTGTTTTATATTGCCTACTGATAGTACCATAATATGAAATGCTATAAATTTTAATTATATTTTAAAGCTTGTAAAAAATTTTCTCGAATACTCTATTTAAAGATTTTAAAAATAAGGTTTTTCATTTTTAATTTGTAAAAAAATATTAATGAACAACAATTAATATAAAAGAATTATTTTTATTTGATGTGTATTTTTAATAGTATAGTCAATATTTCGACTAATTAATAATTTTACTTCTTAAAATTTTAATTTTTAACATTACTACTTATTTATTTACATAAGAAAAACTCTTTACTTTTTTGTTTTATTTAATATTTTAAAAATACTTTGATCAGCATATATAGAATCGAAATCTTCAAAGTTTTTATTTTTTTATTTTATAATAAAATAAATAAAATTTTTAATAAAAAATAGTGATATCAATTTTGAAATTATTTTTAATTTTAAAAGATAATCAAATAAAAATTATTTTTTAACTAATTTAATAATAAAAAGCAATTAATCTATTTAAAAACTAAGAAAAATTATTATAAAAAAAAAACATTTTTTTAAAATTTTTGTAATTTAATTGAAAGTATTTTTTTATCAAATATATAAAAAAAGAAAGATCATTCTTGTTTTTTAAATAAAATTTATTTAATTTTGTTAAAATAATTTTGCTTAAGATATAAATGTTTTTAAAATTTAATACTAAATCAAGATTATATTTTGTGCTTTTGTTTGATTATTAAACTAATTAATTTATCAAAAATCGGTTTTAATAAATTTACATATCTACTATACAAAGAGCTACTTTGAAATGATTAACATAAGTGACTAAGATTTTAAAAAATAAATAAATAGTTTAAATTTAAAAAAAGATTATGTTTTATAAAGTTATGATAAAAAAGGCTATTATTCATCTTCCTCTAGAGGCAGTAAATCTCCTCGAACTCCTACAAATACCAGAACAAATATTTAAGATTTTAAAGATTCAATACTTTGTAAGATATTTACTTTTTTAAATGTTATGGATCTGTGTATTATACAAGGGGTATGCAAGAAATGGAAGAGAATGATAACCCGCGATCCAGATATTTATTCTATTGTTAATCTTTCTATTCTCCCTCCAACTGTTAAAACATTAAACTTGATGAAAATCGTTTAGAACGATAGAAATATTATAAAATTATATCTTCCTCATTTAGCCAACTCAAATGATACTAGTTAGTAAGATTTAATTGAAATAACAACTAAAAACAATTTTTAATGAAATTTTTAAATGAAAAAAGTTTGTTGATGTCCATTCCAAAAACATTAGAATTTCTTTAAATTAATAATGTTAATATTGAATTCGCTACTGTTTTTACATAAAAAATACCAAACCTCAAGATTTTAGAACTATAAAATAGAAATAAAAGAAAAAAGAATTTTGATGAAAATGAACTTAAAGCTATTTCTAATTGCTGCTCCTCAATATAAAGTCTGACAATTAACAAAGCTCCTCTTACAGACGAACTTCTTTAGTTTTTCTTACCTAAATTTCAAAACTTAAGTAAAAGAATCTTTTTTGATAATTTCTTTTTAAAATTCATTTTTAACTGTTAAAATATTAGAAATAATAAATATTCCGAACACTCCAAAATTAACAAATGAAACTCTCTAAGTTATAGCCAGAAGCTGCTACTAAATTACTGATATACATCTCGGAGGAACTCCTACCAATTATAACCTCAATTTTAGTTTTGAAGGTTTTGAATACTTTAATTTGTCAAAGTTTGAATTGAAATCCGTTAAATTAGACTATTGCTCTCGTGTTGGAGACTAGGTTATTTAAATATTTGCTTAAAGATACAGAGATAATTTAGTTGAATTGTAGATAATCAGAAACTGCTTTGAAAAATGTGCTAAAATTAGTGACGAAGGAATATCTTACTTAAAGGACTGTCCCAACCTTCAAAGACTGAACATAACTTACTCAAGAAAATTTAGAGAAAGTATTCATATAAACATATCTAAAAATTTACACTAGCTTCGTTATTTATGTCTTAAAGAATGTCCTATTTAAGAAGACTTATCTGTTTTGGTAATCAATTTTCAATCAAAATTTATTTTAAAAGATTTCTATTTTAAATTAAAGGTATAAGGGTGTCCTTAGCTTGAAGAAGTTAATTTATCTGGAGACTCATGGGTAACTTCGTTGTCTTTGGTAGGTCTAAGCAAGCATCCATATTTAAAAATACTACATTTAGGCCATTATGATCATGGAGATACTAATTGTGATGAAAACTTAGAAGAATATCCCCCTAAAGGAATGTTTATTGAAGGAATTTTTAAAAATAAGAATGCTTTCTAAAAGTTACATTTACTTTTCTTAGAATAAAATTGTTCTTTAACTTATTGGCTTGATGTTAGACTTCAAAAAATAAGACCAAAATTAACTATTAGATATACTCCAGCTGAAAATTTGTTTGCACTTGTTGAATGATTAAAACTGTAATAAATCAATAAATTTATTATTAACACAAAAATGTTTTTTTGTAATAATTAAAAATTAATTTATTTTTGTAAAATAAACTTACTTAAAATCTAAATATTGAAAAAATTACATTTATTTCTACATTAAATTACAAGAAAAAATTAACAATATAAATCTTTTAAAAAAATATTATTGTAAAAAATTAAAATACTTTCTTAAATAAATGAATAAAAACTATGTTATTTTCTTTCATTATATTAAATTACAAGAAAAAATTATCAATAAAATCTTTTAAAAAAATATTATTGTAAAAAATTAAATTACTTTCTAAAATAAATGAATAAAAACTATGTTAATTTTTTTAATTATTGTTTCAAACTACTTAAATCATTTTTAATAGTTAAATTTATACTTTAAAATACATTTAAAAATTGATAGGCCTTCTATCTATTTGGTGCTTAATTTTTTGCTTTAATTCTTAATAAATACTTTTTATGCTAATTTATTTTTTATTTAATAATTTTTGTTTGTTTTTTAAATTACCTAAACCACATAATTTATTTGATTATAAATATTTTTCAACAACTAGTATTATAAATTTTCAAAGAAGTTAATGATTAAATCATCCTCCCAAGTATAAAAGATATTAGAAAAAATATAAAAAAAATATCCAGATGTAACTAGGAAACAAAACCATGAAAATAATTTAACTAGTTTCGATACTAGTAGCTAAAATGTAGGACTTTCTTAGACTATTAATCAAGCTTTAAGTAGCAAGCCTTCAACATCGCAAGGAAGAATTTAGACCATTAAGGGATAATCTTTTTCAAATAAAAATATTTCTTTGATTGCATAAAAATAACATAATTTTAGTAGGATTAACAAGTCAAGCAATAGTTCTCCATAAAGAAAAACTAAAGGTTAATAAAGCACAAACACCTTTAATAATACTTAAAATAATTTCTCAAATAATTAAACTTTAAATGGGCTATCCCTTCTTAATAATTAACATAAACCTAGTCTAGAATACAATAATTATATAGAAAACTTAGAAAAAAAGTTGAATGAGCTCAATGGAAATAAGAATAGCGAAAAAAAAAATATTAATTTACTTTATAAACCATAAGATACCCTTAAAAAAAGAACTTCATAAAAGAAACTTAAAATGTGCAGATAATTTGTCATTACTGGACTTTGTAGATATGGTTAAACATGCCAGTTCGCTCATAATATTTAAGAATTAGATATTTAGTACATACCTAAAGGTAAATAAAAAGCTATTTTTTTTACTTATTTTTCAAGATAATTTCTTGATAAATGAAGAATTCTTTTTTGAAATTATTTTTTATTTTGATAGTTTGGAGTAAACATTTTGATTAGCATAAAAAATCTAACTAATACCTATCTGAATTAAAGTATAACTTTCCAGATAAGTAATATTTAAGAGATAATTATAGTGATTAGGAAGAAAAATATGATGAAGATAAAGATTTTGATGATTAAGAAAACTAAATGAGTTATCCAGAAATAAATAATGATAATACAGATTAAAAATAAAGTGAAGGTTCATATTTAGGAAGAAAAAGTGCTACTAATCTTTAACATCTTTAGCAAAGCAGTATCATAGAAAAATAATAAAAAGACTACTCTTCAATCATTAAAAAATATAATTAGACCAGTGTAACTTTTTTAAAATTTAAATAATACCAATATGAAAAAATTATATTTTTTTAAAGCTAAGTTTCAATAAAAAACCATAAAGTGCTTCATAAACAATGTTAACAAAAAGAATGAGTAATATTGATGACTATATTGTAGACATAAATAAAATTATTAATTAAAGAGGAAGAAGTCTTCTTTTAGAAGCAGTTTTACTTGGATAGTTAGATGGTAAACTTTGTAATATTTTAAAATAATAATGAAATAAATACACTTTAATATTAGTTGTAAAAGAATTATTATTGAAGGGAGCTAATCCTTCTATAACTGATTGGTCTGGAAATGATTGCATATTATATTCAATAAAAAAAAACTCAACTGATATATTAAGATATTTATTAGACTACTCCTAATTTGAATTAGATTTAAATAAAAGATTTGGTGTAAAATTTTCTTTTCTTTTTTTATCTTCATTCCAAAAATAAACATTAGACTAGCGAAACAACATATTTAATTTATGCAGCACAAAACAGCTTAAAAAATATTGTAATTATATTGCTTGCCTAAGGTGCTGATCCAAATATTTAAGACCAAGTATTCATAAATAAAGCAAGAAATTAATTATAAACTCAACGAATTTTAATAATAAAAAGCAAAAAAGAACAGCTTTGACATTTGCTGTAAAAAACAATGACAAAGATACTATATAAGCTTTATGTGAGAATGGGGCTGTAGGGACTATTGTTGATGATGTATAGAGTTTTTTATTTAAATTATTCATAGTTAAAATTTTTTTTAGTTTAATAAAACACCCGTAGATTACGCCTTTACAAAAAAATAGCTTGATATTGTAACTTACCTATTTAAAAAAGGTGGTGTTTTTGCTGATTAAAAAAAAAGTAATAAATTTTATATTTATTTATTAATTAAAATCATTTATTTATTGATTAATTTTAAAATGATAATTTATTTACAATCAATAAAAATAGATAGAAAAGTTATGTTTTTTGCAGCAGAAAATAATTTGATAGATTTAATACATGAAATGATTTAAAGAAATAACCCAATTTCTGATAAAGACCATTTGGTAATTTCCAAAAATTTATTTACACTAAATTAATTTTAAAATATAGGGAAATAGCATATTGATGCTGTTATATAAAAATAGACACTTTGATAATATTTTAAAAATGATTGAGGAGTTAAATTTAACAAATTAAATTTGTGAAAAAAATAATGTAAATAATATATTCAAAATAAAGTTGATTTGAAAATATAATTGCTTAAATTAGAATGGAGATTGTGTTTTAACATTAATGTCAAAGGAAGGAAATGAGTATCTAGCTATCCAGCTAATTTAAAGATATTCAGGATAAATAAATATAAACATATAGGATAAAGTATTATTTTTCTTGCTACAAAGTTTTATTTTCATTTTTATAAAATAGGAAGGAAAAACATGCTTGATATATGCTTGTGAGCATGGGCTAGATAGTTTAGTAGAACTGCTTCTTTAAAAGGGAGCTGATTGCAATATTTATGATAGGGTAATTTATCTATTTTTAAAATTATCATAAATATTAATATTTAATTATATCCTTAGAATTGGGATACTCCATTATTGCTTGCTTCTAAAAATAATCATTTAATGTGTGTTAGATACATACTTTAATATGCTAAGGGAATAGATATTTTATGGAAAGATTAGTATTAAAATACAGCAAGAAATTGCTCATAGTCAGTAGCTATAAAAAGTTTAATTTCACAATATATGATTGAATAGGACAAAATGAGTGATTCATTGATAAAAGGTAACAAATAAATAATAAAATAATACTGAGTTAATTTTTTATATTTTTTATTAGAATTGGAAGACGAAGAATTCAATTTAAAGTAATATTTTGACCAATAAGCTAATAATACCAGTACAAGTTAAATAACCTAAAAAAAAAGTAGTATAATTGATTATTCTCAGCAGAAAAAGTTATTTAGAATAAGTAAAAAATATGGGAAATGAAAAAATATGTAAAAAAAAATTAGTAAATGTAAAAATATCTAATTGATGAGTTGTATAATAAAATTGTAAATTTTTAATTCATTAACAAAAACAATTAATGATCAAATTCTTATTAAAAATTTCTAACATTATATAAAGAAATTATAAAAAATCGATTGTTTTTTTATGTAATTAAGTTAAACTTTGAAATTGTATTAATGTGTAAAGATAAAAATCAATAAATTAGTCTATCATGTTTTTAACGTCCTACCTAATTTTCTATTAAAGCACTAGAATCATAAATTATCTATTTTAAATAGCTAATTAATAATCATCATTATTTTTTTAGATTTTTGCTTAATCAAAAAACTATCAAACTTATATTTACTAAAAATTATAACTTTTAAAATCTTTTCAAAGAAATTTATTAGTTGTGACTATAAAACATAAGTAAAACGCAAGCGAAATATTTTTTTGTTAACACAGTTTCATTGGAGAATTAATTCAAGTTAGCTGATATCATTTGATAAATTATTGAATTTAAATTTTTAAGGAGTATATATTTGAAAATTAGCAATGGAATACTCTTTTTAGGATAATTAGATTTAGGATCGACAATAACAACAAAATACATAAAGTAGTAGAAATGAAATTCCAGTTGCTGAAAATATTTAATAAATAGATCATATTTCTAACTCTGAAAATAATATAATTTCACAAGTATTTGAATATGGATCATTTTACTCATCATAAAACCAAGTATTTAGTTACTTTTAATTATTTTGTAAAAGTAGAAGAAGCCAATAATTAAATACATTATTAGAGTTCATTAGTATAAAATATAATTATTTTATAATTCAAATTTATTAAAAGGTAATTAAAAAGATGCATTCTCTCAAATTAGGATCTAATTTTGAAGTATTCACAATAGCATTTTCATTTATGTAAGAAACTCGCGAAAATGATGAAAAATAAAAAAAGAAAAGTATGAATGAATTATTTTATTTTAGAAATGCTCTTTAAAAAGTGTTTTATAAACTTATAAAATAAATTAGAATAAGAAGATTTTATACATTTAATACAAATTGGTAATAATAACCAGAAACTCATATAAATTAGTATTGATCCAAACACTTAATACTTGTGTGTATCTTACAAGTAATATTTGTTTTAGATTTTCATTTGATTAAAATTCAAAAAGACCTTTACTTATTTAATATGATATCAGTTATTTTTATTAAAGAAAATTAGTAACTCAACTGAAATATTATTTAAAATAAAAATGGAATTAATTAATTATTCTTAATTATTTGGTTTAATTATATAGGAGAGATGTGGATTATGAATACTTATTTTCACAAAGCAAAATAAGACCTTCTAAAATATATCATATTTAGATTACATACACCTCTACTATGCTTGATGGTTAACCTTGCTATCATATAAATATGTATATAAATGGGGTTTTGTAAGGATAGGTAGATAAAAAATTAACTTTCTTTGTCTATAAAATATTTTTTTTTAATATTTTAATTAGGTCGATTTTAGTAATCCAATAAAATTTGTGGTTAAAAGTTTGATATTCATAGGTTCTGAGAGTGCTGAGAACCTTTTTATGGGGTAAATATCAGATTTTGTTATAAGCACATAGGAATTTTCGATAGAAACGATTAAAGAAATTTTAGATGAAAAATGTTCTTCTTATGAAGAATTAAGAAACTTACCATCAATATTAAACATTTTAGGAGAGTTAGAGGTAAAAAACACTATTGGTCTTTAAAACTCTTTAATGACTTTGCAAAATAAGCATTAAGTACCTTATTAATTGTAAAGCTCACACGGTGCTTACGAAGGTGATATGCAAATGAAAAAATCTCTCTTGTTAAAGAATGATGAGATTATGCATCAAAATCATAAAAAAAGAAAGCATTATGATGATTTTAGGGATTCTCTATTACGTAATGATGATTTAAATATTGCGATGAGGCAGATGAGTTTAAATTATAGATGGATATTTACTACACTTTTTGCAATGTCACCTTCTGTAGATGATGGAATAGGATAAAAAGTTCCTTTTTTCTGTCTTCATACTCTAATTGCTAACGGTAATATTTAGGTGAATGAAAATTATCCCATTTATGTTATAGAATCAACTCGATTTCATAGAGTTCTAAGCTATTCAAAAGTTAAAGTAATAAGTTACATATATATATTTAACTAATACGATGAATTAATTCATATTTTTTTAATCAAAAGATAAGTAGAGAATAGTTAGAATATTTGGCAGATAAGGCTGGTTGCATTAAAACATTTACGTAAAGAAAAAACTACATTTTTTTGCCAAAATAATAAATTTTTATTTTGAAATAAATTAGATTTGAATAAGAATTAGAGAATAATAACAAGCAAAAGTTGAAAATAGAGGGAATTTTTTATGATCAATTTATGTAAATGGCCAGGGATATTAGCCTTAACGAAGAAGAAATTTAAATAGTAAAAAACTAAGCTTAGATAAACCCTCATCAAGAGGAAGAAGATATAGAGCGGGAAAAGAGGGAATGGCTGTCAGTCTAAAATGAATTTATTAAAGATAATAAAAAGCCAATGTTTGTTTATAACTCTTTAAAGCATTTATAAAGAGTTTTAAAAATGAAAAAAGTTCCTGAACCATTCAAAGAATGCAATCTATATAAAATTGTAGGATTTTATCTTATTCTACCTCCCTTCAGGTCTCTTTCTGATGTCGGATATTATAACAAATTTGTTCAAGCTCTTTTTTAATACCGTTATTAGAATAGTATTACTAACCTTTTTAAAGCCATATGTCATGGAAGACTTACAAGATGTGAAATATCACTATTCCATTCGTTTGTTGTTGACAAATTATAACTAGAAAGTTCCCCTAATATCGAAGAGATTTTTAAAATGTTATGCATATCAAACCCAACTAGCTTTAATGAAAAAGAATTTGACTTCTTTTTGAATAATTGGTGTATAGGATCTATTTATTAGCATTCTAAAACAGGTGTATAAATTTACATAGACTGTTTTAATTAAAAATATTTAGAAATTGATCCTTAATCAAAAAATTTAACTGACTTTTTTAATCAGTCAGCTCTAGGCTTTTAAAATAATGCTAATACAAATACATATAATTAAATGAATAATAACAATAATATTAATGGTGGAAACACGATTGATTCTCATTAATCATTAAATTCTAATTCTTAACCTGCTTCTATTGCAACCTCTTATTTCTAATTTAGGGTTTTAATTGAAGAAGGAGAATCAATACACGGGCTTTGTGGAATTGAAAAAGATGGATATGTTAACTTAGAATCTCTTAAAGTAATAACAAATCAAAGAAAGATATAAATAGCTCCTCTTAGAAATCACAGATAGTTTTAAAATACTTTTATTTATGATCAAAAAGTTTCATCACCTAAACCTTAATAGAAATAATAAGATAAATTGGCTGCACACCAGCTATCTCCTTGGGGTACTTCTTCACAAACTACAGCCTCTCCATCTTTTTAACCAAAAAGTAGCTAAGGAAATTAATCACCTTTAATATCATCAAATTAATTATCTGTTTTTGGCGATAACCCTGATGATTTGGATCCTAATGCTTTTGCCATTAGAAAAAAGAGTTCTACTATGATAACCCCAAAAAACCAATTATAATAGCAATAACAATAATAATAATAAATCGAATAAAATTAAAATCAGTAAGATTAAATTAGCTAAAAGAGAACTTCAATTACCTCTCATAGTAGTAGTAGCCCATAAAGTAATATTATTACATATATTCATTTCTCTTTTAAGTTTATTATTTATTCCTTCCACTTTGTATAAATGTTAATAAAGTTAAAATATTTTTTTTTCTACAAATTTAAGTTAAAAAGTAGTATTTTTTGCTAATTAAAATATATAATAAATTAATTAAATAGATGCTAATGGATAAATTAGAAATTTAACTGTAGCAATAACTTCTGCTACCAATGTAATGTTAGATAAGAAACAAGAATCAAACGCATAAAATTAATAACCTCTAAGTATATCTGATAGAAATATTAGGGTAGGAGGAGATAATTAAAAACTTGAAGATAATTTATTTTTATATTTTGATCCTTAAGAGATGCGAAAAGTTACAGGGTTCGAAATTTTAATAAATCAAGATCATGAATGCCCAATTAAGTATTAAGAAAACTAGCTCATGATGGACATATCTTCATAAAAATATTTATGCCGCTTTTCTACTTTGTAGCTTTTATCAATTTCTTAAAAATCACCTAAGACATCTATGGATATGAATATAAACTTTCAAACTCCAACATTATCTCAAGCAAACAGCTTCAAAGCATAACCACAGAGCTCAGCTAATCATCATAAGCATAATTCTTAGAATTCGAATGATTTTTCTTTACCACACAAAGGAAGTTAATTTAATAGTAATATTCATGATCACGAGAGTAATCATGTAGGAAGTGATTTTGGATCAGGTACTAATACAATTTAATCTCCAAATAACCACTCTGGGCGAAAGTATACTAACTATTAAGACTATCCTATCATATGCAATTAATGGAATTAAGGGAAATTTTAAGTAATTGTTAATCATTGCACAAATTGTGAAAATCATCAAACAACAACCTGGCACGAAGAAGCAGATTTTTGTGAAAAATTCAATGAACTTGGTCTACTCTTATAAAACTTATTTCCTAATGTAGAGATTATAGGTAACTTTGATAAACCTAAAATTATTGAGTCATTCGAAGTTTACATTAGAGGTGTTGGTCCTATAGAAATGAGAGATACATAAGGTCGTATTATATTGTATCGTAAAAATGAACCATTAAAAGCATTCCTTACTTATTTCTAGCAGAGAATGATCAAGGTGAATTTTTTTAAAATACTTTTTGTATATAATTATAATTAAAAATAAGGTTTTTGATGGATTAATATTGTTAAGTATGAGCTATGCTGATTCTTCTGAGATGGAAAAAATCCAACTAGAGTATTTAAATAAATACTAAAACCTCATCCCTCCTATATGGAATTAATATCACGAGTATCCTTGCATAGTTCCTGAAAAGAGGTAACAATTAGAAGAAGAAAAGAAGAGAGAAACCGAGATATCAATAGGAACCATAATGATATGTAAAAATTGGGGCTGCGGCTAGTAATATGAATACACTGATGATAACAATTCAAATAAGCAATGTTTTTATCACCCAAAAGCTTTTGATTTGGGATCAATGCACGGATTATGGCCAGAATCTTGGTCTTGTTGTAGAGGAAATTGGCATTCTTCTGGTGATTTTTAAATTCCATTTATTTATAAAATTAATAAATTAATTTAATTTGTTAGGATGCACAAGAGGCAGACATAGAGGATAGCCAGAAAAAAAATTTTAGAAGCTTTGCATAAATCATGGTATATTTATTGTCTAAAATAATGATAAATAAATATTAAAAATATAAAACAATAGGTGCTATTAACCCTGAAACAAAAAGGCCTGACTCTGCTTGTGGTAAGTTTTATTCAGAAAATGATTAAAAAATATGCAGATACCATCGTGGATACTTTAAAATGACTTCTAAAGATAGTGGCTACTGGACATGCTGCTTAGATGGATCGTATGTGGCTCATGGATGCCACGAAGATACACACGAGTCAGCTACTTGGCCTGATCCTAAAGCTAAGATTTACTTTGTTGAAAGACAATTGATAGTAAATTTAAAATTTTTTAATGAAAAAAAAAAATAATTTTTTAATGATAGAACCCAGGGCTAGATAGGGATAAAAAAATGGATACATTTGAGAAATCATCACTTTAATCTTTAATTTATAGATAAACTTAGGCATACAAAGTAACTTATATCCCTAAGATTTATGAAATATATAATCAACAATCGATATTTTATAAAAGCCATACATTACGAAAAAAACTTTGATGGAAATAGAAAGAAAGGCTATGGAAAACGAGACAAGAATATGCCTTAATTGGGGTTGTGAGGAGAAATGTATGAGATTTAAAGAAGTTGACAATATCAAAGATTAAGAAAGAAGAATAAAAAATTGCTATTACCATCCTGGGTATTTTGATTTTGGAAATGTAAATAAACCTGGAGGAGGCATATTATCGATTGCATAGTAGCTAGCAAATCCTTCATAAATATACATACCAGAAAATGCTATTAATCCTCGATGGACTTGCTGTAAAAAGCCATGGAAATATCCAGGTTGTAAATTAACTCTTCATAGAGGTATTTTATTTATTATATTTTTAAAAAAGATATCAATTTAGATATTTTTTAATTAAAATTTTAGGTCCTGTTGAAGCTACTATGCCAGAACTTAAATATGGAAGATGGCCTAATGTTAATGCTATGAAGCATTTTAAGAAGTAGTTCTCTGCCTAATTTAAGTAGAAAATGGGTGAACTCATCCTAACAGAAGACCTTGCTAGGCATAATTGGTATCAATTTTCTATAGGAAAAGTAAACATTTTTATATTTTAAATATAAATTAATAAGGAAAATATATTAAATTTATTTTAAATATTTATTCAGGAATTAATCCCAATGGCTAGAATAGGTGAATTGTGTGATAAATTTAAATTGTATTGGATGGCTTTGTTAGAAGATTTATCTTATCATTTTAAATACTTTGACGTTCTTAAAGGTGTAGCATAAACTCTGTTAGATAATGGAAACGGGTTTATAGAAAGAGAAACGTAATTTAAAAATTTATATTTATAATTTAAAGATTTTATATATTTTAATTATAGATTTACCAAATGGTGGTTTACTCCTTTAGATTAATATCCATTAAATATTTGAGTGTTTCTTAATAGATTAATACTTAAAAGAGCAATTAAGTTGGCTTTTTTGATATTTATATTTAGATAGCTTATTATTGTAAATAAGTCAGAATTTTTTATAATTCTTTTAATTCTGGGCTTTGTAAAAAAATTAAATGTACTTTTGCTAAAAGAATATTGTTTAAACATGTTTTTATATTAATTTTTGTTTGATATTTTTTGAAAAATTATTTTTCATTTTTAATGTAAAAATTCTTTTTATTATTTATATAATTTTAATAAAAAAACTAAATTTTGATTTATTTAATTTATAAAAAATAATTTTATTTAATTTCGAAAATAAAACGGAGATTTAATATTTAAAATATATTGATAAAATAATAAAAAGTTTTTAAGTTAATACATTAAGATATTAAGCTAATCAAAGATTAATTAATTGAATATCATCATATAATTTTTAATAAAAAACTTCTTTTTTAGCGACTTTTATTTTTTAATAATAATACTTATATATCTTAAATATAGGTTGTCTAATTTATAAACAATCCAAAAGTTTACAGCTAGTTTGGATATTTCAGATGTTTGTTTATAATAAAACTCTTTAAATTGTTACCTATGCTATTGTAATATTTCGTATTTTTTAACATAGTTATGCTCTCTAACTGTTAATAAAAACTGTTATTGTATTTCAGTAATTTTATTTATTGCGTTACTAATTTTTGTGGTTTAGTCTACTTTCATCTTCTGTGACTGTTAAAATCTAAGAGAGCTAAAAGATATTTTTTAAGCTATCTATTTGGTTTATTTTTAGAATAAAATTCAGTTTATTTTATTTTGTTGTGCCATTTTTTATTTTAAAATGTCATAAATATCTTGAATTCTCACAAATTAGTTCAATCTTACTTGCTCTGGTAACACTTTTGTAGTTGATAGTTATTGATTGATAATAGAACTAACAAATGCCCCATCATATATATAAAAGAAAAATTTATTTAAACTCATAGTGTTTTTTTACTCTTTGAAATTTTACGAATAGCAAGGAAAAATAAGGAAACAAATAAATAAGCCAAGCAAAGAAAAGAAAAAAAATAAGACAGATTAAAGATAAAAATTTAGCGTGATCAGAGAGAGAAGTCAAGAATTTTGTAACGAAGAAGAACAGGAAGAATTAAAATATAAATAAATAGATAAAGAACTATAAAAGTAATAAGCAATGGACTAATCTTAGGATGATAAAAACAGGTTGAAACGAAGCGGAAAGAAGCGTCCTTAATCACAACAACAACAAGAAGGTAGTATTGGTTAAGGAGGTTCTACAAGCACCGCAAATACAAATACAACAGCTATCACTATAGGTAGTGCAAACACAGGAAATACTCCTTCTGCAAGCGTAAATAGCTCCCAATTAGCACAAACTTCATCTAACAATGTAACATCAAATGCGACAGGGTAATTAACCTAAGGTATATCAACTTCTAATGCAGCCAATTTATAATCATCTTCAGCCTCTCAATAATTAACGGGTAAAAATACCGATGACACCCCTCTCAGTTAGAAGGTCACTGTTAATTAAGAGCTTTTGGAATATGTCAACAAGCTTGAATATTTAGTTGTTTCTACGAGGCAAAAGCTTTTAAGAGAGAGGAAAGCGTATTAATAAATCATATCTAGTCTTGCTTTATATTTTGATGCTAAAGGAATTAGATCTTAGCAAGTTGAATAATATGTGGATTCCGTAGTTGATTCTCTCAAGACCAATTAGGAAGAATCTGAATTAGAGTTTGAATAACTTGACTGGGTCAAATTTTTGCACGATAAAAAACAAGATAAATTGAAAAGATCGAGAGATATGATAGATCTACAAGGCTCTAATTTACATATATCAACAGGAACTAGTGTCTTAAATATTAACTCAAACCTTTAAAACTCTAGCAATCTCAGCAACGGATTATAAAATTTAAGTAATTTAAATACAAATAATTTGCAATCAAGTGTATAAAATTCTAAAAATGCAACTAATGGTGTTTCCTCCACATTTGGCTCAGCTTCAAATAATAGTGCTTAAAGTAATATAATTCGTCTTCCAATGGGTAATAATGCAAATGAAGAGAAAAAGGGCTCATAATAGTCCACTTTAACCTAATCTAAATTGAAGAGTAAAGGAAATTCAAGCAATACTATTCAATAATCTCAGTCCTAGCAATTAAGTAAAAATTATCCTGCATCTAATTTAAATAACAGTGGATCCACTTCAGGTATTTTAGAAGCTGATAGTGAAGAACCAAAAAATAAAAAGAAGAAAAAGCCCAACTAAAGCGGAGGGATCGCATCAGATTTGAGTAGTTTATAGGTGAATGCATTAAATCCTCAATAACTTGCTTACTAATAATAATAATACGAACTTTTAATGCAATAAGAATAATAAAAAATGCTTTATTAATAGTTTCTACATGCCTAGTAAGTAAACTAAATCTAACCTAAGATGAACAACCAACTATTTTAGTAATACCTAATGAATTTCTAACCATAATCAAATGCTTAGTGAATAATATGAAACAACTATTAATTTTTGTACTCAAAAACTTAACTAATCCCCATTTAGTATATATAAAGCAAAAATAATAATTACAACAAATACATACTCTCTTTAAAAATTTTATTCGTTGAAAAAATAAGGCTTAATATCCAATAAAAAAATTAAAGTAAAACTTATAAGTTGGAATACTAATTGTAAGTAAAAAGCATAAAAGTAAGTAAACAAGAAATACGATAATAATAATTACCTATAAAAATTCAAGAATAAATAAAATCGAGCTTTTAAATTCACAACTAAGCAAAGAGTTAAATAACTATTTAGTAATAGTTGTAGTAAGTAAGTAAATAAGTAACATTCTATATATGCCTAACGTTTCTCCAATTTAACATAAACATATTAATATATATATATCGATAAAAATTCTGAAAAATGCAATACTATAATACAATTATTAATTTTTATATCTTATTTTCTATTAATCTTTAGCATGCATGCATATTCTTATGTTTTCTCAAAATATCTTTCAGATTGTTCAAATCTTTATTATATTTTTTGTTTCAAATTAATTCAAAATTAATTTCTATTTTTATATTTTAATTAATTTAAGTCTTTTTTATATCTTTTAAATTTTTTAAAGTTTACAACAACAAAGATATAAACAGCCAACTTTATACATAAACAAATTTAATATTCTTTCTTGTTGGGAAATAATAAATTATTATTTAGCTTTATTTTTGGAAATTGTAATTTTATTCTTTTTATCTATATATAATATGAATAATTTAAATTTAATCTATCTATTTATTTAATCAAAAATCAAAAATATATCCTAGGATGGATTAAATTGTATTTAATTTCTTTTATTTTTAAAATTATTCATTTTAATTTATATTTATTTTATGTTTTCTACAGTTTTTTATTTATTATTAGTTTATTTATCTTGAAAAATCTTTTTGTTTTATTTATGTTGTTATTTATTTATTTTAATTCTTTCTTTTTTTTAATGTATTTGTTTTTATTTATTATTTGTTATATTTAGATGATTTATTTTATTTTAATATATTTAATTTTATTTTTTTATCAGTAAAAGAGAATCTATCAAGTTATATTTTTAGAGTATTTGTGTTATTGTTTAAATATTTTGGAGAAAAGAATGATTGAGTTTATTAATATAAATATAATCTACCTTTATTAAAATATTTTAAGCTTTAAAGTTATAATTCCATAAAAAACTTCTTAGAAAATAAGAAAAAATATTCTGAATGTAAAGGATGGTGAAATGGGAGTTTGTGTATTGAAGCCATTAACATTCAGATATTTTACTCTTAATTCTAAGTAAATTATACTTTAGCTTAAATAAAATTTGTTAATAAATAAATAAAATTTTGTTATTTTTGATACTAAACTTTCTAACAAAAGCTAGTAAAAATATAGTGAAAAATCCAAGCTTTAAGCTATAACATTAATGCTCTTTCTTCTAATTTTAAAACTATTAATTTCATATCTAGGAAAGTTAGTTAGGAAATCTTAAATAAGTTATAATAACTTTTTAAGGATGAAGTAGTAGTAGTAGTTTGCATTTAAATGCGGTAATAACCTAACATCACTTTTATGAAAGATTTTTAAATCAATTCATATGAAAATAAAAACTATTCTTGGAAACATTAAAAACTTCGAAATTATTTCATTTTAAAATCATTAAGATTTATTGGCAAGTAAGCTATATTCTTTGCATATCTAAAATATTGGAAATTTTGAAAGAAGTTAATTATTATTAAAGAATTTTAGATTTTCATCTCCTCTTAAAGAATAAGAAATTAATTATTATCAAGTTAGCGCAATTTTCTGGTGGTTATTATATTTTTAATTAATAGATAGATAGATTCATAGCAAATTAGTTATTATAAATATTAGTATTAATTTTTATTAAATTAATTAAGCTCTCTATCCAATTCTGTTATCTTTTTCTTCTAAGCAAATTTTGAACTATTATTATCCCTAATTAAACTAATAAAAATAAAATTAATAATAATTATTTTAAATTTTTTTTTTTCTGTAACTTAAAAAAATCTATCTATCTTTCTCATATTATATTTAAAATGAAACTAATAAAATTATAATTAGTTTTTATTTCTAAATAACTAAATAAGAAAATTAGGAATAAATCTTAACAATTTTCTTCCTTTCTAAAATAAAAAAGAAATAGTCATCGATCATTATTATTAAAAAATACTTTATAATTTTTAATATTAACTTCTTGAATTCAAAAATAATTATCATCCTCTAAGAAATTAAATTTAAATATTATTTATATAAATAAATTTTATTTCAAAAAAATAAGATTCTTATTAAAAATTATTGACAATTTTCAACTGTTAATATTTCTAAAATATTAGAAATAACTCTTTTAATATTTCTATCTATTGAAAATATTAAAAATATTATTAAATTTTATTCAGTAAAATTGCTTTTTATTATTAAATTTTCTATAAAATTTTTAGTTTATTTTAAAAAGAAAAAAATTTAATATGCGTAAATTTAAATTTACAAAATAAAATTATTAGTTATTTGTTTTAATTAAATATCTTTCTTATTTATTTTAATTTTATGTAAATGTAAAATATTTCCTACATTTAATTGGATTAAAAGTAGTTAAAATGGGTGCTTTTTAAGATACTAAATAAATTTAATCAAATATTTACTCTATTAAAGATAGTTAAGATTCTCTGTAATGAAAAAGTGAAAGTAAGCAGTAATATTTCTTCTTCTCAAATTAAATATTTGTATTTATTTCTAAATTTTTTGCAGCATAACCTCTCTTAATAAGATATTTGTGTATTTTCTTCTCGCTTTTGCTTTTGTTTATGTTATTTATATTTTGAGAGATTTTGTTTGGGTTTAATTTTTATTTTATTTTTATTCTATTTTTTTCTATTCTTCGAGAGATTTTTTTTTTCTTCTATTTTTATCTATTGTTTTTATAGTTTATTTTTATTTGTTTTATTTTATTTTATTTATATTTTTAGAGAGATTTTTTTTTAATGTTGTTTGATTTTATTTATTGAGAGAGAGCTAATATGATGATGCGATTTTATTGTCTAGTCTATTTCTATATTTTAAGTACCTAGAGGAAAGAGAGCTTTTATTCAAGCAAGAATTTAAATAGAGAGATATTTAAAATATTCATTATATTAATGATTATGTTCAGTAGTATATTTTTTGACAAATCCAATGCCTTGGAAATAACGAGTTCTTTAGCATATTTAAGAGACGGCGGGATGTCTCTAATGTTTTATTTACAAATTTTTTCTTAAGTTACCTTTCTATACAATCCCTTCTATTTATCCACGAATATGGTAATTATTTGTGTCTTTTGTCATGAGGCTCCTTAATTCGAGAATTTAAAAACTTTTTATCTATTAAGGCGGAGACATCAAATAATCATTTTCTTAAAAACTTGAGTGTTATATGTGGAGGAGATGTAAAAAAATGGGCCGTATGGATTGTATTTTCAGGCAAAATAAGTGTTTAATATAAGAATAGTCTGAACATTTTCTTGCTTGCTATTCGTATTTTATTTTATTTAGAAATTAATTAATTATACAAATTTTCCCCTTTATTTTTTTTTTAAATTTCAAATTAAGTTTTTTATTTTCCCCAATACCTTCCTTCGATACTCAACTTTATTAAATTAATAATTCGAAAAATAATGATCTTTTAATAATAAGAAAAATAAGCATCCTAACATTTATTATTAATTAAAATTTCTGTTTAAGATGCAAAAGAAATTAATTAATAACTTTCATGTTTTAGATGTTTATACTAAATTTTTTTCTAACTTATTTTTCTAAGAAATTAGCATGAATAATAATTAATTTTTTCGTATAAGAAATTAGATAAAATGAATAAATTTATTAATATGATGAAATCAAAGTAGAAACAAAAAATGCTTTTTAATTTAATATAATTTTAAATAATGTTAAAAAAGCTATTTCAATATAAATTTAACAAATATTAATTTTAATTTAAAATCTAATCTAAAAAAAATTTTTTAATTTATGATTTTGAAAAAAGTTATCTATTTATATAATATTGTAAGCAACTTAAATTCTAGAATTAATTTTAAGTTTATAAATAAAATAATTTAAAATTTTATTATTTAAAACCAGAAAGAAAGAAAGAAAGAAAGAAAGAAGAAGAAAAAAATAATTGAAATTTACCTCATAAACATATTGATTTTGATTATAAAAATATAAAAATTTAAAATAAAAAATTGGATTAATATATTTTAATTAATTTTTTTCTTATTAATTATTTTGTTAATTAGCTAATTTAATTTTCAAATCTTATAAGATACTTAATAAGTTAAAGGATTATTTATTATTTTAATTATAAAAATAGATATAATCAAGAGTGAGACTCTAATTAGATATTATATATTTACAGTAATTGCTATTCCATTTCATATTTATTTATAGGTTTTTCTATATGTAAATCAGCACCAGCTTTTATGCACTTCATTTTACTTTGCAAATCTCCAAATGCAGAACAAACTGCAATTTTAAGGTCAGAGAGTAAACCTTCTTTTATTTTTTAACGGATAATAATAATAGCTTAAACTCCATCCATTATTGGCATATTCATATCCATAAAAACAAGTTAGAAGGGGTCGTTTTATTTTTAGCTCTCTTCTATTTTTTCAATTGCTTATTAACCATGAAAAGCTTCTTCAATAACTAAGTTTTAACACTTTCCTAATATTAGCCTAAGGGCTGTTATATTAAGATAGGTATCATCTACAATTAAAATCTTAGTTCTTTTCTTAAAGATGATATCAAATACATTTACTTCAGAATGAGATTTAGAAGGTATTGTTATACTATCGATATCAAAAGAGCATTTTTGACTCAATTTATTTCTATATAATGTAATACTTGGTGTAGGAGATACTTCTTAAAAACTCTTACTTACTTTAAATTTCTTATTCATCACTGAGTTAGTATATATTCTTTACGGAGAAGGAGAAGGGCTGCTAAACTATTCTTTTAAATTGACTTGATTTTGGTTATTTTCATATTTTTCATCAGTATTAGAGGGAGTTAAAGATGTGAATATTTAAGTTGATTCAGTATTTTAAGAATTTTTTTTGAATTGAGGTGTGTTGAAGATAATGCATTAGTCACTAACATTATTATTATTATCGTTTTCATTAGTTTTATATTTATGTTAAGGTATATAAAATGAGTTGCGATGTCTTTTCTTCACATCACAGTTCAATTAAGGAGGTTATTATGCAAGTGTTTTATTTATTGTATTATAGGATGTGTGATAAATTTATGCTGAAGATTTTCTATAAACACGTTTCATTTTATCCACTTGTATATTTTGTTATGAGAAAATATTTTTAGATATTATTCCTTATGGGAAGTAGCTATTTAATAAAATTTTTTCTTAATCATAATTTTTAAATCCTGACTCTGTTTTCATTGGTGAACCTTCTGTCTGAGTGAAATTGTTCCCTTCAGTTTCATATCTTGAAATAAAAGGCTAAATACTTTTGCTAACACTTGTAGTGTTAGTTGGTGGAGAGCTTTCATATCCTTGTTCGATATTGTTATTATTAGTAATATTATCTTAATTATTGAAATTGTTATGATTATTATTGTTGTTGTTAGTGTTTGCATTATTTACTGTGGGGTCTAAGCATTAAGCTATATTTTTGCTCTCTGATAAATCTTCTTCTATTCCTTCATCTTCTTCAACAAGGTCTGCTAAACTATCTTCCTCTTACTTCAGTTTGTTGTATATTTCAAAAGTGAAAGAAGATCCTTTACCAACAGTGCTTTCTAGATTAATATAATTGGAAGGGCCAAGTAGTTCAACTAGATTTTTTGTTATCACTAACCCCAAGCCTAATTTTTTAAAAGATAAGAGTTAATTTAAATAATAACAACTATCATATTTCTTAAGAAATCAAATCAAAAACAAAAGCTAATTAAAATCTATCCTGATTTGTATTTTTCTGATTAAAGTATATAATAGAAAGATAAATAAATAAATATATTTTTATATTATTCTCCTTTTTTATTGTTTTTTTTAAGGAAAATTAAAATTATTTTGGGAAATTTCTATTTTTTTTTTTATTATTGCAAGTAAATTAAAGTTTTTTCATTAATATTAATCAAAAAAAATTATACCAACTCCATGCCTGTTTGATCCATTACTATGATCAAAAGTCCCATATAATTTAAATAATTTTTTTTGTAAATTTTCAGGTATCCCAACTCCAGTATCTTATACTGTAATTTATACACAATTTGAAGAGGATTTTTTAACTATAATTTTAATTTCGCCTCTTTCTGTGAATTTAATTGCGTTAGTCATCAGATTAAAAATAATTTGCTTTAATCTATTAGAATCAGACTGTATGATAGTGTTTTCCATTTAAATTTCTTTTATAATTTTAATATCTGGCTTACTAAATTATATTTACACTATATTAATAACATCATCAATAGTGTTGACCATGTCGAATTTATTTATATTTAAGCGCAGCTTTTACTTTTAAAGTCTTGAATAATCTAATATATCATTTAAAATTATTTCTAACATACATCCACTTTCCTTTATGCACTATAATTACTTTCTGATTTCAACAATATCTTCTTCATGCTCAGCAGCTTAAACAATAGCCAATATACCATTTAAAGGAGTCTTTAATTCATGTGTGACTGAAGCTAAAAGTTGATCCTTGTATTAATCTATTTCCTAAAGCCTATCGTACATCATTTTTTAGCTGACATCTTTTAGAATAATTAAAAAGCAGCTATCATCTTCCCATACAATATTATTAGCTATTATATTAAAGTGGCTTTTTTCTTACTTCTCATTTAAATAGTATCCAAATGAGCAATAAGGTTTTCCTTGCTAAACAATGCTCATTTTACGTTCTTATCTATTCAAATTGAAATATTGAATTATTTCATCTGATAAACATTACTTTGCGCAATCTCCAATAAACACGTGATTTTCCCTAAACATTAAAAATTGAAAATTAATTTAATTAAATAATATTGATTCAAGAGTGAAAAAAAGATCTTGTTAAGAATATCATTTAATTTAATATTTTTATCCTTCGTTCTTATATCAAAAGTTGAAATTAGAGTTTATTTTTCTATTGACTTCAATTTCGAATAGATAAAAATTAAAGTTTTTTATTATACATTTAAAATTTACTTTTAATATTTTCGATTCTTTTTTTCTCATTATTTTTATAATTTTAAAGATTATTTAAAACAAAATTTATATTAAAAAAAAAGAATCAAAAATTAAAGAAAATTTAAATTGATTGGATGTGAAAATTTACACAGAATTATTTGGGAAAAAGAAAATGTAACACTAACTCCATTTTAAATTTATTTTCAGATAACAAACTCAACTTTGTTATATTTTATAAATTTAGATGCATAAAATTAAAAAAATTAACTTCTTATCCTTACAAATTCAATTTATATGTAACTTATTTAATATGGGTTTTTTCATTTGGTTACTAATTACTCAAAAAAGGGAGATTACATAAGAAGTTAGACTAAAAATTTCGCAATTATGTATGAATTAATTAATTTATATGATAATGTATCATTCATTTCTTTGTTATTTGCAAAAGTATAAATTATTTAATTAAAATTTAAATAAGTGATTTATATTACATTCTATGATCTGTTCCACCACTCTGTTTTTATTTTTAGTAATCCATTTAAATATTCTATAACTAGCTTTCTATGTAGGAATTATCTTCAGTGTTGAAAATATCGCGACATGTCTAATTTGAAAAAATAACTTTAAGCATTTATTATTTGTTCATTTTTTTAGCAATAACTACACCTACTGGAAATGACTCGTTAAGAAGGGTCTTCCACCCTTCTAACTATTTCTTCCTATTATATTTTTCTACAAATTAAATTTTAGAAAACCTCTCTTCAAAGTAGCTAATGATATTCAGGCAAATCAAACAAATGAAAGCCCCAATCCATAAGACATTAGGAGTGCTATTAGACTTAATTATGATTGTACAGCAGAAATAAAGACAAGAAAAATTAACAGAGAAGAATCTAATAGAAAAAGAATTAATGGGAATGGTAATGAAAATGATATATGTCGTATATACCAATCCGTATATAAATAATATAGTTATAGTTTCGCTCATGTCTTATTTCAAAATATATTCGTTAATTTCGTTTAGGTAGGAGTGGCTGACATATAGGGTTATTGTAATGCATAGTATAAGCAGACTGTATTTAACAATAAAAGGATATAGAATTCCTATTGATAAGATAGCTATCCAAAAAATTACATATACAATGCCGATAGACATATGTATATCACTCTAAAGCTCGTAATAATTGAATATTGTAAAGAAAATTTATAGTATACAACCGCAAATACTAATAATCGTAAATAGCCATTTTTAGATTTCCTTCTTTTCTTCAATATATAAGCTTTCAAGCTATCTAGATTTATAAGATAAATACCATTTATTAAGCAAGGTATGATTCTGAAACATCTAAGCTTTTATTCAACAAATCACTTGCAAATGGATTTTGTTATACTTTTAGCAAATCTATAAATGCTTTCTTTTTTTTTTAGGGAATAATAAAAAGTGATACTTTGTTTTTGTATAAATTATTAAATTTGTCGAAAGATTTCTTATTAATTTAGGGATAGTAATTGTTTTTATAAATTTAATATAATGCACAAATTGATTTACATGTTAAATATTAATTAATAGCTATCTCTTGAAAATTTTAGACAGAATATTTTTCCTACTTTAAATGAATTAATCATTATATCAAACTATACCCAGCCATTGATTTAAGAATTTATGGTTTTTTTAACCAAGTTAGTTAAATATATAAATAAATTACTCTAAACCTTAGTAAAATATAATTATTGCAATACTCTCTCTTTTTACAATTTTAAAACTGAGGCTATTATAATTTTAAAGCAAAGGTTTTAAATGTTATAAAATAAAAAAATATAGTTAAATTAAAAATATTTTGCTTTCTCTAAAATTTAACTTTTTCTTTTAAAAAATATATTTGCGTTTTAATATATTCAAAATTTAAATAGTCATTCAATACATGATCGCTCAGTATTAAAATAGGTTAATATAAACTTTAATATCTCCTTTACATACCCAATAATAGTTAAATTTAAGTAATTATCAAAAAATTTTATTATACTCTTCTTTTCATTTTTTTTTGAAAATTTTAATCAAATTTTTTTGGAATATATTGCTGGTATGGTATAGCAAATTAACTACTATTAGCCATTCAAATTGATAGTAAATTTTGGAAGCAGTAAATTATAATATTTGATTTTATTTTTTGATTAGAAGCTTAAGAATTATAAAAATACTACAAAAAAAAATATATATAAATGTAAATAACTATTTATATTTTCAATTTATTGTTAAGAAATATTTTATTAAGAAATTTCTACGAGCATTTACTTTAATTTGTACTTTTATTTGCTTAAGAATTACTAAATATTTGATAATTTATATCTTTTAATTATGTCATCAAGGGTTTCAAGATTTATTTGATTTTTTTCTACCACCTTTTAAATTTTTGTTTCAATTATGTTTATTAAGACTAGTAAATTTATTGCTTATTTAGATAAATAATGATAATTAACTTTTTATTAAAAATATAATATCAATTATACTTTTTTAGTGTTTACATTTTTTTAAAAAAAATAAATTAAATCTTCTGTAACATTAACATTTATAATATATTACTTTTAGTCTTGTTTACTTGGGAGAGATGTTCTTTAAGTTTTTATTTACTGTAAAGCAATTATTTTTTTAATAAAAATTAAAATATTTTTATAGTTTTACAATATTTTTTTATAGGAAAAATAAATTAAGTTACGATATATTTCTAAAACATTTTCTTTCTCCTATTTTTACTAAATTTCAAAATGTAATTAGATTATTCTAATAATTAAAATTATTTTATAAATTATTTTACAATTTTATTTATTTGATAAGAATCTTGATTTTTTAAAATATTTTTTGTCAGCAAATTTAAAAAAATTAAATTAATTGCCAAATATAAAAAAGTTAAGTTATTCAAATATTATTTATTAGGAATTTTTGATTGAAATAAGTAGAATTTTAAATTTCTAAATTTTTATTGATTTGTAATTTCATAATTACTTATTTATTTAATTTAACATTATGAAGGCAAATAAAACATGGAACTAATTAGCATCACTATTCAGACAACATTCGTTATTTGATATAAATTTTGTGTAATTAAAATAGATAAGAATTTTTAAAAAGAAAAGGAAGATTAATCAATCAACTTTATTTTGTTGCATTACTCTTCAAATTCAAGTAGGAATAAATACTTTTTAACTCTGTACACATCTTATTTGAATAACTCACTTAAATTACTAAACACAAAAAGAATAAATGAGGAACACTTAATATAGATTATTTTTCTGATTTAAATCCCTTTAAAAAACCAATGAAAATCTTTCAGATTTAAATATAAAAAATACTAAAAAACTAATAAAATTATCTTAATTTAATTAAAAAACTTAAAAGTTAGTAATTAATAAAAAACTCTAAGTAAGATGGAGATATAATTGCAAGAAAATTTATCTTAACAGTAGCCAAACTATCACAAAAAAAAAGAGAGCACAGAAATATTTAACATAAATTCTAACAACTAGGATAATTATAGTTAAAGTTATTAAGTTAGTACTAATACTGATAGTAAAGAAGAACCTAGATTTTATGATCCAAACAAAATTATATCTCTAAAAAACGTTCATAAAACTTATTTATTGGGAGTAGAAGGCGTTACTGCTTTAAGAGGTATTTAAATAATTCATTTAGAATTATATTTATATGCTTCTTAATGATAAAAGGTGTTAGTGTTGACATAAAGGAGGGAGAATTTATTACAATATTAGGAACATCAGGAGGTGGTAAAACTACTATGCTTAATATTATGGGTACTATCGATAAGCCTACAAAGGTAATTCATTAGACAAATTTTATTTATTTATTAAATAAAACATTTCTAACTCTTTGTAATATGAATAATTCCTTTCGTTTTAAATTAATGCTAGGGAGACGTTTTTATTTGTGGATAAAAGATAAAAAGTACTACTGATGACAAATTTTTAGCAAGTTTAAGATTAACAAAACTAGGATTTGTGTTTTAAACATTTAACTTAATATAAAGTTTAACTGCATTAGAAAATGTTGAATTGCCAATGATTTTAAGAGTAAATATTAAAATAATTTTTTTCTTAAAATTAGTTTTTTACTATTTAAAAAATTCGTAAATAATTAGCCTTAATTTTTAATAATAGGGAGAGTTAAGCAGAGATACAATAAGAGAAAGAGCTATTGACTTGTTAACTTAAGTGGGGCTAAAAGAAAGGCTAAATCACTTCCCAAACTAATTATCTGGTGGTGAGTAATAAAGAGTAACAATCAGTCGTGCACTTTCTAACAATCCTAAAATTCTTTTACTTGATGAACCAACAGGTGATTTGGATACAAAGTCTACAGACTATGTTATGAAAATTCTTTTAGACTTAAATATAAAAAAAGGAATAACTATGGTAATAAATTATAAATGATTTAATTCTAGTTTTTAATTTTTAGAATCAAATTTAATTAAAAAATAGATTTAAATTTATGGAATTATTTTGTATAAAAATTTTTATAATTATTCGAAAGGTTATGGTGACACATGATGTTGCATTAAAAAATTATGCAAATAGAGTTGTTAGAATGATAGATGGTAAAGTTAATGCAATCGAGGTTATTCCAACTGAGAAAAGAGAAGAAAATTTAAGGTTATTAGAAGAGGCTGTTTAAAGTCATACCTAATCTTAGCTTCAAAAGGATCAATAAAGTAATGGAAGTGGAGTAAGCAATCATAAAGACTTAGGAGTTAGAACTGGTGTTGTTTAATAAGTAGCTCTTAAAGGTTTTGTACATTTGAATGAAGAAATTGAAATTTAAGATGGTTAAAATGAAGGGTAACGTTAAAAAAATGGAAATTAGCAAAATCATTAGCATCTTCAATAAAATGGATCAAAAACTGAATATAGAAAACCAGGAGAATATCCTATATTTTAATTTGCAAAATAAAGAAAGGCCTAAGAATAGGCAATAAAGTAATTCCAACACTGAAATATACCCATTTAATTACATTATCATAAATAAATAATCAAATGTATTAATAAACAAAAAAAAAATAAAAAATAAGCAATAAATAAAAATTTAAGGGCTCATTCATTATATATTCTAATTCTTCATAATATTCTCACATTTGTCTTATCTATATTATGAATTAATTTATAATTAAATTTAAATAATAAATTTTGTTTATTTAAATATATTTTTATGGGTATTAATGAAAAATGAATAAATAAAAATATAAAATTTTAAAATATATTATTAAAGAAATAAAAAAGATACACTAAGTGTTTTTACTTAATTAAAATGTAATAAAAACAATTTTCATTCATAAATAATTTATTCTAAGCTTAAAATCATATCATTATTAGAAAATCAAAAGCTAATTTAAATAAACAATTAATTCATAAATTTATTTTGAAATATACAATTTATAATCTTTATTTTGTCCTTTTTTATCAATAAATTTATTTTTAATTATTTATTTTATAAAAATTAAAATTCCTTCCTGACTTTCCTTTCTTTATTTTTTGTTTTATTATTATGCTAAATTTATTGATATACCTTATAAAAATCGATTTTATAATATTTAATCAGTAAAATAGTTAAATGATCTACTTTATAACTTGTAAATTTATATTGGGATAATCAATTATAATGCAATTTTTTAAGGATTAAAATTATATAATTTTACTAGTTTCATCACTTAATTGCTTTATTTTTGATAGTGGTAATATTAAATCTTATGTGCTCTTATGAATAGTTTTTTCTTAAAATGGAATATATAATATAAAGAAATAAATTATTTAATGCTATGTCAAAATATAAATAAGATTTAATAATATTCAGCAAAATTTAAAACATATATTGAAAAAATGTAGAAGTGTGCTATTTTAATTTTATTTTTGAATAATAATTATTATAAAACGCAAAAAGCTTTAATAAATTTAGTTAATATTTAAATGAAAGCAATGTCATTTTTAATAAGTAATTTCTAAAAATATTCTGTAATGAATGCTCTTCTATGTAAATTTTTGATACTCTATTAAATTAATTAAAAGCTAATAATAAGCATAATATATTTAAATAGATTATTATTTCAAATGAGTAGATAGAATTCTTTCTTTTCTGAAAGAGATGAAGATTTTTTTGATGAAATGGTTGATAACAGATCTAAGCTAGTATCTATAGGTTTGTATTAACCCTTTTCTGATAAAAATCATTTTAATCATTGTGACAGTTTAAAGGATTCTTTAATTGTAGCAAAGCATTCAATTAATTTAATATTAAAAAACACTGAAGAGGTACTGTATGAAAAATATTTAGAGGAACGTAAAAATGATTACTCAATTGCTTAGTCACTTATATTAGGAGAAATTTATATAAACATGGCAGTGAAATTAATAGATAGAGAACAAGAAGATGAAATGGATATAAACGATTTAGAAGATTCAGAACCTGTACTACAATAATTAATATATTTTTTTGCAGTTTTTACCAAATATTTTTTATTTGTATAACTTTGCTACTACTATTACAACTAAAATTGTTTTATAAATTATATCTTAGAAATATTTTTTATTAAATTGTTTATTTTTAAAAGAAAAAACCAATAGGAGAATCTTGGATTAGAAGCAAAATTGCAATAGAACATTAGCAGGAATTTGATAGTAAAGCTCTTTTTATTTAATTTACTGATTTTTATTGAAATATCAATAATACAAAGAAAATTAAATGAAACTTATGGTCTTAGAATCTACAACTGAATTCATTTTTAAAATATAGAACCTGATGAAACTGAAGGTTTACCCAAAAATGATAGAGTCTCTGATCGGACTTCAATTACATTCAAAAACAAATTTATCAAGAAAAAGGAAGAAGCTTTTAAAGGAGAGGTACCACAACCATAAAACATGGAAATACCCTAGGAAGTAGATGATATTATAGAGAGACTTAGAGTCATTAAATAATTAGAAACTAAAAGAAAAGAAGAAAAGGAAGAGCAAGAAAAGAAAGAAAAATAGGTATATATCTTGACTAAAAATAATTTTATTTAATATTGAAAAAATATTTATAATTAATTAAAGAACCCATTAGAGCTCAAAAAAGAAATGAAAAATAGTAAATATACTTATGATTTTGATGGTAAAGTAATAAATACAAAAGTAGTCAAAACAGAAAAATTACCTCCTTCTAACTATTAAATTAAGTAAGTTAGCAGATTTTGAGTTAAATTAAAATGATTTGTTTTTTTTTATTATTATTTATTTTAGCTACTAATTCTCTACACAAGAAGTTGATAGAAACAAAATTAAAAAGATAAAAGCTTAGCAAGAAGAACAATAGAAATAAGCATAATTGTAGCTTTAATAGCAATAGTAGCAATAATAAAAAGGTAAAGGTAGCTTTTTAAATATACCTCTGCAGAATAACCCTAATCCAAATAAGGATGATTAGGGTCTAGGAATTAGTAAACTATAAGCAGGAGCCAAGAATCCTTTTAGCTATGATGATTTTAATCCAAGCTAAGGAGTTACTCTTTTTTATGATCAAAAAATTAAAGAAGGTCCCAAAAGCAAAGAAGTTTTCGATACCTTAGCAAACTTAGACTAAAGATTAAAAATGCATGATGAAAAGATATAAATTACAAGATCTGAGTATAAAAGATTAACAGAAAACGGAAATTTAAACATGGCTTCAACTATAAAAAATATGTAAGACATCTTATCGAATTAATAAAATGGAGCTTCTCCACTGCACAGATAAACTAGTTTACTAAATGCATAAACGCAAAAACACAATTCAAATATCGATAATGGATCAGCTTTTAAATAAGAAGCTCAAAAAAATTAATAATAGCAAAACCAACTCATTATTAACAATCTTTCATTAATTGATAATTAATCAGCTAAAAATAAATAAAAATCATATTTTTTGAGTATGCTTAATCATCCTTAAATTAACTCAAAAGGTGAAAAGGAGGATTTCCTATCGTATTTAGAAAATAGCAAATCTAAGATAATAATAAAATAACCTGGCCTGCTCACTAATATTATAATCAAAGATGATGAGCAATAACTTACTTCAGATAAAGAAAAATAAAATAATACATTAAAGTTGCCTAATATAAACGATAAAATAACACTACCATAAAAATCTCCTGTAGATGAATTTAATTAATCTATTATAAAAGGAGGTAATGAGTGGGGTAAAGGAAACAGAGGAGTTGGTAATCTTTCTTCAGGTAAATAAATCCATAAGCCTAGCTAAAAAGTATATAGAACTACCCTTAATTAGTTCTACAAGTTACCAAGAGAAAGAGATTGGGGACAATCTTTCAAGTAATCAAAATCTTCAAAAAATATGCTAAAAACAAATAATTCAGAAAATATTTTAACACAGCCAGAAGTGGAGTTTAGAGGAACATTTTATACATTTAATTCTAAATTTTCAGAAACATTACGTAGTTTTAAGTCTTGAAATTTACTTGTATTTTTATCTCTAAATATATTATTTCAATTTATTTGAGTACAATAACTTATCTAAAATAACTAATTGTATTAATCAAATTCTAGAGTTTAGTTTTATGTAAATAAACTTATTTGGAAATTTTGTTGATACTTAAAGAAAAATATGAAGTAGCTTTAAAAATTATTGCTTTGGTGAAATTAATTAATAAACCTATTCCAAACTTTATTCAAATTTTAATGAAAATTAAAATAAAAAAGTAATTAATTAATTAATTGAAAGATAAATTAATTAAAATTTTTTACTTTTGAAAAAAGTGAAACATTTTTGATAGCACAAGTTTTTAATGATATATCTTTAAACATGAAAGCCAGCAATATTTTATTTTCTATTCATAGAGTATATCATATTAATTGTTCATGCTTTGATGACTAAGCAAAACAAAGAATAAAATCCTTTATAAGTCATTCTATTTCAATTAAATATAAAACGCAAATAATTTATTATAATTAGTTTGAGTAAATTGTAATAAATACACAAAAAACATAACAAACACATCAAATAAATATTATCTAACAAAAAATTATACAAATAAATTTAAATAATTTAAATTAGAATAAGCTTTCTAGCTAGTAAGACAGACAAACACACAGGCTAAAGATATACTATAAAAATAAAATTATTTTAAGAATTTACAACTAGGAAAAAAAATGTTCAAGGCACCAAATAAAATAATTTAGCGCCTAGATATGGAATTAAATAATAAAAAACTCAAAGATAAGCTTTAAGAAATTAAAAGAGGTGGAAGCCACAATTTAAGCTATAATGATATGAAAACAGATAAAATTTAAAGCAATTATTAAGAGGAAGGATAATAACAGTCGAAAGAGGAGTAATCCAACAATGTTTCTAAGTAATCTTCTTCTTAAAATCATATTAAGTCTCAATGAATCCGCAGTACCTACCAATAATAGGTAGACCAACAAATCCAAAAATAAAATCAAAAGATAATTAAAAAAATAAGCGATATCCACACTTTAAATGGATAGAATTCTTCAATAATCAATTCTAACATTTACTATCATCGCTTTCATCTGCCTTAGATTACAAAGGGAAGCATATCAGCTAAAAACGATGATTAAAGAAAAAAGAAGATTGAAGCAATAGAAAACGAAAATAGTGATATGGTAAAGCGTCTTAAAGGAGTTAAAAGCGTGTTTGACATCAAAAAATGGGAATCATAAAGAAAATAAGTTCAATAATATCTCGACCTTATGACAGAATATCCTACTATTAGGAGAGGATAGAGAAATTAGAAAAATAGCATATCAAATACGTCTGAAAATAGTGCTAATATCCCAAATACTTAAAGAAATCAATTGTATTCTGGACACAAAAACTCAGAAAGTGCAACAAATAGCAAAAAAGAAGATTTGTATTTTTAGAATATGTCATCCTAGTAGTCAGTTTCGCCAAGTAGATTTTAATTATTATTAAATATTCATTTAAAATAAAACTAAATATGATGAAAAAAATTAAGCTATTAAATTTTTATTTTTTTAGAAAAATAGTTATTTGAATTGCAAGGTGGTTCATTTGCTAGGGTTATTTAAAAAAGGCAAATACTATTCAGAAAACCTTTTTAAATATAAGAAAAGGTTTATTTTATAGAGATTAAGACTGAGGAAGAGTAACTAACTAACTGCTGTTTAAAACAAAAAAAATTAATATATTTTTTTCTATTTAAAGGAAATTCATGATTGATGCAGAAGATATTAATAAAAAGAAGTTCCATTATGAAATGCCTATAAGCAAAGGTTAGTAGCTTACTTTATAACTAAATTTTTTATTAATTACTATTTATAAAAAGGAATTGATTTAATTAAGAACGAATTTAGTGAAGACATTGAACTTCTTGTACAAAAAATAAGAATTGATGAAAAAGAAAATAAGATCATCATTTTAAGAAAGAGAAAACCTCTAGAGATTTCTGCTGAAAATGCAGATAAAAGAAACCAAAAAAGAAATGAATTAGCTATAAAAAATAGAATAAACTACCCATAAAAGTATGAAGAATAAGAAGGCTAATAGATTTAAAAGTCTGTGTCACTTCCTAAATACTTACAACCCAAGAAAAACTTTTAGGATGCAAATTAAAAAGATGGTTAATAAGAAATGAAATATAAATAGAAAGAAAAACAAAAAGGTTTAGTTGGTAATCAACTTTCGTTCCAAGAATAAAAAAATAAAAAAAATTCTAAATCATCTCAAAACATAATCATAAATACAAATTAAAACAGTAAAAATAATTCAAATATAAACTAGAAAGCTTAAGATGCAAGAAATGATTATGTAAATAAAAATGATCAAGAAGAAGTATAAGAAGAAAACTATAGTTTTGATGAAGAATTTGACGAAGGTTAAGATGCTAATAAAAAAGTAATTAACGAAGACAAATAAAAGTCTAATAATGTTGAAGTAAATAATGAAGAGTTTGAAGTTAGTGATGAAGATTAAAAGGTGCCTTAAAAGTAGGACTAATAAAAACTTTAGTAAGAAAATAAAAATGAAAAATAAGATTAGAAACAAGAAGAAGAAAATTATGATTTATCTTTTGAAGAAGAGGAAGTCAAAGATTAAGGTTAGTAAAATAATGATAAGTAAATTATTTCTGAGAAGTAATAATAAATTAAAGTTTAAAGCAATTCAAAAGCACAATAGAGTAATCAAGATCATAAATCATAAAAATAGGAGCAAGCTAATAATAAAAAAACTTAATCTAACCAAGTAAATTCAAAGTTATAACAATAATAGTAATAACCACAAAAAGAAACACAAATCAATAAAAATAATGCAAAATAAACATAGTCTAATCAATAATTTAATACTAAAATTTCTGAATAAAACAACAACAACAAACCAAAGCAAAATAATTAACAGCAAAATAAAATTTTAAATGAGAATATCAAAGACAAAAAATAATAAGATTTAATTCCAAAAAAATAAACGTAAGCTCAGCAGTAGTAAAATTCTTAGAAAGCAAGCGATTAGAAATAACTAAAAGTAGACTCAAAGCTAAATCAAAATGATAAAAAATAACAAATTTAATAGCCAAAAAATCAAAATATGGTCACATAATAAAATAATAAGTCTAAGTAGATTTCATAATAAGAATAATTGATTTAAAATAATAAAAAGTAAGAAAGCTAAAATTAATAGTAATCTATTACAAATGGTAACAACAAGTAAAAAAGCTAATAAGATATTTAATAAGAAGATTATAATCTTGATGAGTTTGATCAAGAATTAGTAGAAGAAAAAACAGTTTAAAATCAAGCATAAAATTAGAAAGAACTGGATAAAGCTTAAAAAGAAGAAATTTAAGATGAATAAATAGAATATAATGAGGAATTTGATGAAGAAGATGATAATATGAAACCTTAAAAAAAGTCTTAATTAGAAGAAAAGAAACAATTAGATGAAGAAATCGAATATGATCAAAATAATGAGAGCAAATTAATAAGTTCATAGAATTATAAAAAGTAATAAAACGCCTAAGAAGATGATGATTTGGAGTATTCATAAACTTAAACATAAAATGTTGTAGAAAGTTAAATAATGCAAAATCACCAAAAGAAACAACAACCAAATAAAAACTAGTAGAACAAATCAAATTTCTTCAATGATTCTGAAATAGAATAAGATATGAATGAAATCGAAAACGAAACTAAATATTTAGGTAAAAACTTATAAGAGAATAATTAAAAAGCATAAAAGGAGGAAACGATAAAAGCGGATCACATTAAGTAGGAAGAAACTTAAGATTAAGGCAATAAATAGATATAAAAAGAGAATTAAAAACATAGCTAAAAGTTGGAAAATCATGAGGAAATTGAGCAAATACATGAAAATAAATCTTAAGAAGACCATCATAAAACTAAATAAGCTGAAAATCATCACCAATAACAAGAATTAAAAATTAAAGATGAAATGAAAGAAAATTAAATAAATCATGAATAGCATAAATAATTAAAAACTGAGGAAAAAAATTAAAAATCACATAATGAATTAGATGTTATCTAGCACTCTCATTTGTAAGATACATAAAAAAAAGACTTGTAAAATAGTGATAAGAGCTAGAATAATTAGAAATCATAAAATGAAATAAAAACTGAATAGTAAATTAAATTAGATGAAAAATCTTATAATTAGTTAAATGACATTGATTAGCTGGAAAAATCTCATAAAGAAATAAAAACTGAGAATAACTTAAATCATGATAACTAATAATCTTAAAATGAAAATACTCGAAGTAAGAAAAATCAAAAATCTAGTAATCATTTAAAGAGTGAAGTTTTTGACAATTAAAAAGATAACAACCATAATGAGGATATAAATAACAAAGATAATAAAAAATCAAACAAGTAGCTTGAAAGTAATTTAGATATTTCTCATAACTCAAAATCTCATCATGAAATTAACCAAACTTAGCATAATTTAGGATCCCATTAATAGCTTTAAAAAGAGGATGATACAAATTTAAATGACTAGCAAAACCATAATAAAAATACTTAAAACATTTCAGGTCATAATTATTCTCTGTAGGAAATAAAAAGTGATTTACATCTTAATGAAGATTAAAAATCTCAAAATTAAATCCATGAGAAATCTAATAACATGAAATCTCAAAATTAAATCAATTAGAAGTCTCATAATGATAACAACACTTAAAATAAAATTAATGAGAAGTCTTAAAACTAAATTAACTAGCAGTCTCAAGCTTAAATAAACGATCATTATTTATAACCACACTCGAAATCTATTATAGAAGAGAAGTAAGATAAAGATAAACAAAAATCAGTTAGTTAAATAAAATAAAGTTAGCATAGCCATTAATCTTTAAATGAAATTGATAACGATCATCAACCAACAGAGTAAAAATAAAAATCTCATAACAAAGTATCACACAATGATATATCTTAATCTTAATTAGAATTAGATAACAATATGAATAACAACTAAAAAAAATCTTAAAATGAACTGGATAAGATTTAGAAGCAATCTCATAATGAAATAGAGGCTAATATAAAATACGAAGAAGAAAATAAGAAAAATGAAGCTCATTCGATTTAAAAAAGTTAAAATGAAATTTAAACAGTTCACGAAAATTCTAAGAACAAAAATATCTCTAATAATGATGTAAAGAATGAAAGCTAAAAGTCACTAGAAAATATTGAACATGAACATGATCATAAATAGTAACAAAAAGATAAAAAATAAGTAGAATAGCAAAACAGTTTTGAAGTAGTAAATGAATGATATACACTAAGTGTTTTATTCTTATTTTTTGTTTATTGAATGAATATGAATTAATAAATATTTAAGTTTCACTATATGTTAGCATTTTCGTTTTGTTTATTGTATTGTTACATTAAAAAGTAAACATTTTAATATGCCTCAGAAATTATTTATGCTAAATAAGCTCTCTCTTAATCAATTGTATCTGAATCGTAAATATGTTGAGAATCAAGACAAAAAATTTAAGAAAAATTTTCCATTTTCTATTAATAGTTTTATCTGACAATAAATTGGAGGACTCCGCATATTTTTTCAACTGATTATCTTTTTATAATTTAATAAAGTTTATAAAAAAGTTATTTTAATTTTTTCTTACTCTTTTAAGAGCATAGGTATGTAGAGTACTGGGAATTATGTCTCTAAATCTATTTGATTATTGAAATATTAGTGATTATAAGGGTTAAAGATAATTTTGCACTTTTTATTTTCTACTATTTCTTATAAAGTTGTGTTTTGCAATTAGAATACTTATTTGTTTCCAAAGCTATCAAATCCATAGAATTATTAAGGGTTTGACTGTGAAATAAAAAATATTTTGAATTTGTCAATGCTTAGTCTTTCTGTTACATAACTTGATAAAAATGTCTGAAAAGAATACTCATCTCTGCATTTTAGAAGTTATTTGTATAAATCACTGTAAAAATCTTTGAATCTTTTAATTTTATGGTCAATGAAAAAATTTTAATTAAATGTTATTCAAATATTTTTTTACCTATAATAGTTGTTTTTAATCATGTATTTTCCCAGCGATATCATTTTAGATTGAATCAATTAAGAAAAGATAATAGCACAGATTTATAAATCTATATCAAAATTATCTGAGTAGATATTACTAATTTCTAAAACTCCAAAAACTTCGTTTTAACCAATAATTAAAGGGCATAAGATTACTTAGTTAGTGGAATATTTTATCATCTTTTCAGGATCTTTAGTGAAAATCTCTCCTAAAAATAAAGTGTTATTTTATTCCTTTCTTTCACAGTCTTTTTTACTCATCTCTTTAAAAAAAATAAATATTTATTTATTAATTATTTAAATTGAAAAATAAAATACTTATAATGTTTTTCTTTTATTATATGCATTAATTGAACACAGAATTTTGATCTCTAGCTATTAGTCTGATTTCTTCTTTGTTGTAATTTAAAGTCATAAACTCATCTAAATTCTTTAAATAATAATGCAAGTTATACATTGTTAACTAATAAATTGTCATACTTAATTGTAAAGCCACATATGAACATTTTCAGCCATAAAAATTTCTTTGAATTCCTGTGAAATAGAAAGTTGAAACTCTTGTATTTCAATACCTTGATTAATCTGAACCCATTTGCTAAGAATACTGTTAATTTAATTAACAAATTTCATGTCTGTCAGGAATTATTTCCCAAGATTTATGAATATATCTTTCTTAAATTCATCCAAATCTTGAATAAACTAGACGAATTCAGGTTAGCTATAGATGATTTCATTAAGAATACCTAATTTATAAGAAATTGTTTAATAATTTGATTCATAGTTTAATTTTAATTAACTTGTAAATTTTGGATTTCCACTGGTAGTATATCTAAAGCTTGATGATTCTGGGATTTTATTTTCTTATAAAACTCTGGAAATTTTTTCTTCACTATTAAGCAGCGTCTCTTTTCTAACAAATTTGGATTACTAGCCTGTTTTATTCATTTTAATAAACTCTATCTTTTTGTAAAGTATATCTATTTTTTAAAGCAACTTTTGATTCATATCTTTAAAACGAGCAAGTTCTATTTTTGTTTCTTACAAGCTATTTTGTAACTGTTCATTTTCTTTGACGATATCTGCTTGCAGTCTTAAAACTTAATCTTTTGATTGTGATAAATTTTTCAAAGAAAGAATTTCTACTTTTTTTTCTAATTTGCTTGATTTTTCATTTAAAATATCATTCTATTCTTTTAATATTTTCATTTCATTTTCTATTTTTTTTCTTCTTTATGTTTCTCCATAAAGAGTTTATTTTAGCTTTTAATAATCTTCCTCTAATTATTCATAGGATTAACTTATTTTAGTTTATTATTAAGCAATTATATTATTCTGCCTCTACTTTTGAGTAAGATCTTTCTTAAATATATTCAGCTTTAATATTTATTAATAATTGTTAAATAATATTTTGGATAATCATTATCAAGCTTAGAATTTTTTATAAAATAACTTCATTAAAAAATATAAATTTTATTTTATTTTTAATAAAAAATAATTTTTTAAAAATGAGCATTTAGGAAATAAATTTACTATGATTTCAGACTGACAATGATTCTAAAACATTTCAGATAAACTTTCTAAAGTTTCACAAAATTTGCTTGTGTCGTTCTAAGAAAAAGAACCTTAAATTTAAGCTAACTTGATTATTTATTCTAGCTATTTTATGTAACTATTAAATTTCTTTTTAATTTTAAAATAGAATTAATTATTAAAAGCAATCAATCACTTCCATGATAAAACTAATTAATTACATCCACCAATTAATTTTCTTATTTCTTTGATTCCTATTTTCATTTAAAAATATATTTATTTAGAATTGAGAAAACTAATATTTGAAGTACTTCTTTATTAGATTTTCTTTTTTCGTTTAACAGTTAGTTCTTTAATTCTAGGTTTTATTTATAAAGTTCCTTATTCAATTAAAAAAAAATTAAAATTAATACATTTGCTTTTTCATACCATATTTTATTTTGATAAAAATTGTATCTTTTTAAGTTGTTCGTCATTCAATTTTTATCCAGATTGGTAAAACGAATTTATAAAACTATCCTCTCCTTTTTGTGATTCACAATTTTCGTACGAATTGTTAAATATGCTTTTGATAAACATGTTTGGAGTAGAACTTTTTGACATGTTAAATCCATTTGTATTGAATTTAATATCAATAAATTATTTCATTTTTGGTGAAGGTATTTTGGAATCAAACGAGGCTTAGTGATCCTTTTTTTATTCAAGTACTTTGTATCTCTAAAATGAAGCATTGAAAGTCTCATCTTTATCTCTACCTTTAAAAAATAAAAGATAAGATAAGGATCAAATAATCGTTTTTGTAATCAATATTACTCTTTTATAATTCGCTGTGAACTGTTTTTACTCTTTTCTTTGAATTAGAGCTTGTGATTTTCAATAATTATTGATTTAAATTAAACCTAGGACTAATTAACTTATTCTGAAGGGAAGCAACTTTTGCTTATTCTTGTAATTTTTAATATTTTGAAAAATCTTAGAACATTTTTATGGTTTAATAAAAAAACAAAACAAAGTAGAACTTTATATATTTTATAGAGTCTATAATTTATTTAAAAAATTTAGATGATAACGAACTTTAAATTAACTATTTGTATTTTTATAAATGAAGTAATAATTCAAAATATATTTTTAAAATAAAAAAAATTAACTTTGAATGCCAAGTAACAAATAAACATTATTTTTATTTTTTAGTTTCAAAATGAGAAAATAATCAATAAACTTACATTTTTAAATATTACCTTAAATAAAATATTCTATGAATAAAAGAAAGAATAAATTTTATACCATTCTTAAATATAATCTTATATTTATGAGTCTTAATAAATTATATATATTTGGTAAACTACAAAACATAAAAATTTAATTTCATATAAAATCATTTTCATTGCCATTCTTAAACATATTGTATAGCATCTAAATTTTGATAAGAATATTAAGAATTAGAGAGTATATCCTAATCTTCATCAAGATATTCTTCATCATCATCTTCATTTTCAGCTTCATATTCTTCTATTACTATTTCAGTCTATTCTTCATTGTTTCCATTTTAATTATTATTCGATGAATTTTCAATATTTTCTTCTTGTGGATTATTTTATTATTGGTTTTGTGCTTAAGGAATATTTATAATCTAGGGAGGTTAGTTTGAGTTTCCTTGTTGTTAAATATCAAGTTACTACTACTACAACTATATCTGTACTTATGGTTCTTCAGAATGCCCATCTTATTACTAACCATTATTATTAACTGTTATTTATATTGTATTCATTATTCTTTACTAAGATTCAGATCTTCTCATAGCTCCGTTCATTAAAGAAATCATATAGGGTAAACTCTAAACAGATGTCAAATGTCTCAAGATAATGTCATGAAAATTTTCTTGATTTTCTATTTAATCATTCTATGATTCTTGCTGTTACTACTATTACTACTACTGTTACTATTCTTATTATGATTATCTTCTTTGGCTTCTAATTTCTTCATATTAATTGACTAAACTTTTAACAATATCTAACTTTTTCTCATCTCTTGTTTTAAGATCTAATTGAAAAGTTAATTTTTACAAATTATAAAGATATCTTAATTAGAATTACCTTTTCTTTTAGTAAAAAAGCCATGAGGAGCAATATTAGGACTCAAGCTATTTATAATTTCCACTTTACTTTAAGAATTCTTTTAAAAAAATCAATTAATGGCTTTTATAACATTGAAAATGGCTATCTTACTTTATGTTAAATAACCAAATATTTTTTATCGTCGCTAGAAATAATGTTCATAATTATTCCTTCATACCAATCAAAGTATTTGTCTCTGATATCTATATTTTGGTTGACTGAAAATTCTTTTATGCTTTTAATTTTAAAAATTTTATTATTTTAATAAATTTAAACTACTTAAAAAAATTACTATCTTTTATTTCTTAGTTCATCTCTCATTTTTTTGGTATTTTAATATGTTGAATGTTATTTCGTTCCAAGAGCTAGTAAATGTCTATTAGATGCTTAGAATTATGAAAGAAAATATATTTGAATATTTTACCTTTCTACAATTGATTGTAAACTTTCAGATTTAATGTATTTAGAGTGGCTCAATGGTTCTTCACATTCTATACAAAACTGATTTTTTTGAATCAAAGATTAAAAATACTTTGTATGCAAATTATTAAATTTTTACCTATTGCCTAGTAGAATATTCGTCTAAGCACCTTTCGCAAAATGCATGACTGCATCTTAGCACAATTGGATATATAAAGTAATAATTACAAATTTTGCATTTAAGATCTTAATCCTAATTAGGTGGCTTAATATCAGGAGTTTAATTTACTAAACAAACAAATAATTTTATAAATGAGAGGTAAAATAATTTTTCAATTATTTTTACATAATTACACTTTTGTTTCGTATTCTTCTATTTCCTTTCCTTAAATTTAGCAGCTCCTTTCTCTAACTTTTAACAGAAACAGCTTCTTTAATTCTTAACTATCTACTCTATTTTTTTTATTTATCTTCTTCATATGGTTTGCCTTAGAGTGACTTGAACCATTAGATTAATTTCTAATTAAATTATTAACATTACAATAATTATTCTTCAATCTAAACTAAAGACTTAAATTACCTCTAACTTAAATTAATCTAAGACTGCAGTTTGCGTCTGATTCTTTCAAAGAATTTCTAATTTTTTGTAAAACATTTTTCATATTATTCTCATAGATTTATTTTTACCATATTCAATTCAATTCGTTGATATTTTTTGTGTCTTGCTTGCAATTCTAACTTTAAAAGCAAAAAATTAATTAATATAAAATAATAAATCAAATGTTTTAATTAAAAAGTTTCTAATTATTATTAGAATTATAAACATATCATCTAAATTGTTGATAATACTATCTATATATATCCTTTAGCTTTTATTTATTTTTTTATAGTTATTCGCGCCTAAATAAAATAAAGGTTGGATTTCATGATCAAAAATATTAAATATTTCTTATTTTATTTAATTTCAATAATAAATCGAGTATAAAATAAATCTAAAAAATCTATCTTTAAGCATCTTTATTATTTTTTAATCAACATAAATTTAATATTAAATTCATTTAAAAAAAATGCAAACATTAATTTTATTTTTAAAATTACAGCAATTTGTCAAAAAAAATGTTAAAAATTTATATTTTTGTTGAGAATTATAAAAATCTAAACATAAAAATATGTAGTTGAATTAAGTTCAATTTTAATTATATATGTTTATTAATTAATGCAATTATTACTATTAATTTATAGTAATTCTATTATTATTATTATAATTAGATCAGAAAGGATATCAAGTCTTCCGATTCAGGTAAGAAACGATTAAAAAGATATTTGTTTCTTTATTTATTTGAAATTAATTTAAGAATAATTTAATAATTTATTGGTAAATAAAATTCACTAAGTATCAAAAAATTGAAAATAAGTCATCAGTAATAGATATTCAAAGTAATTAGAAAATAAATGGAGATAGAGACAGCAATAAACCAATTAAAAATTGAAGGATAAAAAATAGAAATAGGTGAAAACGACTATGATTTTGTTGAAGAAAAGCCTAATGTATTTGAATTTAACTTAACAATAGCTGCCGATTACAAATAAAAGCTGCTTGGTGGTAAATTCTAAGTGAAGAAAATTATTTTTGCAAATAATGGCCACCCTTAAATATTCCTTCAAACTAAAGTAAACAAAAACAAAGATTTTCAAAAGGTAGCAGATTTGAATTTCTCTAAAAAAAAACAGTTATATTTAGCTAATTTCTACATCTCTACTTCAAATCCTGACTTACTTGTTGTAATATTTAATTATTCAATTGAAGAATTTGAATTCAAATTTAGTGAATTCTTCTTTTAGTATGTTGATGGCTCTCATTTGGAAAGTGTTGTTATCTTAGATACAATTAACTAGGAGTATATTATCTCAACTAAAAAAGCTACATAACTAAAAAATCCTGCCCTGTCAAAATTTACTACTTCGAACTCTTAAAGCAGCTCTTTGTTCCCACATATTGAATAAATACCTGTAGGTAACAGATTTTATGATATTACAGGTGATATTGTGACTCATTTAGAGTTATCAGGAATTAGAGGAGAAGTTTTACTCTTAACTCCAGTAGAATAACAATATGTTTTCAAAGATATTTAAGCATTTGAGGTTGTTCGCAGTCTTTATCCTTAATTAAGCTAAGAAATAGTAGCTCAAGATGCAAGACCTCTTATTCAAAAACTCAATGAAATTTTATACAACTCAGGAATGTTTATGTGAAATGTTTAAAGTTTATTATTAATAATTACTGCAGTATAATATTTGGTAAGATTTACAGTATAAGCAGCAATAGTTTAATTTTACATCTGATAATATTAAAAACCTTTTATAATTAGAATTAACTGTAAAATATTTCTAGAAAAACAATCAAAGATTATCGTTTCATTTTTATAAATAATGTGTTTTTATTCAAAATCAAAATTTATTTTTAGATAAAAATTTAAAAGTTAACCTAAAAGCTCAAAATGTTTTTGCTTAATTTAAATTTTTCAAACCTAGATAAAGTATTTATTTTTCTTCTTTTTATTATTTGTATGAAAATCTTAATTTAAATAAAATCATTGTGAAAATATGAAAAGTAAAGTCTCTGCAGCATCGATTTAATAAAAATAAATAAATATTAGTTTTAAAGTTTATTTGATAAAATGTATATATTTATTTATTCAAAAATAATCATTTGATCATTTTAAATATTCGATTTATTAATAGTAAATTTTTTTAAACTATTAAAAATTATTTTTAAATAAGTAAAATAATATATTGCTGCTTAAAATAAAATGATTATTTGGTGATAGAGATTTGAGAGTTGTTAAAATTAAAGCAGAGATATTCTATAAAATAAATTTTTATTAAAAGAGGAAGCATATGTTTTTAAAACTAAAAGTAGATTGATTTACTTTATATTAAAAAGCAAGAGTTAGATAATATCTTTAAAGAAGATATTAATGTATTTTAACCATAATTAAAAAATTAAATATTTTTGAATAGAAGGGAAAAAATAGTAGTCTAAACAATATAATTTGACTAATAATATTTGCAATTCTATTTATTGATAAAGCTAGCTGATAGCAAGAAATTTATTAAGAAATTTAGAAAAAGAAAAAAGATAGTAATAAACAACTTAGTTTTTAAAATGCTACATAGAATAATTTGCAAATACGCTTTCACTTAGGCTGCTAATAAAACAGCATTAACAACTGATGCATTCAAAGGCTTAAGAAAATATGTAAATGACTATCAGCCTCATAGAGCTTAAAAAGGTTTAGGAGATAGTATAGATTTTGAAAAAGATATGAAGCCTGCTTTAGAATATTATAGATCATTAGGTTTCTCCAAAAAGGATTTAGGATTTATTTTCAAGTCAAAAATTACTGGCTTATGTTTAAACAACGGCAGCAACAACCGTTTATAACAAGATATCATATAACTCACTTCATTTTTGAAGTAGGAATTCAATATTGATAATAATTTGATTCGTAGAATCGTCTAGAAAAATCATACTCTTCTTTCATCAACTTAGGAAGAAATCAAGAGAAGATTTAACGTTATTAAATCAGTTCTTAATCTTGATGATGTAAAAAAGCATGTTTTAATTAAATAAATTTAGCTTTTATGTAAAAGCTTACAAATATGAGTATTTATTTTGTTTAGATAAGCAAAATAATAAAAAAAATCAAACAAATATATTTGTTAATTTAATAGCTAGCTTTGAATTTTTAGTTATACTGAAATATAAATTTAGATAAACAAATTAATATGTTTTATTTATTTATTTATTTTTTAATTATTAGAAATAAGCTCTCGATCTTATTGTCTTATATCCTTAAATCTTTACTAGCAATGCAGAAACTAAAATTAACAAAGTTAAGAGAGTCTTCACTGTCTGGGCTGGTTTCTCAGAGGAATAATGCAACAAAATTATTTAAATGCATCCTTATATTGTTGACTTTAACTAAGAATATCTTCATGATGATTTGAAATTACTACTCACTAAAGGTTTTAAATCTGATACTCTTTTCACCTTAGTAAATTAATTAGCTTCGATTAATCATATTAATAATTTATTACCTATGATAACTTTATAAGATTTCTTAAAATCCCGAGTGTTTGATTGAAAAGCCTGTTCATCTTGAGCACAGTTTCCACATTCCTGAAGTACTAAATTTAACATAACAATAAGTAAGAAAAATTGATAGCAATTCAAAATAAATTTAATTGATAATATAATTATAACTAGACCATAAAAACATTCATCGAAAATCCTGAACTTATTACTATCTGTCCTATTTCAATAATTCCCTTAAAAGTATATAATTATTTTATTAAGGATATATTTATTATATCTTAAATTATTTTAAAATTAAATATAGATTAAAATGCTAAAAAACTTTAGAGTTTTGAACAATAATTTAAAAACTCTTTGGGTTTAACACACTGATCTCTTCACTCAGTAATTGAATTTAACTTTTTAAATAGTGTTTAAATATTTAATAAAATTATTATAGTTCAATCGGTAGTTTAGACTTGAAGCATAAATATTTAAATTAAAGAGCTGTTAATTTTGGAAAGCCTAAAGATATTGTTGGTTACTACTCTCTTCACTATGGTTCTGTAATTAGACCTAGGTAAACAACAATAAATAATTTAAATTAAAAAAGGCTAATATTATTTTTAACATAAAAGATGCGAAGCTGCTATCTAATTCTCAAAAAATATAGATTTAGATGTTGATTTGAAAATCAGTGAAGAAGAATTTTTAGTAAAGCACAGTATACCAAAAGAAGTAATTTAATAATTTTATTCTGTTAAAGCTAAAAAACAATTATTTTTAATAAAATTAATTTAGGAATTCGAAAAATTGAAGAAGCAATATCGTATTACTTCAGAAAAAGATTATAAAGTTAGATTCTATACATAAACAATTAAGTCAAAGCCTGTTATGTGAGTTGGGTTTGTTTTTTTTAGTTGATTTGATGATAGAGCAAATATTTTAAAATGCAAATAATGTTTATTATTTAAATAGATAAAAGTTATTTAAAATAATTCTTTTCTCTTAAAACCAGTTAATATTCATAAATTCAGTCATTTTTAATGCTATTCAACGTTTTATTGTATATTTATGTTAATTAATTACTAGCTATTTAATTATTCATTAAGCAAGACTTTTTACAAACTATCTTAAAAATAAATAAATTTTTACAATTAAAATTATTTTTTATATAAAATTTCATAATTATTTAAAAATAAATTAGTAAGTAAGTAACATGTTGTTTATTAAATTTGAATATTGAATTATTATTTTTTCTTTTTTTCGAAAATTTTGATTTTTAATTTGTTATAATTTATCAAATTTTCAATTTTCAATGCTGATGGTTTTAATCATTTCCATTGCTATGATTGTGATGATGGTGATGGTGATGACCGCAGCCACCACTTCCTTGATTTATATCTCCTTCTTCTTTTTATTATTCAAATTTAGAGCATTTCTTTTTGTGTCTTTTTTTAGTTATTCTATCTCTATCAAGTGCATTACCATCATCATCACTTGTACAAGTTCCACTGCTAGGATTTTCAGCATCTTTAGGTTTATGATAAATGCAACAAACTATTCAGTAATTAATAGTAAAAATAATTATTTACAAGTATTTTTTAATTAAAAATCCATGCAAAGCAATAAACTTAAAATTAGTTATTAAAATCATTACCATTAGATTTCAAACGACCTAAATGTTCATTATCGATTGTATCTTCTTGCCATTAAATTTTCCTAGTGGGCTTTTTTTTCTTTTTATCTGTTTCCTATATCTTTTATTCTTCTTCTATAGGGTCTTGATCCTTCAAAAAAATAACTGTTTAAGCAGGTTACTATACAGTTTAGGTTAAAGTATATATGTTGCTGCTCATTTTTAATTTAATCTAGTTTATATTAATAGATTGATTTTTTTCTAATTTATGTTTATAAATAGAATTATAAAAGTTTGGCAAAGCTCATAGATTTTAACACAAAATTAATGAAGATACTTAATATTGAATACATCAATAGAAAAAATTAATTTCTAACAAAAAAGGTTTAATCTAGACTATATTTAAATAAAATTAAGTAGATATCAAAAATTTGGCAGACTTACAAAAGAAAGAAATAATAAATAGTTCAAAAATATATTATTGAAAAAATTTATTTAATATTTTAAAGATATACACAAAATACCGTTTTATTTTTAATAAATGAGTACTATTGAATAATAGGATAACTAAAACAACATATTGTAGGAATTGGGTAAATATCTTTATTTAGACCTGTTCTTTTCAATAATCATTAAATTAGATTTAATTCTTAGTAAAATTAATTTTGTAAAATAGATAACCCAATACGGACAAATGAAATATAAAGTTAAGTACAACATGTTAAAGAAATAGCCTCATATCAAATTGATGCAAAGTTTGAAAAAAATATTGTAATTTATGTCAATTATTATAGATAATCATATTTTAAATCAAAAATCTTTAACAATTTCTACAATTATTGAAAAGTTTTTCTATAAAATTAACCTTATAAAATTTAATATTAATAGAAATAAGCTAAAGTTTAGTAAGACTTTTTGAAAAACATAGATGTTTATGATAATGGAAAATATTTTTATGGTTTGACTGAGTAAATGTTTTTAAAAATATTTAATTTCAATGAAAGTTAATCACAAATTGAGGAGATTATATCAAAAAAATTTCCTTAGCCTTTATATGATTCAATTATGCTTAAAAATAAGTCAGATTAGGATTTGGTTGTTGTTTCTATCAAAAACTAACCTGTAAAATAAAACTTTTTAATTTATTTTGTAAATTAAAAATATTAAAATAAATAAAACTATTTCATATCTAATAAAGATAAGCATATACAAATTACAAAATAATACATAAAATGCAGAAGAGGAGTCACTCATTCCTAAAAATTCATTAAAAAACGTAGGCTATTTAAGCTCCTAAAAGAAAAATACTGAAATTTATTAAACACCTCTTCAGTTTAAATATGATGATAATGTAAATAGTTTTTAATGAAAAATAAAGCTAAGTTTTTTTAAAATAGAAAAAGCAATTGTTTGGTGTTGGAAAGTAGTTTATAATTAACTATGATTTGAATAAATTTTAAATCAAAGATTCTTATGAGAAATTCGTTAAAAGCGATATCTTATCTTGTTTTGATATACCTAAATAAAATTCTGCTGACTATTCAAAGTATTAAGATATTGTTGCATTTGGAAAGTTTGATAAAAAAATTGAAATTTTAGATTATAAATAGAAAAAAATAATAAACTAATTTGGTGTAACTTGCTATTTTTATATGATATAATAAATATTAATTTATTTTTTAGCTTCATTTAGGTGGTATTACATGCTTGAAATTCGATCCTTTAGATAGTAATTACTTATACAGTGGTGCAAGAAAGGATGACTTAATTTACTAATGGGTAATATTAAATTAAAAGTTTTATAAAATTAAATATATTTTTGTAAAAATAAGGATTTGAGAAAGCAAGATACTTTTGTGCATTATTATCAGAGAAAATGCACAACTAATCAAAGAATATAATTTGATATTTTAGATAATACATTAGCATATGGCCACATGGTAATATTTATAAAAGAAATTTTTTTAATAATAAATGAAATAATTATGAATAAAATATTTATTTAATTAGAATGGAGATATCAGTTTTGTCAATATTAATACAAAAGAAACATTAGTGAACTAAAAAATTCATGAGGATTGTGTGAATACAGTAAAACTTTTCTAGAAAGAAGATAAGAAATATTGTATTTCAACCTCTGGATAAAGACATTATAAAATAAATGACGAAAGTGATACAACAGATAGCGACGAAGATAGCAGCGATGATGAAATAGATATGGAAATAGAGTAGTCTTAGTAATAAAGCACAGTTTAAAAAGTTAATAAGAACATTAGTAAATAGCAAAAAGAAAAAGTAGTTAAATAAGATGACAGCTTGAAACTTTGCTTAGTATAAATTTGAAAAAATATTTTTTATAAATTAACAACAAAATATTCTAAATATTATTAATATAATCCTAAATCAAGCTTAGTATAAATTTAAAAAAGAAACTTTTTAACAAAATATTCTAATAATTGCTTTTATAAATAAGATGTAATTGATCATTTCAAATGTACTTGATGTTAAATCTAAAAGAAATTTTTATAAATCAAAAACAAAAAATTCTTAAATTACTTGCAAACATATGTATTTATTATATATATATCTTAATAAATTAAGAAAGTATTCCAAATTGTTTTATTTTAAACTGTCAATTAAAACTTTTAATTTCTTTTCTCTTAAAAAACGAACTATCTTTTATTAGACGAAAATTTGAAACTTTGCTTAATATAAATTTGAAAAAATATTTTTTATAAATTAATAACATAATATTCTAAAAATTACTAATGAAATTAATTCTTAAGCTGGGTTTAGTATAAATTTAAAAAAAAAATAATTTTTATAAAATAATAGCAAAATATTCTAATAACTGTGTAAATAAATAATATGGTATCCTTCCTTTAAGTTTACTTTGTATAAAAATTAAATGAAATATTCTTTATATATCATTAATAAAAAATTATTATACTGCTTAAATACACTTATATACATCTTAATAAATATGTTAATACAAATTACTTTACTTTATTTCAAGTTGCCAATTAAAATGTATCATTTCTTCTTAAAGAAGGAACTATTTTTTATATTTTGAATATATTTTTTTATCAGATAGAATTAATTATATTTATAAATTTTACGTGATTTTACTGTTTCCTGCTGCTGCAGGTGTTTTAGATGACTGTTTGGCATTGTTTTTATTAGAATTTTATGTATTTGCTTTTGTTTACTCTTCTTTTTTACTGTTTTTATCTTAAACAACTATTCTCTTTAAATGCTATGCTATAAATTCTTAGTCATTGTCTTCATCATCACTTGCTTCCACTTCCATTTGCTTTTCATTCTATCTAGGAGAAGTATTTTTAACTTCAGATACTAAAGATCCATTTGTTTTGATCTATTTATTTTAAAGTTAATTTTTAGTATTTCCATCATCATCATCACTATCCTCTATCTATAGCTTTCTTTTAGTTGACTATGATTATTAAGATTACTTTAAATTACTTTATGCTTCTACTTATGAGTTTTATATGGTTTATTATTTATTATTGCTAATTTCTCTATATTTATCTTTCTCATTTATCTAAATATTGTACCTATTATCATAAAAAGTCATAAAAATATTTTTTTTTAAATTAATTTTTTTTTTGAAAACATTTTTAATTTTAAATATAAAAAATTACATATCAATTGCCTCTAAATTAGAAATAGTTAATTTAAAATCACTGATTGTCAAATTTTTAGTAAAACTGCAAACTCCTATAAGGCTTACTTCAACTATCTTATTTTACTAATTCTTACTGATATCTAGATTAAAATTATAGTGTTAATTCATTTAGATATTTTTAAATTAAAAATATTACCTTGTAATTCTATTTCATCTACAATAGCAGAAATTAATTATTGATTGTTATGAGTTAAATAACTAACAGAGAAAAATCCCTTAACATCTTTGAAATTCTTTACATAATACTTTTCTAATTCTCTATAAAATAATTATAAGATTATTCCTTAATAATATAGAGTGCTTGTAAAATAATAAAAAGCAATACTCTTTTGATTGAGCTATTGATTATACTTTAGAGCAGATCTTCATTAGAGAAAATACATTAACCTTTAATGAGTAGATAATAATAAAATTTTTGTTCTTCTAAATAAATATTTTACGCTGACTGATTCTGATTTTATTTACAAATCAATCTAACTCTAAATTTCACTACTTGCACTCATTTCGCTATTAATTTATAAACAAGGTATCTATCTATCTACTTTTATTCTAATATTTATATTAAAAATTAACAAAGTATAAATTCTATGTTTTATTTTATGAACTGATTATATCTTTTTTAATGTATGTATTTCGCCAAATTATTAATAATCTTTAATTAGGCGCAATTTATATAAATCTTTTCCCTCGTTTATTATTGAAACTCAAATGTCTTGAAAAGTGAAATAAATAGATACAAGCAAAGTAAATATATAATTTGATAGAATTAAACTCATTCATATTTTATAAAATGTATCCTACTAGAATAAATTTATTCTACACAAAAGATAAAATTTTTTCAAAAGAATAAACTATTAATTTAATAGATAATAAATCTAATTATTTTATTTGTACTTAGATAATTAATCTAATTATTTTAATAATAAATGAATAAATAATTTATTTAATTATTTTATTTATATTAAACTCAATGTTTTAAATGTTTTAGAATTCTTAAGAAATTTTAATTAAGCAATAATTTAATTAAAATATTAATTTGATATTTAAAAAATTAAACTAAAATGTAAATAAATAAGATTTATATTAGAAGAGCTGGCAAATAGGAGTATTATAGGTTTAAATAAATCTAATTGATGTTTAATTTTTATTTATACTCATAGGTTTTGGATATCCCCACCATTAATTGAATCTAATTTAAAAGTTAAGTTAAAAAATAGAACAGTTCTGATAAAATTTGTAGGTGACGAAACAAACAAATAAATCAATCAAAGAAACAGAATGGTCTTAAATTACAAGTTGATGAACAATATATAGAATACTAGTTTCATTAAATATTAATGAACTCATTTGATTTTTTAAAATGAGTCTATATTTAAATGTTTTTATATAAGAATTGAATCACTGATTTAAAGTTAGAAGTAGTTTACATATAAATAGAAATTACTATAATAAAAGAGTAAGTGAGTACTTTGTACATAGGAAATTTTGAAAATGCTAAGCTAGTTGATTTTAAAACAATTTTTAATCAGATATTTTTCTTTTTTCCTTTTTAGGCTTTTGCACAGCTTTCCATATCTTATTCATACAATTTTTACTTTTCTTCTTTAGACATTTTTGTAGGTTCTTATTTTTTCTTTCCCTTTTTCTTATTATCATCATCTGATTCAAAGGAATCATCTTGATTTACAGTTCCTTATCTTTATTCATTTCTTTTGGCCATCTACTCCTATCTTTTCTAAGTTTCAATAACGTTATTACGCTTTTTATAGTTATCACTATCATAGCGTTTGTTTCTTTCATCTCTTTATGAGTAGGAGAAATCGTCGTCTTCCATATCTTAAAATTTTAAATGATTCTTTTTTTTTATGATTTTGGTTTTTGCTATTGACAAACAAATAAGCAGGCAATTTAAATTAAATTTTTTTTTTATCAATTATAAATCAAATTATTAAATTTTTTCTTTAGTTTTTTTTCTACTTTTGGAATCAAAACAAAATAAATATCTTTCATGCAAGATTTATTTTTAGTAATCAAAATTAAATCTGACCATAAATAATTTCATGAAACTAATAGAATATATTCAATTCATATTAAAAAGAAACTACATTTTATATATTATTTTCAATACTCTGCATTTATTTAATTTAAATTAATTAATTTTAGCCAAGTTTTTTTGCTAAATTAGTTTTATTTACAAAAAATTAATTTTTTTTTTTTATTTACAGTTTTATGCTTACTTTATTAATTGTTTTTTGAGCTTACTTCCTTCATATTATTCAATTCTTAATTATTATTTAAGCAAAAGTATTTTTAAATACAAATATTTATTTAAAATTAGCTTTAATGTGTGTGCTTATAATAAGTATTTTTTATTTAATTAAAAAAATTTAAGTTAGAATTAAAATAAATTCTTATTTTAATTAAAATGATAATTATCCAAAAAACATTATAATAAATTAGAAAAATTATTTTTTTATTTAAGTTATACACTATAAATAATTTATTTACTATTATTACAAACTTTCTTTAACTCAAATATATTTCTTCTTAATCTAATATTGCAAATACTAATTATTAAAATTCAATCAATCAATCATCCATTTCTTAATCATCATAAACAATAACAGGTTTTTTCTTTTACTTTCTCATTTTTTTCTTTTCGTTTTCAACATCCTTTCTTGTCTTTTTAATTTTCTTTTACTTTTAAGCAGCTTGGTGATTGTGTTCTTATTCCATTCCGCTAGCAGATTCATCTTACCATTCATCATCTTCATTGATACCAATTTTATCAAGCTAAATTTATAATAAAATAAAAGTTATTCTAAAAGATAACAATTTAAGAAAAATGGTTTTGAATTGCAAAAAACTATACAATTTATTCAGCTTCCTTTTCTTATTCTTTTAGTTTTCTATTTTTTTGGATTTGCTCTTTCTTTTTTTCTTATTCAGTTTCTCTTTATCTCAACTATTCTATACGTTTTAGTTTCTTTGCTTTATTGTTCTTTCTAGACTTTAAATAAATAAAATAATTTTTAGCTTTTGAATTTCTATTTTATAATTTGTAGAATTTACCATTTTGGACTTGGTTTGATATTTTTGTTTTCTACTTTGATTATTTAATTGTATTACTGATATTTGTATTAGCTGTAGAGTTAGTTATCTTCTTATTAAATTTATTTTGAGGATCTATGTTAATTAAAGTCTAAATCCACAAATTACTTTTAAATTTTTTGCTCCAACTAGAAATAAAAAACAAATTATTTTCGGCCAAACGTAATTCCTTAATTTGAACTCAATTTTATCTTATTAAAAATAAAATGGCTGAGATAGAAATTTGAAAATTTTCAAAGTTAAATAAAATATTATAAATAAATCGTATTATGCCATTTAAATTAAAATATTAGACTAAAATTTACTGAGATGATCACGAATATCAAATTAATTGTTATGTTCAAAATAATGATTTGAATATTTAGCTAGTTAGTTAATTAGCTAGCTATTTAGCTAGAAAAATTCAAAGCTTTTAGTTAATAAAAAATCATATAATATCATAAAATTTTTATTTTTAACACTATAAAAATATACATTGATTGAATATCTGAATATTAATAGAAAAAGAAAAATTAAGAAAATATAAAAATGATTATCCCAGTTAGATGCTTTACTTGTGGCAAAGTAAATAATTAGCTTGTATTTCATGAACTAGAATAGTGATTTTGAATCTATCTTCAATATGATGATGAAATTTTTTAAAGCCAAATGCATCTTTTTCTACTAAAATGCTAAATTATTATATTATTTTATAATAGGTTGTTGGCCATATGTGGAATGACTTCTTATAAATGATCAGCGAATCTAACCCTAATAAAAAGGATATGAAGTAAAAATAAATAAATTATCGATTGAAAAGCTCAATTTAATCTAAAATTGTTTTTATAAAATGCAATTAGGAGTGCTTTAGATGAATTAAGATTAAATAGATATTGCTGCAGAAGAATGATTCTCACTCACTGTGATTTAATTGATAAGTTACTTAACTACAACAGTAAAATGAATTAAATAAAATCTACTATCTATTAAAATTATTTTATTTTAACAAAGTTTACAAGGGTCAAAGTTGAGAATAACAAATCTAATTTTCTAATTTTTTAAATAAAATACTTGAGTTGAAAATATCAATATATATCATAGAAATAATCTTCTCTAATATTTGAAATGACTAATAAAAATAGCATCTAGCAAAAAGCATATCAATATATAATGAAAGGCCCTTATCATGAAAATAAATAAATCAAATTTAAGAAAATTATTTCACTAAGAAATTAAAAAGACTTCAAGATTTTGAAAGAATAGAGTTAAAAATTTTCATAATCGCATTCAAGTTAAATTTTTGCTTAATATAACAATTAGTTATTTGCATATTATCGCATTTCATATTAGAGTTTGTTGTTTTTAAGATATATGATAATTATCGCTTTTTTTACTGTTAAAAATAATAAATTTTTTTTTTATCATAAACATTTAAAAAAACCTTTAAAAAATATTTATTTTATTAGAAGATTAAAATAATCATCAATTACTAATTTGAGTTTTGTTTTTACTAAAATAATTTAATTAATAAATAAATAATATCACTAAAAATATATAAATAAGATTCATAGGTTTTTTTTATGGGACACTAATTCTATTACTTCCTTTTATATTAATATAACAATTTTTAAATTTTAATTAAACAAAATTAATTTTACAGTTTTTAATTTTCATAAAAATTAATGATTTCCTACCATTTTTTTTATTTATCATCCATTATAAATAACATTTACATCTTAAATAATTATTTAAAAATAGATTACATGAAGTTAAAATTTTCAAATTAACTTCTCATTTTTTAAGATAAATTTTATTTTTAATAGAAATGTTTTAAAAATATAAATATAAGATATGAATGTTAGTTTTAATGAGACACTAATATTATTTCTTTTTTTAAGGTTGATGAAAATTATATGTAATTTTAATTCAATTAAGATTTTACAGTTTTTAAATTACATATACAAGGTAAAAGAATATTTTATTTTATCATTTAATAGAACATTTAAATTTATGATTTTTATAATTAAATTATATTTTATTGAAAAATTAAAAATAACCAAATATTTTAACTTAATTTCTATGTTTATCAATATATTTTAATTATATCTGCGTATAGTTTTGTTCTATAATAATTCTATTACTTTTTTTAAAATATTGATATAAATTATTTGCAATTTTAATTGAACTAATATTTTACAGTTTTTAAATTTCTTGAAGATAGAAAGTGCGCAATCAATAATTTATTTTTTGTTTATTTAAAATAAAATGAATATTATTTTACTCTAATTGAGTTTTCTTTGGAAAATGATTTACGAGAACATATTCAGATCTATCCATAAATTGTTTTTGAGATTAATAACTGGAAGATGCGAGATTGAAAGAGCTCTTAATAGCCAAAATATTAAAAAATTTGGTAATTCTATTGAACAAAGAATTTAATCTTATTTGGCTATAATTTAAGCCATAAAACTTTCAAATCTGAATATCTAAATAAAATAAATAGAAAACTCCATTTTAAATTCTAACAAACTGATGAAATCCCAGAGCATTCTTTCTAAAAAGAATCTTAATAGTGAATAAATTAATACTATTTGTGAAGAAATAATTTCCATTAAAGGCTTGAAAAATAATGAAAAGTATATTTTTTGTTTGAGTTATCTCTGTATAATTTACTTTATTTTAATAAATTAGAAACTAAATAAATCTATAGTATGGTTTAACTTCACTTTAAAACCTTTATAATAGTATTGAAATTTTAGAAAGTAAAATATTTCATCATTTTCTTATCTTTAGAATTACAATAGCAAATTACTTATTTTCCCAAAACATTAATTTTTTTATAGATATAAGGAAAACTCCAGTTAGTATATCTTAACATTCAAGTAAGCTCATAAAAGTATTTAATTATTTGATAATTCTATGATATATATATTAATTAAATGTTTTAGCTATTTAAAGATTTAACAGGAGAAGCTAACTTGCCACAAAATCTTATCACCAAAAGATGGAGTAAAAATAAACAATTTCAAAATTATTTAAAAATATGTTTTTTGTTTATTTTAAATTGAAAATAGTTGAAATAGGATTTTAAGGAGATAACCCTACAACTGACTTTAGAGCAGGAGGTAAATATATTTTTTAAATAAGATATTTATTATAAATAGAAATTAAATTAAAATAGGACTACTTGCACTAGAAAACTTACTGTAAGAAAAATACAAAAATATTTTTTAAAGAGCTGTAATTTGCTTATAAAAAATATTGATAAATTGAATTAATTAGATTAATTAGTCAAATTAGTTAAAATAAATAAAAAATTTAAATGTATTTTTCAAAAGATATTTCAGCACAGATCACTCATATCAAGCTTAATTTTGTCTTAAGAATTCTAAAGAAAGAGACACTCAGTAAGCGATATTAATATAATTAGCAATATTTACACAATAAATTTATTAAAACTTAAAAAACTTATATTAATTAATATAATAGATACTTTTTTGCTGTCTGTGGAATTTATATAACGAAATTCTTAACAGAATGTATGAAGATGAATTATCTTGATATGTATTTTTACAATTGTGACGATGAAAAGAGGTCATTGCAACGCTTTAATGAATTATATACTAAATTTTTCAATCATTTTGATAATTTATGGTGCTAAGAAAAGAGGAGTATCATGCAATTTCATGGATTTTTTGTAATATTTTACTTAATTAGAATATTTATTTAAGTTTAAGATAAGTTAATTTAAATTATCTTTTTATTGAAGGAAAATACTACGGAAGACCTATTATTGTAAGATTAAAAGCTCCTTATCAAGATACTTGGATTGTAGAATTGAGCCTTAGAAACTAAAAAATCTCTTAGTTTTACCAAAAGATATTTAACAGTCTGCATGTTTGCTAAAGTTAATCTATAGATTGCTTGAAAAAATATATATGAAATAGTTGATTGTTGAAGATATTTTATGGATATAAGTTAATTACTAGTGTTGATATGTATATATTCTTTAAATTTGTAATTATTTATATAAAAAAATTTTACAATTCTAAATTAAAAAAATAAAAACTTACTAACTAAATTATATACGACCTACGTCACATTATAATTTTTTTGGATTAATCTGTAATTTCATCAGTTTGAATTTGTATTTGTATGGTTTAAAAATATTATAAGAGTTCCAAAAAAGACAAAGTAGAACCTGACGGAATCTTCTAAATTTGATATGAAACAATGAAACCTGATAAACGTCAAAATGTGAGTATTATCAATAATTACCAGGGTGTTCTGTAAAAAATTTAATTTCAATAGAAGAAGAATAATTCAGTGAAATGCATTGGAATCATATATCATTTGATTTTTTTTATGCACTATTCGTAGGGTAATTGCGTAATAAGACTGATGAAGGTTATGTATCATACGCAATAATAATCACACTTCTTTAATATGAATATTAAATAAATTTCCATAGAATAATAAGTTAAACAAGATTTAATTAAAGCAATTAATTGTAAAATTTCGAATCTTTATAAAATATAATAATTAAATAAATAAATAAATTATTAAGCTTTCACTTCAAAAATTATTTTTACAAAAATTTAAGATATTACAATATAAAATGAACAGAACCATCGCTTGGATCAATAAAACTGGTATGTTTTAAATTGCCTTTATTAGTTAACTCTGATTAATCGGCATTTTACTTGGTACATTTTTAATTTTTAAATTATTTAAATTTCAACAGAGGGTAGAGATAAATTCTGCAAGGCTATCCAATATGCCTCTCGTTTCTTAAAGTGGCACTTCACTAATACCGAAAACAAAGAACTTGCTGCTCGTTTCAATGGTCTTTTCAGTAAGTTTATTATTATTTGACTAATTTTCTCAAATATGCTTGAAATAGATCACCATTTCTACTTCTAAATAAGCAGTAGAAAAATGAATGAATAAATAAGCATAGCAAATATACAGTTCTAAAATATTTTTGAAAATTAAATTATTAGACGGTATGAAGGATGCAAGAAAGCTCTTTAGATTATTTAAGACCATTAATGAAATCTAAAAGATCTAGGAACTTTTAAATAAGAAAGATAATGATGAAATTAATAAAGCTTTAAATATCTTAGTTAGAGCATTCTTCGGTTTGTATTGGTACTTCGATAACTTGGTTATCTTAAAATCAGTTAAATTCATCCACGGTGACCCCAAGCCTGATAATAAAAAGGGATCTACTTGCTGGTTAATAGCTCTTCTTCTCAGTATTGCCCAAAACATAAGAAATCTCTTAAAGAGCTTATAGGAAGAAGCAAACTTAGTTAAGTAAGTTTTAGAGAACCAAGTAGAGTAAGAAAGTGTTAAGCTCAACGACTAAATTGCAAAGATTAAAAAGTAAAGATTTGATATTTATCTCAGCATCATCAAGAACCTCGGTGATACAATTACAGCTGGTCAAGGTAAAAATTAAGACAAATAAATTTATAAAATGCAAAAATACTAAAAATAAAACAACAACTAAAAAATTAGCTATAAAATTAATCAACAGAAAATATCCATATATATATACCAAGCAAATAAAACAAGATTATAATAAGAAAAGAATAGATCAGAAATAGCCCAAAAATATTTTTTTTAAAACTTAAAAATACTCTTTAATAAAAATACAAAATAGAATTTTAACTTGAAATTTAAAAAAATAATTATCTTCTTGAATTAATTTCAAATTTTTTAAATAATAAAGCCTCTAATTTATGGCCTACTCTCCTCAACAAAAATGCTAGCGATGGTTTAATTGGTCTAGGTGGTTTTGTTTCTGCAGTTATTACTTCTTACTAACTTTACTGAGAGAATAAACAAAGATTATCACTTAAATTAGAATTAAGAAATTGAATTATTAATATTTGTTAGATTATTTTTATCAAATATATTTTGTATTATTTTTCTAATTTTTTTTAATATTTCCACTAGAATAAATTTAATAATTATAGTAATAATTAAAGGTTATTATTAAAATTCAAGAAATCATTCATATTGTTAAAAGATTTAATTTAAAAGTTTATCACTTTTTTATATTAAAAAAAATTTAATGTATTTTCTCATAGAATAGAAAATATTTATGTTTTATTATGAATGCTTGCTTATAAGCCTAATAGAATTAGATTGTTCTATTATTTAAAATTATATATATATTTTATGCATATTTTTATTAAATAATTTACTCAATTTTAGTATTTTGCTTTTACTTTAAAAATATAAACTAAAGTAGTGTTGAATTTGTTTATTGTAATTTGTATATTTATATATAATTTAATTAATATTTAGTTTTCAAACCAGCGTTAAATCTAAATAATCAAGAATTCTTTTTCAATTATATAAATTTAGGCATAATAATTATATAAATAAAATAGATTTACAAAAACTTAACAAATATAAAGAAGTTAGTCTAGTAAGGATAGCTTTTCTTCATTTTTAATGATTTGATTAGCCTTTTTATTCATAAATAAATAAATATATTATTTAAATTCTTTGGGCTAATCTCATAGAAAGAATTTTGTATAAAGCAGATATCACTAATTCTATTTTTAAACAAGTAGGAAAAAGCAATCTAGTATAAAAGGTAGCGTTTTTGCTGGTATTTTTAGAACATAATTAGCTGAAAATAAAAGTTTAGATAGACTACTGATATAAATTATAGGAATTAAAGCATAAAAATGGATTTATTTAAAAAAATCTTTTAATTATAAAATGATGAAGAAAGTAAAAGTAAACATAAAAAATTGATAAATTATGACAATAATGAAAAGTATGAAGGTAAATTAATGAATAAAATTTTTTTATAATATAATTAAAGCAAATTACGAGAATTCAAACACAAAATTATCAATTTAAATTTAAAAATATCCATTTTATCTAATATTAAAAACATTACACATAGGATTCAATTTTACTATATTGTTTAAATAGGTCAAACAAATAAGTAGGGAGCTAGGCATGGATAAGGTATGATGCACTATAACAATGGAGATAAATATGAAGGTGAATGGTATAATAATCTGAGATAAGGATAGGGTAAATAATACTATTATAATGGAGATTTTTATACTGGATCATGGTAATAAAAGAGTTTTTTGAGCAAACAATTTTAAATATTCTTATTTTTTATATAAAACGATACAAAAAATAACTAAAATAAAATATATTTTTATTTAAAAATAAAAGGAATAAAGATAAAAAAGAAGGCCATGGTTAATATTTCTATTCAAATAATGAAAGATATGAAGGTAATATACTATTAAACATTTTGATTAAAACATATTTGAAAATAGTACTTAAATTTATCTATTACCTATTTTTATCAGGTGATTGGTCTAATGATTTAAGACATGGAAAAGGAAAGTATTTTTATAGAAATGGAGATATTTATGATGGTTCATGGTAAAAAAATATTTGAGTCTAAGGGTGTAATTCATGTTAATATTAATTTAGGGTGAAAGGGAAAAAAGAGGGTAAAGGAAGAATGACATACTACAATAATGAAGAATATGATGGTACTTTTTAATTCAGCATCAATAAAAAACCAAATATTAAATTAATAATTAATTAGGCGATTGGTTAAATGATAAAAAGCACATCAAAAATAGTACTCAAAATAATGAATCAAAAGAAGGTATTTTTTAATTGCTGGCTCTATAAAAAGTTAATTTTTTTTATATTTATATTCAAGAAAATAACCATAAGAGAAGAAAAAATGGATAAGAAGATAATTCAAATACTAATTCTTATGAAGGTAAATTTATCAAAAAGTAAAATTTAAAAATATTTATTAAATAATTTTATGCTTAAAATAGAGAAGAATTCAATTGATTAGATAAGAAAAGTAATCTCTAACGGCTCAGAAAGAAAAAATAGTTCTCCTAAAAATAAAAAGAGTATACAAGATGATAAAGATTACGAATATGATTACAATAAGCCTAGCTCTAATAATATAAAAGAAGAAATTTAAAACAATCTATTTAGCAATAATTAAATAAATTCAAATATTTTAGAAAGCTAGCAACTGCAATACACAAATCAATATCACAGTAATAGAGACAATGACTTCGTAAAAATTATTTAATATAAATTTAGATTTAAAAAATAATTATTTAAACAGGCTATAGCTACAAATGTAGAAGAAAGTGTTTCTAAATCTAATATAATTGCAACTGAGGTTAATGACACATATCGAACGAATGGATAGAGTTTATAGATTTCTATAGATGATAACAAGGCTATTGATATATTAGATATTATGGAGAGCTATGAAATATTAAATAATTTCCCTTAAGATTGTATAGATTTTTGTTGATACATGATTATTTATTGTAATGATATTCTTTTTTAGTAAGAGAATGGAATACGGGACACATTTGCAAGTGGCTAGATTCAATAGGTTTAGGTGAATTCAGCCCTTCTTTTGAAAGTAATTAAATATGTGGATAGAGTATTTGTATGCTAACCGAGTAAGAATTAGAGCAATCAATAGGAATGAAGGCTTTAGGTAAAAGAAAAATCTTTTTGAAGTATTAAGAAATGCTCAAAAAGTACTATAACAAGAAATTAAGTAAAGACATTAAGCAATTCATCCATAAGCATTAGTCTAGATTCAAAAAAGGAGAGAAGAGTTTATAGTTTCTCAAGCAAAATTAATAAAACTACAGAAGTATAAGGGAAGAGGACGAAAGTATTTCTTCTCACAAAAATTGTAAAAATTTAAACCAAATTCATAAATATAATCTCATATAAATTTTCTAATTTATTTATTTAGAAATATAATCATTTTATTTTAAATAAAAATATTAGCCTTAAATTCTAATTAAATAAATCAAATGGAAAATTTTATGCTGCTTGAAGAAGACGAAGATGAAGATCATAGTGGAGGTAAAAAACAGAAGGATAAAGACAAAAAAAATAACAGCTACAGAAATTCAGATGATGAATAAAATAAAGAAAAAAACGAAAATAATAAAAAAAATTAAAAAATAAAGAAAAAAAAGAGAGATAAAGGAAGTAACAATAGTTCATCTAACGATGAAAGCGACTATTCTTAATCAGATAACTAAAAAGTCAGCGGTTTAAGGAGCAGAGAGAATTCTGGTTCTAATTTAGTAAATGTAAAGGAAGACCAAAAAGAAAAGAAACAAAAAAGAAATTCTCCTTAGTATTAGTATATCAACAATAACAACAACAATTTTGAAGAAAATTACAAATACAAAGTAGAGTTAGTTCTTACCAAAATTTTTTAATTTTAAAATATTTTTAAAGTAAAAAGACAAATCTAAAAATTTTGCTGGAGACGAAGATGAAGAAATTCATAAGTTTTTAAAGTTTTAAAAGAATAAGTCCTAGACAGAGTAACAAAAGCATCATAATAATCATATATCTAAAGTTTAATCAGACTCAACATATAACTCACATAAGTTAAAAATTCAATAAATAAATAACGTCTACTGTGAAGACAAGCTATTTTAAGATATTAAAGTTGAAAAAAAATAGAACCATAAATAGTCTGGCGATTATGCTCAAAATATCTAATCAGAATCTTTACTCACAGAGTAAAACTAAGAGCTAGCTTACACGATATCCAATGGGAATTATTAAAATTAAGATATTCAAACAGCACAAGACTTAAATTAAAATAATATTTAAGAAGAAGAAATAAAAAATTAAAAATAATTATCAAAAGAGGTAAACAAAACTCAAAGTCTTGACAATTCATATGTTAAAAAGAAAAAGAAAGATGATAAACTTGGCCCAAGAGATGGTAAATTTAACAATAATAGTATAGAGTCCATTGATACCTTAGAGCAAAAATAACATAAATCTGATGATGCTGCCTCAGTAAATTAAATGAACAGCCCTGATATTAGATAAAACGATTTGATTAAATCTTTGCAGTACTTTTTTTTATTCAAAATTAAAAAATAATTTTAAATAAACTAAAAATATATAGACCGGATTTTATCAACACAAAGCCATTCATTTTAAATTTTAATTAATCTATTAACTAAAATGAAAACACTCTTTTTAAGGTAAAAAATTAATTTATCACCTTTTTTTGAGATTCAGAGATTTAAATTAAAAATTTTATTTAAAACATAATAGCTTGGAATATAAAAAGATCTTTTCATAAGTGACAAAAATGACAGTCAAAAAACTGGATTGACAAAAATTACATCTTCAAACTAATCAGGTGGTTAAACTTTGATTAATTAATCATCAGGGGCAATTGGAAATCCTACAGCTCAAAATTCGAGTGTCGAAAATAACTCTGGTTAAAATAAAGGAATGTAAATAAGCAACAATCAGCTTTCTTCTTCCAGCTCTTCTTCTGATGAGTCTTCAGATAATGAACCTAATAAGCAAGTAGTAAATAAGAGATCAAAGGGAGATGGAGGTGCTTCTATATCGAGCTAAGATTCAGATACAAATTCAAAACTTAAACAAAGATAGACACCTCAATAAAAATTTAAAAAAGAAAATACAAAAGATGGAAGCAGAAACCCTAGCAAAGATAAAGCTACTCCTCAAATTAAACATAAAGATAAAGATAAAGATAAAATGAAAGAAGTTAGTAAAGAAAAATCAAGGTTAAGAAGAGAAGAAAAATGTAATTAACTAACTTTTAATCACAAAAAAACTAACTTTTACAATTCATTTAAGAATAATAGTTGGATTAACTACTGAGAGACATGGGTATCAATAAAAAACTTATTATAAATTACTAAGAACTTGATTTTGGAAAAAAAATCGGAGAAGGAAGTTATGGTTAAGTATTCAAAGGTACATGGGCCAAAACTCAAGTTGCTATTAAAGTATTCATTAAAGAAAATTATTGTTTATTTAAAAATAAATTTTGTTTTTATAAAAAGTAATTCGGAAAATAAAATTCGAAATTCCACCTTAGAAAAGTTTAAGATTTTATATCAGAAGTTCGTGTTATAAACAATCTAAGACACCCAAACATCGTTTTATATATGGGTGTTTGCTTTTATCAGTCACAATATTTTATGATTACAGAGTAATTCATTCATAAGTTAACTTGAAATTATTAATTAATTATTTCAAATTATCATAGATATTTACAAGAAGGTTCATTATACGATCATTTACATATCAAGCATACAGCTTTTAGCGAAGCTAAATAAATTGATATGATAGAAGATATGGCATTAGGTAATTTAATTGGTTGCCATTTTATATTTTTCTAATTTAAATGACTATTAGGAATGGTATATTTACATGGAAGAAAAGTAATGCATTGTGATTTGAAGAGCTCAAACGTTTTAATAGATGAAAATTGGAATGTTAAGCTTTGCGATTTTGGGCTTTCAAGAATTAAATCAACACTGAATAAAAAGAAAAATGCTCGTAAAAATGAAGGCTTAATTGGAACTCCATAATGGATGGCACCAGAAATTATGAGAAGAGAGTAATATTAAGAGCATTCTGACGTCTACTCGTTTGGCATGATTATGTGGTAATATTATTTTTTTTAAATATTTTTATTTTAAATAATTAATAAAGGGAAATTGCTACGAGAAAAGTACCTTATTTGGGTCTATCTCATTAGTAAATTTATGGTACTGTAGGATATGATGAAAATTATTAAGTAGAAATACCTGTAAGAGGAATACCTAGATATTTGAATCTAATGAAAAAATGTTTAAGAAGAAACCCATAAGAAAGACCTACTTTCTAAGAAGTAGTTGAAGAAATTTTTAAAATAAAAAAAGATCTTAAAGATAATAATAAAAGTAAATAAATTTCTATAAAATAATTAAAAAAATATTTTCAAACTCATTTTTTTAAAAAAAAAAGAATAAGTAGTAAAAGAAATCATAAGATTCTTTGATTGATTGATTGATATTTTAATTAATTTAATACAATCTATTGTTAATTCTAAATATTAGTTTAGTTTGGTATAAATTATATTTTACTTATCCAGTAAAATTTTATTAAATTAAAATTTTTAACAAAGTAAATTATAAATTTTAATTTGAAACATTAATAAAATCTTATTAAGAATATAAATAGTTAATTTTTTAAAATTACTTAATATTAATCATGATAAATTAAATTATTATTTATTAATTTAAATTAGATAGATTATTGATTAATTAATTTTAAATATTTTAAAAAAATTATTTTTGTAATTTTCTTAAAAAAAAATAAATAAATAAAAACTCAAAATATTTTTGTATGATTTTAAATAAAAAGATTAATATAAATGAAATAAATTTTTGAAATAATTTCATAAACTAAATAAAAATATTTATTATCTGAAAAATGAGTATTTTTTTAATATAAATTTTATCATTTGAAAACTTTTATTTAATTATTTTATCATTTTTTTCATTTTTTTAACAATTTCGAAATTAAAATTTCTTTTATGGTTAAATACTCGACTTAATAGTCTATTCCCTTTTCTTAGAAAAGCTCAGGATTAAGCTTAAAGTTTTAGAAATCCTTCGCGTTCATGGGTTAATCTTCATAACCAAGCCCACTTATATTATAAACTAAGAGAGAACTTTTTTCAATTCCATTTTTTTTCCACCAAATAAAATAATCAATCTTTTCTTTTAGAGATAGAGATGACCACAATTCTTAAACGTATTTTTTAGCAAATGAGTTGTAAACATATTTATCAAACATTATATATGAATAATAATATCTAGAATACAAGATATTTTATGATAAAAGAGCTTTAACTACATGATTTTCTAAAATTCTAAATTAGGCATATTCGCTTCCTGTTTATAAAGTTCCATAATTTTTAACTAAAGTATTTAAAGTATCAATTAGATAAAATGTAATAATTTTATCATTTTCTGCAGGGTCTTTTTGTTTTTTTTCACTTTATATATCTCTGTCTTGAACATCTACTCCATCTAATAACTAAGCTAAAGTGTTGTCTAAATATATTTATTAAATTTTTGACTTAAATTAGATGTACTCCCTTTAGAAAAATTCAGTCTAAAGATTTAAAATATCACTGAAAGTGACAATCTACTTTTTTTAATCTGGTGCCTTATTTTTCTCATTACTTTATTTCTATTCTATTTTTTTAGTCAATATAACATTTTCTAATAATCTGGACCATGTATTTGTGTTTCCTCCAATTACTTTTTTGAGAAGATCTATTTATCTTATAGAGAAAACTTAATCATATTGGGATCTTAATTGCTCTTCAGGAACACCATATAGTTCGATTGTGCCATAAGTATTGTAAGGGGCATGCATCATATCAAACATTTCCATTGTAAAAAAGCGAGAATTTGACGACTCAATAACTACAGGAAAGTGGTTCCTTTCTCTATCAGTAGAATATAAACGTAATAGCAAGTGATCTTAGAAATCATAAAATCTTACATCATTTTAATAGCCACAAAATAAATTATCAAAGTTTTCTAAAACTATAACATTTTGAGCAAACTGTGTTTATGTTTTATTGCATGGATGATATCCTTCTAAATAGTTGATTGCATCAAATAAAAATGAATTAACAATTAGACCATTTCTATAGTAAACATCTTTAAGCTTTGGAGGTCTGTTTTCATACTCAATACGAGAAAGGAGAGAAACACAAATTAAGATAGCAGTTTTTATTCCATCGCTTTCAAAATCAGACTATAAAACTTCTACAATTTATTCAAAAACTTCACTAAAATCTGCTGATTCTTCTACCATTTTAGTTTAAAAAAGATCACTTAAGCCAATTTTGACATGATCAGAAATTTTTATAAATATTTCTTCATCATTGATTAATGCTCCAATCATATCTCTTGCATATAAATTTAAAAATTCTTTAGCATATTGTTCATATAATATTTCTTTTATTATATTAATAGCATTAAATTAAGATTCATTTTGTTAAAAGTACAGCTTAGGATTTGATGCAACCTTGCTAAATTACTAATGAATAGAATTGATAAGAGTGTTTTCAAAATTATTAATAAATGTATCATAATTTAGTATCCCAAAGGACGAGCAATTAAAAGTTTAAATGTTATACCAATTTGCATCCTAAACCTTATATTTGTTCCTTTATGTAATTAATTTTTATAAATTTGATCTTATAAATGATGTCTTTCCTATTCCTTTTGGTCCTAAAACAACACACAAACTAGTTTTATTTGATTCAAAACCAAATTCTGTGATTTCGCTCTTACAAAATTATTAAAAGACTTTGTTGTACTTCTCGTTCACAAAAACAGGAATTTTAACCTCTTTTTTCTATTTTGTTAATTAGCTTTTTTCAAACATTTCATTTGCTTCCTTTAAGTAAGATTTATGATAAATCTTTTCTACTAAAGGAAAATAGTATTAATATTTCAAATGTGCTATGCGATTTTTTAAGGAAGTTTTCAACTTATCTAAGCTCTTAGAAAACATTTTATTATTAGTTGCAAGCTCGCTTGTTTCAAATTATACGCTATTTTAAAATATGTATTAAAGTAATTTGTTATCAAACTATTTATTTATTAACTAAAACCTTTATTTTATTTTAATAAATATTTGATATCTTGTTAATTAAGAAATACCAAAGAAAATTCATAAGTCAATCTTCTAGAAAAAGTGACATATATTAACTACATTTAAAATTAGTGCAAAGAGCTAAAAAAAACAGACTTATAATCCCAAAAACAAAAATATTTTAAATTTAAAAAAACTATAAAAATGTATTGTAATCTGCTTTGAAAACATTCAAAATATTTTATTTAATTATTTATTATATAATTTTAAAAACAAAATGTTATTATTTTTTTTTAGTTTTAATACATTTTTATAGTTTTATTTAGAATTAATTTTTTACAAATTTTAATATGCCAACCAATATTCATTTTATTTTATAAATTCAAATATAATCTTTTACTTTTTAAGTTGAACTTTTTGATATTAAAAATTTTAGTTATTAATTTTTTTTTAAAGTTAAGAACAGTTTTTTTTGATACTAATAAAGGTTTCTAAACCTACATAATACAAAAAAGGAAGAAGGAAGAAATCAAAAGTAATTTTAACTCGTGAAAAAGTGCTGGCTGCACAATCCTTAACTTAAAATGATTTAATAATAAGATTAAGATTATGAATATAGCTAAAAGGGAGAACCATATAGTTAGAGTTATTAGAAATAAGGAAACTAATATATTTAACAATAATAAATATCATTATAATAGTAACAATAGTAATAGAAAATAAATAAATAAAATGCTTCTTAAAATGAAAGGATATAGCAAAATTCGATAGAAGATATAAATTAATTCAAGTAAAAGGCTTAATTGTAATTGCAGGTGCCTAATTAATAATTTTAATTTTAAGCATAAGCAATTGATGAATAGTAGAATCAGAAATCTGATGATGAAGAAAATTTTAAATTAGGGCATTAACTTATCTACTAATATAAAAAGCAGCTTTAAGCATTTTTGGATCAGATTAGTAATGTAAAATATCATAATGTTTCTTTAAAGCTTTTATTTAGTTTTAATATTATTTTTATTCAGTTAATTATTAAAAATTATCTAACAATCTATTTTTAATCCTTTTAAAAGACAGCTAATGAAGAATAATATAAATAAATCATAGATTTGTCGTTGAAATTAAGCTTTGAATTTCAATGTTTAGGAAATATATAATATAGAAAATAAAAGTATAAAGAAGCAGAAAATTTTTTTTTTGAGGGTCTAAGGTATACTTATCCAGTTAAAATTATGGAAGAGCCTATAAATGGCCCTAATGGAGAAAAACTTTCAAGAAAGGAAAATAATATTATTGAATGGTATTTATAGCGTATAAGCATAGCCAATTCTTTATATGTAGTTTTTAAAAAGAGAAAGAAAGTTGGAAAGATTATTGAAACTATAAAATTAGTATTAAGTGAATGCGAGTCATGCTGCCACAAAACGAAATTATAAGAGCATCCTCAAAGCAACATCGAAAATCTGTATTATTATTTAGCTGAATATACACATATGTTTTCTTCTTCGCAAATAAATTAAAAGAATTCTTAATTATTTGTAAATGGTTAAATTTCATTGACTAATATTGCATAAATTCAGCAGAATAGCTTGCTTTAATAAAAATAAGACATTGAAGAGACAATGAAATATGCTAAATAATGCATGAATATAATCATTACCAAATATAAAAATGTTTAAAATAAAAAATTTGGAGACAAATTTATAATAGATAAGCTTAGCTTGTCTTATTTAGAAAAAAAATAAATTATGCTAATTCACATCATTCATCTAATTGGTAGAGCGTTGTAATAAGGAGAATTTTTTGTAGAGAGTTTATCATTTTACAAATAAGCATATTTTCTAGCAAGATCTTATATGAAAAAGAGAGGTATTGATCCTGGTGATGGGAATTAAAAATTATTGAATTCATATAAAGATAGAATAAATTAAGTAGTTAAAATAATTCAAAATGACATTGATGAAAATATGGCTTCCGAATAGCTTGATAAAATATTTAAAGAAGATTTGGAAATAGCTGAAATTGGAAGTGATGACCCTTCAAAGTAATAGAAAACTCTTTCCCTAAATTTTGATGCTATTTAATCTTATTTGTAAACTAGTGAAGTAAATGAAATTTTTGAAGGTTTTGCACCAACACACGCTAAGTAAAAATAGCAACAACCTGATGATGATAATGAAGAAAACTAGAACTTGTTTAGTGATGAAACTCTTGTTGAAAGCTAAATATTATTTTTCACAGACTTTTTTTAGAAAACTTAGCATACAGATAAATCTAAAAAAAGCAGCAATAAACTAACTACAAAAGAAGATTAGAAATAAAATTTAGGATAAAAAAATCAGTAACTGTAAGGAGCTAAAACCCAAAAAATAAATAGGAAAGAGTAGGACAATAAAAATCAAAAAACCAGAAACCCTTCATTTAATATCCCAACAAAGGAAAGCTTAATTCAAGAGAGAATTAAATCAGCTTAAATGCCAAATATTTAAAATAATGCCTTTTAATTTAACAATAATTAAAAATAAAATTTTGCTTCAAGATAATTAAGTAGATAAAGATCATCAAAGATATTTGGATAAATTGATTAAGAAAATGAAGTTACTTTACGTATTTTAGAATAAAGGAGTTTAAAAAGATTTTAAGGGACAAAAAATATTGATAGCTTAGTGAATAAACTCTAAGCTAATTACAATAATTTTCTTGAGCATAAGAAAGAATTAAGCTAATTTTTACCTTAATCTTCCTATTTTGAGTCTGTTTAAGATTAATAATTATTTAGCAGAAACAATGAAAAAAATTAATTGTTTAATGGTTAGCAGCCTGAAACATAAAATTTAGAAGATTATGATAAAATGAATAATTAATTCAATGATTTTAAAAGTAATTAAAATAGTTTATCTATTTAAGACTAATATTTCAAAAGTCCAAAAAATTTAAATTTTAACTTCCTCAATAAATAACAATCTATGTAAAATAGCTTTTAAGCTGCAACTATTAAGAAGCATAAACGCCCACTTACTTCTAACACTTAGTTAAGTACTTACAGACCACAAAGCTCAACAAAAAACTTACTTTTAAAGCTAAATTAAGAAGATTACAATTTAGTAGATAATTTAGATTACGGTAATACTAGTGGCTAATCAAGTAATAAGAACATTAACATACCAAAAACAAATACTCCAAAATCTCCAAGCTACCTAGTCAATAGCTTGTACAAATATGAATTATTAGTAAGACCATAAGAAAGTAAGCAGAACTCGAGCACATAAAAGAAAGGATTTTAAATAAAAAAATCATAATATTAAATAAAAATAAATACAAATAATGATTAAATTAATACAAATAATAGTTATTATACTATTGATGAATAGGGAGATGAAAACTAGAAATTAGCAAATAAGCATCCCTTAAAGCATCCACAAATACGTGTTAATAGTTTACATGTTTAAAACCCACAAATAAAAATAATACCTTAAAATTAAATATAAAGATAACGCCCTTAGACATCTTTAACAAAATTACAATAAGTTTAAAGCAGAAGCAACTAAAAAAATACTTCAGAATAAATTTCCAGTTCATAAATTATCTATTCTCCTGATACATTAACGGGATAAAAAAAGCCTTCTATTTAAATACAATTTTCTAAATAGTAGTAATAGTAGCAAGTAACGTCAAGTAATGAATAAAAATATACAGAAGATCAATAAAAGTAGTAGAGCCCTCCTTTAAAACACAAAAATTCATTTGAAATTTTCGATGATGATGGAACTTACAATTTCATTTAGGGTTTTGATTTTGAGAAGGTTATCTCCTAAAAATTTGAGAGATTAATGGCTGAAGAAGCTGAGAGGAATCAAAAAGATAAAGAAAATTCTTTATAAAAATTAGAATTTGTAGGACCTGATAATAAGAATATGACTTAAAATTAACCTTCTTTATGTATTAACTTAACTATTTAAATCATTTTATTAATATTTTAAAATAAAAATAGAGAATGATGATGATTTGTTTAGCGATGAAGGTGATCGTGAAGGTGGGATATAGGAAGATAAATAACAGTAAGAAAATTAAAATAATAATAACAAAGATAATCAAAATAACAACTTGCTACTGGATCCATAAAATGAAAAAGCTCTCAATGAGTAAGAAAAGCTAACAAGAGAGAAGGAAGAACTTTGTAATATCTTTTATTTACATCCATGTTTTTAATAAAAGAGAAATTAATTAAATAATTTACTTATAAAATATTAATTTTTTTTATTAAGTTTTATTTAAGCAATTCAAATTCAGGGAAACTAAAAGGATTTAAGAAATCAATTCGTTATTCCAAAAAGTAAAACAGTGCAAAGATAGATATTTAGCATTTTACTCAAGGTTTAATAACTCTGAGGTTTGTATTTGGAAGTTAGAAAAATTCAAAATAAAATTTAAAGTTATAGAATCCAATAAAAATGGATTTACAAGTTAGTAAAATTTTAGTTTAAAAAATAATGAATCATTATACAAACTTACCTTAACTATGGATATTGAGAGCATGTATTATACAGGAAAGCTTGTTTTTACCATTTAGAACAACGAAATTGAATTTTTAGAAAACTTTTTATTTGAGACAAATATTGTTACGAGATGGGGAATAGCAGATTTTATATTGAATTACTACTTTAACTTACCTAAAAATAGCAATTTGTAAAAAAATTGGAAATAATTCTATCAGAGCTTAGATGAAGGATATTAGTAAATCATAATTAGCTTTGACAACACAATTGGAAGATATTAAGGTGAATTTTAGCAACAAGTAAAATTTATTATGAAAAAATAGAAATTCAATTTTATACTTTATAAAGGAAAATAGTGAATTAATAAATATTGGGCTCAAACTATCTTTTTTAATAAGTTAGTCTCTTTTATTAATAAAAACTCCTACAGGTAATAAATTAAGGTTTATTTCACAATAAGAAAATTCGTCATCTAGAAATACTTTGAATTACATTCCCTAAATAGAATAAACCCACTTACATTAGCAAAATGAGTTAAATCAAGAGGAAAATAATGATTATTAAAAAAATTATTATTATCTGAAAGAGTTTTTAAAAATAAGAAGACAAATTGTTAGGAAAACAATAATCAATTTAGAAACGCTGTCTCCTTAAATATTTATAAGATTCGGAGTCTAAAAAAAAATAAAATAAAATTTTTCACCTAAACCTTCACCAAATAATTCAGCTGATTAGCTTATAGATCTATAAGAATACTCAAAAATGTTGCAATACTAAAGAATGTATGATTATGTTGAGGAGTACAAAAAATATTTGAGCGATAATTTAGCTGTTTTTGAAAGGAATTTATTTATGAATGAAGATATAGTAAATAAAGGATTGCAACTGTAGACATCTCATATGCAGAAACAGCTCGAAATGTTTAGTTAGTAGAGAAGTAGATAAAAAAGTAGTATCCCAAATTTAAATGCCCTAAAGCCTTAGCAATCCACTAGAGGCCAGCTTGGATTTTAACCTTCAAATACTAACTTTAATACCATGCTTAATAGTTATAATATGGTTCTTAGTCTAAATCCTCATATAAACGCTCAAAGATTATCGTCATAACAATAATAATCCCCACATTCAAATAATTCTATTGAAAAAGTGTAAAGGTATTAACAATCAAGAAATAATTCTATTGCTCAATTACCTGAGTAATTATTATCAAATTTTATTAATTAAAAAATATTTTATAAAGTTATTAAAATTTATAATCAAAAGAATATATCCTGCAAAATACTCTGGAGAATTAGAATACCAAGAAGATATACATTCACCATCTGATAATTTAAATATTTCTATAGATTCATAATAAAGGTAAAATCTTAATAATCATCATTATAATTCTAAATTGAGAATTTTAAATAGTATTATTAGAAACATTTAAGCTCCTCCTTCAGGAAGTAATTCTAACTCTCATGAAAGATAAAATATGAGTAGATAAGAATCATTTAAGAAAGCAGAGAAAGAAAACAGTAGAATTGAATATAAGTCATCACAGGAAGAAGATTAATAAACAAATTAAATGTTATAAATGAATTAGGCATAAAATCCTACAATTGAGAGATTTTTCCAAAGAAATCTTAATAAAAAATCTACTTTTTCAATGATAAAAAGAAATGAGTAAAATGATAAAGATGTCTCAGATAATAAAAGTTAAAGTGAAGCAAAACCACAGGAAGAAATTCTTGATGATAGTGTAGAGCTATAAAGAAATGTCAGTTTATAGATAAATAATTATAAAGAGAATGATGATACACCTTCAGGTAGATAAAAATCTCAACTCAATGAATTTGCTTCAAATTACAATAAAGACAGCGAATATATAGATAAGCTATCATCCAGCTAAGAAATAACAAGTTTTGAAGATAAATATAGAAGGCTAACTCATACAAAACCTGTAAGATTGATTAACTTTTTATTTAATATAAACAAAAATAATTTTGTTAAAAAGTCTGATATTATTGAGCTCTTTAAGTAAGATATGAACTTAAGTATTAGTTCAAAAAGTAGTATAGTTGATTCTCTAGATGAAGAAAAATAGTTTAATGACTAAGAAGAGTTAAGTAGTATTCCTATGATTAAATAAAAAGTTACAAGAAGAAGAAATTTGAATTCTAAGAATTCTTAAGATTTAACTTAGTCTCTTACTATTATGTATACAAATTAAATGGCAGGTTTAGACTAAAAAAATTAAGGTAGTATAGATCAAAGATTGTTTTCTAAATAAAATCTAAATGACTATGAAAAAATGATTTAATCTGAGTAAAGAAATTAATTTAGCTTTTGCTATAAAAATAAAATATTAACTATTATTTTTGTAGTATTTATCCAGAAGAGGCTGGTACGGCGGAAATAAATTAAAGTAAAATGATGGCTTAGATTCAATAACTGTAATAATAATAATAATAAAATTAAGAAACTTCTTTAGAAAGAGCCCAAAAAGATATGTCAAAAAACAGATCAGATGATTAAAAAGAATTGGAGGAAGATGACCTGAAAAATTTCTCACAGGATGGTTATATTTTACCTTTCTAAGGCGAGTAGGCTTCTAGAATAAGAGAAGACTCAAAAAATTTATAACATGTAAATTTTTCTTTTATTTAGATTAGTTAATTGATTATTTAAAAATTTCAATTTTTTTAATTTTTAATTTAGACAAGTGAAAATACAAATTCAACATAGAACGAATAAGTATAATCTTAAGTAGCTACAAAGATTCCCATTTCTCAATAAACAAATGGAATTGAGGAATTAATTAAATAAAAAGTAGACTAATTTAGGAACATATTGTAGAGATAACTCAAAATTAGATTTTGTAACCCTCAAAAATATATTGAGTATTTTGAAGAAAATAAAAATATTGCCTAAATTGCTATTCCTAATATTTTTATAAATGCTTTTAGACAAAAGTAATAATTTAATTAAATTAATTAAGCAATAACCCAAAAATTATTTTTTCTATTTAACTTTTTAAATAAATATAGGGATGTTCTTTTATGTGGTATCATGAGATTAAATAGCATGAGTATGGAAGAGTACAATCGTAGGAAAGAAGGGATAGTTGAAAATGGTTAGATAAGCACTTAAAAATTAATTCAACATATTGAAGACAATGAAGAAAATTCTTTTAATTTTAACAAATTCCAAAACTAAAATACTAAAATTATTTAAGATCAAAGTGAAAAAGATAACTTTTTTGTAACAATTTAGATTAGTTATACTGTTAATGCAAAAGATGAGTGGGATGTAGAAAAATTAAAGAATGATGTTTAAATTCATGTAGAAGCAGTTTAAATTCAAACTAATTTTGCTTATCATCCAACCTAGAGATATTCTTCCTAATTTTCCTTTTATGAATTCATAGAAACACTTTTTGCAGAAGACAACGACCTTCAAATTTAAGAGTACTATGATACCATTTAAAGACTACTTAAAAATATATCTTAAGATAAAAATGACGATTTCAGTTCAAATAATGAAAATTAAAATTAATTTTAAGAGGATAGTATCTTGAATGAAGAAAACTATGGATTAAATATGGAGACTTTACAATATGAAGGATTAAATCCATATACAGATTTTAATATAAAGTTTTAAAAAGCAGTGTGCAAACATTTATTTAAGCTAAATAAATTTATTTATAACATTGGCTTTAATAAATTGTAAAAAAAGATTTTATTAGAGCGCTTAAATAGCTAAATGATAACTGTAGAAAAATAACTAAAATTGATTCCAAGAAAAATAAAAAAATATAGAATTTTAAATGAGAAGTTGTATTTTGTAGATGAATAAAGCTATTAGCTTTTAGTTTAAAAAGAGCTAGAATAAAAAATTTTATTTTAACAGCAAGTAGCTGCTTAGTTTAAAAAGCTTACTCTAAATTCTCCCACTAATATAAATATTTCATCTATTTAACAATTTAACACCAAATTGACATTTTACCAAACATAATTGAAAAAAAAAATTACCAAAAATGAAAATGAAGAACAAAATTAAGATGAAAATTAAGAAAAACAAAACGAAGTAAACGAATAAGAGAAAAAGAAAAACAATGAAGTAAATGAATTAAAAGCTCAAATTTCAAATGCAAAACTATCTCCAAACAATTCCATAGACTTTGATGAAAATGAGCTGTAAAAGAGGAACTAGTATTTTATTGAGATAATTTAAGACATCATATTATCCGAAAAGATTTTTCATTTATTCTAAATCCTTTCCAGAGAACATCCAGTGTAACTTGAAGTAAATTCTAAAATTTTTATTTAAAAAAATTTAATTTATTTGCTTTTTTTAGTATTAACAAGTATTGACAAAATAGTAATTTGAGGAGAAACAGCAGCTTTTAATTTAATAATAATAGATTTAATTATAGTAATAACAAAATTAGTAGGCTTTACAATAATAGTAATAATAAGATTAAGAAAATTATGACAATTCCAGAAGTTAAATTAGAATATCTAGTTTTGATACAAATTTTAGAAGAGAAAGCCTTTTAGAAAAATCATAAAATATGAAAAGTCCGGTAAATAAACTAACTTCAAGTGTTTCGTAAGAAGTAGGATTATAGAGTAAAAAGAGTAGAAAACCCAGTATCAGTACATAAAAAGTAGCCTACTAATTTAAGAAATAGATTAGAGGTGATCCAAGGAATAAAGTATTCGAAATTTATAATGAAGAAAGAGAAAGAAATTACAAAGATGGGAGAATCAATCATCCTTACGCTATGACTTACTATAATTCTATTCTGCGAATAGTCAATAAAGATAAGAATAATTATAGTTAAAATTAAACTTAGAAAAAACATTATGAAGAAAGAAATAGTTCTGAGCAACGAGAATCATTTAGAAGAGAAGAAGACTTTAGAATCATAGATATTTACTTTTCAAATAAAGATGGGTTCAGAAAGAAAATTAAGGTGGATTATTTACTTGACATACAAGGTGATCTTATTGCAAACATAAGCTTTTATGACCCTCTTTCGTAATTTGATTTTTATAATTTATATATCCTTAGCTAAAAATATTTTTTATTTCATCAGCTATCGAGTAGAAACAGTTAGAGTTAAGGAAAAGAAAAATTTAGAGAAGCTTCAAAACTTGCTTTAAGTAGATAACTACCTTCTAAGAAACTAAAGACTGAGAGAAATTCTCATAAAAATGAATTTAAAATGGAATAAAAAAATTATTGGAAGAAAATTAGAGTTCAGGAGTTTTATTGAAACAAATGAAGAATTTTTTAATTATAAGCTAAATAGGAAAATGAATCCAAACGACGAGGCCCTTTATAAATTAATGACAACTAGAAATTATTTAGATGAAAATAAAGAATAATTCACTAATTTTCTTTACAAAGTTAAATTAGCGTTGATTTCTAACGATTAAAATGCAGAAACAGCTGAATAAAATTACTTTTTTAATACATACTTTTACAGTACACGTGTCCAGCAGTTTTAAAACATCACAAATCTTGGTCGAGCTCTAATATAAACTACTGTCTACTAGAGTAAATTGCTCTACACATCAGATAATTATATTTTCATTAGAATTGATATTGCACCTGCTGCTAAGCGTACTAAGTTGATTAAAATGATCCTTGATTATAATGATATCATTACTATTTTCTCAAAGACCAAATACAACCAAAAAAATTGTCTTGACCCAGAATCAATCACTAAAATGATTATGGAGTTTGCTACAAAAGTCAATTACTCTCATACTTAAAATTATAATGCTTTGAAAATACCATTTTGGAAATAATTTAATTAGATAGTAAGTTTTATTAAAGTATTTTTTTTAATTTTGATAAAATCTTTTTAAAATAAAGTCTGAATCTAGTGATTATGATCTAGTGAACCAATTTGATTTCAACTCTATGAATACAAAGTAAGAGATTAGCTTTTTGAGTAAAAAATCTATGTTGACACCTGTTTTGAGAACTCACAAAATTATTTACTAAGGAATAAAGAAAATTAAAGGAGAGTTTTTAGTTATAACAGTGAAACGTTATATATACTTAAACATAGATTGGTTTTAGCTAATCATATACATCCCTAAGACATGCAGAAGATTTATCTGCTTTTTAATGGAATAGGACATGCTAAAGTTTGATTCAGATTTCATGGAATCAGTTATACCTTTAGTTATTGTTAAATTTGAGAACAACATAAATGAACTAAAATAATATAAGGTAAATAAATAAATGCTCATACTTCATTGATAAATTCTTTTACTTACTTCTAATAAATTTTATTAATTTACCATTTTAAAAACAATTTAGAACTACTTTTAATTCTGCAAAGCCTTTGATTAAATGCATAAAAAGCTATTAATTCAAGAAATGAATGAAAATACAAGAAAAAACGATAAAAAAATAACCTACAAATCAGAGAATTGGTTCAAAAACTCTTCTCAAGTTATAAAGTCATAAAGTCATCTTCATTCTAAAAATAAATTGAGCTAGTTTTAAATCAGTAGGACAGATTTTCATATCTATGACAAGAATATTACAAATTAAAGCTTGTAATCAATAGAGTCTATTAAAGATTTAAATGAATAATCAATCAACTCCTCACAACTCAGATTTTATATGAATTAAGCACATGTCAGCAAATATTCTACTTAAAAAATTAATTTTGTCAAGTATTTCTAAAAGAATCTAACTGAATAGACATCATATTTAGAAAAAAAAGTATGGGAACATTTGATTTCTGCAATTGTAATTGAAGAAAATCAATAGCATAAACTTGTTTTAAAGATTAACACTTTTAACGGAATTTTAAGAGAAACTCTAAGCAGTATTGTCATAAATATGAACGAAAGAGACAATATTCTTTATGAATTCTACATCGAGGAATAGTATTTCTATTTTTAAATTTTCTTTTTTAGATGTAAAAATTATTATTTTTAAAATAAATAAAGCAAAAGGAAAACTTTGAATAGCATTTTTTCGAAATCTACACCTCTTATGCTCAATGACTCATTTACTCAAAACCTGTATATTAGACTTCACTTTTTTGGGTAAGACATAGTCCATAATTAAAAAGTTTGTGGTAGACATATGCTTTATAGTTTCCATAAATAGTCAAGAAGCAAATTGAAAAATACAAATATCAATAGAGAATAACTTAATAATTAAAGTTAATAAAAAATTAATTTAAGTCAAACTCAAATAGGTAGTGGAGATAGTAATCCAAAAATACCTAGCTTATCTAAAATTTCCAATAATTAATAACAAACCTCAAAGTAAACATTAAAATAAAGAACTAGTATCTTAGATAAAAAAGGGGGATCAGTATAAATTATGCTAAACAGCTAAAAGAAAAACTTTGAAAAAAAAAGAACTTCTTTTGCAGCTATTCAAAAAATGAAATAAGAATAGATTGCTGCAGAAGATAATCCATTTCTTTACAGCTTTAAGCTCAACAATATGTAAGATATGGCAATCTTTTATGCAAACAAAATAAAAGCAAATTATAATAAATTTGTTAAAGAAAGAGAAAAAAAATAACTTAAAGGAAAAATTTAAGATTATTTATCACTTTACAAGAGCAAGTCATTAGAAAAAGATGTCTATTGCAAGGCTATTTTGAAAGCAAACAATAACTTTAAAAGAAGTAAAGAAATAGATCCTTAGTAAATAAAATATTTTATCATTTATAGAAGAATTCTAACAGTTTCTCCAAGATAGATGGTGACAATTTTCTATAAACCAAATAAAGAAACATTTTACATTTATTGCTGGAATAATATCAACTCAAAAGACATTATTCTTAAAAAGAAATTAAAGGAAGTTGAGAAATATATTCCTCATTGTACCTATTTTTTAAAATCTAAACTATACAAAGATTTAGGAGATAGAATTTTCTTATGCTTTAAGAACTAACTATTACTACAAACTTATAATCATTTAAAGATAGATTTAGATTGATATCTAAAAATAAATATTTAATAGAAAAAATAATTTATTTGTTTAATTCTACTTTGCAAACTTTATCCTATTTGTAAATAATTCACTCAACTTCAATAAATTTGTATATATAATAATTACGAATTTTATTTTTTAATTTTTTGTTTCAATATAACACAAAATGTTTGTATTCTAAAAATATTTATATTTGCTTCAATATTATTAAAATTAATTAATTAAGTTATTTGAATAATATCGTTAAACTAATTTTAGTATTTTTATGATTTTAAAATATAATTAAAATGCAATACCACAATTATTCATATGATTCGATCAAACTAAAAATTTATAAAATCAATATTTATTTTTGTTAGAACCCCATAGTTAGAAAATAATTTTAAGTTAAAATAGATTTAGTTTTGATATTGTAGGGTATTTTTAATTTTACCTTAATATAAAATGATTCTAAAAAAGTTAATTGTAAAAATATTATTTTTATAAATCTAAAATAATATTTTTTTTCTATAACTTAGTATACAAAGATTTATATGTTTCAAAATAATTATAAATTTAAAATAGAGTCTTAAATTTTAATATTGATTGATTAAAGTTTTTTTTCAATTACTCCTTTTGTTTATTATTAGATCAAAAATAATAGGATTCATTAAAAACCATATTGATATAAAAGCCTTACAGGATATATTCAAAATGAATTTGGATAATTAGCTCAAAATTTAAAACCCTTTCAAAAAGGAGTCTTAAAATATAAACTAAAATAACAATGGAGATAATTTTCTATTTACGCCAAATAATAATAACTAAAATATTGATGATACATATAATTTTCATAATAATGAATTAAATTAAAATAGTGGATATAATGAAGATAACAGTCAACCAAATCAAAATGATTTTAACCAGGAAGCAGATTCTTAAGAGATTCAAAATTTGGATGCGAATTAATAATATATAAATTAGCATTTAATGGACTATCAGCCAGGCATGTTAGATGAGTAAGATGGATAGCTAAATTAATATTAAAATGGAATGATATATTACGATTAAGGTGATAAAAATTAAGATTATGAAAACATTTTAAATTTCAGTTTAGCTAAGATCAACTAAACAGAATAATATTTAGATAAATACGAAAAAGTAACTGAATATTTATTGTAGGCTGATAAGCATTCTTTAAACGGTATAAGAAATACATTAAACTATCAGTAAAATAAGAACTTCTTTTATTAAGAAAAATGTTGTTTGGAGATTCTTCACTAAAATAACTAAATTTTTAATTTTGAGGCATACAAATGTGTAATGATTATGTGCGGAATACTTTTAGATGCTTCAATAAGTCTAATTAAAGAAAAAAGATATTATTTAGCAGAAAAGTACTTACTAAGAGCCAAATATTTAACCGAACCTAACGAAAAGCATTTAAGAAAAAAAAACTAGAGGAAATTAAGGAAATAATTGATGGATGAGGAACACAATTAAAATAATACTGAGGAAAAAAAAAATAATGAAAGTGAAAACAGTTAAATTTAGTAATAAAGCTCTTATGATGAAGAAGATGATAATAATGAATAAGATGATTTTGATACTATATTTGAATAAGACTTAAGATATCATGATATTAGAATAGAAATAGCTTTGAATTTGTGTGATGTTTACAAACAATAAATGAAAATTATTAAAAAAAAGAAAAAAAATTAATAGAAAAAGAAGTCAATTCAATCTAGCAGTTAGGCCTTTGATAGTGGCAATAAGAAATATGATTTTGCTGGAAATGAAATTGCTGGTATGAAAGAGATTAAGGAGGAGCACGAATTAGAACTGGAACATGAAAAATTTGATAAACTAAATGCTTCTCCTCCAATTTAATCATCAGCTAATGCGTCACCAAATAAAGAAAAATAAGTATTTTTCGCTCCTTCTCCTATTTAATCTACAGTTGCCCTCTCAAGAAATGTTGGATAAACTTCTTTAAAAAATATCAAAGACGATGATATTTAAAAATAAGATATTGATTAAAATAAGGAAAGCTATCAATAATTACTTTTACGGTAAAAGCAAAAGGAAATGGATGAAGAAGAAGAAAAGGATGAAGAAGAAAAGATAAATGAAAACAAACTGGAAAATGCAATGTAGATTTTGAATGATATAGAATCCAAACTTACTGATGAGTATATTGAATAATCAAAGTAGGATCTTAAAGGAACTCTATGCAAATTTTATGCAAAAAAAGTTGAGGTATTAGCTGAGTTATTGAAACATGGGGAAGACTAATATGAGGAGTAAGAGATAAAAGAAATGTCTTAAGAGTTATTAGAATGTGCACATTTTGTAATTGCAAGACTAGAGTCTATACTTTTACCTCTTAAAGCAAATGATTCACCTGAATCTCAAGAAGATTAAGTATATTTGGCTATTATTCTCTCTTACACATGGACTAAACTGGGTAAATATAGACTAAAAACATAGGAAATAGAAAAGGCGAAATAATGTTACAAAAATGCATATGAAAAGCTTGTAAATTTTTTTAAAGAAGGATAAGACAGGATGATGTTATAATATAAGTTCAAGAGAAAATATGATAAATTAATTGGTAAATTAGAATTTGAAAAGATTGATGAAGCAGAAATTATTGAATTCAGCTAGTTTTAATAAGAATATGCTAACAATGAAAATCACAAAAAATAAATGAAAGCAGCCAAAAAGAATTATTTAGCGTCTAAAAAAGGTATTCCTATGTCAGATATTTAGAGTCCTTCAGTATAATTCTATATAGATCCTGAATACCTAAACTAACTATAAAATCACCACACAGTGAAATCCTTAAACAAAAATAGGTATTTGAAAAAAATTCCTATTTCACACCCTTTTGGATCTTCTCTGACTGACTATGCTCAGCAATCAAACAGTTAAATTTAAAAATAACCTAATTCTAATTAATAAGGTTAACAGTAAGAAGGTAGATAATTTAAATTCAAAAAAAACCTTTAGCTACAACTTGAAAACTATAAAAGCTAAATTCTTGGATCTAATTCTACGAGTTTAATGAATTAGCAACCTTTTAATGCCAATTAACAAAGCCATGCAGATGAATATTTTAAATTACCAAAGTCAGTGGCAGGAAAATAAATTGAGTTATCACCTGAAGAAAAAAGTATTCCTTTTTTAGTACCTACAAAAAAAATCAGATAACATCCTTAAAGTGCAAAGGCGAGAGGCTCAAGCAGCTCTAGGGCAAAAAATTATGATAATAATTCATAGCTAGCAAATGAATAGAATTACTTTAGTAATACAAATTTAAGTAATTAAGAATATATGTAACCTACCGCTAATAAATTTCATAGAAAAGCTCCTTCTTTTGCAAATACTTTAACTAAAATTAGTTCTTAAAGCACTAAAAATCTTTATTCCAATAACAATAATGATGATATTTATTAAAAAAATAACAATCCTGATTAACTTTAAAAGAATTTTCTTTCATACACTACTGTTGCTTCTAAAAAGAATTCTTAAGGAGATTTTAAATTTAATTAAGAGGAAACACAGTCTCAAGTTCCTCACTCCGTATTTTCTTATTAACAAAAAAGTCTATCATCAAAAGGCAATAACTATTACAAGAAAAATGAAGAAGAAAATACATATTAATCTAGTTTAGAGTATTAAAAATAGTTAGGAGGAGGAGTAGGATCATAAACAAAAGATGAAAAAAATAACTAATCACAATAATTTATGCCAGTTTCAAATTCTAAAAAGCTATCACTTCACTAATATCCTTAGCATTAAGGAATATACTCAGGAAAAAGAATAGCAAGTGCTAAAAATCTTACTCAAAACACTAATATTTAAAATAAATAAATTCAATCAATAGAAGCATACAATTAAACTGCAATTTAACAACCCCCATTTCAAAACAACTTAATTGATCCATCTAATACATCGAGAAGCAAATTAGAAAATGCAAAGACTATAAGAAAACCTATGACAAGAATTAATTCACAAAATGATATTTTAGAGAGTATTATGAATTTTGTTGATTAGATAAATGAAGGTAATAATAATAAAAATAGTTTTGCACATTCAAATAAATCAACAACTATCTCTACCTCTCATAGAAAAGCTTTTAGTTCATCAAGACCCTCATCTTCAATTATCTATTTTTCAACAAATAGACTATTTAATAATAATAATCCTAGTTAATCAGTGCATTAGTAGTATTAACTACCTTAATAATAGGTCTATTAATAAGGTGTAATTTATGAAGGAAACGAAATTTAAGATATTTCGAAATAAGTAACAAATGAAGAAAAGTAATAGTTACAATTTTTAGAATAATCCTCTCAGGATTAGTAAAATCTTTAAAAGGCAGTTGAGTAAATTAAAAAACCATTAGAAGGTAACAAATTTTTAATAATTAACCAAAGACCAACAAAAAATGCTAAAAATGTTGAAAAAATAATTGACACTATGGGTAATTTAAGAGTTTAGTTGAACAATTTATTTGATACATCTAATCAATTAAAGACACTTTCTAATAAACCTTCCACAAATTCATAAAAAATCACTCTTAAGCTCACGAAAGATCAAGATTAACAATTTATGAATATTATATGTAACAGGCCTAGCTTAAAAACTGACCAAGGCCAAGTAAACACTAAAAAACAAATTAACTCATCTAGAAAAATGTCATCTCAATAGTAAATATAAGCGCAACAATATAACATACAGAAGAACAATCAACCAAGTTAAATAGCAGAAGAGGAGTACTACAATAACTCAAATAATCAACTGTAAACAAAAAATGGCTAATCTGGAGGAAAATAATCTTACAGAAATTCAATAAAAGCTCCATAACAAATGTAAGCTAGTCAATAATAATACAAGAGCTTAACACAATTTGATGATAACAATAAAAAAGTATAATCTGTTAGACAACTATAAGTAAATATTTGAATGTTTTTTTTTAATTAAATAAATATTTTTTTAATAAAAATTATAGTAGGATAGAAAAAATGAAGGAAGTTAAAAAAGATTAAATACAATTGAAAAATAAAATAGCAGAATTAAAGACGTGTCTTAATTGTATTCTTAATAGCCAAATTAGTAATTGTAATAGCAAGTAGGAAGTAGTGCATTTATTTAGATTAATTAAAATTAATCTAACAACAACAATCCATCATACAATTCCGTAAATGTAAATCAATATATCGCTCATAGCAGTTAATAAGTAAAAATTCCTTAGGGTGGCTCTCCTAAAGCTAAGGATAAGGGTAAAAACAAAGATTGAATAATCTAAAATTATTTTAATTAACTTTAAAAATATAAATTAGAAATTTAAATGGAGACAAACAGAAATATTACCAATATAAATAACACAATTATTCTCAAAAGAAAAAATACAGAAATATTTCATGATGCTTCTTAGATTTCAGCTCAGCCTCTCTTTATTTAATAGAACTAGATTTCTAATTAGGAAAACTCTAGGTTACTTAAATAAAGTAAGCAAGGAGATTAGATATTAGCCAATAAATCAGGATTTGTAAATAATTCAAAAATAGAAGATAAATAAATCACAAAGCCAGCAACAATCAGAAGAGTAAATAAATTTCCATCTTTAAAATAAATTTAAAAATTATTAAAGTAGTTTTAAATTATATTTTTAAATTAACTCTAAAATTTAAAATAGCTAAGCACAAATATTAATGAAAGTGTGTTTAAGAGACAGTCAACAGCAAACTACGAATAAATACAAATTGATATTTAAACAAATCAACAAAATAATGAAGAAGAGAAACGTTTTAACAGCCAATTTACAACTCCTTTTCTTAAATAGAAATTTGATTAATTTGAGAACATGAATAATGTAAAATTTAAATTATTTAATGAAGAGTATTTATTAATTTTAACTTCATTCACTATAGGATAGAATAAATAAGGACTAAAACAAAATAAATGAAACTTAGAGCTCCTAGGAAGATGAAGATGAAGATTCAAAATTAGAAGACTCAGATGATTAATAAAGAAATGTTCCTAATCAAATGCTAGATGATTTATAGAATAATTAGATTGATGAGCTTAAAGGTGGTGATGAAAACTTTAATGGAGATGATCTAAAAAAATCAGATAAAAGGCTAGGCAATAGCATGAATTTAAAAGTATCAATTGTTGGTGGTACTTTAGGGAAATTAAATCAGTAATCTCCTGATATTTCTCGTTTACTTAGTAGCTAATAAGGTTAGCTTGATGTTAACAAAAGCTATGGTCAACATTTGCATGTAACTGACCAGGGCATATCATCACTATAATAATCATTCAACCAACAAATTCAAAATAATATTTAGTCAAATTATGGAGCACAAGATAAATCTACAATGATAAATAATAGCTAAAATATTGCAAATGCACTTATTGGAAATACAAAAGGAATGAATGTTTCATAAAATTTGAAATAATAAATTGGTATTTAAAATAGAGATTAGTTTCCAGTTAAAACTATTTACTTTCCTTCAATAAAATAATCTAAATATTTATTTGTACAAAATAGAATATAGGAGTTATTATTTGCTCCTTTATATTTTTATAAATCCTACAATTAATACTCTCTTTGCTAGTGGAATGTAACAAATATTACTATTGAGCTTGAAAATGTAACTGCTTAAGAAGATGCAGAAGATATCGAATAAGTATTGAAGGGTAATTCTAAAGATTACAAATAAAATTAAGGAGGTCTGCCATTTACAAGTGACAAAATAAGATATGATATCAAGTTGTGTATATTCTTAGAATGCATCATAACCGATTAGCATATTATTAGCAATCCTTTAATCTTCTACTTAAAAAACTAACCTTTAAATTTTATTGATCACTTATGGCCAAATGACAAAAGTAAAATAGAAACGAAATACGAGCTAGCTATACTCTTACTTGATAGGTGGATTCGTGAAAGGGATTTAGATGCAGTGGAAGAATTTTACAATATTGGTCTGTCTATGTAAAATATTTAAGTGCAGTTTGTGCTCAGAGGAGGAAATTCATTTTTAGATTTTTAAAATCTTATTCAAAAAGAGTAATCACAATCAGAGACTATATAAAATGATTAAAATTTTGATTAAATCAGAGTTTTTGGTTTAAAATTGAACTTTATTATAAACAAAATTGCATAAGTTATGAAAAAGGTCCACGGAGATGTTCTTAAATTGCCAACAGATTTGAATGATATCATTAACCCACAGCTAAATATTAGACAAAATAACCTTAAAAGTCTTAGGAGTCATTAGGTATATTTTAATAAAATTTATCAAAATTCTATCTTATATTTAATCGAAAAAAATGTATTTTTTTTAAGCCAACATTTAACACCAATTTAAAAAAATTAAAGTAATATTAAAAAAAAAAAATTAATCTAAGTAATATTTTAAATAGATTTTAAAGATATTTATTGACTGTTTTAAATGATTTTATTAGTTCTAACTAAATTCAAAAAAAGAAAATCACCATAAAATTTAAAATATTACAATAAATTGGAATAAGTTTATAATTTTTAATATGAATCATAATTATTTTACTTTTTAAATTATTTTAATTTTAATAAAATAATTAATAAAACTTTTTATTTTAGTTAATTCAAAAACCTTTTAATCTCTATCTAATATATTTTTATTTTAAAACTTCAATAAAATATTTAATATTAAAAATAGAATAAAAGAAGAGAGCTTAAGAATTACATTTCATACTACAATATTGATTAGTATATAGTAGGATAAATCTAATAGCTTCAAACTTATAAAAAGAAAAAAGTTAACTTATAGATTTCAGATTCTATTAATTAAAAATAAGATGGAGTAACTAGAGAAAAAGGGCATACCTTTAATGAGCATAATGTTAAAAAATAGAACTCTAATGTAGATTTATAAATTGAAATTGATTATCAATAGAATGGCTATTAGCGCATTCCATTAAATAGAGAAGGATCAAATGAAAGTCCAATCTTTTAAAAAAACACAGATACAAATGAACTGAGTGATTTTTAATTACAAAAGCGTCTATCTTTAAATAATATGAACTCATATCAATAAAATCCAACAAATTCATCAAATAGTAATTCACAAAATTAGAGCAAAATACCATTTTATGGCCCATAATAACCTTTTTAGCTTTAACTTTAATAATCATAACCTAGCATAAATACTCCTGCATTCAGTGGGAGGTTTTCTTAAAAAAAACTTAATATCATTAATCCCTCAATTCATAGTATTTAATCATAAGGATCAGGGAAGATATAGGTAAATACTTCTCAAAGTTCAGCTAGATTCCAAAAATACTAATATCTTAAATACAAAATGAAGGAAAGAGTTTATTAGGTATAAAAGGAATCAGAAACAAGCATACCTCTTGAAACTTAAGTAAACTTTGATTTAGGTAAAAATTAGAATCAACTAAGTCCAACACTACCAGTAAATTCTCTATCTGGTAATATACCAGATGGAGAGGGAACTTAAGAAAGCTTAATTTAAAACAACAATTAAAATCAGATCGTGCAAAATGGGAAATTTGAAACTGAATACTCTTCCCCAAGATAAAATCAAAAAAATTCAAAGATAATCATTCCTAATATATTAATGTAAGGATTTAGTAGTGTTGTTGAAGACTAAGGTGCTGGTGTAAGCCCCAAATAAAGCAAAGATATTTCAAATGAAGAGCAAAATTTGTTATTATAGAAAGATGCTTAATTATAAGCAGAAGAATATAAAAAAAAATACGAAATAACGACTTAATCAGTTCCTAATACTAACAATAATACTCCACAAGCAGTCAATATTCATTCACTTATGATTCATCAAAATTCATTTAATAAGTAGAATAATTTGAGAATAGAGCATTTAAAAAGACAAATTAGGGATAGTTTATAATCTTAGTAATAGAATTCATCAAATTTAAACGATAATTCTTAATCATATTCTGAATCCCCTAGGTCATTCATAGGAAATAGTTCTTAAAATAATTCATTTGCAAACAGTAGCTATAATTCATCTGCAACCAGCCCAACTAACTTAGTAGGTCAAAATACCCTTTAAAGAATGCCATCTATGCTATCTAATAAGAGTTCTAAAAGTAAATTTAGTCGATATGCTCCAGTAAATAATGAAGAATTAAATGACTCTATTCAAAGCCCATCTTAAGCTTTGATTCCCTAAAACAAGAAAAGTAGCTAGTTTGCCAAACAAAATATGAAATTCGATATTATAGATGATGATTCTTAAAAGACACCCATAATGAGTTAACAATAAAGGTGAATTATTTAAAAATTTAATTAATTTTTATTTGCTTACAATTTTATAGTAAAAAACAAAAAATAACTAAAAACCATCAATCAAATTTTTTAAAATTAAAAATTGCTTTTATATTGAAAAATAAGTACTCATCCCCAGATTAGCCAGCTACTAAAGTCGAATAACTTATGTTGATTTCTTTTCAATTTTAAGAATTTCATATTTAAAAATAAAAAAATTTTTAAATGCTTTAGGCCAAAAATATTTGTTAATATTTAAAGTTAATTTACAAAACTTGGATTTTTATCAAATTAAAATAATTTTGTTTAATATTATTTAATCCCTTTGAATTAAAAAATGTTTAAATTGATGATTTCATAATTCAAAATTTTTTTTTTTAATTTATATTATTTAATCTTAAAGATTAAATCTTTAACATGTAATAATTACTTATTATCCAAAATATTAGTGAAAGTGTTGAATATTTCCCTACTAATAATAATGAAGAGGCAGTTTAGGTGTCGTCCTATAAGTTTGTGTTTAATGACTAACCTATCATAAATTAAAAATAAGAAAAACCAGAAATAATTGTGAAAGAATATGGTAATTATCTTTTCCTTAATTATTTTTTAAGAAATTAAATAAAATTCAAACTAAAAACAATCAAACTACTTTTCGTAAATAAGTACTTGAAAAAAACATTATTTCCAATATTTAAATATACTTATTTAGTTAGCTTTTAGCTGTTTAGCTTAAACAATTAATTTTTATATTAATATGACCTTTTATTGTATTTTTAAATACCAAAAATTATTTTAGCCAACATCTTTGAAAATCATACTTTGTTTAGTATAAATTTCTTTGCTATTATAATAAAAATATATTTCATCTTGGTTTTTGATATCTATTTTTTGTTGTTGTTATTATTATCACCCATTTTTAAATCTTTTATTCTCTTAAAAATAAACAAATAAAGATGTTGCTGAAGATAAATCTGAGGAAATTATCTAAAAAACCGAAGAAAATGAAGAATTTATTTAAAATAAAATAATAAACAATGCTATATGTGGAGACCCATTCGTAGGTCTTCCAGATACTTACTAATATACCACATTTACTTTGAATCCATTTATAAATAATGATCTTCTTCTAAAAACAGTGATTAAAAGAGATAAATTATTTTTCTTCGTACAGCTTTTTTACACGTTTGAGCCATAGTTGGAGCAGTATATTTATTACTAACAAGCTTTAGCTCATTCATATTTCATACTGAAAGTAGATTCCGTAAATAATTTACATTTTTATATTTTTTTTCTTTTTATTTTATTATTTAATTTAATGCTAATTATTTATCTTAAAAACAACAACAAGATGATCTACAAAAATGGTTGGGATAGCGAAATCATCCTAACTTTTGAATAAGTAATTGAAAAATTAATACTGCCTTATACTAGTTTTAGCTTTTTTAAGTTTCTCTATGCTAAAGGATTTACAGCTAAACAGAAAGACTCTATAAAGAAAGGTCTTGAGAAATATTTATAAGTAAAAGACTGCTAATTTATTATAAATTGGGAGTATTCAACAGAAAAAATATAAACAAAGCATAATATAAATGATAGTTAGATATAAAATAAACCTCTAAATGAGGATGAATAACTAACTAATGATATTAATGATGAAGATAAGAACAATGATAGCATTATCATTAATAAAAATAAAGATAACGATTATCAATAAGATAACTCAAATTAAAATAATCCTATTCAACTTTAAATAGAATAGAATGTTTAAAATAATGTTGGTACCTAAAAAAGCTCTTAAGAATAAGGCATTCAAAATAAGAAAAAGAAACTTTAATTTTCTGATGAAGTTTAGCAAGATTACTAAAATGAACAAGAAAAAGTGATCAGTTATTACTAACAGCAATTGATTTTATAAAATTAGTCTTAACAAGAACTAAATTAAATTATTGATGGAACTAAATATGATTATAAATTGAAAAATAAAAACCTTAGTGCACTAGAATTGGGTTTATTAGGCGTTAATACAATTTAATCAGAAAAATAAACTACTACAGCTTACTAATCAATTTCAGGAAATATTGAGAAACAATCACAATAATTCAATTATAAACTTCCCACTTTGGCAAACGATACAGTAGTAACTGAATTTAAAAGTAATTTAGACATCAAATTGTTATCACAATAAGGGTTAGTGAAATTAAACAATTATGAAACTCCAGCAAGAGAAGAAGATTATTACAAAACATTCAGCTTGTTAAACAAAAATGAGCTTTCAGTCCTTCTAAAATATGAGGAAACTGAAACAAAAAGTTATCATAAACTCTTAATCTACAAACCATTGAGTAGGAATCCTCTTAGCTCTTTAGAAATTACTGACCTAAACATATTAGAGAGGATGTTAAATTTAAAGTGGCTTGACGCATAAACAATAACTCTGCTTAAAAAGTAAGATGTCTAAATAAAAAGAAAATTAGTATAACCTCATATAAGCTAAGGATTGACATCTATTGAAAACCTTAAGAAAATAATATTTAATTATATTCTTTAAAAAAGAACTCAGATGAATGGCTAAAAAACAAATTTACTTCCAGTCTTTTCAGTTGAGGTAATTATAATTTTTATTGTTTACTGTATTCAAAAAATAAGCTAGTTAGTTTGTTAGTTATTTTCCTTTATTTATCTATTTATTTATTTTTAATTTTCAATTTAATAAATTTTCTTAAATTGTTCTATTTAACAAAACAAAATAGAAAATTAAAAATTTTGCAAAAAGAATAATTTAGCACACTTTTATTTTAAATCAAAATTATTACTTTTTGTTTTTAATCTATTAATAGAAAACGAATAAAAGATTAAAACCAGTTATTTCAATGCAAAAATATTTGACTACTTTTTGTTCAGTTTATTTATTTATAAAATACTTTTAAGGACTTGTTTCTTTACATAAATTCACTGTTTATAGCTGTACATTTAGCAGTTTCATGTTTCAATTTTTATGTCTTTAAAATTTTTTTCAATAATGATCGATTAAAAACTAAATAGAATCAAAGGATAAGGCATAAAGTTTTTGTAAGAAACAACCAAAAGCTACAAAATATTAGCATGCTACTACTTGAAAACATTAAGAAGAAGGATAGAGATGACATGAGTGTACAAAAAAGATAAAATGATAATGAATAGCAAATGATTAATGAAAAAATTGCTTAAGAAAGAAACTTCATCTATTAAATAAAATATGCAATACTATGTTATGATATAAATGATGAATGGCAATTTTAGCAAAATGATATTATTCAAAAATATTTTGAAAAGAAAACAATAAAGGATTTTGCATGTATAAACATTAACTCAAGATAGAGTAAATATAAAGTTTTTATGATTTTAACTGTGTTTCGTACAAAGATCCATCTTAACCTTGAAAAATTAGTTTATTTGAGAATTGATATATCTCCTCTTATTGGTTAAAGAAATAAATAATTCAAGTTGATTTTTGAGCTCTCTGATATTTTAAATTTGTTTGAACGCTCATTTTCTTTCGAAAACAGTTTTGATGAGCTCATTCTATTCAAAATTATTTAAAAAATTTCAAAATGCCTTGTTTATTCAAAATCTCAAATCTACAAAAATTTTTCACTACCCCTTACTAAAATAAATCCCTAACAAGTCGATAGACATCAATTTTGTTTGATCAACAGACTCCAAATAAAGGTATTGCTTTCTATTATTATTTTTTAAATTTTGATCTAATTATTTTTAAACTTGAAAACTTAAAATTTTATTTTTAATTATTTATTAGCCATCTTACCACCTAATCCCTAAAGAAATCACTAAAAAATCCTTCCTTGATATTATTTAATAAGGGGAAAGAGTTTTATTTTAAGGAGTTAAAAGAATACTAAATACATATGCAATAATAACAATAGGATATTATAGCTAGCTCGATTACTATTATTTGCAAATATATTTCCCCTTTAATTGCAGGAGATTTACAAACACGTTTTATTCTTCTAACTTAGCTAACTTGTCAGGCGAATATATGAATCATATTTTCAAAGAAAAAATAGCTAAAAGTAACGTCTAAGATCTAAATAAATCGAAGGACTATTTTTCATTTAATAAAAAATTAATAAAACTCGACCCTAGCAAATAGAATCAAAATTTAAATTAAAACAAATAGATTAAATAGAATACAGTGAATTCTTAACTTTTGCCATCTAATAAGCATATAGGTTCATAGAATTTTCTAAATCCAATTAAAATTTAAAGTCCATAAATTCCTATAGAAGAATAATTGGAGTCGTCTGTAGAATAAAAATAGAATGCCTTGTCATTTTATGTTGACCCTAGTGTATTCCTTTAGTTGATACAATCTAATCAAAAAAATATTATCACAGGGCATAATTTTATAGAATTGAATGTAAAATATACTATTTTTTTCTTTTTTACTCCAATTTACTTCTTATAAAAGATAAAATATTTACTTTACTTCAACTATTTTGAATGAAATAACAAACAAATAAAATATTTTAATATTACTATGATAAAAACTATCAAAACTACATTTATATAAATAGATTTGGGAGGAGATTGTTAAAAGTGTCGACATTTCCATCGATAATAATGGAGAAATGCTTCTCACTATGGACAACTATTCTGGAGTTATGCGTGAATACTTGATAAAAAGTGTTTTAAATTTTTCTGGAAATAAGAGTGGGTTATTTGAAGTTTTAATTCGCTTTAAAGATTAAAAACTAAAGTCAGACATATTTAGCTCGCCATAAATATAAGTGTATGAGAATGAGGAGGAAAAATTGGATATGTATGTCCGTATTAATTTTTTCTAAAAAATAAACTCTATTAATGAAAAGATTCTGTTGAAATAAATTTTATATTCTTATTATAAAGAGAATACTTCAAAATTCTAAAATACCCCAAAATTGTAGCACCATAATAACTTATTAAATCTCGTAGGACTCAACTAGCAAGAAAACAAAAACTAAGCATTCAGAGGGGAATTTGCATAAACATATAACAATTAAAGTATTTAGAACTAATTTGATAGTAGTTTTTCATCACCCAACAATATGAATACATAAAGCGAAGAAGAGGCCTTCTAAAATTTTTCTGAGCGTAGTTTCAATCACTCTGATTTAATCTAAGTTTCTTATTTACTACTTGATCGTATAAGGACAAGTATTTAAGAGAAGCAGATGCATGTAATGAAATTCTATTAGCACTAAAATGAGATATTTGAGACAGGTCTTGTTGAGGATAACTATGAAGTAAATGAACCTATTGCGTTACCACCGGTATAACATCAATTGGCTTAAAATATAACGAACGCATATTTAAAATTAAACCAATTTTCTTCAGGCTAGTCAAAGGTCATCAAGGAACAACAAATAATTGCTTATTAACAAAACTTAAATGAAAGCAGAATAGATTTGGTGTAAAAGTAATAAATAGTAAATAACTTTAGCAATTAAAACCTAGATAATTTTAATAATAGCATATAAAATGCAGAATTATTCAAATAGCTGGCCATTAATAGTAAAACAGAAATAGATAAAGTAGTTAAAACTAATGCTTAATTCGCAGTTGATAAAAAAATTCGCAAGAAAATCAAAATGAATAATAACATGAATATAAATGAGCTCTTGGATAGCGAAAACAAGCAATTTTACATGAAAACTTTATATAGAGGCGTATTCACTGTTAGACCTTTGTAAATTATAGCAATATTTTTCTATAAAAAATTTTATGTGTAAATATACAATACGATAAATGGAAAAAATCTAATAACTGATCTGACTTTTTCAACAGTTGAGCACTAAATCCCCTACTTATAGCATATGCTAAAACTTGAATTATATTAAGAAATAGGGAAAAGAATTTTCCTCTCTTTTAAAAATCGCCTAATGATTAAATCCTACCCGGAACTAATTGATTATTGAATAAAATTAATTATTTGTTTTAATTCACTTACATAATTAAATAAGTGTTTATATTTTATATTTAACATTCATATTCATTAATTATTTAACAACAAACTGATAATTAAACCTAGAAACTTATAAATTTAGTCAATTAAATTCTATTTATCTAAATATCTTTGAAATAAATATTGCAATAATAAATTATTTTCTTTTCTTTCATATACTATTTCACTCAATTAATAAAATTTAATTTTAAATTTAATATGAAGTTAGATTATTAAATTTATTAAGGTGGGGAACAATTTATAAATTAATAAATATAATTTTTTACAAACGAACAAACAAATAATTCATGAATTCTAAATTAAACTTTATTGATTTTTTTCAAATTTGTATTCACACTTGTGTGTATGTTTTTTTCTAAAAATAAAATTAATGTAGCTTGCTAAACATACATAGTTTATAATATAATTTTATGATTTCTTATTTGTTTTTTATATTTATTTTATTTTCTTTTTATTTTATTAATTTTTTAATATTTTTTGTTCAATATTTGTTTAGTTGTTTCTTTTATTTATTTATTAATTAATTTCTTTTATATTTTTATTTCATTGTTTTTAATTTTTAATTTTTAAATTTGTATTTTTTTCTTTTCTAAATATCTTTTTAATTAAAAAAATCTTTGTTCTTCTTCTCTTGTTCTAACTACCTAGTGGAATAAAACTATAATTTTTTATAGATAGTGAAAGACTCAAGAATCGCTACTACTTTTGCAAGAAAGCACTTTAAGAATTACTGTATAATATGATATGGCGGTATTCGATATTTTATGTATTAGATTGATTTATATGAATAACAACAACAACAACAAATTCAATCTAATATCATATTTTATATTAAAAACTTAATGGGATTGATTATATTTGCAGTACCTACAAATATTAAAATTTATCATATTATACTTAAAAATAATTCAAAGATTGTGCTACAATGCAGGCTTATAGATAGCAATCTCGTAATATGCCATATCTTTATTGATTTTCATTTTGGCATGTACTGAAGTCAGAGAGAGGTTATAGATCTTTCATGGATTAGTAATGTATTTTCTCTTTATTTGGCTTGGAAGTCTCTCCACAAATTATGAGTATTTAAATAGCATGAAATAGATTGCTTTAAAAACTTAAGGGGATATACTGTTAATTACGATCCTTTGGTTTTTGGATGTTAAAATATTTTAAATTATTCATGTTATTCTTTTGCGCCTCTTTTATTTGTAGATGTCACGTTCCTTTGAAACCTAAATTAGGAAGCCATTTGTTTTTGAGAGTGTTTACTTTCCAAAGATTTATAACATCATCCGCTTCTTAATTATTTGTATGAAAAATAATTAATTAATTAATTGTTTGTTTGTTAACTTTTTCCTCTTTTTACTTTTTTTGTTTTTCCTTTTAAAGATATTCGAATCTGAATCATAAATCTAAGATATTAAAAGATTAATTAAATTAATCTAAAAACTGAATATAAATAATGTAATTAAAAATTTGTGTATTTGATTTCTTTGTTAAATAATTATTAAGCAATATGTACACAATTTCAAAGGAATAATTGTGGCAGACAAATTATTTAAAATATTGATATTTTTTTAATACAATATATAATATATATTCAATTTTTTGGAATATTAAATAAAGATGAACAAATTTTCAATAAAAATCTTTGATTTAAATACTTCTCTTTCTTATTAAAAAATTAATAAATTGCTTCAATTATTCTGTTTAGATTCAAATATATATTTAATATTTAAGTTAGTAAAATGATAGATTTAAGTTTAAGCTAAGTTGATTTTGAGGATTAGAAATTAAGCAACTTAATTTGTTAGTATCATAAAAGAAAGGTTACCGCATTTTGTATCCAACAAGATTGCCATTAAAATGATAGATTTGCATGTTTTTAATGCTTATCTAGCAGGGAGCATTCTAATCATTAGTTCATTGACTCTGAAGATGTCGTTTCTATTTTGAAGCAAGGTCTCCCAAGTTTTAAAAATTAAATTATATAAAACTTTGAACAACTCAGCAAGAGCATTGTATCTTTGTTTTAAAACAAAGTAAAGAATTTTATTAATTAAAAAGCAGATACATTTGCATAGCGTTTTGAGCGTTGCTTCTCATTAAATATTTCTGAAAGAGATTAGAAACTCTCTGAATAATTGCTTGAGTTATACAAATTAATATACAAGTAAAATGGGAATTATTTATTAGATATTTGCTAAAGCATGGGTTAAACTCTATATTCCTCTATATAAAAATAACTTGAAACAATAATGAAAAAAATAAATGATTATGAATTTGATAAAGAACTTTAAAGATTTGAAATAGAAAACTAGGTAATTCATAATCTTACTAAAGAAGCATTAGAAGCTTATTAGAAATACAAAAATGAAAATATTTTTGATGATCTAAATAAAGAAAATAATAATGACTCAAGGCTTTATTTGGTAAACGATAGAGACTTTTATACTGTATCTTAATTTAACATAGAAGGATAAAGGCATGGTAGAACAATTGAAATTCCTTCTTAAGGCCATTATTTTAAAGGTTATTTAAGCAATGGTTTAAGAAACGGAAAAGGGCTCTATATTTATTAGGATGGTACAGTATATTTAGGGATTTTTAAAAATAATTAAAAAGATGGTAGTGGTAAGTTAATAAATCGAGATGGCTACATTTATAGCGGAGAATGGAAGGAAGATTAAAAGAATGGGGTAGGAGAAGAAAAATTTAACGATGACTGGGTTTTTGAAGGGTTCTTTGAAAATAATTAAAGAAATGGGCCAGGTTAAGAAACAAATAAAAAATTAGGTTTAGTTATTCAAGCAATATATGAGAAAGGCGAGATAGTTAACACTATTTCATAATTATAAATATAATAATAGTTATAACAACCATAGTGATTTCAATATAAGCCATAAAATTAAAATTCTCACACAAATTAAAATAATTTCTGTAATGGTTGCAACTATTTTTGAAAATGAATCGTATTGATAAGAGTGGGTATAAAATTATTTAAAAATATGAAATTTTGGTTTTTTGCTGACAAATTTCATTTCGGTTTAATAATAAATACTTATATGTTAAACTTGTTTTCATATACTCTTTGATTTCCTTATTTTTCCCATTAATTTTAGAAATCGAAGAAAAAAATCACTTTGTTTTAATTAAAGGTAATAAATAATTAATTTAGACTAAAAACCTACCCCTTAAATATACATTTAAAAGTGAATGTTTGTTTGTTTTTTTGTTTGACCCATTAATTTTTTTTAGTTCGAATTATTCATTATTTTAAGATAGAAAAACTAAGTTTTTTTTGCTCAAAAGATAAGTATTTAAAACACAGACTAACAGGTATTATGAGAATATGATTTTTATTTTCAAGATAAATATTTTAATTAATAACATTTTCGCTATTCGGAGTATTTATAGACATATTTTTAGTGGTTTTTTTACATTTATTAATGTGTAAAAAAATTTTTTTTTCACTTTTACTTTACTCAAACATCATAAATTAAATTAAAATAAAAAATTACACCTTCATAATTAATTACCCAAGGATTGCTTTAAATATATTGATTGCTGTTTGCTTTTTACCTCTTAATACTTTCTATCACTAACTAACTATTTCATTAAAGCAAGCACCTAGCTTTTGATCTAATTTTCGAATCAGATTAAAATTTAGAAAGGAAGTAATGCGCATTTATCTTTGCAAGTAAAATAAAATTGAATTAAATCAATATTTTACTTTCTAAGTAATAAATATTAGATGAAAATTTCGGCTATGATTAAAAGCTTACTTCATCAACAGTATCAAGTATGCCTGGTGAATGCAAATTTAAAGTAGAAAAATTAAATTTTTATTTATTACATTATATTAAATTTAAAATAGTTATCTGTTTAAAATTTTCATTTTGAACGGAAGTGATTGATAATGCCTAAAAGTTAAAATTTGCTTTGCACCTCAATAAATAAATAAATAAATTTTTTTGATTTAAACAAAATTTCAATATGAGTTTTTGTAATTATTAATTTATTAAAAAGAAAAATCAAAAACTTTATAAAATAAAAAATTAAGTCTTTGTTATAAAACTTAGTTTTGTTATATAAAGCAATAAAAAAAACAATATTGAGCAATATATAACATTAAAATTACTAACTATTCTTTTAAGCTGACCTTTCCGCTTTAACTTACTTCCAATCAGCTATTTTCATACGCTTCCAGTACTGATAGATAAAAATGAAAATTTCGAATTAGACTACTTTTTTTGCTTAAATTAAACAAGAAGAACAGTAAGATTAGTCATAATCTTAATGTTGGATGAACTAAGGCTCTCACTAACTACCAAAGTAAGCTGAAAAGCATACTTTTTCTTATAAGGACTCACAAAGCACTACGAGCCTACAAAGCATAACCGCAAAAGTAGTTTTGCTAAATCGTAGTACATCTGCGACAAATTCTGATTAATGCAGAAATGAGGATGCTCTTTATCATTATTCTCATTATATAAACACTTTTAAATATAGAACAGCTCTTCTATAAGAATAAGAAGCTAAAATTTCTTATATCAATAATAGAAAACATTAAAAGTTAACTTATTTGCCTTATTAAAATCTTGTTTTTTCTGTCAACAAAGCAAATATTGAGAAAATAAATGACAATTTTATTTTTGAGTGGATTCGCTTCATGGAAGACTACGATTGCGAAAAAATAGGATTAAATATAACGAATCAACCGTAATCAAATATAAGCAATAATATATTTAATAAAAATGCCAATTTTACCTTTTAAAGTAATTTAAATAATGTAATCAATAAATCTAAAAAAAAAATAAAGCTAGCTCGAAAAGCCAATCATTAAATTAACATTCGCGATTTAATTTCACAATTCTCTATTCCTTAAGATATTTAAGAGTTAATTTTATGTAAATTTTGCCTTTACGTTTAGAGCTTATATAAAATTCTTAAAGGAAACAATAGAGAAAAATAAATTTCGTCCATCGACCCACAAATCTATTAATTTATTTTTAACAACCAAATTAACAATGATTCCATAGCTCCAGTCAATAATGAAATTTCTTAATCTGGATATCTTAATTCTAACCACCACGAATTCAACATATTTAGTAAAAAACAATCTTAGGAAGACTCCAGCGAATTGTTAAAATAATAAAAAAAGTATCATTTCAATATGTCAAAGTATTTTATGCTTTTTCTTTTAGAGCTATTAAGCGACTATCATATTATGACATTGAGTGAATTGCCAGAAGCAATCATAACTGAAATAAGTGCTATTATCTCTGAAATAAAACAAATTAGTAAAAAAAATAATTCAAGTAAAACAAATTACTATAATCATTATCATTATGATGTCTTATTCTTACAAATCAATGAACAAACAAAAAATACAGTACTAAAAAATTAAAAGCTCCTAGACATGCATTTAAAAGTTTTTCACATTCAAAACCTTGATAATTTCTTAAGTCTTTAGCGCATTAATATAATTAAATAGTACATATCATAAATTGTACTCTCATAATTATCCATATTAAAAGGAAAAATATTCCTATCAACTTAAACTTCGAATTTATCAAAGTCTGTTTTAGAGGATTTAAATTCTAAAATAGACTACCTCTACCGTGTTGAATAAGGCATAATTGATTTGAACTTGGGTAAAACTATTAATCGCTTTTGAATAATTTGAGCCAAGTCCAGCTTTAAAAGCTTTTCATCATAGCATAAAACATTTTTAAGCACTCTAAAATTATAAACAACCTATTTAAAAAACAAAGATAACTACTAACAATTATATATAAAATATTATACAAACCCTTTATTATAATCAATTAAATATAGTTAAAAAACCTATACTCAAAATGTAGCGATAAATTCTATTTTAACAAAAATTACTCTTCAAATTATTAATAAATATTTATTCAGCTTTTACCTATTTTGTTTTATATAGATTCAATTGAAAAGGAAAAAATAGTGCATTTCAATTCTATTTGATTTTTTTAAAAAAAGCAAAATTCCTTTTCTTGAAAAAAAAAATTAAATCTAATCAAAAAAAGATGTTTATGTTTTGTTTATTAATTCTTTTTACTCTTAATCATTTTGTTTTTACAAAATATACAAGCAGATGTAAAGCAATCACTATTTCAATTATTTAAATTGATTAATTACAATTCTTTTATGAAGATATTAATACTAAATTCTTTCTAAAATAAGTGGGAAACTTAAAATATAAAGATAAATAAAGTCTTAAGATAAGTCCTTAATATTTAAAAATTTTTTAGTTTTTGAGTAGGGATTAATATTATTGTTCAAAATCAACAACTGCTGGTTGACTTTACTTTATTACATTTTCTTAATTTTGATTAAAAAAATATCAGTGTAAACTTTAATTTTCCTTTTAAAAATATTGTAAATTAATAAATGCTTCAAAAAATCTAATCAAAAACTCAAACATACATTAATAAATATTAAGTTAATAAATAAATACCTTTGTGTTTTAACTTTTTCATTAAAAAGTTATATTCATATTTCCTATTAAAAATATTGTATATTAATTATGCTTCTAAATCTAATCAAAAGCTAATAAACATTAATAAAAATTAAGTTAATAAATAAATAACTTTGTGTTATAAATTTTACATAAAAAGTTATATTCATATTTCCTTTTAAAACAAAGTAAAATCATTCAAATAAAATGTTCTTTATAGATTTGATTAGAAATTCTTCAAAATGATGATAGAGTCTTAAAAATAAATGATTAGATAATAAATTCCACAATCAAAAAATGATAGAAGTCATAAATAAATACATATTGATTAGTAATGAAATATTAAAGTAAATTAAAACAAAATAATAATAAATTATCATCTAGAGTTTAGAATTCAAAGTAAAGAAGTGTGTTTTAAGAGTTCTTTCTAAGCTTGTTAAAATAATATTTTAGGTATTTTTTATTGTTTTTTTTTCGCTTTTAAGAGAATAGAACTTATTTTTTGTATTTAATCATTAATGAATATTACTTATAATTTACCATAATAAATTATAAAATTCACTGAACGAAAACAGAGGTATTACTAAAAATGGAATATTTTTAAAAATATCAAAAACTTGGTAATATTAACTAATAAAACGTTCCAAGTTAAAAGGTAATATGGCAATTATTTTTGTATTGTTTTCTCTATTATGAAAATAACTTAAAAACTTAGGGTTATATTTAATTATAATCTAACTAATTTTTCTTTTTTGTTATGTGAATTTGAGAAAAAATTAATATTTTTTAAAAATATGTTTATTCATTCTCCAAAGCTATACTTTATTTTTTACTCAACAAAATTTTTATAAACATGAATTTTAAGTTAGTAAATAACATCTTAAACAAAAAATGTTAATAAGCTTAATCTTTACATTAATCTTATTCTTAGTTTTGATAAATTTTTTAAAATTAATTAAAGTTGTGAGTATTTTTAAAAATTTAAGGCTTAAATGAATAATATTTATACATAATATTCTATCAATATATTTAATATAAGCTTTAAATACTTAAAATCAATTGTGATTTTATTATATCTTTGTATTTAAATTTCTAAAATAATTTAAAAATAAAATGAATTATAGTTAAAAAAATAAATTTCCAGATATTTTACTTTCAAGAAAGTAAATAAAAAGATACATTAAATTTTTAAATGTTAATTCGTGATGTGACCGACCATTGCTAAGTAAAAATTAAATTTTTAAAATTATATTTATATATTTATTTGTAGTTGAATAGTTCAATCAATTTCCACTTACAAGTGTACAAAGCTAGCTTTATGGTATCAAACAAACAAGCAAAACAAACAAAAAATAGATTTTATCTCAACAATAAATACATAAAGCTTACAAACAAATATTGATAATAATTTAACAAATAAAAAATAAATCTTGCAAAAAGAAGAAGACTGATTGAAAATTTTACTCCAACTGAATTAATAACTTTTCGGGTTGAAAGTATTCTAAAAAATAAAAATTGATAAAAAAAGCATTTAATTAATAAAATAAAAGGAATTAATGAAGATATTTTATTGAATTATAATTTGAGTTTGGTACTTAGGACTATAAACTAAATATATCAATATATGTATAGAAATTCTATTAAATGGTATTTAATATAATTAGTCAATTGTTGTTTATATATTATTATATAACCTATTTGAGTTAAATTTAGTTTGTTAATTATTTTTGTTTGTTTGTTTGTTTGTTTAGCATAATCTAAAATTATTTTGATCACATTTAAGATTGCTATATGTGATAAACGCAAGCTTGTAATGTAATTAATTTGTAGCTAGATGCAGACTTTGAAGAGCTGTTTTTAACAAAATGTTCTATCATTTTTATATCACTATAAATATTATATGCTTTTGCTTTGATAATAATATATTAAATTATTCCTAAAAAGTTATCTGCATCGCAAGACGAAGCTTACTTTATTCCATTAATTTCATAAAACTCTTTGATGTCTTACTCAATAATTTCATATATTTTTAATAGAATTTTTAATTTCTAAAGTGGAGATTTTGTTATTTAAGTCTTTTTTATGTGTTCAATTGCTTTAAAAAATGGTTAATCTATATACTTATTGCTATTATTAATAATGTTGCCTTCTCTTGATTTTTAAAACTAAGCTAGAGTCAATTCACTGAGTTAAAATTCCTTTTTTATTCCTAGTTCTTATAATGAAATACCTTACTTCTTATCAATTTGTTCTTTGAGCTTTTGCTAAAATTCATCATCAACTTCTGAAAAGAGTTTGTTCATTTTTCTGTAAAAATTGTCAAATGAAAATAAAATACTGCAAATGAAATTTTAAAGGTTGTCTATGCTAAAAAACATATATGTATTTTCATCATAGTGTGATCCTTTATTTTGTTTGTTAAGATTATTATTTGTTGCTGATAAAGATTAGCTCATTAACAGATAATCTAGTCTATAATATACCCTTAATAGATCTACTATGAATGAAATGAAATCACCAACTTCTTCAGTAATTATTTTTAAGTACATTGATGGCTAGCTAAGCTTTAAAGAATCATAGGTAAACCCAAAAAGTTCTACGTACTTAGAAAGCAAATATGCGATAGGGTTTTTTTACGTATTTTACATATGACGTTGTAAAACTCGAGTAATTTCTTTATAGCGATTTAAACTTTTAAACATCTTATCATATTCTTCTTCCTCCATAATTATTTGCTTTTAAAAATCATCCATCGCTGCAGACATTCCAGTTAGTAATGCACTCATTTGCTTTATATCATCTTGTACATACTATTACTCTTCATTATTGGAATATTCTGAGTTTATAGAGCCACTACGGCTCTTTATACTTTAACTTTTAATTTGATAGATTGAGTTACGGTGCTCTTGTAGAGATTCCTAAAGAAGTTCTGTATTCTCTATAATACTTTCTAATTTTTTCTCTCTTTCTATAGTGAATTGCTATTAAAATTGTAAGAGTTCGTTGCTATTAATTGGCTCTTGAGGATTCATTTAAGATGTAACATTACTATCTCTATTAGTTTCTTGTCTATTTGAATATGAAGAAGCCCTATTTACTCTCCAGCTATCTTTTCTTCTTGCTAAATATTCACTAGAGTCAAAGTAAGATTATTCTGAGGCTTTTGTTACTTCAAAAATAGATTGTTCTTGCACCTCTTTATATTATTCAAATGAATAGACATCTTTTATCAATTCCATAGCCCATTTGTGTTAAGAATATTTTTTATTTTGAGTAAGTTAGTGTTTTAAATGGTTATACCAATCAGGTAATCTTTTATTTCTAATATTGGATATACAATTCAGTTTCTATATGCATGATAAAAATTTTAAATGACTCTATCTTTAAGCTGGTTATTGGTTCATTAACTAGCCAGTAGTGTGATCTTCCATTTGAATATAATTTGTTTAGCTCTCTAATTAATCTCCACTTCTTAAACTACCAGAGAAAGATATAGTGCTGTTGCTTCCACTATTTTAGTTTCCCATTTTAATGATGTATGTAAATTGCTTGATATAATTAATACTCTATTTTAAAAACTATTGAGTGCTGTAGCTTGCTTGAAAATATTAATAGATTTGATTGCCTTAAAGAACTAAAATATATAAAGGTGCTTTGCTTATTTGCTTTAAGATCTATAAATTTATTACTTTATGAATTAAAATTTAATAATTTTTTCTAATAATCTTCTATGCCAATATTTAATTTTTGTTTTATATTTAAATTTCTTTTATATTACTTTAAAGGTGATCATTAATATTCATTCATTCATTGCTTATTTCATTTTTGATTTATATCTATATCAAAAAACATTAGTTAGCTTGATATTAAGAAAACCTTGATATAATAATAAATATCTGATAAATTTAAACTTTTTTCTTGTTGAGAATAACATTTTTAAAGTAATTATCATAAGAATTTAACAGTGCACTCTAATCAATTTTATATTCAAAAAGAAAATAGTTTATGTGAAAAATATTTTTTTAGTTTTTTTGAAATAATTTGTATAATCGATGAAAACAAATATATATGTATACATATAGGAGTTAATTAAATAACATAACTTATATTATTAATTTTCTTTCAATCTTTCATATAAAATAATTTATTTTTTTTTAATAAATTCTATTCATAATTAACTAAAATATTGATGATTATTAAAGCTTAATAAAATTACAAATTAGTATACTCTTAGGAATCTTAAATTCATTTCTTTCTTTTAAAACCTTTCAAATTATAATTTAAAATATTTATTTTAATAAACAGAAATTTTTATGGATTCTATTGAAGATAAAATAAATCAATACAGTTTAGATAATCTTAAATTCTTTTACTAATAAACACTTGTAATTCTTTAGTTGATTTTTGTCATTTTAAGTTAGATTTGTTTTTGTTTGCAAAATTAATTTTTAAAAATATTATTTAAAAAAATTAACAGCAAAGAGTAAATAACTTAAAAAAAGCTAATACAAAGAGATGGTTATCTCATTTATCAGAAAAATAAATGAGACCCTATTATCTATATTTCTGAGTATTTTTGATAATATCATGCTCTTGATTGACTCCCTTTTTTCAATAAACAAAGGAGTAAAATATTCAGAATAGGATATTTATTATATTAAAAAAGAAAATAGGAGGATAGTTAGAGATTTATTATGTCCTAAAAAGAAGCAAAAACCCAAAAGTGTGAGGGAAAATTAAAATAACCCAAATAATAATAATCTAGGTGACACATAATTTAAAAATAATAGTAATAATTCGGATGATAGTGATGATGACAAGCCAAGTTACAATCCAAGAAAATAGAAATTTGGCAACTTATCAGATTATGGTACCGTATAAGGTTGTGCAAGTGGCACATGAGGTTGAGCCGCATATGATTTCATCAGGAAATACACTTTTTACAATTGAGGCAAATTAAAGAAAATATCTAAAAATATTTAAATTTTCTGAATTAGCTTCATTTAATGATTTTTTGAATCTAAACGCACAAAGCGAGTTTCAAGAATGAAAATAAAATGTAATTTCTTGGTGATTTCAAAAAGTTTTCACAGAAAATAAGAATAATTCATTTAATAGATAACTCTTAGTGAAGACTTTCAATAAGAATTGCTTAAAATAATAATAGCTATTTATACAATTTTTCAGTATTACTTAATAAATTAATATTTGTATTATTTATAAAATATCATTAGAATATAAGTTAATGATATTTTTTTAGTTCCTTTATAATAAAATAAATTCTAGCATTATAAAATAAATATTTTTTAATCAACAGAGAGAAATTTAGTTTTGAAAAAAATAAATAAAAATTATATTATTCGAAATGAATTATTTACTAAAATTAGTAGAATGAATTGTTAAATTTAAAAATAGATTGGAAAATTTTTAAAAATTAATTGTTATTCTAATATTTGTTATTTATATTTTGGAGACTTTTCATTTGAATCTATCTTTTCTATTAATACTTTTTGATTTAGTAATATCTATTATTTAAAGATAAATTAAGAATATATTTTAAGTAAATTTTCTAAAAATTTTAAAAACAATTAATAAATAAATAAATCTTTTTTATAATAAAATTGAAGAATGTGAAGATGAATTAAATGTGGATTAGAAAAAAGATTTGATTTTATGTATTTTTAAGAAGTATTTATTGATGGCTGAAAAATAAAATTATCAAATATTAATTATCAAAATTATTGAAAATATGGCAAAAAATCAATAAAGAGGAATTTAATATTGTAACAAATTCAAATGATAATCTTTTTTATTAATAAAAGAGTGCTAAATACCAATTAAATATGCTAAATTTCTATTGGTCATTAACTTTTAAATTACATTTATTCATTTACCTGTTCAGTAGTTTGTACTTTGGCTTTCCTTAATCTCCCTTAATTTATAAAGAAATAAAACAAACTTTGCAAGAAATTAATAGAAATTTTAATTAATTGTTTTAATTCTTTAATTTCTATTAAAAAAATAAACTTTGGAGATATAAAGGTAGAGAGAGACATTAATATATTAATCGATTGCGAAAAGCTTCACTTAAAATTTTAATATTAAGATGAACTACTTTCAAAATAGCAGCATAAATAACTTCTATCCCTTGATGCAAAGGAGTAATATTAACAAATTTGTTTAGCCTTAATTAGTTTGTGTAGATCAATCAAATATGAATGTCACAGCAACTGCTTTAAACACTATTAAGAACTCAACTAGTTAAAAATTTTAGCGTGGAAGTAGATAGTATATAATAAAGTTTAGAAACTCCAATGCTTCAGCAATCTCTACTAGCTAAAGTCCATAAAAGAGAAATAAAAATCAGCTTAAGTAAGAACTAAATAATCATTTAAGCAATCCATACTAAAAGGAAAACAAAAATTTAACTGAAATATCAATTAAAGCTCAAAAGATAGTAACAAAAGTAGTATCTCCATCTTCTTCAGTATCTACCTAATCAAGCAACAAGAACGATTTACCAGCTACTGATAAAGATGATGATTCTCCAATGAGACTTAACAATTAAGATTAAATTAAAAAAATTATACAATTTTAAAATGATTCAGTTGGGTAGAAGGCTTCTTAAAAAGCTATTAGCAACTATCCTAAAAATGATTCAAGAATTTCTTCAAAAATATAAAATAAATAATAAAATGACTCACAATCTCCAAATAGATCTAAAAGCAATGAAAGCAAAAATATGTAATTTTTTTAAGATAATTCAAATTAAGCATTACAAGAAGCAGTTGACTAAGATAAATCAAAATAAAGAAATGTTATGAGAGATTCTAATACATTTTTAATCAAACCAAGTAACTAAAATTACGATTCAAAGGCAGTTAATATAGTTGATTATTAAAAAATTTTAGATAATTCGTCTGAAATTAATTAATAAATCCTTCCTATAACTACTCGTAATAGAGATGGCAGTGCTCCACCTCTAAATGCAATCTCATAAAACAGTAAAGCACTAGAAAGTGATAAAAAAAATACTAAAGATACATTAAGCCAAACTTAATAACCAATGTAAAAACGCCATTCAATCTTAAGGCTTAGTGATCCTTAATCTATAGTTAATACCTTATATAATGATTTAAACTTAGGGAAAAAAAATTCAAAAAATGAATAAGATCTACAATAAAAACAATCACAATAGTAATCAGATAGATATTTATTATCAACAACTTTTAGCTAAATTTAATTTAATGATAATATCAAAAAATAAATCACCTAAAAATAGACTAAAAAAAATTCTTCATTTTTATGCTCGAAAAGAAAGAAGTTTAAAAAAAGGTAATTTTATTTATAAAAATAATACTACAAATTATAATTCTAATTTTATTAAATTAAAAAAAATTTACCAATAAACCTCAAAATAAAACTTCAATAAATTTTTTTTTTTTCTATATAAACCTCAAATTATTACTCAAATTTTTTTGTAAAATAATTTTTCAGAACTGAATTAACCCCAAAAGTATTTTGGTTGATATAATTTTATTTATTTAAATATAAAGAAAGTATTAATTTAAAACTATTTTTAAAAATTTAACAACTTTAATTATAATTTTATTAAACTTATGTTTACTTATGGGTATAAAAATTTCATTTTATAGAATTAAATTAAATTTTTTTTATAATAATTTAGTAAAAATCATATTAATCTTTAAGAAATTCCTCTATAAGCTAAAACTTCATAAAACACACAAATACTTTCAAATTAAGAAGAAAAATTTGAATAATATGATTAAGATTTTTAAACTTTAGCAGACTAGCTTGAAAATCAGTAGTTGCATATGAAAATAGTTGGTAATGAATATTTACTTGATGATGATAATGCCTATTCAGAAGAGTACTTGGATGAAGATGAAGAAATAAATAAAGAATTTATATAGTAATAAATGAAAGATAATAAAAAAGTTAAAATAAATAATTCAGTTATTCTTCCTTCTTTAGGTATTTCTATTTTTTAATTAAATATTTCAAATAAAAGTTAAAGCCAAAAAAACATTTTATTAATCTTGAAATATTGAACTATTTTTCAAAATTTTGATGTTTATAAATAATTGTTTTTTATTTTAAGTTTAAATTAGCTCTAATAATATTGTAGATGATCAATTAGAATAAAAATTCAAATCAAAAGAGCTTAGTTCGCTAAATCTCACTGCTAAAAGCGTTTGTATATTTGATGTGGAAAAAAATAAACCAATACTTTGTTTAAAAGGTAAAAAGCCTAGAGAAGTTGCTTCTTTAACAAAAATAATGACTTGTTATATTATTTGTTAAGCAATATAAAAGAAAAAAATTAAACAAACTGAATAGATAAAAGTCTCAAGAGCAGCAGCATCTATGATAGGTAAATTATTTTAAAGTGAAAATAACAATATACATTATAAATTATTTAAATAAATGTATTTTAGGGACAAGCGCTTATTTGAGGTCTGGAGATCAGCTTTCTGTTTGGGATTTATTACATGGTTTAATGCTCCCATCAGGAAACGATGCAGCTTTTGCATTAGCTGTAAAATTAATTGTGTAAAAAACATACTTTTACTAAAATTTCTTTTTAAAAAGGAATATATGGGAAGAATTTTATTCTTTGAAGACAATGACTATAAAGAATAACTTTAATAGAATCCTAATAGTTTTGAAAATTGTAAAGCTAAAGATGCAATTAAGTGTTTTCTTAAAGAGATGAATAGGGTTGCGAAGGATTTAAAACTAGCAAATACAAAATATTCAAATCCTCATGGATTAGTAAATAAAAGTAATAGGTCAAGTGCTTTAGATATTTGTAAATTATCTGCTCATTGCTTGACTAAGTCATAACTATTTAGATAAATTGTAAAGACAAAACAGTATACGTGTTAAGTAAGGAACAAGCAAGGTAGTATAAGAATAGCTAGTTGGGAAAATACAAACAAGTGTTTATTGAGATATAATACAATATGTGATGGTGTTAAAACAGGAGTAACATGTACTGCAGGTCCATGCTTGACAACATCCTGGAGGGTTAAAGACAGACACTTTATAATTACCATTTTGAAATGTGATTCATTAGAGCTAAGATATTCTGAGTCTTAAAGAGTGTTTGCATGGATTTGTGAAAAATTAGGAATTGAATTATCAGCAGAAGAAAAAATGCCATATGAAAAAGTTAAATAGTTGTATAAAAGAAATTCTGTGGAGTCTATTCAATCTATGAAAGAGTCATGCTCAAATAACAGTCTTTCTTCCAAATAAAACTCTAACTTAATCCTATAAAAATCTGATTCTCTTTTGAAAATGTAAAATTGACTTAATTTTTTGCTTGCTAGTTTAAGTTAGCCAATAAGTCAAAACTTTCATTTAACTCTTCTAAAATAAACTATGTAAATAAATAAATAAATAAAATAAATTTAAAAATATTTTATTCAATTTCAACAAACAAACGATATAAAATAAAATAGACAAAAAATATTAAAAATATTAAATTTAATCAATAAATCAATCTTAAACAAAAACTTATTTATTTTGTGAATATTACTTCTTTATATTTGCCTCAAAATAAACACTTATCTCTCTTGATTTTTTACTTTATTAAATTTGCTTATTACTAATTTTGAAAATATCAAAAATATTTTCCAAAAAATACCTTTAATCTTATTAAAAAATATTATTATAATTTGTTTATTTTTAAGAAATTTAGAAATTCAGTTAAATTTTGTTTCATCTTATAAAATATACTCTTTAAATATTTGGGTTTAATTAAAATAATTTTTATTAAAATACATAAACTACTAACTTAACTCTTCATTAAAACAATTTTCCTTTGTTTTTTTTTGCTATCTAATAAATAAATTTCATGCAATCTTAAAAAATATAATTAAAATCTTCTTTTTATATTTCCTTCAATTTTCATTTCTTTTTGATTCATATGATATATTTGATCAAAAGTGGTGTTTTATTATTTTAAAGTAAAAATGCTTACAATATATATTTACTTCTTTGAATATTTTTGTTTTTATAAAAATTAATTTAGAAATTAGTATTTTGTTAAAACTAGATAAGATTTACGTTTAAAATAGATAAGAATGACTTAAATAAATTTTAAAGATAAAAATATGAAATAAGAAAGTGAGATTAATAAATTAAATAAAAGTAATCATTGTATGATAATAAAAGAAAATTTGATATCATATAAATTAACTAAAGAATTAGTTTATATTAACAACAAAGATTATTTATATTAAGTATTGATAGATATATTATTGAAAATTTATTAGATTAATTGGATTAATTTTAAATTTAGATCATAAAATTTTTTATAATTTTATATTATTTTGGTTATTATTAAATCTAAATGTATCCATTTTGTTGATAGATAGATAGCATTATAATAATTGTTATTATTATTATTTTTGAGAAGTAGATATAAAGTTTTGATATTGTAAGTATGAGATAACTATTAGTAAATTAAGTGTATGACTTTATTTAGTTAAGTCAGTCAGTCAGTCAGTTGGTTGTATGTATTTATAAATGAGAGGAATTATTTGTTTAGTTTTTAAGATTGAATAAGCATCATCTTCTTCTTCATTTTTAGTAGTTAGAAAATAATTTCATTAATATTTATTTGTATATAAAGTCTTCTTTCATTTTTTCTTAGAATTTTTTTTCACTTGGTTGTAGAATAATAATCTAATAAATGTATAAAATGTTTAGTTTTAAATTCTAATATCTGATTTGGACAAGCTTCGAGCGGTATTTCATCTATGCAAGAGTTTTCCATTTCCTATTAAATGTATTTAAGACTTAACTTAAATAATAATTAAAAATAATGTTTATGCGTTTACGTTAAAAAATAAGTAACTAAATTTGTTAAAAAGATGAAAAATTTACTAAAAGCTAATTAGAATTAATCATAGTGTCACTTTTAGTCAGAAGAATCTCGTTATAGTCATCCACTTCATTTTAATTCAAACTTTTTATTTTATTTACTCTTCTTTTCAGCATACTTAGCATCTATTTTACATCTTCACTTGATGAAACTTTCTATTTCATTAACGACTAGAGGAATTATATTTAATTTTCTTTCTTTCCTGCAACCACATCAACAGGTCTTTATTTTATCTAAAATATATGTTAAAGATTTGATTAAAATAACTCAAAATTTTCTATCATTGCTAATTGTGTTTTTTCTAAACCTATTTGCAAATCTAATTAATATTTTACTTAATTTTTCATGTCAAACTTTGCTCCGTATTATAACAAAAGAAGAGTACATTCATGTTTTCTATCATAAAACGCTAAGTGTAAGGGTGTTTCACTATTCTAATTTATAGAAAGAAAATAATTGAATCTAATGAAAACATTTTAAGATAAAAATATTTAAATTATATATATAAAATATAAATTGTAGTGTGCTTTGTAGAAAATATAGATCTAATGGCTTTGCTTCAACAGTTTTATTTTAAAAATACAATAAATTTTTTTGTTTTATATTTGTTCTGATTGTTTTGGGTGCCTTGTCTAGCTATAGTTAGTTGTATTTTGGTTAGTATAATTGCATACTTTATTTAATCAAAATATAGTGTAAAAATATTTTAAATTTATTACTGAATCTATGCAGTTTACAAGCGACTGCACTTCAGGTTTTTGCAAAAGTTCACTTAAAATTTAGTATCTATTGTGCCAAACAGCTAAATGAAGAATTGTCCAGCGATACTTTTTTGATTATTAAAAAATAAATGAGAAATATAATTTGTAAAGTCATTGCTTTAAGACAAAAAAATTTGGTAGAAATATGCTAAATAAATACATCTGAGAACTTCCTTGATGTTAAATGCTATATGTCAGGATTCTAAAAGTATTTTATGTCGTTTTGCTCAAGCTTTTTAGTAATTTCATAAATAGAATTTTATTCCTACTTTAGTTCTTTACTCATTCTTGTTAAATGTAATAAATGATTGTTTGTTTATATTTAGTAATTATTTCTTAAGTTTGTGACCAATTTTTACTTTACTTTTAACTTAATAAATCAAAATGATATTTTGTATTAGTTTTTTTAGTATATTAATATAAAACAAAAGAAATTAATCAATGAATCAATGAATGATATTACTAAATTAAGAATCATAAACATTTTTTTTTTCCACAAAAGTTTCTTCTCTCCAAATTGGTGAAAATTCATACGAATTTAAAAACTGTTTTAGGTTTCTATTTAGTGATTAAAATTAATACATCTAGATTATTTTAAAATTTTTAAAAGTAAATTGTATTTTTTATGATGAAGATAATAAAAATCTATAATGTTTACGACTTAATATGGTTAATTATTAATTAATCGTAAAAATCTAGTGAATTTATTCAAAGTTAATATCACTTTTCCAAATATTTTTTACAAAATTTTAAGTTTCAAATTAGGTTTTTATTATAAAATACACCCAAAAATACATTGATTGTTAATGAGTTGAAAGATCTAATTTTATCAATAATAATAAGATACAAGGAATTGTATTACTCTTTTTAATACGCTGAATGAAAAATTGGTAATAAGCAAATCAATTTTTTGATTTTTCTTAAAATTACAGAAAGTTTTTTTAAAGCTAAATACTGAAAATAATTGATCAACATTTTTTAATATTATTGGAATTCCTAAATTAAAATCATTCTTACTTTATCTTAATAAAATAAAAAATTATATTTTTATATTATTAGATTTAATAAAATCAATTAATTAATTAATTAATTAATTCTACTTTTGAAATAAAATTTTATTTTTTTAAATATTATTTTATTTTATTAAATTTAAATAAGCAAAAATAAATTTAGCATTTTTACTTGTTTAACTTCTAAATGGCTTATAAATAGTAATAATAATAATAATTAGATACATATTAGATATAAAATTTGATTTTTAATTTACAACCATTAAATTTTCTTTTGAAAATTTGTCTTTCTTTTCTTAAAAATCTTTAATTTTAAATAATAAAAATTATCTTTTTTTTGAACAAGACATATTTTCAAAGAAAGAATGGAACTATAAGAGTTATATACATCATTCTTACCTAAAAAAGCTAAGAATGATAATAGATAGGTTCCAGCACCTTCTCAAATGTACCTTTCTTCTAATATGCAAAAATTAAAACTTTTAAAAATGGAAAAAGATAGAAAGAAATCGTATAATAGCCATTTACAAAATAATTCAAAAGATATTGAGGAAAGTTATAATGTTTCTCTAAACTAATTTTAAAAAAAGAAAGATGATATTAAAAGATCGAAGAGCTTCAATTAAAGTCCAATAAAATAGGATGATAATAATGAAAGATAAACATAAACTAAGAATAGTCAAAATATACCCTTCGAACAATACATGAATATGAAAATGCTTTTTTAAAAAAATCAATAAAATGAAAAGAATCCTTAGTAAAATATATTTCAAAATAGTTTTCTTTAAAAAATAAATACCAAAGAGGACGATAATAAAATTCCCTCACATCATGAATAATCCATTCAAAAAGATAAGATATATTCCCATAAATAATCAAATTTAAGCTCTAGAAATATGTATCAGTAGTCTATAGTTGTTTTAGATTATGCAAAGCAGAATGAAGAATAAAATTAATGCTAATAAAATTCTTAAAATTTTTCTTAAATAGTTAAAATTCAAGAAATTGAAAACTAAAAAAGTAAATAGTTAGACCAAGAACATAACAGTTATAACAGTATGGGGAGATAATCCCTAGATTATTCTTAGTATCAAAAAGAAATAGAATAATACAAATAGCTAGAGAGGAAATGTTTAAATTAAAGAGAAAATAGTCCTATGAATATATACTTTTAATAATATAGCAAAAGTTAGTAAAGTCATTATGATAAATATTTTCCTCACTATCAAATAAAGATTAAAATTCCTAGTGAAAATAGTCCAGAATAAAAACTAGGTGAGGTAATGGGAGGTAAAATGAGAAGCTATGTTCCTTCAGAATTAAAAGGCTTAGATGCTGACTCCCGCTTACAAATCTCTAGTAGAGAAAAAAAAGATCCATTAGTAGCTTAAAAATTTATAGTTAATAGTAAAATTATACAAAACACCAATTTGATAAATCAAAATAATTTTTAAGAGTGTTATGAAAACCCAAGTTCATATTAAATTTAAAATAACCAAAATATTTATCAAACAAGTGAGTTGCTTTAATATTAAAAAAGAGGAAAGAGTTCGATATGTTAAAGAGCAAATAAAATTATAAATGTCTAACAACCAATAAGCTCCAAAGTAATAAAACCTCCTCTTTCTGTGTAAGCTCACTTAAATAAAGATAATGTTGTGTTTTAAAACCTCTAAGAAACTACTGTTAATGGCGAAAAATAAACATATATAATTCCTCTTCAACAAAATTACAGTGTTTGTTTAAACGAAATAGATAGGATAAAAGCAAGAAGGAAATTACTATTTTCTAAAAGAGGAGTATCTTCAAATGGTGATTTATAGCCTTTTAGTAAGGAAGAGTCAAAAATTTAGTTCATAAACAAAATTGAATAATAAAGATTAACACCTAAAAATTAGATTGATAATTTTTTCAGCAATGCTAACCAAATAAGGTATATAGATAATTAGAATAGAAATAAATATTCAGAAATACAAAATACAATTTAAAATAATAACAACAGTTTTGGCTAAACTTTAATTCAAAAAAATTTTTAAAACACATCTTATTTTGAGAATAATGATAATTAAAATTTACAATAATTGAATACAAAGAAAAGAAAACATATAAAATCATAAGTATGAAATTTGTATGTAATTCAGTAAGAGTATGTGAATTAATTAAATGCATACGAAAAAAATCAAATTTTATTTTTTGATAAAATTCAAATGAATCTGCTAATATAAATAAAGTTAAATTATAAAGTTAATTTAAATATTCAAAATATCAAATACTTTATTTAGGTAAGATTTGAGTGATTGTAAAAAAATTAGAAATAGTTATATTTTTCATGCTTTTTCTTTTATTATAATAAAATTATAAAAAATACTTTTTAGATAATAAATATGAAATTTTGTTTACATAATAAAATGCTAAAAAAGAATTTTTATAGAAATATATCATAAGATATTATTAATTAAAATAAAGAATTGTATTTTTATAAAATGCTTAGTTAGTTTATTTTTGTACAAAAAATCTTTTGAAAACAAAATTTATTTAACATTTTTAAGTATGCAAATGAATTAACACAAAATGTAATTTTTATAATTTCAAAAATATTTTAGAAAAATAAATTGAATTATAATCCACTTACAAGTAAGTTTTAAAAAATGCAAAGACTTTATATATTTCTTGAAATAAATTAACTTTATTAATATTTTAAAAATCAGATAAAATATTTGGAATCACCAAAAGCAAGAAAAAGACCTGGATTTCTTCTTAAAAACCCTATCAAGTCATGTCTATCTATTTTAAAGAATGCACAATCATCAGAATTAGCCTAAAGTGATGTTGTATTTTCAGATTCATTTATTAATGAAGATATTTCCCCAATAAAAAATCCTTTTTTAATATCCATATTTATATCAGCTTCAGGACAGTCAACAAATTTGAACTATCCTGATTTTACAATAATTCCAAATTTGGCTTATTCTCCTACCCTCCATAAAAATTAATCTTTTTTAGCGTCTTGATTTATAAGTATCATTTCAAGCTAAGTCTTTTAGGTTTCATTCAAATCTTTCAAAAATGAGTTACTAAGTATTTATAAATAAAAATTATAAAGTAAAATAATTTAAATTAATTAATTACTGTTCTATAATCTAGATTGATTTATTAATACGCGAATGTAGCAATCTTTGCTACTTCTGAAGAATTTTTAGTCCACTACTTTCTTTTCCTTATCCAAAAGCAAACCAAAAATCTTACTTTTCTAGAGTTAGAACATGTAAATCACTCAGAGCTTAAACACTTTATGTTAAAATAAAGTTTTAGCAAATTTAAAATATTAGTTAATTTACCTAGCCATTCTTCTTTATGATTAACCTTGTTGTTGCTCAAGAATCAAAGCAGATTCTCCAAAATACTCTCCTACAGAAAATATTCTGTCTTCAAATATTTTTTTTTCTGAAAATACTTTAACTGATCCTTTCAAAATAATATACCATTTATTACCAAGGGTATTTTATTTTATTACCTAAGTGAAAAAGTATGTAAAAAAATAGAAAACCAAAATAATTTTTTTAGTGCTTTACGTATTATCCTTTTGTGAAAAATTCTTCGTTTGCAATATCAATTAAGTCTCTTAAATTTTTTAAAGATATTCCTTCGAATACATCAACTTATGCTAATATTTCAAGCTTCATCATATAATCTAAAGCTTTATGTTTTTTTACTTTTAAATCAGGGTCTTCTGTTTGAGTATATTATAATCCTATCTAATTTATAAAGTAGACTTATTGTTTTGAGTAAACTTAATTATGAAAGTACTTACTGATGATATTTAAAATGACTACTTATACTCGTTAGGTAAGCAATCTTCATCTGTGTAAATGAGTCTTATATTTTTGTGAGTCTGCTAAGGTAGCTACTATAAAATGCTTAGTTAAGTATGAGCTATTGGATTTCCAGCATCAAAAAGAATTCTGTTATGAATGAATTTAGTATTTGCTAGGAGTTCGAATCTTTTCATTGTGATGACTTATTTTTTACTGATTGCTGAAAATCTTTGTACAAATTAAGAAGTAAGACATATACTATTTATGAAAATTTAACTTACAGTTTAGGGTCATAGAGATTATAGCCAGAATAATAAATTGATGCATTCTAATTATTTATTTCAAAGCCTATGCTTGGTATTACGTGAAAATTATAATGAAAACGGATAACACAACCATTTAAGTTGATTGCTGCACCAATAACAACTGGCTTAAATTTAAATAATCTTCTCATTAATTCACTATTAATTTTACATATTCTTGAATATTTATTTATGAACGAGTTAATAATTGTTGGTGTAGAAATAATCTAGTTTTTTAAAAAATATTTAAAATTTTGAGATTATTATTTTTATTCTAATTACTTCCATTCTTGAAGATTCAACAAATCTTTGCAGAACACCAATATCACATTCACTATGACAATTAGTTAAAATAACCCAATCAATAATATTAGTAGGAATATAGTGAGATTAAAGATAATTTGTTGTAAATATAGGTGGATCAACTAGACCTGCTCTGCCATTAATCCAAATGATAAAGCCACTCTTTTTTAATTCATTAGCAATATTAATAAAAAATAAGCTATATTAAAAAAGATATCAATTTTCTTACAGGCTTGCTTGAGTCAAAAGGAGATGATAAACCTGTATAATTGAATAAAGGTGGTATAAAATCATGCTTGTTTTTATCACTTTCAGTATTCAGCTTGCTTTCACTATTTTCATCAATTACTTACACTTACTAAACCATTCTCTGGTGAATTAACCTTAGATTTGTAAAAAAAATTAATTTTATTTTGATTTTTTTTATGAATTACAATTCTTGCTGTGTTTCAATATCTAATAAGTATTAAAATATCTAATTTTCAGTTTCCTCAATTTCAATTAATTATTTTATTTTTGAATTTTCCGTGATTGTGACTCTTTTACCATTATTTTCAATGTCAACGCCTCTACCAAGTGAAACACATCCTTTTTTAAATTTGAAGGAAAAACTTTCAGTATTTATTTATTTGATAGTTTTAAAATATATTATTACCGTCCTTGTCATAAAAGGCAAATCTTACAAAATAATTGATATCAATATTATCTTTAATTCCTAATATATGTTTATATATGTATTGCTATTCCTTTTCAAATTAAGGAATTCCTTCTTAGTCAAATGAAGTATGGAATTAATGTCTCAGTTCCTTTTTTTTTGTTGATTAATAATATTATTAATTTAAAATTAATTTAATTATTTCTTTTGTTTTGTTTGTTATTTTATAAATTACTTCTTTTTTAATATTTTAAGGCCCTAAGAAACTCTCTTATATGTAGCATTAGATGTCTTCTACTTCTTCTTCTGTACATATAATTGTAGTGATTTTGTGGCATTTTAAGGCATTGTATCTAACTGGTTATTCTAAATCTACTAACTATTAATTGTTTAGAAGGAGTTGAGAATATCATAAAATTGATATGATTGAATCTTTCAAATTATGAATAATACATCAGTTTGAATACTGATTTAGTAGCAATAAGTATTAAAGTAGTTAAAAGGAAAATCATAAATTACAAGAAGTCCATTTTCTTTATTAAACTATTTTTGTGGTAGTATAAAGTAGGTTGGAACTTAATTATAAATATTAAGGGTTTATGAAACTGTCATAGGAGGTATACCATATTAAATTAATCCAACAGCAGTATCAGCAACATGAATTAAAACTCCTTGTTAGGCATCTTTTTAATATCAATAAATGCATTAAATTAACTACTAATACGCTAATTTGAATAATAAATTTTCTACGTTCATTAGTGTTAGCTGAAATCATCTACTTTGCTTATATTTTATTACAAATCTATTTGGTATATTACTACTGGTTTTTAATATTTTGCTTAATGAATTGATTATGAATATAAATTATTTTCAATAAGATAAATTATAAAAAATAATTTATAATAAATAATTGATCAAAATAAATTTTAAATTTAATAAAAATATTTAAATTAAGAATTTCAATTTAATAAAATGTATTTTATTTTCTTAAAAATGGTTAATACTTTTTTTCATTTTTTCATTCATTATTTTTGCTATTCTTAAACTTTAAAAATTTAATTGTTATTTGATATTGATATGCTTGTATGCATGCAGCAATTGATTGATAGGAACATTCTTAAATCTTTTTTAAATACATTAAGATATAATAATTATATTTTACTTAGCATTATACAATCTAAACATTTTAAAGCTATAAATTTTACAAAATATAAAATAATTATATAAAAAGGGGATATGGCTCTCTTTTAAGAATGGTTATATGGATCTGCAAATGATTTCTTTTCTTGGAAAATATATGATATGCTCCCTAAATCAGGGACTGTAGACATACTTGGATTATCGAATTAGTTTCGCCCATAAATATATTCTGCTTGGCATCTTAATCCAAGAAGCGTTAATTTTCACACCAGAAGATATATTTTAAAAAGAGGAATTTTAGAAAACGACCTTGATATAATTAAGGATGCGCTTGACCATGGATTAGATATAAATAGCGAAATAGATTTAAAATATGGGTTTACACCTCTTTCGTTAGCAGCAATATTAAATAGAACTGCGATAATATAATATTTATTTTTGAGAGGAGCTGATGTGAATAAATTGGATAGGACAGGAAATACTCCTCTAATGTAGGCAGTCAAAAACTGGAATTTTGAAAGTATAAAAATCCTAGTTGAAAGCTGCTATAGTGATTTAAATGTTAAAGATTAATATGGTTAGACTGCATTAGACAAGGCTAATTTTAAAAAATTGAAAGCTATAGAAGTATACCTGCAAGATAGAGATATACTAAATGAAGAGAATGAAAAAATATATCGCAAAGCCTTCAATTTGGATAATTAAGAACAAAGCAATCTTGTAAATTAAAACTCGAAAACGAAAAAAAGTTAAAATATTTCTAAAATATCTGCAAAAGAGTAAGCGCAATTAGAAAAACAGATTTAATTTAAACAATTCCCAAAATTTTCTTTAGAATTAAGTATCGAAAATCTATTCAATGATAAATCTGGTGAATAACTTATTAAAAATAAGAAAGTATATATTCCTTAAGCACTTCGCTATCCATTTAACAATTTTAAAGGTGTTTATAGAGTATCATTCTAAAATTTAAAGACTGTAGATGAAGCACTTTTGGAAATTAATGGAAATTGAATTGAAGTTTCTTGTAAATAATCAACCAACCATTTATTTATACTTAAATAATATAAATTATTATCATACTATTGTAGATTTTCTACTTATTTTTATTACATCCTGTTTTAATTTTTAATAATTGCCAATGGCTTAAACGAATTCATTACTAAAAATTAATAAGCATTTGTGTTATCTGCTTACTTATTAATTTTGAATTTTATTAGCTTGAATGAAAAATAAAAAAAGGCTTACAAATGATCTATCTGATTATAATTCCTTAATTAAACATAACATAAATTTTTTAATGTATAAATTTTTGAGCCATTTAAGCATAAATTTGTTAGACTTTTATTGATTATACACCCTGATTTACTTGCTGAACATGAATAATTGGAATTATTTATAATTTTTTTGCAATATACTACTGTTATAATGGACCACTTCTAATGTTTTAAACAATCCATTTTTTCTTATTGTAAATTCATTCAATAAAAATAAAAATACAGGCCAACATTTTAAAAATAAAATAAAAGAAATTTGATATACTTAACTATTTTTAGTAAGCTATTTATAAATTAGAAAAGGACTTCAATAGTTTTATTGTTTTTTTAGTTTAAATTTCAGAGAATAAATAAATTAATTAACTTTATTTTGTAAGGAATTTATGGTAAATGACAAAACATTATTTAAATTTTATAAAATCCCACAACTGAAACAGTGTATCAATAAGTTTTCAATTTTCAGATGACATTGATTTGATGTTACACATCTCACAATTATTAAAAGCCACAACAATTTAGATATATTTATTTATTTGATTAGTTAAAATTTAAATTTTTTTCTAACTCTATTTAGATTAATAAAGAAAAAGCAACCAAAAGATTTCCTTATTTATTTATATTGCAAGCTTGTTTCGTGATAAAATATTACTCGAAAGTGCCGAAACCAAATCATATTTCTATTTATTTCTAATCAAATTTAGAAACACATATTTTAATATTGTTTGTAAAGCAAAACATTAAACAGTGAATAAGTTAGTGGGAAATTCTATAAACATTATTAAAATTAAAAATACCTTAAATAAAAATAAAACCTTTAAACAACGCACCATTTAATTTTCGTACTAATACCTAAATACATATTCATTACCTGCTACAAAAATCATAGCAAATCCTAGTCGTAGTAAATATTGTAAAAAAACTTAAGAAATGGGTTGTACTTAAGCTAAAAGTTCAAAATAAAATGGGCTAAGCAGCCACTAAACTAGAAAACGTGAAAGCAATTTTGATATCACTATGAGGGCTATACAAAATATAAAGCAACAAAAAGAGGTATAAAATGATAAAGACAATTAAGATCTCAACAGAGAATACAATTATATATTTGCATTCCAAAAAAATACTTAAAACCGTTAAACGTCAGATGACATTTACCCTTAGGAAGAGTCGTGAGCTTTTTCTATTGTGGATAGTATTTGTAAATAGTGTTTTTAAACCAATTAGATTACTTAACTTGATTTGTGAATAGAAATTTAAGCATAATTTATGTAATCAAATAAAATTTTCTAAATTCAATAACTCATTAACCATAAAATTTATTAATAAAAATTCCTTAAGTATATAAAAGGCAGCATGTCATAAAAAAAAAAAACTGTAATAAAGATATATAAATATTAACAAAAAATACATATTAGTCTTAGCTGTAGAAATATTCTAATATGCACATATAAATATATAAAACATATCTATTTAATTTTTATCATAAAATCAAAATTTGTATATTTATATTTTGTATTTGAATAGTTAAAGATAAAACTTTTAAAATCTTAATAGAGTAATCATTAACGCAAATATGCATCTCGCTTCTAAATTAAGATAAACCTAGTTATAATATTTATTTTTTATTATTATTGGTTTAGCTCTTTAAAAGAAAGCTTAAAAAACTCTTAACTAAATTAAATAACAGATAATAAGAGAAGAATTATTGAATTCACTTAGTGCAGGTCGTAGGATCTTAAGTGTATGTCAAGCATAAAAAGAGGGATAGAAATATTTTAGGGTAAAAAAGGAAATTTTGTAGATTATAATCGCACCAATGAAAATGTAAATACTTTATGGTTTAGGATTTTAGCCAGCCTAAATTTTAAATAATTACTAGTTTATTTTTGTTAATTAATTAAAACTCATTCAAGTATTTTTTGTCCATATATTAATTACACATTAGTTGTATATAAATCAATTCAAATATTCATAATAAGTGGTTATTCTTCTTATAAGCATATGATTGCATATTTTATTTGTATATATTACATAATTTTAGCAATTTAATGCACTTATCAAATATAGATTAAGTATAAGAGCAACTATTTTTAGAAATCATAAAAGCATAATATGGTTGACATATGAAATATTATTTTTAACGCATTTGCACCACAAAATTATTATTAATTTGAATTATAAAAGTACTAGAAATATATAAATTTTATAATTTGTATTTTTTAGATCAATTATTATAAATTGCTTTGTCTTTTTCATTAATTTCCAAGATCCTATCAGGTTACAAAGAGACCCTTATAATTTCTGCTTGCATACATACAATGAAATTATTATTTAGATTTTTAAAATATAATAATCTTTTCAATTAGAATCATTTTAGAATGCAGCTTATGCAGCGGCATTTAAATTAGTTTAGTTAACATCTGTAGATAGATGTCTCTTCTTTTGTAAGAATTCATATGCATCTGTATAAACATCATAGGCCTCGTTTACATCAACCATCAGAGTATTACAACTATCCTAGTTCTAGATGAAAGACTACAAATCATTATCACTATCATCATCACTATCATCATTATCACCCTTTTTATATTAATTTCAAAAAATTATTAACTTTATATTAACAACTAGAACAAAGAATAAACAAAAATAGTTAACTTTTCATATATTATAAAACTAACAATTCTTTTTTTAGACTTTTGAAATGATATTTTAAAGTAAGATAGATAGATTGATATTCTTGAAGTAAAAAATGTATTTTTAAATTTTCAACTTTTTTCCAATATTTTATCAAAAAATATGAATAAAATTAAAAAATCTAGTTTTTCAAAATTAATTTTTAAGAAGAGAAATTTAAAAACTCTACCTCAAAGAATTTTTAGAAGGCTTATTTCATATGGTTATTATATTATGTTCTTTCAATGCTAAGAAGGAATTTAGAAATTTAAGAAGGCTTGAAATCTTTAATAAGATTTTCCATAGTTTCATCTAAGGAGTTCAACTCTTTCTTCATTTTCTCTTTTGTCTCATACATATTGTTAACAAGTCTTTTAATTATAAAATAAAAATATTATTTATCATCAATTAAAAACAAAAAATTTCATGATTTTCCTATAGTTTACCAAAAAAATTAGCTATTATTTATTATAGAAGCTAGTAAATTTATAAAATTAAAACAAATAATTACTATTCAAGCTTTTCTTTTTCTTTTGATAGTTTTTTTTGCATCTTAATTGCCTTCTTTTTTTAGGATTCTGAGAGCTTTAATGATTGAATAATTTTTGGGAACTCAAACCTATTAATAAATTTTTCATAAAAATATTTTTATCAACAAGGTTTTAAATATTGTAATAAGTTGATATATTTTTTTTACTCTTGTGTTTTATTTTAGTTTTCGAGTTCATCATCCTTGTCCTAATCAGGAGAATAAATATCTTTTGACTCTGAGGCAACGTAAAGGATATATTTCATATGAACGGGAAGCATTTATTCAGCTATTTGCTTAAAGCAATAATCAAGGACCATCATTCTTTCAGGGTTATTGGAACCAAACTTTCTCTAATATGAATTTTAAAGAAAATAAACATTTTGAAATTTTTAAATTATAAAATAATATTTTTATTTACCTTTAAACCTTCTATAATAATTCCAACATCATTTTCACTAGCATTACTGTTTAAAGAATTTTGCAAATTATTTAACAATATAGTCTTGTTTGTTTACTAGTCATTTTTCTATATTAAAATTGTTTTAAAAGTTTATTAATAATCAAAAATGATCAAAAAAATTTACATATTGAATTTATGTTTATAAATTATTTAATAACTACTCACTAGCACAGCATATTCTTTTAGAGTCTTACAAAATATCATTCAATTAGGTTACCTTAAATATTAAAATTAATTATACTTATTATAAATGAATTTAATTTATATTTATAATTTGATTCTCACCAAATAAATATTTAAATTAAATTAATTCTATTTAAATTTAAAAATCATAAAAACTACTTTAAAATTATGATTAAAAAACTATACTTTAGTTAATAAATATTTATTTATTTATAATCATTATAAATTTTGAAATATTTATTTTTTTCTTGGTTCAATTATTTTGCATTATTTAAATTAAGAAATAAATTTCTGTAAAAATAATTTCTTTTTGAAATTTAGAGTTATTTATTTTTAATGAATTATTAATACAAATATTTTCTCTTAAAATATTATTTACTTATTTCATTTATTTGTTATTTTTTTAGTTCTAAAGAAATATAAATAGTTCAATTTAAAACAAAAATAAAAATTCCAATATAAATTTATTTTACCTTGTTTTCTAACAATTCTAAATATATTTTCTTTCTCTTTCTTGAGTTTCTGGCAGATTCTCTATTTCTGACAAGCTTTTAGTTTTCTTTAGCTGGATTAGCATTTTGGTTTTAGAGAGATTGCTATTGCTATTAAATCATTGAAGGATCTGAGTATCCTTACATTTGCTAACTCTGCTATTATTGCTATTAAGCTAAGATTTGATTATGGTTTAAACCATTTTATGAATTAAATTCATTTTTTTAACTTAAATAATTACTTTAGTGTTAATTATTAAGTAAATCTAATCCATAACTAGACTTTGTTTTTCTTAACATCTTACTGTTGTCTTATCTAATTTTTTTATAAAGCATTAACTTTACTCACACTTTCTTAAAATTTTAAAATTAAATACTAAGAGGCGTTGAAGTCTTATTTATTATCTAGTGCTTGAAGATTATCATAAGATGTTTTTACTAAATTATTTATCTTTTTGATGTATGTGTTTTTAGAATTAGTAGGTTTTTATTTTGGCTGGCCTTCTGAAATTTGCTATCCTCTAAATAATTGAATAAAGTATATTTTTTTTCTTATTTCTCCTATAATTAAAGTTAATATAATACCCATGGCCATGATTAGATTACTCTTCAGCCTTTTCTTTTATTTGATCAAGTGGATTTGATTCCTAAAATTTAAAAAATATAAAATCTTAATTTATTTTAGCTCTAAATACACAATCAAAGTAAAGTTATTTAATGATATTAATTCAAAACTATTTTAGATAAATACCTAGCCTAGTATGGAGCCTATTTGATTTTATTAGAAATCAAAGTACTAGTTATTATAATACATATTAATGTCTTCGAATCCTTTTTTCATACTTCCTAAAGGGTTTTAGTTCATATTTTTTTTTAATTAAAAATATTTAATATTTCTTTATTTGGTTGATTGATAACTATTCCCTCTTTTTCTTATATAATTTGATAATTCCCCAATAATCTAACACTTATAATAAATAAGCAAGCAATACAATACAACTAATATATGAATTGCTAACATATTAAAGTAAAGGGATTTTAATCAAAAAAATATATCCCAAATATATGAATGATAATTTCATTGTTTAATAATTACAAAATTATATTTTTTTCATTTGCTCATAATAGATTAAAACATTATAAATCCCATTTTTTCACAGTATTATTCTCAAGCATTTTACTATATTAATTCATATCATTTACTCTTATTATAACAATTCGAAGCAATTTTAATTATCATAATACTGATTTTTAGTGTTAAATAGTCAAGTATTAAAAATATAAAAAATAAATGATGAAGTATTTATTGACTTATTAACATTTTCTTTTACAACAAAATAGAAAATTATATTTCAATTAATTCAAAGCTAACTCTAAACAAATTAATCTCAAAGTAATGCAAGTATTTTTTAATTCGAATATTAAAAATATTTTTATTGAAAACAAATATGAATTTTTTATTATAAAAGTGAGATAATAAATATTATAGTTTGTAAATAAAATAGAAAATATTTTTTTTAAATTAGTAAATTTATTGGATTTTAAATAATAAATATTGTCAAAAAAAGAGTAAATTTATAAATATTCTTCAAAATTGATAACATAGAATTTAATAATTTTTGCACTAAGACGTTTTTGATATATTTGAAATATGTTTATTCTATATAAAAAGATTCTTATTTTTTATCAAATTTAAAATAATTTTTTTATTAATCCAGACAAGTTATTTTAAAATAAACTAGATTGATAGATAAATGCTAAATTAAAATAAAAGTTATTATTTAACTAGATTTAAATTCCTACTTAATATTAAATTTTGTTGTTTTATTTATATCAAATATATGCATATCTATTTACAATTATTTGGTCAAACTTGCATTTTTCAATTAATATTTTGGAATATATTAAAAAGATCAGAAATCTATTTAAATTTTAATTTAATTTATTTGATTCAATAGCAATGTTAAACTTAGATGTTCAGAGCAAGATATGTGGAGGTAAATTAGTACCTTTAATCAATACAAATATTTTATTTATATTTGTAAATAATAAAAATGATAGCATGCTGTATAATATCTACAGTAACTCTTATTATTATGATATTTTCATCATTTGCCTCTCTTGAAGTTAATGAATATGGATTAGATTATAGCTATATCTCAAAATCTGTAAATAATTTATTGTTTTTGTTTTTGCTTCTTCAATAAATTCGCATTTATTAAGATTGGCAAGAAAGCATATCCTGGTGGAATTCACTTTTTAGGAGTTGGACATAGCTTTATAAAGTATCCAAAAACAGTTCTAAATTTAGATTATAGTAATCATGAAGGAGCAGATTATCCTCCTCTAAAAAGTCGTACTTCTGATGGTTTAGAAGTTATTTTGGAAATATCATTTTAGTACAAGTAGACTTAAATTATTTCACAATCATTAAATATTATCAAATCAAGAAATTATTTGAATTTACATTTTTATCATTTTAAGCTTGAGAGATAGATTTTGTTAATTTATTAAATAGATTGGAATATGAAAGTCTTTATGACCTCTTTCATTTATATAAAGATAACTATTCTAAAATATTTTCATCAATAGCAGTGAATACCTTGACCTAAACAGTAAATTTACTTTGACTTTTAATCAATAAAAAGTAAAATATATGGTGAAAATAATTCTTTAATAGGCAACTTACTACACTGCTTACAATTTCTTTGTTGATATTTAAAAGATAGGAGTTAAGATGCAAGAAGATCTTAACGATGTTTTTAAAAAAAATTGTTTTTCTTCTATAGAATTTTTTTAACTAAGATCTGTAGATTTACCTAATTAGTTTGAAGAAGCAATTTAAGTCTCTGAAGTGAAAAAGCAGTAAATATAGTTAGCTCAAGCAGAAAAAAGTAGAACAATAGTAGAATTAGAAACACTTAAGATGAGTGCAAGCTTTTAAAAGAATGTTACAATCGTAATTAATTTAAAGATATAATAAACTTATATAAACAAATTTTTTAATAGAACTATGCTTTAGGTGATGCACAAGCAATTGAGTTAAATGGTAAAGCACAAGCAATCTCTATGATAAATGTTTAAAATGTGAATACTTAATAGTATAAAAAACTAAAAAAGTAGCTTAAACTAAATAATAATTAATTACTAAATTACATAAAGGTAAATTATTTATTCGCATTCATTTTAATATGTAATGCATTTTATAAAATCTAAAAAGTCAAAAGTAGTAAGAGACTACAATGGAAAGGGATTAGCAATAGCTATAGATAGTCCAGATAAAAATCAAAATGTTTAAAAATGATAATAAATAAGTACAAAAAAATTTTGAATTTTTGAAGATAAATTAGCATTTAAATAAAAGAATCATGTTCAAATTTTGTAAAATGTTTGAATTTTTTTGTAGTAAAATAATTTAAATTAATATAAGCTGATCTACATTAAAATAAAAATAAGTTAAGTTAAATATATATTAATTATCTATATAATTAGAGATAAATGTTAAACTTAGTTTATAATTTAAGGTTTTATCAATCATCCAAAAAATGTTTATTTGAAATAGATTTATTAACTTTTAGCTCATAGCAAGATTTAACTTTGATCTAGCTCAATATCCATTGAATGAAAATCTTTGCTTTGGACATTCAATTCATTATTTTAGCTCACCATTTTGTTATAGAGTTGCTAGAAAGAATTACTATCATTTTCATTATTATAGTAGTCGCATCTGTTTAATTATTCTATTTCTTGAATATGACACCTCGAGTTAAAGCTTTCATTCATTTCATATGGGGATTCTTTTTAATTAGAATGCTAAATTTAGTAGTTTTAATGTTATTAAAAGACTTATTATTAGTCTAATATTTAATCTTAAGTAAACGATTATTTATTAATAAATCTTTCGTCATTTACGAAGTTGCTTTCTTATTCACAGTTTTATTCTTCTTCTTTTTTGATAATTTCACCTTCAAGTGAATTCATAGAATTACCACCCATAATGTTTGGAGGTAAAATTTAATTTTGATTATTCACAACTTCATTTTCATTTATATTTTACTATTAGCTCATATCATTCATGTCTTACTTTAATAAGCTTTTTTAGATTCAAAATTAAAAATGTTTTTTGATAATATTTTTATTTACATTTAATCAGTGTCTTTTAAATATGCTTCATTATACAAATCTTCATCAGAGTCGGCTTCTGAGAGGATTATGTATAGTTTACTTTCTCCATCAATATAGCATGACTGATTAAATTAGAAATTAGAAATTTCAAATATATTACCTTCTTCTTTTTCTATTTTAAATAATAATAATAATTGAAAAAAATTAATTTTTTAATATTTATTTTTACTTTAGTTAGATAAACTGTTATTTACTACTTATTGATTAACATTTTAGAAAGAATATGTTTCATTTTTTAGATTTGTTTCTGGTGAATAAACTGACATTTAGGAATTTTGTTATGTACTTGGTGAGTGGCAGCCTTTTACCAAATCATTTTTATTAGAGCCTTCTCTCTTGCGATTATTTATTTTTTTTGGTGAATATTACTGTTAACGGTTAACATTTAGGAATGAATTTTTATTTTATTTTTACTAAAAATAATTTAAATTTTCATTTAAGTTAAAGTCACTGCAAAAAAGGTTGCTTTGATACTCAGATCTAGTATTTTATTATTGTTAAATTTAATGCTCAGAGTTTAATTCTGCTTTGCCTTCTTATTTTTCTTCTTTTTTTACAGATGAATATTCATCACTATCATTTTAACTTTAGCTTTCTAAGCTAACACTTTTGTTTTTTCTGGCATCTTACACTCTGTGGCCAGAGAAAAGTTACTTTTTTGATGCAAAAGGATCTTCAAATGAAACATGAGAGAACAATTTAAAATTATTTTTAAATTTGATGAAATTTAAATAACCTTCAATTTTATCATTTTTTCTTACCCATTTGATAATATCAATTATATTATCTCTATTTAAATATTTTATAAATCTTTTATACCTATCTCTCAAACTTTCGTGAGGGCGCTAAATTAGATTTAATCTCACTACTAAACCCCAATATTTTGAAGAATAGCCATTTATTGTATTCTTTTTTTAACTCATGACGTAAATTATTTTTATATCTTCTGCTAATTTGTAGCTTCTGCTCTGCTTACTTTCATTACTATTTTTATTTTTTGCAATTTTTTATAATTAAACTTATTATTCTAGTTATTAAAGAATCTTAAGTGTTGGTGTAGAAATTGTTTCTGCATCTTCATCTACCATTTACGAACTGTTTTTCTGAACAGACTCATCAATTATTCCTTAATTAGATAATTAGCTATTACCAAGAGATACCTTCTATCGAAATATTGATATGTCTTAGCTTAAAGAATCAGAAAATGTTTTATTTTATACATTTTATTGTTCAGTTTTTTGATTAAAGCTCTCTTAGGTTTCTTATGATTATTATTTTGTGTTATCTAAGACATTTTATTTATATTTATTAAAAATAAGCACATGATTTTAGGAATCAGCAGAAATAGAATTTTAATTTTCAATTGAAAATTTTTTTATTTTATTAGATAACTATGGATTTTAATTATTCAGATCTCTCCCTTGCAAACATTAACTCTTGTTTTTGCTTAAATTTGGGAAATTATTATTGGATTTATTTAAATCATGAATATTTGATAAATCCCCAAGATTTTATGTATTTTGATTACCTGTCAATTAAATTTAATTTATGTTTTAGTTATAAATAGGTTGTTTAAAATCAGAACAACTTTGAGATTCAAATTTAATTAAAAGATTATTGTTATTTGTTATATTAATTTCTTTGTTTTCCTAGTTTGATTAATCATTAAAATAATTGCTTAAAATCAACTATTAATGCTGCATACTTTAGTCAGCTATTTAACAATCAAATTAACCAGACTGTTCTAACTCCTTTTTCACAATATTTTAGCTATCAAAACTAGTTTCTTACTTAAAAAGTAAACTATTATTTTATGATTTATTTCTAAAGTTATATTCATAGTCCAATAGAATTTAATGCAGTTCATCCATCAATTCCTTATCTTCAAGAGGAAGATAGTGATCTTTCTCATGGGCTTTTTTTCTTCCTTTCTTATTTCCATATTTAGAAATTCCTTTGTTCTTCAATTATTCAAAGTGTTCGTGGTCTATAAGCTAGCTGTCATAATTTTCTTTAAGTTAGATTTAATTATTTTCTGTAGAGAATATTTTCTTAAGCTTTTCTTAATTTCTCAATAGTTACGATTCTGTATTGCTTTCTTGGTAACTTTCTTTATATATATCTTCTTCATCAATAATAGGTTCATTTTCTTTTTCTGTATTTTTTTTTGTTATAGTAAGAGAGTTTCTTGTTTTTCTAGAAGTTGAATTGGTAGAAATCTTTATAATATTTGATGATTTATTCATTGCATTTATACTCATACTCGCTGATTAGCTTTGTTAATTAACTGATTTCGAGTCATCCTTATTTTATAAAATAAATTTAAAAAAAATATTTTTATTCTGATTTCTTAAAATATTTTTTTAATTTAAAAGTTTATAAAAAATACTCTATTAAAGACTTGCTAACTGCTAGTTTCATCATAAAAAATGGTTTCTTCCAAATCTCCACTTAGGATTTTATTTTTTCCATCTTAGATTCCTGAAACTCTTTTTTGTTAGACAGGAAGTTTAACTAATTTTTAAATTTATGTAAATATTTTATTAACTGATATTTAAAAATGTCTTAAATTACTCTTAGATTGTTCTTAAATAGGATCTTAACTCTTAGATTTTCGCTAGCCTTATTGTTATCTTCTCTTTCTTGGCATTTTTATACAAAAAATTTATTTTTTTTCTAAATTTCTCTTTTAAATATTTAAATTTTTTCAAATAAAATAATATATAATAAAGTTTCTATAAATATTACCTACATATTTAACGAAATATATTTAGTTATAAATTTTTGATACCCTCCTCTCCTTATATACAGGTAATCTATAAAAATCGTAATATTATTATCATCTTATTGCTTTAGCAATTTATTGTCAACAAATCATTTGTAATATAAAAATTAAAAAATAAATTAAAAGATGTTTGTTTCGCTTAATTGAAAACTTTTTAACTTAAAGAAAAATTTTTGAAATAATAAAAATACTTTAATTTAATAGGAAATAGTTTGTAATAGACAATTAAATTGATTTATATTATATGGAATAGAATTTATATATTTTATATCTTTTTAAGATAATTGCAAATAATGGATGAACAATATTAAAATTAATATGCAGTAAAATAAAAATATTATTAGTCTTTATGAAAAATGAATAAAAGTTTAAATGCAAATTTATTAAATATTCTATACTAATAAATTATTTAAATAAATTTTCAAAATTAGATAATAAAAATTTATAATATATGTTATAATTAATTAATACTTCTTAAAAAACATATAGCTTTTTTTTTATTAAAAACAAATATTTCAATTATTAATTAATTAATTACATTACAAAAGAGTAGTTAGTTAGCTAATAGAATTATAGTAGATTAAGTAAATTATAAGCTTTAGTTAGCAAGCAGATATTTTTAAATTATCTCATAGTTTTAAGGTTAGCAAGCATGTTTATAGTTGCTTATGCGGAGTTAGGATGCTTGTGCATATTTATCTTATGGTTTATTTAGCATCATAGTAATAAAGAAGTCTCGTTATTTGTTAAATTGGTTGTGTTCATTGACTGGTTTTTAAGTTTTGGTTAAATCCTTCTTCTACCTGTTGATGTTTACTTAAAAATATATTCTTAGCAAAATAATATTCCTTAAGAAGACATTCCAGAATTCTTCACTCTTAAATTAGTACACGGAATATATTTCTGGTTAGTTATGCTTTTATGTTGGATAATTATACCACTTATGGAGGATTATTAGGAATGTGGCTACTTAGATCATGAAAGAAAGTGGTAGTACACTTTGAAAAAGAATACATAATTCTTTGGTATAGTTGGAGGATTAACTATTGTTTCAGTTGTAATTCTTGAGTCAACAGATATGATGAATGGATACGGGTTAATAACATTCCTTAAAAGTTTAGCAAATTGCTGGGGTATTTTTTAAATCATGATTCTTTTAGGATATTCCCTAGTAACAGTACCTAGATCTCATTTTCGTACTACAAACGATAAGTTATAAATGAAATATCTATGTTTCAGAGCTGCTTAAATCAAAAAAGAATAAGAAGAATCTTTCTTAGAGCTTATTTCTAACCTTAAAGACGTACTAGAAATAAAAAGAATTGAAAAATCTTCTAAAGATATTCTCTTCTACTGTGATAATATAATCCACTTAGTTCCTGCAAAAATAATTAAGTTAGGTAATATTACATGAAATTAAATTAATTCATATAAAATATTTTAATAAAAGCTATAATTATTTAGTTTATATTTTTAAATTAAAATTTAAAAGAAAATAAATTAATTTGTTAATTAATTTTTTTAAGATTGAGATACATTCTCAATATATAATTAACAACAATTCTGTAAGATATAGATTGGTTTTTATTAAATATTAAATTTAAAAATGCTACTTAAAAGGATTTAAAAAAGCAAATATCATTTCACATTACATTTCTGTGATCTAATTTTATTATCAAAAATTTTTATATTTAAGAAAGTTTGAAAAATAGATTAAGTTGTTGTAAATAAATTAATTTCTTGTTTAAAAGCTTAATAGGAGCCTGATATAGAAGATAAAGATAGCTAGCGTTCATACTCATAAAAGAAAAATATCCATTACACATTTGATAGTGTAGTAGAGCTAAGAAAGTAAGTTAAGCACAACTGGTCTGAATTCAGAAGGTAGTTATATTACCATATTTATATTTTTAGATTATGCTTTTGCTTATAATTTTTAATTTAATACTTGCATACAGGTCAGGCAGTAATTGGAAATCTCTTTTAAAGAAGGCTTTCTGGTTATAAGATATAATTAGTAATTAAGATAATGAATCTAAAAAAGTCATAGAGTCTACTCTAAGAAAACCTAGAACAGGTAATTTTTTTGTTAAAAACTTATTTAGAATCATAAAATCCTTTCAAAAGCTTTTAAAGAAGCTTTAAATTTTGTAATTTTAAACATTTTTAAAGCAAATTTTTTATGTTTCTATAAACAAATTAATTATTTTATATACAGAAGTGAAAATTATCTTGAAATTTTAGTTAATTTCCCTAAAAATAAATTACCAATTTTTAAACTTATTTAAATAGGCTTTTAAGCTGAACTCCGTAATAAAGTAGAATGGTACTGGTACATGAGTACTAAGAAGTAAATTAAGGCTATCTGGAGTGTTTTTTTATCAGCTATGAGTATAATTGTGCTTCTAAGTGAAATAAGTCTGTTTTGGGACAAGGATTTATCTATTTTGGGTTGGTTTGTTTAGGCTCTACTTTCATTTGAACTTAGTGTTTTTGGTGTCTAAATAGTTACCCTTATTCCTTTACTTTTTATGATTTTTAATGTTTATTATGGTCTTTTTAGATTAAAAATCAGTGGATTCTTCGGTTTGTATCCTAATAAACACACTGATGCTGCTAGTCTTTTATTTGCATCTGTTAATTTCTCACGTGTAGCTGCTCCTTTGTGCTATAATTACCTAGAAATGATAAATATTACTGACACAGCTTTTAATAAAGTACTTGGAAATGTTAATATTGTACCTGTTTTAGGTTCAGACTTCACTAATTTTTTCCCTTCACTACTCGTTTTGTTTTGTCTATTCAATCTATTTGATCTCTATGGTAAGGTACTTTCTCTATTTGGACTAGAAAGTTTCTAATTCACCGATACCTACAATAGTAGTTTGATTGAAGAAGGCTAAGATTTGATCATGAAAGCTAGAAAAAAAGAAGAAGAAAAATTATAAGATCCAAGCACAAAAGAAATTCAACTTTAGGATGTTGATAACAAATCTGAAGAGATTCCTACTTAAAAGATAGAAAATAAAAAAATAGATGTAGAAGATAGATAAACATATTTAGAAAAATTATTAGAAGATGAAGATTTATGATCAATTAAATAAGATAGACTTAATTAATTTATAGACGAAAAATTATATTTTAATTTCAACGAACGAAGTGTTTTTTTTAAAGATTCTTTTTAAATTTGTTTATATTTTTCATGACTTTAAACTAATTTTATTCATTTTAAAATTATTTTATATAATTGTCAATAAATTTGTATGGATTGCTTGATTTCATAATATAATTTAAATACTAGTAACCTTAATTATAAACTTAATGTAACAAAGCATCAAAGCTTAACTTTTCTGAGGAAATCTCTTATCTTTAATTTAAATTAAAAAATTTATAAATTTGTCTTCAAAAGGTTTGTGCTTTTATGAGATTTGAGATCAAAATCCATAAATTACTTTTTAAAACATAAGTCTGTAAAATACGAAAGAATATATTTTGGTATGCATATTTGTAATTGCATCACTATTCTAGTTAAGTATTAAGAAATAAAATATTCTAAATATGTTTTTGAGGTAAGTGTTAACATCTTTATAATTAAACTTTGTAATTAAGAACCATAAACTCTAAATTACAATAATTGTATAAGATTATTAATATCCTTCTATTATTTTGAAGTAAATATTCATTTGATAACTTATATTTATTGATTAATGTAACATAAAATCATTTATACTTTTATTTGTATACAATAAATAATTCATCTCATAACATCTCTATATTTCTTTGAAGATAAAAATTATGATTTTTAAATGAAAATAGCCAATAAAATTTGAAATAATCTATGCATTAAATATTGTAGGTAGGATAATATGAATATATTGTCATTTTATTAAACGTAAATTTATCAAAAGATATTAATAGATATAACAAACAAATCTATTTTTAAAGAGTATTTGGTTAGTTTTAACAAAATAGAGTAAACCATGAAAAAATAAATACAAATTTTCAAATAATATTCGCATTCTTTGTTAGTTACTCAAATTCTTTTGGAAAAAATGTATTGCATTTCATAGCTTTAAATTTTAAATTCAATAAATTAATGGTCTTTGATGCAAAATCTATAAATATAATTTTAAAAACACAAAATGTAATTAAAAAAAAAATTTCCAAATAGTTTTATAATATGAAATTTTAGAGTAAGCAACTCCCTAAAAGTTAAGTTACTTGTAAAGAATAAAGTTTGTGCTTTATTTTTTGCTTGGTGAGTAGTTAGAAGTAATTAGTAAAATTGCCCAGTATTTAAATTATGATTTTAAAAAAATAAATTAATGATAATCAATCATGTTTTAGATTAAAATGAATAAATAGCTTGCTTGTGATCAATAAATAACAAACAAAATTTGCATTTATATTAAATACTTGAAAGCTTTCCTAGTTGTAAATATTAATATATTTATAAAGTCAGAAGTTATTTCAAATAATCTTTTAGTAAAAATTCTAAATGAATTTGTTGTATATTACTAAAACGATTTTTTTAATAATATAAACTCTCTCCTTCTTATATTAAAAAATACAAAAATAATGAATGATAAACAATTAGAATTAAATTTTAAAAATCATTTGTGAATATCTACAAATATTTAATGTAAATTTTGTTTTTGCAAATAAAAAATAAATACCTTGTTTGGTAATTATTCAATTTTAAGAATCCAAAAAATTTTGATATTCATTTATTATTAAATGAATATTTCAATCTCAAATTTAAAAATATTTATTTAATTTATTAGTATGTTTGTGTGAGCGCCAATTAGAAGATTAAAAGATAATATCTTGCAATTGAGAATTATATTATTTTATTAATTAAAGTTGGTTCTAAAAATGAAAGCTTTAGTAATACATCACTAAATATTTCAAACTCTAACATTTTGTGGTGTATATTTAATACTAAAATTAAATATATAAATTTAAATTAATAAATTATTTAATATGTGAATAATAATGGAAAGAAAAATAGATGCATGGATTAATTTATTGATATTTTATCGCTATAAAAGAATTTAATTATAAAAAACTATATCCAAAAGTATTATTACTAAAATTTTACAAAGAATAATAAACTTATAAAAAATTGTTGTTTTATCCTAAATATTACTAACAGTTTAGATTGTATCAATTCCAAAAGCGTGTCTAAATTGATTTGCTTCTAATAAATATGTTAATTTGTACAAATAATATTTACCTTCAATCCTCATTAATTAAGACTTCTTTATATTAAGGTTTCTTACTAATATTTTCACGAGTGCACTCAACCAAGCATAAAATCTGGAATGAGAATACCTTAATTATTGAGGATCAATGGTAATCTATTATTTCTTCTTTTATACTTTCAATATTTGGTATGTAAAAATTGAGTGGATAAGAATTTATATATTATTTAGATTAAATTACAAATTTATTATTTCCTCAAAGATTTTTAAGTAAGGTTAGGTCAATCATTGTTCATAAAGATTAGTAATATTATTAAATAGATAAATATCTAACATACCTATTTTCGATTGATAGAATAATACTAACATCAATAGCGCTCCAATTTCTAAAATTTTATTGACCAATTTTATTCTTGCTTTAAAAATAGAACAAATTTTAAAATAAAATATTATAATTATTTAGAATTAAAAACTGTGAGTTTGATAAAATTTTTAAAAATTAATGTATAATTTTAAATAAAATATTTATTATTTATCAACAAACAGACCGCTATAAATTTTAAGATCTTATCATAAGTATTTCATGTTTAAAATAAAAATGTATTTACTGCTGTGAGTAGAAACATTTTAGATAATACATCGATTTATTATTAACCATGAAATAGCTGTATATGTTTACAGCATTTTAAAATTTTTCCTTTGTAATATCGATAAGATTGCAAGTACTCAGCAGAAAAGCATAAAAATTAATTCAAATATAATAATGTATTTTATTTAGATGAATTTTAAGAAAGTATATAGTTTCATTATAAAAATTTCTTTTATTGAAATCCTTATTCATTATTGTGTTAGTATATTTTTTTACACATTATCACAAAAAAAAAAAAGAATTTTCATTTCAAATAATTGAAGCAGCTTTTTAAGAAAATTTGGTTTTGAAGATAATAAATTTTCAAGCCTAAGTACTTGATATAAGTGTGCCTTCAAAGTATTTATTGGAAAATGTTTTTATTTTTTACATAATTTTTGTGTAAAAATTCAGGGGAGCAGTAAAATTATTAACATAAAAGTTGGTATGAATTTTATAAAGTAAACTGTAAATTAAAACAGAGAGATTAATAATTATTATCAGGACAGGCTTTCTATTATCTGTAACGCAATTCAATAATTTGTAAAAATGTTAAAATTAAATGTGATCGAATGAAAGAAAATAAAAATCAAATTTAATTTAGATTTATCATTTATTATTTTTTTTGAATCGAATTTTATTTGCATTTCTACTATTAAGTTTTATTTTAATTCCAATTTGTGTCACACATTTTCATTATTTCTGAGAATTTAAAGAATTATGAACTAATGTGAAAATCTTAAAAAACTGAAAATTAAGTAGATTGTTTTTGATTAACTCATAAAACGTAACAAAAATACTTATTAGTTAAAAAATTCTCTTTGTATTTTAAAAATTATTGAGTTCTATTAAATTCAATTTTTGAAAGTATTTTTTTTTAAACTGATAAACAGATGCTTTTTATAATTTTGATTTTTCTTTAGTGTTTATAAGTAAAGGCTAAACAATATAAAGTTAGTATGCACTCCACCAATCATTTTTCTAGATTGCGTCATTTATAAGTTAAAGAACAGTAAGATAAGCTAATATTTATAATAAAAGTTATTATATATTTATTTTTCAATTTGCTACTTGGTACTCTTCTATTAACTTTAAAGATTGAATTCGATAAAATGATATAATAAAAAGGAATCTTACGTTTGAAGAAAAAACTACATAGTTATAGAACTGAAAAGCTTATATTATTGATTAGCTGATTAAATAATTATTTTTTAATCGGGGAACATAACTTAATATCTTCAAGAAAATGTAAATTTGATGATGAAGCAAATAAATATATTTTTTATTTCCATTTATCACAAAAAAATGAAGTAGAATTTTTATAATCTAAAAGAAATTTATAATTAAAATAAAATAAAGTGGCAAGATTAATTTGAAAGTGTTTTTAATAAAATAATTTAAGAATATGTCATGTCATCACTTTTTGTGATGGAATGGATGGATGGATTAATTTATATGCAATTTACAAAATATTATGATTTTTTAAATAGAATAATATAACAAATTTATTAGATAATATTGTATAAATAAATGTGAGACCTGTCAATCGATTAAAGGGTCATCACACGAATTGGTTAATAATTGATTTGAATTGGATTGTTTGATTGTGTATGAGACTTTGGAATTTGGTGCTTTTTTTAGATTTCTTGCTTTTGTATTTTTAAAAGGTCTACAGTTTGAGAAAGTAGTACGGTATGCTTGTTTATATATGAATGAGCCTTAAGGATAGGATTTCTTTATTGATTTTACAAAAACATTGAGGGAAAAATTATTTAATTAGAAGAGCTTTTTATTATGTCGCTTGCAAGTAATTATTTTTAAAAATTTATCAGTTTTTGTTTTTATGAATAGAAAATAGAAGAAGTTTTAGTTAGTGGAAATAATATAGATAAATTTCCTCTTTTAAATCAATAGACCTAAAATACTAACTAGTCAATTTAGTTAGTTAGATAGTTAGTAAAATAAATTAATAGTTATTCAAGCTATTTTTTTATTTCCCAAAATTAATTACTTTTTTTATTCTCCTACTTCCTTCTTTGTCTCCAAATTCTTTTTTTAACCCACTTGAATTATTTATTTATTTATTAGTTAGTTAATCTATCTTATTACTGAATTTATAAGACATAACTAAAAGAAATAAATTAAGGGGCAAAGCGAAATTATAAGATAACCTAATTTATGTAAGTTTAAATTATAATTTAGTAATTATTCTTACATATGTTAGTTTTTGCCTCATTCAATTAACTTTTTAGGCTAATAGAAATTGAAGTTAAAGAGGAGAGAGAATTGATATGGGTAGTTTTTTTAGCAAGAAGCTCTAAATAAATAGTAAAATTGTTAGTTTTGCTTAGAATGTTTGGTTAGTATTTGCAAATAAATATAGTCAGTAATTTTATATCTTGTTATTATAAATAGTTTTATGTTTTTTAAATTTAAATGAATAGTAATAGCTGATTTTGTTATTATTTTTTTTTTGTCCTAATATAAATTTTTTAATTACATTTGTCACATCATTATTTTCCTATTTTATATCTGGTAGGGTAGAAAGTTAGATGATAGATTGTTTGATGTGAAGCCCATTGTTATGATTTTATAATTATTATTATTTGTTTGATATTTATTATTCATTTCAATTATATTTTTTGATTAATATATATTTATCTTATTTGTTCAAAAGATTTTTGTTTAATACAAATATCTTTTTGATTTGAGATAATTCAATTTGAAATTTATTTATTTATTTGTTATGTATATTTGTTTGTTTGTTTTTTTAAAAACTTTTTAATTATTTGTTGTTTACTCTTTCCAAGGTATTTATTTCTTCAATCATATTTTACAATTTCGATCACCTTGATTTCTGAGTATTCTTACAAAGTTGCGAAATCTTCTTCAACATAGTTATATTATTGATCCGATTCGATATCGTGGCCTTAAGTTAGGTTCTAATTATCTCTAGCGATGGGCTAGGCTGATTCGCATCCTGAAATAATAATTTAGGCAGATGGTTCAATTTGTTCAGTCAAAAAATTGCATTTATGACCACCTTCAATTTAATCTTCTTCTTCTTCACCGCAATTAATGGAGAATTCCGAGCTTTCTTCGCGGGCACGAGTTTCGAGCAATAATTATTATTGTTACTAGTTTTTACTTGAGCAACTTTATTCAGATTCATTTAAACAAATTGAGCTGAGACACTTAGCTTAAACAGCAAGATTCATACTTGAGTTATAATCAATAAAATTTGATGAGAAAGGAGTTTTCTCAATAATTTGGGTAGTTTTTATTAAAGGATAGTAATCAATCTTATCTTCTTAAATAAAAAAGTCTTCAAAAACCTGTTATCCGCGACTTATCAAGCCACATTTTGCAAAAAAGTCTCCCATAGGAGCTCTGGTAAACATTTTTTTATTTCCAGATGAAACTCTTGGGGCTATTTATGAATCAGAGCTAGAAATACTATGGACTTTCTTAACAGAAGGCTCGTATTGTTAAGCATCAATATTGGAGCTAGAGCGTTTACTGTTGATTGAGTGAGTACTTATCATTTTATTCGTTTTATATGAGAATTTGATATATTTGATGTTGGAAGAGAATAATTTTCTTTTTACTCAAAAATTAGTAGTTTATTTTTAGTTTTGAATAAAAAATATTAGAAAGGATAGAATTCTGATTTATTTTTTTTTTAATATTTTTTTTTATTTTATTTAATTATATCAATTCAGAATTTCTTTGAATATAAGCTTTTTTCTTGTAAGCTTTCTAAAAAATTTAATTAATTCCTTGCAAGTGGTTTCCTTTTATATAAAATCTTAAAGTATATCTAGATCAATTACCGTAAATCACGTTGAATTATTTATTTTTTCATATCTTCCCCCTTAAATGACCATTGAACCATAAATTAAATTACTTGCCTTAATTTCATACATTTTAACTTATTTTTCTTTCTCACCTTATATTTTTTTATTATGTATGTATGAGTGTGTGTGTGTTGGAAGAAAGTAAGTATTACATTTTTATTATAATCATAAATAGAAAATGAATGAGTTAGTTCCTACTTAGCTTCATATGTCTGTATATCTTTAATATTTTTTATCCCCAAATAATTTTTGTATTCTCTTAATTTAAAAAAAAAATCCATTTTCTAGCAGCCTATAGTTATTTTTTAGAGCAATATTTAATTCATATTTATACTAATATGAAAAGCATTTGTAGTTATCGAAAATTTTGTAAATTTAAAAAGAAGTTGATTTATACCCATTATTTACATCAAATTATTTTTATTTGGTATATATTCTCTATATTTACTTAGAAGCAAATTATTTTTGTAATAAAAATAATAATAGTCTATTACTATAGGAATTCAACAAAATTAATAATTATAATACTAATCAGGAATCTTACAGCTTCCATAACAGTAAAAAGAAAACATTACATTAACTATTTAAAACAGAAAATAGATAGTCTTTGAATTGATTCTGAAGAAACAAGATTATACTTAGAAAAATAGATTCTATCAGATAAAAGTAATATTAAATAAATGATAAGCGATTAATTATTAATAATTTTTGAGTTTGAAATATATATTTATATTAGGCTAGCCAACTTTCTTTAAAATCAAAATGTTATAATATAATTCGTAGTTTTTCTAATTTATTCGATTTATGCAAATTAAAGAAATTAAAATCAATAAAAGACTTTCAACAATTTTAATTTTTTATTAATAACCATTTGTTATATATTCATACTAAAATTAATTGATCTAAACCTTTACTCTCAATCTTTATATTTTTTCGTTTTTAGATCGTACTATTTTCCTCACAATTCAAATTAGATATTTACACTTCATTAAATGGCACTTTTTTTCATGTAAAAATAATAGGATTATTTTTATTTTTTAACTATCGAGTACAATTTTTAAATTTAAATTTCTATAGAGTCTATTTATTTTTTAGTATAATAATTAGTTCATCCGCTTTCTATATACAGGCACATCCATTTAACATTTATTATTATTATACAAAATTCTAGAACTAGTCTCTATTTTTTAAATTTTACCTCATAATATTTGGTTGGTATTTTAAAAATACCACAAGTGAGAAATTATAAAGATTAATTGCTTGCTTTATACTTTATGCGATAATGCAGATTTAAACCCATTTTTACTGATATGAAAATTTAAAAAAGGAAATTTATTCTATAAACATAATATGCCCACATTCTTTATAGATTCAAAAACTTGAAAAAATGAGTTCTAAATTAAAGAAAAGCCTTGTAAATCTTCACTAGTTAGTTTACTCGAAAATCAAACCCAATCTCAATTTTTTTATAATAATTAAAATTGCTAGTTATAATTTGATTATGGGTATGATATAATAAAATACACACATAGATACATACAAATAATGATTGATATATATACTAATCTTATGTATTTTTATAAGATAAAAAATTTTAAATAATTTAAATAAATTATTAAATGCTATTTTAAAATTTTAATGATACTTTCTAAAATCAGTAAATTTTACTAACAAAAAGATAAAATATGTATTTTCTTAACTTTAAAAAGTTAAAAAATTTTGAGACTCCAAAAGCATTTACTTATTTAAATGAATGATATAGTTAATATTTTTAATATCTTTTATAAAAGAATAGAGGAATATCAATCAGGTTTCATTGATAACTGTAATCTAATCTTTATTAAATATTTATATAAAAAAAGGCTTCAATATTATTTATTTATTTATTTTATTTTTTGTAATCATTTGTTAATATTAAATATTAATTTAAATATTTAGTTTTTGTTATGTATTACTGTTCAAAAATGAAGCTTTAATGCAAAAATTATTTAATCAAAGAAATATCTTCCAGCCTCTTTACAAGAACTATTTTACCCTTTATTTGTAAAATACATCATATTACAAAATCAAATAATTACTATGCTTTAATTAAAATAAAGAAAAATCCATGTAATATTTGTATTTATATTGCTAATTTTTATCACTTTAAAAATAGACATTGACTAAGCTATCTTGGTGTTGGAGAATATTTTATTTAATGAAAATTTGTCTTTATGCATTTTTTTTGCAATTAATTTAATAGAAAGCAATGAATTTAATTTTAATAGAGTAAATAAATTTAAGAAAAATAAAAAATCAAATTTTAATTTAATGCAAGCACGTTTACTGATAATTAAAATATCCTTGTTTTATATCTCAAAGATTATAAAGAAATTTAATTAATATTTGAATTAATCATGTAATTCATAATTTGGAGTTTTTTTTAAAGCCCAAACAATTATTTTTTTCTGCTCATTATTCAAAAAAGATTATAAAAGATAAACCATAGAACGATTTTACTATACTTATTTGCCTTTTTTTAAATCTAAATTTCTCATAGTTGGATTACATCTTTAATTTAGTGTAAGATTACATATAATTTTATTAAAAACTATTTAAAATAGTGTAAATATTAAAGTAATAATAAGAATATTTTAAATATACTTGCAAATATAATTACTATTTTATTTTTATACTTAATCTTTATAATCGATTTCCCTCCAATAAAATTCATATTTTATCAATTAAAAAGTTAATTTAGCTCAAGATTTTCATATAAAAACATTTGAATTCGATTTTTTATTTGGATATTTTTAGATTAAACAGAATATTACAATTTAAAAACATTCATCTCAGTAAACTTTAAAAGTGAAAAATACTTACAAAAATAGCTTACAGTATTTATCTTTTTAAAAAATACAATGAATTGAAAAGTTATCAATAATCTCAATATTAGCTTCAATTATCTAATTAGGATCTAGATGATAAATTATAAAATGCAATTAAAATATTTGAAAATTTTATAGAATTTTAATAAATAAAACTAAGAGTAATTATATCGACGCATTATAATAAAATTTTACCTTTATATTTAAATAATATTCCATATTATTGTTTTTCTAGAAAAAATCTTTGAAATTGTTGGTTTGTTATTATGAATTTAAACCATTTTTTTAAATTTACCAAAAACATTTTTTTCTAATAACTCATTTTTGTATATCAAGGTTAAAATTATAATTCAAAAAAATGTAAGCAAAAAAAAATAAAAATTTTTTCTCATTAAAAATACATTTTTTTACAAAAATTGCTTGATTTTTTTTATATTTTTTAAAATTATGTAATAAGTATTAGCATCCTATAAGAGTACTGAATGAATTTATTTTTTGAAACAATAAGAAATACAATTTATTTATTTATATCAGCAATTACATAAGGTCAATATAAAAAAGAAAGTAAACAATTTAGGAAACTTAGAAGTTATTGTGAATTGATAATATTCAATTTATTTTTGAATTTCTCATTTTTATTAAAAATAAATATCATTTATTATCTTTATCAAAAAGTATCTTTTTTTAGAACAAAATGCATTTAATTTATATAAAATTAACTTTACTTTTATTTATCTAATTATAAATTTTCTTTATTAATCCAGTAATCAATTTCTAATGTAACAATACTAAATAATTAGCATTACGTTCATTAACAGATAAACCAATTGTGTTTTATTAGATTTTTTCTCTTTAAAGTTTTTTATTAAGCTGTTTACCTGGCTAAAGCAAAAACTCAATATATGAAATACACCTTAATTTCTTACTTAAATACATCTAATTATAAGTCTATTCCTTATATTATTAATAATAGAAACAATTGCTTTAATAAATAAATCTTTTTATTCCAAAACTTGAATTGTCTATTTATAGAATCAATATTATGCTTATCTAAAATATTGTACTAAGTAATTATATTTAAATTCCACTGATTTATTTTTCAGAAGCAAATAACTCTTTACTTCTAAAATATTGCTTGAATTCAAGCTTTTAAATAACTCTAATTTTTAAAGCTTTAATTAAATACTCAATTAATTACATTCTTTCATTCAAGTTTTCGCAAGAAAATTAGTTATTGTAAATAAATTGTTAATTAAAATATATTTAAAATAAAAAAATTTCAATTTACTGAGTTATAAAACTAATGACGAAATCTACAATTATAATTTTTAAATTTAAAATCAATCAATAAGATTATTCATTCAAGCTTGTAGATTTTAAATTTGGTGAATAATATTTCTTTAAGTATTGATACAAAGATAGGATTTCATTTTTAATAATTTAAAATATATTTCTGTAACATTATATCAATTCAAAATACTTTTATCTAAACACCTATCTAATATAAATTTAAATAGTTTTGAGTTATTTCAAGCTTTTTTTTCTAGATTTAGAAGTTGATTAAAATTTATGTAATAATTAATCTTTCAATAAATCCACGAAAGAATTTATTGATATCTATGTTTAATTTTAAATAAATCCTTTTATGTCTTTAATTATAAATTTCAATTTAAATAAAATACATTATCTAAACTTAAAATAATATTAATTGCACTGTTTAATACTTTGAAGAATAATTTTTAAATTAAAATAACTGCTAATATTTTATAATTAAAAATATAAATATGAAAGGCATAAAAAATAAAATTTAGAAATAAACTTGTTTATATATATTTCAAAATGATTTATTTACTTTTAGATATTGACTAATATTATTAAAGCAATTTGATAGTCTAAATTTTATTTAAAATAAAGAAATATGATTTAGGATCTAATTGTAAAATATTTATTATTATAGCAAGTATCTAAATAATTGTGTAAAATATATCACGAATTTAATTATCTCAATGAAATTATAATATTTTATTTGAGATATTTTTAAATCTAAAAATAAAGATAAAAAGTAAAGTCAATTAAAAAGAATTTACAATTTTAAATGATAGACAAACATATAAAAATTTTAGACACTAAAACAAAAATATTCATTTTGCTTTATTATTTTTTAGATCAGAATGTATTTTAATATTATTTATTTATTTATAAATATTATTTTTACAGATTCACTTATGAATTTATTACTTAATTAATTAGTTGGTAAGTTTATTGATGCACAATAAATACATAGGTTTTGAAAAGATATTAAAAAAGACCAAACACTTACTTATTTTATCTTCATTTTAAAGTTAAAAGTTGTATAATCGTCTTTTTTTTATCAGCTGGTTTTTTTGCTAGAGAGTTAATTATTTCTTCTTTATCTTAGTCTGTGACTCCTAGCATACTAAATAATATTGCTAAGAAATTATCTGCTTCAAGTTATTTTTTTCTATTTATATAAATAAAGAGAACTTATTAAAATCAAATGTTAATTAATTAAATTAGTTACTTATCTGCCATAGCCTAAATAAACTTTATAAATATTATTTTAAGCTATTCTTTTTATGAAACTGCCTCAGTGCTTTCTTTAAGTTTTCTGATTTCTTTTTTGAGATTTTTAACCTATTTAACAATAAATATAAATTTAACAATTTTATTTTTAAAAATGAAACATTACATATAATTCGTTATTTTATATTATTTCATCTTTTGCTCTCAACTCATCATACAATTCATCTTATCTAGAAGCAAAATATTCTTTACTTGCTTTGAGTTCACTATTTTCTTTCATTAATTTATTTAGGTCCTCTTCATGTTATTTTTATACTTATGATTGTTATTACATAGAGACTTATTACTATGGAGTCTTTGTATTATTAGCACCTTCAAGCTCTTTGATGATCTATTCACTCATACTAAGGAATGAAGATTCATTGCCTTGATTGTTAATAGGATTTGGAATTTCCTCTTATATGTTTTCGAAATCATTTATTTAGAAAGGATCCTTCTACTGCATTGATTTGGGTTTTTAAAGTATATTGCGATTGGAAGAGGAGTCTGATTTTTTAAGCTTTTCGTTTTCTTCTGCTAATAAAATTAATTTATCTTGCATATCATTATATTCTTTCTCTTTTTCTTAAAGGCTTTATTAGAAATCGCTTAGTATGTGGAGATATTGCTATACTTTTTCATATTGTTCAGAGGTTAAATCTTTTCTATTTTATTGATCATTTTATGCCAGCATCTTATTAAGCAAGGCCTCTTCTATTATCAATTCTAACTTTTATGAATAGAGGATATAAGCTTTTAGTGATGTAATATCAGTTATTTTTGTTTTTCCTTCGTTTTCTTCAACAAAGTCATCTTCTTTGTTACCTTGAGGTGATTTATGAGATGATATTCCCTCAGAGAGAGTGTGCTATAATTATAATTAGATTTGCTATATTTTTTATTGATGACTTGCAACTAATTAGTCTGCTAAAGCTACTATGTCTTCTTCTGTTTCAGCAGGCTATGATGCACTAAAAGAAGGTGCTTCTATCATTTACTTAATTCTCTTAATTCCTTTTTAATATTTATCTTTCATGGACTTTAATTGAGTTTGAGCATCCATAAGAGAAAGCTTAAGCATGTCTAACTATTCAGTTGAGGTAACGCTTTGATTTTTTGAATCTGGTTTCATAGAGTTTATCTATGGACTAGCATTTTTAGATCCTAATTAATTTCTATAGTTTTAATTTTCAAGTTTCAGATTCTCAGTTTCTTCTTTGAGTTCCTTAAATTACTAAGTAAGATGTAAATGTTTTTCCTTTAGTTAAGCAAATTCATACTTTTCCTTATTTCTATTAGAGGCCATTTCTTAAACTAATTGCAATTACTTTTTGTTGTGTTCAAGTCTCTTTTGAATTTATTGTATTTAAATTTAATCTTCAGTTTAAATAGCATCATTATCATTTTTCAACTCAGCTAATTACTATTGAAGCTATATTTTTTCATTAATCAATTGAGCCTAAAATTATTCAGCTTCTTGAGTATTTAAGATTTTTGGTTTTTAAGATTAATATGTCTCTTCTTCATCTTGATCGTTCTCAAAGTCTTAATCTTGCATATCATTATATGAACCAATTTAATTCTAACTTATATCTTTTTTAGATTGCTATTACAATTACTATTATGGTTATGCTTTTTATGACTATTGCTATTAAGGTTACTTTGGTTATTGCTATTGCTATTATTGGGTTTTACCAAGTTGTTATACAAGACCTCCTTCATATTCTTCATCATCCTTACTTTATCCACTCTCACTACCTGGCTACTTCATTTTTAATTTTTTCATGTATTCATCGATTTGCTTATTTAGATTTTGATTAACTTATTGAAGATAGGCCATGTCCTCTTCTTATCTACGTAACTTATTTTAGAGTTTTTAAATTTATTCTTGCAAGACTCCAATTTATTCTTCGTTAACATTGTCTTGTTGATTTTCATGTAACTATAAAATTTAGTTTTCTTTTTCTTCTATCCTAAGCTCTAAATCATCATTTGCCTACATTAAATCGGCTATGTGATTTTTTAATCCTTTAATTTCTTCTTTTAAAGCAATGAGTTACTGATTTAAGTTCAAAATCTCTGTCTCGTGATTTTCTTGGACATCTGCTAATTTAGATTTTAAATTTAAAATCTTTGTATTTGGGCTAGCATCAGATTATTCAACAAAATGTTCTTATTATTATCCTCCTTAGTTATCAAATTCATTAATGTTCAGAGGGTTTTGTTACTCTTTTTATTTATATTCGTCTACAAGACTTTCTAAGTACTGAATATATTCTCTTTAAGAATTTATATCCTAAAACATCATATCAATTTGATTTTTTAGTTCAGAAATTTCATTTTTTTAACCTTCAATAGCAATACCTTACTCTTAAATGATTTAATCTTTAAATTTATCTTTTTCTTGATTTGAATCATCAAAGTCATCATCGTCGTCAACAAAATAATCATTAGCTTCCTTGTTTTTAATTTATTATTGTTATTGCATATCCCTCTTTATTTACATTCTATCTTTATCATTATCAAAATTATTTTAAATGCTAGCAAAGTTGAGCTTAAACTTTCCGCTATCAGCAACCATTTCTGATTTCTTTTCCTTATCTTATCTTGACTTATCTTTAGCATTTTAAGAAGCTGCTAATTCATCTGCAAAATCTTCAAAGTCAAATATTTCTTCACCCTATTAGTTTTCAGTTGTAATCTATTTTCCTTAAAGTATGCTAGATTTTTGTAATTTATCTTCAAGTAAGTGGATTTAATTATTTAATTCGTTAATTTAGAAGAGTAAAGAATTGTTTTATTGAACCAAGTCATTATTTTCATTTTATAATTTAGAAAAAGCCTCATTTTCTTATTTTTACTCAGTTTATTGCACTTAAACCTTGAACTGTTGTAAATTTCTTTTCAGCTCTTCCATTTAGTTTTCTAATTGATTATTTTTTTCTAAAATACTTTGCTTTTCTTTTTCTATCAAACTATATCTTTCTTTCTCTTCTTCCAATATCTTAACTTATTGTTCAAGTTTTTGTTAAGAATCTTTAACAATACTTTCTAATTTAATATTATTTTTTTAAGATTAATTTAAATTTTCTTAGATTTCTTAGATATTTTGTTAAAGTTTCTAATTAAGAGAATCTAAATCCCTTTTATGTTAATTTAGAACCTAGTTTTCTTGTTATAGAGAAACTATTTATTCACTGAGACTATTTATTTCTTAAGTAAATTTAGATGTTTGATTCTAAGAGCTAGCAGCTTAGGTGTCTTTCAGCAAATTTATTTACTTTTCAAGGGTAGCTATTTACTACTTAAAGCTTTCTGTAATTTCATTTGTTACTTAATTGATACTCTAATCTAATTGCTTTTAATGGTTTTGTTTCAGCTATTATACTTTTTATTCTGCTTCAACCTAATTAGACTAAATTTATTTTTATAGTTCATTATTGTTTTACTTAAACTCGTTGTTTTATCTGGTTAAATCGTTTAATTATTATTCTAATTTTTTTATTTGTTAGCTAAATGTTTAGTTCATTTCTATTTTTGTTTATTCGACTGTATCTTATATTTTTTTATTATATTCCTTATTGATAGCTTAGATTTCGCTCTCATATTTATTTTTGCTTGAATTTAGCTTTTCATTCAATTCGTTAATTTGTTTTTCAAGTGCATTTTTATTTTGCTCTTTTTATGACTCAAACTATTTAGCTAATTATTATTTTTCTTATTCAAATAAGATACGTTGCTATTCTTTTTGGTTTTCAAAACTAATTTTTTATTATTCTTTTTCATTTTAAAGAGAATGAATCTACTTTTCAAAAGATTGTTTTGTTTATTCATTTTATTAATTAAGAAAAACTATTTATTATTCTAATTAAGCTCTTTATTTGTTATAACCTTCTAGAATTTCGCCTTTGGACTAATGAATTACTTCCTCGATCTTTTATTAATGTTCTTTTTATAATTAAATAATAGCTTCTTCTGCTTTTTTAGAAATCTATTCTATACGTTTTTCCTTTTCCTAATTTAATTGTTAGAGTTCTGAAATTTTATGATTCAGCTAGATACTCTCTTAAGTTATTATTTATGTTTCTTAATTTGATTAATCAATTTTAGACTTTAGATTAGTTATTTCGTTTTCTAGCTCTTAAATGTAATAATCTTTTTATTAAATATGCTAAGCTAATTCTGACTATTTTTATTGGTTATCTTGTTTAACATCATTTATTTCATCTTAATTTCCTTGTAATTATTTAATTAAATTACTTCTTTCCAAAGAAATGCTTTCATTTTCTTCTTCAAGTTTAGTTATTTTCTATTTTAATTCTAATATATTTTTTTCACTAAGCTCTAAGTTTCTTTTGGCTTGTGATAAGTTTTATTCTATTTGTCTCTTTTCAGTCTAAAGACCATTTACAATGGTTTTATTTTCTGAGCTTGCATTACTTTCTATCAATTCTATTTTAGTTTTCAAATTCTCATTTTCACTTTATAGTTCATTTTCACGAATTTGTGCTTGCTTAAGCTCGATTTCAAGTTTCTGATTTAAGCTTTGTAGCTCTTCATTATTTTCTTTTAATCCATTAAGTTCCATTTAATTTACTTCTACAACTCTTTTATTTTCTCTGTTAATTTCTTCTTCATGTTCTTTAAATCTGTTTTAAATTTACTTTAATTCCTTTTCAAAAGCTTCGTTCTTTTAAGATTTCTCTTGTTCAAATTAAGCTGCTTTATCTTTTAGAATTTTTTCAAATTAATCAACAACATTCTATATTTCTTATTCGTTAACCTTTTTTAACTCAATACTTTAATTTTTAAGCTATTCTTAGAGCTATGCATCTAATTTTTATCTTTCAATATATAAAGCCTCTTTTGATTCTTGAAGAGCTATTTCTTATTCCTATAATTGCTATTGAAGTTATTTTACTTATTAATCTTTTATGTTTAACTCAGAAAGTAGCTTTTAGTATTTTTCTTCACTAATATACTCCTCACTTTCATCTTATCTACGTATAGCCTATATTTCCTTTTCGTATTTCAATCTTTCTGCATTTACTGCATCTTCTTTTTCTTATTGGAGATTTTTAATTTATTTTTGTAAAGAAAATTCTAATTAAGCAATATCATTCTCATTACTTTTTTTAAAATCCATTTCTTATTTTATATTTTTGTCCTTCTCTTACTATAATTCATGTTATAAATTTGATATTTAGCTCTGCAAAGTAGCTATTTACTCTTTAAGCTCTCCTATCTTTTAATTGCTTTATTAATTCTATTTTTCAAAATCTTTGATCTTTTTCTAAAGGTCTTATGTTTTTTCATCTCCTTACTTTTTAGCTTTTTCAATCTAAACTTCAAGGTTAATCTCAGTTTCTTTGTATTTTTTGAGTTCCTCTTCAAGTTCAATATTTCTTTTGTTTAGCTTTTTCTAAATTTTTTCCATTTCAATAACCTTTTCTAAAATCTCTTCATTACGTGCTTTCTTGTCAACTTAGAATTATTCCAAACTTTTAACAAGTTTTGCTTAATGAATTTTTTCTTCCTCAACTTCAACCATTTCAGATTAAATTTTTTTAATCTATTTTTCTTTTTCTTACAACCTATTAAATAAATTCAAACATAAAAAGTAATAAAACAAATAAATTATTTACTTTTATTCAAGAGATTAAATTTCCATTTTCATATTAATTATTACTTCATTTCTTTCATTTAACTCATTTTAAGCTTCTCTATTTTCTTGTTGCATTTTTTCGAACAGTTCTGGAGCAATTTAATTTTTCTTCAAAATATGATTTTCATTTTGGAGTTAAATAATTTTGTCACGAATTCCTTATTCTAATTTATCACCTTCCTCATTTTTGAGCGATATAATTTCTAGTTGATCCTTAAGTGTTCTATTGATTTCTTCTAAATCATCTATCTACTTAGCAAATTCTCCATTTTATTACTTAAGGATTTCAACTTCTTCTTAATTGTCAATAATTTTTTTTTCCATATCTTCAAACACATTTTTATGAAGGAAAACTTTATCAGCTTATTTTTCTAAATATTATCTTAAAGTATCAAGCATTCTATCAACATTTCTCTCCTCGTTTGCATCTATGATTCCAAAGTATTCTAAAATATTCTTTAAATTGTCTAATACCATAAACAAATCATCTCTAAGTCTATCTAAATCCTCTAAATATAATCTTTCTCTTCTTTCGTTTTCTAAGTTAATTTCTTCAAGTTACTATATTTTCGAGTATGCTTATTTCTTTTCTTCATTCTTTGCTCTTATTTCTTGCTTAAACTATTAAACTCTAAATTTGTAAAAAGAATATTTTGAATTAAATTTATGCTAAATCAATCTAAATCTTTACTATTCTTCGAGTTTATCTATTTTTGGATTACTCTCTGCTTCCTTTATTTACAAATAAATAAAATAATTTTCATTTAAATTCCTATTAAATTAAAATAATTACTTCTTGCACTTTAATAACTTTAACTTTTAGATTATCTATTTCTGAACACTTTTCTATTAATTCTTTTTCTTTTGTTTCAATTCTTTATCTGAGTTCTTAAACCAATTATGAATATCCTGTATGTTTTGTGGCAATCTTCTAGAACTCTTCTCTAAGCTTTAAAATAATTGGAGCTTCATCACTTTGATTGCTTAAGTTCAAATTATCTGTATGAATACCTAATTGAGCTAACATTTCTACAAAGTGAGTAAGATATTTTTTTCTAACATACTCTACCTACTCTTTTAGAACATATTCAAAATCATCTTTATTGAAACCTTGACCTAAACTGGCATTTAACAATTTATTTGTAGGAGACACAGGTAATATTTGTTATTGCTGAGGAGATAATCTTTCACTTTTCATAAAGTTTTGATTGCTTATACTTAATTGAGATTTAAAGTTATTAGGTGAAGCTAATTAACTTCCATTCCTACTAGGTTAATTTTGTTAGCTAAATCCATTAGACCTAATAAATTATAAAGACGAAGCTACACCACCATTTCCCTGTTGATTAAAAAAATTTTGAGAAATAAAATAAATAATTATGAAATTTTTAATAAAAAAACACCATAAATAACCAAAACTAATTACCAAATCTTGTTATTAATTTTTAGGAGAAATATTGTCCTTGCCTATAAAATTCTAATTAATTTAAGAGGAAGGAGACAATTGTCTTTCAAGCTTATTTACTTATTAACCTTATACTAAACCTATTTTAATTTTAATAACAATTTATAAGCTACCAATAGCAAAAAGAAACTTTATAAAAATTCATTTTAAAAAATGAACAACAATAAAATAATGAAACATAATCGAAAATCAATAAAATCTATTTAAAAATTGAAAATTAGCTTTTAATTAATTTTTTTGTTAATTTGTAAAAAAAAATTTACTAGCAAAATATTTAATAACTTCTTTTTATTCTACTTTCAAAAAGTGTATCATTTCTTCAATTTCTACTCTTTTCTGTTTGCTGTAGGTATCTCCTTCTTTATGAAGTAGATTATTTAACTTCACTTCTTTTATCGCCATTTCTACATAATTCTACATTTTTTTTGATGAGTCGTGCTTTTTAATTTAAGAAATCATATTAACAACAGCTCCTAGAGGATACTTTTGTTAATAGTTTCTAAATTCTTCAAGCTCTTTTTCTTTATTTTCCAGTAAACTGTATAACTTTTTAATGCAAACCTTCCTTTCAGTGGCTTTTTTCTCTATTTTTATAACCTATTTTTACAAGCTTTCTAGTTCAGATGCTAAAAACTAGTCTTAGCTTTTGTATTTCTAAATCTTTTCTATATTTAGTTTATCTATTTCTTCTTTTAAGTTTTACATTTCATACTTTAGATTTTTGTTTTCTCTTCTCAGTTAATTTAAATAAATATTATCAGTTAAATTTTGAGTTTGAGCTAAGCTTTCTTATTATCTCTAAAATTTTTATTTTAAAAAAATTTAAATTACTACTTGTTTCTCTAAACCTTAAATGTAAATACATAAAATGATTGCTCATTTTTATTTCAAAAAAATAATAAAAAAGGCATATTTAAATTAATGGAATTTATGCTCTTAAAGTTCTAAAAAATTATATTTTCTATTATTGTAAAAAAGCTAATTAAGATGAAGAACTAATTATTTACGCTAAAAAAAGCAGTTTTACTGTTACTAAATGGATTTGCAGTGCTCCTAAAATTAATATCTGTTGAGTCTTTAATGTTGAATAACTAAGATTATAAAGTATTAAGACAGCGTTCAAGAGATTATTTATCTGTTTCAAATAATTTTATATTAAAATCTATTTGCTAATCTACTTCTTTAATAACTTCAACCATTGAATTTTTCATTTTAGTGGATGAATAAATAAAATTTCTTGTGGATGCAAAGAAAGTGTCAAGCCTTTTTTAAAGGGTGTCTGCTGACATATCTCTTTACTTTCTTTACATTTCATTTTCTTTATCAAATCTTAATCTTGATTAACTTCCTAAACTTTTTCCTAATGCTTATTAGCTCATTCGATAATTAAGTAGTGACGCAGCAGAAGATGACTAACCTAACTAAGGAGGAGATCTTATATTAGAAGAGCTTCTTTCTAACCTAGCTTTTTAGGATGATCTCGTGATTGGAGTCATCGTACTTGAAATAATGTTATGCATTTTTATTATTTACCAGTATTTTTTAATTTTATTTGGATTTTATAATATAAATAAAATACCTTCTTCTTTTGTTGTTATAATTTTTTTTTTACTTTGTAAAATTTAATATAAATCTTGCTTGATTTGAATTCATAGTTTATATTGAAAAAGCGACGAAACAATCTAAATTCTTCAGTATTACTTTTAATTTAAATGAAAATAAAAAGATATATCATCTAAAATAAATATATTTTGATAACAACAATCATCAATTTAGCACAGTGTTTGTTCTCATTAAAGATAAAATATATTTCATAAATAAACCATTTTTTTAATTATTCTTTATTCCAATCAGTTTTTAATAAAGTTATCTTGAAAAACACACATATAATACATATTTATCAAAAGAAATCTTATGAACATTAGCATTAAGAAAGTAATTTTTATTGTTTGTAAAATTTAAGTTCATATCTTAGTTTAAATCAAACAATATTTTAAATTGAAAATAAAATTAACTGGATTAACATTTGTCATTAATTGATATTTAATTAATTTTTAGGCGAATGAATTTTATCTGAAACTAATTTAAAATTGATTTCAATATTTTAATTAATGTAAAACCTAAAAACTAGTTTTAAAATTCAAATAATTTTATTAAACTAAAAATAAATGAATGAATTGTCACATAAATACATTTAAAATAATAATTTTTATTAGAAAGTAATAAAATATTTATAAATTTATCTGCATAAAATTTAATTCAGTTACACTCTCCTTATTTTGCTAAGTACATGTTAAAAGAACAGCTACAACTAGGATAAGAAACAAAGAAAGGCTTTGTATATTATAAAATGACACCTATACGTGTTCTGACTACATACCATATTTCATATCTACCTGCACATAACTTTTTGGTGCTAAAATAATAAAATTTATTTGTCAGAGTTTAAAATTCTTCAATTTTTATCTATTCTATAATATATGGGTCAAGTGTTCTATGAATCTCTATGAAACTTCCACAGTTTATCAATTTTGACCATTCATCACTACAGTGAAGTATTGTAGTGTTTGTATAAAAAGCAACAAGCATGTCCATCCCTGCAATAATGTAAGGCTGATCTTATAAGTTTGTGTTTGATTCTATGCAGCTACTACTTGGAACTAGTTTGCAAGGATTAACTAGAAATGTCACCTATTAATTAGAATTGTTGATATTATCGTATTTATAGTAACTTTAATAAACTTAAGAGTTTTAGTTGTAAAAATAAACAAGGACTTTTTGTTAAATAGATGATTAATTAGGATCTTAATTAGAGGGAGGAACATTTAATGCATTATAGTCAGGTATATCTGCAGCATGAACTAGCTAATTCTAATATGATAATGCAGGAAAATTTAATTAATTATATCTTTAAAAATATTAGTCTCTATTAAGCTAATTAGTGTTAGGTTTAACAGGATCTTTATATAGGTAGCCGCTTCCAATATAAGAAATGACTGTCTAGACATCATCAAACGAATAGGCTGTTTATTGTAAAATCAATACATATAAAGCTATCTGAATAAAATATTATTTAACAAGCATTTAAAAATTTAGATAGATAATATATCTTCTTAATATTTGTGAAATAGCAAGAAAAGAAATATCACTTTTATTTATTAATCATTCAATCACTAGCTATTGATTTTATTATACTTTAAAATTAAGTAGAATATTAAAATACAATCTTCTTTTTGAAAACTTTAAAAAAAAGAATGTAATTGCAATTTATTAATTTACATCATCACATAACATCATACATGAGAAAACAAACAAAATAATTGAATAGATTTCTTTTTTTTATTATTGATGTCATCTAAAAATAGAAATACAGACTATTTTCATTTCTCTTAAGAATAGTTTTTTTAAATTTAATGATGTATTTATTGGTTTGGATTGATTTTTAAAAAGTATTTGATATTTTTATTTTATCCTATTTTTAATAATTTATCAATTCAAAATATTAACTAATTATAAAAAATTTTTAGAATTTTAAATCTTTTATGAGTAAATTATAAATATTTGATGCTAAATATAGAATTTAAATAATAATGAAATCTCATTTTAATAATATTTAGCTTTCAAGAATTTAAATTTATTTACATTTCTGTATTTTTAGATACAAATTTAATTATATTTTACATTCATAGTTGATAAAAATACATCATATAAACGTTCTATCAATATTTTAATTGCTAAGTGAATATTAAGATTTTATTTAATAATGCGGATTCAAGTAGATTATAAATTAATATTTCTTTAAAGACTTTTTTAAAAGGTATAAAAATAAAATGATAAATAAATGAAACTCAAAAATATAGTTTTGATAATTAAACAGACTAAAAATTGCTTTTACCTTAAAATAGTTAATTATACTTTATTTTAAATTAATAATATAGATATATAAAGAGTAAAATAGAATGAGAGAGAGAGTAATAAAATTAAGAACTCGTTTTCAGAATTTCTAATTTTAACGTTTTTAATTATTTTAATTAAAAATAATTCAGTGCCAGGCAAAATAAATTTTCTTATGTAATACTGAATTGATTTTGATTCAAACATATAGGGTATAGATGAAACTAGTACTGTTAATTGAATAAGTAGTACTTTGTATTGACATTAAATTCATAAAATAAAATCAGTAATACTTAAAAAAAATTTGCTTAATATTTTAATCCTAATACACCTCCACTAAAATTGAATAAATCTTTTACTATTTTAATTTTGATTAATAGGTAAAAGTAAACATAAAAAATATTTAGTAAACACAATTCAATTTCCTTTATAAATAGGTTTCTTTTTCTTTAAGACTCTCATAATATTAGTTGACAAATAAACTATATAAATGAGATATTCAAATTGATTGATTTTTAATTGATAAATTTTTATTTCAAAAACAAAATTGATGATCTATATAAAAAACTATTAAATTTTAGTATTATTAATTTAAATTTTTTGTATTTTAATCTGCTAAATTTTTACAACGCATTTGTTTATTTGTTAGTTATTCAATTTGTTTTTTTGCATTTAAATATTAACACAAATAATAATCATATGATAGAAATTAATTTGACATGAAATAACTTTTTTGTAGCATTTAATGCTATAGAAAATGACATATCTTTATCATAATTTTCCTTTCGAGCTTAGGCAAAAAAAACACCAAGTAAATTTACATAAGAATTAGATTTTCTAATATATTAAGAGATCATATGAAAAGCAAAATATGAATTAAAATTCATTTAAATTGATGTAGTTTTATCCTCTTAAAATTTTCAAATATCAAACTAAATTTGGTACTAAGTTTGATAAAAAATTTATTATTGTCGAGCTTGTTAAGCAAGTAAACCTATCTAGGTTGAGTTTTTTGAGCTCTCATATATATTTAATTTGATTAATTATCCATAAAATTGTAGTGATTATCCTTTAAATTTTATATTGGTTTGTTTTATAAAAATAAATAAACGAATTACATTTTTTTTAAAATGGTAAAATATTTTAGCAAATTAATAAATATTTCTAAATATTTCAAAATAAAACAAAATATTTACCTTACTTTACCCTTTCTTACTTTGAATACTCGTTATAGTAGGCAATTAAAAAAATAAAAAATTGCATCAAGTAAAGGTCTTAATCCAATATTTGTTCGATTAGTTAAGATATTACCTCGTATGCGTTATGGGTTTGATAAAAGAATTGTAATTATAGAGCCTTTATTTTTGATATTATAATTATTAATTTTCTTCTAATTTTTTTTGGTTATTAAGTGAAGGGAAATGAAGCAATATACAGTAAAAATTATTAATAGCATTTATAGTTTTTTATATATTTATATTAATAACTAGTTTTTTTAAAAATATAATGACGATCTAAATTGCAGGTTCAATGATATTTGAAGATACATCAAATTAATATATTGTAAAGACAATTATACATTCCTTATAATTCATTTATAAATTCATTCATTTTAATTAGCTAAGATATTTATTTGCACCCATTTCAAAAAATTATAATGATTATTAAAAAAAAAAAGAGTAATCTAAGTTAAAAAATCCCTGAAATAAAAAAAAATCAAAACAAAAAAAAAACTTGTGTATAAATGTCTTATATATCTTCTGAAAGGACATCTCTTTCTTATATTGAATAAGAAGAAGCTTTGGTATACTTTTAAAAGCTTGACAGAGAAAAAAAAAACTCAATAACTTTTAACGATTGCCTTTAGGCTATCTAATTATATGCCAGAAGAGGTATGTTTGTTGATAATTTTTACATTTATGGAATATTTAATTTTTCAAATATGCCACTGATTTAAATAAATAAATAAATAATCAATATATTTCAATTATTATCTATAGATTTTTCTGAAAATGAAATCGAAGAAATTAGATAGATCATCTCTAGCGCTAGGGTAACTAAAATCTAATATCTCCAAATAATTGAACAAATTCATCAACTAAATTAATCAAAATGCACTATTAAATTAGGAGAAAAATTGTAAATATTTTTTTTTACTACCTTTATTCTAGTTTCACAACCAAACAATTTTTAAAATTAATTTGTAATAAATAATACAGCTTAATTGACAACTTTTCAAAGAAAGAAATTAAAACATTCGTTAATGAATGGTAGAAAGTTGATGATAATTTACAGGGTCACCTCTCCTTGTAATTCACACGTATTGTGATAGAAAATGTACTCCAACATTACTAAGGTAAATTTTATACCAAATATATTTCACTAACTACTATTATTTTAGAAAATTTGATATTTTTTTGGAAATTTAAACTGTGATTTATCATAATTCAACAATACACCTCACTCACTTCATTAAGCATTCTAAATTTTTTACTGTAATTATAGCTAGTAAATTTTTAAATGCAAAAACCTTTGCAAATTTTAATTTTAAGATGAAATCAATACAATTAATTTTTTCTACTCTTCAAAACCGTTCTTGTTGTATTTAACTTGAATATAAATCAATTCGTAATCTTTTCATTCTTAAGATTTTACGCTTATCAATTTCGAATAATTAAATACAAATAACTAATATTATTATTTTTATTATCTTACAGACTCTAATGCCAATGACTCAGATATTAAGAGCCTATTCATAGAAAAAGCAAGCTCAGAAAAAATTTTCTTTGAAGAATATATGAATTTTATTTCAGCATTCCTTAAGAAGAAGAAATACAGATTCAGCTCTAAAAAGAACAATAATGTTTGCGCTTGCTCTATTTTCTGAGATAATATAGATGAATTAGTAAAAAAATGTCTGAATTTAAAAAATAGTTAGAATCATCAAATAATAAAATCTCTTCTATTTAATAACCTTACTCTTTTAATAAATAAATAAAAAAAGGAACGATATTCCTTATCTTGAAAATACAAAGTTGATAATCCTATTAATTAGCTATTTACTTTATAAAGTTACTTAGAAACAAACCTTCAAAGTTTTAAAATAAAGCATGGATGTGAATAGCAAATTTATAATAAAACACTAATGTGAATAATTAATAACAAAAAATCTTTAATAAATAATCCTGATTTCTTTCTTATTCTTCTAATATTATTCTTTTTTAAAAAAAAAATAAAAATAATAACTTATTCTAAATTAATCTTAATTTATATATCTTTCTCTGTATATCAAATATTTTATCATTTGTAAATATAAAAGTTTTGCATTAATCAATAAATATTCATTTGATAGAATTTCTCAATATAATTATATTTGCTAAAAAGTGATTTCTTACATTAGATTTAATTTATATATTAAAATTACATGTTTGCTTCTTTCTTTAGTTTAATTATTAAGCGATTTATTTTAGATTGATACCCTCTATCAATCTTCGAAATAAAATAAGCGAATTAGAATCAAATTATTTAATTTACTCACCAATATTTATGTAAGTAATTCTAATTAGATATAAATAATACTAATTATGTTTGAGATTCAATTTTACCAAAGAGGAAATCAATAATCAAGTGTTTTAATTAATATTGGTTTACATTTAATTTATAAAAAAGCTTTCACCTCAACAATATAATTTGATCATAAAAATTTTTTTAAACTATTTGATTTCTATAATGTATGAAAAATAAGCCAAAGTTTTATTTTTTCATCACTAAAACCTTAAAATATTTGTTATTAAATTATTGAATTTCACCATCAAAAGCGAGTGAGTTTATTGACTAATTCAAAAAGTAAAAATTTGTCTACTTATTAATTTTTATTGATATTTTTTCATTCAAATGCATGATTTTCTAAAGAATTTGCCAATCTAAACAAAGCATGAATTAGCAATAGAAGTTCTAACTGTTTCTAATTATTTTTACCAAATCAAAATCAAAATACAAATAAATCTTTGAATCTGCGCTTAAATTTTCTTTTATAAATATATAAATTAGAAATTTGATATTTTTATAAAACTACTTGTTTTTAAAAGATATTTTATACAAGTGGCTGGATACAAATTATTTTATCGCCAAAAATATATTAATTTTACACAAAAATATTTTTTTAGTTAACCAATTTATCAAATTATTAGAGATCAAACTGAATATTAATTTCTTTGAAGAGGTTACTTAGTTAAATATAAATAATTTTTTCATACAATTAATCTAATATTTAAATATAATTTTTTTAAAATTTCCCCTATATGTAATCCCATAAGCTTAATTAATATACTAACAATTATAATTTATTCACTCAATTACATTATTTTGTTAAATTTACTCTTTTAGATATTTTTGTAAATTTAATCTGCAAATATTTTTGTTAAAAAATTCCAAATACTAGCTATAAGTAGTAATTTCAAAGCTCTAACTGCAATTTTATTCATTTTTTTTATTTAAATAAATAACTTGAGATTAAATTTGACAATTATCATAACTAAAATAAAGATAAATTTATTTGAAGAAAAATTAAGTCAAATAAAAATTACAATTTTCCCATCAAAAATTTATGTTACTTAATAAATTAAGTTTTTATCAATCTTTTATTATTCTTATTTTACTTAAAAGTACCTGTTTTTTTTGTATTTTCATATTGACATAAATTCTAATCTAGAAAAATGCTTTTTAACAATAAAAAATACAATAGAGTTAATCAAGGATTGTAAATGAAAATTTCTATAAAATTGAATAAATAAATAATCAATCAATTCTAATTAGGAATTTAAAATATTAAGGATAAAATTATTTAAAATATGAAAGTATTTTAGATTACTTAATATGAAAGTATTTTAGATTACTTAATTTTGTGGATCCAGTAATAAAATAAAAAAAGTTTTTAGATTTTTATCTCACCTAATAAAATAGATAGAAAAAAAATTTATTGATATTTTTATTAATTAAAAAAAATGATGTTTGCGAAAATAATTTTCTGTAAACGTATTATTATCCTTCTAACGAAATTAGAAAACATACACTAAATAAAAAAAATAATTATAATTTAATGTAAAGATATTCTAATTTAAGAAAAAAAATAACTTTTTTAGTTGCTTTTTAAAGGATATTTTACTCAAATAAATTTAAACAAATATTTTCTATGCTTAAAATAGTATGTATATTAAATGCAAAAATAAAAAGTTTAAAATTTTCACATTTATGTTTAATAATTATATCGAAAACAGTAATAGTTTTTAATATTTAATAAACTTTTATAACTCATAAAATAGCTTTACTTTAATTTTATTTGAAATATCATTTTTAAAAAAATTTATTTCACTAACAAATACAAATGATAAATTTGAAAAAGAGTAAATATAGAATATTTTTTGTAAAAAAAAAAGTGGAAACAAATTTCACAATAATGCAAAATAAAATTATTTATAAACTCAAAGCAGCTAAAATTATAATTTCTTACAATAAATTTAATGCAAGATAACATTTGAATGTTAACGAGATAAATATTTAGCAGAGGTTCGAATATGTTTTTAATTTAATATAATTTAAAATTTTTATAAAGAAGGAGGAGTTTATTATCTCACAAAAAGTATAAAAATTTTAGTTGATTTAAGCTAATTATATTGACAAGTTAAGGGTAAGTAAGGGATAAATAATTTTCTTTTATTTATATAAAATATTTAAGTGCCAAAAATATTTAAATACCATTTAAATTACTGTTTAAAAACTAAGTTTAATAAATAAATATTTAGTTAAATTGATGCAATTAAAAGATGGACCAACCAACCTCATAAATGATAATTTTTTAGTTTATATAATTAATTTTTTCATATATTAAATATAAATTAAAAAAACAAAAGTTATAATTTTTTTATTTTTGTTCTCAAGATTCATTTATTTCTTTATTTCATTGGATATTTTTTTCAATTTTAGAATTCTAAGTATAAAGTCCAAAACCTATTTGGAAGAGGGGATTTTATATTTTTGGAATATCACCATTTTGATTGTAAATAGGGAACTATTATAAGTCCTCCATTTTTTATACCCAATCAATTGGTAAACGATTAGAATAACCATTTTATCCAAAGAGATATTCACCAAAAATTGCTTATACAATAGCTTCTCCACCTGTGGTTCCTGGCAGCCAAGCTGAAATAAATGAAGTAGATCTACTTATTTCATCATTAATTATCATAGGACGACCTGTAATAAGAACTGTAATCAATGGAATATCTGAAGAAACAGAACTTAAAACTTGATTAGAAAAGTTATCATAAGATATTTCAAGAGTGCTTTTTTACAGATATGGCATATAAGGGTTAGCATATCCATTTATGTATAGGCAACCTTCTACAGGAGGTAATTTATGGCCTTGGCAGTAAGAGTTATTTATTTCACCCATATACTCTGCATAAGGAGACTCAGTTAAAGCACCAATAATTAATGTATTTTGACTAGTTAAATTTAATGATTTCAGTTTTTCAATAAATGCTTGTCTCTCATAACGAATTGATGTATAATTGCGGATATCGCTATAGTTGGGCTTTAATATTCTATCTTTTCCAAGTCTATTAACTAAAGAATCGAAAATAGAGAAAGCAGAAGATTAATTTTTATAATCTCCAGACCAGAATTCATTACCTTCATAGCCTTACCAACGAACAGACCAACCACCATTTTAAGCTCCAATATTATTAGTGTCTTAAACTACGTATTCATCAACAACTTAGTAATTTTCTCTTTCCTAGATATCACGTTCACCAATTAAAATTACATATTCAATTTATGCTAAATTAATTGGAAGTAAATCATTCTCATTCTTTAATAGTACTAAAGATTCTTTGGCAGCTTATAGAGCTGATTGTGCAACAAATTAAGGATCTACAGGCTATTATTATTCTAATTTTTGAATTTGAATGCTTGTATTATTAACTATTTAGACGATACCCATGGCCATTTTAACAGCTAAGATTCTCTTTACAGCATCATCAATTCTATCCATGGCAACTTCACCACTTTCTACACACTTTTTCAAGTCTTTAATGTAGTCCTCTGCTCCTCCACCCATCATCATCATATCCATGCCTGCATTAATAATCAAGCAAGTTGATTCCTACTCAGTCATTTTAATATTTGATGTAGGTTATCCTTAAGAAGCTACTTTAGATCTTTCGTTATAGTCACTTATGATAAAACCAGTAAATCCTTCTTTTTCCTTCAAAACGTTTTATAAAAGATCTGCATTAATAGCCATAGGAATACCTTTAATTTTGAAAAATTAAAAATTAGTAAATTAATTAATACTACTATTTTTGAGTAACACAAAACCAATTTCAAATAGATATGCCAACAATTTAGATTAAAATTTTTGTAAAATTGTAAATCGGAATTTAAAAAATATTGAAATTTTAATTTGATTAAAAAGTGATATTAAAAATTTTTGATAACTAATTTATTTAATGCAAACAATAATGATGCAATTAAATTACTATTAATAGCGGAATATGAGCACATAATTGTACCAGTTTAAGCTTCAATACCTCCCCTGTATCCTTGAATATTATGTTCAAGAAAAGCAGTAAAGTTATAAATTTTATCATTGCCTTCATCTCTTCCTTCATATGTAGCTCCATCACCTAAGAAGTGCTTGGTACTAGTCATAGCTCCTCTAATAACTCCATCTTGGTCAACTTGCTAGGCTCCATTAACGAATTCTTTTGCGTATTTTTTAATCATATCATGGTTTTAACCTAATGTTTCATAATATCTTCCCCATTATGCATTATGAGAAACAGCAACAGTAGGGGCAAATAAGTAGTTCCATCCACTAGCCAAAGTGTTATTTGCAGTAATTTGACCTTACAAATAGAAGTGCTCAGGATTATAAGTTGCAGCTAAACCAATGTTATGAGGGAATAATACTTCACCTATAAATTAATAATACAAGTATTATATTCTAAGTTTAGAAAAGATATTTTTATTTTGTAAAATTTAATGAAAAATAATATCATTTTTTAATGTATACCTATCACGTGTTGATTTCCATGTACTGCATCAGTACCTAAAAGTAATTGGATCTTTGCTACCTCTTATTTTTATTCATCTAATGTTATTTCAATTACTGTTTCCTCCATTAATCTATCGCCTAACTTTTTCCAGTTTTCTCTTGTAGCCAAGTGATAATTAAGATTACCAGTTTGAAGATTACCATCATCAGTAGGAGCTCCATTACCACCAACAAGAACAGATCCAAGTCCAAGCTCTTTAATTTTTTAGAAATTTGTAACATTATTTGAAGAAAGTGAAGAAAGATCAGGTTGAGTCATTTAACCTAATTTCTATTCCAAAGTCATTTTTGACACAATTTACTAAGCCTTTTAGTAGTGTTTAGTATATATGTCCTCACAAAGTGACACTGAAATTAAAGACTAGAAAATTACTAGCACAATAAATACTTAGCTTAATTTCTTCATAATCTATTAGTTTTTCTTATGTTATTTATTATTATTTATTATTTTCTAATCAAAGTATTATAAATATACTAAATTGAAAGAAAGATACATGGAGCTTAGGTTGATTAAGTCTCTAATACTTTATATATCACTTATAAAAATACAAATCTTAATGATTAAAAATTGATTCATATGGTTATAGAGTTACTACTTATATTTGTCTTTAATCTTTTATAAATAAAGGAATTAACTTTTTTGATTGCACTTATTGTCAACCAATAAATATTAATGAAACAATCCAAAAGAAAATAAGGAAATCCTCATTAACACAATAAAAAAAGAAAAGTTTGTAGAAATATTTTTAAAATAAACAGTATGAGATAAAATTAACATCTTAAAAGATAATCAAAAGATAAAAAGTAAGCATTCAATATGTATTATTTTATTTTTATGAATAAAGTATATTTTTTACACTTTAGATTTCAAACAATTTTTAATGTACTGATGAATAAAAGTAAATTTTGCTTCTAATTTAACAAAAATTAGTTCTAAATTTTTTAAAAAATAGATTAAGATAATACTCAATTAAGAATATTATATTGGTTTCAAAGGGTTTAAATAGTAGATTGAAATAAAAAAGTGGAATATATTTAAATTGTGGAAAAAATCATGAAAATAACATATGTAAAATATAAAAAAAATAAACTCTAAATATTTTTCGCTTTTGAAAAATTAATATTTTGTAATATCAAATCTTAAGAAAAAAGATTCATATATATCTCGTATTTGAAAGAAAATGATATACTTAAAATAAATTAACTAATTATTTATTTCTATGGAGATAAAATTTGATTAAATAACTATAAATGTTAGAGTGGTAAAAGATCAAAAGAAATGTAATTAGATAAAATAAATAAGAAATGATAATAAATAGATTTTCGATTTCCAAAAAAGTTGTAAAACAATTAGGGTTATAAATCCATTAATTGAGAAATGAGAAAATAAAAGTTTTTAATTAATTTTTAACAATGTAACCAAAAAAACTTTTATTTTTATCCTTTTAAAACAAAATACTGTAAACTTTGTATTTTAAGCTGCATTGCATATATTATTGACTTTGATGATTTGAAAATTTTAAACTATTTTATAGAGATATTGTAAGCCAAATCTAAATGTGTATCTTATAAAAAGCTAAAAAGTAGGTTAATAGTCTTCAATAATAAAAGCTTTATTGTTTTAAAAATTGTAAAAACCCAGATAGCTAATTATTAATATTACACCAAATAGACATTTTAAGATAAAGGTCGAATAAATTATTTTGATTTTTATTTTTACCAAATTTTTAATTTGATAAAATATATTTCATATATTTTCTTTATTTTTTCCTTCTAAATAATTAATTTATTATATATTTATTTGTTTTTAAATAATATGTATTTCCAAAAAACAAAATTATAATTTCGTAATAATCGATTGATTATTTTAATTTATTTTACAAGCAAAACGAAAAAAATATTTAAGTACTTATAATAAACAAATCCTTTTAAAGAATTATTTATTTTAAATTTTTTAGAAATATAAATATATATATAAATATTGCTTATCAATTTATTTTGAAGTATAAGCAATCTTTATTTCAAAAATATTGATAAACAAATAATATAATAATTTAGAAACAAAAATTATTAAATGAAGAAAAACTTCTTATTTTTTAAAAATTAAAACATGAAACAGTATTTTACTATCCCGCAAGTAAATATACTCTTTCATGTATATTCTTAATTGATATATTCAATATAAATTCTTATTTTCTTTAATTGATATGTATTATTATCAATTCTTTAAATCTTCTTATTTAAAAAGCAAATAATAAATAATAATAAATCTATATAATTAAATAACCTTAAAATTAATAAGTTATTTACATCATTTGATAAGACATTTAAAATAATTTATTAAAATCTTAAAAAGCAAAAAATAAATAGAAATTTAACATAAAATTAACAAATTATTTAAATTTTTACTATTTAATTAACAATAAAAAATAGTTAATTAAAAAATATAAATAATCAAATTCAAAATAAAAACCAATATATTTTGTAAATTAAATCTTATTATTTAATAAGAATATACTTAAAATTAAATTCCAGCATAATTCATATTTTTTTAATAAGTTAAAAGATATAATATAACAAAAAAATTAAATTTAAACTTAATTTAATATCAATAAATAGAATTTATTAATTTAAAACTATTCACATTTTTTTATTTTAAGAAATCATTTTCATTTAATTAATTATTAATATTAATTTTCTAAAAGCCCAGAAAAATTTAATTTTTATTTTACCGTATTACCTCTAACCTCGGGCCTCGGGTTTTAGGGAAAGCGAGCAAGGTTATTCGATTTTAGATTTTTTTGAAAATTTTCCCCTAAATTTTAAGGATAAAAATATAAAAAAGTATTAATTGAAATATTTTTACATTTAATATCCAAAATAAAAATTTACATTAAATATATTAACAAATTTATATTCAATTTTATTATTTTAATTATTTTTTGAAATAATTCAATAAATTATTGGACTATTATGGTTTGTTTATTCATCTATTTTTATTATTTTTTACTGCAAATAGCATTATTTATAAAACTAAGTTTAATAAATAAATATTTAGCTAAATTAATGCAATTAAAAGATGGGCCAACTAATCGCATTAATGATCATTTTTTAGTTTTTTTAATTAATTTTTTCATATTTTATATATTAATTAAAAAAACAAAAGTTTTTATTTTTTTATTTTTGTTCTCAAGATTTATTTCTTTATTTCATTGAATATTTTTTTCAATTTTAGAATTCTAAGTATAAAGTCCAAAACCTATTTGGAAGAGGGGATTTTATATTTTTGGAATATCACCTTTTTGATTGTAAATAGGGAACTATTATAAGTCCTCCATTTTTTATACCCAATCAATTGGTAAACGATTAGAATAACCATTTTATCCAAAGAGATATTCACCAAAAATTGCTTATACAATAGCTTCTCCACCTGTGGTTCCTGGCAGCCAAGCTTAAATAAATGAAGTAGATCTACTTATTTCATCATTAATTATCATAGGACGACCTGTAATAAGAACTGTGATCAGTGGAATATCTGAAGAAACAGAACTTAAAACTTGATTAGAAAAGTTATCATAAGATATTTCAAGAGTGCTTTTTTACAGATATGGCATATAAGGATTAGCATGACCATTAATGTATATACAACCTTCTACAGGAGGTAATTTATGGCCTTGGCAGTAAGAGTTATTTATTTCACCCATAAACTCTGCATAAGGAGACTCAGTTAAAGCACCAATAATTAATGTATTTTGACTAGTTAAATTTAATGATTTCAATTTTTCAATAAATGCTTGTCTCTCATAACGAATTGATGTATAATTGCGGATATCGCTATAGTTAGGCTTTAATATTCTATCTTTTCCAAGTCTATTAACTAAAGAATCGAAAATAGAGAAAGCAGAAGTTTAATTTTTATAATCTCCAGACCAGAATTCATTACCTTCATAGCCTTACCAATGAACAGACCAACCACCATTTTAAGCTCCAATATTATTAGTGTCTTAAATAACATATTCATCAACAACTTAGTAATTTTCTCTTTCCTAGATATCACGTTCACCAATTAAAATTACATACTCAATTTATGTTAAATTAATTGGAAGTAAATCATTATCATTCTTTAATAGTACTAAAGATTCTTTGGCAGCTTATAGAGCTGATTGTGCAACAAATTAAGGATCTACAGGCAATTATTATTCTAATTTTTGAATTTGAATGCTTGTATTATTAACTATTTAGACGATACCCATGGCCATTTTAACAGCTAAGATTCTCTTTACAGCATCATCAATTCTATCCATGGCCACTTCTCCACTTTCTACACACTTTTTCAAGTCTTTAATGTAATCCTCTGCTCCTCCACCCATCATCATCATATCCATGCCTGCATTAATAATCAAACAAGTTGATTCCTACTCAGTCATTTTAATATTTGATGTAGGTTATCCTTAAAAAGCTACTCCAGTTCTTTAATTATAGTCACTTATGATAAAACCAGTAAATCCTTCTTTTTCCTTCAAAACGTTTTACAAAAGATCTGCATTAATAGCCATAGGAATACCTTTAATTTTAAAAAATTAAAAAATTAGTAAATTAATTAATACAACTATTTTTGAGTAACACAAAACCAATTTCAAATAGATATGCCAACAATTTAGATTAAAATTTTGTAAAGTTGTAAATCATAATCTAAAAAACTATTGAAATTTTAATTTGATTAAAAAATGATTTTATAATTTTTTGATAGCTAATCTATTTAATATAAACAATAATGATGCCATTAAATTACTATTAATAGCAGAATATGAGCACATAATTGTACCAGTTTAAGCTTCAATACCTCCCCTGTATCCTTGAATATTATGCTCAATAAAAGCAGTAAAGTTATAAATTTTATCATTGCCTTCATCTCTTCCTTCATATGTAGCTCCATCACCTAAGAAGTGCTTGGTACTAGTCATAGCTCCTCTAATAACTCCATCTTGGTCAACTTGCTAGGCTCCATTAACGAATTCTTTTGCGTATTTTTTAATCATATCATGGTTTTAACCTAATGTTTCATAATATCTTCCCCATTATGCATTATGAGAAACAGCAACAGTAGGGGCAAATAAGTAGTTCCATCCACTAGCCAAAGTGTTATTTGCAGTAATTTGACCTTACAAATAGAAGTGCTCAGGATTATAAGTTGCGGCTAAACCAATGTTATGAGGGAATAATACTTCTCCTATAAATTAATAATACAAGTATTATATTTTAAGTTTAGAAAAGATATTTTTATTTTGTAAAATTTTATGAAAAATAATATCATTTTTTAATGTATACCTATCACATGTTAATTTCCATGTACTGCATCAGTACCTAAAAGTAATTGGATCTTTGCTACCTCTTATTTTTATTCATCTAATGCTATTTCAATTACTGTTTCCTCCATTAATCTATCACCTAACTTTTTCCAGTTTTCTCTTGTAGCCAAGTGATAATTAAGATTACCAGTTTGAAGATTTCCATCATCAGTAGGAGCTCCATTACCACCAACAAGAACAGATCCAAGTCCAAGCTCTTTAATTTTTTAGAAATTTGTGACGTTATTTGATGAAAGTGAAGAAAGTTCAGGTTGAGTCATTTAACCTAATTTCTATTCCAAAGTCATTTTTGACACAATTTACTAAGCCTTTTAGTAGTGCTTAGTATATATGTCCTCACAAAGTGACACTGAAATTAAAGCCTAAAAAATTACTAGCACAATAAATACTTAGCTTAATTTCTTCATAATCTATTAGTTTATTTTGTTATTTAATGTTATTATTATTTATTATTTTCTTATCAAAATATAAAAAATATACAAAAGTGAAAGAAAGATACATGGATCTTAAGCTGATTAAGTCTCTAATACTTTAAATATCACTTATAAAAATACATATATTAATGATTAAAAATTTATTCATATGGTTATAGAGTTACTACTTATATTTGTCTTTAATCTTTTATAAATAAAGGAATTGAATTTTTTGATTACTACTTATTGTCAACCAATAAATACTAATGAAACAATAGTCTACTTAAAATAAATTAACTAATTATTTATTTGTATGGAGTTAAAATTGGATTAAATAACTATAAATTTTAGAGTGGTAAAAAAATCAAAAGTAATGTATTTAGATAAAATAAATATGAAATGATAATAAATAGATTTTTGATTTCCAAAAAAGATGTAAAACAATTAGGTTATAAATCCTTTAATTGATAAATGAGAAAATAAAATTTTTTATTTAATTTTTAACAATGTAACCAAAAAAATTTTAATTTTTAACCTTTTATAACTATATACTGTAAATTTTGTATTTTAAGCTGCATTTCATATATTAATTGGCTTTGATGTTTTGAAAATTTAAGTTTTTTTGAAAATTTTTTTGCAAATAATAGGATGTGTTTTAAATTTTTAGAATCTACAGTATCTCTCATTAAATTTAAAATACACAATTTTAAAGTGTATATAAATTCAGTAATAAAAAACCTTAATAATTTTGTCTATGTTAGTAATTAATTTATAGATTATTAAAAAAAAAAAAAATTTTTGATTGATTTTCTTGTACTAAAATAAAATTAAATTAAATTAAAATTTTAAAATGATAAAAGCTTATTGATAAATATCTTTCATTAAATTTGTGATAGTATTGAATAATAACAGTTTTAAAATATATCGGACAAGCAAAATATTTTTAATTTCTACCAACTTAATTATAATTTCTTACGATTGTCTTCTAAACAGAAACTCATTCTATCTTTATTTAATAAAATATTGTTAAATTTTTTATATTTTTTGAAAATAAAATCAATTAAACAAATTTTTAAAATAATATCTGTTTCAAAAAGGATTTTTACTGATTTATTTTTCATTTTTAATTTAATGTTATAAAAACATCTTTATCCTGTTCTTTTGTTGAAACGCTTGCCAAATAAATGTTATAGGGAAGGTGATTATGTGCAACTATTGTTCCATCCCATAGAGTAAAGTTTTTAGAGTGAATTTGACTCCTAGTTTTAGAGATAAATCTTGTAGATTATATTTCATCAGGTAAAAAAAATATGTAGCAATCTCCTTCTTCAAATCCCTAAATATGATTTACTTACAAAACAGTTTCTTTTTTTTAGATAGTCTTTCCTTCTAGAAAACCCTTAAATAGCATGTTTCTGGCTGTCTTTAATTTCTCAATTTTCTCTTTAAACTTTTTGATTTCATTTTTTTGTTTTGTATTCTACTACTTCTAGAATATCAAATAGCTATATTCTTTTTAAAATTCTATGTTCTATTTATCTTGGAAATAAAGATTTAAGAATTTCTAGACAATAAGATCATTAAATTTTCTAAGAGGGCTAGTGGCTGAAACATATTTATCTGACCCTGGGGCAATGTCTAGGAGTTTATATAGCTCGTATGCGTCATTTTGTACTCTAATTTAACATTAGATTTCTTGTTACTTAAAATCTTCTTTTAAGGTTTCTATTTGTTAATCAAGTTCCTAAATTTATTCATTCAAGCAATTTATTTCATTTTAATATAAGTTTAGGTCTTGCAACATAATATCTTTTTATGATTAGTATTTTTATTCAATACTGTAACATTCTTCAAAATTCAAATAATTTTATTCTTATTTTGATAGCAATTAATTTTAAGGGAGGGTTAAATCGTTTATAGTAAAGTCATCTCTTTTTTCATCTTTAATATCATTCTAAATTTTAATGCTTTTCAAGATACTTTTTTTGCTATCTTATTATTTCTACAGATTAAATTATATTTCTTATACTTAAATTTTGTTTATATTTTCTTAAGTAGAAATTTAATCTCTAAGAAGCTTCGCTATTTAATCTTTTGACTATTAAACTTACAAATAAAGCTTCTAAACTTAATTAGTTTCCTTTTGACAAATTTAAAAGTACAATTAAAGATCATTAAGAATTTATTATTTTTTGTGCAATAAGTACTTTTTCATAATTGGATTTAAAGAGGTATCATTTTTTAGTAAACTAATCGATGCTTAAAATTCCTAGAGGGTTGAGTACTTGAAATTGTAAAATCCTACCTATAAACACTAATTCTTAAAGTAATCAACCTACTTTAAATAGCTAATTTTTATTTTATTGTTTTAACCAATATTACTTTGCTACAAAATTATTGTATCAATCTCTTTTTAAAGTTTTTGAATTAAGATTTTAATTTCTTCAACTTTTTAAATTAAATAGTCTTTTTTAATAGTAAATGGATTAACTAACTCTTCTTCTTCTTCTTCATTCTCACCACTTTCAGTTATAATTTCAAGCAAATTGCAGCTATTTATAAAGCTTTCACTTTCTGATTTAAAGAGTAGTTAGTTCTTATTATTTGCCACGCTGTGGCTCTTCATATAATCTAACTCATCTAATTCATCTCCTTATTTATTATCTTTTGGCATAAAAATATTTACTGAATCAATTTAGCTTTAACTGATTGAATCTGAAATATTTAGAGTAAAATTTTTGAAATTATCAGACTTCTACAATTCAAGTATTTCAAAGTACAAAATATTATTTTTTGTTAGTAAATATTTTCTTTGTAAGTTATATAGACTTTGTGAAAGCAAAGCTTTATTTTTCTTGATCAAACTGATGTTCTTTTCTAATTAGACACTTAGGAAGTTAATATTATTTTTAATATCTCCTTATTTACTATTAATATGATGCAAAATATGAAGATATCTTGAAATAGATTAATTATATAAAACCATTAACTCTTCAATCATTTTAGAGCTAATGAATCTTTTACTTGTTTTTGTTTTATCACTTTGAAAAGCCTTTTAGCCTTTTTCTTCTCTTAATTTAAATAGATGTGCTCCAACTTTTAGCAAAACTTACGCTTCTTCCTACGTAATTATTAAAGTTTTTTCGTTAAAACCATTCAATATTTGATTTGAGTATTTTAAGTCTGAATCAAATTCTTCTTTATATAGGCTATAAATTTCTTTATCTATATTACAAAGATGATCAAACTCATTGTAAAAATAATTTTGCTATATAATGATTTTTGTGTTTTCTATTGTCAAAGAATCCCATTCAACTTTCAACTCATTAAATTCATCAATCGCCACACAAAAAAAGATAGATTTTGCAAGTCTTAATTCACCTTTTTTCATAGAAAACTGATCAATCAAATCTCTATGAAGCATATGCTTAACAAATTGTTTACCTTCACTTACTTCTAAATAGATACTTTATTTTCTATTTTCTAATCCCTAAAAAAAGACTGTACCTTTTTCTATGCACATTGAGAAATCTGTAATATGCACACCTATTTTATAATAAGATTGCTTGCAAGGATTAATTTAATTTTAATCTTCTATCATTTTTGTAATCTCTTAACAGTAGCCTTGTGAATTTTAAGAAAGACTATTTTTATAGAGAGAGAAATGCTTTTATTTCTGGTTCTCAAACTCTAAATGAGAAATTTTTTCTATTGAAATCGCATCATCAAATGCAAATGCACCAATTTAATCAACAGTAAATATTTTTTCATTCTAGTACAATTAATAATCGTTTTTATTATTAATAAAATGCTTGTATTGTTCAATAGCCTTTTGAATATAAAGTTCTTCTGATTGAATTTATTCAAAATTACAATTATAAGAGTAAAAAAGTGCTTGAATATCACTAACCTCATCATAAAGATAACCTAAAGGTTCCAAAATCTCAATCAAAGGCCCATATTCAGTGTATTCCTCAGGCCATTCAAGGAACTTCACTCTAAAATACTTCTTAAAGAGTTCTCCTCCAGGATATAGGTGCTAAGCATTTTTTAATTTTAAAATCATTTTAGGGTATCTATTATCTAAAGGATAAAAATAAAATAATTCTTTATTTTAATAATTAAATGATTTATTTTTTATTCCAAAATCTATTTCTGGTTTTTCAGGCAAACGAGAAAACTCTCCAAAAAATCCAACTAAATTATCTAAATTTTCAGGATACTTGATTACTTCTAATATTTAAGCCTTTTTACATTTGGGTTTTTAATGCTCATATTCTATTATAGTTTTGTTGTTTCCTTTTTAATTAGACTAAATGATCTTAAAAATAACTCTGCTAGAATGAATGGCTCTTGAAGTTTTATTTTCATTAACAAAAATTCGATCCTTTATATAAGCACCATCACTTTCTTCTTTAACAAACTTAGTGCCTAGCTCATCAACTATGAAAATACCAACTTTCTAATCTTCTACATGAAGGATATCTCGCTAAAAAGGTATTTTATTTTCAATAAAATTATTCTAATCTTTTTTCCTTAAAGTATGTTATTTGTCATGCGTAAAATGTTTTTAGTTTCTATGATCTGATGTATCGTAAAAAGGCTATTTAATCTATCCTTTACCTTAAATTTACTCATTCCTCTTTTAAGTTTAACTTCTTTCAGTCTAGACAGTACAAATGTTCTTCCTCTCCCTAAATATGTCTCTTTCTACTTTGTTTTCATTCTATCTTTGCTAAGGCATGCTGTTAAAATGTTTATTTTGTTTTTTATTTTAGTCCATTAACTCATACAAAAGTCTTCTTTCATAGAATTGGGATTCCCTATTAAACTACTAGTCGTTTAGTGATGATGATGAAGAAGAAGAAGATCTATTAGTATTTCTTGCTTAAGGCTCATAGCTCATATTTTTTCTTCCTGATTTTTGTGAATAAGATCTACTTAGTTAAGCATTGTTCTAATAGCTTTAAGATTTGTAATCGAAGTTATTTTACCTTTTAAACTTATTTTCACTTGAATAATTGCGGTCATTTTAGCTTCTACCCCTCTTTTTATCAAACCTCATTTTATTAGTTCTACTTTTATAGAAATTTAATTTAGATTTTAATTAATCAACAAATCTTAATAATACATTAACAAAAATCTTAAAATCTCTTAGAGTTTATTAAAAAAGCAGTAGCTAAGGAAATACCATAAAAGAAAAAATAAATACATTTGTAGCTAAGCTAATTAATTAACAAATAAACTATTTCCTAGAATTATAACTTGATTTTATTTTGAATAATAAATATTTTTAATATTAAACAAAATTCTATCTAAAAAATAATATAAAAATTTTAAAAAAAATCTTAAATATTAATTATCAATTATTTATTTAAAACATTTATTATTTTATAAAAAAATACCAGTGAATTATGTTTAAATATATTAAAAATAATATAAATAAAATTTATTTAAAACTATTTAAATAATTAAGATATTAAAACAGATAAACATTTTTAAAAATTTAAACACATTTTAAAAATTAAATATTTTAGAAAATATTATTTATTTTGTTCAAAAATCTAAATTTATTAGATATATTTCATTTTTGGCTATTGCAACAGTGTAATCATAAGGAAGAGAATATTTAGCTTAGATTTAACCTTTCCATATTGAAAAAATTTATTAGAGCTATGGTTTATTTTTATCAATTTTTAGCTAGATAATTTGTCTTTATTTAGGCAAGAAGAAATCATAGTAAACATATTTAGAAATAATTTTTGAATTAATTTGAAGAATATCTGATTCTTCATCTAATTTACCTTAATAAGCTTGAAGAATCATTTTTCTGCAATTTTTTATTTTTTAGGCTTTTTCTAAGAATTTAGCCACTTGATTTTTTATCTTATTAGTAGCTTGCTTTGATTTAATTATTTTGCTATATTCTTTATCAAATTCTTCTGAAAAATCTGTTTTCAAATAATTGTCTATGAATTACTAAGCTTAAATATCATTAAACTTTCTTATAGGACTAGTTAAGGATAAATATTTCTCTGATTCTGGTGATAAATCAAAATATTTGTAATTTTCATTAACATCTTTTTCAAGTTATTTTTAGAGATTTATTTACTCATCTTTTATATTTTAATTTATTTTTTTAATTTCTGACTCAACCTCCTATAATTATTTCATAAGATCATTGATCTAGATATCTTAAGTTTTTATTAATTCTTCTAGTTTTTCAAATTATTTTTAGTTATTTTCCAAGCTTGAAATGAGTTATTAAATTCTACTTTCATTTGAACTTACTAATTTCTAAATTTTTTAAATTTCATTTTCTTTTTGTTTAATTTATTGTTTAAGTAAATTGATTTTTCTTTCTTTTAATGAAACTTTTTAAATATTATCATTATCATGGGTAAATGATTTATCTAAATCATCAATAGAAATTTAAGATCTTGTTTCCGTTTAATTATCTTCACTAAATTAATCTTCTTCAACTTCGATTTATTCTTGGTTTTATAGCTCTAAATCTTTAATTTTTTGTGCCTCTTCACTCTTTTCAAATTAAGCTATTCTGTCTTAAATAGCTATAATGTCTTTGATAATCTTTTCTTTTTGATCTTTTTTTTACTAGATTTTCTAATTAAGTTACTATTACTCTTTTTTTTCATCATCGCACATGGCGAAGTATTGATTTAATTATCTAACTATTTTTCTTTTTTCAAAGATTAAATAAGCTTTAATTATTGGAGTTATTTAAGTATATTTTAATTATTCAATTGATGATTAAAATTCTAAGAGGGAATCGAACTTTATGTTATTAAATCCAGCTTGCTCACAATTATTTTTGTAGTGATTTAGAGTATCTTTTATAGATTTTTTTGCTTCTTCATATTTATTGTAAATCTTTTGTTAAGCTAAATTTTTTAATTCTTTATCTAATTATTCTAATTGCTTATTTAAGTTTTATAACTACAAATTTAAGCGTTTTTTTAAGGTTGTGTAAATATTTCCTGAATCATTCTGATTTTGATAGTCATTTGATAATGTATCTATGGATTCAGTTTCACTTTCTTCATCAAAGTCACTACTTTCATCATTATCTTCTTATTTACGTATTTACTTTGAGTTGAAAAAAAATTATCCGTACTTAAGATGGGGTTAAACATATTTTTAATTAAACTAAGGTATCATAAGAGTCGTAGGCTATTGTTAAAAAATCCTTTTATCTTTGGATTCAGTTTTACTTTCTTCATCAAAGTCACTACTTTCATCATTATCTTCTTATTTATGTATTTACTTTGAGTTGAGAAAAAATTATCCGTACTTAAAAGGGGGTTAAACATAATTTGAATTAAACTAATGTATCTCAAAAGGCATAGGCTATTATTAAAAAATACTTTTATCTTTGGATTCAGTTTCACTTTTTTCATCAAAGTCACTACTTTCATCATTATCTTCTTATTTATGTATTTACTTTGAGTTGAGAAAAAATTATCCGTACTTAAAATGGGGTTAAAGATATTTTTAATTAAACTAAGGTATAGGCATCAGAGTCCTAGGCTATTGTTAAAAAATACTTTTATCTTTGGATTCAGTTTCACTTTTTTCATCAAAGTCACTACTTTCATCATTATCTTCTTATTTATGTATTTACTTTGAGATAGGAAAAAATTCTCCGCACTTAAAAGGGGGTTAAACATATTTTTAATTAAACTAAGGTATAGGCATCAGAGTCCTAGGCTATTGTTAAAAAATACTTTTATCTTTGGATTCAGTTTCACTTTTTTCATCAAAGTCACTACTTTCATCATTATCTTCTTATTTATGTATTTACTTTGAGTTGAGAAATAATTATCCGTACTTAAAAGGGGGTTAAAACAAATTTGGATTAAACGAAATTTTATCAAAATTCATAGGTTAAAATTTATAATTAAAAATTGGATTTTGAAATAATTGTAAATTAAATTCCCCATTTAAATTATTTTGCATCTGATTCTCTACTAATTACTCCGACTGTAAATTATCTTCTGATTATTCTTAAGTAAGTTAATCCGGGTCAGAATCTGATAACTATTCCTTCTCTATTACTTCATAGCATTTTTTTTATTAAATTTTTGCCTATGTTTGAGCTTCTTTCTTTTTGTTTTTATTATATTCTTACTCAAACTAGCTTTCTTCCATGCTGCTGATCTATTCAATTTAATTTTTGAGTTCTTCAATCTTTTTTTAATTTTTAGTTATTTTATTTTCATATTCCTTAAGAGTTTTAGGGTTATTATTTATTTTCATTTCAGTAAGCTCAATATTTTTATGAAGAGTAGCAAAAGACTTTTTATTAGTTTAAAGAACTTTCTACTGTTTTTTTATTTTATTAGAGATTTATATTTAATTAGTTTCTATTGACTTTTTCATCTATTATGCTTCTTTTTTGAGCACTTTTAATTTTTATTCAATATCATTCTAACCTTTAAAGATTTATTGACTTACTTATATTTATCTTGAAATAGATTGATTGTAAAAAACCATTAACTCTTCAACTAACTTAGATGATAAGAATTTACTTTTTTCTGTAAATTCTTCTTAGAATGCCTTTTAACCTTTCTATATTCTCTATTAAAATAGCTAACCTCCAAGATTAAAGAAAGCTAAAAATTCCTCTTTTGTTAGAATTAAGCTCTTATTTATTGGGTTTAATTCTTTTTCATGAGTATCAATTTCATCATCTTCGTCATCACTATCTGAGCTAATAATTTCTTCATCATCATCTTTAAAAAGCTCAGTAATATTTTATTTATTATCTTTCAAGTATGAATCGAATTCATGATAGTAATAATTTTACTTGCTTTAAATAATGGAGTCTTCAAGTCTTAAAGAATCCCAATGAAAGATGAATTAATTATTTTAGTCCTTTTCTATGCAGATAAATAAACTTTTAGCTTACTTTTTTTCTCCAGCCTTTAATGAGAAGATCTAAACAAGTCTTCTGTCTAGCATATGCTTGATAAAGCTTTTATTTTTTCCTAGTGGGACATAAATACTTTATCCTCTTTTCTCCAAAACCTTGTACAATGGTGTATCCTTTATAATACTTTAAGATAGATCAGCAATATGGATACCAAGTTTAAATATTTTTCTGCTGCATTCAGTATCTTCTTATTCTGGTTCTGATTGCTTTTATTCTTCTGGCTCTTTAATTTATTATTATTTGATTGTTTAATCTATTTCTTTTTATTCTTCGATGCTTTAGCTAGGTTCTTATTATTCTTATCTAACTCCATTATCATTTAGAATCAGCTCTTAATTATTTGCCTGTTCTACTGCTTAAATATCTTCGTTCATACATTTTTTAGTATTTTTACTTTTTTTGTTTTTAACCCTCTAGTAAACTTAAACTGGTTCATTCTCAGCTTTTTAAATTTTTTTTGGTTGCTTAGCCAATTTAATTTCTTATTCAAGTATCTTTGAGTTGATTTTTTAAAATGAAAACGCATCGTCAAAGGCTTAAGTTCCTTGCTGATCTATAGTAAAAACATTTAGATTTTCAAATTCTTTTGAATTATTATTATTTTAAAAGTCATTTTAGTGATTATTGACTATTTTATCAACATAATTTCTTTCTTAACTTGAGATAGTACTATTCATATTGAATGACTCTAACAAAGCCTAGCAATCACTTTCTTAATCATATAGCATTCCTTTTTTATCTACTATTTCTACTAAAGGACCTTCTTTAGAAAGCCTTTCAGGCCAGTCAATAACTTTCACAATATAATAATACTTAAAGATATCTCCACTTTTACAAGTTTAAGAAGACTAATCCAACTCTAAAACCATTGTAGGATAGTTTATTTACAAAGGGAAAAAGTAAACCTTTTTTAAGTTTGTCTATCCTAGCTATTTTGATTAAAGATTAAAGTCGATACTAGGTCTTTTAGGAGTGTCAGAAAAGAATCCGATTAGAGGTTTGATTTCACTATATTTATCTTCTACAGATTCGATTACAGCTTTTAAATTTGTTTATTATTAGGTTTATATTTCTACAAGACTATATTTAACTTTCATTTCATGCAAAGCTCTTCCTGAGTCGTTTTTATGTAAGAATATTCTTTTTCTGATATTTATTTAATGATCAATTTTTTATACAAATTTTTATCCTAATTCATCTACAAAAAACTAACCATCTTGTATTTCTCCTACTTTAGATATATAGTGATTATTATTCCTATATGGCTAGTTCCTATTGTTATATTAATTTCTATTATTTTTAAAATATTATTACTAGTTATTATATCTTTAATTCATTTTTCTTCTTCTACTTTTTTCAAGATTTTTGTTGGTTTTTTAATTAAGTATTTTTCTTAATTTTTAATTTAGTTATATTCGATTTAATGATCACATTGCTTTTAAAATCAATAAAATCTATAATATGCTTATTAAAATTTGTTAAGTTGCCTATTTTTCATTAATTTTACAAACTTTTATCAAATAAACTAGACAATTTTTAATTAAATAAAATTAAAATACTTTTATTTTACAAAAGAAAAAAAAAATACTTTTAATTTATTAATATTAAAGTAAAATACTTTTATTTTTCTATAAAATAGATATTTTTTCTGATATACTTATTTCAAAATGTTTATTTCGCACATATACTGTACTTTATATTGACTTTGAAAGCAATCTACTTGCATCCCAACTATTTTTGATGAAACTATTACAAAAAAATATGAAAAATTTTTAAAAAATCTTAAAATATTAATTATAAGTTTAAATTATATATTATTTTATAAAAAAACGTCTGTGAAGTATGTTTAAATATTTTAAAAATAATTTAGAAAAAATTTATTTAAATAACTTAGATGTTAAAACAAACATTTACAAAAATTTAAATCATTTTAAAAATGAAATAATATAGAAAATATTTTTTATTTTTTCAAAAATCTAAATTTGTTAGCTTGATATTATTTTTAATGGCGTTTGCAACAGTGTAATCATAGGGAAGAGAATATTTTGCTTAAATTTCACCATTCCATATTGAAAAAACTTCTTATAACTAGGGTCTATTTTTATCATTTTTCAGCTAGACAATTTGCATTTATTTAGGCAAGAAGAAATCATAGATAATGAATTTAGAAATAATTTTGGAATTAATTTGAAGAATTTCTTATTTTTCATCTTATTTTTTACCTTATTGAGCTTGGCGAATCATTTTTCTGCAATTTTTTATTTTTTAGGCTTTTTCTAAGAATTTAGCCACTTGATTCTTTATCTTATTAGTAGTTTGCTTTGATTTAATTATTTTACTGTATTCCACATCAAATTCTTTAGAAAAATCTGTTTTCAAATAATCGTCTATGAATTACTAAGCTTAAATATCATTAAACTTTCTTATAGGACTAGTTAAGGATAAATATTTCTCAGATTCAGGTGATAAATCAAAATATTTGTAATTTTCATTAACATCTTTTTCAAGTTATTTTAAGAGGTTTTTTTACTCATCTTTTATATTTTAATCTATTTTTAAAATTTCTGACTTAAGCTCGTCTAATTATTTTTTGAGATCATTGATCTAGATGTCTTAAGTTTTGATTTATTCTTCTAGTTTTTCAGATTATTTTTGGTATTTTTCCAAGCTTGAATTAAGTTCTTAAATTTTACTGTCGTTTGAACTTATTTATTTCTAAATTTTTAAAATTTCATTTTCTTTTTGCTTTATTTATTGTTAAAGCTAATTGATTTTTCTTTATTTTAATGAGGCTATTTTAATATTATCATTATCGTGGGTAAATGATTTTTCTAAATCTTCAATTGAAATTTAAGATCTTGTTTCCGTTTAATCATCTTCACTAAATATTTCTTCTTCAACATTTATTTATTCTTGGTGTTATAGCTCTGAATCTTTAAATTTTTGCTCCTCTTCACTCTTTTCAGCTTAAATTATTCTATCTTAAATGGCTTTAATGTCTTTGCTAATCTTTGATTTTTGATCTTTTTTTTACTAGATTTTCTAATGAAGTTACTCTTATTCTTTTTTTTCATCATCGCAAATGGCGAAGTATTGATTTAATTATCTAACTATTTTTCTTTTTTCAAATAACAAATAAGTTTTAATTATTGGAGTTATTTTAGCATATTTTAATTTATCAATTGATGATTAAAATTCTAAGAGGGAATCGTACTTTAGGTTATTAAATCCGACTTGTTCACATTTATTTTTGTAGTAATTTAGAGTATCTTTAATTGATTTTTTTGCTTCTTCGTTTTTATTAGAAATTTTTTGTTAATCTAAATTGTTTAATTCTTTATCTAATTATTCTAATTGCTTATTTAAGTTTTGTAACTACTAATTTAAGCGTTTTTTTAAAGCTGTATAAATATTTCCTGAGTCATTCTGCATTTCATTGTTATTTTGTAATGTGTCTTTGGACTCAGTATCACTTTCTTCATCGCTGTCATCACTTTTATCACTACCTGCTTATTAAAATTTTTATTTTAAAACTTAATTAAATAAATTTGTAAATCATAAAAAGGGGGGTAAATTTTATTTTTATCCTAATAAAAATGGCATTGGAGTATAGGTAAAAAATTATTTAAAATTAATAAAAAATTTACTTGAAAAAGGTTGAATATCTTCCTCTCCTTGTAAAATATTTTGATCAACTAATTTCTCTGAGCGTAAATTATCTCCTAATTATCCTTAAGAAAGTAAGATTTAATTTTGGCTAGAATCTGATAATTATTCCTTCTCTAATTCTTCATAGCAGTTTTGTTATTAAATTTCTGCTTTTTTTTGAGCTCCTTTCTTTTTGTTTTTATTAAATTCTTACTCAAACTAGCTTTCTTCCATGATGCTTATCTATTCAATTTAATTTTTGAGTTCTTCAATCTTTTTTTAATTTGTAGATATTTTATTTTCATATTCTTTAAGAGTTTTAGGGTTATTTTTTATTTTCTATTCAGTAAGTTTAATGTTTTTACGAAGAGTATCAATAGACTTTTTACTAGTTGCAAGAACTTTCTATTGTTTCTTTATTTTATTAGAGATTTAGGTTTAATCAGTTTCTATTGACTTTTTCATCTATTTTGCTTCTTTTTATAGCACTTCTAATTTTTTTTCAATATCCTTCTAACCTTTAAAGATCTATTAACTTACTTGTATTTATCTCGAAATAGATTGATTGTAAAAAACCATTAACTCTTCAACCAACTTTGATGATAAGAATTTACATTTTTCTGTAAATTCTTCTTAGAATGCCTTTTAACCTTTCTATATTCTCTATTAGAATAGCTAACCTCCAAGATTAAAGAAAGTTAGAAATTCCTCGTTAGTTAAAATTAAGCTCTTATTTTTAGGGTTCGATTCAGCTTCATGAGTTTATATTCCATCATCTTCTTCATCACTATCTGAGCTCACTTCTTCATCATCATCATCTTTAAAAAGCTCATTTATACTTTGCTTTTTATCTTTCAAGTAGGAATCGAATTCTTCATAGTAATAATTTTATTTACTTTCAATAATGGAGTTTTCAAGTCTTAAAGAATCCCAATGAAAGATGAATTAATTATTTTAGTCCTTTTCTATGCAGATAAATAAACTTTTAGCTTACTTTTTTTCTCCAGCCTTTAATGAGAAGATTTAAACAAGCTTTCTGTCTAGCATATGTTTGACAAAGCTTTTATTTTTTCCTAGTGGGACATAAATACTTTAACCTCTTTTTTCCAAAGCCTTGTACAATGGTGTATCTTTTTGAATACTTTAAGATAGATCTGCAATATGGATACCAAGTTTAAATATTTTTCTACTGCATTCAGTATCTTCTTATTCTGGTTCTGATTGCTTTTATTCTTCTGGCTCTTAAATTTATTATTATTTAACTGTTTAATCAACTTCTTTTTATTCTTCAATACTTTAGTTTGGTTCTTATTATTCTTATTTAGTTCCACTTTCATTTTGATTAGGCTCTTAATTATCTGCCTATTTTACTACATAAATCTCTTTCTACTTACCTTATTTACCATTTTTGCCTTTTGCGTTTTTACCCTTCTCTTGAATTGGTTAATTCTATGTTTTTTAAATTTTTTTTGGTTGCTTAGCCAATTAAATTTCTTATTCAAGAATTTTTGTGCTGATTTTTTAAAAAGAAAACGCATCGTCAAAGGCTTAAGTTCCTTGTTAATCTATAGTAAAAGCATTTATATTTTTAAATTCTTTTGAATTATTATTATTTTAAAATGCATTTTAGTGATTCTTGACTATTTTATCAACATACTTTTTTTCTTCGCTTGAGATAGTACTATTCATGTTTAATGACTCTAATAAAGCCTAGCAATCACTTTCTTAATCATATAACATTCCTTTTTAATCTATAATTTCTACTAAAGGACCTTCTCTGGAAAGCCTTTCAGGCCAGTCAATAACCTTCACAATATAATAATATTTAAAGATATCTCCACTTTAACAAGTTTAAGAAGACTAATCCAACTCTAAAACCATTGTAGGATAGTTTATTTACAAAGGGAAAAAGTAAACCTTTTTTAAGTTTGCGTATCCTAGCTATCTTGATTAAAGATCAAAGTCTATACTAGGTCTATTAGGAGTGTTAGAAAAGAATCCGATTAGAGGTTTGATTTCACTATATGTATCTTCTACAGATTCAATAACAGCTTTTAAATTAGTTGATTATTAGTTTTATGTTTCTACAAGACTGTATTTAACTTTCATTTCGTGCAAGGCTCTTCCTGAGTCATTTTTATGTAAGAATATTCTTTTTCTGATATTCATTTAATTATCAATTTTTTACAAAAATTTTTATCCAAATTCATCTACAAAAAACTAACCATTTTGTATTTCTCCTACCTTATTTATCTAGTTATTATTATTTCTATATGGCTAGTTTCTCATGTTATAATTATTTCTATTATTTTCAACATATTATTACTAGTTCCTATTTCTTTGATTCATTTTTCTTCTACTTTTTTTAAGATTTTTGTTGGATATTTTTAATCAAGTATTTTTCTTAATTTTTAATTTAGTTATATTTGAAATAATGATCACAGTGCTTTTAAATCGATAAAATCTATCAAATGTTGATTAAAATTGATTAAATTGTCTATTTTTCATTCATTTTACTAACTTTTATCATATAAAAAAGACAATTTCTAATTAAAACACAAAATTAAAATACTTTTTTTTTACTACTGAAAATATAAAATACTTTTAATTTATGAACATAAAAGTAAAATACTTTTATTTTCTATAAAATAGATATTTATTCTGATATACTTATTTCAAAATGTTTATTCCACACATATACTATACTATATATTGACTTTCAAAGTAATCTACTTGCATCCCAACTATTTATGATGAAACTATTGATTCAAAAAGCTTTGTTTTTATATTCTTGTTCTCCTTACCTCTTTTTAATAAAAATATATCTTTGGACTTTTCGTGATTGAATTATTATAATTAAAAAACATAAATTTTAGACACTTACTTTTATTAAATTTTGTAAAAGTAATGGAAATTGAATAAGATTAATAGCTAAGTAAAGCCAGAAAAAAAATGAACAAAAATAAAAAGGATTTTTACAAAAAGAATGCATTGATTATAAAAATAATATAAATTGATACAAATTTTATTTTAATTATTTATACTTGGAAATATTAAATTTAAGTATTACTTAATTAATGTAGAAAGATTAGTAATAGTAAATGTAATAATAAATAGAAAGTTTAGATAGTATACATAGTAGTAATAAAAATCTTAAAATATATAGAGTTTATTAAAAAAGTAGTAGCTAAGAAAATACCATAATAGAAAAAATAAATATATAAGTAGCTAAGCTAATTAATCAACAAACAAACTACTTCCTAGAATTATAAGTTGATTTTATTTTTAAACATTAAATATTTTTAACATTAAACAAAATTCTATCAATACAAAAAATAATAAAAATTTCAAAAAAATCTTAATATTAATAATAAATTTAAATCATTTTTTATTTTATAAAAAACACCAGTTAATTATCTTTAAATATTTTAAAAATAATTTAGATAAAATTTATTTAAAACTAATAAAATAATAAGATATAAAAACAGATAAACATTTACAAAAATTTAAATCATTTTAAAAATGAAATATTTTTGAAAAGATTATTTATTTTTTCAAAAATCTAAATTTATTAGCCTGATATTATTTTTAGTAGCAATTGCAACAGTGTAATTATAAGGAAGAGATTATCTAGTTTAAATTTAACCATTCCATATTGAAAAAATTTATTATAACTAGGGTCTATCTTTATCATTTCTCAGCTAGACAATTTGCCTTTATTTAGGCAAAAAGAAATCATAGATAATGAATTTATAAATAATTTTTGAATTAATTTGAAGAATTTCTGATTCATCAAATTGAGCTTGAAGAATCATTTTTCTGCAATTTTTTATTTTTTAGGCTTTTTCTAAGAATTAAGCCACTTGATTTTTTATCTTATTATTAGTTTGCTTTGATTTAATTATTTCTCTGTATTCTTAATCAAATTCTTTAGAAAATTTTGTATTCAAATAATTCTCTATGAATTACTAAGCTTAAATATCATTAAACTTTCTTATAGGACTAGTTAGGGATAAATATTTTTCAGATTCAGGTGTTATATCAAAATATTTGTAATTTTCCTGAATATCTTTTTTAAGTTATTATTAGAAATTTTTTTGCTCGTCTTCTATATTTTAATTTATTTTTTAAATTTCTGACTTAAGCTCGTCTAATTATTTTTTGAGATCATCAATCTAGATTTCTTAAGTTTTGATTTATTCTTTTAGTTTTTCTGATTATTTTTAGTATGTTTCCAAGTTTGAATTAAGTTCTTAAATTTTACTTTCATTTGGAATTTATTTTTAAATTTTTTAAATTTCTTTTTGTTTATGTTTAATTTATTTTTAAAGTTAATTGATTTTTTTTTCTTTTAATTAAGCTATATTAATATTATCCTCATCCTCATCCTCATCTTGACTAAATGATTTTTCTTAATCCTCAATTTAAATTTAAGGTATTATTTCCATTTAATTATCGTCACTTTATATTTCTTCTTCAACTTCTATTTTTTCTTGGTTTTATAGCTCTAAATCTTTAATTTTTTACTCTTCTTCACTCTTTTCAGCTTACTTTATTCTGTCTTAAATATCTTTAATTTTTTTGATAATCTTTGATTTTTATTATATTTTTTACTAGATTTTCTAATCAAGTTACACTTTTTATTTTTTTTCATTATCACAAATGGCGAAGTATTCATTTAATTATCTAACTATTTTTCTTTTTTCAAAGATCAAATAAGTTTTAATTATTGGAGTTATTTTAGCCTATTTTAATTTATCAATCGATGATTAAAATTCTAAGAGGGAATCATACTTTAGGTTATTAAATCCAGCTTATTCACATTTTTTCTTGTAATGATCTAGAGTTACATAAATTGATTATTTTGCTTCTTCATATTTATTGGAATTTTTTTTAAAATCTAAATTGTTTAATTCTTCATCTAATTATTCTTATTGCGTATTTAAGTTTTTTAACTACTAATTTAAGCGTTTTTTTAAAGCTGTATAAATATTATCTGAGTCATTCTGCACTTAATTGTTATTTTGTAATGTGGCATCTGATTTAATATCACTTTCATCATCACTGTCATAACTTTTATCACTTTCTCCATCGCTTTCATAACTTTTATCACTTTCTTCATCACTGTCATCACTTTTATCACTAACTGCTTATTAAAATTTTTATTTTAAAACTTAATTAAATAAATTTGTAACTCGTAAAAAAAAAGGGGGTAATTTTTTTTTAAATAATAATAGTATTGGAGGCATAGGCTATCTAAAAAATTATTTAAGATTATTAAAAAATTTACTTTAAATAATATCTTGCTCTCCTTCTAAAATTTTTGCCTCTTCGAATTGCTCTGATGGTAAATTATCTCCTAATTATTCTTAAGGAAGTTACGAGAGTTAATTTGGGTAAGAATCTGATAATTATTCATTCTCTATTTCTTAAAAGCTATTTTCTTATTAAATTACTGCCTTTTTTTGATCTCTTTTCTTTTTCTTTTTATTAAATTCTTGCATAAACTCGCTTTCTTCCATGATTCTGATTTATTCAATTTATTTATTGAGTTCTTCAATCTTTTTTTAATTTGTAGATATTAAATTTTCATAGTCCATAAGATTTTTAGGGCTATTTTTTATTTTCTCTATAGTAAGCTTAATGTTTTTACGAAGAGTGTCAATAGACTTTTTATTAGTTTTAATAACTTTTTTTTCTCTCTTTATTTTATTTTCGATTAAGTTTTTATTACTTTTTATTGACTTTTTCATCTATTTTGCTTCTTTATTGAGCACTTATATTTTTTTTTCAATATCATTCTAACCTTAAAAGATCTATTAACTTACTAAAACTTATCTCGAAATAGATTGATTATAAAAAACCATTAACTCTTCAACCAACTTTGATGATAAGAATTTACATTTTTCTGTATCTTCTTCTTAGAATGCCTTTTAACCTTTCTATATTCTCTATTAGAATAGCTAACCTCCGAGGTTAAAGAAACTTAGAAATTCCTCGTTAGTTAAAATTAAGCTCTTATTTTTAGTGTTCGATTCTGTTTCATGAGGATCAATTGCATCATCTTCGTCATCATAATCTGATCTCACTTCTTCTTCATCATGATCATCTTTAAAAAGATCACTTATATTTTACTTATTATCTTTCAAGTAGGAATCGAATTCTTCATAATAATAGTTTTATTTACTTTCAATGATGGAGTTTTCAAGTCTTAAAGAATCCCAATGAAAGATGAATTAGTTATTTTAGCCCTTTTCTATACAGATAAATAAACTTTTAGCTTACTTTTTTTCTCCAGTCTTTAAAGAGAAGATCTAAATAAGCTTTCTGTGTAACATATGCTTGACAAAGCTTTTATTTTTTCCTAGTGGAACATAAATACTTTATCCTCTTTTCTCCAAAGCCTTGTACAGTGGTGTATCCTTTTTAATACTTTAAGATAAATCAGCAACATGGATACCAAGTTTAAATATTTTTCTACTACATTCAGTATCTTCTTATTCTGGTTCTGATTGCTTTTATTCTTCTGGCTCTTTAATTTATTATTATTTGATAGTTTAATCTATATCTTTTTATTCTTCAATGCTTTAGCTAGGTTCTTATTATTTTTATCTAGCTTCACTTTGATTATGATTAAACTCTAAATAAATTGTTTTTTTTACACAAATATCTCCCTTCTTAGCTTTTTTACCATTTTTAACTTTTTTGTTTTTATCCTTCTCTTTAATTGGTTAATTCTAAACTATTTAAATTATTTTTGGTTGCTTAGCCAATTTAATTTCTTATTCAAGTATTTATGAATTTATTTTTTAAAAAGAAAACGCATCGTCAAAGGCTTAAGCTCCTTGTTAATCTATAGTAAAAACATTTAGACTTTCGTATTCTTTTGAATTCTTATTTTTTTAAAATGAAATTTAGTGATTCTTGACTATTTTATCAACCTCCTCTTTTTCTTCTCTTGAGATAGTAATGTTCATGTTTAATGACTCTAATAAAGCCTAGCAATCACTTTCTTAATCATATAACATTCCTTTTTTATCTATAATTTCTACTAAAGGACCTTCTCTAGAAAGCCTTTCAGGCCAGTCAATAACCTTCACAATATAATAATATTTAAAGATATCTCCACTTTAACAAGTTTAAGAAGACTAATCCAACTCTAAAACCATTGTAGGATAGTTTATTTACAAAGGGAAAAAGTAAACCTTTTTTAAGTTTGTCTTTCCTAGCTATTTTGATTAAAGATTAAAGTCGATACTAGGTCTTTTAGGAGTGTGAGAAAAGAATCCGATTAGAGGTTTGATTTCACTATATGTATCTTCTACAGATTCAATAACAGCTTTTAAATTGGTTTTTAAATTGGTTGATTATTAGTTTTATAGTTGTATAAGTCTGTATTTAACTTTCATTTAATGCAAAGCTCTTCCTGAGTAATTTTTATGTAAGAATATTCTTTTTTTGATATTTTATTAATCAAAAGTTTTTTACAAAAATTTTTATCCATATTCATCTACAAAAAACTAACCATCTTGTATTTCTCCAACATTATTTATTTATTAATAATTATTTGCATCCATTTTACTTCTACTTTTTTCAAGATTTTTGTTTGGCTCAAGTGTTTTTCTTAATTTTTAATTTAATTATTTTTTATTTGATAATCTAGGCTAGGTTGTGATTTTAAAAACTAAAAAATCTATTAAATCTTGATTAAGTTTTATTAAATTGTATATTTTTCATTAATTTTACAAACTTTTATAATGTATCAAATAAAAAAAGATATTTTTAAATTAAAATACTTTTATTTATACATGTATAAAAAAAAACTCTTTTATTTTGAAATAGATTGAGAAATTTTTATTAATAAAAATAAACATATATTATTTTAAAAATGTTTATATTACGCATGCACGCACTGTGTTATAAATACAAATATATAAACTATCTAGATTAGTCTATTTAAATCTAGGATAATATTTGTATTAATTTCATTAATATGTAGCGAGAAGCTTAAGGAAAAATACTGATATTTAATTTGAACAAAATTTCAAAATTACTTATTATGTAATTAAATGAAAAAAATAAATTTGATTTAAAAAAGGCAATTTTTAAAGTTAAAAATAAATTTTTTATAATAACTTTATTTTTTATTTATAACGATTGATAGAAATGAATTTATAAAAATGAATTATTTTAAATAAAATAATTGATAAATTTATAGCTTATTACTAACATAAATAAATACACTAATGTTTCAGCTTAAAAAATAATATTAGAGTAAATAATTAAAAATATTATAAAACATGCATTTTAAAGTATTTAATATTAGATAAATTATTTTAAGTTGAAACTGAAATTTTAATATTGAAAAATTTAATTTGTTTTTATTATAAAAATTTCAATATTTCTAAACTATTTTAACATTATAACATTCATTATTGTTATGCTTTACTATCAACTAAATGTAAATTCGATTACTATTATTATTGTTCTAATAATTTTTTCTTTTAGTAAGGAGGTATGTCTCCTTTAAATACTTATCCTTCGAGCAGTCTAATTTTATCAACGCAAGAATAAATCTATTCCACAACTTCTTCTTTTTCTTTAATAGCTGTGGCTAATTCGTTTTCTAACTACTTATTTTCATCTATTAATTTACTAAATTCTTCTCGATAAATTAAAGATAGTTGGTTAATTATAGGAATAGCTCTTTCTTTATCTTACTAATCTCTTTGTAGAATTATTTCTTTCATATCACCTATCTTACTTTTTAATTCATCAATTTCATTTTTGTATAAACCAACTATCTCTAAAGCTTTATTCATAACATTTTATAATTTATCAACCTTATTTAAAGTTTCAAGATTATTTTCATCATTATATTCATCTTCCTCTTGCTTTTAAACAACTTAATCATCTATATTTTATTGTTAACTATTCATCTATTACTATTCTATTTAATTATTCAAATTTTCATAGTTATCCATTTAGTAACTCTTTTTTTATCTATTTTCTACTTTACGCTTTACTTATATTACAACTTTTTAAGTTATCTTTGTTGTTATTAGATTCAAAATATAAATTTTTGATAATTAAAAATTAATAATAATTTAAACAAGCAAACGAATATAAAATCTAGTTTAAAAATTTATTTTTTTTTTTAAAAAAAGGCTTTATCATTTATAAATTAAATTAGGCAATATGGTGGTAAATCAAGAAATTAAAATGAAATTTACAATGAAAGATAAAAAAAATCTTTCATATAAAATGTAAAAGATTTTAGATATAAAAGAATTTATATCTAATATCTTTACTAAATAATAACACGTACAGAAAAATTGTCATTTAATAACAGCCATCCTCTTAAAAATTTTGAATATATTTCATCAAAAATATAAATCAAAAAAAGATATTTTAATTATTTTACAAAATAAATTAAGAATAAGATTTAAGTATGAGCAGAATAAAATTGTTGATAGTTATTTATCTTGTATTGATAGGATAAAGTTATGCTATAAATAATCTTTAATTAAGAGGATGTATAGATGATTCTACTAATGAAGAACATGGCTAATGCCACAAGCAGTTATAAGAATGCTTTGGAATAAAAGAGTGTGGAGCCGAATTCAATCTATTATTTAATGATTGCTAAATGCCATTAAATGATAGTGATTTTGATATTGAATGTTTCAAATTAGGATAAAAAAGAGCAGAGCATCCTAAAAATTTAGAATTAATAAAATGTTTTGATGAAGTTTGTGGTATGTTTGGAGGATAACCTTTAGCAGATATGGAATTGATATAAAAAAATATCATGGAAAATTTAGAAAAGCAATAAGAGTAAATTGAAAAACAAAGAAGTAAAAATGAAAACGAAGAATTCCTTTGTGTCAAAAATGCTCTCACTGACCCTGAAAAATGTTATAAACTTGCTGATGACTGTGACGAAGAATGTTCTGAAGACCTAAATAAATTGAAAACATGTACAGGAGAAACAGAGTAATGTATTTATGATATTGAAGCTGCCCTCCCTCATTTAGTTAATGAAAAAGCTATTAAACTCACAAATTGCCTATATAAACTTTGCTATTAAAATAACAAAAAAGAAAATTCTGATGAGCCTGTAAAAAATGAAGAGAATTAATAAGTAGTTAATGAAGAATTGTGATTATAAAAATATTTTAAATGTAAATATATATATTCAGATGTGTGTGTATGCAAGTATTAATCAATTTTTAGCTTTCATATTTATAAATTTAAATTATTTTTTAATTTATAATAACATTTAACTAAATTATTTATTTAATAAAAATAAATATACATTATAAATCTTCAAAAATTAACACTTGAATTAATTTGAGGGTTTCGAAAATCCATAAAACAATAAAAAAGAAAATTACTTAAATTTTTTTAATTATTAAAAATATTTTTCTCAATCTTTAAATTTAATAAAAGTAAAAATTTGAATATAAAATAATTTTTTTAAACGAAAAAATTTAATTTATGAGTGTTTAAATAGATAAATATCTATCTTGATTCAAAAATCCATAACTAATCAATTTAGAGAAAATTCTTTAATGTTAAATAGGTTCTTTACATATTTGGATTTGATTAAATAACCTTTTTATATTTTATAATTCATTATTGGCTTTCTTAAATAGAAAAAAAATAAAAGTTATTTTTTATTTAATTATTTGAAAACAGTAGCAATTAATTTATGATAAGAAAACTAAATAATCTATCTAACTATTTTATTTGAGTTCTTTTTAATTCAAAAATTAAATATTTTTTAATTTAATTAAATAGGGGGTTGGGGTTGGGGTTGGGGTTGGGGTT